TTTGTGGCCTCTTCTTCCTGCGGCTCCCTCTTCCGATATCTTCAACAGACCTACGCATCAGATCACCAATACACATCTCCTTGGCTTCCGCGACAAGTCCTTATAAGATCGGCCGATCCTGTCCCCCGAGACCTCCGGCTGCTACGCAGAAGACCTATTTTGTTTATGCTGCATTTATGATGTGAAGTGTGCTGCTCGCCGTATTCCTCCTGAGAAATGGCGGGCCGCCCTTTGTCGACTATTCTCATCCATTGAGAAACTCATCCGGTTGAGAAAGTCTCAGAGTCTGGGACATAGCCTACCATGCCATGGTACGGTAATCGCGGAACCTCAAGGTTCCACCAGGATAACCGTAATCTCAAACGCTCAGAATGTGACAGACATTAGCCTGGTACTCTAAGCTCTAACTCAATGGCGGTCATCGCCAGCGCGATCTATTCCACTCACACGAACCTCGGCATCTTTTCACTTCTTACAAGATGCATACCAGGTCTGTTTTTCTATCCTCCCAAACTGTGCAACCTGGCAGTCGATATCTATCAATCACAATTCAAACCGCTGGATTAACCCGCTGGCACGACCCAATCGATTGCGGTGGACATAATATCAGCCTCGGGAATGAGCAGAGGAAATTAGAGATTTCCTCGACTAGTACAATCACTCAATGGCTGATGCACGTAACCAACCGTCTACAATAGGTGCGGTTGGTCGGTCTGCCGTCTTGTTCCGGATTCCAAGCTCGCGAGCCCGATTAGTCAAGGCTCTGCCAGACTACTTGATGAATCTGAAACACAGAAGGTGCCATGGCATGTCGGGAGGGTATACGATGGGTGATTTCTGATCAGATGATATACTTGGGATGTTTTGATGCCATTGTCGATGAGGACACGGCCTAGACTTGCGCATTGCGGAACATGAGATGGAACCATGGTGGAACATCAGGCTTGGTACGCCCAACCGGAGACGATATCCTTATGTTCTCATTAGGCGCTGCTCGGAGCGTGACGAAGACGTCGAAATGCACATCGCCGCGTCAACAATTGCACCGAGCAAACAGAGGAGTTGGAAAGGGTAATGGCTGGGAATCTCCAGGGACTGTTGGAGAGATCGTGTCTGGACAGACAGGAGAGCACGGGGTGCTGTGAAGAAGATCTTGAGCACAATTCTGGACAATAATGATTCACAAGCAGTACCAGGACTTTGACAATGGCACCGGAAGAGGACCCTGAGCAATTTCAATCCGCCAGAGAACAACACGTTCTAACATCGACTGCGTTCGGGCAACCAACACCTTCGTGCTAGCAGCCTCAAGGCTACGAAAGTAGGTCTGGAACAGCACCTTTATAGTCTCTGTCTCCGTCCTGGCAATACTGGGTCGGGGCCCGAATAATTCTCTGCAGCGGAATTTCACGCGAAATTCAGACCGGGACCATAGACCAAATGACACCCTGGATATTCCATACGCGATACAATTCCGGAGCACCAACTGTGCTCTGTCGCCAAACGTGCGCTGCAGAGCCTTTCCCCATCTCCATCCAGTCGCGAACAGAGACCCCGGTCCAATAATCTGAACCCGGGGTAATAATGTCTGCACCAAATCGGCGAAACTTGACCTCCGACAACAGGGCAGATACAGCAATACACTTTCTCTCGTCTTTGATAGGACAGTTTAGAAAATACAAATCTTGCTACCCAAAATACGCCAGACACCACGCCCTGGATGATGCCTTCGTCTGGCATGCAACCCCTGAATCAACGCACTCATGTCAAGAAGACCTATCTTGCTATTCTTCAGATCATTTTCTCGTTAAAGTCTGGGCTGGTCAGTATGCATGGTGCATCATCGTCGCTTAGCAACGAACAGCCATGGCCTGGTGGTCAAACAGAGGGAGTGCAATACCAGCATGGTGCAGTTCTTGAAACTTTATAACCAAGTCGAGCAACCACGCAGACCTCAGGCAATACCCATTGTTTAGACAACGAAGCGTGGTGTATTCTCATTATGAAGAGTGGGAGACATAACGGTTCTTAGTAAGTTGGCTACGCATCACTCAGGCCCGGTACCCCTCTCGCATATTAAGACTTCGAGCCACAAGATACTGCGTATACAAGACTGCATGCCTGAGTACTCACCGGGGAATATCCACCAAGCCGAAGACTGATTCCGGAATATGGGGAGCCACAGCAGTCCAGAGCTTGTATATCAACGAGAGCATCACACGAGACTACTGCAGGCCTGGCCCTGATCAATTAGTCTTCGAGAAATGGATAAGGACGATGAGTTCATTCCCAATTATTTCATCCTGTCAATTGCTGTCAATCTGCCGCGTTGCTACATTCGGTAAAGATGTAGTGGCAGGGTGTCTCGGGCAAGAGTGCTGGCAGTTCCACCTATCGATTCTATCACCTATTGATAGGGGCCCGACTCTGCAAGCAGGCAGCAAGGCATTGACTGTGACCCCGTTGGAGATGGGAATTTATTCGCGACCAATAACAAATTATATTCTCTCACAATCCCATTCTCCTGCACTACTGTGCAACGACGACGAAACGTCTGGGAACCAAGGCCTTGGATCGGTGTAGAAGGACGCCGATCTGCTCAGGTTACTGATATCACGAGGATCGAATCTGGAAAGACACCGGGGGAAGAACAGCTCTGAGCACCATGTGTGGGATGCGTTCTCCATGGCTATACAAAATCAGGTGGCTGACTCGCATGCTGCAACGTGTCCCGGACTGCTGTCCTGTCTCTCACCAATGATATCAAACATAACAAAGGCTAGAAATATGGAAACATCTGGCCACATGGGCTGTGGTTGTCTCAGAAGCAGCGCTATCTATCAGGTCTGCAAGCAACAGGGTCACAAAACAGACATTTACGCCAACAGCATGGACCGGGTCACGCCCTCGAACCTATGTGTGGGCAGATCATGGTAGGGTACGCTACTGGCATGTAGCAGAGCTATAGATGGCATCGTTTAGCCATATACATTCGTTCAGTACCTCCGGCGTCACGGCTTTCTCCGCCCACGCCATCCCCCCACCTAAACAAAATCTTGCGGTCCGGTTACTTTGCCACCATCCTAGTGGATTCCCGGCTGCATCTGCGTTTTCCAAGATCGCCCGATCGCCCACTCGTCCGGAGCGACCCATCGCGAACCCTATAACACGAACATGAATGGCATCAAATACCAATGAAACCGCAGGGTACTTTGGCGTCACCTCGGGCCTCTTCAGCATTGCGTCTCCAATAAGCAGCCAAAACCCATTTCGTCATACAACAGGAGAAGAACAATCCTGATGAATCCGGTATCACCAACTCTCAGGGCCCACCGGTATGCCCTGCTTCGTGACACCCTACCAAAAGGGATATCATCTTGTCATACGAATTCAGTTGCTTTCCCATCTACCCCTTCTTTATATGAGCGAGTTTGGTCTCATTCCAACCATGATCTCGGCCTGGAGGCGCGGCTACCAGCACTACTGTTAATGCCTGCTCTGCACCACCTCCGGACTGTTCCCGGACCATCGTCCTGATATACGAGATTTCCTATGTTTTAGAAAACATGGCAATCGCACCGCCTATGTACACTCCCTTCCATTGTTTCAAGCCGGGTCCTCATGTGCCTCTACGTGATGTTAAGGGATGGTTCAGTCCATTCAAAAATTCTTTAATCCCCAAGACCCCATATAAAGCTAAAAGCACCTCTTAGCCCAGCGACATAAACTATCATCTGTCTCCTTTCTCGCCCACCACAATATGCAGGGGAGAATCAGCACCCTGGTCATCATGATGCGGGAGGTAATAACCAGACAAACAGAGCTCATGCCCATGTCCATGCCTCTACTCTACAACCCACCAAATTTGTGATCTACACCACCACCACCACCACTACCAACAACCAAGATATAACGCCGGAATACCCCACTATCCACCCATTGGGACAACTACTTCAACGACGCGCGCGACCCTTCAGGACAAGGCATATACCAAACCTTCAACTCTGGAAGTCATGCACGCTTCGGTCTTAACTGGGTTGGGAGTTTGTTGGTATTACTAACACCCTCACCTATGTTATGACCTTGTATATTATTCAATATGACTTGGAATGGTTGGTGTTTAAGTACTACTCATCGGGGTTTTGTGATTTGTCAGTGACACGCCTATGTATATATTTTATCCATACTATATAGTATTTAGTACCTTCTACATAGTAAGCTACCAGTCAATCAATATATAACAAATATAAACCTGATCCCACCCATTTTTCCTACCCAGGAAAAAAAAACAACACCACCACCACCTAACCTCTCATACTTTCCACTCACAAAAGAGGAAGAAAAGGAAAGGACGGAAACAAAAAAGTTGACTAGACTGGGGCTCGATCCCAGGACCTTATGCGTGTGAAGCATACGTGATAACCAACTACACCATCCAGCCGACTTGTTGTGATAACCGCTTTATTTATTTGGAATATAACTCCACACCACATATATGATGTATACAATGGATCAGTGAATGTAGGATTCAGGTGGGAGGAATAATGCGGGGTGTGGATTCTCTAGTATTTGTTTGTGGGATGGGAGGGTGGGGGGTATATTGGGTGTGGGATTAACTAATCGAATTTGTATTCCTAATTTGTATCATTCAGTATTGTAATTTATTATATCTTGGGGGCGTATCTGGATAGGAGAGATACGTATGTAGTAATAAGGGTTAAGAATCAGCTGATGAACCGTGGCAACCACAGACTCGTATTCAATCATTCAAAAAATCCTCTATCACTACTCCAAACGCTCACCCGTATTCGGGGAATAGCCCCAACGCCTACCCAAGATATCACTCATCATAACCCCAAACCCAATCAGCTGCTGGTACAATCACGCAGCCTCCGGGAACATCATCATCATTGATCCATACCTTAGGCAAACATCCAACGCCAGCATGCAATAATTCCACACAGATACCAAAAAATTTAAAAAAAAAAAAAATCATGCAAAGGTTGTAAACCTACACTCGGGAATCAAGAAACGTATCCAACCAAAGAAACAAAACTCGCTCAAGGGGTATATTCTGATGCGTACATCATAACCAGATATCGCCTTCTTCGCCGTTCACCCATCGTTTCCAAACTCCATCGTAGGCGTCCTCCAGATCACGAACCCAACGCGTCGTATCAAAAAGCTTGCTCGCCCACCGTTCCTGGAACAGCATCCGGCGGAGTTCTGACAGTTTGCCTCCTGCGCGGCCTTGCCCACCAGGCTGATACTTCAGACTCAGACAGAGACGGATGGCTTTGTTTTCGTAGTCGTCGTCCGACGACGCGATCAAGTCCGATCGAGCCTCGCGCCCGGCCTCGGAGTTCGGCAGAGCACTGCTCAGGATGCTGCTTGCCATCCGCGAGCACATCTTGTACTTATATCGAGGCAGTGTCAAAAGCGGCGTACCGCTCCACAGCACATCCGTCGCCGTGGTGTGTGCATTGCATTCTGGCGTGTCGAGGAATAGGTCCAGAATTTTGGCTCGGGAGATGTGCGTGTTTTTAGGTGCCACGTCGGTGAAGATAATGCGAGATGCCGTCTCTTCCCCAGCCCAGGCAATGGCGGTTTCCCGCAGGTTCTGCTCCCCGAGATCCGGGAAGCGGAGCAGCCAAAGGATGGCATTCGGAATGTGTGCCAGAATGCGGAGCCAAGTGCGGAACGTCGTAGGTTCGATCTGACAGGCATTAGTACAGGCTATGTCATCGTCGTTCTGTTCGCGCTTACCTTATACAACTGGTTGAAGTTACCCAGGATAATGGTGTCATCGCTGAGATTGGGAAACAATTCCTTTCGCATGCCCCACCGTCGGGCTTGCTCTTGCTCCCACGCGATCTGAGGATCCTGGGCATCAGGGGCACTCTGCCGATGATCACAGCAGAAAAAAGTGTCGCGAGTATAGACGATGTTCTCACCATACACCCAATTTTCCAGGTCCTCGCCGTGGTCTTCCTCCAGCAGTCGGTCCTCCATGCGTACATTGCGTCTTCCGGGCGAGAGCGTCTCCGGCGGAATCGAGATCTCATCGGCAAGGATGTAATCACACCACTCCGCCCCCAGGGTTCCTGCAAACCCCATGAAGGACATGTGGATGGGAGCAGGCCGAGCAGCAAAGACCTCGTTCCGCGCTCCGCGGGTGTATCCATTCAAATTGATGAGGATATGGATTCCATCCTCCACGATCTGCCGAACGAGTCGATCGACGGGCCAGCCGCTGGCATCGTAGAACACTGGGGCCTCCTTCTCGATCTGCTGCCGATGGATCGACTTGTCGCTCATCGTAGTGGCATAGCAGTATGCTTTCACCCGGGACGGGTTATGCAGGCCAAAGACCGACTGCATCAGATGGGCCAGAGGATGGTTGTTGAAGTCCGACGACACATACCCGACCTTGAGGTACGGGTTCGGAGGCGGAGGCGGAGGGAAGACGGTGGCGGGCAGCCACGGAGACCGCAGGGTTGCACAGGAGATCCGAAGCCCATTTCGCTGCGAGATCTGGCGGATCTGCTTGGCGGAGAGTGGGCAGGTGAAGGTATGGAAAGGTAGAACCGTGGGGGCATTAGGCGCAGTCAGGCCAGATGGAAGCTGTGGGCGCCGATACTTGGACAGGGGATAATCCTTGCCATAAACATACCGGTCCTGGTACCACTGCCAGGTGATCGATCGAGTGGCACGCTCCACGAGCTTGACAATCCGAGAGCCCTCCCACCGCTGGCCCGCCCATGACTGCAAGATATTGGCCAGAGTGCCAAACGTAGCCTGGTTGTGAGCACTGGCTGCGGGGACCAACTGCGCGCACAACTGCTCAATCACATTCGGGGTCAACAGCCCGCGACCCCAGGCCTCCCCTTCTTTGAGTTGCCGATCGACGATCTCAACCACCCGCTTGATCCAACCAGTCCCGGTCTCATTGGTGTATGCGTCACGGATCATCCCCTTTTCGTTTACATGCCACCGGTCCTGGAACCCATAGCCGTGGTGAATGCCACCGCGGCCGACCCAGTTGCACACGGAATTCAGAGCGTTGGCCAGGCCACACACTGCCTCGGCGAATTCCGGATTCACCTTAACAGCACGCTTGTAGTATCCGATCGCATCGTTGACGCGACCAGCATCCTTGACTGCGTTCGCCAGGTTGGCCAGGGCAATGTCAAAGTTCCCGTCACAATGAACGGCCTGCTCATACATTCGAATCGCCGCTTGCAGCTGGCCAATATCCTTCAGGAGGCTCCCGAGGTTGGTGTAGAGATGAGCATGCCGAGAGTCCAGGTGCAGCCCATAATTGTAGTACGCGAGAGCCAACGATATTCCAGTACCGGGGACGACCCCGGGGATTTCAGGATGTGGCATATCGCCGCTGGGACGAGGGAGGACCTTCTTCGGGGCATTGTTCTGAATGCCAGCCAGCAGGATACCGACATTGTTCGCGGTCGACGGACTCGGTTGGAGGGAAAGAGAAAGGTAGTAGAGGGCCAGAATGTCCCGAACGCCTGGGGCAGCGCGGGGGACGCCGGAGCTGGAGATGTTAGACATCCCATCCTGGTAGATCTTGGCCAGCGACAGTAGCGAATTGCTGGTAGTGGAGATGGCTGCCTTCCTTGCCAGACCTTCTGGCACATACTTGATGCCCGGGGGCGTTCCGCAGGGCGCGAATACCAGCTTGGACGTCTGCAGGGCATGGTCCGGATACAGGAGAATCGTTTCTTGCGGCCCGCGATGGCCCGGGCCCGGGTAAGCCTGGTGGTTGCCCTGCGTAAAGGCCGAGAAAATCTGCCGGATCAGGTTTTGGATTCCGTGGCGTCGTCTTCCCGCTGCAATCAGGATGGCGTCCTCGAAGGCTGCAGCTGCAGCAACATTGTCACCAAGAGCATACAGCATATTGCCCTTGGCGTGAACAAGGGCCAGCATTCTGCCGTTATCACACCCAGGGACTGAGTAGCCGCTGGAACCAAATCCAATCGAGTTAACATCCGCGGAGCGGTTTGCAGAGACCGACCGACCCAAGTCGTCATCGTAATCGAAGGACGCCTTTTCATAGGAGCCCATATCAGACGTGCTGGAAGCTCGGCTCTCCGCATCGCTCTCAGTCTCACTCGCATGTTCATCGGACGCGAAGCAGTCGCCGTTTTTGGGGTACCGTAGCGAATTCTGCACGAACTCGATGATGTTGACTGCTTCCTTGCCGCGTTGGTTGCTGCACAGAAGGCCGATCAGGTGTTCGACGGCTTCGAAAAAACTGGGGCGAAGCTTCACCGCACGAAGCCAGTGTTGCAAGGCGTCCTCTCGGCGATCCAGCGCCAAAAGTGTGGCCGCAAGATTGGAGATCGCCTCCACATGCCTGTGTATGGTTAGATATCTCAGCAAGCTGCAGATAGTCTCATACTCACGTTGCATCTCGAGCGATGATCCTGGAGTACCATCGCATAGCCTTGTGATAATCACCAAGGCCGTAAGCAAGGCAACCTCCCAGGAGCATCCCATCAATCCATTCCCAACCACTTTCCATGCAAAGATGTGATAACATTTCCAAGGACGATATAGCGTTTCCTGTGATGGAACCCTCATTTAACGGTGCGGCACCAAAGCGAGACGTCGCTGTTGAAGCAGTCAATCGTCCAGTATGGCGGAGTCTGTCCAGCATCTGGGTGTCAGACGCAGCTTGCGGGATCTGAGCCAACGAAGGACGCTCATAGCGGCGGCCACCGGCCTGGAAGTTGGAAGCGTCATTCTGGCCTGGGTTGCTGATAGCATTGGCCCTCTGGTCAAACTGGCCCGACGGGTAGCTGTTGTGACGGCTGGGTTCCACAGTATTGGTGTTAGAAAAATCAAGACCAGGCTGGCGAGGCGGTTTCGGATAAATGCTTGGCTTCAAAATCCGTTGACTTTGCCCCTCAGCAGCCGCATTCGAGATACTGTTTCGCCGTGCCTGGTGAATAGATGCAAGGAGATCGACGTAGACACCATGGGCCCACGTCAACACCTTCTCCTTGAATTCTGCGTTCGTTGCCGGTGGGGTTGCTGTAGAGCCTGGCTGGACCCCTTGGGCGCTTGCCGGGCCGGACCAGGATGGACCGCTGTCAGCGACCTGTGGACGAGATGAAAAGCCCGAGCTTGGATTAGGCTGGCGCGTGTGATACGGCAGTATTCGATGGCCCATCGACAGATCAACGGGCTTTTGGTCCGAATGGCGTCGAGGAAAATTATTCTTCATTGGCACATCGGAAGTGAGCATTCCAACAGGGCCCGGGTTCCAGGTCAGACTCGGATCCGGGTGGCTGCCGGAGGATATAGCACCCCGACTGAAGGGCTGCTGCCCTGCATCGAAGAAGTGGAGCGCAGGTGGGTTGGTTGCTTTCGCAAACGGGGTGGGTGAGTTAAATCGAGCATCGCGAAATGCCGCTGGGCGATACGGGATATACACCCCATCCGGCCAATACGGACCGTATGGCCCTGTCCCTGCCGGTGCTGTGGGGCCGACACATGGTTGAAGGGTCGCTGGAAGAACCGTAGGGACATAGGCGCCATTATGCCAGTAGAAACGCTGCTGGGATGGCTGCATCGGCAGCGATTGGTTCAACATGGAGTCCATCCCCGGCACGTAGTTCAGTGAGCGAACCCAACTAGTCCCATTCATCCCTTGAGCCATCTCAGTCGGGGCTGCATTAGCTCGGCTCGAGTCGTTTCGATATACGGGCGGGAAATTCAGGTGCTTCCCGGCTGAAGCCTGGTCCAGGCCAACTTGTTGCCATGTCTCCATTGGAAAACCAGTATGGGGTGGTAACAAGTGGCCCGATTCGATAGGTGAGACTAAGATATGCTTGCTCGCCGGGGGTTGGATGGTGATATCCCCTGGGGTGCCATCATACCCAGCAGCCAACGTTCCACTCGGCGTTTTCCTCCGTAATGCGTGTTCGCCAGCACTCTTCGAACTGGGCACCGGGCCTGTGGCATCGTGTACCTCGAGACGCTGTATGGGATGGGGGTATTGCAGTCGGGATCGAGCTGTCAAATGGAACGAGGATTTGCTCTGGTCGCTGCGAGGGAGTGATGTGAAAAACGAGGTGTTTGAGTCGTAAGGTCCGTGGGTCGTGTCGGTACCAAGACGATAATTGAGGTGGTGATGCGGTTGAACGGGGGGGAACGGTGCTACTGAGGGCAACATCTTGACCTCAGATGGTAACCACGCCGGTTTTGTTTCGCCGTGATTAACGATAATTATGTTCGATAGAGAGAGAGGGGGGTGGAGAGAAAGAGGGAGACCGCAACGAAGACGAAAAAGGAGGCGAGTAACCAAGAAGGAAGAATAGGAAATGCAGGGCTCTTGTGGGAGAGCGGTTCGGGGCGATCGAAATCAGTCAGTATGGTCGACAGAGTATCAAACTCGCTGGATAATCAACAAGCATCCTCCTTGAAACGTTTCCTACACCTCATCCTGGGCATGAGCCGGCTCAGTTGACACTCAGCGAAGGCCCCCACCGTGTTTCCCCGGGCTCGACATGAACGCAGATTGTGATCGAGGATAGTAGAGGGCGCAAGTGCGGGAGCCGCGGAGGTGAAGGAGAGAGGAGGGAGGAAATCGAATGGAGGCTGAGTCTGGGGCGAAGATACCATTCACGAAGCCGCTGGATTCCAGAAGATCAAAAAGACACGCAGGCGATCCGCTCCGACAACGCTATTTGCTGCGTGAGAGACAGGTGGGTGAAGAAGCGATGCAAGGGAGGGAAAGGGATCGAGACTGAGAGAACCACACAGCCCTAGTCAGCTTGCTAGAGCGCCCACACTGACGCAGGTGTCCGCACGACGCGATCAACCACTAGGCAATCCTGCGCTTGGCAGAAATGCTGTACTCGGCGCGAGAGGGAGTGAAAGAAAGAGGTTTGGGGGGGGGGGGGGGGGGAGAGGAGAAAAAAGAGTGACCGGCCGGGCTGTAGGCGGGCAGAGTGGGATGGGGAGGGTTCAGGATGAAGCCAGTGGTGGTAGGCAGGGAAGAGGTATCAATCGGGAGGATAGAGAAGAGGCCGGAGAACAAATCAGATCCGATGTGAAGACCGACAAAATCCGAATCAGGGAAACGATAGTGTAGGAGAAAGGTTGAACATGGCACCACTAGTTGATGACAATCACCACCACTTGTCTCGGGGGATTTGTTGAATTTTTTTTTCTTTCTATCTCTGGTGTAAAAGAGATTTTTCTGTCTGTCTGTCTTTCTTTTGCCTTTTTTTTTGTCTTGGATGAGGTTGATTCCCCTTCTCGGGGAAGAAAGAAAGTCCTGATTGGGCTGAAGTATTCCAACGGCGATGCCTCAGATCCAAGGCACGGCAGGGCTGTTCGAAGCGGAGAAGATCCAACGGCGGGCGGAGAGAGGTCAAAGTCACCACTCAGCACTCACCAGGGGCAAGGACCGGGCGCGATGAAAGGCAGGGGAATTCACCAAAAAGAAAGAAAAAGGGAAGTCCGGGGTAAGGATGGACGGCCAAGATGGTGAAGGAGAGAAATAATGGATGCGCCAGTGGGAGGAGAATAAAAAAAAAAATTCGGCAGGGAAAACGATTGAAGCGGAAAAGTATGGAATTGAAGCTCGTCCATACGAAGTCACTAACGTAGCAGACAAAGAGTCATCGACGACCCAAAGGCTCCATCAAGCGGGACGCGCATCATGACAGAGCGGAGCTTCCCAAACGCAAGCAGTGGGCGGCGGCAGCCTATAGCTCCCGTTTGGTTCTAGGGCGGTTCCTTTTTTGGGGTGGGGGGAGGGCAGCCTGAGTGGGCGAGAGGATGGACCAGCGGGAGTGGAGCCAATGGGCGTTGGCCTGGCCCCGGTGGAGTGGAGAAGGGAGGTTACTGAGTTGGGACGCGGGTGGGTTTTGGGCGTCCAGGTTGATTACTTGGTGGTGGTGGCTTGGGATGGATGGAAGAAAAAAAGAGAAAAAGAGAAAAAGTAAAAAAAAACGAGAAAAGGCAACAAAACAAATATCTACAGTATGTACTTGAGAATATGGATCTACGGAATACTCTGCGCATTATGCAAAGGGCCCCAGGCTGATATACTTACTCCTAGTACTCCGTAGTAAATAGATCTATCTATACAGGCATTCGGACAATGGGTCAAAGTATAACACGCGGTGGCTTGAATGGAAGGAGCGCCTTCAAGGCAGCGATGCGACCGATCCAAGGTACGTAGCCATCGTCAACCCGCAAAGCTCAAGAAGGAACCTCTTTTTCCTCCACCCAAAAACGCGAAACAAGGGAAACACGAACATCCATCACATCCCCGTCCCACCCCAAGGTACCGTAGTGCTAATTGCTACGATCCAACGGCCAGGATGGACCGGCGCTAGCCACCTGGGCGCAGAAGCGAATCCAGGCCTGGCGAACGTCAGTGGCCCAGCAGCCATGGCCCCCGGTCACGGTGGCGCCCGCCGTGGTCAAGCCTTGGGGCCTTGGGGGCCCATTGAGAGGGTTTTCGGTGATGAGGACGGATGGGCGATCTGGCACTTTCGGTGGGTTCGAGTGGAGTCCGTCAAGGACTGGCTGAATCCTCAGAAATTGGCGATGCAAATATCGATTTCACTATCAATATTATTATTATTGTTATAGTAATATATTTAATATCGACCGCGCAAACGATTAATATGGAGTGATTAATGTGGAGGGGTCCCGGGAGGTTTCCCTATATAGGAATATCTTAATATTTAATAGAAGAAGTCCCCCCATCAGGGATCCTCCTGGTAGTGACTGTACAGCATAGACAGTAGATAGAGGCAAGGCCAACATCATTCTGCAGCCCTGAATGCACCCAGAGGCTGAAAAGCAGAGCGCATGCCGCCTCGGATCAGGTGAAGAGTCTGAATGACGGCCACATCTCGTAAGTATATGCGGACGGAGTCAATGCTGTATAGTCCCGCTATACGTGGTGACTGTGGCTTCTCTTTGTCGATGAATCTCTGATAGGCCGCCTTTCCTATATCACAGCCTTCTAAGTTTCGAGCTTTAATTTGGCATGCCTAATTCCCGTCGACCAATACGGATTTCCCATCAAAGTCTAACAAACAACTACACAATACTATTTACTAGTAGTACCTCCTGCACAGCCATACTTCTACTACTATCTGCTAACCTCCCTATCTTCAATCTCGTGCATCAGGCAATCACATTATTATACTCCGTACTTATACTTCAAATCCCCCATTCAAGATTTCCCACCACCCCCTATAATTCATTTTCCCGGCCCAACTCAAAATCTAGGTCTCGGGAATAGAGGATCCATGAAACCTACCTCAGTTTCAACTTTTCGAGAGCCCGTTTCCCGTATCCAACCACTCAGGGCCGGTGAATTCAGCCATCCTTCACACAACAAAGTAAATGAGTGCTACAGTAAGTCTGGGTGAGTTTTCGCCATGGCCTGCGTTGTACCCCCATTTCATCCCACCCCCGGTCCGGTCTTATCCGCCCAGGCCAGTCGCAGGCCCAGCAAGTCAAGTAAGTAGGACCAGGATCAACGAGGGCGGCGGGAATGGGGCCGCCCGGTAGGTGATGATTATCCATCGGCCATGTCACGAGCGGTCTGGCGATGAGGATCGGCAAACTTTGCTACGCGCTGTCTCTCCACTTGCAGGCGCTTGGAGGAGGGGGGGGGGGGGGGTCCTCCGTTCGGAGGAGAGAGGGGAAGGGGAAGAGGGGGAAAATAATAATCATCGTGGACAATCGGGATACTAATCATGGCACAATGCATCACATCACCGATGGCAGTCGATCGGTCGTATTCCCATCAAGCTTTGCCGTCCGTATGGCGAGACATCCGGAGGATATGTCCATGTCGCGGTGCCAGCCATGTTTCACTTGAGAAAGATGGATGAGCTGGCCTGAGATCGGCCTGGTAGGCCTGACCTGGCCTGACTGACTGGCTGACTCAGCCAACGGGGTGAGTCACGAGCCATGTAAGTAAGTAATGGAAGTAAGTAATGGAGGTACATCAAGTCGATGGTGGATGGACAAGATGCATGTCGGTGCGCCTGCCTGTGCCTATCACAACGACCTGCATCCCCGAATCGAATCCCGATGCCTTGAGATCCATCACATTCCTCTTTTGCCTACGGTCGACCCAGGATTCGTTAAGGGGCTCCTGCAGCCGGGCGCGTATCAGGAACGCCAAAGGGCCACCATCCCAGTAGCCGGTGGGGACGCGTGGATTCTTCGGTGTGTCCGTGTCGCTGCCCCATCGGATTCCGGCTGGCTTGGCAAGATTCATCTCGCTTTCATTCTTCACACCCTCAATTAGATAGCTATAGCAACAGGCTGATCCAGGTGCCGATCGCAGGAAAATATTCAACGGCATTCTAAACGCCATCGGGTGACAAAAGGTAAAATGTACAAGGACTGAAAGGTGTATACATGTATAGAGTAAGATGGTCAAGAAATAGATTGCATTGTTCAATTTGATATTGGTCTACGAGTGGCCAGACAACAAGGTCTGTGGGAGTTTATGGTGTTGACCGTTAAATGGACCATGGTATCCATAGAAAGAAGCACGAGGCTCCCCTCAAGAATACCGCGGTGAGTAGCGGGTCGGTTTGTTCTTCTTTGCTTAAAATAAGCCTATACCACGTGGTATGATATTCGAATCCAGGCCCGGAGGCGGGAAACGACGGTAAGGGCCAGAGTGTTGCAAAGGTCATCTGAGTTCGGAACTCGACACAATCCAGCTTGCATAGGGCAGCAAGTGAACCATGGGAGACGGAGGGAAGGGCAATCTCAACAAGGAGAGTCGAGTGAAAACACTTATCACATTTCGAATGAACACAAGTGGGAATCCTAAAAGTCATGACTCGTAAAACAGGTTTGGTTCGAGAGAACAATGATCATATTCTGTAACTAGCATGTCGGTATATATTCACGACCGCCGGGAATCTTGATCACCATTTACTCGGAGGGGACTGGAGAACAGTTAGCACGAATCTTGATTTAAGCATCCGAATGCCACATACCATCGATCTCGCCGGCCTTGATGTCGTCGGAGACATCTTTGGGGCTGCGGCCATCGACCTGGCAACCGACGGAGAAAGCGGTACCGAGGATCTCAAGGACGGTACCCTTGAGCTCCTTGGCCAGGGAGCGGTGGCGCATCTGGCGAGCGATCTCAACGATCTCGTCGAGAGAGACCGACTTGTTGTGCTTAATGTTCTTCTCCTTCTTGCGGTCACGGGGAGGCTCCTTAAGGGCCTTGATGACCAGGGAAGAGGCGGAGGGCACAACGGAGACAGCGGCCTGACGGTTCTGGATGGTGAGACGAACAGTCACACGGAGACCTTTCTATAGCAGCAAACACGCAACGTTAGCCCTCTATCCCTCAAGATTTTGCAATCGGCTCTTCTTACCCAGTCACCAGTGTTCTTGGCAATATCTTCACCGATCTTCTTGGGGGACAGACCGAGAGGACCAATCTTGGGGGCCAGAGCGGACTGGGCACCGACCTCACCACCAGTCACTCTCAGGTGGCTATGAAATTGTTAGCTGCTGCGCAAAAGGCAATTTGCGCGACTCATTCGGGATGCCAACTTACATGATCTTCACCTCATTGGGGTCGAACTTGGGAGCTGCCCAATGGGTTACATGTTAGTCCGCCAAATCGCTTTCACCAAGGAGATGATACTTACGCATGGCGAGTGCGAAAGGTCGTCAATCGTCCTTGGAAGTTGTCGGGGTGGATAGTACCAGGAAAGAAAGAAAAACGCTGCCACGGCCGAAGGATATTTAGCTGCCGCCCGCGCCTGAGCTAAGCGAGACCCTAGAACGGTAAGTTCGGTAGGGCTCAACCCAACAGTCTCACGTGATATGACGGGCCGGTACGGCTTCCGGCCGTAGAAAGTGAAGCGGATCCATTATATTATTACGGCATTTTGCTTGTATTCAATCGTTGAATCTAGGTAGTTGCTATATTCCAGGGTAACGAACAAAAATCAATAACCGCTAAAGATACAAACGACCCGAGGACCGACGCAAACCTCCCCTTGCTCTCGTCGTGGCCATTACCTCGTCAAATCTAGCTGGTTCCGGAAACAGCAAGTCTGGGGCATCGGGTTAGCAAGTGCTTTCATCGTTGGGTTCTAACTGGTCACTTACTTCATGAGATGCTCCATGAAAGTCTGCAATGAAACATCGTCGGTGAAAATGGTCTGCGAAGTCACACCTCCGCCATATCCTCCTGTCGTGTGCGTTGTCGACGGGTTCAGCTTCGACAGAAGGAAACGTGCTTGGGAGCCACCGGCATCGCAAACAATGAAACGGGGGAGCGGGAAACGGTCAGAAATCAGTTCCTGTGATAACTGGTCAGCGTATATTCGGCAAGCGAGAAATTTCATGTATACGAACCCTGGCGTCTTCCTTCGGTTGTTCGAGGAGCACCTTCAAGTTCTCGTAGCCCTCCTGTTCCTGGTAACCGGCCTTTCTCCATTCGGCGATAGTCTCACCGTGGAAGATGAGGATGTGGAAGAAGGTGTCCAGGAGGAGAATATGGGCCGGCTGGATGGAAGCCGAATCCAAGAGCACAGGCTGGCTTCCTTCGTGTTCCAGGGAGTAAGAATCCAGAGTTGGCTGAATCATGACAAGCGAGTCGCCAACATCTTCGTGGTTAAGCACATGCCGGTAGAAAGCAGTCTCGTCGGGGGAGTTGTTGAACACCTGCAAGAACTGGCTTCGGCGCAGATGGAACATGAACTGAGGGTAAAGCGTGAAGTTCTTCTCCAACCGAAATGACGTCGGATCGTCTTTCCGGTAGTCAGCGAAACGGGAGCAGAGTCGGATGAGCATCCGGTCAACCCATCTGAGCACATCAGGGCCGTCATCGACTTCGGCCTTGAACACAGCGATGCGGGCCATCAACACAGCGGCCGCCTCCTGGTCAAAAGACTGTGCCAGTGTAGGGTCGCCAGCCGGACCACTTAGGTTCCGTGCGACAGTCGTGACCCTAAGGTGATAGTGTCCGGATGAGTGCTGGTAGTATGTGAGGAATTGCATCATTCCTCTTTGGGGGCCTGGTTGCACTGCTGCAGGTCCACCTTGGTTGGCGATTTCGAAGTAGATACCATAGCTCGAGGCAGGGTCAATCCCGCACATCTTCCAGGCGCATGTGTTGCCGATACCGCACTCCGTCTCACCGACAGAGCTCGACTTCTTGTTCAAGGAAACCGCGTGACCGATAAGACCGGTGACCTTGAGCTCCTTGGTAGTCAGCACCTCAAGAGATGCGTTAAAGCCCATGAGCAGATGATCGTTGGCATCCTTGTCAAATATTCTGACGAAGGACTGCTTGAATTGTGACGAGGTAAAACTGTCTGTGAGAAGTATGTGGCCACCCGTGTAGTTGGCAAGGTTCTTCATCTCCAGCATACCGACCTGGTCGAGACAGCCGGCAAAGACATCAACAATGTGTCCGTTATTGGCAGCGCGCTTGGCCATGGTGTCATAGAACTAATATATAATCAGCAAAGCGCCCCTGTCGGAAGACAAGTATACGCACCTTAACGGCCTTCTTGTAGTACTTGATGTTGTCGCGGTCAATGTCATGGTGAGAACGGATTGGCTCCTTCAGCTCAGGACCGACGACATGACCCGGACCCTCGGTGGCCGGACCACTGGTGAAGACCATAATGCGCCCACCGGCATTCTGGAAGGAGGTTTCAAGCAGACCAACGGCGACGCTGAGGGCAGAGCCAGTACATCTGAGGGGTCGCTTGTCATTTGCAACTGGCCACGGGTCACGCTGGAGCTGCTCGAGCACATTCGTGATTTGGAATTCGGCTTGTTGAACGGGGAGGAGGAACCGTGCTGCAGGGCCAAGGGGAGGACGAGCGGGCTGCTGGGGCACGTTCGGACGCAGTCCAGAGGAGAGACCAAGCATCTCCTGCACCTGCTTTGCGGCGTATTCCTTGCTGCCGCGGAATACATAGGACTTGGCGCACTCGGTATAGCCAAGCTCGTGTACTTGTGCCTGTATTTCCCAGTCAACGAGCCATCCGAATAACCCTAGAGTAGATGACCGAGTGTTCCTACCATTGTACCATATGTGATCAGGCCAACCAATGCATTCGCCGGCAACAACGACAGACTCATAATCAGCGAGTCCTTCAGGGCCTTCAGACTGTCATCGTCTTGACAGGTGTCGACGACATAGACAAAGATAGGGGGAGCAGGAGCGGGGCGTGCCAATTGATACTCGATCGTCGTGCTCATCGGGTGGAGCTCCGGGGGTATTGTGCTCTCCGTGATATCCTTGTAGTGAGGGGGAAGAGGGTTGCGCATAAGGCAGAAGGGGCAGATCCAGATTCGGGCCCGAACGTCAACGTTGCTATGTAATGTCAGCTAAAGTCATTCGTGTTTGTGATGCCTCTAAGAGACCGAGAGCCATACGCGTAGGGGTTCAAGACCGCCCGACAAGGCGCCTTGCAGGTGACCGGCTCATATTGTAGCAACGGAGAGTCGGGCTTCTCCTTGAGAGGCGTGTAGACGGCACCGATGGGGACAACAAGGCGGGATGCTTCCTGTAGATAAGTTAGTTATTACCGGGCAGGCGTCAAATTCCCAGACGAACCATGCGAGAGCTTGGAAAGGTGTTCCAGCTGAGTCTGATGCCATCGCGATCCTCGACTTCGCTCCATTGGTCCTTCAACGCTTCGTAGTCCATGTTGGCGGCCTGGGGAACGGGGGTTCCGTCACTTGGGAGACAATGAGGGGGACGTCTAACAGGGCAAGAATGCAGCCAGAAAGAACAGCAGAAAACAACACAGACTGGTCACAGGAGGACCCTCCTATAGCACAACCCAGTCACAAAAAGGACAACGCCAACAGCTGTTGTCCGGAGACTATGCGGGGATCAGGAGACTGTTGTGTGAAGCGGCACTGGTTGCCATAAGGCCAGGTTGCAGCATAACCGGTCGCTGCGGGCGGCCGTACACCGCGCTAGTGCCCTTTAAATACCGGCCCTTCCTCTCCACCACACTCGCTTTTTCTTTTCTTTTCCAAATATTCTTCACACGCCGACTCCTTACCTTTTTTATGGCAGCTTCCATCCACCAAGTTGGTGAACTTGTCTAAAGTGTCGAGCGAAGAGTTACTCCGACCCGTTGCTGGGCACCTGGCTTTGAGAGGACGTTTTGCTCCTTTCGGATAATCTGGGAATCAGCAGAGGTTACATACCCTTCTCACCCCGCTGCAATTGTATCATCGTAATCGAAGACTTTGAATAAAGTAATTGTCGAATTGTCACTGGACCCCTTGGGGGGTTTCATGCTCTCAATTTACATATAAATATCTACCTAAGAACCAGGACCATGGCGTCCTCCCGTTTCCAAAAGCCTGACCCGAAACGCCCGCGTGGTGGAATCTCCGCAAACCGACAACCAAATGCAATAGGAACGTGGCTTCGTGGACCTATCACAATGACGTTAGGTATTCTTCGGTGCCTTCCCCATTTGCTTCAGGAGATAGCTGCGCTTGAAGTAAGTGTTGGGATGAACAATGGTGTCGAGGTCGGTCTGGTTCCACGTCCCGTCCTCCTTAACTCGCTTGATATCTGCTTTGTGGGTGAACTCGAAGACCCGATTGCAAGCAATATGGAACCGCGTTTTTTCAACATCCTCTCGCACTCCACGTAGGACATCCTTGTCATTGACACCGGTGGACTGAAGAAGACCGATCAGGTTGTCAATAGAGAAGTGGCGGTACGGGCATCCATGGGTCTGCCCGACTCCCGGATTCGAATCGCCGAGGATCTTCTGGCACGAGTAGGGGGGGTATCCGCGGCCTCTGCGGTTTTGATCACCGCCCACATCGCCATAAGCGTGGCGAATGTTGTACTTGTAGCGCGAGTTGAACTCGTCGTCCGTAAAGCCCTTGAAGCCCTGGCGCCAGAAAACAATACATTCCTCCAGTGACAGGCCGATTCCCTTGAGGAAAAGCGTATATTGCAATCGTCCGTAGTGCTTCAGGTGGTGATTCTTGCGCAGGTTCATGTGAAGACTGCGCATGCACAGTGGGAAATGTTGAGATAGCCGGTCAATGTTGTTCGCCGTGATCGGTGCGCCATCAACGAATCCCTCGTTCTCCGTGTAAACTGACTCGGCACTTCCAAAGTTCTTCGAAAGGTGATTGAGAATCGGAGTGAGGCGATCGTCTTCGTCCAATCGTGGTAAGGCCCGACCCGTAAGCTGGCAGCCGTTAGTACCATAAATCATTCACAGCGATGGACTGCGTCATACCTCAAGAGCGCGCTCCAATCGAGCTGTGAACTCTGCTATGATCATGCTCAATTGTTCTCTACCCGGTACGTACGCCTTTCCCTTGGACAGGAAAACTGCGCGTCGCTCGACCAACTCCGGCACCTTCTCCCAGTCCACCTTGTACCAGGTCTCATCATCAAGGCGACGGAGACCCGGAGTCGCGCCGAGTAACTGCTCCGAGAGTCTCTGTTTCTCTTCGTCTTCGACCGGCTCCCAGTCAAGATTCAGGCTGTCAATGAAGGCGCGTCGTTCTCTGGTGTCGTCTCGTTGGAAGCGGAACCTGAAAAGCATCGTTTCTGCTCTCACGAACCGCCTGCGGAGTTCCTCAGTGGCCGAGAACGCCAGGCGAAGGATGAAGTGGGAATAATGATCTTTCTGGCGTTCATTCTTTAATCGCTGGTCGGCCGCACCGTTGGAGGAGGATGTATTAGAGGAAAGGGGAAGGTATTTTTGAAGGTGAGGTGTAATATGCGCTTCTGTCTCCGCGGGCGATTTGTTTCGATAAGAACAGGCTTCAATTTCGGCCAAGACTGTTCGAGATTGTAAGCCTATATTCTGAAGCGAGCCTTATGTTTTAAAAACCTTTTAGTCGGTCAATAGCCCATTGTTCAAACTGTTCGAGGGTGATCTCCTCGGTCGGGGGAATCTCATAGAAGTTTAAGCGATGCGGATAGTCCTGTTGCTTGAAGACCGGTGCTGCGAACTGTTTCTTTTTGTGGTCGAGGGTAGCCCTTCTCTTCGGGTCAATTCTGCGGAAGTCTTGTCGGATCATCTTGCTCTGCAACAGCGGGGTTGACGCTATTGAGATCGTGTTGTTTGACCTGACTGAGTTGAGTTCATCTACTGGATGGCTATCGCGCGACGACGCGAAACGCGGCCAACACGCGCCACGGTCACGTGGTGTACAATTCAATGAGCCAGTTTAATTAGGGTGTCAATACTACACCTCAGCAGTAGACTTATGGCAGAATGAAGCACTCGGCCGATTCAATGCTTCATGATCTTAATGTTCATTGCTTATTCTTTACTAAGAGTCCATCAAGAGATCAATAAGAAGCTTCATGCTTGAGAACGTAGGCATTTTCTTTTATGTACCTACGCTCAACATAGTAAAAAGATATGGAGAAGCAATCCATGATGGATACTGTTCTCTGTTCCTGGAAAATAGGTAGCAGCCCGAGATGGAAGATATTGGAGCCTTGCCTACAGTACTAGTAGGTAGGTAATCAACGTCTGCTATTAAATCCGAGAGCAGTAGGGCCGCCAATTATTGCCGGGTCCAATGGGCATGGAAACATTGTCGGAGAAGCCATGGATCAACTTTGCAGCTTCGGGAAAGTCTCCGGTCTCCGCTCACCGATTGCCTAAACGGGCAGCCATCTACAAACCCCACGGAAGCGCCTGCTTTCCCCGGTCTGAGATTATTTGTCGACGTATCACCTGAGCACCGATCTGCCCCGATAAGCTGGGCTTCAATAATATCATCTTACTCGGCCGTTGCCAATTTCCTGTCTGCTCCTTCATAATGTTTTCCTAACCACAATGGCGATAATATAGCGTGTCCGCCATCTTCCCGCGCTTCCTGCCCTGCTTTTACCCTACCCTCAACCGTTTGACGACCCGCCTACCCCGGAACACCAACTGCTTCCAATTTAGAGAATCCTATCACGATAGACAGCTTAACGAAGAACGCGCGAAATGACGGCCACGATCAGGCAGCTCAAAAAGGCAGCCCGGATTATCCTCATTGGTGCTCCTGGTGTTGGCAAGGGCACGCAAACAGAGCGACTCCTCGCCAGATTCCCAGAGCTCGCGTCCATAAGCTCTGGTGACCTTCTGCGAGAAAATGTCCGGAACAAGACTCCTTTAGGTAAGTGACCCTAGCCCGACTGCTCGGGGTCGAAGATTAGAGTCTAACGGTTTCCGCGGATAGGTCTAAAAGCAGAGGCCGCCATGCAGTCCGGCAACCTTGTCCCCGACTCGATGATCCTCGATCTCATATCCTCCGAATTCAAGTCTCGAGGCTGGCTTTCAGCAGCGCCGACCTCATCGATAACCCCCTCCGCGTCCTTCATCCTAGACGGCTTTCCGCGCACGGCCACACAGGCCTCGAGCTTGGAACCCATTGTCCCTGTAAACTTCGTCGTTCACCTTGTTACACCTCCTTCGGTCATTCTCTCTCGGATCGCGTCGCGCTGGGTACACGAGCCATCCGGGAGGGTATACAACACCGATTTCAATGCGCCTAAAGTCCCTGGCAAGGACGACATCACTGGAGAGCCTCTGACTCAGCGTGATGATGACTCGATTGACACCTGGACGCAGCGGTTGAACAAGTTCGAAGAAACGAGCAAGGCATTGTTGGAACACTACCAGCGCAAGGGCTGCCTGTGGCGCGTGGAGGGCGACACGAGCGATGAGATCAGCCCAAAGCTGTTTTCAGAAATTGAGCGACAGTTCTGCTAGAGTACCTGCACTTGCTTCCTACCGGTCCTGGATACCTTCTTGTACTATATATCGGTCCGATTCTGGCCTCTTCTGTTTGTTGGCGTCGCATTCCTGCAGTCCTAGAAGGGCTGCAGACGGAGGCAGTGTTTCTTTTTCTGTCATTACTTACCCCGAGACAGCTAGCATCTTTCGTGGACGAGATATACCTAATGATCAGTCTAACGATGTTAATGATGTGCCGCATTGAAGGCGAATGATCAGACATTCATTCATCACATGGCATGGAGAGAAATCATAACGATGGGGGATATCTATCAATCGTATCATCATACCAAAACAGCAAACGCCCACGCCAGCAACAATATCAACATCCCTCTACTTCTTCCCCTCCACCTCCTTTACAGTTCCCAAATCCTCCAACCCCATCCGGGTCTTATACTCCCTCGGACTCTCCCACTTCCCATCCTTCTTCCGATATCCCTTCCACAACCCCGTCCCCTTAGTCTTAGCCCACCACTCCGCCCCCCGATACTTCCTCTCCGTAGCCGCGCCCCCAAACTCCGCCCCAAACTTCGCCTCATACACCGTCGCCAACCCCCTCCTCAACATCTCAAACGACACATCACGCTTCCGAAACGGAATAGGAAAATCCAGCGCCCGTCGTACAACCACCGTCGCCACAACCCGCTGATATTGGTCCTGTCGGTGCACATACGCCCGTATCCGCCGATTCATCAAATACTCCGTCAACCAATCATGCGCTTCCTTACTAAAGGGTTGCGCCGGTCGTCCGAAGTGTGATAATTCCGGGGCGTCGATTCCAGCAAGGCGAACATGAATCTACATTTTCCCACAATCAGTACCTATACAACACACACGTAAAACAAACTAAAGGCGCGCGGCCGAGCGGGTGGGGAAAGCGAAAGATGAAAACGCACCGTCCTATCCCTCAACTCCTTCTTCGACGTAGGGACCTTCTTCCACGGTAACCAACCCCAGCCCGCGAGTCTTCCACCGGGGGTATGATAAATCCGGAAGTTATCTCCGTCGCCGACACTCGTTACCTGGCCGAGGATACTCCTGCGACGGAGATAGGAGGGCGAGATGTCGACGGCGGTGGGGATTCGTCGGAGGTAGTGTTTGTGGAGGTGGACGGCGCTGAGGATGCCGGTTGTGAGGATTAGGGTTGCGAGGAGGGTTCGGGGTTCGGTGAAGGCGTGCCAGTCTATTATGTCGTTGTTGGAGGGGTCATTGTTGGGGGATGATGTTGATGGTGGTTGTTGGTCCGGGGATGGCGGTTTGGAAGCCCATGGCGGCCATCGCATGACGGCGCATGCTATTGGGTTTGTTTTGGAGGAGGGGAGGGGGTGGTTGTGTGTGGTACCCCCGAAGTGGTGGTGGTGGTGGGGATTGGGTTGGATAGGGGATGTAGATAGTAGGTATTATTGTATGTTTGTTCGGGGGAGGGTTGCCGAGGTGAAGTTTGGCGGTCAGGGAGTAGTGCAGTGTGTGGTGTATATCCACTGCAGACTCGGAGAAGTAGGTATCTACATTTCGGGAAAACTCAAGATTGGGATTATGTGGAGTGTTATTGCTACTGGGTCGGATGTTTTATTCTGGAGATCCTCTGATGTATTTGTACGTTCTAATAGTCATGCTGCCATTATGTATCGACATTGACAACTAAGTATCTTAGGTCATCAAACCAGAACCTGACAATAGAGTGTATTCACAACCGGTGCGCCACAGAATGAAAGGAATTCGTACAAGAGATAAGCGGTATTAACGTGTCGAGGCGTATTCGTGTCTATTTGAGCGTCGCTGGAAGACTGGTCTTGGCTGTCGACGCAGCAGAGTCCACAACCTTCTTGAGCTTTTGCTCTCTGATTTTACGCAGGTATGCGAACAGAAGCACGAAGATGAGTTCGACCCTAGTTGTTGTCAGCATGTTGTTCTCCGGGGGAGGGAGTTTAATCGAACATACCTCTCCTTGGCCATCATCAAGAAGCCTTGCACAAGCAGTCCCTTCAAGATTTGAGGTCCAATTCCCTTGAAAAGGGACAAAGGACCTTCATTTTGAACAATATACCGCATGACTTCACCAAAAGTCTTAAAGGGCTTTCCTTCGCGGCCCGGGGGTGGCCGGGATTGGAGACCAACCTTGGCCACGATTAATGGTTGAGTCGCGATTGTGGCCATCGCCTTGGAGAGAGCACCGAGGACTGCGATCATAATTAGATCCAGCCAAGCGGTTGATGGTCATGTACTTCACTTACGGAAAGCTTCCCAAGGCTTCAGGTTGTTCTTGCCTGGGAAGAGGACGTCCTTTAGACGCTGGTAGGCACCGTAGGTAATTGCGGGATTGATCACCAGGATCAAACTAGCCTTCAGTCCTCGCCATAGTCCAGACCAGCCATCTTCACTCTCGACGACCTCCTTCCCCGTCTCAATCAGGCCCTTCCTCTCTCCCTTAGGTTGTGTCTGTTGCCTTGTGGTGATAACAGCGACGGGGATGGTAAAGATCTGGGCGACTGCGCCTGCCACGGCACCGAGGGAGAGTTCAATGGCAGTTCCCGGAGGTTTAGGCACTCTATTGGATGCCATGTAGAAGGACCTCACCACGGTGTACCAGTAAAAGTAGGCGAAGTTGGTAGACGCCACACCAATCAGCGAGCCGGCGATTCCGGAATATAAGCCCTCGATTCCTTCCTTCTCGACGATCTTGTTGATGGCATCCAAAGTCGACTTGTAGTGGACAGTGTCGTCGGAACCCCCATCTTTGGAATCGCTTGCTTTCTTCACCTGCACCTGAAGCTTGGTCTTGACACTGTATGAAAGCCATGGTATATTAGCGGATTGCGTCTTGCCTTCCAAAATCGGCCACGGATATTTGCATACAGATCGAGAGGGTAGACTAAGGCGTTCGCTAGAACGGCACCGGTGGCACCGGCAACGGCACTTCCCCAGGGTGAGAGCGCGGGTTTCGATTGACCGGCCATTATTGTGAATGTGATAGCAAGGGAATTATCTTAGAGATAGAGGTATATAGTATGATAAGAAGGACCAGGAAATATCGACCAGCGTTGAAGCAGAAAATATGAACGTTCCTTGAGATTTCAGTACCGGACCTATGAGCAGGGTATCTGGCGGTGCGGAAGGATAATTGGCGATATTTCGGAGCGGGGGCTCCAAGGACTCAGGAGAGCCTCGCAGCTCACAATCTAGAAGGGTCGAGAAGAAGAAGGCGACCACACTGTCCAAAGTGAGGCGATCCAAAGCAAAGCGTTGTTGTTGAGTATTTGGTAATGGGCAGATACCTAGACACAAGCCCGGCGAGCGTTGGAGGACAGGGATAACTACTCCAGCCAGACAGTTGCAGGTGAACCTCGGCGCATTCACGGCGCATGACGAAACGAGCCTCGGTCCGATGGCCGGCTTTCTTTTCATACACGGTTGATCGTTATCGGTTGGTCGCGCGCCGGCTTGTTCCACTGCCGTCCCTCCCCACCAACACGCGACGCTACCACCACTCATACTAGCACACACCACCCACCAGCAACCACCATCATTTACCTAGTCTTTTAGCCTTTGCTTTGTTTACCAACGCTGTTGAGCTGGATCTCCCCTGACTAATCATCTAGAGCCTCATCCTTGGAGGTATCTACTGAAAGCGCACGTTCCCCTGTCCAATCTGTCGGGTCCGGGGCATTCATTCCAGTGGACCTCGGATGTCCCCGCCGGAGATATCGCCGTCGTCCTTGGAATGATCACCAAGTCCTGTCGCTGCGTTGGATCTGATAGGTGCTGGTTGAATCTGCATGGCTTACAGAGAGGCTAGTCCGAGTACTACCCAGGGTCTCAGACAAAATGTCCAGCTTTAACGATGCCTCTCCGAAGTTCCTAGTCGCCAAGGCCCTGGTATCTAATTCTTCTTTACTTCCATTTCAACAAACACTTCGATAATAAGATCCCCCAGACTAACGAGTAGCTAGAAAGCTGAACAGGAGGTGTCTAGGGCTACCACTCATGAGCAAGCCTTCCAGGCGGCGGTTGACGTGGTTGAAAACTACATGCAGGCGCTGCAGTTGGTGACCGATTCCAGGGAAAGAAAGCCTCTAGATGCCAAATGCAGAGAATGGTTCTTGCGAGCGGAAGAAATAAAAAAGAACAAGGACTGGCAGGCCGTGGTCCGTATGCATGAGAAAAGCGGTCTTGCTTCGCGATTCCCGAAATCTGCACGTAAACTCACCACTCGGGAGGAAATCATTCTTCTCGAGAGCGCTAAGTTGAATGGCTTTATTTTCCCTCCATGGGGAAATGCCCCAGCCCCGGCAGATTTCGAGCTGGGTGAAGGCCTATTCACGTAGGTATAATCAACCCCCTGGTGTTGAAGGGGTTAATTTACTGACTGGAAACAGTGACAAACCGGATCTTCGTCTGTCCGATGTACAAAAGAGCGTTTTTGCGGGCTGGGAGCGTCCTCTTGAACTACTGTCCAGATATGCAGGAGATGCCAACAATCTGGAGTCCACACTGCCTGTGATGTCGGTTTCAGGGCCAACAGATCTGGTACAGGATATGTTGACAGATTGCTCCGTTGTGGCCAGTCTTTGCGCTGCTATATCAAGGTCGGAACGTGGCCTAGATAAGGTACAGCAAAATCCATATCTTTAGAAGAAAACATGCGTCTAACAGCATCAGCATCATCTCCCTATAATCTTTCCCTGTGAATACGGGCAGGTGAACCCCAGAATTTCGCCTTGTGGAAAATACATATTCCGATTCTACTTCAATGGATGCTTCAGGAAAGTTGTCATTGATGATCGCTTGCCATCTTCCAAAACATCAAGAGCACTTCATGTTGTTGATAAGAAACATTCGAACTATATATGGCCAGCCTTGGTAGAGAAGGCATATCTCAAACTCCGTGGCGGAGGCTATGACTTCCCTGGAAGCAACTCTGGGACAGACCTGTGGGTGTTGACAGGTTGGATTCCCGAGCAGGTCTTCCTTCATCACGATGATGTGACCGCAGAGCAACTCTGGAGACGGCTGTTCAAGCGTTTCTGTAGCGGCGACGTCCTGTTGACTGTAGGCACCGGTAAACTGACTGAGAGGGAACAGAAAGAGCTAGGTTTCGTGGGTGAACATGATTACGCCATCTTGGATATGAGAGAGGTCAAAGATCGTCGGCAGATGCTTGTGAAGAATCCATGGGCGGGTGATGATGTCACCGCTGGAGACATTGCAAACTGTTTCGATCCGAGAGATGCTCATACCCAGTCTTCGTCTCTACCCAGAACCTATTGGATGGATAGTGAACGTGTTCTGCAGAACTTCGAGAATCTGTATTTGAACTGGAACCCTGGGATTTTCCAGTACGGGGAAGATATCCACTTCACATGGGACCTTTCTACTGCGAGAAGTGTAGCCGGCTGCTTTGCGAAGAACCCTCAATTTGCCATTACCTCTGAGGCCGGGGGCAGAGTCTGGCTGTTGCTTGGCAAACACTTCAAGACAGCAGAATCGGAAGACCTACTAGGGGGCAATGGGGAAAGTGAAGAGCCGGGGTTCATTAGCATATACGTATTCAAGGCGAATGGGAAACGGGTCGCATTAAGCGAAGGCGCGCTTCATCGTGGTCCCTACGTTGACTCACCAAACACACTCATGAGGCTGGAACTGCCACCAGGCGCGATCTACACTGCTGTGATTTCTGAGCAATCACTGCCTGCTGCGAGCCAGAATTTCACATTGTCGGCCCTCTCCAATAATCCAATCCTTCTCACGCACGCTGAGAATCAATACAGTTGTCTAACCAAGACCCAGGGATCATGGACATCTTCCACCGCAGGAGGAAACGCCGAGTCCGCTCGGTACCCCTTCAACCCCCAGTTCACACTCGAGATTCACGACTTGACAGATATCTCCATCCTACTCGAACCGTCCGAGCCGGAGCTCGCCACCCATGTCAAATTGTTCTGGTCCAAGGGACAGCGTGTGACTAGGGTTCGAAGCCGTGATATCATCACTGACAGTGGCGACTACCGCCGGGGCGGAGCTTTCGCAGAGAAAAGGAGGCTTGACGAAGGGGTGTACACTATCGTCTGTTCCACCTTCGCTCCAGACCAGCTTGGACGCTTTACTCTCTGGGTTTCATCATCGATTCCGTGCAAAGTGAAACCACTTGCGCCAGAAGCAGCTGGGCGACGAGTGACCCTATCGGATCTTGGTATCTTAACTCCTGGAAGGGATCGAATGTTGGCCCCATTGGAGACGACGCGATTGACACGGATCAAATTGATCGGGAGAAGTAGACGGTCTACGATTGGGAATCGCGCCGTTGGACCTTCACCCATGTTGATGACGGTAGAGCTTGGTCAGGGGCCATACAAGGAAATATTGGCTACCTCCGAAGATGGAAACCACAGCGATGCCATATCGGGAGTACGGATTGAGGATTTTAATCTGCACCCAGGCCTGGAAGACCAGGGTGGAGCCTGGATCGTCATCGAGCGGATCGGAGGGCCTGGAGGGCAGGTTGAGGATCATTTTGAAGTCGAGGCTTTGGCCGAGGAAAAGGTGGATATTGGAGAATGGATCGTCGAAGAGGCATGACTGGGGATGCTTTCTTTGTCCTGAGAGCGGGAGCTCATGTCCATCGAGAAGATAGTGTAAAAGATACTCCGATAGGGAGTGATTACTATGTACCAAAAGAAAACCCATTAAATTCTGGAGTTGCTTTATCTCTAGATTTGGGAAAGAGGGTGCCCTCGATCTATCTGTCCAGACTCTAGAGAGAGAGAGAGAGAGAGATAAGGAGATAGGGTCAGGAACGCTAAGCGCACCAACGTCCCGCTTGGCGCAGTTCCACCCAACGTCATCCCCGCCTGCATTGTGCATCTTCTCCTGCATCCCAACCATTGCAGCTCTTCCCCCGGACGTCCCCGTTCCACCCACCCAATGGCGAGCACCATTCCAGCTAGCTTGCGATCTGCAGACATTGGACGATATGCCTTGAGAGCAGCGCAGCTCGAAAACGCGAAGCCCGTCATTGCCTACTGGTGTAAGTGTTGTTGATGCGTAAGTTACTGCCTGAGTGCAAGCATATGAACTGACTGGTGATCGCCCCTAATTACAGGCAACTTCTGGATCGTGAATCAGATTATCGGGCGGGGTCTACACACTTCTGACGACGATGTCAAGCTATACATAACAGAACTGATGGACAAGTTGGAGAAGGTACGCCGGATGCGGCACGTACAGATTATGGCGCAGTTTCTGGAAACTGACAGATTTCCTGTCTGAGTTCAGTTCAAGAGCGAAAACACCGATAATGATACAGTGATGGATGCGGTGGCGGCCAATGCCTACGTGGAGCAGTTCGGGCTGGAGGTACTTGGCCGTGCGGAAGCGGCCATGAAGGCCAACAAAGTGACCAAGTAGGTTCCGTCCCTTCGACGTGATCAGCACAGCAGCTGATCCGATACCAGACAAACCGCAGATACCTTTCAGGCTGCCGCAACCTTTCTCGAACTGTGCCAGATCTGGACCAATCCTTCGGAACCCGAGGTTGCTGCGAAGATCAAGTTCTCCAAGTATCATGCTGTGAGAATTATAAAGGCTATTAAGGCTGGAGAGGATCCTAACGCATCCAATCCGGTGGCTACTGAGGAGGATGAACTAGAAGCGCTCATGGAAGAAACAAAGCAGGACGATCCCGAAGTGCAGGCCATTGTCGGATCGCTAGCCGCGCGCCCTGGGCAGCCGTCTGTCGAAGAGGTGCCCGATGATACTCTACAGCCTTCACAATCGCCTCCTGTTCTACCGGAGCCTCCCACCACATTTGCCGATGTCTCCGCTGCTCACTATAAAGCCGAACCTACGTCTCCGAATGCGGAGAGTGATACGGAGCCAGGTGCACCGTTGAATCTTCCCTCGGCCCCAGAGACGTTCGCCTCCCATTCTACATCTGTGCCCAACCTCCCGGACACACCGGCGGATATCGGCGCAAGGTCTCCCCAAGCGCGCGCCAACTCATTCCACTCATTCCCTCCACCGTCCTCAATCCCGCCTTCAAGTCCGCCAGCAGCATCTCATGATGCAAGCTCTTTCTACACTAAACCGACAACCGGTGCTGGTCCTCCACCGCCGTTTGTTCAGTCTTCCTCAGCAACAGTGCCCGTTGTTTCCCGCCCAACGCCTCCAAGTATTCCGTCACCCATCTCTCCAGCACCTGCACCTGTGGCTTCTAACTCCAGCCGGATGAACGCGCAGTCGGTCGATGACCAGGCCATAGCGCTTGCGCAGAAACATGCCCGCTGGGCCGTATCGGCCTTGACCTTTGATGATGTGAACACGGCGATCAAGGAACTCAAGAATTCACTCCGATATCTCGGTGCAGAGTAAAGGGGAGGGCGATGATAGATGAATTTGTGTGCACTTGCACACGGCGAGAACCACCTAGTCTTTGTTGATGTGAGCATGTCTGAGCCATGAACAAGCCTTTCTTTTATGACCTGACTCCAGGCTACACTTGATCTGATAGTGAACCATAATGACAACGAATCATGCCGTGATCTGCAGTCTACGAACCAAGCTAAAGCTGGCACTCGCTTTATCCTTACTGTATACTGTAGTCTGTTTTACCACTGATAACCCATCTCCACCATCAACCCCACGCCCCGGCGCACCATTTGCCAACATCTTCTACCATTCAATCCCCATGCGACATGTTCACACCCTCACACGCTCACACTGCTATAGCAACAAGGCTGGCTCACATTCACTTCACTTCTCAGCCACATGTATATAAACATGGAGCGTGTCCCCTCTCTGTTCGTTTCATCTTCTACACCTTCCTATTCTACACCTGCTGTACTGATCCCCCTTTCCCTTTCCCTTTCCCTTTCCCATCTCACATTCAACCCCAACCATTCAAAGACCATCACCATCACCATGTCCACCACCAGCAGCATGGAAGAATCCATGAAAGACCTCCTCGACCGTGGCGAAGTCAAGCCCTCCTGGCGCGACAAACAATTCGTGCATTTCCTCGACCTCAAAGAAGCGTACGGCCGCGAGTTCCTCGCCCGCGTCAAAGAACACACCGAGTCGACCGGCTTCAGCTGGGCTGACCTCGCCAAGTTCGAGAACGAGAGACGTACCTGTGCCAAGATGTTTGTCGATAAGTTTGGCATGACCTACTGGGGAACATCTGAAAATCGACAGAAGTATCTCCAGGAAGAGTGTCTGGCTGATCCGGACACGCTTTGTAAATATCCTGAGCGACGGGATGAGTATGTCTGGTATCATCTTCACTTCATTGCATCGCTCATGGTCGATATAGGATTGTTCGGACGATCATGGTACTGTTGGAACGGAAAGCGAAGGTGTATTCGAGGATGAGTACAGAGAAACCGAAGGTTTGTTGTTTTTGTCATGCTGGTTCCTGATCTCTTCCATCTCTCGACTAGCATATCATCTTGGCCTTGATACTAACCCAATGACTGATAACAATCCAGCCCCTCATCGCCAAACCAACCATCACCAGCAGCAATGCCACCACTGCCCCCATCACAACTCCCACCCCCCGAGCAAGCACCCAACCAACCGCAACATCCAGCACCCCCCAGAAATGTCCTACCTCCAACCCCAACCTCAATTCCAAATCCAAACGCAAACAGTCCACCGTCCTGCCCAAAGAAACCGACGAAGACTACACCGAGCTTCAATCCTCATCTGAAAAGCCCATTTACAAGCTCCCTCGAACTCGAGCCATCTCCAACGCCATCCGACCCTTCAAATCCTTCCTGACCGAAACAGAATCCGAAGCCGAACTTGAACCAACCTTCAAGAAGACCCAGAAACCCTCCCAGTCCAAGAAAAAGCTAAATCCTCATCACCACCAACAGCAGCAGCAGAATCCCATTCATCACACCAACCCATCTACAGAGGAAACTCCCAGACCCCCCAAAGTCAAGAAATCCTCCCTCCTCGCTCCCCCTCCCCCTCCTCCTATGGGCACACTCATCCACAAGAACACTCCCTCCTCCTCCACCACCACCCCTACACCCTCCAACACAAAAACCATGACAGCATCCTCAGCAAACTACGCCCCCACCACCACCTTCCTCACTACCGCCACCAACCAACCGGGCATGGCCCCCGTCTGGATCCCCTACGAGGAATTCACCTCCACAGCCGCATTCCTCGACTACATGGCCGACCAATGCAACCTCGTGGAATGGAACCCGACAGCGCAATTAAGCCGCGAGGATACGGGGTTATTTGCATCCAGCTCGCCCGCTAACTCGGTGATCGCGGCGTCGGTGAGATTCGATTGGTCCGATTTCGAAATCCGGGTCCGTCAGGGCCATAATGAGGATTGGGTGATTGTGCAGAGGGAGTTGGTGAGGGCTTGGAGGGGTGAAGCGGCTGCTGTTGCTGCTGTTGCTGCTGGTGAGGGGGAGATGGAGGCGAGGGAATTTAGAATTAGGGTGTTACTTCATGTGCTTGGTTAATCAACATAGGATTAGTCAGTTGAGAGTTATTGATGGATGGTTAAGTTGATTAATTAATCTATGAGGGAGGGGTTGGGGAGGTGTTCTTTTGCTTTTCTTTTTTTCTTTTTATTTGATTTGCTTTGGATTGGTTTTGCGATTGAGCAGCTTAATGTTGATTGTGGTCAGTTGTATGTATGTATACTTCTGGCCTGGGGTTATGTGGTGTTCCTATTTATGCTGCGGTTGGATCGTGTCTTTTTTCTTTTTATTTTTCGTTTGTTGAAAATGGTGGTGGAGGCTTTTTATTTGTCGCTTGGTTTGGTTTTAGGGAAGGCATCCACATGGGCTATTTGAGGACAGAAATTGCCTGATCAGGAAGCAGGAGATCAAAAACCATGTATGAGCTTGTCTATCTACACATTTACAAAAGTACGAAAGTAATGAATGAACCATTTGAATTCCAGCTACTTCTTAGCTGCATGATAGTCGGATAGCTAAGCCAGTTCCAGTTCGGCCAGACTTCCAGCACGAACCACGGGCTGGATGATCGGCCACGGTCCCATGGTACCTGATTTCGCTTTGCCTGGGGAAAAGGAAAAAAAGGTCGGAGAATAACCGGTAGGTTTTTGATTATTTTCCCCCTTTTTTTTTTTTTTTTTGTTTTCTGATTTCTTCCAGGCAAATGCCGAGAGATCTCCGATCTTTCTTCCTTTCTTTCTTGGGGGGTGTAGGGAGTACGTAAAATGTGCAGTGTGCACTGATGGCTTAGCTTAGGCTGTTGGTCAAGACATGTAGAATCATCATGGCGGTAGCATCATTATTGACACCGTTATCAATGCTGAGAAGAATACCACAGCTTAGCTGTCTGAATTGGGCAGGATATGGGGCAAGCCCATCCTCCATCCAGACTATGAGGAGACGAGCGCAATTGGAATCGCTCGCCCACTATGTACGAGGCCCGCAAACCTGGAAGTGGACGGACGCAGAGTCAATAGTGTCCGCTTTACCTTTGGGCCAGCGGCTTGTCACTGACGGGAATAAGTACCGGTCGATACTAGAGAGTAGATAGACGGTCGATGCTCTGCTTCACCCGAGCACTTGCAGATGGTGATACGTGCAGAGGTCAAATGCCGAAGCTATGCGCCAACTCAAAGGAACCAAGTGCACTCTGTTCGCCGCACAAGAATCATCATCAAATAATAATCTTAAAGGACCCCCACCAGCCCTGACTCGTAATATGAGACGCAGATCATTCGATTATTCCCTGTCGGTGATCACACCTGCCTGGGCGGTTTCCATCGCACGGGATCTCGCGGCTCCTTCTGGCCATCTCGTCATGATATGTCGCTTGCCTGTGGTGATCGATCGTCTGCTTTCTTTCTTTCCTTCTATCCATCGTTCCCGTCCGTGTTCCATCTTCGTTCCCAACGGATTCAGCATCAATTTTGCAGTCATTCCCCTTGCCCTCTTAGGGCAGTGGCTACCCACTTAGACGCGGGACTATGATCGGACGGTGTCCCTGAAGAACGGAAAACGTCCCACAACGCGTGCTTGGCAGGGGAGGGATGATGAATTAATTTGTCGGCCTTGGTCGACAAGTCTTAACTGCCCACTACTGTACGAGGGAAAACCCAGCGGGAACATCCACCGAGCCGGCGAAATTTCTAGACGCGGCGGTAGCGGAGTTCGTTCGGGATGCGGTTTTGGCGAGAGTCCAGCGTCACCCGCGGCAAGAGTGATAAACTCCGGAACACCAGGAGATGAGGAAGATCAGAAAGTATGGAATGTATGGGGAAGCACCGAGGGAACCCATGGGAGAGAGAGGGTGGTGGTGGTGGGTGCCCGGAACTCGGTAGATTAGCATCTAGTAGTATAGTGAGTGTGTAGTGAGTGTGTAGTCATCCTGCAACCTCCCGGGCTCCTCGAGTCGAAAGAGGACATCCGACGCAGGGACAAAAGAGCTTCACGCTTGGATGAGATAGATAAATAGCACCGGTTTGATCAGCTGCTGGCCCATTACGGTGGTGCCTGTCTCAGCCCGAACGATAGTGGACACTGTAGTGCCGCCATAGTGAGGCCGTGAGATTAGATGCTGAACAGCTGATTCTGATAAATGGTGGAATCCCGGACCAGGATCGCTCCTGCCTCATCCTGTTCCCTGCCTGCTCCTTCCCCCGTCTCTTTCTTCTCTTCGCCTCCCCCTCGCCCTCCTCCTTTTCTTCCCTCTCTCTTCCTTCCATCTTTCCCCTCTCTTTGCCCCCCCCCCCCGCGTGGAATTTAACTCAAACCAACCCAACCTTCCGACCTCACTGCCACCCACCCCCCCTGACATCCGTCCCTTACGTGTGGTGACGCTCTTCCTGCTTCCCCTCCCCCTTTTCCTCCCCGCATTCTTCAATTTTGTTTGCGCTCGGGTGCGGGGTGTCTTGTCGGCCAGCAGTCCGCATTTCGCATCAAGCCTTCCTAAGAAGAAAGTACCACAGGGTGGTCCTGTTTGCATTCCAATCTTCATCTCGTGTCTCATTTTCATTCCATAATGGCCGACGACCAAAGCAAAAAGCCTGCCGTCCTGATCGTTGGTGGTTTAGGTACGCTTCCCCCCTTGTGCACCCGTCCCCATTCCCAGGAGGTCTTGGCTGACGGACGACGCCGTGTGTCGTAGGATTTATCGGTCGCCATCTCGCCCTCTATCTGCATGAAAACAACTTGGCCTCCGAGGTCCGACTAGTCGACAAGGTTCTGCCCCAGCTGGCGTGGCTGGCCCCTGAGTTTCAGGAAGCTTGCTCAAAAGACAAATTCGTCCAGGCTGATGCCAGTCGTGAACGTGAGTTACGGAGAGCCTGTTTCTAGGTGGCCACAGCAGTGATAGCTGACTTTTGCTGGGTGGAACTCTAGAGCACTTCCCTCGTATCTTCGACCGTGCCAATGGCGAGCAATTTGACTATGTGATCAACTGCGGAGGTGAAACGAGGCATTCGCAACCCGATGATGTCTACGAAGTCCGCAGTTACGCCCTCACTGTTGCCCTGGGTCGTGAAGCCGCCCGGCGAGGCATCCGCTCTTTCGTCGAGTGCTCGACCGCTCATGTCTACAAAAGTGGCTCGAGTCCGCGCAAGGAAGATGACAAACTGCAGCCATGGCACAAGCTGGCTAAGTGGAAGATGAAGGCCAGCGAGGAGCTGCAGAAGATCCCAGGTCTCAACTACTGCTTGATGCGTCTGCCCCATGTTTACGGAGAATACGACTCGGGCTACTTCGCAATGGGAATCTGCCTGGCTCGTGTTCACCTGGATATGCAGAAGGATTTGGAGCTGCTATACACCAAGGATCTGAAGATCAACACCGTTTACGTCAAGGACGCGGCCAGCGCATTGTGGAAGGCAGCTGAATGGAGGGCCAGCGCCCCGACGGACGGGACCGCTCCTATCGCTTTCAACGTTGTTGACCATGGCGATACTCGTCAGGAGCACATTGCACAAGCCCTGTCTGAAGTATTTGGGTTGAAGTGCGACTTTTTGGGCTCCCTGGCTTCCCAACTGGCAAAATTAAACCTCGACGATGTTGTGGACGACATGAACGAGGAGTGCTTGCAGGGCTGGGCCGATTTGATCGAAGAGAAAAAGATCGAACGACCCGGACCTATTAGCCCATTCCTGGAGAAGGACGTGATCAAGGATCAAGACATGTCTCTGGATGGCACGCTATTCGAAAAGACCGTTGGGTGGGAGCCTACTCGAGAGCGCTTCGATGCCGATGCTGTACGAGCCATGGTGGACAGCTACAAGCGAATGGACTGGTGGCCATAGACGACTTACACATGATATTTTGCTTCGACTTTCTCGACCTGACCTCCACATGAGTATAACAGCCGCGGTGCTGACGACCTACGAAAGCTGTTATACTCCCACCGTGCATGATTACGGAGTCCCATCAGAATACACCGACTTGACCCGACCTTCGGGCAAAAAGCACATAGACCTGTCGCATCGGCATCCACTCATCTCAAGTTCACATGTTGTATACCACGGACCGTTTTGCATGTAATCTGTAATGTTCTGTTTGGGTCTGGGTTTTATTCTTGAGCAACTGGTATGTTCTATATCCTTCTTGCGTTTCACATTCTTCTGTCGCTGGCTGGGGTTGAATGGTGCGTCCTTCTGATGATGAACATCATACACAATAGACTACTTGAATTCTGCACTGCATATGGATAGGTTGAGCCTTTTCCTTGATGTTGACCATATATAATCCTACTCGTCTCGCTTGCGTATGGATGGATACCTCCCTCTCCACTTTACCTTTCTATTTTCTTCTGGAATCCCTTTTTGTACCTTTACTTTTGCATCGACGAGGCATGACAGAACTCTTGATGTGTTTCATAAGCATGGTATTATCCCACCGTGCTTTCTCGGTTAGAGCAGAATCTTATATCGTGAGACTAGCGTCTTCAGATCGTTTAGCGTGTCCACTACTGCTTTCTTCTCAATGCATTAGCTTTCATCTGGTTCTACCCATACTTCGTCTCGTGCTAAGTAAGAGTACCCAAGTCATAGTATTATTACTAGTAGTATTATATCTCTGATCAATCTCACCAATCAAAAGAAATCTAGCAGAATATTTTTCATAAATAATTTAGTACTACATTATGCGCACTGTACTGATTGAGTTTTGGTATTGCAGAATGCAAGCACTTCCTAAGCAAGGTATCTATTGATCCTGTATTGATTCCACTTGGATTCAGATGTCTTGACTGCAGAGATGTATATAATATTGATGTATAGGGTTGAGGATGTCTCTTTCTTTCGTGGCTTTTATGTCTTTTTTTTTTCTCTTTTGAGATTGATTTTCTTGTCTTCGTCTGCGGGGTCAATGGGAGCTGGTCTTGGATCAAGGAGAAAGGACCCAAGGGAGGCGTGGCGAAAACCAAGACCGGAGATAGGCAAGCAAACTGGTGATGGGTCAATGACCCCTTGCATGTTCATCGTGTCCACGTGAAACAGGGCGTACGGCGATGAAAGGGCAAGTGTAGCTTTTGTAAGAGACATGTGGAAGGGAAGAAACAGTCGAAAAGAAAAAAAGGCTCCAAAATGCAGTGCACAAGCAATCCGTTTACCCACCGTTGTAAACAAAGAAGATATAGCATAGAAGATAAGCCAAAAATACACAGCATCAGAAGTCAGGCTCGGGCCAGACAGGACCATAGTGCTACTGCAGAGGGAATTAGAATTCCCACTCTTGGTCGACGGACTTGATGGCCCATTCGAACTTCTCCCGGAGAGACTTGGAGAAGAATTTCTCGATGGGAACATCGAATTTCTTGCTGAACACAACCGTGAGACGGGGATCAATGTAGTTCTGCGAAGTGTTAGTTGACCGGTGACCAGTAGTGAAGAAGACATGAACTCACAATCTTAGAGGTTCCCAGAGCGACCTCCTTGTTTTCTTCTTTATCCTGGGCCTGGAGCTCCATGGTTTCGATGCGTTGTTCAAGCTTGGTGATCGCGGCCTCGATCCGATTGACAGTCGGGCCTTTGCCTTCGGCTTCCACCTTGCCGGACTTGTTCTCTTTGTTAAACTTCTTCTCCATATCCTTCACGGCCTGCAGACGAGACTCAAGCTCGCCGGCTTTCATCTCCTTCTCACCTTCAGCAGCAAGCTTCTCATTGTCCTTTTCAAACTTCTTCTGGATCTTCTGGCGCTGCTCTTCCAGAAGAAAAGCCTGGTGCTCCTTCACCCAGTCGAGATCCATATCCTCGTCCATTTCGAAGTACTTGGCGCCTTTCTTCTTCTTCAGACTAGGTTCGAGATCGAGCATCTGCTGCTTCAGACGCCATTTCTGATACCGAAGTCCCTTGATCTGAGCAGATATTAGCGATTACGATCAAGTTGGGCGTCCCAGGAGGCCAACTTACCCGTTCACTCATTTTCTCCATCTGGCCAGCATGGGATGCAGCGACAGTACGCTTGTGGTTACAGAGAATGGCGACTCTACGGTTGGCGTCATTGTAAGCCTTGACCTTCTCGGCGATGTTGCCCTCGGCCTTCATCTCCTTAAGCAGCGTCGACATGGTGTGAGAAGCGTTGTAGGTACGGAACACCTTGGCGGTCAAGCCCTGCATATAGGCTGACAAGTGCTTGTTGAGGGCGGATGTCTAGAGAGAATTAGCACGGGGACGCAGCCGCACCAGTCAAAGTACGTACCGTTAGTCGATCGAAGATCTCGTCGCCTTCTTTCTTGGGAGCCTTCTTGAAGATCTTCAAGTTCTTGAAGACCTGCGTATCGACCTCGACCTCATCGTAGAAGCGAATACTATCCTTACCCAGGAAATCGAAGACCACCTTGTTCGGAGGCTTGAGGGTGACGTTCTCATACTTGAGGGAGCAACATCCCACTGTCTCTGCCTCATCTTCACCCTTCTCGTTACCAGCACGCAGAGCAAACTGGTCAATCAAGTAGACTGCCGTGGCTTTTTGTCTCTCGACCATGAGCTCGTGCTTGAGATTCTTCTGGTAATCCTTGCGGATTCGGTCGATGTGGTGCTTCAGTTCACGAGCCTTCTCGAACTTCTTGTAATCACTCTGGCCCTTGACATCGGAGTTGGCCGCGAGCATAACGTACTTGTAGTTGCCATTGATGTTCTCCTGCCACATGGCAAGCCATGTGCCTTCTTGATCATGCTTGACCTCTTTCCACTGGTGGCCCTCCGGGGGTGGCGGAACAGGCGCATCCTTGCCAATGTTGATGGTGATCTGCTCCGGCTGAACTCGAGACTTCACGCGACCGGTCTTAGGGTGCTCACCACGGCCCCGGAAAAGGGCAGGCGGTTCGACTCGGAAGTTGCCCACTTTCTGCTTGCGTCCATCCCACATACAGAACATGAAAGGGGCCTCCTGCTCATCCTTTTCCGCCTTCAAACGCTTCTTTTCAGCTGGAGGCAAAGCCTTCTTCTCTTGACGTTGTGCATCATAGAAAGCAAAGATCGGCTGGAAATCGCACTTGTGAAAGTCCTTGATGTCCACCTTGTTGCCCTTCGAATCGGTAGCGCCACCGGTCTTCTTGAGAATGTCACGGAAATCCATGAAGAAATTCTTTTGGAAAGTGGGATTCTCAACATGCTGAGTGGCGTTCAGCATGCCGCCGAAGAAGCCGGCTACCTCTTCAGCATCGGGATGGAGAGTGACGGGGACGCCATCGTATTTCATCTTGACATTTTTCGGGAGTGGCTCGTACGGAGGAGGGAAAACAACACCGTTATGCTCGAGGGTCGTCCACTTGATCGTGCCGTCACCCTTGGTCGGGTCTTCCCACCATCTGTACTCCTCTTCCTCACCATCCTCGGCTTCCTCACTCTCCTCTTTCTTGACAGGGGTCGACTTGCCACTAGAAGCGGCCCTCTTAACGTGTGAAGGCAACGCAGCCTTCTCCGTGGCCTTGGTTTGTTTCGGTGTTCTTTTGACGGCGGAAGGCTTGTCTTCAGGCTCTTTCTTGATGCCATTTGTCTGTCTCTTGGTCGTTGCGGGCTTTGTAGCTTTCGCGGTATCTTGTTTGCGGCTCACTTTGGCCTCCTTTTCAGCCTTCTGTTGGATCTTCCTCTTTTGGGAGGCGAGCTTTCTTTCAATGGGCACGTCGGAATCGGATTCTTCACCGATGGCGGTCTCCGAAGCCTTGGGGAGCTTCCTTCCATTCAGCGCTAACGGCACATCGTCATCCGTTTCCGGGTCCTCATGCTTCACAGATGTGCGACGTCGCTTGCTCTGTCGACTAGTCAGCCGCTGAAACGAACAGCGACAGCAATAGCGTCGCAAAATTGGGGGAAACGAAGGAACTGGCGTGAAGGTGATTGGCGTACCAAGGGCTGATCATCCTCCTCACTGCTTTCAGGTTCGGCGTAAGACTTTCTTTGACCGACGCTGGCGCGCGACTTCCTCTTAGGGGCCGCGGCGGCGTCGGCTTCCGCTCCCGCGTCCTCCATATCAACATCATTATCGGCCTTGACCGGGCCAAAGCGGATTGAGACCCCAGGGTCAACATGGCCATTTGTTTGCGTCGCGCTGCGCATTTTCGGGTCCGTCCGGATGCCTAAAAAATCAAGAAAGGGTGTAAGACTCATCGCATTCATGAGGAATGAAGTAGATTGAAGCGCAAACGGGTGATTGATCCGCTGCTAGGGTGAAAGGTGAAAGAAAAATGAAGGACCACTGAGGTGTAAAAGGAAGCCAGGAGAGGACCAGAAGGGCGAAAGAAAGAGAACTCACCGGAATGGCGCCCGTTGGCTCTCACAAGCGGGGTATCGTCCTCCGACGAACTCATGATTCTCCGGCGACTGAGATGGAGAGCGCGTTGGCCCGTAGGGAAGGAAGGCAGGAAAGACCGGGGTGGCGAGGCGCGAAAACACGAGAGGGCGCGGGCGAGTCCGCAGGCCGGAGCTGGCGCTTGACGGATTGATGAAAGCAACGGCGGCCTGGCCAATGAGAAGGCTGAGTGAAGAAGGAAGCGTCAAAAGGGAGAGAAAGACATGGACCGAGAGGGAAATGTCAGGAGAAAACGAGCACTCGAGTAAAACGGGCCTAGATGAAGGAGCGGCGCGGGGAGAAGAGGAAGGGGAAGGTGACAGGGGAGAGAGAAAGAGAGATGACAAGAGGGAAAAGAGAGAGAGAGAGAGAGAGAGAGAGAAGAAGAGAAGGAATGGAATGGAAAACGAGGCCGTCTTTTGGGGCCTGAGGCGATCATCATGTTTCTCCGGACCGTCAGCCACTCGCCGTGCGAGGAGGCTGGCAGCCTGAGGTGCCAAGGCTCCATGGCCTGGAGATTATGACGATTCGATTCCGGCCTCGCTGCCTGCATGCCTGAGTGGCGTGTCTGACTCAGCCGATGTAAGCCCGCGCGCAGCCCGGTCACATGACTGCGAGCTCCCGAACCAGCCTAGGCTGCGCGGCTGGTCGCTGCGGCCGCCCGGACCACCAGCCAGCATCACCAGGATGCCCGATTGGGACTAGCGCGGTTGGGTCCCGTGCTGCCCGGCTGTCGGAAGAACAGAAACAGGAGTCCAACTTCAACCACCGACTTCTCAACCGCCAGCCTACGAGGATTCTCTTACCTCTTCCTCCTCCGTCCTCCCCTCCCCACCCCCCTCTCTCTACGATTGTTTATCGTTGGTCATCCGACCGTACGGATTCTTTGCAATATGTTCTCCCGTGCTGTTCGTCCGGCTGTGAGGGCTGGTAGCGTTGCGGTCTCCCGGTAAGTTCTTCTCTTCCGGATGTCCACAACACCCGCCCGTCCGTCGCCTTTTCGCTTCTTCACCCCCCCCAAGCTAGGCACCTAGCTGGCCCCTCGCACACAATTCACCCCAGCAAAGCGAGATAGAACTGCAGGCAGACTTCGCAATGGTTCAATGGCTGATTTTTTCGAAGCACTGCCCCTCCCAATGCCGCCAACTTCGCGACTCTGCGTGAAATCGAGGGCCGTCTGAAGTCCATCAAGAACATCGAGAAGATCACCAACACCATGAAGGTCATCGCCTCCACCCGCCTTACCCGCGCCCAGAAGGCCATGGAGGACTCTCGCGCCTACGGTCAGACCTCCAACACCGTTTTCGAGAATGCCGAGACCAAGGCCGTCGCCGACAAGAAGACTCTGCTCGTTGTCGCCAGTTCCGACAAGGGTCTTTGCGGTGGTATCCACTCGGGTCTTAGCAAGGCCACTCGCCGTATCGTCCAGGAGTACCCCGATGCCGACATCGTTGTTCTGGGTGAGAAGGCCAAGGCTCAGCTGTCTCGTACCAACGCCAACGCCATCGTCCTGAGCTTCGCCAACGTCTGCAAGGACATTCCCACCTTCAACGATGCCCAGGCCATCGCCGACCAGATCGCCCTGCTGCCCACCGACTACGCCAGCGTTAAGATCATCTACAACAAGTTCCTTAACGCCCAGTCCTATGAGGCCGGCACCGTTGAGGCTTACTCCGAGGAGGCCATCACCCAGTCCCGTGAGTTATGGCAGCTTCATGCGTTGCGAATGTAGAAGCTGAACTAATCGTGTAGCCAACCTCTCCACCTTCGAGACCGATGACGGAACTCTGGCCCACCTCCGCGAATACGCCCTTGCCAACAACCTGTACTGGGCTCTGGCTGAGGGACACGCTTGCGAAATCTCGGTAAGTTCTGGAGCTTCAGAAGAAATTGATTCGGATGCTAATGTGATTTTAGGCCCGTCGTAACGCCATGGAGGCAAGTATCACTCGATTATTCGAGGTGGAACCGGACTAACCTTTTGTGTAGAACGCCTCCAAGAACGCTGGTGAGATGATCAACAAGTGAGTACACTGCTGAATTCTCATAAGCCGAGACTAATGCCCTGCAGGTTCCAGATCTTGTACAACCGTCAGCGTCAAGCCGCCATTACCGGTGAACTGGTTGAAATTATCACTGGTGCCACCGCCAGTGCGGACATGTAAAAGCTTCTATGAAGCCTATGTGGGGGGAGTCGCCATGTGTGTAGACTTACTCATAAATACCTAGATGCTTGTCAGCCTGTAAAATCTATCACTATCTTTTCTTTGTCTTATGTGAAGGTCAGAACCTAACAGTGAGGGGCTTGCAGCAACTGTGAATGAGGGTTCTGTCACCATGGCAATCCCCTATTCCCTTCTGACAAGCTCCGCAGGGAATATCAGGCAAGAGAAATTATCACTTTCTCACATGCAATGTACAAATGAGTTAATTCCATTCACAGCTTCCTCTACCTAACCAGTGTCCGGACCTTCCGGATTCTTCCTCTAATACCCTGCTCCCTTCCATTATTCAAACCCTGGTGATACCTCTCTCACTTTACTCTCACCTGTCCCCATATACTCCATCTACTCTACATTTCCGAAGACAAACCCCCTCACCTCATCACCATGCCCTCACGCATCATCAATTACTACTCTATCCTGGGTATATCCCATAACGCCAGCCTGAAAGACATCAACAGCGCCTACAAGAGACTCGCATTAAAGTACCACCCGGATAAGAAAACCGCCACTACCAGCGAAGACCCCTCCACAGACGAATTCCAAAAGGTGAGTTCAACACCCCCGACCCAGCCCCATACATACACACATACAAACACCCACCTACTTTCCCTCCTCCTCCTCCTCCACCACCAACACATTCCCCAACTCACACAAATAACGTTTGAACCCCAGATACAACAAGCCATTGAAATTCTTCGCGACCCCATCCTAAAACAAGCCCACGACAGCAGTCTCCATCAACAGGGGTACCTCTTCTCGGACTTCCCGGACGACGACTACAACGACGAAGATTACCCGCCCGGATCAACCTGGCGCCCTACGGAAGGTAGCCGCTATGACCTAAGGGACCCCAGGGAACGGTATATGTACAGCTACGGAAATAGTGTGCATATGGACCCCTTTTCGGCGGATTCGTTGGCAGAGAAGGCTCGCGTGCAGGTTGAGATTCGGGTTGGGGAGATGTTGAGGAGGGAGGCCGAGATGAGGGAGGCTGCTGAGGCGGCAGCTGCAGCTGCAGCTTCTAGGGAGGAGGGAGATGGGGACTATGAGGATGACGATGACGATGACGATGACGATGACGATGACGATGACGATGACGATGACGATGAATATGTGGAGGAGGAGTGGATTGGTTTCGATTGGGATGATAGACCTAAAACGTACGAGGAGTTTTTGGAGTATTTGAAGAACGAAGAAGAGGGGAAAGAGGAGAGAAGAAAGGCGGCCATGAGGGCGAATGTGGAGAGGGATGAGGAAGTACTGAAGAGTGGTGAAGATGAGGAGGGGAATGAAGATGGGGACCTGAAGGAGTTCGCGAAGGGCTATGATTTTGGGTACTGTTGGCGGTCCAAGGAGGCGGGCTTGTCGGTGCCGAGGGAGTATCACGATGATTTCTATTCCAATGGTGAAGATGACCAGGGCGTCGATTGGGACAGAGAATATGTGGAAGAAGAAATGAAAGAAGACGAAGAACAAGACAACGACGACAGTGACAGTGACAGCGATGCCGACGAAGGAAAAGAAGCTCCAAACCCCAACAACAAAGACAAGAACAAGAAGAACGACGACGAAGACCACGACGAACACTCCCTGGGCCCCAACTCCCCAACCCACCCCCCGACGCCTCCTACCACTCCGACTCCGACTCCTACAACTACTACGACGACGACGATGATGAATACGATGACGCAGGCAACGACTGCGCAGATCTCTATTACTACGAGGACGCAGCCGAACAAGCCACAGACGAGCAGTCCAGCTCCGAGTACCTAACCGCCAGACAGTCATCCGAAGCCAGCCCGACAAGGTCCGGCGTTAGTGTACATCGACCTTCCATCGGCGGCGGCGGATCATCCATATTCTACGATTTATGCGAACAAGACCTCACATTACTTTCCTTTTCTGACGAGCCCTCCAAGAAATCCACTTCCGGAGTCGACCTCACCCTCGCCCCTGACTATCTCGCCCCCTTCATTCCTCACTTTCAGAATAAACTCAGCCACCCTAGCGGCCGTTATACGGCCCAGGACTTCCTCAACGAGGTAACGGGCATGATCCTCGAGATCTACTGCGGCTGGCTCGAAAGTGTCCGTCTCACGATGCCCGAGGCCAAGTCGCTTCAGGAAGGCCAGGACCCTCAGCACTGTCGTCATTTGGGCTGCTGGGAGAAACACTTCAATCGGGCCGTATGTGACGAATGCCATCTCTGGCAGCCTATTTACACGTTGACTTGTCCGGGATGTGGGACTGGGGCGTGCGTGGGATGTAAGTTCAGTGGGTGCTGCGTTCGACAGGTCGTGTAGCTTAGTGGGATGGCTCTGCTTTTTTGATTTGGTTTGATGCGTTGGCTGTCGGGTATTCAATTTCTTAAACTCGGTACTGGCAGCACTGTTGTTTCTTCTTTGACGTGGTTGCAATTGCTAATGGGATTGTATATTACTCTTTACTGGAAATATGCAGCGTTTTACTTTGGGGATTTGACGTAATTCATTGTGTGAATGTCTAGGAGGCTATGTAATATATATATGCCTCGACTGGACAGTCCTCACAGACAGGCCTTCATCGATCGAATCTGTAGACAATAAGTTCGTGATCGGCGTTTTCGCCTATCATGTAGTTTTCATTTCCGCAGATCTTCCCTTTCCCAGTGAGTTCATAGATGTTTCTTTGCTTTAAGGAGATATAAGATGACGGCGTACGGATGGTCAAGAACATGTTTAAGTCAAAAGGCCACTGTCGTGGACTCAGATGCAGACAGAATCCTACTTGAGCTTTTTCATCGTATGTTTCGGAAATGATTGCGTACCAGCGCTCGTCGCAGACGGCAAATGTGATGGGGCTTGTCTGTAGGCTACAATTTCCGCGATAAGGAGGCAATGCGAATTCGGCACGTCGTCGCCAGCAGGGACCCTCCCCAACCAACGGAATGGTGGTAACCTGCACCCGAGATGTCCATTCGGCTGGCCCAACGAGAGCATTCATTGGACCGGTGCACTCGCCTTCGACTATCTCGAGGGACTGGTCTTCGTCGGTGATGTTGAGGGACTGCACGGCCGGGAGTCCTCTCTGTCTAACAGAGTAGAAACCTAGTTCTCTGAAACCAAATCGAGAAACAATTGCAGGTCCCCGGTCATCCGAATCCACTCGCAAGCGGCCAGTGGGGTCCAAAGAAGGCATATAAGAGGACGGCTTGGAGATATCCCAGACGGACAACGACTCAATCGGCGCATCATCGTCCGCAGTGTAGAGGCTGCGGTTCGGCTGCCAGATGTAGATCGCATAGTGCGTCTGGCTATGCGTGGAATAGAATCGATCTCGCTCGCTGAGAGGATGACCGAGGAACATGATCTTCCACTCATTTCGGAATGTCACACTCCAACCACTCCCAGATTTACTCACATCGAATGAGGAGGCAAAGTGCCGATGGACGCCGTCGCTGTCATTGAGCCAGTGGAAGGCCTTCGGTTCCGCCCATTCGACGACAAGAACCCTCTTCTGCAGGCGAATTCTGCGTATCACCTTCCCAGTGATAAGGAACGGGACCATAAATCGTCGGTCGGTATCGAAGTCCATCAGGACGAGGCACGAATGATGCGCACTCGGGTACACCACGAGCCCGTCTTCATAGGACCAGAATGTCTCGTCGAAGGTACGATCAACGCGCTGCATGAGATGGCTGGCGTGGTTTTCCCAGGGCTGAACTGGGAACCACTCCCTCTCGCCTGAGATCCCAAAGTCATCGCAGAGCTTGTACCTGTGAATTGATTTTGGCTTTGCACAGCTTAGATGGTCGTATCTCGAGGCGATCTGATCGAAAAGCATGCATGCATAGTCGTCATCTTCTACCGTATCAAGGCCATCATCGAGCTCGAGCTCTAATTCTCGTACTTCTCCGGCCAAAGGGAACAGCTTCTTCAACAGCGGGGTCAGATTGGCTGCGCTTCGAAAGGCTGTGTTCCAGGATTTGGAGACTCGACGGCAGCGGATGATGTCCTTGGGACTGAGATGATTCAAAATCATCCAGAAGATCTCCCGTGGCAGTAGGGACATGCCCATGCCTTCATGATCTGATGCAACGGACATGTCGACTGGTGGGGACATAGTGAATGCGGGGAAGTTTGCGAGCCATCCGAGCACTAGGTAGATAGTGCTAGAAAGATATACTGTGCAGGGATGGCAGCACGTGCCCGTCGGAGCTACGGAGTTCCTGCTGGAAAGCTCCTCGGGTGAGTGATTGCCGGGGTCATCCAGGCACAGGCAAGTGAGTGGGGAGAGTACGAAAGGTAAAGAGAGGGAAGAGGAGTGGATGGGTAGGATGGGGAAGGCACCACCGGCACCACCAGCCCCGGCGGAATTAATTGAATGGCGGCGGAATTAAAGCTTGCAGTCCTTCGCGTCACATGCCAAGAGCTTCAGGACACCTTGCTTCAACCCTCTTTTGTCTCCGCGCTGACCCTCTTCCTTTTTCTTACTTCTGGTGATGCATCGCTACTATTAGCGCCCCTCGATCGCCTCGCATATCCTCCCCATCCGCCATGATGCTGCAGCCCAGTTCAGCGTTGCTTCTCGTCGCGTCGCTTCTGGCGGCCCTGCCCGTCAACGCCGATGGATTGTATACGAAGAAATCCCCGGTTCTGCAGGTCAACCACAAGACCTACGACCAGCTCATTGCCAACTCCAATCACGCCTCGGTGAATAGAGCTCTTCCTTGCCATCCCTACAGCCTATATGCCATACTAACCAGCTCCAGATCGTAGAGTAAGCAAGCACCCGACCACCCTCCAGATCTCTCCCATTCCTAAGCCCCGCCCCCTCCAGATTCTACGCTCCCTGGTGCGGCCATTGCCAGAACCTCAAACCCGCCTACGAGAAAGCCGCAAAGAACCTAGATGGACTGGCCAAGGTCGCGGCCGTGAACTGCGACGAGGATGCGAACAAACCCCTCTGCGGCCGCATGGGCGTCCAGGGCTTCCCTACCCTCAAGATCGTCACCCCCGGCAAGAAACCCGGAAAGCCCCGCGTCGAGGACTACAAGGGCGCCCGGAGCACCAAAGCCATCGTCGAAGCTGTTGTCGACAGAATCCCCAACCACGTGAAGCGCGCCACGGACAAGGACCTGGACACCTGGCTCGCGCAGGATGAGGAGTCCCCCAAGGCCATCCTCTTCACGGAGAAAGGCACAACCAGCCCTCTCATTCGCGCCCTTGCCATTGACTTCCTCGGCTCCATTCAAGTCGCTCAAGTCCGCAACAAGGAGTCCGAAGCCGTCGAGAAATTTGGCATCACCGAGTTCCCTACCCTCGTCCTACTCCCCGGAGGCGGCCAAGACCCCATTGTCTACGACGGCGAACTGAAGAAGGCACCCATGGTCGAGTTCCTCAGCCAAGTCGCTGCCCCTAACCCGGATCCCGCCCCCAAATCCGCCACCCCTCGCGATACCCAGAAACCCACCGAGTCTCCTGACCCGAAGGTCGTTCCAGACGACGCCAAGGAAGCCAAACCCGCCAGCGTCCCCATCCCGGCTCCTCCCATCGATACTCTTCCCACCGCAGAGGCTCTCGAGGCCGCCTGCTTGACTCCCAAATCCGCCACCTGTGTTCTGGCCTTCCTCCCCGAACCGACTGAGCCGGACGCGGACCTCCCCAGTCCAGCAAAGGATGCCCTTCTCAGCTTGTCCGAGATCTCTCACAAGTACTCCATCCGTCGGCACAAAGTCTTCCCGTTCTACAGCGTCCCTGCCATTAACAGCGGAGCTCAGACCCTTCGCGCTGCACTCGGCCTGCCCGAAGACCAGACCTCCGTGGAGATCATTGCTCTCAGCGGACGTCGAGGCTGGTGGCGGAGGTATGACTCTGCCGAGGGTGCCGAGTACGACCAGGAACGGGTCGAGGCGTGGATCGATGCCGTGAGACTGGGTGAAGGCGAGAAAGAGAAGTTGCCGGAGGGCATTGTCATCGAAGAGAAGGTCGAAGAGAAGGTCGAAGAGAAGCCAACGGCCGACCACGACGAACTGTAAAATATCCCACATGCATGAGCGTTGTGCATGATTTGTTGTTGTTATTAGCCAAGGTGTTATTTAGGTAAAAGACCAACTGAAGAGTATTTTGGAATGGAAAACTCCTAGCTGGGTTACATTACATTATGTCTCCGGCTCTTGATATACTATTTGTGATTCTTCATCATAGTAAAGAAAGGGAGTAAAGAAAGGGAAAATGGTGTATCGGAAAATCATTTCCAACGAATACTATTATTTCTCTAAGAAACTTTTTTTCAACCCAAACTGACATATATACATACACACATACAAGACACCCACCCTTTTGCCAGTCACAGTCATCAAATCAACATGCATCAAGCAGGAGGTTAAGAGAATATAAAGAAGAAGATAGGGAAACAGAGATTCAAGTCCTAAGAACACCATCTAAACAATGCAAACAAATATATCCCAATTCAACGATCAAGATGAAGAAGAGAGCATCATAAGAAAGAAAATAGAGAAGGGGTTAGAAAGATCTAATGCTTCCTCTTCTTCCCCTCAGTACCCTTCTTAATGATCTTCTGTCGCTTGGAATCGACCTCCTGGTCGTAGATCTCGCGGGCCGACTCGCCCTTCTTCCGCTTGGTCTGCTTGCTCGATTTGATGCTGACGGTGGAGGCGCCGCCGCCGCGGATCTGCTTCTCGGCGTCTTCCCAGGCTGCGCTACCGTTTTTGATCTCGTATCTGGAGGCTGTAAATCAGTTATTGTTCATTCCGGGATTGAACTGGCTGACTTGAGGAGTGGTTAAGGGGTGGGAAGGCGGGGAGGGGGCCTTACTTGTCTAGAGGGAGGGCGTCGATCAGGGCGCGCTGCTTCTCCCGAAGCTCCTCGTCTACTTGCTGGCCACCCTCGCGGAGTTCGTCGTCCAGACCTGTCTCCAGAGGCTTGAAGCGCTCGTCAACGACTTCGTCGTGGGCCTCGGTGACGACCTGGGCGGTGGGGGCTTTCTCGGCGGGCATGGTCTCGGCAACAGCGCCTTCGACGAGGTTGCGGAAGTGGGTCGACATCTTGCGGATGATCTTGAGGAACATGGCGAGGAGCTGGGAGGAGGGGAGGCTGAGTTCCTTCTCCAGGGCGTCGAGGTTCTTGCGCTGCAGACCAATGGCGAGGAGGATGGACTGCTGCACGCCCGACAGGCTGACCTTGCCGCTGAGGCGGCCGGAGAAGTAGTACTCGGCGATGACGGGTACCATGTCGAGGATGACGTGGTAGTCGAGGAGGTTGTTGGAGTAGCTGTCGAGACGCTTCAGGTCGAAGGGAGAGAAGGCTGCGTCGAGGTCGGCCTTGGTCAGGAGGGCCTGAGAGTAGGCAGTATCGAGCTTCGCGCCGGAGTTGGCGGACTCGCAGATGCTAAGAGAGAGCACGGAGGGGAACTCGCGAAACTGGTAGGACAGCAGAGAAGCGAATCGCTTGTGGAAGTCCCGGGAGAAGGCACCCAGCCAGCCGGCGTCGTTGGAGCCAGCAGTGAGGGTGCGCAGCATCACGCAGGAGTGCTCGCCGGTCAGGTCGTTGGGGGTCTGGCGGAGGTAGACAGGAGAGAAGGAAGAGCGCTTCCAGAACTTGTGCAGAGACGGGGTGAGACCGAAGCTGACACCAAGGTAGTCGAGAGCGTCCGGACGACGCTCCGACAGCTTGCCGAACAACGGGGGCATGGTGTGAATGTCCCGGACCTTGACGTTGTCGTCCAGAAGGTTGGAGTTGGTGAGCTCCTCATCAGTCACCCGGACCATTTCTTCCTGAGGCTCGGGGATATCCTCCGAGAGACTGGTGAACTTGCCCTCGTAGAAGTCAGTCAGCAGCTCCAGAGCGCGAGATCCGTAACCCATGCTCAGGTACTCGGGGTTTGTGGCGATGCGGACAATTCTGGCACCGGAGAGTCCGGCGAAGTCCTCGTCCTGGTATTGCTGGCTGACAAGCCAGGGGATCAGGTCTCCACCCGCCCGCTGACCACGGCTCAGGCTGTTGAGGACGCTCTGTCTGCTGATGCGACCTTCCAGCGCAACCTGGATAACACATAGGGGCTCGGGAAGCTTGGTGGCTTCTTCGTCAATGGGAGGAACGAGAACGAACAGTTGATGCGCGGGCGCATCGCTCATGAGCTGAAGATCATTCGGGGTATTCTTGTAATGACTGGCGACGTAGAGAGCCATCATCTGCTGGAGGAACTTTTCGGAAACGGGGTGGAAGGAGAACAGGGTATCACGGTTGACCTGGAGCAATTGACACTGCGATGGATGGGGGGTGCCCTGGGTGTTCATGCGAGACTTGGGCAGAGTCGCGTCCAGACAGAGGACCTTGTTCAACCACTTCTCCACCGAATCACCGGGGGCGTATCTGATGGGTTCGGAGAGGGTGATTTCTCTCAGGGACCGGCCGGCCAGGCTCTTGTCGGTGTTCTTGGCTGCCTTGCCCGTGGCACGGTCAGCGACGTCGATATCTTCCTGACCGCTGACCTTCACGCCTCCTCTGGACTGCTCGCGAAGCTGCTGGATCAGCTTCAGGGAGAGAGACCGGCCCGTTCCTTCGTAACCGTTAATAGTAGACGCCATGAAGACCAGGTACGGTCCCATCAGCTTGCGGACCAGAGGCAGAGGGATGGCGGCGGCTTCATCAATGACCAGCAGCTCGGCCTGGCCCAGGACATGAGCATCCTGGGGTTGGATGTACTGGATCGTCTGGCGGTGCTGACGATGGATGTTGACACGGACGATGGCCTTGTTGAAGTCAGGGTTGGTCGATTGAAGGATGGTGTAGTCGACGTGGTCAAGGTAGCCCAGGGCGTCGAAGCCCTTGAACACAAATTCGAAGAGGGTCTTCAAGTTCTCGGGGCTGGGGGAGGTGATGAAGATGTTGCTGTAACCGTGCGCCACAGCAGCCGCGATGGCGACACCAAGAGCTGCGGACTTACCGCGACCTCTGGCAGCAGTCAAAGCGACGGTGCTTCTAAGCGTCTTCTCAGCGATCGCATCGACAAACGTAAGGAGCGCCTTCGCTTGATCGACCGTGCGAGCCAGGCTGATGAGAGGGCCCACGGGCTGGGACTCTGCCAAGCTCTCCTTGATCTCCTTCAGCTCCTTCTTTGTGCCGGAGTTGGTCTCATCGGTCGACTCGGGGGGAGGCAGCGGCTTCACGTTCTTTCCTCCGGAAATGGGCAGGACGTTCAGTTCGTCATCCACGACGAGGCATGAGTCGCAGCTACCAAGGGACAGAATGAAACGCTCGTTGAATCTGGCGGTGACATCGTCGTGGGCTTCGGTTCGGTATCTGGAGTGGATATCCATCGACAGGGTGTACAGTTGCTTCAAGCTGTTCATGCCCTTCAGCAGCAGCAAGACAATACCACCTCCTTCGACGGTCTCGATGGTCCGGGCGAGCAGGTTCGGGGTCATGGCTTCGAAGTCCTGGAGAACGCACATGCCGTAGGTATTACCGAGAATCTTCTCCGTCTCCTTATAGTAGACATAGCGGATCTGATTGAGGGTGATAAACAGCTCGAACGGATCCTCCTGGTTCGGTTCTCTGATGCCGCGCTTCACCTCCTTCTTGATCTTGGCTTCGCGCTTCTTCCGGTGACTCGTGAAACCCAGCAAATCCTTCTTGTAGGCCCACAGAACGGACTTGTTCTGCTTGACGTCGACGCTCGACATGATGTAGTGCAGGTTGACGATCACATCTTTGGCGCGGTCGCCAACGACGACGAAGAAGCTGCGCTTCTTTTCCTGGACGCCATTCCGGATGAGGGCGGGGATACGGGCGTCGATAGCTTTGCGAGGCATTTTGCTCAGGGTGTTTCCTGTGACCCTGGAGAGGGGACGACTCGGATGATAGTCTTGATGGTCCGCAAACGAAAATTCGTTGACGCCTGCGGGGACCACAAATTACGGGGTCACAGTAGTTCTACAGGACACCACGCAATCACTGATCCAGGGAGGCACGGATCAGGTCTTCGATAGACGGAAGAAACAGGTGGCCAGGTAGGGAACTGAGACTCACACTGCCGATGGCTTTGCGATGCTGCGACGCCGACAAAAAAAAAGTTATCGCGGAGATCAGAACTGCCTTTTGCGACCGCTTCTGGAATAGGACACCGCCTATTTGAGCCTGAGGCATAAACAACCCAGTTCCTGGCAGTGCTGTCATCACGTGATGTCAATAAATGAAACGAAATTGAGGTTACATCGGTATCTACTTAGTTCATGGACTACTACGCTGTAGTGTAAGGAGCATCGAGTGTAATGTATCTAGTAGGTAACTGTCTGATGTAGGAGTAAACATGCGAAAGTTTACATTGGCTGGCCTGGCGGGTAAGGCATTTGCTCACATGTGACAGATCCCTGTTTCTTTGTTTTGCCCTTTTTTCACTTATTTTCTTTTCTTATTTTCCGATCGGGCCCGTTGAGATTGCAGTTGTCATTGTGCATGAGTAGTGCTGTGTATTCGTAAGCCAACTAGTAGGTAACTATGTACTATGTATAGGAATTAGGACTACCTAAGGCATCTCACCCTGACACGCCATTCCTAGATAGGAACCAGTTGTCTCAGGATGTCCCCACGGAGTTCTCCACGTTCACATCTGCTTTGATACAGCCCGTCAGATAACCTAGAGATGTCGAAGTTGACTGGGTGACAAGCTTCCATCCGTTCCAAGGACATTAAGAGTGATGATGCCATCTGGAGGGGCACACGGGAGGGGAGGATGCCTGATTCGGGGGGGATCCACGGGGACTGGCTGGGGGACTGTTGCAGATCGATGCCTGGACCCTGACGCTAGTTGCATGCTGCCACCCTGCCTTTCATGCCTGTCAGCCTTTTTTTTTTCCGACTGTCCGGCTCCTGAACCACTCAATCTATGCCAGATGAATGATAGTCATCATCAGATGGTCCGCTTGACAGGCCATCACCGCTAGAATATCTTTTCATGTGATAGTTAGTCAAAAGATCGCTGCTGACGTGCTCGGCGGACGCGATGGGCAGTGCAGCCGGGGGGCCCAAGCTCGCCGGGCAGGCATCCCGTCTGTGGAATCACTGGAATGATGATGGTCCCGATGGATGCGAGCCGTGGGCCAGACCCCTTCGTTGACGCAATCCGGGCAATCCTGGGCCCAGTATCGGGACTCGCTAGATGATCCTGGCGGCCTTTTGTTGTTGTCCTTTGTCTCTTCCCCCGAGTGCTGTCGCGTACACAGTATCTTTCTTACCCATTTCCCCCCTGGTGCCCCTGGGTTGCCCGTTGACGTCTCCACCAACGGAATCTCATCCAGGCACCAACTTGCCGGCTCCCTTGCGGATCTTTCTTCTTGCGCCGGGATTTCCTGTGCGCTCTACCATGTGAATGACGCCCATCCGATGATGGCTACTAGCTTCGCAGGCACATAACATTCCTTTCGTCGATATGGTACACTTTTCTGCTGAGACGGGCCTCAAGGCCTCGGTGGGGTGAGTCCCCGAGATAAATGGAGGAGTATACGGGCGCTCGGTTGACGCAGGCACAGGGTCTTTCTCTTGAGCTGCACATTTCTCTCGACATCCTACAATACCACTTTCGCTTTTGGTACGTCTACCAATCTGGACCGCCAATGCCTGGTCGGAGGAATCTCACGTGTGGCTAATGAATGTTCTGTCAGACCATCCCCTCAACTCTGCCGCATTAGCCTGCTTTTTGGCGGGAACCTCTCTGTTGATTCTGAGCCGATTCATACATCGCATACCCAAGATTCCCTCTTCTGCACCAAAATATTCCGCCATCCCACTCACCGAACGGGATCCGCCCCTCGAAGAGCCATTCTCGCCGGTCAGCTTGAGCAGCAATAGCAGCCTTACCCTCACCCGCCCGCGCAACTCGGCGCGATGGATCAAAAGAGGTTTACTCTCGGTGCTTGGAGGCTTACGGATTGCTTTGTATCGTGATATAACTGCCAACATTGAATGCGCACCTGATGGTTATGCGGTAAGAGTACAAAGGACCGATACCCTGACAGCGCTAACCAGATACTCCTGGCGCAGTATTCAATTCCTTTCTTCGTGGCCCTTTATGATTACTGGCGAAACCAACGCAGCCGACCGACTCCGATATGGACCACCCTGGAAGACCCACAGAATGCGCACCTCCGTGCGATAGTCACATTTGTTAGTCGCGTGCATTCCTTCCTCTTTCGGAGCCGCTGGAGATATGTCATACCAGCATTCTTTCTCCTGACAAGCGGCTACATCACCACAACTTTTGGGGATGGCATGCAGTCAACTTACATCTGCCCCATCACCTCGGGTCAATCTGCGCGCCTGCACGCTTTTAAGGTCCTGGCTGTCATTTTCGACTCCTTGATCTTGATCGGCGCAGCTGAATTAGCCAGCGAAGGAGTCCGATCAGGAGACAACAGAAGGAAACACAGCCTGGTTTCCTGGGCCTACAGTCTACTGGTGCGTCTATAAATCAGTTGGTATGATTCATTCTAACCGCAACAAGGGAGTCGCTGTGTTCTACACAATCATCGTGATTGCTCTTACAGCTAGCTCCTACGATGAAAATGGTTTCCCCAGTGCTCAATATCTGCACAGTGCTGTGGGCCAAGGAGTATTGGTGACATGTGTGATAGTGTCAGCATCTCAACTGGTACGTTCAATAAACCATCCTTTCGGCCAAACGCTGACTGTTCAGATCCCATACTACGGTATTTCTGGGTTGGCTGTGCTGGCGGGCTTCATCTCACTCTACTTTACGTGGGCATCGACTCTGTTCAACGGACAGCACCCATTCCCATTGATTCTCGCCTCCCGCGCTTTTGCTGCTCTCTTCTTCAGTTTCTTAGGGGGGCTATCGTTTCTTTACGCTCGAACAGCTTCAGAGGAGGAGCCGCAATTCTTGTACCGATTCAACATTGCCATGCGACTTATCTTCGCTTTATTGTCTGCAATCGGTCTTATTCTGGTCGCCCAACAACATAGCGCCGCTCATCTGCATCCCATCGATCTGCTCGTGTATGAGGGCAGACAACATCACGATCAATGGTTTGCACGGGCCAACAGCAGTCAGGGTCTTGCCGATGCTGTTATGAAGTACCGAGCGCAATATAATCAACATCCACCACCGTGCGTTGCGTCACCAATGGCATACATCTAGCCGGAGCTGACTTCGAATCAGGAACTTTGACAAATGGTACGAATATGCCGTCAGCCGATCTTCCCTTGTTATCGACGAATTCGACCAGATTTACACGGACCTGTTGCCCTTCCGTGCATTGCCACCGGCGCAGATCCGCGAACTGACACAGAAGCTGGCCACGAATCCTTACAACGAGATTGGCGCGATCAGCATCCGCAACGGCAAAGCTCGAGTTCAGGAGGGCATCAAGCCAACCCATGCGTGGATGGTGATCAGTGCCGCCAAGATGATTGAGAAATTCTCCGAGTACCTTCCCGACATGGACCTCGCTTTCAACCTAAACGACGAGCCTCGGGTTTCAGTTCCCTGGGAGAAAATATCGGTACTACGACACCAAGCGAAGTCATCCGGCGTACCCCCCGAGGACAGTATCCAGACCGGGTGGTCGGCTGACCGCGGTGACCAATGGGGTCCGATCGAGCCCGCCGACCAGACGAAAGAGACCCTGTTTGTCGACAACTCCTTCAAGAACATCTTTGATCGCTACGTGGGCTCCATCTGCCCGCCCTCTTCAACGGCCCGCTCGCAACGCATCTGGGACCGGCGACACCTATGCCTCAGCTGCATTCGCCCTCATTCATTGGGGGGCTTTCCGTCCGACTGGACTGCTGCCACCGATATCTGCCACCAGCCAGACCTTACGTCTCTGCATGGGTTCCTCCTCTCCCCCGCCTCATTCAAAGTCGCGCAGGACTTGACCCCCGTCTTCAGCCAGAGCACGATCGCGGGCTTCAATGACATCATCTTCCCTAGCCCATGGAACTATGTCGACAAGATTGAATACAAACCGTCGCCTGAAAATCCGGACGCAAACTATACCGAAAAAACCAACACCCTCTTCTGGATCGGCAGCACTTCTGAGGGAACCAGCCAGCATGGCGAATGGAAAGGCATGCCGCGTCAGCGCCTCGCCCACCTCGTCAACAACAACACCTTCAATAAGGTCTCGGTCTTTCTCCCGACCAACGAAACTGACACTTACCACTACGAGATCCTAGACGGCCGCGTCCCGTCCGACACCCTGCACCTTGACACGACGGTCAATGTCATCGACCCGATTGTTCGGTGCCGCCAAAAAGACTGCGATGATCAACGCAAGGAACTCAGTCCGGGATCCCGGGTCGACTTCCAATCCCACTGGCAACACCGGTATCTATTCGACTCGGACGGCGCAGGGTTTAGCGGCCGATTCCTGCCTTTCATGCAGAGCCACAGTCTCCCGTTCAAGACGGGTCTGTTCCGACAGTGGTTCGACTCGCGCATCACTCCCTGGCTGCACTTTGTGCCAATTGATCTCCGTCTCCACGGGCTCTGGAGCACATTGGCCTATTTTGCTGGAGTAGATTCCACAGTGAGCGTGGATGGGGTGTCCAGACGAGTCACTATCCCGCCGCACGACATCGAAGGTGAGTGGATTGCCGAGGAGGGTCGCCAATGGGCTCAACAGGCTCTCCGCAAGGAAGACATGGAGATTTACTTTTTCCGGCTACTGCTCGAATGGGGACGATTAACCGATGACCAGCGAGATTTGCTGGGGTATCGACTATAGTGCTGTTAATCTAGTTGTAGTCTACCAACAAACGTATAATGTTAATGCGATTTATGCCCCTACGTAACCCGATCAGACCTCACCATGCCCATTTTTATACTTGAAACCGCGATATGTCCTTTGATATAGGCTTGCAATCTCAGTCTTCCAACACAGCAACATGAACATCCAACCTTATCCTACAATTCAACAAACTACTGCAGAACCCGTGATCAAAAGTCCAATCCAATATCCACACTAACACCATTACCGCAGTTAATGACTATCTTATCTTTCTTGCTAGTGGTTCATGGTGTTGGTCTCATTAAATACCCACCTGCATAGTAGCTATAGTAGCTATAGCTACTATGCAGGTGCCACCGAAAGGGGTTGTAGGTATCCGAGACGAGAACGTACACGTAATTTGATAGTACTCTACTAACTAAACCAGATCTACGCTTGTCTTTTTTTATCTATACCGCAGCAGTCACGGTAGTAGGTATAAGATTGTGGTATAACATAATGATATAATGTAAGACGGCTGTCATTGTCTACATTAGAGGTCTAATCTCATATTCTGATATAGATAAATTACTTACTGTATTAAATATTTAGATCATTGTCTCGCCTATCTAAGTACCTAGTACTATGGCACCTCGCTATGGGAGGGAGTTATCGTAATGTAATGATAGTATAGGTGGTAAAGTAACTACTAAGCCATGGATAACGAAACGTTCTAGTACGCCGTTATAGAATGTATGGGGCTGTGTCTAGGTGGTAGGAGTAACTGACTGTTAAGTTATTACAGACTATTGTGTATGGACAAACCCCTAGTCCATAGAATGAACTGGAGCTAAGGAGGCTTTATCTTCATTCATTCTAGGACCAATACCAGATATAAGAAAGTATATATCGATGATCAAAGCAAGAGCTATAGTTTAGTACTAATCTAATCTATATTCTGTGAAAGCATAGCGAGGAGGGGAGGGAAGAGAGAGAGAGAGGAGAGATACAAGACAGAATCTTCTTTCTAGTGTCCAATCCCCTTCATCAAAACAGATTTATTAAGATCCCAAACAAACCAAATCATGGTATTACAGTCACAACTGACTTTGGTTATGACTTGATACCGGTCATTCAGAACGTTTCCTAGGCGTGCGTGATAGAATCTTACTGGATCATAGTACGGCGTCTCTTCTTCCTCGATGGCTTTGGCTTTGTTTAGTGGAAGTTTGGGAGTGGCTGTTGTTGACAATACCTAGGGACTTGTTTGAGGGCCCACGAGGTGACTCTCGGAAAGCTGGCATTTCCTTCCATAAAAAGTAGACTAGATATATATTCAATCAACAAACTGAAATAGTTCTTCTCTTGCTGCTTCAAACGAGAGATGGGTATAACAGCTACTACCTAATCCTATCCACTTCACCCCATCCAAACTTCAAATCAAATCAAATCAACCCACCAAAGCGAGAGACTTATATACCCCCGGCATATACACACAAACAAACACAAGATACAGATAACAAAGACCAATATAGCATCTATCCACATCCCATACCATCTATACACTCACTCATTCCAAACACTATCAATTAAGCATGCATGCCCATCGCCCTCTCCCTAAGCTCCCTTCTGGCCCGGCGCACATACGACGGGCTGGGAACATGGTGACCCTGACCCTTGTGAGAGGTGCTGTTCGAAGCAGGAACGGCAGCAGAGTTCGTGGTCGAACTATCCTGGTCCTGATACACCTGGAGGGCGTTCACGGTCCAGTAAGCGTCCGTGAAGGCCGACGGGTTGTTGGCCACGTAATCGCTGCAGGTGCTGGCCGCGGAGGCGCAGCTGCCGGTGCTCCAGACGTTGCCGGCCCAGTCGCCGCAGAAGGTGGTGTCGAAGATCTATAACATCGGTCAGTATTGTGCTGAGAGGGGGTAATAGTTGAGGGAGAGGTACAATTTGCATTCCGCTGAAGTGATCATCAATGTCACAGCCGCCAGAGAAGGATGCCACTGGGGTTCCCCAGGTCGACGGGTCGGGGCTTCCATCCGTAATGTCGGAGGGGATGCTGCCTCGGGGGAAGAAGTAGATGCTGATGGCAGAGGAGGTCCATTCGGTGGCAAAGACACCACCGCCGTTGGCGTTGAAACCAGCGCCGTAGGACGCGGTCGACGGGTCGGTGATGCCGCAGCCCGCGTTGCTGGACTGCCCGGCAGCGTAGACATAGCAGTTGTCGGTAGTCATGGTGCCGGTGAAGCCCGAGTCAGTGATGGTGCAGCCATCGCTGGTGTGGAGGGTCATGTCATTGGTAGTTTGCTGATTGACACCCTCGATGATGTCGATCTCACCATTGTTGGGCCAGTCGGAGCCGAGGAGCCAGCTGTTTAGGTAAATCGTTAGAGTATGAATAGTAGAGGAAGCGAAAGAACTCACAAAGCAGGCCAAGTGCCGCAGATGCCGCCGGGCATGTGGGCGAGGTCAAGAATGAAGAGACCATGGTTATAGGTGGTGTCACTGGCGATGCGCACACTTTGGCGGCCGCTGCTGCTGGCCACGTTGGTGTGATCTACGCCCATGTAGACGGAGCTGCTGGAGGTATTGACCAGACCGTTGGCCTCCGCAGTCGTCTCGTCGACATAGTCGACGAAGCCGGCAGTGGGGTCGGTGCCGGTGTAGAATGTGAAACGGTCGAAGAAGGACGAGAGCGAATAATCGTCCTGCAGAGTGTAGGCGGCAGCGCTGAGCTGCGCGGTAAGGCCCACAGCCGAAAGGAGAGTCGAGGTGGTGCGCATCGTGATGGTATTCCTGGTTTTCTGGTTCCTGAAGGAGTGTTGGAGGAGGAGGAGTAGACCAGCTAGACTTATACCTCCACAACGGTTACGTGAAGGAGAGAAAGAAGTAGATTTAATTTAACTCTTGCGAGCCTCAAAAGGAATGAAGGTGACAGTTGCGCCGTGAGGCGTACAACGTTGAGCAAAGGAATGTGGTCGACGAGGAGTGTGTCTGAATTCGTCAAGACATGGCCGTGAACAGGTTTATATAGGCGCCCCGATGGGCTGCAGAAAGGCAGAGAGAGAGACGAGACAGGGGGGGGGGGTCGGTCAAGCTTAGCACTAGTGACGAGTGGCGCCCACCATGATGAGCCCACCGGACCTGAGCGCGAGACCAGTCGGAGGCCGTGGATGGCCGTGGTACTATGCCAGGTGAGGCCGTTATCGCCGAGTTGATGGAGTCAGTCAATAGCATTGTACGGAAACGGGCAGCAGAGACCATCCATCTGCCAGTGACAGGCGCGATCGGGGCATCGGGCTCGTTCCGAGGGCTCAGGGGAGGGCCTCGGACTGGTCACAGACTGGCCAATCTGCGCATTGTGTAGCAACTAGGTAGCAAGTGAGAGAGTCTTCACGGGCGTCTAGAAGAGGAGCCCGCCGAGATTGGAAGGATTTGGGTGCCCGCATTGGGATAATTCGGATCAATTAGGGCAGACCACGCGGCGAATCCGGGATCCAATCAGCAGCCCGACGGAGCGCCAGGATGCGCCGTGCTCGCTTGGTTGCCCGCCCGTCAGCATCCATCAGCATCCGTCAATCCATCACTAATCATCAGCCTCCCCGCCAGATGACCCCCCCCCCCCCGGCCGCCGCTTGCAGGCACAGGAATGTGCTTCTCCAAGTTTAATTTCAGTCATTCCCTCCTTGGGGTCGCCCTCATCTCCCCCTGAGGCTGACAGAGGGTCCCCGGCAAATTACATTTCCCCCCCATCAGCCGATATCGACCGATTGCTATCTATCTACCTATCTAGGTATCTAGATTCCAGAGCGATAAAGAGAAAATCAAATAGATGAGTAATGCTATTAGAACAACCATGTCATCACGCTGCCATCGCTGGCTCATTATGTACAGGACAAACGGGGCACACCAACTCCTCCCATCCATGGAACGCTCCAGGCGGCTGATGCGGGGGACGCCCCGCCGCACGCGACGAAGCCACCTCCAGGAGACACCGCCGATGGTATAGATGCCGACAGGAGAACACCACCACCGGCCCTCCTCCCACGCCTGCCCCTTCCCCATTTGCGACCACCCCATCTGCCACCGCCGCATGCCCATCTACCAGAGGGTCCGGCTGACCTGCATCGGCGGCCTTGCCCTTCCCCCGCGCGGTCGCCGGATCATTTTGCTCCTGCACTCGCTTCCGGACACGCTGCTCCTGCGTCTCCGCCTGCTTCTGCTCCCACGCCTGCCAGTACTGGGGCCCAACCCCAGGTCCCCAGATGCGCTGCCGGCACATCTCGCACAGCTGCCCTCGTGGTCGCCATCCCCGCTGCCGCTGCCGCGTCACCTCGTCCACATGCACAAACAGGTCCCGGTCCAGCATCCCGTTGGCCAGCGCCAAAAGGGACTTCTCGTACGTGTACGCCGAAAAGATCGACTCCAGCACCGCCCGCAGCTCCAGGAGCGACGGGGACCAGCTGGCCGCCCGCGTGAGGAATGCCCGCAAGATCCGCAGGAAGCCGACATCGCTACGCTCGCTGGGCGACGATCCTCCAACCCGCACCGTGCTGGAGAGCAACGACATGAATACCTGCTGCACCAGGGCGCGGAATGCCGACACCAAGTGGCTCGTCGCTGGGGTCACCGGAACTTCTGCAGGCCCTTTCTGCCCCAGCCCAAAAACGCTGCTGGCCGTCCGCACGGCTGCCTCGATCAGATCGAGCCACAGGCTTTCGTCGAACGAAAGAGGCTGCTCCAGAACACCCTTGCCTGACCCATTTCGTTCCACGGCGCGTGAGTTCTTGGCCGTCTTGCTCTGCCCCTGGCAAAGCCAGGTTCCCACCCGCGTATACTTGTCCAGAGACTCGACGAGGTGGTCAATGGCCTCCGTCGTGCTTGCCGAGTCCGGACTGTCGTGCATGTTTTGCAGGATGCCCACCAGGCCGGACTCGAGGGTTCCCAGATGGGCAATGAGACGGTCCATCGCGGCCCGGACTTGGCCTTGTCGAGCCAGCAGAATCACGGCGGCGTCCACGACACCACTATCCTCCATGAATGGCAGTAGCTCCTCCAACCGAACGTCCCCAACTCGTAGATCATCGACAAAGTCGGCCACGCGAGAGGGGTTGTACTTGCAGAGTAGTTGCACGTACCGTTCGACCATCCAATTCTCAATGGGCTTGGCCTGGCGACCCTCCGCCACCGACTGGATGGAAACGCCAACCACAACGGCCAAGTACCGATACTGCCGATAGGGGTCATCTTTCAACACCTTGAGGAAGGTCTCATGGGTCTCTGGGGCGAAGCCGTGCATCGTCTGGGCGGCCTTTTCAACATCGATCGCGGCCAGCTGGCCCGCATGCTCTTTGACCACGTCGACAACATCACGCCGCTGCTTCTTGCCCAGGCCGGAGGCAGGACGAAGGCAGTCTTGTAGGCATGTAAAGATGGCCTCCTGCTCATTCGGGTCTTCGAGGTATGTGAGTACCAACTCCGGATACTGTTTTTCGGAGCGATACGTGGACTTTAGGATGCGGAAAAAGCGCGCTTCCTTATAGAGCGGGATCATGGCTTGGACATGGGGCGGGTGGTAGAAGGATAGCAGGTACTCGGCGCTCAGCTCACAATCGTCGGCCATGTCCAGGTTTGGGTATCGGCACAGTCGCTCCAAGACCTGGTGAAGCGTGCTGCCGGAAAGGAGGATGTATTGGGGGTATTTGGGAAGATTGCGTGCAAGAAACATGTCTAGGTAAATCGTATCAGATGCATCGAAGGACTGGGTCATAACCTGTAACAGAATGCTAATCAAATATTGTCGGTTGATGGACACCCCCCGGAAAGGGGTCTCGTCGAGTTCCTGCTCGTTCAGAAAACTGTCCTCGAACGCCTCATTCATCATGCTCATAAAGCTAGACGGATCGAATCGCAGTATAGCCTGAAGATCTGGGAACGACCCGCCTGGCTGAGATCGAGCCCCGGGCTTGGTGCCAGAGGGCTTTCCGGAAAACAAATAATCATACAGGGTCGCCTTGGCTCGCGTCGCCTCGGTGTCGTCCATGTCTGCCCCGGTCGGATAGACACGGCCGGTGAGGGTGAAGGAGAGATACGGAAACATCTTCATCGCATTGGTGTATCGCTTGAGCCCATCGACCGATTCCCCGTTGACGAGCGCCTCTGGGGTGGGGATGAGCTGCAGGAGCTCCTGCAAAGGGCCCACGTAGTCTCCCAGGCAGCGATTCCAAACGTAGATAAACGCGTCGTACAAGTTGTGGTGCTTACACAGCGTAGTGGTTTGATCAATGTCCATCGTGGCGGTATCCAGCAGACAGATGATCTCTTCCAGTCGGCTGGCACTGTGGTTCGTCGCAAAGTGGTTGATGAGAGCTTTGACTGCCGTCGGAGGAAGGGACCGGACGGTTCCCTCCACGATATACGGTTCGAGCGCATCGAGGAAGATCCCCGGTAAGCCATTCTCCTCATACCAGTTAAACACCTCGTCCCAGAGGAAGTCTTCCTCGGACATGCAGACGCAGGCCGAGATGGACGCCTCAGCCAGTTTCTCAAGCTGTCCGTTCCCCAGCCTGCCGCTGTTCGCTTCCGCATTCCGTCCAAAGGCATACTTCAGTGAAGCCGAGATCATTTCCAGGAGCTTGTCCCGAACCAGAGGCTGCCTCAACGCGTCCTCTTCCGGGAGGCCAATGGTCAGCTTCTCCGCACTGCCTTGGTAATACGATGTGGCCAGCTGGATCGCACCGATGAAGTCACCGGCTTCCATGAGGGCTAGCAACCGATCCGCCCAGTTTGAGAGGCCTCCGATCAGCATTTCGTTGAAGCCCAAAAGAAAGAGGCGCCCCTTGTAGGAGCGAAAGCTCATGTAGAAGGCATCTGCCACCACACCGTGCATCGAAGTGTCCTCTTCATTAAACTGCTCCACTAGGCTATGCAGATGAGCAGAGAACAGATCCACGTGGTAGATGTGCCGGTTGAGGAGGTCCACCGCTTCCGTGACGCGCATTGAATAATCTTCGAGAATCAGCAACTGCTGTGTGATTGTCAGCACCGCCAGCACCGAGCGACTCAGCCACTGCACTGCAACGATCGCTTCATCGGCCTTCCATCTGCTCCGGGGTTTGAAGGCGAGGCTTGGAGGGCGATCCCGGCTCGGCGCCTCATCGGTTTCCACCTCCGAGACATCCATCACCGTCAGCACATTGGACCAACAATACACAAGCTTCGTTTTGGAAATCTCGGAATCTTTGCCCTTGAGCCGGATGGCCGGAAACCAGGCCAGGGCGCCGGTCATGGCACCATGCGCGGTAACTTCTTTCGGGCGGGGCGATTTGTGCTGCGTTTGCGCGACAGGCGTAGTCGAGACAATGACCAAGAGATAGGGAGTGAGCATTGCCACCAGACCTAGCGAGTCGGTTGGCTGCTCGACATTGCCGAGCGGGAGCGGCGAAAATGCCAGGACCGAACTCGGTTTTCGCGGCCGGCTTCCTTCAGCAAAGACCTGGGGATAACGACCCAAAATCCGGGTGGTCTTCACCGTTCGTCCCATTGCGCCCATGCCCCGGGTCGCCAGGTGGGAGAACGCCATTCCTCGCTTATCAGCAGAGACAAGTGCCGTGCGTCGCGTGCCTAGGAATCCTACATGGATGACCGGCGCACCCGAGATATGACCATCGGAAGTTCGAGCATCGACTTGGTTGGCTGGGATTGGGGGAATATGAAGGAACGGTCGTGCTGACCGCGATATCTCCCATGTGAATATGTCGCCCGAAGTGTGGCCCCCCGCAACCGTCGAATGATCCGCCGAAAGCGCTAGGGATGCGATCGCACCACATTCAACAGCTACATTGCGCAGAGTCAGCACAAGAGACCTAAGCCCTGCTAAGGACCAAACTTACCCTTTGTCCCAAGTCCCACGATTGTCTTCAGGTTCTGCTGGTAATCGAACACCAGAATAATGCCCTTGGACGTGCCCACAACGATAGACGTCGAGACGGCCATACAAGTGGGATACCCAAAGTTCCGCTTTCCAACCTCCGAAAACGCCTGCCCATTGATCTTCCTCAACCTAGTCCATTGCACGACATCCCAGGGCCCCAGAGGGGTGTCTACACCCGAGTCGACGGTACCCGGCGATAGGTGGCTAGTAAGGGAGGATTTTCGAGAGTGAAGCTGGGCTAGAAACGGCGATGATGACCGGAAACTAACGGGCGAAGCGGACGATAGTCTGGACTGAAAGCGACGGTCGAATGGGCGATGGGAAGGACTGGGACTGAGGTGAGGGGAGCCCCGGAGGGCCAACGCGCTGCTGCTTCGCGACGATAGAAGAGATCCCTATTCTCATCAGCGGGGAGTCAGGGCGAAAGAAACACGATCGCAACCAACATGCAAGGACGGGGTATCATCCGGCGTCGAAAGGGTCTCATCAACGCTACCGGGAGCGCCGGGCTGCCCGGACCGCGGCGACGAGGGGAGGTCGGTCGAATCGGCGTCAACAGGCGGGATTGGCTTCCCCGATACATGGCTTTCGCTAGCTAGACCGGGGATATCCTCCTCGAAGTAAGCCATTGAGTCATGGTGCGATGGCTCCTGAGGGTTGGCATGGTCGGAGATGCCGTTGTGGGTGGGCGGGGAGTGGTCATCGTCTTCCTGGCCCAAGTCGAGCTCATCCTCTCGTACCCAGTCATTACTGGTCTCGATCATGGAGCTCATCGGCAGGATGTTCGAATGACCATCGCTCCAACCGTCTTCTTAAATAGCAATGGTCACGGGGAGTTGAGCTGGAGCTGTATGACGAGGTTGGCTGTCTGTCTCACAACCGGATGTCACGAAGCTCGAACAGGCAATAAAAGTGGAGGCTGGCCGGGATCAACGGGGGGGTGGATGTCAGGCTCAGGGCGATAGCAACACGGGCGCAGGTCGACCAACACGACGAGAAGAAGACACACGAACTGCCTGGGTGGGTGATCAGGGCGCAGGCCGGGTAGGGAGGACACCTGGGGAAGAGAGGAGGCCGTGATGAGCTGGAGGAGCGATGGATGGGGACTGTGCAGGCAGAGGGAGAGAGACAAGAGAGACAAGCCGCCAACAGCACTCGGCAGAGATACCGGAGATACCCACCGGCGAGTATGGTACCGTACCAGAACCGCCGGGTATGGCTGCTAGGCCCAATGCGGATGGGGGCTATCCATGGATGGATGCCTGAGGGCACGGTTGTATATCGACCAGGCCGTTATCTCTCTCCTCGAGGTATCTACTTACTATCTACGCTTCTACAATGCCCGCTGCTTCGTGGAACCCAACCAAGCGACCAGCAGCAGTACGAGCCCTACACATGACTGATTCCATCCCACGTGGGCGGTTCCGAGAGAAAGATCCAATCCACTGACCTCATCGGAGGAGCCGTCCATGATTACCGGTCTCAAAGAATGCCCCGCCCAACCATAAACATCAGCCTCACTTGATAGACGCATAGTAGGTAGTCGCGTCCTGACTACGGATATGTAAGCATTGATTGCCGTGGAGGGGGTTCCTGTGCATGCCTCAGGCATGTTTCCCAGCCCCCCAGTCCAGCCCTGGATCTGTCGGGCCCCGAACATGAAACGCTTGTCCCAAAAAACAATACTAATAATCAGGATCACAGGGGTAATCCCCCTTCCCCGACTGCCCCTTACTTACTAACTACATGTCGACCACGCCACAGACTACAGCCACGGTGCCTCGCCGTCAAGCTTCTGACCTGCATGGTGACAGATCCCATGTGACAGTCCCTCCGGATTCCCCCCTCCTTCTTTCCCATCAATCCATCAATCCGTATAGAGGCAGCGGCCCATCTCCCGATATCATTCCACCTTCTCATCGCATCTGCAGCCAGTGCCTGCCCCCAACATCAATCAAGCGTCTAGATAGTTCCCGAGAGAGCCAGGCTAAGGATTGACCAATCTATTCAACCGCGGGGCTCCGAGCCAACCACGCTTCTTCTCCTTTCCAGACCCCCGCGTGATTGGATTGCAAGCGTGCAGGCACCATCCACTAATTCTGCATTGAGAGTGCTAGGCCCTTTTCTTCTAATTGTAGGGTAGTATTGACGATTGACACTCCCCCGCCGGCCCTATCATCCTCTTCACATCATTTTGCTCGGCTGTTGGGGTCCCAGCTGGAGCCATCACATTCCCCGTTATCATCACCCGTGCAGGTCACAAGCGTCGAGATGGCTTCGGCAGGACAATGCTGATTTGATTATTAATGGTTGGTGCGGTCAATTTGGCAGAAGCTGGGATCCGGGTTGGACACCGTGCCACAAGGGCAAGAATATAAATAGAGCCGAGGCATTCCTCATCGGCTTCCTCTCTGCCCGTTACGTTATTTCCCCTACCGAGACCACAGTGCATGAATATGTTCCTCTCAGTCATCCTCCTTGGCCTGGTGGTAGGCATATCATCTATCGGGCCAGTCATTGCGCAGGCAACCTGCAACGGCCAGTCTGCATACTGCGACCGCAGCTACTCCAACGTCACCCAAGTTGGCTCCCACGACAGCCCCTTCGTCGGGTTGCTCCCCTCTGATAACCAGAACGTCAATATCACCGAGCAGCTGGACCTTGGGATCCGATTCCTACAGGGCCAAACTCACAAGTCCTTGGTGGACGAAACCATCCTCCTCTGCCATACGTCGTGCCTGCTTGCGGACGCGGGCACTTTGGAATCCTACTTGGCCACAGTCAAGTCCTGGCTAGACAGCAACCCGGATGAGGTGGTGACCCTCCTCCTCACAAACGGTGACAGTCTTCCAGTGGCACAGTTCGGCGACGTCTTCACCGGCGCCGGAATCACAGAATATGCGTTCGTCCCGAGTTCGTCCCCGAGCACCCTAGCCATAGATGCGTGGCCAACCCTACGGGAGCTGATCGGGAATGGCACGCGGTTGGTGGCTTTCCTAGGTAAGCAGCAGCCATGCGTGTGCATTCTGGAGGGCTAATTTGACCGTCGTTTCAGATTATGGCGCCGATGCTTCGACCGTCCCGTACATCCTCGATGAGTTCGCCTACTTCTTCGAGACGGCCTATGATGTGACGGATGCTTCCTTCTCCAACTGCAGCATTGACCGGCCCGCCGGTGCGTCGGCCACCGGACGCATGTACATTGTCAACCACTTCTTGGATGTCGACGTCTTGGGCATCCTGATTCCCGATCGGGAGCGTGCACCTGAGACCAACGCCGTGTCGGGAGATGGCAGCATTGGAGCCCAATCCGACCTGTGCGAGTCCATGTATAGCCGGCTGCCCAACTTCCTTCTCCTGGATTTTGTCGACCAGGGCGAGCCGATCGCGGCGCAGAGCGCTCTGAATGGCGTATAGATATGTTGTTGCTCTGCGTATGGGTAATACGCTCTTTTGCTTAGATATCTAATTGACATGCCTTGAGGATTATGTGACGGATGTGCCAAAAAGCCTATCACCCCTCAAAGTCCAGCTGTCATTCTGCGTTCCTGAAAGGTCCATCCACGTAAGCAACCAGCGCGGGAAACTTCTAAGTCTATTCATTCTAAGAGGTCCCGTAGTCCAAGATGTTGAGCAGCTAATGCCAAAATGCCCAAGGACAGCTTGTAATACATTCCAAAACTGCTCACTCATCCAATTCGATCTGCATTTCGCGTTCTGTTGCGAGTTTGTATACCTCAGTCAGTAATGCCAGACTTGGACACCAAAAAAAGCTCGGCCGTACGTACCCCAGATTTTGTTTGCCGATCCAACAATGACCTCTGCTTTAGCAAGCAGCTTTTTGGCGAACCTCTCGGCTTCTGTGGGATGCAGTTGGCTCTTCTGGGCTTTGCGTGGGTTCACCTGACGTTCCGGTTAGCGTAGCACGATCGCACAAGGCATCAGAAGTTGGTCCTACCATCTTGAGAACAGGCACAAGATCCTTCGCATCGGCCTCCGCCAGTGCCCTCAGATTGCGAAATCCATTTTCCCGGAGTAACCTGGCTGTCCATCCTTTCACGTACGTCACCTGGGCCATTTCCAGTAGATCAGCGCGAGCCCCGGCCTCCAGTCGATCTCGCATGTGATCTAGGACAGCTGCAAGCATGCCCCAACCCATTCGCTGGCAAAATTTCACAATGCCAGCAGCAAAGCCATGGCATTGTTGTGCCAGAGTCTGGACTGCTCCTCGCGGGATTCGATAGCGACTGGCAACCGTCGACAACGGTACTTCATTACTCAAATCCCGAAGCTGAAACGCTGTATAGGCTCTGTGGTAGATCCTAGCCTGTTTCACCTGTTCTGTATTGTTCTCTTTGAGGGACGCGCCACTTTGTGCCCTGCAAGTCGATCAGTGTCTTTACATCCGATGGAAGGTGGAGTCAGAAGTCCGGCATACATCGAATTTACGAAGCCTGGCTGGATACCAACAAACTGCAAGGCACGCAACCCACTCTCGTCGAGATTATCCAATTGATCACGAAAGATAAGCCAGTCGATTGGAGTGCTGGTGGCAGCTTGAAGAGGAGTGAACATGTAGAATATGTGCATGTCGCCATCCATGACGAAAGCTTGCAACGCTCGTTTTAACTCTTCGTGGACGAAGAGACCATCTTCGGGCGCAAATGCGGAAGCCACCACAGCTTGTCCAAGTTGCGTCGGCGAGTATGACTCGTCGTCATTGAGGTGAAGAAGTCCCTCAGTGATCAATTCTTGGAGTGCGGAGCCCATGATGCTGTAGGCTACCCTTTTATCCACTGTCAGGTAAAGAAGAGTACACCGGACATATTCCTTGATTGCGTCATAACCGGAGACGAGCCCGGTCGCAATAGCCTCCAAGAGGGCTCTGATGGAACATGAACAACTGGCTATTTCTCAGAATATACTGGAGGCTCACCTCTTGAGGCCCCTCTTCTCAGGGGCCAGACAACTTTCAATGGCGGGCATATCGGCCTCTAGGAGGTCGCAGACAGATTGTAGGTCGCTGTTCCCGCATATCAGATATGTTTCACCCACCTCATCTTTCCCTTTGCGACCAGCTCGCCCACACATCTGTCGCCTTCGCGAATATTAGCTGATAGCACGCTACGCGCGGTTGAGGCACTTACAACATTGCTGGGCCTACGAGTTCCCGGCCCATGCGTGCTCCGTTTATGATAACTCTTCGTGCGGGAAGGTTGACTCCAGCTGCCAGACTGCATGTGGCTATGAGTATCTTCAATACCCCTTGGTCGTAAGCCTGCGCGATCAACTCCCGTTCTTCTGTCGTCATCCCTGCATCTGCACCATGGCTTAGCGCGTGCATCAAAGGCAATGCGATGATTACTTACGATGGAACCCCACGCCTCTCACGAGCGTGTTTTCCAGGACCGGGTCCAGGCCACTGGGCAGGCTTCGTAGATCGGCGAGTAGATCCAGTCGTTCGTTCAGCTCACCCGTATTCTCTGGAGGAACCGGCATTGCTTCGCTTATCACGGCTGCTTGAAGCTGGCACATCTGCCGGCTGCCACAAAATACCAAGGCGCCATATCCAGCGGCAGCTGTGTCAATAGCTAGAGCTACTGTCGCATTCGTTGTGGGGCTTGCAAATTCCCGGAAGGTCGAAGGACGAATAATCCGATGGGGAGGCATTTTCTCCATCAAAGACGTGTTTGTTATCGACTTCAGCTTAGAGATAGTCTGGAAGAGCTGCCTCGAGGTTGCCGCGGGATAAATTGCGTTTTCATAAACAAGGTAATCGTCAATTGGAACTGGACGGTAGGTCGAGACAAAATAGACCCCATTCATCCACTCAGCAAGCATTTCTGTATTCTTAAGAACCGTCAGACCGACGATACCCGATTTCGCAATTGGGTCAATGATCATACCGAAAGCGTAGCGCTCATTCCAATGATTTGAATATCCTGTCGCAGGAGGAGCAGTTTGGTGACCATTAGTTCCAACAAATACCCTCGATGTTCATCATCGAGCATATGCAACTCATCCAGAACGACTACCCCCAAGTCCCCAATGCTGCATTCTTCAATGGCGGAGTTGATCAAAGAGTTGGCCTACATAAGAATCCTCAGAGCAAATCCGACTCAGTAATTACTGAGGTAACGCACCTTCTCAATTGTGCAGACCGCTATGTCCGTGTCTGCCCAAGATGCAGCAGTCCTGCTTCCACCAAAATATCCGGTGACACGAATCGATCGCTGCAGTTTGATCCAACGGTGGTGGTACGGTTTCGCGTTGGCTGCTTGATCCTCAGCGTCGTGTATATTTTTTTCGACATCCTGTACGATGCGTCTAAGCCACTTGAGCTTCTCCTGCACTAACGCAACATACGGAAGTACGAGAATGGCCTTGCGCCCGGGGTTCTCAATGACACGCTTGAGCATAAGGACATCGGCGACAAGAGACTTCCCTCCGCCCGTAGGAGCTGTGTAGACCAAGTGTCGGTCGCCCTTGAGGAGACCTGGAGCTAGCAGGCATGACGCCTGCCACTGGTAGATGCTCTTGAGCCCAGCCTCGGCAAAATTAGACACCAGCGCAGGAGGCAGGCCATAGATTGGGTGTTTCAAGGACAAAAGGGGGTTTTCTGCCAGTTCCTGGTCGGTAGGGAAAACATTTGGCTGTTGACCACTATGCTCAGGCAGCGTAGCAGCCACAGGGTAGATGTCACTGGCGACCAGGCGCGCCTTAGGAAGGGTCAACGAAGGGCGGATAAAATCTACCGGTCGAGCAACCGTACCAGGAGCATTCGTGGGATGTCTTACGCCCACCGGCCTGTGATCATCGCCTGCAGATGGGTCCGGGGGTCGCTTGCTTCCAGCCAATGGGGCTGTATCGTACGTCTGCTGGCGGGCAATATCGACAGAGGTCTGAAAGCCATAGGTCTGAAGTGGTTGCCCAGGTTGTGCAGACATGCCTTGGTTATGTTTTGGCCTCTGTACAGCTATAACGGCTATCGTGGGGCTCCCATGAGTGATGGAGTGTACACCCCAGAGAACATTAGATGGCTATCACCAAGTGGGGTAAACAGCTCTAGTTTCAAAGGAACAAATGCCCCCACTGAATGGAAACGGAAATACTTTGATGTTTCTGGCTGCCCGGGACTTCAAGACACAGCCAGGGCTGTTACGATAAGATGATGATGGTGATTGTGATGGTGTTGGTGGAGGGGAAGGAACATTCAAAGAATCCCCGCGAGGCCTGTTTTGGTTCTGGCAGGAACGCGGGTTGCAACGCGCTCGTTTCGGGCAACTGCATTCCCAACTGCCTCAGGCATCAGATCTCTAGGGAGCCTTGTCTCGGAGCCTAAGGCCGCGGGGAGCCTAGAGTACTTGGGAGTTGGGACAGTCAGTACGGACGGAGCCCAGTAGTAGTAGTACTTGCATGCATGCCACGAAGCCTGATAGGCCTGAGTAACCCTGCAGTAAGATGGATGGAACAGGTAGAATAATACCGAGTAATAATAATATTAATAAAATAATAATGGGCCTTCATTTTTCTGTTCCCGTGCGGAAACGTTCCTGGATTGTCTCACCCACTAATCGGAGCCCTGCTGATCCGCCAGTCGAGGGGATGACTTACCCAACGGAGGTTGGTCGTGTGCTAGTCAATAGTGGCATGCATCTTCCATAGTATGAAAGTAGTATCTAGCACTGGCCATATGGTGTCTAGCGCCCGGATCGGGCTCATTCACAGGTTACGAAAGGAGCCGAGGCTGGAGACTGGAGGCTGAAGGTTCAAAGTACGTAGTATGTCTAAGGAGTTAGGAGTGACCTGATAATGATGGCCACCCCCATCACCAGTGTCCAGTATTCACAACTCGCCGATTCCACCCTGTGAGCCCTGCGAGTCTGCGACCCAGTTGGAGCACAGACGTTGGAAATACAGCTGCCACGCTATTCCTTCTTTTCCCGCGCCCTCTGCAGACTGAGGGTAAGTGAGTAAGCAAGGGTGGCCGGAGAACAAGCCCGGCTATCAGAACCAGACATTTATTATTGATCGCTAGTTGACTTTGACACTCACTCATTATTATTCACTCACATCTTGGATGACGGCTCGGATGGATTTCCCATCTGGGAGAATAAGTTTCCATATGAGACTATCACTCCAACAATTCTCGCCAGAATAAGAGGTAATACTGTCTGTGTAGTCGGTATTCTCCTATTGTCTCGTGCAGCTTGGCTGCCTGGGGTCACCTGACGATTATCAAACTGCCTTTGGCTACGGAAGACTAAGGTAAGGCGAGGCAGCCTCCGACTCCAGACGGGGTGCTAAGAGGCGGACCTGCGCAACACCAGACTGGCTTACCGAGTATTGACACGCCCCTTGATGGGGCTGGCTCATGTTATCCCTCTCCTCTCCTCACATCCCACTTGCGAGCCTCTTGCCATCCCATGGATTTAGGTAGTATGAAATCATCAAGTGGTAGAGACTCTCAATCACCCCGAGAGTGATCTTGATTCAGCTCGACCTAGATATTCATTGTCCTTGGATTAGAATACGTGTACTATGAGGGGTTTCACACTCTTGTCCGAACGGGGGTCGAGACGGACGGATGCCTCGGGCGAATAATGTGCCATTCTTCTTCAACATTATTATTATTGATCCGGAGGACTCTGGGCACGAAAAAGAAGGGAATTAAAAAAAAAAAAAGGAAAGAAAAGGAAAAAGAAAAGAAAAGAAAAAAAGGGAAAAGCCCCCCAGTGATCCACCCACATGTGGCCACTCACGCTTAAGCAGGCTTGATCATACATTCCCCGTACACCGTATCATTTATTCATGACGGTTCGGATGATTCTTCCTCACACACTGATCTGTTGTTCACCTAGATATTGCGACGATCTTGCGAGGGCGCTCGGAGGGGTTTTCCTTGACGCAGCGGATGAATCCAGGCCGATGTACCATTGTGGAGTAGATAGTACTGCGCTGAGCCATCGGTGTACTATGTATGTGCTTGGCACAACATGGGTTCCTTTCCCTCTGGCCCTCTGCAGGCACTAGTCCATAAGTGCCAGACTCCTCCATACCGTCCCCGTGGTGCACCCTTTAGAGTATCGGACGATCGAGTCATCTTTGCCGCGTCGACTCCGTAGTCCGTACAGCTTACACGTTTTGACGGTTGGGTTCAGCAGAGGCAACCGAGCATTATGATTGGGGTTTGCATTTCCGGTCATCAGATGATGAATTAAATAACCGGGCCCTTCAAACTGTAATCATCCAGGATTTCTGGTACGGCGACTGGTCGATTAATTCTATTCTACCCGTGGGCGCGCGACATGTATCTCTTATATCTGAATGCTTGTGCTTGTGCATGTGGTAGATGGTACTCCGTACTAGGAGTCGGAATCGGTTTAGGCATTTGAAACACCAGATCCGACCACCCCCAGTCATTCTTCCTTCGACGGGGAAGACCATCACTTTACCCATATGAGTACTTTACCAGGCATCCATCTCATCATTATCATCATCATCATCATCATCATCATCAATCAGCCTTGAAAATAAGATGCGATGCGGCAGTTCGACCTCCCGAGAAAGCGAAAAGTGAGCCTTGAGCTTGGGAATGGCGCCAGGCTGGCCGGAGGCTGTTATGTGGCAACGAAGTCAGGACAACCAACGCGGCAACCGGTCGGTCGTTTCATTGGACCAGGTTGGGTTGCGATTTCTGATCCCAGGAGTTCCAAGGTCCGTCAGTCGCCCGGAGACCTGGGATGCCTCCCAGCCGGGCTTATCGGGATGATGATGTAACTCCAGACCAGCCTCAAACTGATCGACCTCGTAAAGTACGGAGTAGTGAACATCATTCCTCCAGGCACTTGGGAGGTCCCGAATGATTGGAACAGAATTCCCCGGGGTGCTGTGCCATCATCCGAAGTATCTACCTAAGTCAACGGGAGAGTCCCTTCAACTGAGCCAAGGAAAAAAAGTCGCACCCAAAAGATCCGCCGTCGCGGGGGAGATCCCCAGTACGGTTGTAAAAGGACTAAGGACGGCGAGTCAAGTACCCTAGACTAAACGCTAAGGGTTGGGCCATGTTCCCGCTCTGGCCGACGGATTACTGTTATCACCTCATCGCCTCAACTCGACCACATGCGCCCACCTGGCCTGCACAGCGGCAAGCGCTGTCAACCAGGATTATTCTCCCCCTCTCCGGCACGCCTCGACGGCATCCCCGGTGAGGCTGGTATTTCCCACCATGCGTCCGTCCTCTGGATGGATCATGGATGGCTGTTGGCTTTCCGCACGGGAGTGGTCGCGACTGGCGAGAAGTGAGTGGGTAGTTCGCATAAGAAGCCCCAGGCATGCCTGAGGATCGACTGTGTCGCTGCTAATCACCACTAGTCAATTAGCACTGCAGGTCGAAGGGAGCCATGGAACTGGCGCCCTCGCTCCCTTTTCTGTACTGACGCTGAAGTGCTGAACCGAGTTTTCGGTTGCCCGCCTAAGCTAAAATGGCTTAGCATTTCCAGCACGTATCCATGCCTCCAGTCGCCCGTCGTACAGGACCACTTCTTGCACCCAATGCCCCTCCCTTTCCCTCCATCAGTCATTAGTCCTCGGGCTCAGCATGGGCCGTCCGGCCCAAGACGGTGAAAAAGCGAGCCCGCTACCATGTTTCAACCTCGATCGCCTTCTTCTGGCCTCTTGCAGCTGTTGTTGTCAAGGCGACTTGGGTCCTCTCTGCAGCCCGCAAGATGCATACATTCAACTCCTCCCAGGTAATCCAAGTAAGAGTAGTTCTTTTGGGCGAGGTCATTCACCTACTATCTACTTGGTAGGTATTAATATATTCCTTCCTGCCCACACTCCACCGAATGATTCACCAACCCGAGAGGGGGGTTGGGTGTCTGCAAATAGGAGGCCCTGATTACTTCCAGAACACCCCCCCGTAACAATGCGGTACCACTCTCCAAGAACGACCTACCTTGTCCTCTGCAGACCCTCAACCGCCAAACCTGGGAGGATCGGGATCATGATAATGTCATCATGATCATCGGCAGCGACGATGCAAAGCAACGAGGCCACCTTAATCGATGATTTCTTTTATGTCCAGCCGGCCTCCTGGTTACGATGCTGACGCCGTTTCCGTTGACCTAGTTTGAAACAGGCGATATCCGCTGCGCCTTCGATGGCATGGATGGGTCCATCTGTCCACTCACTGCACAGGGACTTGGCGCTCTGGATTTCAGATCCAACGCGCATGCGCTGCCCTACGTGACAACATTCCTGCCACAGATTAGACATGCACTCTCTGGTTCTCCTGGCCAATTCTCAGTCGTCTCCCGTCTGCAGTATCCTGTCCTGTCCTGTCCTGTCCTGTCTATGTCGATTGACGAACAGGGTGAAAGGATCAATAAGTAGATGGGATGGGAGGGACGGACGGAGTGAAATAAATAATGAATGAATGGATGAATGATTGAGTGGATGTATGTATGAATGCAAAGACCGCCTAGCCGTTCATTATTATTTTGCTTGCCCTGGTCCCCTCTCCATTTGTCCGTTCCATGTTCTTTTCTTTTCCACTGCTGCTTAATTTTAGGTTTCCAGGTCCCTCTCCATTCCCCTTCCCTTCCATTCCCATTTCCCCCGTTCTTCAGCATTGATCCTCGTCCCATAGCCCCTCCCCCGATATCATCATTCTTTCGCATTCGGGTTTGTCGGCCCACACAATCCCTTTCTCTCCCCCCATCCGCGAGAGATCCTACTAGTACTAAAGTAAACCCGCTAAACCCAGTGTTTCCGACGTAGATCACCCAACGGGTCAAACACGCCGCCTGGACGAGCAAGGGAGCGCACTGCTATAAAAATAAACCCGAAGCCCCGGCACCGATAGACAGATGGACATTGTATTTCTAAAGTACGGAGTATAGTACTATACTATACTATAGGAGTAGATGGGGGTCATGGCAGCGACGAGCAGGACGAGAGAGGAAGTGGGAGGGAATCCAACCCGAATCCATGCCATGCACCACGAGCGATGCGATGCAAAGGGCGAGGAGGGAAGCCATTCATCTGGTTCATGGGTGGATGGAGGATCCGTCATATTAACACATCGGGACTAGGGGCGAGGACGTGGACTGGTCGGGATCCTCGACGGCTTTCCTGATTCTTTCTGGTCTCTCTTTCTTTCCACCCTTCTTGCATTTCCTCTTCCTTTCTGACTTTTCGCGTTTCCTTCCTGGCTGGCTGGCTGTATTCTTCTCTTTCTTCGCCTCTCTCCCCTCCCTCTCCCTCTCCTCCGTCTTTTTCTACCCTTTTTCTCTTTCTTCCCCTCCCCCCAAACCCAAGATTCCCTTCCCATCTACCTACTACTACCTACACCAGCCAACCAAACCAACCAACCCTTTCCATCCCCGACTCCTCCAGATACTCACATGTATGCTGTGCTTGGGTACTAGCCCTGGTCCAATACTAACACGACTAAAACGACTTGCCTGAACTACCATTCCGGCACCCACGAACTATTCTACCTTACTTACCTTACTCTTACCACGACGACTACGTACTTTCTGCCACTACGAACGCCTAGTTCGATCTGACTGGCTACTGATCTTATCCTGTGCTCACCCCACGAGTCTCCCAACGCCCTAAGTGGCTCTACGTCTTGTTTGGCTTCCACCGCCGCTAACCTTCATTTTACTACTCCGACGTTTCCAGCGGCCCTTCTCTTCTTTCTTTCTTCCCTTCCTACTCTCTTCCCTTCCTATTACCTACAACTCTCCCCGACCACTGGCCTCCTACATTCTTTCTTGTGCCTCTTTCCACCAATATTATTTCATGTCATCCGGTAGCCTATCCCCCTGCCGGTCTGCTTGCTTCGTCCCTCCACTTCTTCCTCTCCCATTCCGCCCCATCGTGTTGTTCCTATCACTTTCGGAGGGTTGCCGATCTTGATATTCCGCAGCCTGTGGGCGTGTCCTATTTTTTGCCATCAACCCCAACTCGACCCTTTCTGCGCCCTTGCGGGAAGAACTGAGGGAACCGGACAAGAAGGCTGCTGCTGTTGTTGCTGCTACTATTAGTGCTTGCTACCTGCCCATTACACTTTTCTGGGTTGGCGTGACCATCGATTGACGGTTCCCCCAGTGCTTCGGGCAAATATCTGCAGCGCCAGGCCTGGTCCATTTCCCATTTTCGTTTTCTTCCCTTTCCCCCTTCCACCCGGCTGCAGAGTCCACTCTCATGAGGGATCGTCTCCCCGTCCCGGCCCGTTGCTGAGCTTTGCATCTCCGCGTCCCAGCCAGTTCAGTTTGGTGTTCTCTCCCTCATCCATCTTGTGAACATCCCAACGCACCCACCACCATCCCCCCTACCCATCAACCTAATCTTATCGGTGTCGATTTCGGTTTCGGGAATTCTACACGGGAATTCCACTCGAGGGTTGGCCATGGCCTTGGACAGGTCACCGCCCCAGAAGTCCCCTTCCCACCACCACGGGAAGCCCAACTCATTGTCGCCGTCTGGCGCAGCCCGTCGCATGCCCACCCCTGGCCACTCTTCCCGAACGGGTTCGGTAGAGGCGCCCACCCCCCAAGGTGCCGCCACCGGCCACGACATACACTCGCAGCCCATGTCCATCAGCGCTTCGGCTTCAGACGTCGCGACTACGGAGCCCCAAGCGCCTCCACCACTCCGGCGCCTTATGGGACCCGGTCCAGAGGTCGCAATGCCGCCCCGCGTCCCAACTATGCCGAGGACCGCGATATCGACGTGGACCTCGAGCTTGCCCAACCCGCCTCCAAATCTGCCAAACGGAGTAGCGGTGTTGCCGGGGCCTTCGTCAATGGCTCCAATGCCGACAGTGAGGAGCCTGTCTCATCGTCAGCTTCGCGAAAAAGTCTAACGGCGGTCAATGGCTCCAATGCCGCGTCTGCTGCGAAAGATTCGATCCCAGGCACCTCCTCATTTTCCGCCAAGTTCGATGAGGGGCCGTGACGCCCTCAGCAGGTTTCTCGAGGAAGCGGAAACAACCTGCAACTTCGACAACCACCACCAACGCTACAGGTGGAAGTGCAGCGAAGAAGATTTTCACTACGGCCCCAGGCACGGTGCACAGTCAGACGGAGACCAATATGGTCAGTTTTGAAAGCCGTGGTGCTTATCTGAAGGATGGAAAACTCAGAGCGGATGACGGCACAACATTCGCCGTAAATGGTAAGATCATCCTCCTTGCTTTTTTTATCCTCTCTCTCTCCTGTAGAGGTACTTGGTACTAAGATCAGCATTTAGACCATGTCTACCTGATTTGTGAGCCCCCAGGGGAGCCGTATTATCTGGCACGAATCATGGAATTCCTCCCCTCCAAGGATGCGCCCTCAGGCCCGATCGAGGCGTTGCGGGTGAACTGGTACTATCGCCCACGTGACATCCAGCGGAAGGTCGCGGACACGCGTTTGGTCTTCGCCTCTATGCATTCCGACACATGTCCACTCACATCTTTACGCGGGAAATGCCAAATCATGCATATTTCGGAGATCGCAGACTTCGATAAGTACCGGAAGTCCCGGGATTGTTTCTGGTACGATAAGATGTTTGACCGGTACATCCATCGTTACTACGACGTGATTCCGACAAGCAAGGTGATAAACGTCCCGGGCAACGTCAAAAAGGTTCTCGACGAGCGCTGGAAGTTCGTTCTAGTCGAGATTGGACGACGGAAGGAGCTTACCAGTGCGGTGAAGACCTGCAAGCGCTGTGGCTTGTATGCCGCAAGGTACACGAATCGTTCTCTTTGGAATGGAATGAATCAAGCACGCTAACTCTCTGACATAGCAATGACTCGGTAGATTGTGCTGTCTGCCACCACACTTATCACATGTACTGTGTTCGACCCGTCTTAACGAAAAAGCCGGCTCGAGGGTTTGCGTGGGCCTGTGCAGCCTGCAGTCGCGCCCAAGAACGAAAGCTCGAGGCGCGCAATACCCCGATACTTGGCGAATCCCACCCTGATGCAGACGAGGAGATGGTGGAAGAGGAGGAGGAGGAACCGAACGGCGCTGCGAATGGCACCACAGGCAGCACCCCAGCACCTGCCGAAGAAGAGGTCCGACCAGCTACCGAGGAACAAGTCGCGCAAGCCAGAATGTGGCCTTATCGCTACTTAGGAATTCATTGCCGTGTGGAAGACGCTCTCGATTATGACGACCGGATATACCCGCGTGCCAGCTCTCGATTGGGACCTCGACATCAAGCCATGGTGAATGCCTGGCCCGGAAAACCGGTGGAGTATGTCAAGCCGGTCGACATCAAGAAAAAGTACATGCGGAGCACTGGGGGACGCAAAGATTCAAAACTTTCCAAGGAGACCGTGGCTGCGATCGAAGCCGCCAAACAGGAAAAAGCCAATCGACCGAAGTGGGTCATGGACGAGCCCCTGGGATATGTCCGGCGCGGCGAAGACGAGCCAGTCTCAGTAGCCGGGAAACAAGTCCGGACTGCAGAGCTGATGTTCAAAATGCCCACAGCTGACCAGATCTCGTCCCGGGGCGAAGACGACGCGCCTGGTGCCAATCTCAGTCCTGCACACCGGGAAAAGTTCATCGATGAATATATGGAGCGTGCAAAGGCCTTGGCCCCTCAATTAGGAGAAGAGAAGTACGCCACTAATTTTCTCGATAAGGCCCTCGACCTCCTCTACTCCAATAGCTTCGACGCCGATGCTGCTCTTGCAAGGCTGAAGCAGATGAACAAATACAAGGATCTCAAGGAGCCCCATCTGCGGCCCGAAGAACTCAAACTGTTTGAGCAGGCCGTTGCGAAATATGGGTCCGAATGGCGTCATATCACCAAGCACGTTGGCACTGTGCCACATTATCAGATCGTGCGGTTCTACTACATGTGGAAGAAAACCCCCCGAGGACGTCAGATCTGGGGCGCTTATGAAGGCAGACGGGGCAAGAAGGAAGCCAAGCGAACCACTGCTGCGAAGCTAGTGGATGATGTGGCCGACGACCATGATGACTCGGCGTTTGATAACGACAAAGCCACGGAGAAGAAGCGTGGATTCCAGTGCAAGTTCTGCTCGACACGAACCTCCCGTCAGTGGCGACGCGCCCCCGGCGTTCCGCCCGGCACTACCACCCCTAATGAGCCTTCGTCGAAGCAGCGGGATAAGGCATCACAACTCACCGTGGCTCTCTGCTTGCGATGTGCATTGCTATGGAGGAAATACGGTATTCAGTGGGAGAGCGTGGACGAGGTGGCTAAGAAGATTGCGCAAAGCGGTAATAAGTCATGGCGCCGGCGAGTGGATGAGGAACTTCTGACTCAACTGCTCGTCTCCACCGAGACACCGATCAGTATCAACAGCGCGACCGCTGCGACGGCGGCCTCCATCGGTGTGCCGGTGAACGCCAACCCGCAGGTGCAGCAAGAGTCTACGAAGAAGAAGGGACGGGCAGTCGAGAAAGACAGCGCAGCGACATCGACGGCCACTTCAGTGGAACCAGCCCCAAAGAAGAAGGCCGCTATTGACAGGGTCCCGGATCCACCTCCGATCATGCCGGATCCTCCCAAGGCTAAAACGCTTCCCTGTGCCATCTGTAACAAGATGGAGCCGATGGGAGACCAGCACCTGTCTTGTAGGGACTGTCGTCTGACCGTGCACCGGAGCTGCTATGGAGTCAGCCCATCGCGGAACTGCGTCAAATGGCTCTGCGATATGTGCTCGAACGACCGGGACCCCATGATCTCGACTACGTACAATTGCGTCTTGTGTCCGGTAACTTGGACAGAGCACGAACTGATGGAGGCACCGAGGTCGACGCACAAGAAGAAGACTGAGCGAGACCGGGAGAAGGAGCGACTCGAAAAGGAGATGGTCAATGAGGCCATTAAGCTGTACCGGAGGAGGCAAGAGGATGTGGGCAAACCGATCGGTCCTCGAGAACCGTTGAAGCGAACTGCCGGCAACAACTGGGTGCATGTCATGTGCGCCGTATGGACCCCCGAGATCAAATTTGGCGACGCGAAGGAACTCGAGCCGGCGGAAGGATTTGGTTTGATTTCCAGGGACAAATGGCGCGATGTTTGTAAGATCTGCAAGACCGATGGAGGTGCTTGTGTGCCGTGCCACTTCGCCAACTGCACCGCCCGCTTCCACGTCGGCTGTGCATTCCAAGCGCAGTACAGGTTTGGATTTGACATCACGCCAATCAAGAGCTCCCGAAGGGATACCGTGAGCAGCGTCCGCCTAGGGGAGGAGGTTGGATCGGCATCCGCGGGGATCTGGTGTCCTCATCACCCACTTACCTCGACGATCCATGAGATCGGCGAGCCTACCGAGGAGGAGGGGATCAACGCTCTGCAGCGGTATGCCCAGGCATACAAGCAAGCCGACCTGACCTTGACGGGAACCATCAGAAAAGCAGCATACGTGCAACAATCCGTCAGCACGTCACATCACGCTGCGGCTCCCTCTGCAAGCCGCCGAGTCTCCACAGCGAACGGCGTTGCAGCCCCTCCAGCAGTTTCGGCTGCACCGGCACCGCCAGTAGCTTTGGTAGCGCCGACAGCGCCGACAGCAAAGGACAGCCACAAATCCCCAGAGGAAACTCCGGATGAGATGATGATCGATTCTGAGAACCACGCTCCCCGGCCCGTCGCTGATGCTGACGCGACGAGAAAATGCGTTCGCTGCTCCAGCACCTTCAGTCCCCGATGGTGGCCCCTTGATAAATCTCGGCGCACGCCTGGAGTCGACCATAGGACGCCTCTGCTCAACGGAGTCGGGCTGAATGATCCCATGGGGCCGAGGCTCTCAGGCGCAGCCTCGACAAGCCCTCCATATCTGCAGCAGAACCCGTCTCAGCATGCCCTTCCGCGCCTGAACGGAGAACACAGCCCGGCAGAGAAGACAGCCCTATCAGCCATTAACAGCGAGGGTTCGCAGACATTGTACGAATGTCATAAGTGCCATCTGAAAAAACCAGCTCCCCAGCCATCGCCCGAACCGCGAGCGTCGCCTTATTCCGCGCAACGGCCCGTCTTGCCCGCCCCTCGGATCACCGAGTACCATAGTCCATTTGGCACTCATCATGCGCATCCACCGCAGTCCGGGGTTCTTCCCAGAACCATGGGTTTGCCGCCTCACAACGGCCCCGAATGGCATCCTGGATATGAGCAGCGCCCTGCAGAGTTCGGTGATAGCAAGATGCGTAATGGATTACCAGTCCCTGGCTATCGCTCAGGACCTCCGCCGCCGCCAGCACCCGCAAGCCATATCAACGGGTTCCCACCTACCCCTTCCCACCATGCTCCCCCGCTGCCTCATTATACTCCAGGTTCCCATCCTTCAGCCCAGCCGTTTCCCACACACCAGAGCCCTTATGGACCTGTGTCGATGCCCTCGCCTCATCTATCCCACGCGACGGGCCCTCGCCCGTACGCGCCATCAGCATCGCCTCCGGACATCCAGGCGACGATGGTTCGGCACTCCCCTCAACATACGCTCAGCGCATTGAACGGTGGGCCTCCGCCACGTGTCTACTCGGTGGATCGCGTGCTCGGGGCGCCAGTGCAGTCGCCGCCCGTCTCGCAGGTGCAAATGGATCCACGAGGCCCGACCCCTCCAGTCAGACCAGAGGATACGCCGGTGATGGCTAGCGCAGGCAGGCATACGAGCGCCAGCGGAACCAATGGCGGGTCGGGGGCTAGTGCGAGCCCGTCTCTGAAGAATTTGCTTTCTTGAACCCTCCCCTTCCTCCCTTCCAATGACTGCGATAGAATAATCCGCCCGTGTATTATAGCTCTTTTCTCTTCGTCTGCGCCCTCCCTTTTGTTGCTTTCTTTTCTTGGGGCCTGTTTCTGGCATGGTAAAAGTGGGGTTGGGGCTATTCTGAGCTTTTCCATCAGCGTGCTTCTAGATTCACTCATGAGTTATTTGTGTGCTATTTTCCTTTCTCGTTTTTGTTGCCATGTCTTTTTCTCTTCGTCCGTGTTTTTATATAGTCATGAGAGGCGCATACTCGACATTTTTGAAAGCCGCGGCTACAGCCAGGATCGCATATGCATGAATACCGTGAAGAGCCGGGGTCGGATGGGTGGCTCCTGTGATACAGAAATACAACCAATGAATTCCCAGTTATTTGCGGTTGCTGTGAAATCAATCAGCTCCATCCCCCACCTGTATGCTCCGTATATATAGTATATCTATCTCCGTATCTGATTGCTAACCCCGACTCGGCTGCATGCACCATGCGATAACTGACATGTTATCGACTAGTATTTAGTTACATAGTCCATTAGTACCCGCCTGACTCAGGTCCTGCAGCTCGAACCTCGCCCGTGTGACTCTCCCTAGCACCCACCCCATTGACCGGCAGTCCCCGAACCCATCCCTGCCCACCTAGCAGCGCAGTTATAACTATTATCTACTATCTACTATCTACTATCTACCGGGCCAGCTCGCCGCTTATCTCCTGTCAGTAATCAATAAATGCGGGGTAACCAAGCTATCCCTATTTTCCCTGCTGCCTGGGTGGACAAGTAGATAGATAGGTCTGTAGGTAACCATGAATTGAGTTCAGTGTTACGCTACACAACAGAATGTGTATGCTGTTTCCGATAAGCGGTATTTATGTATGCATATACATAGCACTATGTAGGTTTGTATGTAAGTGGTAGGTGGGTAGATCCTGGGCGGCTGTGCAACGGGGACTTACATATGTATCTAGGTACCTAGTAGATATGAACTCTCTCGATAAGGGGATGATCATCGAGGGAATTAGATGGATCATGGATGAGATGATAAGAGCGGGTGGGGGAAAGCTGTCATTGAGATGTAGGTGCTAGGTATTGTGGTGTGTAAGTAGGTAGGGGTTTTAGGGGGTGGAGTGGGTGGTTCGGTTTGTATGGTGGGTTAGGTAGGTAGGGATAGAGTGCATAATTGATGTATATATACTTATGTACGGGCTATATTTACTAGGCACTAGGAATATGAAGGGATGTACTAATTACCCCACGGGTCAGGTTCATTGCGTATTCAGTGCATGTATGTATGATATACTGTTATAGGAGATAGATGAACTTGCTTTGTAGAGTAGTGGTTTGTTGGGATGATGGCAATTAAGCCACTGGAAGGGAATTTGGATTCTGGCCACTCTGCTGGTCGGGTTCTCGACTGTTGTCCACTTCAATGTGCTCCGTCTGCTTCTGATACTGGCAGGAAGGAAGCTCCTTGCAGGCCTCCAGGCTGCGGAGTGATGCGATACTCTGATTGGGAAGGAACCGCCCCAACCACGGCCCTTTAGCCCGTGACCCGAGGTCTGTGTGTCCGAGGCCACCGCCCGTCCTGATTGGCGGCTTTCCGAACGAATCGGCAAGGCGGGATTTCCACTCACGCAGCTTAGACTCTTCCTCTCCCGTCTGCTGCTGACCATCGCCTGAGCACAGCTCCCCTACTACTTTGGTACTTAAGTAGTACATTACGATGAGGAAAAGATGATATGACCTCTTCTCCAGTGGTTCACTGGATTATCGAACTCGTCAGAGGCGGTCAGACAGCATTTTGCCCCAGCCGTCCCCAGGGTTCGTTGGTTTACTGAGTCGTCATCACATCATCGGGGCCCCGTCTTGCCCTGTGGTCGAACGGGAGACGACGTCACTGACGGGTGGGTGTTGGTTGGTTGCCACCCCTGATGGATGAATCTTATCCTATGATTCCTGGGCGTTGTCGCACAGAAAGACAATGGCGCACCTCAGTGAGGAGGGCAGTTGCCAAGGCAGTCGGGCTGCAGAAGAGGAGCCATGTGGATTCGACGGAATGGAAGTTCTAGAAGATGAGGTGTCTGCCTGGCACGGCCAGACTCGGCAGGTTGCACTGGTCCTGACTCGTTGCTCCTCTGTCCGTCGTGGCCTGGTGGCTGGCGATCGACGGCATTCCCCAGGGTTCGTGAGTTTAACGGTGAAGGGGAGAAAAAAAAAGTTAAAAAAAAAAAAATCAAAAGGAAGAATATTACAGTACCCAAGGGCAACCAACGACTCAGTGTGTGGACTTTGTTGATGTCATCTATTTGGTTTCAATGGTTCCAGGGTTGTTCATCCGCCAACGCCCCTCCTTTCCTCCCCTCCGTCCCCTCTGTCTCCTCCTCATTTTAATAATAATAATTCAAGCCATTAATCTAACCGGCTGAGCCAGGTCCTCCCCGAGGCGGACTTGAATAATAAAAATGGAAACGCGCCAGGAAATTAATCATCCCTCCAGCGCCCGGCTAAAGCGCCAAGACCCGCCCGGGAAATTCTAGAAGTCCAACTGAGCTGGCCATGAGCTAATGAGATCCTTTGCTTAAGCGTCATGGGCTCCACTCTCTCCGCTCACTTTATCTCTTCTCGGTCGCCTTTTTTTTTTTTAATTTTTCTATTTTTCATTTTTAATTTACCCTTGGGCTGCTCCATTTCTTCGTAGTCATTTGTATTCTTCCGGTCGGGTCTGTGTTCGACTCTCACTACTCTCTGTCAGACCCAGACACAGTTCCCTGCGAGAAGCGAGTGGTTTGTGCCTCCACCGGTTCCTCCTCGGGTGTGGTGAGTACAGTAGTACGATGCAAGTCTTTTTTCCTTTTTTTTTTTTTTTCCTTTGCCTTCTTTCCTTTTATCTCTCTCTCTCTGTGTGTGTGTGTGTGTTGTCTTCAATAGTAGGGCTAGACTACTAGGGGTGACAACTAACTAGGTCATTACTTAGGCATAATAATCTGTAGTAATTAATCACTTTGCAGCTTTCCCCCTCCGGGTTTTCCCCCCGGGTTAAGAGACTACATAGTACTACTGTACTAGTATGATGGTGGCTCCCTTGGATTCGATCGAGGTTCTAGTCGGATTCCTTACATCGGTCAGCCGAATACGGGTAACCAACGAGCTAGACTCAGGCCGGACAGCCAGATGCAAGAGCAAGGAAGTGGGGGACGGCCGATCGTACCTCGACACGGAACGAAAGGCGAATCGCCGACGACAACTAGTCCGACTGGAATCTGTTCAGCTCCGGAGCACCACCGTCACTAGTCAGAGTGGTCGATAGCACCATACTTACTTCCCTAGATAGCAGTAGATTGCATTCTGCGATCGTCTCCATCCTATCGGAATCCTGAAACCCCTCGAGGGCCAGCTGTTGAGCTGATTGCGTGTGAGCACTGACAGTAGCTGGCTGCTACTAGTAGTTCTACTAGGTAATAATACCAGCTAGTATGGAAAGCAAGTACTAGGTATGTAGTAATATAGTAAGTAATACCAATGGTAAGACAAGCTGACGAGTGACGACGACGCCCGCCTGCCGCCGTGCCGCGACCTTCTGGAAGACTGGCAGAAATGCAGCAACCCAAAAGCTAAAAGCACCTTCTTGCTGGGGGGCCCAAAGAAAAGGTCGAAACCTTCTTGACCCTGGCTGGACAGCGCTAGAACTGACGAGCCAAGTAAGTAGTAGACATCCCATCCATCTACTACCTATCTACTAGTTGTCTAGTTCGAGGCTTCTTCGTTCATGTCAGTTCGTCTGTCACGGTCTGTCAAAAAAAAAGCATCCTAAGCACGACTCCATCCTCTGGTTCACCTGGCGATCTTGCTGGGGAATCGAAGATTCGATCCTCCTCCGCCGCATTGCCCCAAGCACCACCACCATCTTTCCCTCCTTCTCCCTCCTCCTCCTCCCTCTTCTTTCCCTCTCCCTCTCTCTTACTCTCTCACTCTCACTCGTGCTCTCTCTCGGTCTCGGTCTTCTCTCCTTCTCGATTCCTTTCCCACCCCCGGTCTTTCTCTTTTTCTTCCTTTCTCTCATCTACTATCTACTCTACTCAACTACTTGACTACTACTACTCCGTACTTGGACTTACTTTCCTCTTCATTTTCATTTTCTTGCTACTAGCTCCCTTCCATCTTCACACTTCTCTCCCACTGTTTGCCATTCGCACTCATCCGGGGTTCTCACTTACACGCTCTCGTTCCCTAACTTTCCCTTGTCTCCTTGTTACCCCAGTCCTTCTCCGACCACCACTTACCACTGCCACTGCCACTACTACCACCACCACCAACCAGACTACCAGTCCACCACAATCTACTCCATCCCCTCGAATTCCGGAGCGGTTCACTGGGGACCGTTTTACCTAATCCTCTGCCACCCACCAGCCCAGACCCGACCCGGTCCAACCAAGCCAGCCTCACCCACCCGTGCGGCCCCTTCGCCCTCTTCTCCCGATCGATCTTCTTCCTCTCCACCCTCTCATCTCAGTCTCGTGTCATCTTTTCTCCGTCTGGCCGTGTCGGTGGCCCACCATGACGCCCTAAGCCGTCGTCCTTCTTGGGTCGCGAATTTCGTCGCTCTCATCTAGCCGAACTCTCGCATGCGCCGCGATCTCGCTGCCTCCCCGTCGGGTCGATTTCACTCAGGCGCCATCTCTCCCCGTGGGTGACGAAGTGACCACCACCACCGGAGGAGGAACCACCACCTCTATCACCACCACCCCCCAATTGACCTACCTCCGGCCTTTTTTTCTTCGCCATTTATATTTCTTTTCTTCCTTCCGCTGGACTCTCTTCAGAAACTGTGAGTGAACAAGCTTGTGTGTGTTTGCGTGGGCAAGTGCGTGGGTATGCAGGTGTGGCGATCGCAGCCAACCGCCGTCTGGAGGCGTGCATGCGGTACCGTGCAAAAGCACCCGATTGTCTCAGAAAGGTTTTTGGCTGGTCCTGCACCGCGCACCCCCCGCAGGAAGGACCATCGCTCATTCTCCTGCTGGACGGCTGCAGCCAACAAACACATTGTTCAACGTGCGCCCCAGACGGCGTTTCGTCGCTGTCGCTGATCTGCTTCGCTGGTCACTGCACTTCTCGTTTGCTAGTTGCTGTCGTCGCTTGCATACCCTGCAGGCCGTTGCTTCCAGGCTCCGGACTCGCTGACACCGTCTAGAAACCAATTTAGAATCCAACTGTATAACGTCACCGATCGCAAGTCCCTCCTTTGTCCAACTTCTCAACGCTCCTTCGCTTCCCTTTGTACCGTCTACCGGCCGTTCGCTTCTCCCTGAGATCTCTCGACTCTCCTCCACCTGTATTGCCACACTTATAAACCATATGAACCCGAGTTCGGACCGGCTAGGCTGCTATTTCTTCGTCTCCTTACACCTCCGTTATTATCTCGAGACTTGACAGTTGGAGTGGAGAACCCCTGGATGATGGGTGTTTCAAATCCAACCGACACCATGGATCGTTTCGACTGCTCCGCCATCTATATCGACCATCGCGTACGATCAGAACGTTGGGTGTATCAAGGTACGCCCGAGACCCCGGCAGGCGCAACGTCGGATTCTGGAGTTATCGAGGAGCCGGAATCGCTGTCGTCGGACGTTCAAGTCCTGTTAGGAGTATGTAAACGCATATATCTCTGCCAAGCCGGAACCTCTATCGCGACCAAATTAGCGGAGCTAAGCGACGGCGCTCATACTCGCTGCACGCCCATCTTCGTGTTCTTCGATGTTGATATCCATGGCGAGGAAGCTGCCCTGCATCGTCGCCGAGCCAGCCGTGGCTCGTGGGCCGATGTATCGCCTCCCTCGCCAGCATCCCTGCGTCGGGGATTCACCTTTACCTCACAATGGGAAGGGGCATACGACTTGAAGTTACTCTCGGGGTTGTCGGCCGATATCCAAGTCCAAGATTGCCCCAATGTGATCATTCCCGTCGCTGTCTTGCGCTCTCCGTTCGCCGACCCCACTAGCGCCTCCCCTGTCGAACAGCCTCGTATTCCATCTCTCCCCGAACCCCAACACATCTCCAAATGTCTGGATGCGGGTGCAGTCGACGTTCTAGTAACCCCGCTGGACAGCTGTAGAGCACAAGCTCTGGTTGTCCAGGCCTATCGGACTCGTAAGACGGCTCTCCGAGAACAGTCGCGCTTTCTTTCGCGAAAGAAACTGCGCAAACACTCATGGGTGGGTGTCCATGACGAGCAGCCATATGCGTACCTCCGAGAAGCCATGGTTTCCAAGCTCATGCGGGGCATCTGCAATCCTGAAGAGGTGATTGAGGAATTCCAAGACCGCGAACTAGACGTTCGGCCCGACCGCGCGGATTTTGTCAGAGAACACATTGGGAAATGGAGTTTTACCGCCCATGAGTTTTCGGACGACGAACTGGTATTGGCCGCGTTCGAAATGCTGCAGCATGCTTTGACTGATCCGGCGCTGGAGCAATGGCAGTTATTGCCCGGTAAGTGAATCAGACGGATCCTTTTGGTGTTTGAGGTTCAGCTAACGAGGGGATCTTACTTTTTAGGCGAACTCCGGACATTTCTCCTCGCTTGTCGTGCGTCTTACAACTCCTTTGTTCTCTACCACAACTTCCGACACGCGATCGATGTGTTGCAGTCGGTCTTCTGTTTCCTTCTCCACATCGGCGCCCTCCCCTCCTACGGGTCTGCGGGCCCCACGATTGACACCAAATGCCCGATCGCATCTCTCCTCACACCATTCGATACCCTCACCCTACTGATATCAGCCATTGGCCATGACGTCGGCCATCCCGGCGTGAACAACTTCTTTCTGGTGAAGCTGAATGCCCCGCTGGCCCAGCTGTATAACGACAACTCTGTTCTGGAAGCATTCCACTGCGCCGCCTTTTCCCAGATTCTGCGCCGCTACTGGCCGACGGCGTTCCGCGATCGGCAACTGCGCAAGCTTCTGATCAGCTCCATTTTGGCCACGGACATGGGCGTTCACCAGAAGTTCATGGAACGACTGGGATCGCTTCAGGAGAAGTTCCACGAGAACAAGCGTACGACGGACGGGTGGAAACCCCAGGATTTAGACCTGTATAAGACGCTGCTGTGTGGTCTGCTGATCAAGTGTGCCGACATCAGTAATGTGGCGCGCCCGTGGGAGGTTGCGGAGAAGTGGACCCAGATCCTGCAGGAGGAATTCGCCAATCAGGGCGAGATGGAAAAGGAGGTTGGGATGGAGACTGCGCTGTTTGGCGGTCCACCCGAACTGGGGAATGTGTACAAGCTTGCCACCAGCCAGATTGGATTCATGTCGATCTTCGCCCTGCCGCTCTTCGAGGGCGTGTCGGATATCCTCCCCGACCTGAAGTTCACGGTCGAGCATATCCGAAGCAACCAGTCCAAATGGCATTTTCTCGCCGACATGGAGAAAAACCGGCAAACGTTGCAGGCTGATCTTCGTCCAGACGACTTGGTGTCGCCCCGCACTCAGAGCCCCATTCCAAGTTTGAAGGGACTCCACGCGCCGCTAGCCATCAATAGTTCCAACACGCCCCTCCGGTCATCCTTTCCCACCAGCGAACCTGCCAGCCGGCAGTCGACCCCGGATGATTACTTTGGGGCCGCGGCGACGCCCTTGGGTTCGGACGAGGCGCCCAGTGATTATAATGAGAATACCATCAGCCCGGTCGTCTCACCGGACACTCCGGGCCCGTCCATGGACATCACTGGGTACCAGTTGCCGCCGGAGGAGGCTGTCTCGCGCCGGTCTTCCGGCGTCATTCCTGAGGGAGACACCGACTCTCCATCCGCACGCCCGAGTGACGCCCTGGACGATTCCTCCGACGCGAATCGGACTCCGAGCGACCCAACCGCCCTGGCAGCCGCCCTCCTCGCCAACGGATCCACTGCGGGGAACGGCGACACGTCGGGTCGCTCCAGCGGGCGCAACAGCTCCGTGGAAGGCCGACCAAGCAGCTCGCGTTATGGGTTGCCTAGCGGTCGACGCCATCATGCGAACACGGCTTCGTCGGGGCGCACATCGGGGCCGTCGAATTCGCAACGGAACAGTTGCACGCGCACGCACAGCGTCAGCACCTACAGTAACAACATGACCCCGATCTCGCCGTCAACGAATGCAACCAGCTTCCTCAGCGTGGACAGCGACGAAAAGAACTTGCCTCGGGAAAGCATCAGCCGGAGTGATCAAGGCGAATGGGACCGTGCCAACAACATCCGGCCGGCCACGTCCAACCATGAGCCGGCCATTGCGGCGTACCCTAGCGCGCGCCGCAATTCCGACCCGCACAGCTACGATGCTGGCAAGCACCGCATGGCGGTCTCGCCAGTGGGGACTGGGACGGGCAGCTCTGCTCAATCCACGACGACGACTGGAAGCATGAAACACGAGGGGCATGGGCCCCGCTGGGATGAGCATGGGCCTGGGGAGCACGCTCCCCCGCGTAAGCTGCCGAAACGCCGGAGTCGACTACGGTTGGCTTTCTGGAAGCGGCGCACCCATCACTCGCATCAGCATGAACTGAGTGGCGAGACGTGACGGCACGGATGTTTTTTTTTGATTTCAGTTTCTGTTTTCTCGTTTGATCGATTCAAGGTGTTCCTGGCGGGTTGGATTCACGTGTGAGCAAAACGAGGGGACCGGATAATGGGCTCATGAATGGGAACATTCAGCTGACGACTCGGATTTATGATGGATTGCATGATTTGACGACCGGCTCGGCGGATATTGCTTGATCTCCGGCGAGCCGACTTTCTTCTTCTTCTTTATTATCTTACTTTCATCTCCTACGTGGAACACATTATTTCATATTGTCATTACCATACAGAGGCGGGCAGGATGGGGCACTTAGAGACGGGGCGTGGACAGGCGTTTCGGATGAGGCGGCCACAGGCAGGACTGTACCTTTTACCAATCCGAGTATGGGTTTGTGCATTTGTCTATGTGTGAATTGATCAACTCGACTACTTGATACATATATAAGATTATTGACACTCTTCACATTTTTCCTTTTCCTTTTCCTCTCCCTTGTTCTGTTCCTTCTGCACTTGATTCTCCTGATCCTTCACTGCACCTGCTTTCAACGCCCGATCCGTATGTCCCAAATCCCTTCCAGGATCTACCACATTCCTCACCAAACTCTTAAGCACTTTGACTTCTAAAAACACACCCAGATTAGCATACCGCCGTAATACCACCGTAACCCCCCACCCCAACACACCTACACACATGCCCACCAAAGAATGAAAAAAAGAAAGTAAAATAAGATCACATACCAGGAAACCCCCCATTCGTCTTCCTATCCCATAGAACCGTCGACGTGATAGACACGTCACCTTCCATTTCCTCTGCCTTCTTTCCCTCCTTATCCTCCTGGGCTTCCGAAGAAGATTGAGAAGAAGAGGTAGGGACAGGATGATAAATAGTAACTGTAAACACGCCCCCTGTTTCCGGGACGAGAGCCACTTCCCCGAGTTGGGTGGTGAATGTTGAGAGGAGTTCTTGGGCGAACTGTGTTTTTTTATATAGTGTTAGGTGAGTGGTTGGTTGATTGGTTGGATGGATGTTTGTTTGTTTGGGAGGGGAGGGTAAAGGTGTGTTGGATTGATACTAGGTGGGTGGATGGATGGATGGAGGGGGACCGTGTGTATGTGTGTAAGTGTGTATGGGGCAGGGGATAAGGTGACGAAGGTGGGGGAGTAATAAGCAATAAGCAATAGGAAGAAGGTGGGTATAGGTAGTAGTAGTAGTAGTAGTAGTAGTAGTAGTGAAAAAGTCAAGGTATAAGGTATAAGGTAGGATAAGGTTGAGACAGGAACATACATATGCAGCGCGCAGCAACCATTTACATTGGGTGCAGTATTTGATGGTGATGCGGGGGAGGGTGTTGTGGAAGATATCCGATTCGGGGACCGTAGTGCTGGTAGCACTGGTGGTGGGTGGCTGAGCTGTCATTTTCGGTCTGCTTTTCTTGGTCCTTTCTCTCTAGTCGTGGGTGCTGATGGGGGGAGGGGGGGGTGGTATGTTGTTGCGGGGTGTGGTGGTGTGGTGGGTTGTGAAATGCTGAATAGAGATGAGGGGATTGGATGATGTCAGCGGGTGGATGTGCTGGTGCAGGTGGCAGCTGTCTATCTATTCTCCGAAATGAATCATGCATATGATCGGATCTGATTAATTAACCAATCGCCAATGCACCCTCGATATCTCTCAAGCGGAGATTCCATCCGCAGCTAGACTCACATCTGCAGAGTTAAATATAACCTTCACTAATTAACTAAACCCCGTGAATCTATGCTACAAGAACCGGGCATCCTCCCGTCGCTGGTTATACGTTTTTTTCCCCAATCCGTCCGAATCACTGCTAAACAAAGGAAAGATGGTCCAATAAAATCACTACAAGGAAAATGACACTTGTCGAGCACTTCCTCGACAAGAAAGAAAAAAAAAGTGGAAGCCCACGGGGAGCTGTCGCACGTCTCGAGGCAAATCACGACCAGTCCAATTTGTGCGGCCGCTCCCACGGCCAGTATCCCGAAGTTCATGCAGGTCCAGCGCGCTCCTTCGGTGGTGTCATCCGGGGTCTTTTCGTCGCGGGCAGGCTGGCAGTCGGAGCACCGAGCGGTGGACGGTGGGCGTTCCATGGGTCCAAGGTATGGTGACAGAGAATTAGATAGTAGAAGGGTAGAGAAGAAAAGTCATCGCAAGAGGGGATATAAAAGCGCCGACGGACTGATGGCGGCTATCAGTCCGTCCGAATCAAAAGACGTGGAAAGGTCATGAGCCCATTACATGACCGTGCAGCACCCTCCCTGCTGCTGGGGGGCGTATGGGTCCTCACGCTTGTCGACCTGCGACCGTCAGTGACTTCCTCGAGGGTGGAAGGACAAAACATGGGAGAGTCGCATACCTGGCCCCATACGGATGGTACCATGAAATCGCGTGTGTTGTTGCAGTAGTTGATCAATCTGCGGGAAACGATGGGGGTGAGTAACACGCGGTGGCTGGAGAGGCGAGTGTGGGAGGGCAGCCCAGCCGGAACTTACGACAGGGCGGCCTCGGACACCTTGACACGAGGCCGGTCGAGGTCCTCCTTCAAACGGGCGTTAAGCTCGGTCAGACGGCGGTACTTGAGATCGGCCACACTCTGCTTCTTATTCTTGACATCACCCCCGATCGGAGCTCGTAGGCAGGCATCTTGGCGACGGTCGGAACGGGACGAAACGTGCGAGGCCGGGAAGTTAATCGATGGAGGTGGAGGGCGACGCGACGATGGGTCGGGCGGCAGCAGCGTAGGAGGAAGAAGCTGGGGGTGGGTGGAGAAGAGGCGATGTGATGTGTTGGATGGAGTGGTGGATTCAGCAGGATCGGTCGGGAGGCTCAGCTTAAGGTTCTTTCGCGCGTCGAGCCGGCAGGAAGCAAGGGGAACAGCAAAGGCCGGGCGGGAAAGGTGGGCGGGCGCGAAAAAAGGAGGAGGGGAGGGAGGAAGAGAGAGATAGAGAGAGAGAGAGAGGGAGGGAGGGAGGAGGGAGGGAGGGAGGGAGAGAATGTGGTGGGAACAGCGACCGGGGGGAAGAGAGGGAGGGAGGCAGGGCAGGCAAGTAATGGGGGTAAGGAATGAATGGAAGGATGGTGGAAGGACGGTGGATGAACTCGAGGAACAAGGTCGACGAACTGACAAAGAGGGAGGGAGGGAGAAAGGGAGAGCAGGAAGGGGAAAAAGAAAAGCGAGCGACTACTAACTGCTTGCTGCTGGACCGGGGGAAAAAAGAGGGAAAAGGGAAAAAGAGGGGGGGCGGATGAGCAGATGGATGGGAAAGGGAAAAAAAAGGGAAAAGGCTGACTTTGCGAAGAGTTAGTAACCTTTCTGTTAGTAGTTCCTTAGTAGTTTCTTAGGTTCCTTAGGAGAATTGCTAAGTAGCAGTACTACTACTACTACTAGAAAGCAGGAGGAGCGCTGGTCTGTGAGTAGTCGCAGGGAAATGAGAGGAGAACCCCCTGAGCGGATTGAAGATACCTCCAGGTCCCGTGCGTTTCTCCTCCAAGTTCCTCATGCAGTCAGCAAAAAGGCTGCCCCCAAGGCGTTCCTGATCAACATTATCATCATCATCATTCTTATCAAGGACTAAGTGGATGTCGTCATGCTTGTTTGGGTCATTTTCCAACCCATTGGTATCATGGCATTCGGTAGCATCCATCCTCGGCCTCACGTGGATCAATCACATCCGATCCATACCGTACCAGACCGTATGGGTCACGATCCCTCGAAACATCCGACCTCTTCTTCGGCTGTGTTGGCCGGGAATCCCGTCGCCTCACCATACCCATAATCATAATAGCATTGTATATCCACTGCAACGGTCGACAGATCAGACGAGCTTGGACGCGTTCTTCGCCTCCCGCCAGGTCCCAGGGATCGTCCCAACGTGTCAGCGCATCGCCCGTGAGTACGGAGCAGTGCCTACTCGGTATACCTCCCGGCATCCGTCAACCGTCAACCCCGTCCGGGTGGCGGCCAGAACCACCCCCCCCCCCTCCCCCCTTCGATGGGACTGCCCCCAGTAGAGATAACACACCAGGAATGGAAATCCAAATCATGATGGAGGATGATTTTACTTTGAATAATGTGGAGGCTTGACTTACCCCGTGAAAGGGGAACGGTCTCCCCCCAAACATCACGTGACTGTCATCGCTTAACCCAAAGTGGGAACGGCGGCGGCGGGAATTTTCGCGGGTTCGCACAACGACGACGCCTTCTTCCTCAACCGATTGATTGACTGACGTCCTGTCTGTCTTGGGTCTGTCTTCTCGCCGACCGTCGCGTGGCAGCCTTTCCATCTCCAGGCTCCTCTCGCCCTCGACTCCGCTGCCCGCCCGTCGTTGTGCGATCCGACTCCCTTCCCTCCCCCCCTCGACCTCCTCCCAGTCGAGTCCCTTGTGTGTCATCAGCCTATACGTGATCATTCATCGACGTCGCCGTATCACCCAACATGCCGCCTCCGCCTCACATCAAGCCTGAAAATGTCCTCAAGGTACGCCGTCCCGGCTGCGTGCCTCCTCCGAGAACATCTCCGATGCAGGACTGGAATATAAGAGTCAAACGGGATGGGGGAAAAAACAAATGCTGACTGGAATCTCGTCCGCAGAGGGCTCAGGAACTCATCGCCGTGGGCCAGGCCCCCGCCGCCCTCAACGTCCTTCACGAACATGTCACCTCCAAGCGGACGCGCAGCAGCCCCATCGTCTCCCTGGAGCCGGTGATGCTCCTGTTCGTCGAGCTGTGCGTCGATCTTCGCAAGGGCAAGGCCGCCAAGGATGGTCTCTACCAGTACAAGAACATCGCCCAGAACACCAACGTCGGAACGATCGAGGTAGGAGGAATTTTTTTCTTGGAAACACTACCGCCGCAGAATCTGACTTCTGCTTGTTTAGGTTGTCCTCAAGAAGTTCATCGAGCTCGCCGAGAAGAAGGTCACCGAGGCTCAGGCCAAGGCCGACGAGATCCAGTCCTCTCTCGAGTCTGCCGCCCCTTCCTCCAACGTCGAGGATCTGGAAGCCATCGAGACCCCTGAGACTATCTTGCTCGCCACCGTTTCCGGTGAGCAGTCTCGCGACCGTACTGACCGTGCCGTTGTCACCCCCTGGCTCAAGTTCCTCTGGGAGACCTACCGCACCGTTCTCGAGATCCTCAAGAACAATGCCCGCCTGGAGGTTATGTACCAGACCACCGCCCTGCAGGCTTTCCAGTTCTGTCTCAAGTACACCCGTAAGACCGAGTTCCGTCGTCTCTGCGAGTTGCTCCGCAACCATGTCCAGAACGCCGCCAAGTACTCCGCTCAGATGCACGCCATCAACCTCAGCGACCCGGACACCCTCCAGCGCCACTTGGATACTCGTTTCCAGCAGCTGAACGTCGCCGTCGAGTTGGAGCTGTGGCAGGAGGCCTTCCGCAGCATTGAGGACATCCACACCCTCCTCAGCCTGAGCAAGCGTCCCGCCAAGAACGTCATGATGGCGAACTACTACGAGAAGCTGGCCCGCATCTTCCTTGTCAGCGAGAACTACCTCTTCCACGCTGCTGCCTGGAGCCGCTACTACAACCTTCTCCGCCAGTCCGCCGCCACTCTGGCCGCCGGTCAGGGCACCAAGAAGGAGAACCCCTCTGTGACTGAGGCCGACATGACCAAGGCCGCCTCCTTCGTCCTGCTGTCCGCCCTGTCCATCCCCGTCATCAGCACCTCTCGCTCCCGCGGCGCCCTGGTGGATGTGGACGAGGTCCGCAAGAACAAGAACACCCGTCTCACCAACCTGTTGGGTATGGCCCAGGCCCCCACTCGTGCCGTTCTGTTCAAGGATGCCCTGAACAAGGGTATGCTGAAGCGCGCCCGCCCTGAGATCCGGGAGCTCTATAACATCCTCGAGGTGGACTTCCACCCTCTCTCCATCTGCAAGAAGATCACCCCCATCCTCAAGCAGATCGGTGCCGACCCCGAGATGGAGAAGTACGTTCTGCCTCTGCAGCAGGTCATTCTCACCCGTCTCTTCCAGCAGCTGTCCCAGGTCTACGAGTCCGTCGAGCTCAAGTTCGTTTACGAGCTTGCTCAGTTCCCCGACCCCTTCCAGATCACCCCCTCCATGATCGAGAAGTTCATCATGAACGGCTGCAAAAAGGGCGATCTCGCCATCCGTGTCGACCACACCGCCGGTGTCCTCACCTTCGATACCGATGTTTTCTCGTCCGCCAAGGCTCTGCACGCCGGCAGCGCCGCCGGATCCGCCGAGAGCGAGGTCGGCTCCGTTCAGCGTCTGCAGAACACCCCCGCTGAAATCGCTCGCCTACAGCTCACTCGCCTGGCCAAGACCCTGCACATCACCTGCATGTACGTCGACCCCTCGTACAACGAGGCCCGTCTGGAGGCCAAGCGTGCTGCCCACGCCCGCGCTGAGGCCGGTGCTGCCAAGGAGCACGAGGAGACTCTGGCGCGCCGTGTCGTCATCGAGAAGAAGAAGGAGGCCGCTACCGATGCTCTGCAGCGCAAGCAGCGCGAGGAGGAGACCCGCAAGCGTATCCGCACTCAGCAGCTCCAGGAAGCCGAGAAGCAGCGTCTGCTCGATGAGCAGCGCGAGCGTGAGAAGAAGCGTATCCAGGATGAGCAGGAGCGCATCCGCCAGCAGGAGCTCAAGAAGCAGCTGGAGGAGCTGAAGACCGGCGTCAAGGGTATTGACATCAGCGAGCTCGACCTGAGCGAGCTGGACGCCAACCGCCTCCGTGCCATGAAGCTGGCTCAGCTGGAGAAGGAGAAGAACGACCTCAACGACCGCGTCCGCACCACCGCCAAGCGTATTGACCACCTGGAGCGTGCCTTCCGTCGCGAGGAATTGAAGCACATCCCCGCCGACTATGAAGCCCAGAAGAAGAACGACATGGAACTCTACGAGGCCAGCAAGGCTGAGACCCTCAAGGAGGCCGAGGACAAGCACAAGGAGGCCGTTGCGCTCAAGCACCGTCTCAGCCGCCTGGTGCCCCAGTTCAATAGCTTCCGCAAGGAGGTCTCCGAGAAGCGCCACGAGGAGTTCGAGAAGCGCCGCAAGGCTGCTGAGCGTGACTTCGAGGCCAAGAAGAAGCAGCGTATCAAGGAGGTGCAGGAGCGCAGACGCCGTGAGAAGGCCGAGCGCGAGGAGGAAGAGCGCCGCCGCCAGGAGGAGGAAGAGCGCGCCAGACGCGAGGAGGAGGAGAGAGCCGCCAAGGAAGAGGAGCGTCGCCGCATCCTTACCGAGGAGAAGTCTAAGCGTGAGGAGGAGAGACGGTTAGTACTTCCCCAATACCGGCCGCAGTCTGCGATAGAACGTGTTGCTAATTCGCCTTTTAGGAGACTGGATGATCTTGCCGCCAAGCAGAAGCAGCGTGAGGAGGAAGCCGAAGCTCGCCGTGCCGCTCGCCGGACCGGTGCTCCTGAGCCCGAGCCTTCAGCTCCTGCTCCTCTGGAGCGCACTGAACGTACTGCTCCTCGTCTCAATCTTGCGCCTCGTACCGGTGGTGGCCCTAGCTGGAGAGAGCGTCAGGCCGCTAAGGAGGGCTCCGGCGCCGCCGCCCCTGCCCCCGCTGCCGCCGCTCCCGAGCCCGCCAGGGAGGAGCCCCAGCCGGCGCGCAGAACCGGTGGTGGTTACGTGCCCCCTCACCTCCGTTCGGGCTCTAACGCCGCTCCTGCTGCGCCTTCGACGGAGCGCTACGTTCCTCGCATGCGCGAGGCCGGCTCTTCCCAGCCCCCCTCCCGCACGCAGACGCCTGCCGAGAAGCCGGAGGAGTCCTCCAAGCCCGCCGCCGGCAAGTGGGTCCCCAGATGGAAGCAGCAGCAGGGTGGCCAGTAAACCCCCTGGGCCCCTAATCGCTTTGATGACATGAAAAAAGTTCTTGGGATGATGATGAAAGGGCGTGTGACTTGAGATGTCGATCTTCTTTTTTTCTCTCTTTCATTCTTTCCGTCCCGTTGACCTAGGACACCCACTACCCCCCCGTCATGTTCGCATAGTTTCCTCCTCTTCCTTAGCCTCAACCCGCTACGATTTCTTCTTCCTGTTCCTACGTCTTTAGTTGTTAGTCGATGAGCCTCGCAAGGAGATCAGGGGAAATGGGGTTGTAGTTAGTCCCCCTGTTTAATTTCTCTGGGCATGTCATGTCACTTTTTAACTTTTACCCGATCTCATGTTTTTGACAAAATGCATTTATTGCTTTCTTCCGGTTCATTACTCTATTTCCACTGTACCTTTTTAATCTCGTATTTCACATACATACTTCGTACTGTCAGGATGAATGAGTGTTGAGGACTTGGATAGTTCGCTGGTGCTTTTCCGCAACTATCCTTCTAAGTAGGTAGGTAGGGTATAGCAATGGGTATTATTACAGGAAGTGTAAAACGTAACAGGGACATTTCATTTCGTCTGTTTGTTTGTATGTATGTATGTATATGTATTCATACGATCGATCACACGCAGTAAATATGACTACTAGGATTTTATTAATCAGAAGGCAGAATCCGTTCTCGCTCGTTGTTTCCCTGACTGCCTTTGTCTTTCATTGAACTCAATCTAGTATGTAATAAGTAGGTAGATAGGTATCTATTTGTATTTGAAACTGATCATTTCACTTGAAACAGTAAGTGCAACAGATTACTCCGATGGGATGGGGAAACGGAAATGAGGAAAGTCAAAAGAGTTGTGTACCTGGAATCTCTAAGCTCGGCCTGCGATTAAGGGAAGATAGATAAGAACAGAGATGATGAAGAAATAAGAAAAGTTATGTATGTATGTAGGTATGTATGTAATGTTCGGGGAGCTGTTTGGAGGACGTGTTGGTCATGGATTGGTGAGTGACTGACGGAATGATAGTTGGGTGCATAGTTCATGCTGAATGAGGGTGACAGAAGGGGAGTAAATGCAGGTAAGTGTGGTGTAGATAGGACCAGAAGCAAGAAGATAAATCTATATACTAGGAAGGAAATTGAAAAGGGGTATGCCGCTATCTTCACGGATATCCGAACAGTATGTCTGGATGCCGAGAAGGAAGTAAAAAGAAAATATCTCATCATAAAAATTGGGAAGGTCCTGTCGTCCTTGTCGTATCCCCTGCTCCCTTTCTGCCAATGTATATGATAAAAGTATAATCATATCATCAAGCAGCAGCCACTTCGGCTCCCGCAGCAGCAGCACCGAAGAGCTTCTCCCGCCATTCGCCGCATACCGCCTCGAAGCCGCTAACTACGTCTCCGCAGACACGGCCGGCTTCACGATCCCGAAGTCGGCGGTCCCAGTCACCTCTTTCGATCCACCGGGTCCCCTCCTCACGGCCCTCTTCCTCGCGGCGGAGGTCTGCAACAAGTTCGCGTGCAGACCGTAGTCTCCGCGAGGCCGTTGATGTCAACTGGCGCGACTCGTACAAGGTGTCGCTCAGACCCCGTAGCGACAGGGTGATGTCAGATGTTTGCGAGACGAGTGTCTGCAGGGAGACAAGAGGGTTGAGGGCCGGTGACTGGGAGGGGGTAGTGGGTCTTGAGGAGTGACGTGGCTGTTCCGGGAAAGGATAGGGGAGGTTAGGCAGGAGTTCTTCATCGATGAGGGGAATAAGCGCGTCTATGGCGTCTGAAGAAAGGAGCGGAAAGGGCGAGAAAAGGAGAGGATGGGTGAGCGTTTGAAGTGCCCGCGTCTGATGGGTAAGATGCGAGGTTATGGACGAGTGTGCGGTAATGAGTCTAGATGTCAATGGAGTGTTAGCTATCCACCAGACCACTGCCAATTCACAGCAGAACAACCACATACCTCATGGCATTATTTTCAATCCCACTCTGACCCCCCAGATCCCGGAGGGCTTCCACCGCGCGTTGGAAAACATAGTCATTCTCACTGCCATTGTTCTCCAGGCCGCGACGGGCCAGACTCTCAATTTCCGCCATCTGCATCTCCAGACTAGGCGGCATATCCGCTTCCTCAAAATCCGAATCGTTCCCATAGTCGGACCCATCATATTGCGATTCGTGCCGCCGGTGTCGATGGGTACCATTGCGGGTCTTAGGCCTCGGAGGGTGCAGCGAGGAACTTTGCTCCGGCGAGTAGCCCGATGACGGTGACCGGGTCCTCGTGTCCATGCGGTGGTATGCATCTTCGTCCTCACTGCGATCCACGTACTGTGCGTCAGGGACACCTGTATCCTGCCCCGAAGCGTATCCGTAGCCCCCCTCTTCCTCCTCCCATGCATCGGCGAGCTCGTCTGCCAAATTACCTAGCCCACCACCTTCGCTGGTTGCACCGCCGAAGTCGACCGACATTCTATGAGAGCCATTGAAGGTTTGAGCGTGATGGGAGCGGGCGTCCACGGGAGATGAGGGGGCGGAGGAGCGGGGAGTATGAGGCGACCGAGGCGATCGGTAAGAGAAGCCGTTAGGAGCATAAGTGCCAGGGGAAATAGGGTCGATGTCGATGTTGGAGGACCGACTCCGAGTATGGCGGTGAGAAAGAGTCAGGGGAGGTGGGATGGACGGCATGTTGCAGTCGGGCGGGAGAAGAGGGGAAGAGGATGCGGTGTGAAGGTCCAGGGATCAGTCCGACGGTTTGACGTGGATTCAAAGGTCTAAAAAAGGGGCCAGTCCGTGGGTTTGAAATTCGTGAGTGGCTGCAGCGAAGTAAACAACGGACAGGGGAATCAATCAATCAATCAATGGTGGATTGCCGACCGCATCACCAGGATGCTTCAACGCAGCCAGAAAAGTCGACGGGACGGGGAAAGAAAAGGAAAGGAGAGTCGAGGCCGGCTATCTAGTGAATGGAAGAATCGAAGAAACAGACAAGGGGCTGGAGAGAGAGTGAGAGGCAGAAGGCGATGAGGGGGGAAGGAGAGGGAGAGCCAAAGTGGCCGACGATCAAAAAGATTCCCGCGCCGCGAACTTCCCCGTGACCGCCCAAGCCCCGATTTCTCAGGCTCGCCGATCCCATTCCCTGGCCATCATTTCCCCTCCATCGTCATCTAGCATCTACATACCCAATATCCAAACAACCGTCCCAATGAGCTCCATCCGGCGCATGTCCCCGACGGACCTTCTGTCTCTCAACCTCACCAACCTTGACCCATTGACGGAAAACTACGATCTGGGCTTCTACCTCAATTACCTCATGCGATGGCCGTCCCTCTTCAGTAGCGTTCAGGATCGCCAGGAGGGCATCGTGGGCTACAGTAAGCACCCCACCCACCATACCCCTTTATTCCAACCCCAAAACATCAATCTCTAAACCTCGCCTATAGTTATGGGCAAGCTTGAAGAACAACCCGCCACAATGCGCCATTCCGAGCACTACACACCCTGGCACGGCCACATCACCGTTTTGACCGTTGCGCCCGCATGGCGCCGCCTTGGCCACGCGAGTCGTCTCACCGAACGCCTGGAACAGGGCTCCGACATCAACGATGCTTGGTTTGTCGATCTATACGTACGAGCAGGGAATAAGGTAGCTGTGGGGATGTACAAGGGCATGGGGTGAGTTTTCTTTTTCTCTCTTCCGTCTTCCCCTCTTCTACTTCCGTTTCCTACAGTGATAAGGAACGAAACGCATGTATCTAACGAAGATAATCCATGCAGGTATTCCGTCTTCCGCCGAGTCGTGAATTATTACAGTGACGACCCCACTGGCTTTTCGGATTCGGGCGAGGATGCTTTCGATATGCGCAAGCCGTGCAGTCGCGATAAAAAATTACAGCATGTTCGGGAAAATGGAGAGAATTTCTTGGTGGATCCGATTGATGTCTCGTAAGGGTTTGTCGTGTGCACCGCTGTATAAATTTGCGTGATGAAAGAAATGAGTACATATGGTTGGGTGCGGGGGAGGGGCACATGGCAAGGAATGGCAAAATAAGAAAAGTGGATTGCGGTTGATTCTAGCATTTGGTGTTCGGGCGTTTTCTCTTTCCTGGGCTGAGGCTGCGCTAGCGCTACGCTTATGAGCGTGGTATGCATGGGGACCTGGGCTCAAGCTTAAATAGAACTATGAGAAAGAGAGGCATTCAATGAGGTATCTAGGTGGTATGCATACTTCGCGTGGTGCCGTAATAATTTCGTATACACATTAAGTACTATGTTCTAATCTAAATTCTTAATCTGATCTATAAGTCCGTGGCATATCAATTAATGAAACTTTTGTCGTCCCAAAACACCGGTTTCCCATGATGCAAACGCAGATTGTCGGATGAAGATGCACATATATGGTGGCCAGGTATTATTATATCGGGTTTCGTCGAGGCTTTTGAATCCTCGTGGCGCAGGGCAGTAGAAGGCTCCAGTAACCGTTGTCCTCCTGGTATCCTTATGTGGTGCATGACCGCGCTTAGAAGCGCTTTACACACGCGCGATGAGCCTCATTCCGGACCGAGATAATCTCAAGGCAGCGAAGATGGATCCGGACGTGATGAGACAACAAGCTGTGAAGAGCTGCACTCCGAGGTAGCTCCCCGTGTCGGCCAGGATTGCGCCACCAATGGGGGTTCCAATCAACAGTCCCACAGAGGTGATCGCGAAGACCATGCCTAGACGGGTGCCCAGGTCACGAATGTCCTTGGTCAAACTGACCATCACCACAGGCGGAAGTGACACGAAACCACCGGAACAGAGACCGTACAGCACAGAAAGGACTATGATACCTGGCGCGTTATGAACCCCGATCCAAGCAAAGGCGAGAATGGCAGTCGCAGTAGCCGCAGGAGTGAGGACGTTCAACGGACCCGTGTGATCGGCGATGAAGTTGGGACAGATACGCCCGACGGTGGACCCCGCGTTCAGCATCGAAAGCAGGTAGAATCCCAAGGTAGAGCCGACGATCCCCGTGTCAATAGCGTAGGATTGGATGTAGAAGAGGAAGTTGTAGAAGCCCAGGAAACCCAGGAACATCCCAATGGAGAACATCACAAAATGCGGCTCCTTGAAGGCAGACAATTGGAGCAGCTTGCGCTTCTCCGTTGGCCGGAATCGCATACGCATGATGCTGTAGGAGATGCAACAGGTTCCGAAACACAGAAAGCCGATAGCTCGAGTGGCCCATGGGAAACCCACTCGCTGCTGTAGCTGATCAAACATGATCGGATAGACCACACCTCCGATACTGCTCCCCGAAGCGGCAATGCCGTTGGCCAGACCTCGCTTCTTCTTGAAATACTGAGGTAGGATAGCAACGGATGGGACGAAAAGGCATCCGGCAGCAAGACCAATTAAAATGCCTTGCGCCAGGATCAATTGCCAGAACTTTGTAGAAAGGCTGACCATCATTAAAGCGAAGGGAAGCACGATGGTCCCGAACGTGAGCAGTTCACGGAAGTAACCCGCATCAAAGAGAGGGCCCGTCACCACCCCGAAGAGCATAAGTAGGAAGGCCTGGAGTGAGCCAATCCAGGCAATGGAGGAAGAAGACATGTGAGTCAACAAGCTCTGTTCATAATATGTTTGATAAGCACCCCAGGTGTTGATGACACCCCTATCCGTCATCGTCCATCAGTTTAAGGTCCTCCAAAGTATGAGACATATTTTACGTACCATGAGTTGAAGAACAGAAAGAAAGAGCCTAGCACCTGGATCCATGACGAGAAGCCGGTATCGAATGTCGGTTCTGGGGCTTTCGCCTCTGACGGAGTAGGGAGTTCATTGCTATCGTCATGGTTGTCTGCGGCGAGGGATCCCGCAACGGCCTTCTCCTCGAAATCAGCATTGATCCCCATTTCCACCCCGATTACAAGCTATCAGACAGACAGCCTTCTGGTGGAGTGAATCGCAGAGAAGGGATGGGTTGGAGGGCGAAACAGACAGCGATCCAGACGAACCCGTGGTACTTATCGTGGACACGGCCTAAGCAGCACTCACAGAGACCTTGGGTCACCACGTAATAAAAATACCCCGGATTTGGAACTCGAAGTAGGGGAAGAGGTCGAGCATGGCAAGGTGGAGGTTCAGCTCACTATATATTATTAATGACACACAGTAAAAAATTAATAAGGTGGCCCTCGCAAGCGCGGCTAAGAGTAAGCTTGAGAGCTAGAAAAGCAGAATCAACGAAAACCGAGCCAGGATCCACTTGGCGGCGGCCATTCATGTTGACTGATCCCCTGGAAGTGGGAATCAAGACAGTCGAGTGAACCGGGCTTTGGGTGAGGCCCCATCGTGGGACGGAAGCCTACTGGATACACGGCGAGTGGGTTCCGGGTAGAGTGATGGAGACATGGAGTCGCTTGCCGAGGATACGGAGCCTGGAGGACCTCTTCCCCAGGAACATGACCCTATGTGTTGTCGGGGGGTCGCAGAAGTTGGAACACGAGCATGAAGAGGAGCATGACCGGCCCCCAGTGCTTCACAATTGTGGTTATTGCAGAGGGCCTTTGCATAAGCACGATTGGAGGATAAAGGATGACGGCCTTAGCGTGTCTGGGGGTGTGACAGCGTGCCGATTTATCCAGGCGGGGGCCGAACTGCATATCACTTTTGTCAGCAGTAGTTACCTAGGCTGGGAACGGAGTAGGCCCTGGTCCTTTGATTATTATTCAGACATGATGGACTACTCTGTCCGGTGATACCACTCCGACATGACAAGTCAAGGATCACCTTGGGTGACTTAATACCACTTCCAAAACAGCATGTGTACCTAATGAGTGGGCATGTGTGCATAGGCTTTGGACTGATCAGCCCGTGATGTTAGCGAAGAGAAGGATGCCACTGAGTCAGAATCCTCACAATGTGGGATCCAAGTTACCCGGAGCAAAGGCCGAGTTTCGGTTCTGCGTCCCGGGGTTATTCGCCCGATGAAAATCGGCTAGGTTGGCAATCTTATGAATCCTGCTTGATCCCACCTGCGATACGGCTGACCGACTCGAGCGAGAGGAGAGATCAAGGATGACTTCCATGGAATGGAACATGTAATGACTCCATGAGTGATCCATCTCTCAATATTTGGGCTGGTGGCGGCAGCCAATCACGGCCGGCGATCTCGCATTAGCCCATTTCCTGCATACGCGAAACAATTCCATGAATTCATTCTCTAGATACTTCCCTCCTCGGCTGTTTCAACCTTGAAGCGAGAGGCGGTCAAAAGATGCCTATCAAAGTCACAGGGTAGACTGATTACTTGTCCAGCTTACGCTTCAAACGATGCATTTATGTCGCCCAGACCAGCGATGGACTGACAGCTATTTACGACAAGCTATGGATTTGACTGGACATTGACTTGTAGGAGTTGTTACGTTGCAGTATGTTGTTCCTCAAGATCGACGAAGCCAATATGACGTGGCCTATGACAGACGGCTGCAATGGAGAAATGCTTCCGGAGCAGCTTGAATCTTGAATGTGGGAATGTCCCATCAAAGTATTCCCTGGCCGCCGCCATACTTGCATCAGAGCCCAAGAGCACCAGTCACGACACAGCTTGCGTGCTTTCACGCCGGGAACCGAAGGCCATCCTTTGAATCGAGCTACTAAAACAGATCTCCGACAACAAGTCACGTCATCCCGGCGCTGTGCAGCATATTCTGCCTTACTCAACCTCCAAGAGGGCATTTGTCTACGTAGACAACTTGTACCAGGTCTAGGTCGGGAAAGGAACCTCGGATACTCCAAACGAAAGCATGCCAACATCAAACTTTTCTTTTATTTTACTGATATAGACTGCAATGCGTTATTCTTTTGAGTTTTCTTGGCTTCCCAGTGACCCAGAGGCTGCCTAGGCCGTTGTGGCCCGCTACCCTACTCCCAAACTCCAAACGCTATGCTGCCCAGGGGGAAAGATCTTAGACCAAAGACATACACAATAAAGAAAACAAAAAGCCATTTGTGAATATACAACCTCCCATGCCATCCTCGCGTCTAGAGCAATTCTTCGCAGGTCCAGTCCTCGTACCTGTGTGTTATGATTAGATCTGGTATGTGAAATATCCAAGCCCACGTGGGGAAGTCCCGCTTACCATCCGTCGGGAAGATACCTCCGCACAATCAGGGGAATCTTCTTCTGGTTCAACTCCTTGATGGCGATCTGCAAAGGATCCGTCTCGCCCTCAAGGTCGACAAGTACCGGGGCGTTCATACTGGGACCATGGTCAGCATCCAATTGCGCTTCTGCCCGATATCTATATCAATTGCCGAGACGAACCTGATCTGCAGAGCGCGAGTACCCAGAACACGCGCGCGCTCGTACTTGGTCATGTATGGGGTTGTCGTGCGCTGGTCGTTCGGTACCTTCTTCTCCCGCGCCTGTTCCATGACCTTGCCCGCATACCCCGCATTCGGGTCGCCTGAAACGACAACGCGATCTCCATTGACAGCAGGCGCGTATGAGCTCTCGCCATAGTCATCGGCACCTCCCTCCGCGACGTCGACATCCTCGGGGTTTATGAAGTCTTCGGGCTCGTTGTCATCGTACTCCTGCTCCGGCTCGTAGTCGTAACTGTAAGGCAAGCCAGGTCAGAACATTAGGACCTTCTTCCAACAAGATGATAGCCATCGACAGGCAGCGGGCACGTAGCATTCATCTGCGCAAGCTCTGATGGGGCACCGGTCTCTTACTTTTCCTCAGCGTCGTGATCCCCGTAGTCAGACATCGTGGCGGGTTAAGTGAATCAAATTGAGACTAGGCAAATTGAAAATGACGCAAACGAAGGCAATGGCAGCACCGCGACCGGGCCAGTTGGGGACGAGACGACAGATGTTGCGACGGGCTTTTCTCGTGAAGAAATCGAGGTCGCGACTTCCAGAAGGCGGAAAAAGTTCCTGTCGCTCGTCCGGCGCTAGTCCCCTTTAGATATTAATGCTCACCGCCTCGGCAAAATTTCCAGGGCATCGTTGGCCAGCCAACTTTTTGCTCGCACTTTTGAATCCTCTCTTACTGTCGAATGCTCGTTAACCTCGGGCTTGGATGGTCGAGAGGCTTTCGGAGCTATGGCTCAGAAGCGAAAATCATCGGGGGATCTCCCCAACCCCAAGAGAGTGCAAAATCGGACAGCGCTGGACGATGCCGGTAAGAGAAGACGCCTAGAAATCGAGTCTAGATGCGCGCAGATGCTGATCGGCTTCCTTATACTTCAGACCCCATCTACGAGGAAAGGCACTCGGACGCCGAGTATGACTTCTCGGATCACTCCAGTGTCGCCAGCGACAGTCTCCACGAGACACCAGCGACTCCAATGTCAACGATTTCCGCTAGATATCCATCGGAGCTAAAAACTCACCGCTGCCCTTTCGACGGTTGCACAAAGGCATTCAACCGCCCAGCGAGACTTCAGGAACATCTCCGCTCGCATAACAACGAGAGACTCTTCCGGTGTACACATGATGATTGCGATAAGACATTTCTCCGAGCTTCGCACCTGAACCACCACATCAAAAGCGCCCATACCGGGGTCAGAGACTACGTTTGCGATCGTCCAGGATGTGAAAAGAGCTTTGTAACTGGCTCACGACTTCGCCGGCACATAGCTGCCCATGATGGAAGAGACAAGTATCGCTGCACAGAGTTTTCTCCCTGTGATGAGACTTTCCGGAAACACTCAACCCTTCAAAAACACATCATGAGTGTGCATCTGAAGCAGAAGCCCTTCCCTTGTCTGCACGTTGACCAAACCACTGGTCAGAAATGTCCAATGGCGTTTGACAGCGCAGGTCACCTCCGAGCCCACGAAAGTCGAGTCCATGCCGAGAAGCGATTCACCTGCGCTGAGTGCGCCCAGCAGGCGGAGCATACCGACCCATCATCTGAGGCCCCCTCTATCGCATTAACCTTCCCGACCTACGCCCTCCTCCAAGCCCACATCCGGACTGTCCACCCCCCACAATGTCCCAACTGTGCTCTGACCTGTTCCACGGCCCGAGAGCTCCGCCGTCATCTGGAAGTTAGCCACGGCAACGTCAGCCTGGAAGAACGAAAAGTCTTCCCCTGCACTGTCCCGGGCTGCGATAGCAGCTTCACCAAGAAGGGCAACCTAACTGTGCACATCCGCACCGTTCATCAAGGGGAAAAGCGTTTCATCTGCGGTGAGACTGATCTCTCCACGTCCAAACGTGTTATCGGTTGGACAGGCGCCGGCGGTTGCGGAAAACGTTACGGGAGTAAACTCGCACTGGAGGAGCATATCCGAACAGCGCATCTCGGCTTTCAGAATGCCAAAGCCGAGCGTCGACAGCGTTTGGGTCTAAGCAAAACACCGAATCACCAAACCGGTCCATCGGCACTGGCTGCCCTGACGGGCGAGGGTTACGCCGAAGAAACAGGTCGGCAGATTGCGTGCTTTATCGAAGGTTGTCCACATCGATTCCACCGTAACTACGATCTGTGGGTACACATGGGGAGTAAGCACGGGTGCACGGAGGATGAGATCCGCGATATGTTCATGCAACGAACGCTATTGGCGGATGATAATGAGCCTGTTACCGGAGATCTCTTCGGTATCTATGGGCTCGAGTTCGATAACGACGACTCCGCCTCGTACGAACCATATATCCTAGGCGACATGGGTACGGACACAAAACCCGTATCCAACGAAGCCGGGCTATATACAATGGATGATTCCTCGAATCGCCCAGGCGAGTTTTCCAGCAGCTATGCTGATATTATGATGCAAGATGTTGATTCCAAGATACCCAGTGCCGATGATATGGCGATGATTGATCCTTTGTTGGCGTATAACATGGCGAGTACATAAGTTGGACATGCTTATTCCCATCTACTATCTATCTACTTACCTCTTTCCGGGCTTTATAACATGATTTACGAACCGATTCGGAACATACCATAATGAATGATATCTATTTTTTGTCGTCCTCAACTTCCACCCTCGTCTCTTCTTTTTCCCCCCTCGCCCATTTTAGTCTCAAAGGACCGTCTAGCTAGGTGACTTTAGATAATGAGAAAATGTCCCATGTCGCCCAATCCATCCACTCTTCTCACAGCCAGCCAGCGACTCGTAGAGCACATACGTATGTATACATGCAGATGATGTACAATAACCCCATGTCCATGCAGCATCATGTATACCGAGAGAGAAGGAGAGCGAGAACGAGAGGTGTCCCATATACACCTTGACCCACCAGCAAGGAGAGGATACAAAAAAAAGCAAACAACGAAAGAAGCACACACCTAGTAACATAACATGACACAGTGTCAACGACAACCATTGATCAGCACACCCACTCACCAATGCACTCACTCAATAGAACAAAACTCCACGTCAACAGTGAGGTTACCATGACGATCTTGTTTAACAGAGAAAAAAAGGGTTCCTAGATAGGTGTCAAAGTCAGCTTACATTGCATTCACGCATATAGATTAGTGCTGTGAACGAGGGTCAAGAAACGAACCTGAGACCCATTGTATACATAAGTGAGAACTTTTTTTTTTGGTTCTTTGCTTTTTTTTTCTTTTGGCTAATACATGAAGTGTAAAAGAGGGGAGAGATATGCGTGTGTGCTCCGAAATCCTAGATTGCTCAATTTCAACGACGATGTCAAGCTCACAGGCTCCCCGCTTGTCATTCTCGCCTACTGTTCCCTTGGCTGCCAGCAGTTGGGGGACGGTTGGGTGATGACGTGGGGGTGGATGATGAGTGTCAAAATGTCGAAAATGGAGAGTCCTGGATAAGTGGTTGCATTGTCTGAGAGACCTGAAAAGATTTTGTACCATTTGGGGGGTTTTTTTGACTCTTATGAGGTCAGGCTCAAGATCGCCAATCATGTACCTAGTTTCTTAGTTCGTGTGTGTTCTGATAATTTTGGTATTTGATTTCTGGTAGTGTTATGGAGTTGGGAAATTGTGCTGGCTGACAGTGGTCGTGAAATATGTTGTCGAGATTGGCAGAATGCTGCAATTGACCGCCAGAGACATTCCGCTCTAAACCTGCTGAATGGTTCTCAGAACTTCAAGATGCTCGCTTACCAATTCAGAACCGAAACATATTCATTCTGCTCAAGAGGATCGGGCTGCGTGTTCTGAGGACGCGGAGCCGGTTTAGGTTTGATGGCTGATGAAGCAGGTGCTCTTGGAGGAAGCTGATGAGGTTCAATGTTAGTTATGATCATACACGGGATACAAGGTGACAGCGTTCAACTTGCCGGATCCTTTTGAGGCCAAACATCAGTGAAAGTTTCCTCCACAACACAAGCTTGCTCAATCATCTGCGCCTTCTTGCGGAATGAGCGTCGAGGAGGAGCTGTAGTCAGCTTGAAATCTTTGGCGGTTTTCATATCGAACAGAGATAAGTTCTTCGCTAGGTCCTTCGCTAGATCTTTATCCGATCTCCACACGTCCTCAAAATAGTCATCATTTGACTTCGCCTCGGACTTTTTCTTGAAAGGAATAGGCGTTGGAGGTGCGGACTTGATTCCCCCTATGGAGACCCTGGTCTGGGTCAAATGCCGCAAGAATCGGATGTACGTCTCATTGGCTTTTTTGGATGGCATATGCGTAGTAAAAAGTCTGGCGACGTCACAAAAGAGATGTACGGCTGGGAGACCTCTTGCCATGCCAAGCCAAAGAGCAGTCTTGAGTAGCAAATCGAATGCTCCATTCTTCTTGCATTTGAAAGACCATTCAGTAAGATCCCCCACCTTGGCTTTCTCAGCGGATAAAGGTGGTGGCGCAAGCCCTCTTGGGGGAAGCCAGCCCCATGCACGTGCCTTGTCTGGCTTGTGCTTGCAGGTATAGGCCTTATAGGCATGAAAGAATGATGTAAGAACTATGGCAGAATCCATATAGCCGTCCCAGGAAAGCGAAGCCTTGCATGCATCAATTCGAAGTTGTTTGATGCTTAGTAGGGCAGTGCGTTCCACGGAAACGGGAAGAGGATTATAGATCTTCCCTGTGTCTCATTAGATTAACAAGTCTTTATAGCGTTGACCTGACTTGTCACTCACTGTCTTCGGTGTCTGACCTCATAGCAGCCATAACATCGTTTTTGAACAGCTCAATCACTCTGACAGACGCTTCAAGTTGCTGGCGAGCTTTAGTAGGGCTCGCACGCCGAGAATTGAGCCAAAAGACTGGTTTGTCCGTCTCCTTGCGCAGATATGCCAACAGCTTTCGAAGAATCTCGATTTCGGCCCCAAAGTACGTCTCGTCGGTTATATTAGTCTCGCCGCGTTGAGTGATCTTATTGAGCACTTGAGGATAGCGCTCTAGAAGCCATGTCTCGAGTTTGACTTGGGTAGCATGCATCTTGGCATCGCTTTCAAATAACATGCTTAGAAGATGCCCGTAAGAGCCGGGGAAAACATCTTGGAGAACCTTAGGGAGCGCGTAAGATATCTCGTCAGCGAAGATTCCGGGATCAAAGCCTCTGGTGAACTCTATCATCAGTTGGTCGAGCCTCTCGTTCTCAGCTTCGATGATTTCTGCGGCTTTCTCTTCAGCCATTGCGCATGTATCGGTAGGCTCATCTAGTATGATGTCGATTGGTTCAGCAGCAGTCTTTCGAGTAGGCTTAGGAGCCGCACGACGGAAGTGGGATATGTTCATGGTGGAAAAGTCGATCAACGCATACCGGTCCTAGCCTGTAGCCTTGACGTTTCTTAGGTTAGTTGCAATAAGAAAGCAAATAGGAGCGAGAGAAGAAGGCAGAGGAAATTTACAAAGAGACTGCTTATTGTCGCCAGAGATCCCTTTTCTGATAGCCTGAATTGGAAGACTCGATCGCTTCTGGAGAGTAAAACGTACCCCAGATATGCTTGAGAGTAGAGGAATGACTGAGAATTCAAGGTCTTCACAGGAAGAGAAGAGATGAAAGAGGTGAAGTTGAATGGGTGCAAAGAAAGAGGTGGAGGGGGGGGGGGGGCAAGTGTGATATGGAGAAGTGCAAAAGCAAGGATGATTTGGGTCAGTGAATGAGCAACAGGGCCAGTGAATATAAGATGTTTGCAGTAAGACTAGTGATTGGCTCAGGCCACACATCTGATTGTCCCAACAGCATCTTCGGCAGAGATCATTGCAGCGAAACTTCTATGACATATATAATAGCAGCTTTGGCTTACCAAAAAAAAAGGGGATGGTGATATATTAACAGCATGCCATGAGCGGGCGTGTATGCTTGAAAGGCTGGCTCCAGCTTCAGCTGTATCAAAAAAGACAAAACTCGGTATACATTTCCTCGAAGAGATACAAGAGGACTTATCGACATGAAACTGGCTATAGACTGTTAAGCAACTATTACCATAGATGTGATTACAGCGAGATTAGCAGACTCCCCCGAACCCGATCGTCCAGGTTGCTCGATGGGTTTGCGACTTACTATCGAGGCTTACAAGGGTCGAGAACCTTCCATCTCCGTTGAGAACCACTGCTTAGTGGTTCGACCATTGGAATACAGCAGGGAAGCCTGTGCGAACAAATATAGACATGGATAGCAACTTTACAGGGGCAGACTAATCTATCAGAATGCATGACGAGTATTATGGTAGCAATCGAAGGTACCAGACCAGCTCAACAATATCCGATGTCTCAAGTGACATAAAGTTACAAATGAGGAATGCCTTCGAGATCGGATACAAGGCTGTGGAGTCATCGGTAAGGAGGCATGATGGGTGATCAAATGCAAAATACGATGGACCGTCTAGATGACCGGGCATTGGGACTAACTCGTCTAAAGCAGCGAAGTGCTTTGCTGGTATTTGCACCGGGCGAAAGGAGCCATATAGGGCCCATATCTGGAGGGTCGTAACTGGGGTTGGTGAAACTTACCTCTAGCCCACGTTCAAGTGTCATGGCCTTGAGAATGTGGAGGTGCATGTGCCTAGACATGTCATGTCGCCGGGCCTCTCTTACGTCGTCGCAGGTCAGAAGACCCTTCGTTGATCCACGAGAGCTCAAAAGGCACCTGACATCCGACAGAGATGGTCTTGGCAGGCACGAAGATGGAGATGGGGATGTCATAATATATACCATAAGCATGATGATATAATAAAAGGTCGGGGTTACGGCAGTTACGCCGTTCAAGAAGATCCTGCAGGATGTCTGTAGCAAGACAAGCCACTCAAGGTGGGGCTGGCACTGTGCCATGTACCCCGTAACTATCTGCTATCTATGTGGAGCTTAGAGCGGCACTCGCATAGTGACAATCACTTACAGATGACTGACTTGACACCGTGTAAACGTACATAATTCTCCCCGCATTAAAATGTCTACATAGCGTCAAGAATCCTGCGTGGATACGATAACTATATATGACACACATTGACTAAGGGCAATCCTATCATGGCCTGAGTCATCCCTCGTTGCTTTCAAATCAAAACTCAATTGCAGCAGACCCCAGGGAATTTGCCAGAGCCAGTGGAGACACGAAAAATCTCCATTGGATATGAAACATGACAAGACTTAGGTGGCAGAAGATCGCTTCAGACTTGAGGATCTTCAGTATGTCACCCTTTCCACTTAAACCTTGGCAGATTACCATAGGGCATGGCAAGAATCATCGTATAGGCCTTCGCAACCAAGATTGCATCATGACAGCAGCAGGGCTGATCGGGTAATCGTGTCCCAATGATACGCCAGGGGAACGAAGATCAACTGACTGAAATCTGCAAAAGCGGAAACAAAGTGAGAAAACTGGACTGATCTGCATAAATAATGGAGAACATGCGCAGTACGTGGTCAGAGAAGCTTCCGTGATGGATCCTACTGTTGAGGTCACACTGCCGAGATGACACCCATTCAGCAATGATCGCTGGTAGGAGTTTGCGCGTCAAGCCTGCGATCTTTGGGGAGCTCCGCAGCCTTGGTACTTACTACTAGTAGACTAAGGAGGGGGGACACCCTGACTGGTGGGTCACGGACTGGGGACTGCACTACGTACGTGCTTCCTGAGATGAACATGATTTGATCACTTGCAATGCTGACCAGTCACAGTCGCTGGGCATCAGTAGCCCTTAAGGACAGCATGCTACCTAGCCTGGATATTATGAAGAGCGTATTATAACCGGGGCAATTACCGAGTATTAACAGCCTGATTAAGGTTTACATAACCTGCAGCAACATGAATAAAGTTGATGCCCTCTGTCTAACCCCGTTCCAAAGTTCAAATACCGCAGCCACTTCGCGCTGGGCTGAAATGCCATGATAGCCTCTCTTCCAGCATGTCCACAGCAACCGGGCATGCCTGTGATTCCGGCATTTAACACGCAGAACGGATCCTTGTCATACTTCAGTTCGAATACTAGTACGTAGCATGCTAACCCCAGTCGCTTATAATTTTAGATCCGGAACTAAACGTTCTTACTGCTTAGGGCCTAACCTTAGCAGGGGTAGGTACTTTAGCGACTATTCCTGTTTGATCGCCTGGGTTGGTTGCAACTGGAAACCCATCAAAATCCATCCAGGTAGATTCTTGCTCCCATGGCCTGAGGCGTGTGTGTAGTGTGTACTGGGTAGTTTTCCGACCACAATAGTACGGTTATTTATAGTGAAAGTGTATCTTGTAAACGGAGTACAGAACCTACTATCGGTAGTAGTGAAGCTTCCCGCCAAGATCATCTGATGTCCTGTGGCACTGCGGGCCTGTGGCAGTGCGTCCCGGCCATACCCATAATTTGCCTTACATTCCTCATACTTACACAAGGGACACGACGCATATTACTCCGGTAAGGATGGTAAAGCAATCGATACAATAAGACAACAGCCCATGGGCTCTTATGCACTACCTTGGCCAGTTTAAGTTCATATGGCTTCAGATAAGGGACCAATGGGTAGATACCGGATGTGATTAGGCTGTACTTGGCGTCTACGTTGTCTCTTAGTTCTCCTCACCTCGTGGGCGAGAAACACCGGTTTTGGAGCAGAGAAAGGGACAAAGAACAAAAGGTGAAATTGGCCAGTCAGTACGGAGTAGTGGCAGTTGGGTTAAGACATGCAGGATTGCGTTTCTATATTTGGCTGAGAGGCAGGATTCTACCATAAGATTGGCTTCTATTTTATTCACGGAACATGCTGATTGGAGGCGATGCGAAGGCCGGTGACGCGGGGGTTGGAGAGTTCCGAAACCCACCAGGTCACCCATGGGTAAGATGGCTGACTGAGAATAAATACTAGTACTTAACCCGTTATTGTTGTTTTTTGTTTTTTTTTTTTTTTTGGTTTTCTTTTCTTCTCCTTTGGTCGCTGCTGTCTTAGCGACCCATTCCTGCCAGTTAGGTAGTCCATCGAAATTCGAACAAGACTGGCTGAAGTGAGCCAGGCAGGCAACAAACAAAGTCGCTGGTAGTACGGAGTACCCCGTGGATAGTTGAGCTGCAGTCTCTGATCCATGCCGATCTACCTGGAATGAGCAAGTATCTAAGTGAAGCGATCAAGTCGGGGTCGAGCAGCAGGGGTATGGAATCGGAGTTAAAAAGGGCAACCAAAGAAACAGCCCGCGAGACTGGCCCGTCCGTCTGGGACCGTCTAAAGTAAAGTACATTAGTTTAGTCGATTGTACGGAGTAGCCACATGCGATGACGCCAGCCGCCAGGCAGACAACCCGGGCCAGAACCACTTGCGGTACCGTAACCTCCACCACCCGGTATTGACCTGAGAGAACATCTTTAGGTTTCTAGTTGTCGTTATTGTTGTTACTCCTCTTCCTTTCTTCCCCGTATAGGTAGGTGGCTTATCGCCATACCAATTCAACGGAATCGCCCGCTCCGTCGGTACTTCATCCACGATCATCTAGTATTCTAGGCGGCAGCATCCACCATCTGTTGAAAAGGACTGAAAAGACATCGGACCACCAGGCGGATCCGCTCCACGTACTTTGGTCTCAAAAGAGAAACAACAAGCCGACAGTACTATAAGTCCGGTAACACTTGTTACACTCAATCCCCTTCAGACCCACGGCCTGGCTGGGTAGGTTGATCGCCTTCAACGCTCGCCGTCTTGTGCTTCCGTTCACTTACCTCTACGCCTCTTCGTCTTCTGTCCAGCTTGCCTTTTCTCGCCTCACTCGTTCTATATTTCTCTCCCTCCCTCTCCCTTCTCTCGCTTTCCGACCCTTGCCCTCCCGCTTTCTCCGCCAAAGCAACTGAGACATCAAGTGGCCTAGTCAGGCGCTTGCAAGCTGACTTTGCGCCATCATCCGCCATCTTGGCGGTCGTTCCAGCGCCGCTGCGATCTTATTTGCCCTTCCGCTCCTTCGTTCTCTCGGGCGCCTCAAAAGTTCCCACTGAATACTTCATGGAATCAAACTTCCATATCTAGTCTTGGCGGGTCCTGACACACTATTGTCGCTATCTCCCTGTGGGGGAGCTGGGCTCAATACAATTCTTTCTTCACCTACCTTTCTCGCCTCTCGTTCGTTCTCTTGATTTATTGCATAGCAGCACTACTTGGCTTCATCCTCTGCGCAGACTAGATAATCGTTGTGTGACCCGCCTACTATATTCAGGTTAGCTGAAAGGCGGTCTTCAGTTTTATTATCTGAAGCCATAACGGGATTTTGCCATCATGGGTCGTTCGCGAGGTAAGTTGTTGGCCCCTCTGCATTTCCCCCAGAACAGTTGAATAGTAATAATTGACATCCCTTGCGCTCCTGCGCTATCAGTGCTTTCCCTGATGTCAGTGTTTGGGGGCTCGTCCCGTAAAGACAACCTCGGACAGCACCATCGAACATCGTCGGCCTCCCTCACACTAAACAATCCTCCGAAAAGAGTAGATACGCCCTCTTCCGACACCCCTTCGCCTCTCGATGCTTCGCCGATAAGTGGGACACCAAACACCGAACGACGAGTCCTGTCGCGGCCGGAGTCGGCATTGTTTTCTCATAATCCTCCGTTACTGGAGCTTTCGCAAGATACACTTCCAGAGCTCCAGCCAATCTTCGGATATCTAAACACCCATGCCAACAAGTTATACCACGAAGGATATTTCCTGAAATTGAATGATTTGGATATTCGTGAGTACCTCGAGTGTCAGAAACTATTGGATTCTGTACTAATGATCAAATCTCCCAGATGGTCGGCCCTGTTCTGATCGACAATGGGTGGAATGCTATGCGCAACTTGTCGGGACTGCTCTTTCTCTATGGGATGCCACAGCGCTGGACGCAGCAGAAGAGGGAGAAGATGTCAACCCTACTTTCATCAATCTGGCAGACGCTTCAATAAAAATGGTGAGATATCGCCACTACGACCCTTGCAGCTATTGACCCAGATCATTGACTGTCGCCGATCTAGCTTGAGACGCTCCCTACAAGAAACCAAGAAACTGAGTCTCTGAAGAACATTTTGAGTATATGTTCCGCAGGTCAAAATCGGTATCTTTTGCATTTCAATTCCTTCCATTCTTTGACACAGTGGACAGCAGCTATACGACTGGCTTTGTTCGAACACACGTCACTATATGAGGCATATACAGGCTCGATCATTGCGGGGAAAGGCAAAGGTCTCAACAGTATCCGATCCATCTTGGAACGTCACCGTCACAAACACGAGGATTGGGCTCGCGTGCGATTTGGAGCAGGCACCCCCTGGAGACGGTGCTGGTTTGTTATCACCCCGCCCAATGAGAAGGAGTTCTTGAAGGCGCAAAAGTCGCTTAAGAAAAAGTCGGCCTATGATCGTGCACCCAGACTGATCACAGGTGATATCAAGTTTTACGATACGAAGAAAACCAAAAAAGCAAGGCCTATTGCGACTATCACCGATGCATATGCTGCTTACGCTATATACCCTCAGTCGAAAGCCTTGATCGATCAGTCGACCTTGGTCAAAATTGAAGGGAAGATTACGATTCACTCACAACCAGAGTCGACCACAGATGGGTTTGTGTTTGTCATGCCCGAAGTCCATCCTGCCGTCACTGGTTTTGAAATGATGCTCCGATTCCTCGTACCTACGTTTGACACATTCAACCTTTACGGGCGACCAACCCGCCTCATTGCCGCTACCAACCACATCAAGAGCATCATGTTTGCCTTCCCCAATCAACGGCGCTATGGCTATCTTGATATATTGGATATCGCCGGTCTGATGCAGACACCGGGCAGTCAGGATTGGAGCGAGGCAGAATGGCGAAAGCAACTCAAGGAGGCAACAGCACGCCGCATGGCGGCTTCTGGAAGCAGAACTAGCAGCATCTCCGTCAGTAAGCCACGCTTCCGAGCCTCTACCATCTCAAACATGCAAGGCAGTGGACGTACCGGGCCACAACAGCGCAACTACACATCTCCGGAAACTCGGCTGGATCTCAACCAGTCTAGTGACGCTGTTTTGCGAGAGGCGCCCAGTGATGCTTCTATATCTCCAATCCATCATGCTCGGGGCTCTTCGGACACTGCTGCATTTGCCTCCATCAGAAGACAGGCTCAAGTTTCACCCGCCGAAATCTCTCCACCATCCTCTATTCATGAACTGGTACCACACAGAAATGGACGTCCTAGCATTGGTGGGGTGGACGACTACGGCAGCACTGAAAGCGACAGGAAACAGCAGGCAGACTCTGACGATGAGGTGCTTGGGCATCGCTTCCGCGCTCCATCCCCATCCCCTGTAGTCCAGCCCCCAGCCTTCACACATGGTCCGGGAGAAATGCCTGCCACTCGGCCCCAGCCCTCGCCGGACTTGAGAAAGGCCAACAATAGGATGTCTGACACCACGCTTACGCAGCTTCTCGCTGCTTCTGGAAGCATGAACCTACTCGGCGCGTCTTTTCCCTCGGGTAGCCACGAAACGATCAGAGATTCTAGCGAGCCCAGTCCTTTCACACCAAATACTGGCTCCGATCAGTTGGGTGCACCATCACTTCTATCGGATACGAGTGACAAGAGAGCTGCCCTTCAGGAACAAGACCCACCGACACCTGAGGATCGTTCGAGTGATTTCGGCTCGCCACTGATTATACCGAAGAGGCAAAGCCTTTATTTAGATACCACAATGGCAGTGAAGCGGAAGCCCGTGCCAGCGCAACAATTGCAAGAATCCGACACTTCGAGTGTTGCAGGGGAGCCTAGTTACGATGACCTGCGTCATACTGTTGATGAAGAGGTTCTGAACTGGGTCGGCTCCCGCCAGTTTTCGTTCACTTCCCCCGATAAAGAGAGCCATCAGGATGAGGAGAGCGTCTATGATGGTGCGTCTGCAGCTTCTCCTGATTATGCCAGTACCCGAGGATCCGTCTACAGCAAACGCTCTGTTAAATCAATTCCTCGGCCCAGAATGGGGGTCTTGAAGACAGTGGGATCAGGGCCCCCAAAGCAAGACTTAGTCATCGGCGATGCTCATTACACCGTTGACCAAACGCAACTAGAGTTTAGTTCTGAAATTCCGAGTATCGACTTCGGGCCGACCCTTACAATTCTACCTACAACTGGACGTCCCAACACCGGGGACACTTTGAAGAAATCGGCGCATCAGAGAAGCGACTCGAATGCAACAGAAAGACAAGGCTCACACGAGCCAGAACGTCGGCACTCCAGATCTCCAAGTAACAATATGATGTGGCAGCCGGGTATGGCTGCTCCGCGCCCGTCCACTCCAGGCAAGCTCACAGCGGAGCAGTTTGTGCAACAACGGTCAGGCCACAGTCCACCAAATCACGCCCACCACCGAACTCTTTCTTCATCCCCACCACCTCTCCGACCTGTCTCCGGTGACTGGGCAAACAATTTCCGGCCGCAGTCGCACTTGTCTGGCAGTCGCGATGTGCCGCTTCGCCCTCACTCCCGTGGTGCCAACAGCGTCTTGAACTACAATGAACTTTCATCGCATCTTTCTGCCCGTGAACAGGAACATGTTTCTCGGATGACTGGTGCACCTCTTCTCGACATCTCTGGCCTCCATAAGACCCAGCCGTCGCCAGTAAACCCAATGGGTCTGGTTGGCGCGATCGATGCTCGCGAGCGCGAGAAGAAGAGCATCCGAGAAGGAGTTTCCAACCAAATGGTACAACATGCAATTGCGCAACGCCAGCAGCACCTGCAACAACAGCAAGGGGCTCCAAACAACTCAACGCCCACACACAACCAGGGCAATAATTACAGTGTTTATAACATGCCCACCGCGAGCCGCACCTGGGATGCTCTCAATCAGGCTTACCAGCCGGAAGAGCCCCGGCGCCAGTCTTGGTACGGGCAGTTCGCGTCGCAACCGGTGCAGACGCCCCCGGCCTACCAGCAAAACCAGTCTTTTGGCCAGCATCCTGGCTATGTTAGTAATGCGAACACTATGCATTACTGAGTATGCTCCTCTCGCGCCCCTCTCTTATTCGATCTCCTTATTGTCTATCCCATCCGATCAACTTGCTTTTCTTTGCGTGAATCATGATCTAGTCCCTTCTTTGCTCGATTTTTCTAGCATTAGCCTGTGAGCTTGTCGTGCATCTTAGAGCTAGACTTCCAAAGCCTAGAAAGTCACCTGCTACGTTTCTTGGACTTGGGGGTCTTGCAGCGGTTATTTCGTTGGGTCTATGGAGTATGGTTGGAAACCTTCCTTATGTTGCAAGCATAGCATTGGTAGCCGTTCGTCCTTCTCACGAGTATTTCTTCTCATTCCAAATCTTCTCCAATTTATCAAATTAGTAGTATGCATACACAAATTCTGCTAATAAACGAAAAGCAACTGTCCATTTACTCCGTGGTCCGTCACATAATCAAGGGAGCGTAGGGCTAGCTATCGGACCTCTGACTTCTTAGCCCTTGCTCTATACTGCGATCTCTTGTAATACGATATGGTGATCTACCATTTAGGGCACAAGTACTATTAATTACTACTAGTACTATGTACTAGTACTACAGCCGAACCAATAAGTTGACCAATGATAGCCAAGTAGCTAGTGGCATTATCTAAAATCAAGATCCAAAAGTCCCAATGCGATAGATCTGCACATACCTACCTAACATATGTTATAAGCAAAACCATACAAATATAAAGGTGTATCAATGAGTCCCAAGAAAAAAACGCCTGAACTTCCGGAGTTCCTTCTTTCGTCCCCTGTACTCCATACGACACAGGCTCTTCTGTTTGCCTTTGCTGGTTATTCCTTTGTCTTTGTTTTTTCTTTCATTCTTTGTGCTATTTTTTGGTTTCTGAGAGTTTTGTCTGATCCTGAGGTCCCCTCTTTGGTTCTCTATGATCTGGGTAGTGGAGGGGTTTAGTTTGAGTGGAGCTTCTTGATTCTGCTGACGCCCTCGTAGAGACCACGGTCAACGGCTGCGGCGACAGTAAGGGTACCTCCGATGATGGCGCACACTCCTGTCAAGAAGCCGGTGAAGGTCTTGGGTTGAGCTTCCCGATTGATGACCTTCATGGGAGAGATGTCGTAGTTAAAGAACACGCCCGGGATGCCGTTGGCGGCGTGCAGACGCTCCTTGTGGCCCTCATCAGAGGCGTCTCCGCCCATCAGGGAGCGCTTATGGGAGGTCACAGAATACTGGTGCGTCTCAATGCTGCCCTCCGCTCCGTAGGCGATGCCATGGGAGCCAAGAGGGGCCTGGTCATAGGCAGTGTGAATGGAGGAAGAGAATAGTGGATCCCAGCCCAAGGGAAGGTATGAGGTCGACACCACCTTGACAAAGTACATGAAGTTGTAGCCGGGCTCATTGGTCTCCTGCTTGGTGTTGTCCAGAGGATTGGTGTGGTGGTGATCCGTCCATTGCCAGCGATCGGACAGCTCGTCGGGAAGCTGAGGTCCAAACCGCAGCTGGTGAATTTCGTGAGTCATGGTGTGCTTCTCAAAGTCTGCCAGGTCGGTTTCAAAGAAAGTTGCAAGGTCGTGCACATGCATGTTTCCGCTGGTGAAACTACGGCCGGGTGCGATATGGAAGTTACCGACAACCTTGTTCACACGGAGGACTCCCTCAAGACGGCAGCCCTCCCGGCGCTGTGCATCAATGCGCTGCGCATAGCCCTCACGGTCGCACTGCTCAACGTTTTCACCCCTGCCAAATGCCCATTGCTGCTGTGCGTAGGCCTCCCGGACTTCATCGCAAGTGTTGCAGCAGCCTGGCTTGCTGGCACCGGCGGGAGCAGGCGCACCGTAACACTCACCGCAGTATTCAGGGTCGAGATGCTTGGCGCTCTCATCCTGAGAGTGACTGTATGATAGTCATCGTTAACAATGGAGCTGGTAAGGGTGAGTCGGAAGGGCCACTTACAGCTCCAAGGCCTTGACGTCGATAACCTTGCCTCCTTCTGCAGCAGAAGTAAGGCGCACCTTGTTGATACCGTGGACGACACCGGTCTGCTGCTCACCGGAGACATCCATAACATCCAGGGTCAAGAGCTCGCAGGGAAGCCGAGGGAAGGTCATGTTGAGGTGGATCTCCATCTTCTCGCCTATATTAACAACCATCAGCCATCGCTTCTTTGTTTTTTCTTCTTCTGGCCATCCAGCAATCGGTATCTAGCCGTACCTCTTGATTTATCGACCACCAGCTCTGGTAGAACCACTACACGCCTGTAGTCCAGCCATTCACCCCACACAAGCCAAAAGATGACCAGCAACGAGGCTATGGTGATGATACCACCGGACGTGGTACGGACGCGCGCATCCTCGACCGTTTTAGCAAAGGCATCTAGCCTTGTGAATCGCGATTTCGCCGGCATTGCTTTAATTTAATTGATCGACATGAATACGGGGAAGCCGTTGAGTATATTCGAGGGTGATCGTTGGACCGACTAAAGACCAGCTAGTGCCCGCGGGAATGAATGAATGAAGCCTGTTGGGGAGAACTCGAGTGTAAGCTGGATTGAATCGAGCAAGGAGGGGACCAAAACAGGTAACCTACGCGAGCGAAGTCGGATGAGCGAAGTGAGCGACTGGGAGTCGCGAATTGCGCACGTCGTGTGGCGATCTACTGGAGAAAGGGCGATGGAGAACAACGACTAACTAACAAGCTGTCCTGTTGATGAAGCGGAGAAACAAACGGTATTGTAGCAATATTCCCCCCTCGGGACTAGCCTCGTAATCTGCCGACCGGACTTGCCTGCATCGGTATCGCGTATTACCGGCTGTGCCAAAGGACAGACTACAGCCTCTGATTGGCCAATCCCCGTCCCTGGTGCTGTCGTATCACGTGGGGCGTCTGCGCCCGGTAGCCCACGTGACCCGCCAGCGTCGCGGAAATGCTTTTGGTAGTTCACGTCACTTTTTCTGCGCTGACTCAAGAATCACCTACGTTCATCCTCAGACCTCCAAGACGAGGTTGACGGTTGTTTCACTGGAACCGTCCGCGACTTCTCGACTGTCTCCCCATTTTTTTTCACACACGCTCATCCTACGACCCCGCTTTCCTACGATTTCTCTCGGATCTTTCGTTATATGCCGATAGATTCGCTCAGCAACTAGGCGCGCAGCGCTCATTCTGCCTGCGTAACACTTCATAACATCGACTGCGATCCTCCTCCCTTTCCTCCTCTTACTACCTGCGACATCTCCTCTACGTACACACACCTCTCCTCTGTCAAGATGAAGAGCGGAAAAGGTTCTCGCGGCCGCTCGAGTGCTTCGGATCGCGGGGGCATCCGCAAGCGGGGTGCTACTGCACGGGTCGATCGGGAAGGTGATCTGGTGATGGATGCAGGCTCTGCTCGGAACCGTGGGAAGAAGGCTCGTGGCGATTCTGGTCGTTCGAGCGGGGCAGGACGGGCACAGGCAGCGAACAAAGCCATGGATGCGATTCAGAAGGCCATTTCCAGCAATTCGGACTCGCAAGCAAACATCCGACAGGGGGCGCGAGGCAGTGGTCTGGAACAGGTTGTCGTGCGTGGCTGGAAACAAAGCAAGGCGGCATCTAACCGCGATGGTGGTCTCGAATCCCTCATCGCCTTTCTCGAGAAGAAACTCAGCTCACCCGACTCGAAAGCTGGCACCCGCGCGAGGATTACAAAGGTATGTGCAACACCAGACTTGGCGGTCACCGACATGAATCATCAGCGTCGTCCTCTTCGATGTGCTCTCGTTTCGGGGATGGTACCTTCAGAACGACGATCGGCACTTGCTTAGGCTCTTCTGGCGTTTGTTCCTTTGGATGGCTGCAGGTTCAAGGTCTCTTACGCCTTACTAACGTTCAGTAGTCGCGGGTCGAAGGCGACGCGCTTATCGTCTCTATCCGACCGGAGTTGTTGGATAGGATGCTTCAGCTCAATGGGTTTAGTTTTGCAGGTGCTCCTCTTACGACCGAAAAATATGACCAGTCTACAAGTGGCATGTTGGACCAGCCTATGCTGTCTGCCATGGCGCAGAATGGCAGCTCGTCCTCAGCTGCTGAGACCAAGGCCAAAATGACAACCATTCTGGGAAAGCGCTACACCCAGCAGACAAAATTGCTCGACCTGTCAAAGTTGGGAAGTGACCCAGATCTATTATCCATGGGAATATTCGGCAGCACCTCCACCGAATCAAAGTTCTTCCCAGCACTCATGAAGGTCTGGGAATTGAATTTCGACAATGCGACGGCGCGCCGAGAGGCGGTGGAGAGTGTCAGTCTCGCACACAACCAGCTCGCCAACATCTCAGCTGTGACGACATTAGCGCAGACAATCCCGGATTTGAAGAATCTCGACCTCTCGAATAACGACTTCAAAGATGCTCAGTCGTTGATTGGATGGCGCTGGAAGTTCCGGGGCCTGGAATTCCTCGACCTATCAAACACCCCATTCAGCGCTGATCCCACCTTCAAGGATACAATGCTGAAGTGGTATCCCAAGCTCCGGTTTCTAAATAATGTCGAAGTCCGAACCGCGGAGGAACTGGCTGCGCAAAAGAAGACACCGATTCCTGTCCAGGCGCCGTATTTCCAGGACGAGGCTCAAATTGCGCAGAACTTTGTGCCGGCTTTCTTTGCGGGTTATGATAATGACCGCAGCGACCTTCTTAGCGGTATTTACGACAGTCACTCTACGTTTACGCTCAACGTCAACACGTCGGCTCCCAGGGCTCAACAAACAGAACCTGCGCCCTGGGATCCTTACATCAAGAAGAGTAGGAACCTCCTCAAGATTAGCCATCTCCCTGCACGGATGTCTCGGACATACACCGGTGGAGAGAAAATCCGCGAGTTGTGGACCAGCCTTCCTGCGACAAGGCATCCCGACATTACCGCGCATCCTGAACAGTGGCTTATCGAATGCTATCCAATCCCGGGACTTCCTGATGTTTCCGGGCAAAGCTCCACAGGTGTTGGTGGACTTCTTATCATGGTGCATGGGAAGTTTGATGAAATCAACGGAGCCAAGGTCGAAACCCGGAGTTTCGACCGAACCTTCATTATCGGACCCGGTGGTGGTATGGGCGGGATTAGGGTCATCAGTGATATCCTCTGCCTGCGAGCCTATGGTGGACATGAGGCATGGGCCCCGGAAATACCGCCAGCTGTACCTCAAGCAGCTCCTCCTGCAGCTCCTCAGGCGGCACCTCAATCGATGGTGGTACCGGGCGCTCCCGAAGGCTACGGTATGCCGGCGCCTGGGAAAGCGGACGCGCAAGTACAGCAAGAGCAGCTGGTGCTCCAGATGAGCTCCAACACTCGGATGACTCTTCAATACTCCGAGATGGCTTTGTCTGGAAACAGCTGGAATATGGAGGCTGCATTGAAGAACTTTGAGGAACTCAAGGTAAGTCTTGACTCTCAATGATCTTGACATGCCTTTGCTAATTGGATCTTTCAGGCACAGGGAACTCTGCCTCCGGATGCCTTTTTACCTGCAGTCTAGTTGAACAAGAAAGAAAAGGGGGGATAAAGAAGATAAATTAATGGACCAAACGGGAACATTCATGAACGACTCGATTCGTCTGTCCACCCGATTTGGTCTTCGCATACCTGAATTTTGTGCGGGGGGCTATCCGGTGGTGTTTGCTTGGAGTATTATTGATTATTGTGTGGTTTGCTAATGCATGGCTTGGGCGAATGGCTTCAGGGCTTGATACATTTTCAGAAGCTCTTTTCGATGTACAATAAAAGACCGCGATGACTTTGATGTCCATATAGATGCGAGACTTGCGCTCATTCAAAAACGGGGCGAACGCCCTCAGGACCGCTGCCTGATAACTTGACCACGAGCCTGGGTAGATTGTAGATACGTACGGAGTAGATACGGTAGATACATAGATGAGGGGAGGAGAATGCGGCGCGATGACGAGGCGCTGCGGAGCGGGCGTGCGCTAAGAGAGCTGCCCGTGACTGATTGGTTTGACTGACTTGTCGCCAACTCCCGGACTCCGGCTCCATCATCAACATCCCCCCCCCCTCCGGTCCTTACAGCTGCTCGTTTCTCCGTTCTGTTCGCTTCGCTCCTTTAGTCGCCCTTTTACTCTGGCCTATGCTTACATGTTGAATTGGCAGATGCCCCTTAGCTGGCATTGCAGCATGTGTCTGGCGTTGACACTCAGGAGCTAATGGAATGTCCGCCACTACTACTACCACCACCACCACCCCCGGCCAAATGCCCTCCAACGGAGCGGCCAATCTCGACCCTCTGGATGCAGGTGAGGGACGCCATTGACGACTCATCTCGCTGCAGAGCTCATTAACATACCCAATGCTACAGCGGACTACGATCCGATCGACCACCTGAACGCAATCTTTTCCCACCCCTCCACGCTATCATCCGTGTCCCAAGTGTCCCAGACCCTCTGCGAATATGAAGACGAACTCGACGACGATATCGGCGCACTGGTGGAGGACCAAGTCACCTCCAATGCGGAGAGCGTCGAGCGCATTCAGGCCGCCAAGGCAGACTTGACGGAGCTGTTCAAGAAGATCGACGATGTGCGCGACCGGGCGTCCAGGACGGAGCTAGCCATTACGGAGATGACGGCGGATATTAAGCAGCTGGACAATGCGAAAAAGAACCTTACCCTGTCCATGACAGTGCTGAAAAGACTGCAGATGCTGACAACGGCCTACGACCAACTCCGTTCCCTTGGTCGCACGCGGCAGTACCGCGACTGTGCTCAGCTGCTGCAGGCTGTGATTCAGCTGATGGCACATTTCAAGTCGTATCGCTCGATTGATCAGATTGCTCTGCTTAGTAGGAACGTTGCGGACATACAAAGGGAGCTTTTGGAGCAGGTCTGCGAGGATTTCGAGCTGGCATTCGCGAAGGGAGAAGTCGGTCAAAAGAGACCCGTACTTTCAGAGGGCTGCTTGGTCATGGATGCATTGGGCGACCATGCAAAGTCCAGGCTGGTGACCTGGTATTGCAATTTCCAACTGCGCGAATATCGCCAGGTATTCAGGAACAACGAAGAGGCCGGGTCGTTAGACAACATATCGCGGCGGTATGCATGGTTCCGACGAATCTTGAAGATCTACGATGAGGAGTATGGTCCCATCTTTCCTGCGTCCTGGAAGGTCTGTGAGATTCTGGCAAACGTCTTCTGCGAGGGCACGCGAGAGGACTTCAAGGGGATTCTCTCCCGATCCGTGCGCAATGGCCAGACGATCAATGTCAACCTGCTACTATCGTGTCTGCAGGAAACGCTGGACTTTGAGCACTCCCTTGAGCGGCGTTTCGTCGGCCCGTCCCGCCCTTCGACGGATACATTCGCCTCGAGCGAGGCGCCTGTCTTTGGTCAGGCCATCTCCGAGGCGTTCGAGCCCTATCTGAGCGTGTGGGTTGAAGCTCAAGACAAGCAACTGGCTGCTCTTATACCCAAATATCGGCAACAACCTGCAAAGCCACCGGACGAGGAATTTGACTCGCACATTGTAATATCGTCCTCCACGGACCTTTTCACATTTTACCGGCATTCGTTGCAGCAGTGTGCAAAGCTATCTACTGGTGGTAGTCTTGCCGACCTGGCAAAGGTGTTCGCCAAGTATCTCGATCAGTACACTCAAGTCCTTCTCTACTACATCAGCGAGAGGCCTACGGGTCACACTCCATCAAAGGTGCCCGATACCGAGGACCTGATCTTAGTTCTCAACACCGCAGACTACTGCTATACAACCTGCAACCAGTTAGAGGAGAAGATCAAGGGCAGGCTCGATAAGAACCTAAAACAGACGGTGGATCTACAGAGTCAAGCAGACTCATTCATGGGCATTGCATCTGCGGCTGTGCGAGGGCTTGTGCGGAAGGTCGAGACTGAGTTGGAGCCCTGCTGGCGGGAAATGCGCAACACACCCTGGAACCGACTGGAGAGCGTCAGCGACCAGAGTTCCTACGTCGGCGAGCTCATGTCCAAGACGCAGACTAAATGCTCGGAGCTGCTGCAGCTGCTTCATAAGCAGCAGTACGCCCGAGCGTTTGCCGACCATGTCGTGGAGCTGATATCGAACGTATTCATCACCACCATCTTCCAGTGTAAACCGGTGTCGGAGACCGGCGCAGAGCAAGTATGTTTCTTCCCTAGTCACTAGTAAGAGCTCACCTGAATTGACGCTTGATATTAGATGCTTCTGGACTCCTACACCCTCAAGACCGGTCTCTCATCGCTCCTCCCCAGCCCCGCCCCAGCGGGTTTCGTAAAGCGCGTCAACGCCAGCTTTGCGAAGATCGAAGCCCTGCTCAAGACCCTCCAGGTGCAGCCATCTCCCCCTGAGGCCCTTGTCCAGGCGTACCTCGTTCATATTGCCGACCAAAACAACGCGAACTTCCGCAAAATCCTCGACATGAAGGGCATCCGCAGTCGACAGGAGCAGAACCACCTTTTAGAACTATTCCAAGTCCACCGTGCATCCGACCGCTACGCAGCGAACCTTCAGCAGAGCAACCCCGTCCTAGCAGCCCTGCAGACCTCCACCACACCGTCCTCCAGCACCGTCTCCCAGGGCCTGGGCCTCGGCACCCTCGGCACATCCGCCGCCGCGTCCATTGGCGCCTCCACCACCCGCTTCGACCCTACCATGCTCGGGTCTGCCATCATCTCCGCCGCCAAGGACGGTGTCGATCGGTTCGGAACCCCGATGAGCTCATCCAACACAACGAGTCTTAGTCCAGCCGGAGGCATTTCCGGCGCATTAACCAGCCCCTCTTCCACCTCGGGACCTCTGGGGCAGACGCAGCTCCAAAGCGGAGAAGGCACCTCCTCCGCCGGGAATCTGAACGAAAATCTTAAGAATCTTGGGAAATTCTTCCGTCGGGATCTAGGTGGATTTGGGGGGCGGTTTGGACGGGGCGGTGATGATGGCAATTGATGTGTATATTTTTTTCGAAGCGAATAGCATATATTTACCTTTGTCTGTATTTGTACCCATGCATGTAGTCTTCTTACTATAGATACCTTGGACGAGACATGGCGAGGTTCACTTTCTATTCCATACACTTTGGTTAGATATAACCACTACTACTTCTTATCGAGAGCTAGCGCGAGGGCCCCCCTGCAATTGAAACCATCGCCTACACATACCTACATGCTTTGTGAACTACATCTGGAATAAAAGTATCTCCCCTTCAGAACAAACCATACATAATATAAATATTACAACAGATGCCTCTAAGCTTATATACACTATAGTTAAATCAAACCCTAGTACCACAAAACAAACCCCATCATAGTCCCCAAAGATATACCAAGACCACCACACCATAGTACCATCAACCAAGCCAACAACACAACCTCCCCCCAACCTCCATGGGGGGTACCTATCCTAGACCATCAGAAACCAACCTGACTCCGTACCTCACATACTACAAACCTCAGCCCAACTCACCAAGTACGAAAACCCATCCTTCCATCACGAGACCCCCCTACCTCAGACTGATATACCCAAACTCCCGGCCCAATAATCACAACTTGTCTTTGTGGTGTAGTTGGTTATCACGTGGGTCTCATATTCCAAAATATGACTAGGAAGCATAATAACTTTCCTGGATATCCCAAGGCCGGGAGTTCGAGCCTCCCCGAGGACAATGTTTTTTTTTGAGTTTATATTTTTTGGGGGGGGTGGGGTGGGGGAGTGGAGTGGAGCGGGTTGAGTAGGTAGGTGCCAGGTGGAGTCGGTTGGGTGGATGGTTGATCTCACTTTTTGCGTAGGTGGGAGATGGTATATGGCTGGCTGGCTATTGTGGGCGTGTGTGTTTGTGGTGGCTGGGGGTTGAGAATATTTTATCGTCCAGTTGAGAGTTTTGGGTGTTGTGGGGATACCCCGTATAAACGAGGGAGGGAAGGAGGGACAGAGAGAGAGGGCAGGGGTTATGCATAGAATCTGGACATGGGTAGTTTAGAGAACCAAAACTATGCTGATGAAGGCCACTACAGCAACAAATTCAGTGCATGAATACCCAAGCCGTGTAGTCTATAAGCTATAAACGCTCAACCTTGTCCCACCAGAGTCATCCCAAGCTATGGAAAACCGACTCGTATAACATCTCTCATCCACTCGTCAAGCCCCAGAGCCCCGTTCCCAGTGACAGAAAAAAGAGAACATTAACGTATGGGACTCAAAGCCCGATCATGGAAATGCATCCAACGAAAAGAAATCTCCATTTCATCTCCCGAATCTTAGTGCAAACGCCATCGCAGAAATCAATCATCGCGAACTAAACAGAACCGAGCAGTACCGGGGCCGAAACCCCTCACATGGTATCATAAGCGAATTTCATAAAGCCCCAGCACACCTTCACCTCCACTCCAAATCACCCCGCCTACTGCGATGCGCACTGCACCCGCTCAGCGCCAGGAGGAACATCGTCGTCGTCCTCGTCCATCGAGCCGGCGGCACCGTGTGCGCGTGCCTGGGAGTAATCGCTGGAGTCGACGTCCTCGAGCTCGAAGTCCTCGATCATAGCGTCCTGCGGGGGCTGGGACTGCTCCGCGCGAGTAGGCAGAACCTGCTCGAGCAGCTCGAGGTTCTTCAGCTGGTCCTTCTCGGGGAACTTGACGTCGAACTGGATGTACAGGTTGCCGAAGTCGTGGTGACGGTAGGAGGGCATACCCTGACCCTTGATAACCTTGATAGCACCTGTGAAAAATCATGTTAGTCCAACATTTCCAGTCGTAGCGGAAACGTAAATCACATACCAGGAGTGATGACCTCGCCAGGGGCGATGTTGACGGTCAACCACCGGTCATCCAGGTGCTCGATGTTGATGATGCCACCGCCAAGAGCAGTGAGCAGGTCGATCTCGGCCTGGTAGAAGAGGTCGTCGTCCTTGCGCTGGAAACGGGCGTGGGGCTTCTGCTCGATCTCGAAAACGACATCACCGGGCATAACACCGGGCATCTGGTCACCCTCGCCGCGGAATTCGATCTTGTGGCCGTTCTTGACACCGCGGTCGACGTGGACGTGGAGAACCTTGCGCTCCACAACGGTCTTCTTGCCGTTACATTTCTTGCAGCGGTCCTTCTCGCGGATGATCTCGCCCTCACCATTGCAGTCGGGGCAAACGGTCTGGAAGCGCTGGATCATGGGACCCATCTGGCGCATCATGGTCTTCATACCAGAACCATTGCAGCCGGTACACGACTTGACAGCACCGTCCTTACCACCACGACCATCACAGCCCGAGCAGATAACGGACTTCTGCAGAGCCAGCTTCGAGACCTTACCGCGGTAGATATCCTCCAAGTTGACCTTGTGCACGTGGTGGATGGTGCGGGCTTTCTTGGGGCCCTGCTCGCGCATACCACCGCCGAACATGCCACCGAAACCGCCGCCGCCGCCGAAGAACTGGGCGAAGAGGTCCTCTGCGCCCATGCCACCGCCAGCACCACCATGCTCAAGACCTTCCTCACCGAGCTGGTCGTAGAGGCCACGCTTCTGGGGGTCGGAGAGCGTCTCGTAAGCATGGGACAATTCCTTGAACTTCTCAGCGGCTTCCGGGTTGTTCGTGTTCTTATCTGGATGGCGAAGAGAAAATCCTGTTAGCGAAAGACCGATCGACAGCTGGCGGAGAAGCGCCGCTCTTGTGGTCCGATTGACACTTACCAGGGTGGTACTTCAGGGCACCCTTCTTGTAAGCGGTCTTGAGTTGGGCCTCAGTGGCCGTCGGGGCAACCTAATAGCCTCACCGTTAGTTCCCATATGGAAGGAATCAGGACCTTGAAAAAACTGGAACCTACCCCCAGGATGTCGTAAAACTTAGTTTCCTTGACCATTGTGATCGGCGTCTAATGAAAAATAGAGAAAAGGGAGGAAAGAGGAGTTTGCGAGAAAAGTCGAGAGCGGGTATAGAAGCGACAAGAACTTTTCGAAAGAACAGGATAGAGAAAATTAATCCGAGCGAACCTTACACCGGGGTATGGAACACGAGCGACAAAGAAGAGAGACGACCGGAGAGGGTAGGAGGAGGGGAGTCTTGAAGCCGCGGGCGGGACAGTTAGTTGATGAGGGAAGAAGGAAGTTGGAGATAATCAGAGCCAGGAGAACCGAGAAGAGAGGAGCGGCGACAAGGCGACAAGGCGACAAGGCGGCGGCTGAGACAACGAGACTCGATGTATTCCGATTACCAGGACCAGGCACCAATCGACTTTCGTTTGGCCGCACGAGCGTGGGAGTTGGTCGCCAAGCGTTTCAAGATCCCGTAATCAATACCGGATATACGATGGGGCGAAACTCCGGGAGTATAGCAAGAGCAACTGCGCTTCAGCTGGCTAGGACACAACGAAATCGAGGGGGGGAAAGAGGCAGAATCAAGATCGTACGAAAATCGAGATTGTCGTGCTTTTGAACAAAATGAAGGCGCCTGCAACAACAGCCTGCCAGGCTGAATGGTGTTGTTCTCTTTGCTTCGACAGACCGTCACCCGCAGCATTCAGGGCCCGAGCGTGGATTCGGCTGCTTCGATGCAATTCTGCGCGCTTCCACCACTTTCGCAGCCTTTCCGTCGCTGACAATCGTGCCGTAATTACGGGGTTTCCGACCGTGGAGAGGGTCTCTCGGGTTGGACTGCTTGGTTTTGCGTTCCAAAGGTCTTACCGGCTGTATCGCTGGGGATTTCCATAAACTTCTACCCTTCAACACAAGGGTTCTTGAAGCAGGGAGGGAGGCATAAACAACACCGGGCTTAAATAGATATCGCGGTCCAATCATACAAGGAACATGCCTCCATACCTAGACGACCCTTCTCAACTTCCCGAAAAGCCATCTACATCTTACGATGTCAAACACCCTTAGTACACCCGGTAAAATCCCAGGAAGAACTTGCAGGAATAAACTTTGATGTAACCTCCCGGATCTGCCTTGGGTCGAGGTCAGATTCTTTCCCTCGCCCAGTGGCACAGGTCTTTGCCTCAGGCACCCGGATAGTGGCGGGCGGTGGCTGACCTCGCCTTATCGATAAGCCGTGATTAGCCCGATGCGGAAGGAGGGGGAAAAGCCTGTCCGGATCCCCACCTGGAGTCCTTTTGGTGCCATCGCCAACTGCCGGCTGGCCTCGGTCACCTGGAGCCCCCCGCGGGAGATTGCCCTGCTGGGAATTGATGCATGGTCCCGGAGGAGGGAGGACCAGCAGGAACCAGCAGGGCTATTCCTATGGTTCTTGCAACTACCATGGCTCTTTGTCATCGCAATTGATTGTTCTCTGCGATCAAAGTTGATAGGGCAAGGGTCTCGCCCGCCGAGTTTATCAGCCACTGCTGGAGGTGTTGAACTCACGACTTTTCTGCAGACTCCGATGGTAACAATCAGCTGCATTTGGCTGTGATACCGTGAACTGACCTTTTTCTTAGCTTATAGACAAGTCTCGTATACAATAATTTTATAAATTTCTTAAATCTACTGGGTCCGAACACTGCCAGGTAGCTCGCGCTTATGCATGTCGATCCCCAAAGCAAGCGCAATTGCATGGCCATAGCCCAAGAAAGTCTATCGCGTGCACGTACAATCCCCGTAGAACAGCTGATAAGTATGTAATACTGTTCCAATGACAGCAGCTATCTGTCTACTATCTATCTGTCTATCTATCTATACCCGATCTCCATTATCATGAAGCTCCGCAGACCCAGCCCAATGCGGGTCAGTCTAAGTCATACCCGGTACGGCAATTGACCACAGAGTTTGCTCCGTCTTGATACTCCCCCAGCTTTCTCCCTCTGCTTGCTACCCTGTGCCCCTCTTTGATTTACTCTGTGCCCCTATCCCCCACCAGTCCGTATAACCACAATATACAACATGGAGACCGATCCCGGATTCATCGCCGCTGTCGAGGAAGCCAAGCTGGGTGCGGCCGAGGGTGGTGTGCCTATTGGAGCTGCCTTGGTCTCCAAAGACGGGAAGATCCTGGGCCGTGGTCACAATATGCGTGTCCAGAAGGGCAGCCCAGTATTGCATGTTCGTCGATCCCTTTCTAAGAGCTGTTTCTCATTAGACGATGGTTTGGTTCTGACAAATCCCCTCTGTCATAGGCTGAGATGTCCGCGCTCGAGAACTCCGGTCGTCTGCCCGCCTCGGCCTACGAAGGTGCCACCATGTACACCACCCTGTCGCCTTGCGACATGTGCACTGGTGCCTGCATACTCTACAAGGTGAAGCGCGTGGTCATCGGCGAGAACAAGAGCTTCATGGGCGGGGAGGAGTATCTCAAGAACCGCGGCAAGGAGGTCGTGGTGTTGGATAATGAGGAGTGCAAGCACCTGATGGAGAACTTTATGAAGGAAAAGCCTGAGCTTTGGTATGTGTCATTCATATCCGTTGGAATCCCCTGCATGGCATCGTAGTACATTCGTGTGCTTTTAACGTAACTCAAGCTGACCAGGATGTATTTGTTAGGAACGAGGACATTGCCGTCTAAGTTTAAACCGCAAATGGCGGGCGCCAGTGCCAATTAAACTGCAGACCTCCTATGTATATATCCAGAAACTGCAAGCCAATAATGGACATGCGGAGCATCACTTTAAACCGTCAGACGGTGGATCTCCTCGAAGAAGAACTTGAGATCATCCGGGTTGACGAAAGGAGTCACACCTAATCGACATTAGCATTTCCTCAAAAGTCCCCCCAGTCGTGAGCATGACTTACCATGACCCAAGTTGGCGATCCATCCCTGCTTGCCCTTCTCGAATCCCCGAGCCATAGTCTCCACTGCCTCCGTAATAGCCTCACGACCTCCGTAGAGAACACCCGGGTCAGCATTGCCCTGGATGGTCACACGGCCGTTGGCAATGCATCTCGCCTCAGCCGGGTCATGCAGCCAGTCCAGACCAACAACATTGTAGCCCGACTCGCAAAGATCCTCAAGCCCGAACCACGCACCCTTGGCGAAGACCGTCATGGGGACAGGCTCCAAGCCCATCTCCTTCAGCTTCTTCGGCAGATGGGCCGAAATATGACGCAGGTACGGAAGGGAGAACGACTTGAAAGCGGCCGGAGACAGCTCACCCGCCCACGAATCGAAGACCTGCACCAGCTGCGCACCCGCCGCGACCTGAAGAGCCAGATACTCGACGCAAATCTCGGCGATCTTCTGTAGCAAAGCCTGTGTCTCCTTGGGGTACTTGTAAATCCACTTCTTCGACTGAACGAACAGCTTCGTGCCACCGCCCTCAACCATGTAGCACAGCAGAGTCCACGGGGCACCGCAGAAGCCGATCAACGGCACACGGCCCTTCAGCTTGTGGCGGGTAAGGGTGATGGCCTTGTAGACATAGTCAAGCTCCGACTTGACATCCACCTGCTTCTGCATCACCTTCTCGTATTGTCCGTCGTCCGGGGACTGAAGAGGTTCGGGGAAATGAGGGCCCTTCTTGTCGACCATCTCGACCTGCATTCCCATAGCCTGAGGAATGACAAGAATATCGGAGAAGATGATAGCGGCATCGATGAGCCCGGCATACCGGTCAATGGGCTGGAGGGTCAACGTCGATGCGACTTCGGGGTCGCGGCAGCATTCGAAAAAGTCGCGGCCGGCTTTGGCTTCATGGTACTCGGGGAGGTAGCGACCGGCTGTACAAAGCAAAGATAGAATCAGTGAGCAACAATCGCCCTTACATTGAAGAGGTCTTGAAGTGGTAACGAGGAGAGGTGGTTTGCTGGAGGTGAAGCGTACCCTGGCGCATAACCCATATCGGAGGACGCTGGACTTTTTCGCCTGCAATGACATCAGCCTTGTTTACTGGGGTATGATTATTGAGTTTCCAAATTACCCCGAGCGGCTCTCAGCAAGAGGTCGTTCTTCAATGGCTCGAATTGGTGCTGCATTTTGATGTGGGATGTGTGAGTGAGAGGGGACCTTGCGGAGGAGGGGCCATGACATGCAAGTCCTGCCGCTCGCTGCCTCGGGCCGCGAACCGGCCACTCGGTGGCTAAGGTAAGCTTTAGGTAGATCGCTCGCAGGTGGGTTAGATCTAGTTGATTTTCTTAATATTATTACGCACGTTTACATCGCAAAAAAGGATACGTGAAATGAGGGTTGTGGATTGAGTTTCATTCAAAAAACAGAGACATGGTAAAGATTGTGATGCCATCCCCCCTTCCATAACCAAAAACAACAGCCTGAATTACTACGCTTCTTGCATCACTACGCAATCCGATTCCCAAGACAGATATCTCCGATGGAATAGACCAGCGCATGAATCTTACGACGACCGGGCTACAATGAACCTGTGAACTTGACAGAGTTGTTAGCTTTAAGATCACCAAGGAATTGAATGTCAAATAGCAAGAGAGCCAAGACGGTGTCAGCAAAAAATTAGAGTGTTGTTGTTGCGTTTTCATCTTCACAGCCAGTGGCTACGAGTTAAAAATTTTATCATCATCTCACCGTGATAATTGATGTGGGTGTAATGCAGGGTAAAAAGAAATAGAAGGAAAATAAAGGCTCACCTTTTCAGTTCATCAGATAATGGAACGTGGCTACGTCCATATCTAAATGAAAAGCGATCATTGTTTCATGACCATGACAATCATTTCATTGGCCCGATCGTCAAGATCGGCAAGAAAAGTATCTAAAACATGGCAGTCGTATCTCGTGCAACATTGACGCGAGACGCTTAGTCGAACAGACCGAAGCCCATGTCGTCATCGGACTCCTCGGCCTCCTCCTCCTTCTCCTCAGCAGCGGGAGCACCGGCAGCAGGGGCAGCGGCAGCGGCGGCGGGAGCGGCGGAAGCGTAAGCGTCAGGGTTGGCGATACGGTCCTTGAGCTCCTCAATCTCGGGCCAGCTGTACTCAGTCTCAACAGCAACGGCAAGAACCTTCTTGTAGCCGTTGATGAGGGAGTGCATAACGGAGGGAAGGGTGGGGTAGCCGACAGCCAGGGAGATGGTGGTGATGGTGCTGATGGCGGAGGTGAAAGCCTCAAGGAGCTGAGACTCCTCGATGTCGAGGACATCGGCGCCGAAGCACTGACCCTGGTCGTAGACCTGGGCGATGCTCATACCGTAGGTGAAGGGAGAGATGTTGAGCATGTTCAACAGGGTGGCCTCAGAGGGACCGACCTTGGATCCAGCCTCAACGAGCTTGAGGTCGGTGGTAATTTCAATGGTACCACGAGCAATCTTGGTGGGGACACCGAGAGCCTGGAAGAAAGAGGTCTTACCGGGTTCCATACCGGTGTTACCAGCGGGAATCCAGACATCGCCAGGGGCGACGGCACCGGCACGAGCGGGAGCAGCGACACGGTTGGCAAGGATCTTCTCCTTGGTGGCCTTGAGGTCACCGTTGGTGAAGATGAAACCAACGTTACCTGGACAAAAAAGCACACGTTAGCCAATTGATCCACGCGAGTCCGATGTTATTCTTTTCGCTTACCCTTAACGAAGGGGAGCAGACGCTCGTACTCCGGGTTGTCGGTGACGAAGCCCTTGATGGCACGGCGAACCTGGAAAACTCATCAGCATGCAATTCGCAGAGATCTGACACTGAAGAATCATACCATGGTGTTCTTGCCCATCAGGACAACACCCTCGCCACGGAGACTCAGACGAATCTCGTGCATCTGCTGAGAGCTGACATTGTCGACACCGACGATGAAGACAGTCTTGTACTCATCGAGAAGGGCCTTGAGCTTATCGAAGTAAGCGGCCTTGGTAGCGGACTTGCCCCCCATGTCTCCTTATTTCACTGAAGATAGGATGTTTAAGGGCAAGGGAATTGTTGTGATCGTGGATGTCCGAATTAAATCGTGACTTTGAAGTTCGAAAAGTCCGAAGCTCGGTTCGGTTTTGGGAAATTCTTAGTTGTGGCCTCGCTTGTTGACGGTCACGTGGTTCCCGCACTGCCTAGGCCTAGCCGGGCAGGCGGTCGCGCGCATTGTGATGCGGCCATCGATGCGGCGGGACATCGACTTTTTACGGCGATTTACTGCGGCGGCGGAGAAGCGACCTTGCTTCTGTCTTCTGATCCCCTCCGAAATCTCCCCGCTTGGCTCCCATTCAAGATGGCTGCGAACTTCCAACATCCCTTCCAATGCTTTCAATTCGTGCCGAGGCCGAATAGCAACCTCCTTATCGGGTCGGCTGGCTCAAAGCTCTACTCTTACTCCGCCGAATCTGGAGAGCGGCTTGCGGTTTGGCCACAGGAAGTAGACTCAACCACTGCCAATCCGGTTGACGCGGATTCTGTCTCCGAACAAGGACCACCAGGAAAGAAGAGAAAGGTTTCTACATTAGAAACCCAGACAAATGACAAGTCCGCCTGGTCCAGCATTCCCATCGTGACCACGACCACGACTGGCGAGTACGTTGTTGCGCTTACCGCCGAAGACAAGTGTGTCCGTGTCTTTCAGCTTCAAGAAGATGGCTCATTTACTCAATTGAGCGAGAGGTGAGTGAACCCGCACGGTCCGTTCAGCCGATACGCACCAGGAACTCATCCTGTCAATAGAGTCATGCCCAAGCGACCCTCCGCCATTACCCTAACTAGCGACGACACCACCATCCTGTGCGGTGACAAGTTCGGAGATGTCTACTCACTGCCGCTGATTCCCAGCGACAAGCTCCCTGTCATCACCAAAGCCCTCAGAAGCGCAAAACTCAGCCACCCGGCGGCAACGAATCTGACCGTGCACACCAAGGGCAACCGACGAGCTTTGGAGCAACAATTGCGTCTCGCCAGCGAAGGCAAAAAGGATGAGAAGTCCGCCGGCCCAACTTTCGAACACACCCTTCTGCTTGGCCATGTATCGCTACTCACGGATATGGCCTATGTATCGCTTTCGGTGGATGCCAACAAGAAGCGCAGCTACATCCTGACCGCCGACCGAGACGAACATATCCGTGTCTCTCGTGCCCTCCCTCACGCACACGTCATTGAGAACTACTGCCTGGGCCACACTGCATTCATCAGCCAGCTCTGTGTACCCCAGTGGGCGCCCGAGTATCTTGTCTCCGGTGGAGGTGACAACTATCTGCTTGTTTGGAAGTGGGCGGAAGGCCGTATTCTCCAGAAGGTGTCTCTGGTAGATGAATCATCACAGGCTGCAGAGGTTGCTGTCCATGGCATTTGGGCGACATCACTTGGAGACCTCCGGGTCATCCTTGTCGCGCTTCACGGGTGAGCTTCCTCCCCCACGTTCATCGTTGTCCGTCATATACGCAATATACTAACCGTAATAGATCCTCACTCCTCCAATGCTTTACGCTGGAAGCAGATGGAACCCTGAAAGCACAAAGCCCCATCCAACTTTCCGGCAATGTCCTCGCCCTTACACCCATCGAGAAAGACAATACCATCCTTGTCTCCGTCGACCCGATCCGCCAGCCAGACACAACCCAAGAATGGAGAGCTAGCCCCTCCTCCCCATCCACCCTGATCGAGGGTTTCCACGTCAAGCCAGGCACCGATAGTCTGGAATGGGAACCTGCCGCGGCGACCGTGGCCGAGAAGATCAACTCTGCTGGCACGGACGAAGTCTCGACGACGACCGAAGACAAGCAAAGAAAGGAACTGAACGACTCGCTGTATGGATTGGGACATCTTCGAAAGAGGAAGGGCGAAGATGAGTAAAAAAGTTTGGTCTTTTTGCAATAGATAATTTTTCCCATCGGAAGGAATGTATATATCAAGGAGTTACTCAATGACCTGTTCTAGCGTCCATATGTAATGGCAGCCCACTTACTATGCTCCATCATCCTCCCATTCAAAGATTACATTTCATCAACTAGTACGAACTTTGCATAGAGATAGAAATACTTGACCCTCGAGCGGCTCAACTCGGGAAGGTGGCTAGTTGGTCATCAAAACTATTCGTTGCCCCCATCATATTCAACGGTCTGCCCATACCCCCATTTCAGAATTATATAGGTTTGTGTTTGTTCGTTTGGGCTGAAATCTGTTGTGTACATGGTCTGGGTTTTGGACGGGTGACCTATTCTACTTTTGTGTGTATACGAGAACCCCCTTTCCCTCCCTCTCTCCCACGTTGTTTGAATCGTGTGGTGACGTGGGCTGGGAGGATACGAGGAGTTCATGAGGATTTATTCTGAACCGGACTGCCTCGTGCGGGGATTGGATTGGGTGAAGGGGTCTTCGATGTGACCCTGCGGCATGAGTTGTGCATGATGATAGGGTGGTGTGCATGCAGTATGGGCAGTCTGGAGCTGTTTAATTTATGTTATTGAGCGTTGGTCATCGGGGGATTGATCATGAGAACTTTACACACCGAGCGTCCGTTGGGATGCAGTACTGGTGTGATGCTGGGGAACAGTGGTAATCAATAATGTGTTCATAACTGGTTATGTTTCATTGGATGTCTGTCTAATGCTTCGTCATGTGCGCTGTGCAAGCTGGTCGATGCTTAGAGTAAATCACTTGCAGGCCGCATGCGTCTCGTGATCATCTCGCAGTGAGGGGTCAAATATCCGGACAAAGAAATCCATAGAAGGATAGTAACTAGGATTGAAAAAAGTCTTCACAGGATGTTAGTGGCATTCAGATATGTCGTCAGTCGGATATTCAAGCACGTCTAGCTATCAAACCATGGTAGCAGATCTCGCGGGGAGGTCCATATGGTTTAAGCCAGAGTTGGCAGGCATCACGTAACACATTTAACAAAGTTTAGTATGACTTGGAGAATTAATGGATCAAGGTTTGCAGATCGCTGTTATTGCTGAGTTTGGGTCAGTGCCAGAACCATGTGCTTCGTTTGACCTCCTATGGTCATTGACACGGGGCGATTCGGTCGTTTAGATGCATGCTAAGCACTTATTTGCTGGATAAACGAGGCTCTAGTGGTATGTGTTGTAGTATATTCTCTGTCAGCAGACTCGAACTCTGTTGATCAAATCAGCCGCCAGCATGTCGGATCATACTAGCGCCTTGGTACTTGATATTTGCTGTCCGGTATCTGTCTCCAATCTGTGCGAGCTCCGATAGGTCGATAGAGAAATCGAAGGATGGGATACGAGGGTGATAATGCGATCGGTTAGTTCATCGTTCGATGGATTGGTTCTGGTTGTTCATGATGTGGCGGTGGTGCTGCAGGTGCAGGGGGACTGTACACAGTAGCCTGTAAAGTGTACACGAAAGAGTCGCAACCCCACGCAACGGAGGCAAAGAATACTGCGGAAGAGGATCCCGCTGTTAGTCAGAGTAACCATCCGCAATGAGAGATTAATCTACTCAAGTGGCTCTTTCTCGTTCTGGACACAGTCCGGATGACATGCGGTTCACCGAATCGTTCGATGGACGGGGAGGCATCAAACCACATAGAACCCATCTGCCAATGGCATTCGCATCTCTAGCGATAAGATCGATGGCGCAATTTCTGGGGAACGGCCCTAGTTCTTAGGTACATATGCGCGACTTAGACTGTAGGCCGGCAATCCTTTCGAGAGACATCAGGCCAATATCGCCCGTCTGATTGGTCGGTAAGTAGCTCCTCCGGAAGACATCCTGGTCACATAGGTGAATTTCGATGCAGCGTTACGTCGAGTACACAGTACTGTGTAGAGCCAATGCAGCTAATGGGGACCGGCAAGGTTGAACTGATGCATGAGTGGTGTTGCATTCGGAGTACGGATTGAAGCCACCGTTGAGATGACCTGATTGGGACCGAGTATCCTTGCTATTCGGAGTTGTGAGCCGTGCTAAACCGTGGACTTGTAGATCGCTCGCTATCAGATGGAAGTAAGTTCGAGGCTTCCAGCAGATCCTGGACTGGCCAAGGCGCCAAGCCACGTCGGCAGAGGCCACCTTGGAAATAATGCTGAAGGGAATAGGGATAATAATCTTCATCTTGATGCACCCACAGTTACAGAGTAAGTGGTGGTACGTAGCCAAAACCGTTCCGTCCACTCAGGGCCACCGCCGCCGATGTTGGTTGCACTGCATATATTAGATAGGCCCGTATACTGTGTACTGTGTGTTGTGAACCTCGAATCCTTTTCAGCCAAATCTACGGCATACTCTGTAGCTACCCACGGAACCAATTCTGGCAGTCCAGGCCGATACGAGAGACACCGTCATCGAAGCATCGGAGATAAAAAATCACTGGCAGGCATCCAGGAGGCGAAACGGGGGCGGCGTCAGCAAGGGGAAAAACCAAAAAGACCTGGTCGAAACCGCGCCGCCCACACGTGGATCGGTCAGCTTTCACCATCAGCCGGCGCGATGGCGTGTTCTCGCGCCGTTCCCATTGGTTGCCGCCCGCCCGCCGCGGATGCTTCGCTCCAGGGACCGGGGACTGCGCTGATTGGCTGTAGCCCTACCCGTGGCCCAATTCCGGTGGGCGGTGTACCTTGGCAATATGGCGGATGGAGTCCGCACTCTCTTTTCCTCCTCCCTTGGGGCTCATCCATCCGCGACGTCGGGGAAACTGGATCCATACCCCCCCTCCCCAAAGGGCATCTTTTCGCCATCGTCATGGTGGGTTAAAGCTCCCGAGATAGAGCTCCATCCACCCGGCTCTTCGATTAGCGGATCGTTTTATCATCATAGTGATGAATCATGAATCCAAGGGAAGACCGGAGACACTAACCCTTCCCTGATACTATCCGGATCGATAGACTTCCTCCTTCCCATGGCAAAGCGCAAACCATGGGCCCAGCCGCTGGGCGGGCAGCTGCTCCACGGCTCATCGTCATCTTTCGCTTCCAGACCCCCGGCCTAATCCACCCAAACGGCGCTCTTACGCCAGCTTCTCTCGACAGCTTGGCCTCCCTGCAGGCTAGGACTGGCCTGTGAAATGTGAATAATATTATTCTAGACGGCGTGCTTTTGCCCTTGACGATCCCTGGTGGATCAGCTGCCCCATCACTGCGCATTTCTTCCTGATGTTTCCTTCCCGGTTAATAATAGTGTATCCTGGTCGTCGTTGTCAATGCCCTTTCGGCGCAAAATATCACTGATCGGCTTGCATCAAATCCCGTTGCGACGTCCGCTTCCCCCCACGGAGACCCGTGTCACCATACTGCTTCTGACAAGCCTGATCACATAAAACTCCTGGAGTGATTCCCCTCGAACTCCCTTTCTCACTCCTCTCTCCCACCTTTGCTTCTTTGTGGCCTGTTCGTGTTGAAACGCCTGCGCGGGTCGGATCTGCTGGTCTCATATTCCGCTCGACCACATATTCCCCGTGCGCCACCTTGACATTATTTCCTGGCGGAACTCAAGGCCGCGTGTGCTCTTTGGTCCTCTTATTCTCTTCTTCACTACTTCTTTTCTAAACCCATTTCAACTTTGACTTTGTTCCTCGTGTAGCCTGACTCCTAGCGTCGAAAGTGCCGGGTGGGAATTTTTGATATTTCGCGTTCAAAGCTCCCGATCACGACATCGGCTCTTGGCTCCGGATATCCATTTTAAAACCACACTACTGCCTGCATCCACTATCATATTGTTGGCCATCAATCTGGAAATGGGGCTTGTCTAGTCAACCCCCCCAAAAAGATATATTATCAGTGTGATCTCGAAAGTTTTCCCCCTCAGCACTTGAACATATTTTCAGAACCGCTCCGGTCGTCAAACGGCAACTTTCCACTGGCTTAGTGGTCCCGGGCACCGTCTTGCCCTACGCCGACCACATCCCTGCCATTCAAGGTACACTCAAGAGACAAGCATGCCTCAAGAGTTCACAACCAAGGTTGGCCACGGCTTGGCCAAAGCCTTGGGAATAAAGCTACCCTACCGGGATCCCCTTGGAGCCCATGCAGACCCCGTCACTCGGGGCGAATCAACCTTCTCATACGGCACCATCGACACTTACTCCTATCTTGAGCCCGAACCTACTTCTGCTGAATGGATCAAAGAAGTCTGGCCGTCCTGGCGCGATGCTGGCGAATACTTTTACCGACTCTTCCCCTTCCTCTCATGGATCACAAGGTACAACCTGCAATGGTTCTTTGGTGACCTTGTCGCCGGTAAGTTGTTATGTCGGGCTCGATTTGTGGGGGTAAGAGTCTAACCATAATCTGCAGGTGTAACTGTTGGTGCTGTTGTTATTCCCCAAGGAATGGCGTATGCCAAACTGGCAGAGCTACCAGTGCAATATGGTCTCTACTCGTCGTTTATGGGTGTGTTGCTATATTGGTTCTTCGCCACCTCCAAGGATATCACCATCGGGGTAAGTCACACTCCTATAATCGCAGCTTTCGGGCCGTGTTACTTACAATATGCACTCTAGCCTGTTGCTGTCATGTCCACGCTGGTTGGAACGATCGTCCTCCAAGCCGAACAGGAGATCCCTGATGTCCCAGGTCATGTCGTTGCGTCTTGTCTGGCTATCATCTGCGGTGCTATCGTCTGTGCCCTCGGTCTCCTGCGTCTCGGATTCATCGTCGACTTCATCCCCCTTCCCGCAATCTCGGCTTTCATGACCGGCTCTGCCCTCAACATCGCTGCTGGCCAGGTCAAAAACCTTCTCGGAGAATCGGCCGGCTTTTCGACCAGAGGCTCAACGTACATGATCATCATCAATTCCCTCAAATACTTGCCTACTGCCGACATCAATGCTGCTCTGGGTGTCACATCCTTGGCCATGCTATACATCATCCGATCGGTTTGCAATTATGGTGCGCGCAAGTACCCTGGTAAAGCCAAAGTTTGGTTCTTCGCGTCGACGCTGAGGACGGTCTTTGTCATCCTTTTCTACACCATGATCAGTGCTGCTGTCAACCTTCACCGCAAGGATAATCCGATGTTTAATGTTCTGGGCAGTGTGCCACGAGGTTTCAAAGATGCGGGTGTTCCGGTGGTCAATGCCAGGATCATCAAAGTTTTTGCCAATCAGCTACCTGCTTGCGTCATTGTCCTCCTCATTGAACATATCGCCATCTCAAAGTCATTTGGTCGTGTCAACAACTATACCATCGAACCGTCTCAGGAACTGGTCGGTATCGGCGTCACTAATCTCCTTGGACCTTTTCTAGGTGCGTATCCTGCCACTGGATCCTTCTCCCGGACTGCCATCAAGTCCAAGGCGGGTGTCCGGACTCCCTTGGCTGGCTGTATCACCGCCATCGTGGTGTTGCTCGCTATTTACGCCTTGACTGCCGTCTTCTACTATATCCCTCAAGCCGCCCTTTCCGGTGTCATTATCCATGCCGTCGGAGATTTGATCACCTCGCCCAACACCGTGTACCAATTCTGGCGCGTCTCGCCCCTCGACGCAATCATCTTTTTCATCGGCGTCATAGTGACTGTTTTCACCTCGATCGAAGATGGAATCTACTGTACCATTTGTATCTCGGTGGCCGTTCTTCTTTTCCGCGTTGCCAAGGCCCGTGGTCAGTTCCTTGGCCGGGTCACTATTCACTCAGTCGTCGGCGATCATCTGGTGCAGGGAGATGGCAAGTACGGGTCAGGTAATTCCCCGAATTCGCCCAACGACAACGAGGCCGGTTCACACCGTTCCATTTTCCTTCCTCTCAATCACACCGATGGCTCGAACCCCGAGGTTGAGGTGGAACAGCCACTCCCTGGTATCTTTATCTACCGGTTCTCCGAGGGCTTCAACTACCCCAATGCAAACCACTACACAGACTATCTGGTTCGATCCATCTTCCGTCAGACGCGCCGCACGAATCCTTTCTCTTACGCTCGCCCGGGTGATCGCCCATGGAATGACCCCGGCCCTCGGAAGTCCAAGGCAGAGGAAAGTCGCTCGCAACGGCCTATCCTCAGGGCTATCATCCTCGATTTTTCGTCGGTCAACAATGTGGATGTGACATCCATCCAAAACTTGATTGATGTTCGTAACCAGCTTGATCTCTATGCCTCTCCTCGCACCGTGCAGTGGCACTTCGCTCATATCAACAACCGCTGGACGAAACGGGCGCTGGCAGCCGCAGGTTTCGGTTACCCGACGCCCACTTCCGATGACGGATTCCACCGGTGGAAGCCGATATTCAGCGTGGCTGAAATCGAGGGAAGATCGTCTGCTGCGGCCCATGCGGAGATGGTCAACAACGAACAGGCCCATCAAAATGCCATCAAGCGTGACCTCGAGGAGGGCCTCAAGCATGACACTCACATGATGGAGCGCGAGGCTTCGGGCATCGATATTGAAGCGTCGTCCGATAACAGCAGCACGCCGGATGATAAGCTACAGCGTGATCTCAAGGATAGCAAGGCCTATCGCAATCGGCGAAAGGTCGCGGTGGTGCAGGGCATCAACCGGCCTTTCTTCCACATTGATCTCACGAGCGCGCTGGAGAGTGCCTTGGCCAATTCTCCCCCGGAGGAGCCAATTGAGGAGCCGAGCGCATGAGCCGATGACAGGCTGGCATAAAATAACTAGTCTCCCTGGTTGGAGCTTATAGATGATTGTATTTCGTGGATTTCATACCTGGGGTTTGCTTGGGAGCGAGTCGGATTTCGATTTTTTTTCACAGTGGATTGAAGCTATACCCCCGATGTGTCGCTGCATGTATATAGATAGACTCCCAAGAGTGTACATATATTATTTAATGCGTTCATGCTATCTGAATCACACCTATCAAAGACAGTTCTACAATCCTTTGCCTTCCTGCGGAGGCTGTACTATATGTTGGAGCCTGGGGCCCCCTCGCAGTGGTTACCGCATTTGGTAGGGTCTGCGGACTCGTCCCTCAGACATCCTCATTGGCTGGCACCCGCAGCAGCTGGCCAATCAGGCAGACAGGCATCACTTGTCCTGTTTCATGCAGCAGTCATTCGTATTTGATAGCGATTCTCCTTGGCTCGCGATATTGGCTGGAACTGGATTCCTTTGCGTGGACAACACAGCCTCTACTATCTGACATCCAGCCCCAAATGCCTAGATCACGCTCAGTACATATATACACCATGATATCCTCTACTGAGCATCTTGTGCAGTCGCCTATCTTCGTTTTCTTTCAATATATCAGTACATTCGGCGTATATTTTGCGCAACCTCAGACATGATAAATGCCTACAGGTATATATCGCAGAAGAAGAAAGATCCCGGGTCTCCAGCTTCGAAGCGACCTTGTGCTCATCGCTCGCAATGGTATCAACTTGACTCCACGAACGGCGAAGACTCAAGATCTGTCGAAAGGCCCTTGAGTGGCTCGATACAAGAATTGAACCCCGCTACAGATGATGAGGAATGCAGTCTCTGCAAGGATCAGAAACACAATGCACGAGTGTACCGGGCTAAGCTCATCGCTGGCCTCACTCTGCCGTTCATTCTATCCACGTTGGATCTGACCATCGTTGCTACTGCGACATCATCTATTGCATCTCATTTCAGTAAGTCCGCATCGTCAAGGGTTGACTGGCTTCAGCTGACGACATACACTTCTTAGATCAATTCGATGAGTTAAATTGGATCGTCACCGCTTTCAGTCTGACATCAACCACCTTTATTCCTATATTTGGTCAGCTTGCCGATGTCTTCGGACGGCATCTTGTCCTGCAGACGGCGTTGTTCTTCATGCTTATTGGGAGTGTTCTGTGCGCTGCTGCACAAACCTGGGGTATGCTGCTGCTGGGTCGGGCCTTGCAGGGTGTAGGCTCTGCAGGACTGAGCAATCTCATTATGATTATCCTTGCGGATAAAGTGTCATTGAAGGAGAATGCAAGGAATAAGTCTCTATTTTCTTTGGTTGGAGGAGTGGGATATGCCGTGGGGCCGATTGTCGGAGGGTAAGTAGCTCGCCTGCATGCTTTGTGCCACTGCTGATGATTGTTCCAGGTATCTTACTGATGTGGGTGACCGGCCTGACTGCATTGGGTGCACTTATACTGATTGAAAATAGACTAATTGGCGATATTGCTTCGTCGTGCCTATACCGGTAAGTCTGCTATCTGCCTGCCTTCTAGAACACTGGCTAAACGAAATCAGATCGCTGTCATTAGCCACGTTTTGATCTTCGTGCTGCTGCGAAACGACCTTGTTGAAGGCACCATGTTCAGAAAGGGCTCGAGATGGTCTTCTGTACTCCCGGCTCTTGCCACCGTCGACATTGGAGGGTCGATCCTCTTCATCTTCGGCGTTGGCCTCATCATTCTGGCCGTTACATGGGGTGGTGCCACATACTCCTGGTCGGCTACGCAAGTTCTGGCACCATTGATTGTCGGCGCAATCTGCTTCATTGCGTTCTTCGTGTATGAGTACCTGCTCGAGCCGGGCAGACTGTTTGCGCGCATCTTCCCGAAACATGTGGCGACACTGCCATACAGCCTATTCAAACGAAGGGACACAATCTGGCTTGCGATATTGAACTTTGCCACTGGCGCAGGTATGTGCACCGTTTCATTAGCAATAGACAAAGGAAGGATGTTCGTCCCCTTGCTGACACCTCTAGCGTCATACTCCATCTTCTACTTCATCAGCATTTACTATACCTTGGTAGCAGGCTACTCCACCTCAAAGGCGGGCCTTGAATTGCTATACTATATTCCCGGATTAGGAGGTATGCACCCCTGTCAACTTGACTCTGGCATCACTGACCAAACCATGCGTTTAGCTGGCGTCTATCTCGCCGTATACATGTGCAACGCTTTTCCACGACAGACCTTCTTCACCCTCAACTTCGGAACAGTACTTACCACCGTCGGCCTATCCGTGGTGACCTACGCCATCAGTGCACAGAACACCAGTCTCCTGAGTGGAATGATGGTCATCACCGGTGCGGGCGTTGGTCTCCGCTTGATGCCAGCATCACTTCACACTGCGGGCGTCTGGCCGGAGCGGATAGCATCAGCGATGTCCTTGATGCAGGTTGCACTCCCCTTCGGAGGCACCCTCGGCTTGACCATCATGACCAGCGTGTTCAACAACAAGTTCGGCGATTCCGCTGTAATGAAGAGCCTGGATAACGCAGACAGCACCCTGGATGTACACGATACCAACTCCTTGTCTTTCTTCGACGATCTCCCAGCAGCCGCACAAGAAGGTGTCCGGATTGCCGGCAAGCATGCCATAATGTGGGCGTTTATCTCCATCCTACCCATCATTGGAGTGAGTCTGATCGCATCGGCAATCCTGGGGAACGTGTGGGTGAATGTCAAAGCGAAGAGGGACAAGGAAGGCCAGATCGAGGCAGCCGAAGGAGAAGAAGGACACAGTGAAGTCATCTACGTCCCTTACCTATGGGCTCTTGCCAAGGTACGACCTCGCATCTTACACTTCCATACGCAATGCTAACCTACACCACCACAGGGAACCATAACCACCCACAAACGCACCAGCAAGCCCGTTTCCAGCAACACCTAAACCACCCCCACCTCTCATATACCCCCGAACACAATGCCCAGCATACCATACCATACCATAGAGCACAATAGAACAAACCATAATACCAAGCCAACCAAAAACCCATAAATAATAAATACACACCCATAATTACACATCCCTACCCCCCCCCTCCTCCCCAAACCCCCCCTCAAAACTTCACCTCAAAACCCCCCAACACCCGCCCACCCCAAAACAAACCCCGAAAGCGCCTCTCCCAAAACACCGCCCCCAAACCAAACATCCTTCCAAGCGCCCTTCCTCAACATCTTCCCATCCCTAACAACACCTTTCTCATCCACGCCTTGAAACTCGCCATTCGCGCCCGCGAAGTACATTCCCGCGCCGAGGCCCCCAGACCGGTAGAGGAGAAGGATATGGAATAATCCCGAGACGAGGATTGTGCCGAGGAGGTAGAACAGGAAGCCGGTTGTGGATTGCAGGGAGAGGATTCCGGCTGTGAGACCGAGGAGGAAGGAGGTGAGGGAGTGGAGGGAGGTTAGGGTCTATTGTTCTTGTTAGTTGGCTGGGGAGGTAGGAGGGAGGTTGGGGGGAGGTGTGGACGTACCCTATTGTTGTGTTGGACGGATTCCGGGACGAGTGGGTTGATGAGGAGGGAGAGTTCTTGTTTGGTGGGTGGCATTTTCGGTGTCTTTTCTCTTTCTTTTCTCGTTGTTTGTTGAGGATGGAGGCTTTGTGTTGGGTTGGTTTGAATGGGGAGAGGTAAATGGATGAGATGAGTTGGGATGTGATTGATTGACACAGGGTGCGATATGATGTTGATGTTGGGTATATTGCCGATTGGTTCCGCCTTAATGTTCGGAGTAGTAGTTTGTTGCTCCGATGAATTACGCCTTACTGCAAATAACTACTTTCAATACTACTATGTACCTGGATGTAATTCTAACTGAACATTGCATAATCACAAGATTATAACATTAACATCCTAGCCGTCATAACATCGACGTGCTCGAGACACAGCCCCAAGCACGCCTACATCAACATTGAATACATCCATACAAACAGTAAGTCAATAAGTCAGTCAGTCGGTCACTCATCCAACGGCCCAAGGCGCTCGAATCCATTACTAGACAACTTCCTCCCAAGATCATTCCATGAGATCGCTCATAGGTTCATTTCGGATCCTGCCACTTATGCCCAAAGCCAATCTAGTCAATTAATGCAATAGAGAGAATGTAAGCAGAAACGTAAGTCAAGAGGAATGATGGAACGGCGAAGTCATCACGCGATGTTGTCAAGCTTGCCATCGGCCTTGGCTTCCCTAACTTGCTCGAACACCTAAATTCCGTTAGCACAATCCTGATTCCTCCGCAAGGGAAAAGTACTCGCCTTCAGCATCTTGTTTCGGGCGCCCAGAGCATTGACGCCGCGTTCTTCCAGCGCCTTGTCGTTCAGTTCAACCAATTCCGTCCACTTCAGATCCTTCAGGTTCTCCGTGTACTTGTGCAGCCGCAACGATCTCAGCCAGCTGGGAATGTCCTTCAACAGGGTGGGGTCCGTAGGGTCCTCCGGGGGCTTCGAGCTACCGCGACGCCCACGCGGGGACCGGCCGCGGGCGACCTCCGAGTGGTCCGAGAGATAGCCCTCGGGTCCACCCAGTCCGAATTGTCCAATGCCAAGCGCACTCAGTCCGTTGCCCATGAGCGGGTTGTTAGGATCATACGCCGCCAAGAAGCCGTTGTTCTGTGGCGAGGTGAATCCCATTGGACCGAGTCCACCACCCTGCATGGCAATTCCAGGCGAAGTCGGGCGGGAGCGACGACCCGCCATCGCAGCATGTTGCTGTGCCTGCAAGGCCGCCAGCTGCTGAGTGTTCAACAGCTGCCCGGCGACGAGGTGGTGGTTGTGGCCCGGGAGGCCCGGGCTCGCCAGACCGCCCTGGGCCATGGCATGGCTGGCATTCGCGGAATTCTTTCCCTGACCGTCGTTGGAACGAGCCCGACGGTACTTACGAGCATCATCAAGAGCAATCCGGTTGTTCACGGTGGACAGTGCGGCCAGCTTCATCGCAGTCGCATTGGCCACCATATCGGCCTGCGAGTTCTGCTGCGGCTGCTGCGGCTGCTGACCGAAAGTTGCCGTCATTGGGGTGTTGGTCATGGAGGCCCAGCTGGCATTTCCAACATTGTACGGCGAGAGCAAAGGAGCATCTATCTCAGGGGCCGGAATCGTGGCAGTTTGCGTAGGGAGCGGAGAGCGCAGGCTCGAAGGAGTCTGGCTGAATTGGCCCATGGGCTGGTGACCAGAGGATGACTTGGGTCGGGCGATAGGGGGTTGAGGTTCGGATCCACGTTGGGCCCAGGGAGAGACCGGAGGCTGTCCCAGGCTGTCGGTGTTGCTGTCCGGAGCGGAAATCGTGGGGGCCACGAAGGACGTCCGGTCAAACACGGCACTGTTCCGGTTCGATGGCGGAGCATTGCCGGTCTGCTGGGTGAACTCGGCCTTCTTCTTAGCGATGGCAGCAGCAGCATCAGGGAACATGGCATTGATCGTGGATGAGTCGAGTCCGGAGTTGCGCTTGGCACCCGGAGACGGTGGGGGGCGACCGAGAGAACTCCGGGAACTGTCGACGTTCAACTTGGACATGGCATCGTTCAGGCGGTTAGACATGGCATCTGCGCAACAATCATGGTTAGTTGCCACTGCACTTGCCCACCATGACTGATCATGAAGCAACGTACCCTTCTCTCCGAAGTTTGCGGGGGACAACAGTCCGGACATGGGATGACTCTTGGCCATCTGCTGCAAAACCTGGATGAAGAAACGGATCTGCACCTGAGTGGTCTGCTGCAGCAGAGCGTAGAGGGCAGCAGTCCTCTCCGCCTCGCTGAGTACCCGGAACCACTGCTCGATCGCACTGAGCTCATCCTTGAAATCCTGGTCGAGCGTGGCGGCGGCCATCTCTTCCAGGGTGGTTTCGTACTGATCGATGTCTGCCAGCCACTGCTGAGCCGCACGGTCCAACGGATCCTCCGCGTTGTTTGCCTGAGACTGCTGATTGAAGTACACTTCCGAAGAAGGACGAATGCTGCGAGATGACAGAGGAGACGGGAAGCCCGACATATCGGCCGATGCTCGAAGCTGGTGCGTTCCTAGATTCCGGGATGACGATGGAGGACGAAGACTGGACTTGGACGCTTCGGGAGTGCTGTTGCGGTTTCCGATAATATGGCTGGCCATAAGTAGTGATTCAATGAGGGTGGTGGTCTGGAACAAGGAGGGTCGAAGGAAAATCCCGGTAGAGATTTTTTTCAGATCGGTCTCCCCTTACGCGAGGCCCCGATGTATAATAAATACAGAAAAAGAAATATTACTGCAAAACACCTGCAGCACCTGCTGAGTTTGCGTAAAACCGGGGAGAGGCGTGAGGGGAAGTTCTTTTTCGCAGGCTGGGCAAATCGTCCAGGACGGTAGGAAACAGGAGACGAGAGGGTCAAAAGCGAGAAAGGCGAGAAATCTCTCTAAGGACGGAGACACTTTTGGAAGAGTAAGAAACCCAACCGCGTCGATTCTGGACAATGACGTTTGGGGGGCACAGACCAGTCCAGTGGCTGCACTGCCCGATTCGGATTCTAGAGGAGGAATCAAGCGAACCGCAAGAGCATCAAAGGATGTGTTGTTTGGTGTCGATGGATCGGAGAGCGCGCGAGGATTCTCGGTGGAGGGCGAGAAAAGCGGCGACTTCGCGGGTAGATATAATTAGTGTAGGGGAACTGTGGGTTCGTTTTTTTGACTTTTCTTTTTTTAACGAAAGGATGTCAGGGTGCGCTGCAATAGTGTGTCAAACACAGCAAGCAGGGCACCGGAGCATCAAGGAAAAAAAAAGGAAAGTAGGGAAAAAAGGAACAGGAGGGAGAGGGGGGCAGAGATGCGATGGGGAGGGAGGTGGGAGAAGGAGAAGGAGAAGAAGACGGAGGAGATGGAGAAGACGAGAAAGCGGGTAGCAGGAGAAGGGAATGAATCGAGAAGCGAAAAGGCGAGCGAAAGAAAAGACGACGCTTTGCCGTTGCGGGCGAGTCACCGGATTGATTGCAGCGTTTGTCTGGATCCGCAACCTCTTCTTCCTCAACGGACTTTCCACCTCATATCTACTTCTCTCTCATCTTCATATTATTCCTCCTTTCTCCCCTCCATTGGGAATCGTCAAGCGAGGTCCATTGCTATCTATCTCCCCATTTCCGCTTCCTCCCTGCCATCTCCTAGTTATCTACTCCTCCCAGTCGGCCGGTCTGGCCGGTTCTTTGCATCGGCAACTTTAGTCTGGATTGGCGGCGCTTACTTACCATAGAAGACACCGGTTGCTATGAATAACCCCCCTTCCAGGTCCGTCATCCTTGTTTTCTTTATCGCGCAGCCTTATTCTTTGTCTCGGGTGCCCCTTGGTTTCTCGAATGATTCTGAACGATTCCCCATAGGTAGACGCCATTGCTACGCCATCCAACGGTAATAATCTCGGACAAAAGCCGAATTGCTTGCTTCTTGATTTGGTCCGCTACAGCCCGTTTACCCAATGATGATCGGTTCTTTGTCGCATAGTTCTGACATCGCGATACGAGATCCTTGAGGCGTCACCACTAGTCTGTCGGCCGGATTACTGATCTGCGATCCCACGGATTCCTATGTTTAGTTCCCAGCCAGTTTTTCCATTCTAGGGCCAGTGGCCGGCGAAGACTCTGCACAAGTCCGTATTATTAGTAACCACCTGGATATCTGTACCCCAAAATGGATTATCCGGACGATCATCTCCCAATTGAAGATCCTCCCCCGGAGGAGTATGCCTACCCCGATATTGATGAGACGATTCATTATCCATGGCAGGGACACCAGCCAACTGTCCAGGGAGAATCCTCCATTCACTCCGTCCTGGACCCGCGTCTATATAGAGACCTGTTCACTGGCAATGCCTCGCAAGTTCAGGAGCAAGCCTCGTTTGACGAGAATGCAGAGGCGTATCCGGAAGACGACGACTCGGACAACTCTGTCTACACATTGTCTTCCGAAGCAAGCTCCAGGTTGGTGTCCATGACTTCCTATACTTTTAGCCCCATGCAATCACTAACCACTGACAGTGAGGAAGAGCTCTTAGATGAGCCCGGCGATGACGACGATGAAGGCTATTCTCGGAGACGTCGCAGGGGCACCGGCCCCTTTTCGGGACGATACGGTGCCCGAGGTGGAAAGGGAATTCGGAGAGGACCACGCAAGCCATTGGAGCCGAGCCCAGAGTTCAAGCTGTTGCATTCAGAGGCAACGTCTGCCTTCATCGATGGTGACTATGACCGCGCCATCGATCTAACCAAGCGTGCGATCCACATCAACCCCGAGATGTTCGCTGCTCATTCTCTCTTGTCCGAAATTTTCTTGGCCCAAGGTGAGAAAGACAAGGCGTTAACCGCGCTATTTAGCGGTGCGCACACGCGGCCCAAGGACCCCAATGTATGGCTCACGGTGGCAAGAATGATCCTGGAACGCGCCGGGGACGATCGTCAAAGCTCCTTGAATGATGTTGTTTACTGCTATAGCCGTGTCATCGAAATAGACCCGAGGGACTACAAAACTCGCTTTCAGCGAGCGGCGATCTACAGAGAGTTGGGCTACAATGGCCGGGCGGCCACCGAGTTTGAACGAATTCTGAGAGAAGTCCCGCACAACGTTAGGGCGCTTCGACATCTTGCAGAAACCTACATCGACCTCAATGATGTCCAGAAAGCCGTAGACCAGTGGCAGGTGAGCGTGGAATTCTTCATGTCTGCGGACCCGGAAGAGGCACCCGGTTTCTCTTGGTCCGATGTCAACATTTACGTTGAACTCTACAGCTATCTGGGTCAGCACTTTGAAGGACTCAGGGCCCTGAAGTCGGTCTCGAGGTGGCTTCTGGGCCGAAGAGACGATACGATGTGGGAAGATTTCCATGAAGACGACCGGGAATGGGATGCGGATGACTCTCCTCGACGTATCAAGGCCGATGGTTATGAGCCCCGAAAGTGGCCTCGAGATTCGTATGGCCTAGGCCTACCATTGGAGCTGAGAATCAAGCTGGGACTATTCCGTTTGAAGATGGGATATGACTACAAAGATGAAGCTTTGGTAAGTGAGTCTATACAAGAAAGCAGTCAGTTCTAACGCAAGGCTACAGCATCACTTCGAATGGCTGAATCCAGAAGACACATCCGAGCACGCCCGGTTGTACGATTATGGCGACCTTTTCAGGGAGGCTGCTGACGCGCTAAAGGAGGTTGGGCTCGTCGAGGATGCACTGCGGTTCTACCTGCCACTCCAGCAAACCCACGAGTATGCAGATGTTGGCTTCTTTATGGCCATGGGAGACTGCTTTAAAGTACTGGGCAGACTTGAAGACGCCGAGAACTGTTACCTTACGGTTGCAGAGCACGATACAAGACATGTGGAATCCCGTGTGCAGCTTGCAAAACTATATGAGAGCATTGGCATGTCCGAGGAGGCGTTGAAATATGTCAACGAAGCGGTCCTGCTCGGAAGACAGGAAAGCCGAAGTAACCGACGGCGCAAGGACACAAGGCTAGAACAGCTGGCCATGGAGTTCAAAGCCGCCGACGTGGCTCGTGAAGAGGCTGCCTTGAGCTCAATCGCGCCACAGCCTCCAAGCACCGGTTTGTCCACGGCTGCTCTCACCACCAGTGCTGCACCGGTTGAAAAAGACATTGAGGTAGATGAGGAGCAAAGGACCGAAAATGTGCAATATCTCTACGCCAAATTGTTGCAGTTGCTACCGCAGGTGAAAGAAGGGAACACCGAAGCCACGGAGGACTGGCTAGATATCGCGGACGCTTTGTTGCGCGAATTTCGATCTAACCGAGTATTCTATCCGATCCAACGCAACATAACCTTCTTGGGCTATTCGCGCGAAGCCCAGAGAAGGGCGGGGAGAAACAAGGGCCGGAACTTTATCGATGAAATGCAAGAAATGGCGGGGCGTCTCCAAGAGTCTTTAGGTAGATATATCCTTGCATTGCATTGGGCATGGCTGATCAGCATATAGGGAGTATCCCCGAAGAGCCGCTGCAAGGCGCTATACCGACGGATTACTATGGAATCAGCTTCAATGAGTGGCTCGACCTATTTTTGCAGTACGCCCTTACTGTGGCAGCGCAGGGAGAATCTGATGAAGCGTATGATTCGCTCGCGGCCGCTGCCGATGCCAGCGTCTGGTATCACTCCAAGTCCGACACCCGTATGATTCATGTTTGCTGGTTCAGTGAGTTTCCTGCCCGGTCGTATACGGTCCATACTGATCTGTCTAGCTTGTGCGCTTCGAATGCAAGACGAAGAGACACTTGCCAATGAAGCACGATGGTTCATCAAGGAGTACCAATTCGTGACCGACACTTATCGTTTGTTTTCCATGTTGAGCCGCCTCAGTGGTGATCCCCACCGGTCTCTCTTCCATTCATCGCCGAACATGAAATTCATGTTGCGTCAAATCAAGGCCATGGACTTTACCCTACCGGACGAGGTCACCGGGGACCGGCCAAGCAGGGCTGTCCGCGAGTCGGTTTACAAGGAGCGCGCATCTTTGTCTACTCGGGACGAAGTCACCGGAGAAGCCATCCCGGCCGATGAAATGGACGTTGCCCTGCTTGTGTTGTACGGCCATATTCTCTACTCTGGAAACAGTTTCTACCCCGCCCTGAACTACTTCTTCCGTGCCTATGCACTGGACGACCAAAACCCAGCCGTCCTCTTCTCCATCGCCCTCTGCTACATCCATCATTCCCTCAAACGTCAGTCGGAGAACCGACATTACCTCATCATGCAGGGCCTGTCGTTCATGCACGAATATCGACGTGTCCGTGAACGACCGGGCACTCTCCTGTCGGAGCGGCAGGAGATGGAATTCAACTTTGCCCGCGTGTGGCATAGTTTGGGACTAGCCCATTTAGCCACCGAAGGCTACCACCTGGTGCTAGAGCTAGGCGCACAGATCCAGGCACAATGCCAAAGCATTTCGAAGAATGGCATCGATGTCGTCATGGAGGATGCCGGACAGCCCGCACCTTTTGTGGAGGACTTTTCGCGGGAAGCGGCGGTAGCGTTGCAGATTATCTATGCGCTGAGCGGGGATTATCAATCGGCCCAAAAGGTTACAGCCAAATGGCTGGTTATTTAGTCAATTCACCATTCAGTGGCAAATCTCACTCAGCGATCACCTGTGTTCTGCGAACGGAGCCATGCTAATGCAGCCCACATGGACATGGCCACACGGACACGGGCACACAGACCACCGCCACCTTCCACCTCCCACCTCCCACCTCTCCATTGATGCACGTACTTTGTAAATTGTACTACCATGGCAGATGACCTGCATGGAGATGTGCAAATGACCTACCTTGACATGCTTGTTTGCGTACCTACTTTGTATGTAACGCTGACACAAGTGAGTACCTTGCACATGCACCATGACATAAGGGCAAGATGACGGCTGTCTTAATCCATGTCTGCATGTCAGTGACAACAGTTACGCAGCTAATGGTATTATTCTAAGCTTTACCGGAATGTATCTGTAATTCTTTTTTTCTTTCGGTTCAGTACTCACTCACTCTGACCTCTTCCTACTACAGATACTTTCGACTTCTTACTATAGAAAGAAACAAGAGATTCCATACACTAATGCTACTGTCAAAGTAAATATATATCATTAGTAGAATCATCTAGTACCCAAGATCCTCTCAGAGACAAAGAAAATAAATGAAACTATATATTAACATTAGTACTTACTAGACCTAGATCCCCAAATCCAATTCCTTGGAGTGACATGGTAGTCCAACTCCCATCCTCTCCCTAATCAACCAATCCACCCACCCGTGGAAGCATTACCCTAACAACGCCCCCCAAGCAACCCATCTAAAACCTCCATCTGAGCCACCAGCTCCTCCTCCGCGCCCATTCTCGCCCCCATTCGCTGCTCCTCCGTCATCTTCTGTACAATAAATGGCGCCGCCAAATGAAACGGACATATCAGTTGCTCCAGCGCCCTCCACTCCTTCAACACCTTCATTCCCGGCATCATATCACACGGCCGTCTCACTCCACGTTCCTTCAGCTTCTCATTGAGGGTCTTTCCAATCCACCATAAATCACCAGAGACATCTTCACTGAAATCCCCAGACAGGAGCGCTTGGGATAGCTTGCCCTCCGTGGGATCCTCCCCGTACGGCCCCATGATATTCCCGCCTAGATCTTGGAGCGAGACGAGAAACTCATGTGCGGGGTGGGCTATACATGCGAAATCGAAGTCGAGTAGCGCGGTGAGTTTGTTGGTGGTGGGGTCGATGAGGATGTTGTTCATTGCTTGATACCAACATCAGTATCTCTTTGCGTAGCATATATGTAACCTTGATGGTAGATGGAGGGACGGAGGGATGGATATAATACTCACTGAAATCCCCATGAACCAGCACTCTTTCCTCCAATCCCAATCCCAATCCAGATTCAGAAAGCGTAAACCTCTCAATCAACCCCTCCAATCGTTCCCTAACCCCATTCCCCTTCCACCCCCGAATCACCACACTCTTCTCCGCATCCCCCAACTCATGTCTCAACCTCCCCTTAAGCAAATCCTCATACCTCCCCCACGGCTCTCCCCTCGTGACTGTCATTTCAGCCCCAATAATCCCCCCGTTTCCATTCTTACCCAACCCCAACCCCAACCCCCATAAAACTCACCACCACCACCAACACCCCCTAATGAAACCGCGCACCGAAGCCCAGCAAACACATCCGCAACCTGCCCCATAACATCATCTTTCATCTCCACCTCCAACTCCCCAAATACCTCATCTAGTCCTACCCCAGATTTAACCTCCATAACTACCCATGGCAAATCGCCCTCTCGATCTGGCCTCGCACAGAACCCATACACAGAGGGAATGATATCTCCTAAACCGGGTTTGAAGGAATCTAACCCCCTTCTTGCAAGACCCATAGCCACGACTTCATTCTCCACCCGTGCAGCGAGAGGATTAATCCCCATAGCGAGGGATTACTTAGCCGGATGATGAATTCTTTTGTTTCTGGGGGTGGGGGGGGACGTAATATACGTGATGGCATCGGGGAAAGAAGAAGCGGGTACGGGTTCCGGTAAGGTGAGTTTATAGATGAAGTTGTTGTAGGGACAGGGGCCGAGGGGTTGGTATGCGATTGGGGTGATGGCGATGGTGGTGGTGATGGCGGGGGGGAGGTGCAGGTGGTGGTGGCAGATGTGGGTGACTTGGGAGAGGCGGGTTTGGTAGGTTTCGTGGTTGATGGTGGACATTTTGATGATTGCTGCGCTTTGAGTAGAGGTTGGGGTTTTTTTGAGAGGGGATGTGGGTGGGAGTATGGGTTGCTTATCTACTAGGTAGTAGTATCTATAGATATAAGTACTGGGTACGTATTGGTACTGGGTAGGTTTGGGTTTGGTGATGCTGCCTAGATTAAGAGGGGATGGGATTGGTTTGGGGCTTATCTATACAAGTAGTACATTATCTTGTATAGTTCTAGCGTATTGCAGGGGTTGGAATTGAAGGCTTGATGTTCATGACATTTAGTCTGTCGGTTTATCAAGGTAAAAGATAGAGTCATTGTGGTGATGTGGCGGGGTGCTGGTGGAAATGCTCTCATCTGGGGTGATTTTACCGAGCAAACAGACATGATGGCACATGGACCGGGTTATATGCGGAGTAACATAAGCACATGTGGGTGAGGGTGATTGCAGGCAAACAATTAAGGTGGAACATGACACTGCATGCATGTTGAGTAGTAGATAAAGGGGAGAAATAGGAGAAATGAGAAGATAACTGCATATATGGCATAATAAATAGCTCACTTAATATATATTATATACACAAAACCAACCATGCATCATGCATGCTTACCCTCTAAGAAGAAGTAATATTACGCTTCACCATGGAGGTGCCGGTACCCGGCCATCTGACATGCATTGGAGATGACTTTGAAACCCCCGACCAGGTTAATTCAGCAGGCAGAGATAGTGTCACCCGGGCCTAAGCGCCTCGTCCTCCCCCGACAGATCCATATCGTCGAAAAACACCGCAGATTGACGGCGCATCTCCTCGAAAATACTGCCCGTACTCCCCCGACGGTGTTCCGGGACCCGCAATCGGGACGCCGCAGACTCCCCGGACGAGTGATCCGACAGGCACCCGTCCAGTAAATGCGACTCCTCGTCCACGCCGCAGTCCACCCGCCGTTCCGGAAGATTATGGTCTAGGCGCTCGGACAGGGGATCCCTGTGGGGTTGCTCGTCGTTGGGCCGCCAGCGAGACGGCGCCGGTGAGATCGCCCTGCCACCGGCGTGCGCGAATTTCTGTAGGCTTTTGACAACGGCGATCTCGATTTTTAGTCGGTTTTTGATGAACTGGATCTTCGGAAAGGCACTCTGCTGGCCCACGCGCAGCATCCGTGCTAGGCGTTCGGGGCTGGGGTCGGAGAGAATGTGGTAAAAATCGGAGGGAATGGTCTTGGGCCAGATGGTTACGGTGCCGCTGAACTTCTGCAGCCAGATCTCGCTCCAGTCTTGGCCCATGGGTCGGGGAAGGAGTTCCAGATGGCGAAGAACTCGGAGCCATTTGTTCATGTCTAGCTTGATGTATTGTTCTATTGCAGACCCGAGGAATCCTCCACGCCAGCCGCGTCCTCGGCGGTGGGTGACCGGCCGGCCTACCGCGCCTCGCGAGCTGAAGAAGAAGAGGTTGATGTGAGGGTTTACCTATCGGACATGATTATGTTAGCATCATAGAATAGGACTGTTTGGGATGGTAAAGTCTTACCTGCGAAACAATGGTAAAGTTGACGTTGAAGTGCAGGTTCAGCGCCTTGATCGGAATGTCAGTTCGCAGACTGCCATCCTTCCACTTGTGTCCAAAAGAGTACGGCGCGAGTGTGCCGTCGCGTTTCTTCGTCATCAGGACAACCGGATTCAAAATGCCAGGAACAGCTGCAGAAGCCAGCACCGCGCTCCATATCACACAATTAGGCGAGGTTAGGTAGTTGGCCAGAATAGTAGGCGAATGGGGGTCAGAGGGCACACACGACACGTTCAGGATACGCCCAGTTCGTTCATATGCCTCCCGGAACGTCATCGAGCCTCGGCAGAACCAGCTACATTGTCGGGCCCAATCTAGAGTGTCGAATCGCGCCCCTGTCCGCCACCATCGCCGTGCCCAGGCCATGAAGCCCTCGTGGCATGCCTTGATTTGATGTGCCAGGGCCGGTACGAGTAGCTGCTTCAACTCCTCGTCAGTTCGGGTAGCAACCAATGCAGCGACCAGCGCTCCTCCAGACGTCCCGGTGATGATTTCAGGCAAAATTTCGTTATCTAGAAGCGCTCGCACCACGCCAAAGTGGTAGTACGCAAAAGTAGCCCCCCCGGAGAGACATAGGGCGGTTCGTCCAAAATTGGTGTCCAAATGCTTGAAATGCTGTAATTTGTCTTCGCTGCTGATCACCTTCGAGTCTGCAACCAATTGAATGCACGCATGCAACTCATCAATGTAAGTCTGTACCAGATTCTTGGTACCAGAGTAAGCCTCACTGTAGAGCCGGGGATTCTCCACACCGGCAAAATTGTTCTTGACACACGCTTCTAGGAGGGTGCATAATTCCTCAGCCGCAGGCGCCTCACCTGGGCGGGTGTATCCTGCGCGTATCTCACGCTCTGCCTCATTCCTAGCCCTCCGCAACTGGTCCACCAGATTGTTTATCGTGAGGTGATCGTAGTATGCGTATTCGTCGATCTCTTTCCACCTCTGGTTCCCCAGGTGATCATCGAGGGCCTGGGCGGCTTTCTGCCAATCGCGGTAATTCGTCTGCGCGTGTAACTGTCGCCTAAGACTTTGCCTTCTGCCCCGCCATGTTATCCACTGCTCGTATAGGAAGATATAGACGCGGGTCAATGTGTAGGCGAAGGCGAGGACCGCGATCCAGCCAAAGACGGTGAACAGAAACGGCCACTTCAGAACCGTGTACAGCACACCTTCCCTTGTCTCATCCTTGGTTCGCCTAGGCCCTTTACGGCGACCACGGCCTCTCCGGACCCGTTGGTAGATGGGGCGCCAGTCGTTGAGGGCAACCAGCGGTGACGCCCCTTGGTCCGTTAAGGCATTCTCGAATTGGCGCAAGTCGTCGGGATTGAGGAAATCGCGGTCGTCATCCGGTATCGCACTGGGATCGTGAGTATCATCTGCCGGCGGCTTTTCTGCCCAATTCATGATTGATGATAATGATGCATGATGTTGCTGGGGAAGGAAGATGTCCTGACGGAGGATTAGTGACGCGCACTGGAGACGTCGACGTCAGAGAGGGGCACCGCCACGGAGCCCCGTGACGTTGAGTGGATGTGGCTAGGCAAGTGGGGCTGGGCACGCTCCAACTGGAGCCTCAGGAATACATACATGTAGTAATACAGCGGAGAGTTCCCGATGCTAACAGCCTCACCGACCTTCCAAGGCGACGCAATATTACCAACCAGTATGGCCAGGGATGCGGGGGCCAGGGTATCAGCTCCTTTGCATTTTGCACAGACACCCATGTCTGCAATAAGCCACGGGAGGGGTCTAGAACTCGGTGAAGCTGGACCATGCTGCATCAGAGGCAATATCTGCTCCGTCATATCGTCATGTCAGGAGGTATTCATGCTATACTCGGTACCAGAAGCGCCTGATAGTACACAGTCGTCAAGTCACCAGCACACCTCTTTCAGCAAACAAGTCTATCAGTCTCCGTCCAGCTGGTCCGTGTTGTTGATAGATCGACATTGCAGACGAAGAAGCCTGCAAATCACTTCCCAAGTGACCATGATCATCGGAGAGCACACCCAGGATTACGTGATCAGATGCCTGCCATGTACATGCTTTGCCGCTGAAATCCGGGGAGCATTGGAATGTGTATTGCGCACGCACACGTTGAAGAAACACGCGGGATCGGCGAGCAACCAACTGTCGGCATGACTGGCGACAGGTTCAGCAGACTGCGTGGATCCAGCAGGGACAGAACAGTGGTTGTACCGTTGTAGTGTTTGTGTTGCGTAGGGAGCTGAGGCCCTCAGCTGGGCGTCCGTGTTGCCCATGACAGGTTCTGCCCACCATCCGGATCCAGTGCCGTTGCCCCCCTCCCTCCAAAAGCACATTTCCACTTTAGCCGCCCGAATCTCAACCTTGCCGTCGGTCGGTATATTAATATATCGGTGTGACAAGGGGCACGAGGCATGGCGAAGAGCAAGGGCTGGATTGGATGCATTTGTACTCCGTATTACCCTGTCGTTTTCTCTGATGGCGTTTGTTCGTTCGCAACCAACATTGCGGGGTAAATTTACCGACACTCCAAGTGTTCAACAGTCGGAGACTTCTACCGGTGGTGGTCTGTGAGTCTGGGAGATTGCCGGGGGGCTGGTCAACGGGATATCAACACTAGACTACAAATAATACCGTGCCAGAGTGATCCAGAAGACGAATGATTTGCAGGTACGGAGTAGGACTGCGGACTAAGCAACCCCCCTAAGAGATGGATACCCCGCCAATGTCGTAGGGTTCAGCCAGCTGGGGAGGTTCTTCTTGCATGTTTGCTGATCTGGTGCCCTGCTAGTGGTCCTGCTAGTGGTGGGTTGTCGGCGGGATTTAGCCAGCTCGCTTTGGTGTCCTCAGCAATCGCATCATGCCATGATCGAGGAGGAGGGGGGGGACTTACATGCACAACTTGCTTTTCCTTCGATTGCTCTCATCGCTGTGTCCAGCAGACAACAACAAGGTGGCCTATACATTTTGCAGCTATTCACCACGAAACCGGGATCGCAACACCGCTCAACAAGGAACAACAATATAGTGCTTCTGTTTTCTCCTTTTCGCGCGTTAGCCGCTTCCTCCCTGGCTTTGGGAACCGGTTAACGTTGAACCTTAGCCACCACAAATCATCTATCTACTACCTATGATCTATAGTACTGTTATCTATCTGCGAACCCTGAACAAGGCATTTCTACTTACCCCATTGATGCTAGGTGGCCCAAAGTGGTGGGATGCAGCAGGGCCGATTCTTATCCCCCATCATTCCATAACTCAACCTCCAGCTGCGCCCGTGTTCTTCCACTTTTCGACTAATGCATGAAGATCGCGCCTCGGTGGTTTTTTTTTCCCTTCCTTGGTTCCGTATGGTCCGTATGTCCCGTATGTCCCGTATGCACCATACGGATGGACGGTGGTGGTACGTATGCACAGGATGCAGAGAGAGCCAGAGACAGCCTGTTCTTCATCGCCCTCATCCTTGGCGTCTCTCCCTGCAGTGGCTAGTCACTACGGGGAAGGGAAAAAAAAATTGCCAATGGGCTGCGATGTCGGCTTTGATTGGCACGAGAGTCGCGAACGACTGCTGATCATTCGAGCGGTTGACTGCAGTGGAGACCCGCCTTGCGAGTCGTCAGATCCCCTCCCCGTATCCACCTCGGTTTTCCACCGCCGGCCCGGACTTTGCTTTCTCTGTCCATACACAGTAGTCTGTTGAGTGTCGACTCTATCAATCATTCTAAATTTCGATGATTCTATCCTCCGTAGGCGGTCTCCATAATTCGGGCTAGGAATGCTTCCTGCCTCCACCTCCGGGCAGATCAGATGTCATAAAGGTCATGTGCGCCCCTCCATTGTCGAGATTCATTGGAGGGGCCGCAACAACAGTGAGGCCGTCTCCATTCCAACCATCTACCAGCACCAGCATTCCTATTTTCTCCATCGGAGACGCCCCGGACATTTGCCTCCAAGCAACGTTGTCCGCCGACAGGGTTTAACCCCAGTATGTGAGACACGTTCAAGCAGGGATGCGAGTAAACAAGGAAGAGCCACTGGAACTCCTCGCATGATATCAAAACAAATTATGGTGAAGACTTGGAAGGCTGGAACACGACTCCTAGCGTGCTTGAAGCGCATGGCAAATTGAAGAATCATGCGGATTCGCTTCGAACATCGAGAAAGAAGGTTCTGATTGGCAACACCGCTCCTTCAGCTATAGGCGGCCGAATAACCACGTCCGATCGAGGACGCACCCGGCATCTGCACGCCATAGTAATCCTGCAATGATGCTGCCTTGTCCTCTATCTACCATGTATCGACTCGATGGGGCGAGAAACAGGGGCAAAAGAGACGGCCCCAGTTTCCAACAGTAGTAATTTGCGAAGAGGTAAGGCACGGAGACGTCCAATGCATGATCATGAAACATGAAATAATTACTGGAAGTTTCCACGCTGTCATGGATACCGACTGTAGTGAAGTCTACTTACTAGACGTTTGGACTTTGGACCAATCCTCTGTGCGACGGAAACCGTGTGCCAGAAACTTTTGGCTATCGGCAAGGCAACGATCTCAGACCCTCTTAAGAATTATCCATGGACGTCATTCTTCAAAGTTCAGAGGCAGCCCCTCGTTGCGATCGATGCTATCGAAGATCACAGGAACGTGGGCCTCTGTATGGATGCAATATGCAGGATGAAACCACCTAGAGACCAAAGGGGCACAGTACCATGGATCGAATGATGTTATTCCAAGGAGGGGTGGGCACTGGAGAAAGAATGTGGTGTGATGATGGGACATGGTCGGTAAGCGGTGTGACTGACAGCGGGAAGGGGCACTGAATGGACTCAAGGCTACACGGCGGCGGTTTAGGTTTGGCAATCGAGATAACCACACAGCACATCATCGGCCCAGCAGCTGGATGTACGCGTAGGGAGGGAGGATTCCCGGAACTCAGGCTTGTGGTGTTCATGATTCGTCGGGGCTGATGATGAAGCCAGACGAGCGATCCCCTTCGCCATGACCGATGACCGATGACCCGATCATCAACCGACAGTGGTGGGTTTACGCCTTTGCGGTCACTTGATCATGAAAAAAGACAAGAAAACCCACTTGAGCCTCCGAAGAATGTCAAAGGTCAGTGCGAGATAACCAGGTACACAGTACGTAAGTCAAGCCTCTCTACCTCGGAACCAGGGAGAGATGTCTTTCCGAGTTTCAGGCAATGACCGATGGATGCAACGGACTCCCCATGCGGACAAGGCAAGAAGGTTGCAAAGTTGAGATGTGTCCGATTCCGATTCCCTATTAATTATCTCGAAGCCGCTACTGTATGGTCATTTCAGGTACAAGTTTAGTAAGTAGTTTTAGTAGGTATCTAAGGCTGCCTATCCCAGTCCGTATACTTTTAGCAACATCCTGGAACCCCCCCCCCCCCCCCCCCCTAAAAATGTCCGTGATGTTATTTTGGCTCTCGCCGGTGTCTTGCTCCCTTTTTTCCCCTCGAGGATGTCGCTAAAATCCATCCTCTAGAGCTGCTCGAGTAAAGCGTCATGCAGGTGCCGGAGAACGGCCGCTCATTGGCCCCAAAGACATGTACATGAATGTCCGCCAGGGCGCTATCAGCTGCACGTTTGGGGACCCACTGCCAATCACGGGGCGACTTGACATGGACCGTCCAGTTACCGCCGGCACAGTTGCATCCGCCCAAGAGGCGGGTCACTCCAAGCACCGCCCGGCTCAACCAAACACTGCTCTTCATTCTTTTCCCCCTCCATCTAACATCAAAAACTTTTCACCCGACCTGCATCATACTGGAGCCGGGCTGGCTCTGTGGCTTCAAAAAAAAAATTACCTACCAACCTAGTTACTTGGCAACTTGATCAACATGGTGTGTGCGTTCTACTCCATACAGATGGTTCAGTCATCCTTCCGCCCTTATGTACGGAGTATTCCTTTGCTAGATTACTATTCTTATGGCTGCATAGTGCATACTACAGACTAGTCCTCCGTACTGCATCAGCCAAGTCCAAGGGTCGGCGATCGGGATACCCGCTTCAAGGGATTCGGAAAGATGCTCCACTCTTCGCAGAGCCGAAGAATGGCACTCCCTGGTTGAACGTTGCATTGATATGCTCATTATGAAACCAATGGCGACTGATATCAATGAAGAAACTTTGACCGTCCAATGGTACTGAGAGGGCCTACGATGAGAAATACCTATATTTTGGAGATCGCTTATCAATTCATCATATCCAGCCGGACTGAGTAATCGGAGTACCCCGCTAGATAGAGTTTCCGGAGAAGGCTACCAGTCATTTGAGGTATGGGTCCGTATCTAATAGTAGACACTTTCCATCCCTCTGATAGGGACACCAGACAGGGACAAGTTGACGAACAAACTGAATCTTAACGAATCCTCCCCGAAGGTCGCCACCGGCTGATTGATAGACGCGGCAGAGGAGCGATGTGATTTGATAGGGGCAAAAAGGGCCAAAACCACCAGGGGAGGAAAAAAAGCGAAACCAGGGAAAGGGAAGGAAAAAAGAAAGAAAACGGCCAAGATAGGGTATACTATGGGGTGGTATCCCGTACCCGCCATGGTGTGGCTGTATCGTACCGTATGTATGCATGGACGCATGTACCTCTGGACGGCGCCCGGTGCAGCGGCTCCCTGACCAAAGGGAAAGCAGGACAAGATAACAGGCGAGGATTCTATATGATAATAAATTATATTAGTCCCAGGTATCGCCAGCCGTCCGTTTTGCCTCTCCCTCCTTTCCCTCCGTCTCCTGAATTGGCATATTTTGCAGTCTTCAACACCTGCACTGCACTTATCTCGAGACTGCGCCGCCTCTTTTGGTTTCTTTCGTCCTTTGTTCTCCCCCTCCCTTCCCTTCCTTCTCCCTCTATACGACACACCTGTCAGCCAACAATAATTCCCTTGTCGCTCATCCACCCGGGCTTACCACCCCTACGCCCCTCCCCCCTCAGCTGATTGCTCCGGTGCTCATTCATACCCACTCCTCCCTCCCACCTCCCCCGATCACGTACCACCTACTAGTCTAGGCTGGCTGGTACGTCGTAGGTCCGTGGTGCTTGCATATTAGCTCCCCCGGTCCTTTCTTTTTCTATCCAGTCCATCCATCTTCTCCTTTTTTGGTGATCTCTCCTGCTTCAGCTCGCCTCGACCTCCCCTTCAGCTTTGTCCCGGCGACAGGCTTTCCTCTTCTCGCCTGACATTGGAGAACTTTCTCTTCTGTCTTCGACTCCTCCCCCTCCTCACCCAACGCCCCTCCCCTCTCCCGTGGATTCTTGCATCGTTGTGGTGGTCGGCACAGTTAAATTGTTCGACTCGGCACCCCCTATATCTATTTAGGTACAACCCAGCCTTGTCTCCTTGACCTCGACAACAGTTGCCTGGCATAGCGCATCGGGCTATCCAATGAGTCACAGCTGACTCCCACGCTTTCTTTCTTTTACAGGTCACTTTCTCGTCTCGCTATCTGTCTTGCCAGCAAGATGTCGACTCTCGCTGTCTTTGCTAAGAGTATATGAGCGTTCTTCTTCAGAGTCCGCCTAACTAGATATATTTGGTCTTGTTGGGCAAAGCAATTTCCGTAATGGAGAAGCTGAACACTGAAGATGGACAGCTCTTCGTAAAAGTTCGTGCGCTCCGTCTCAATAGCCTCCCAGGTTCATGCCGCAGTGTCGTGCTTGGCTTGCTAACCTTCACCCTTCTCTTAGAACCTTGCCAGTTTCGTCCGAACCCATGAGAAGGCGCTTGCCAATGCGCTGCAACTGAGGCGCCAGCCGACCAAAAATGCGCAGTCCACACATACACAGTCGGCCTCGTCGGGCTCGGCTTCCTCAACCCTGGCAGCAGCCCTGTCATTCGGGGCACTGAAATTTACGTCCCAGAACGTCAAACCTGCAAAACTTACCCTCACACCCCATCATCTATTCTACCTCCTTTCTCGTTTCGAAGAGCTTTCCATTGCCGTGGGTCCCCTGAATGTTAGGCTGGAGAACATCCACACGGACGGGTCACAGTCCTATGTCTCCTTCCTGAATAAGCCTCAGCGATCCAGGGGTGACCGGGACTCTATCCACTCCGTGTCCAGTGTTCGTAGCGTCATGTCCGGTATGAGTTCGCTTTGGTCTTCGATTGGTTTGGGATCCAAAGACTCGGTTTCCAAATCGGAGAAGGCCAAAGCTGCTCTAGAAGCGGATACCAAATACCTATACTCTGCCTTTACCAAGATCCCATGCCTGCGTTTAGCCCCCGACCGTCGTGCCCGGTTGATCCGTGGCTACGAAGAATTCCCTTTTGACACTGCCGTCCCCTTGCACTCCTTTAAGAATTTGAGCGCGTTAGAGATTATTGATATAGACTTTCGCTCGTTCTTTGGCTGGGATCGGCTATCCGAGCAGTTGCGGACGCTGACTGTGAAGAGGGCAAATATCGAAGACCCGGCAGATTTGCTCACAGGCATCGTGTTGGACGACATTGACAAACGCCGCAGGCGGTCATCCAAGCACCATCACTCGCCAATGATGAGCTGGGCGGGAAATGCAAATCCCCAGCCAGTACACAAATCCGAGCTTTCCGGATCGCTCTCTGCCCCTGGGTCGCCAGTTGCAGATGCACCGTTTGGAACCAGCTCTAGTCCTCAAGCCGCCTCTATGATCAGAATGGCATCAGAGGGATCCAAAGCTCGACCACGCACCGGAAGCATTTCCCCTTCCCGTCCTACCAGCTCGAAGCATTCGACTTATCGTCATAGCCGGGGAAACGTCTCCCGTATCAGACGCACAGGATCAGGTAGTTCCAACTCCAGCGAAACCTCGGGTCACCGCAACGGAAGCTCTACGAATCTGGTCTTGCCAGCATCTAAATGGCGGTTTTTGCGACACCTCGGCCTTCCCGACAACTCCCTGACATCTATCACTGCCGCCGGACTTGCCCCAGTTGCCAACACGCTACAGTCGCTCGATCTTTCAACCAATCTCTTCACGGAAGTGCCTGACAGTCTCGCATCTCTGGTTGCCTTGAGGGCTTTGAATCTTTCGCATTGCATGATCGAATCGCTCCACTCTGTCTCTCGCAACCCCCTTCCCGCAATCACTGCACTCAATCTCCGTGGCAACCGTCTCCGATCCCTCGCGGGCATCGAGAGGCTCCTTTCTCTGGAGCGGCTTGACCTCCGAGACAACAATCTCACCGATCCTACTGAAATTGCCAGGCTCACCAATCTCCCTGAGATACGAGAGATTTGGGTCTCTGGCAATCCCTTTGTGAAGACGCACTCCAATTACCGTGTTGTGATTTTCAACTTGTTCCGACGTACCCCGGGTTACTCCGAAGACATCATTATTGATGGATCGGGACCAGGATACACCGAGCGGAAGCAGTTGGTGGATCGAGCTGCTGAGCCCGAAGCTGCACCCGTCATACGATCTGTTGCGGCAGATCTTTCTGCAGTTGTCAGCAAACCAATGCATACTGCCACTCAGGAGCCTCCGCTGCTTCACGAACAAGTTGGGCACGTAGGAAGAGTGGGGCAGAATGGCATCGAAGTGGGATCTACTCGTCGGAAGAAGGGTGCTCGGCGGAAGATCGCCGATCGACCTCAAGAAAAGCCTTCAACTGATGGTCATCGTGATTCAGGTGCGGTGGTGCCTTCTATTCCTTCTGCTCAGCATGTGCAATTACCTGTTGATCCATTTATCACGGCATCTCCCGACCGTCAATGGAAATCTGATGGTGGACCTCAGGACAGACCCGTTAGTCCCAAGAGCGCGGACAAGACTGATGTTGACCGAGATTCTTCCGCGCTGCAGGCAAAAGACCGTCTCGGTCTCCAACCTGGGCCCCAGAGTAAAGACTGGGGCGTGGATGGTGACTTTTACAGACGGCAACTAGAGGTTCTCAGACAAGAACTTGGAAACAGCTGGCTTAGAACGCTCGAGGACCACCGGTGGAAGGACGCACAGACGGATATCAATGTGTCTTGCACTGGGCCCGATTATCATGATCCAACAAGGATCCCCGTGGACACTTTGATCAGGGTGAATCCTCAGGTCATACTGAGCGGCGGCCATGCCCTAAGTTAAAGGGACAGTCGAACAACAAGTCCAAAGAAGAAAAAAATGAATAAGAAACAACAAAAAAACAACAAAATCGCGAAAGAAAATAGGAAAATAGGAAAACAGGAAAGAAGGAAAAAAGGAAAAAAAGTGAAGGGACGGAGAGAGATCGAAGGAATAAGGGAGCAAAGGACATCATGACCCCATCCATGGTCACTACTAAGTCTGAGATTTCGGTTACACCTCTGACACCCGGAGAAAAGTTCCGTTCGGCTTCGAAAACGCAGTTCTTCCATGATACCATTCCGGTTTTTGAATATACTCGACCTTATACACGCAGACCCCTGACGATATGCTTCTCGCAACTGGTTGCTGAACTGCATCATTCACGGCGTTAGGTGATCTTTCAGAGCTTACGGACCGGATGTGAAACACCTGGCTGTTTCTTCTTCTTTTCTACTTCATCTTTCTCCGCCCTCTCCCACTCCTCTCTTGCTTCTCCGTGGTTATATACCTCTTCCAGCCCGCATCCGACCGTTCCCGGCTGGTCCATCTGATAGGATTACTCTTCTTCTTCTTCTTCTTCTTCTTCTAGACGGCTTGTATTGTATTTGGGACAGGAGTGCTGGTGTCTGGGCGTTGCTGGTCTTTGCTTTGCGCATGTTTGCCTGTTTGCTTTCGGTCCTCATTGTCATTTCTGCTGCTCTTATCGTTCCGTGCATGCCCAGGCTGCCATTGATTCCTCAGGATGTATACTCATTCCCCCGTGGTGCTTTTTCTACGGATTGCTTTGCGGTCTTTGCAGACCTATGACGAGATTCGGACCTAATGCATGAGACACGAAGATGTTGTGACGAGTCAGATGTTCTCACTCCGGCGGTAGCGCCTATATAGTTGAAATGCAATGTGCCATGGGCACTTTCGGATCAAGTGCGGTGCGTCATACCTCAATAGTAGAAGGGAAGGTCCCCGCTTGTAGGGCGCGTAGGGATGGACCGCGATGGAGGCATTCTGGAAGTTCTCAGGTGCAGGGAGTTCAAGTCACCTAGGGCGTTGAATGGTTGGGGCCAAGCATGCAAGTGCTCGTGCGACCCCGGGGGTGGTGGGCGTACGTAAGTCGGGCGGATGGAATATGGATGTGCATGGAGAAAAGATGTTGGGTCGGAAGATCTTCAGGAGGCAAGTCAAGTATTCAGGTTCGGTTTGAGAATCGTGGGGACAGGATTGGGGCGGGAGGCGCTCTTCTGCTGCAATGAGGGGGATCGCGGCATCGATTGGCGGTGCTCCCTTGCAGGAGTTGGCAACGGTCGAGGTCGGGGAAGGTCTGGGGTAGGGTTGAAGGGTGCACGCGATGGTGGAAGATGAAGATGGATGATGTCCGGGGGAGGAGTTTAATAAAGGACAGGAGGTGTGAACTCTTGAAGGGACCGAGCTGCAAGAACGAGGAGGGAATAGATGGGTTGGATTGATTGTTGGGATAGGGAGATATACAGTGCAATAATAATAATAGATGAAATGAAGGCTCGCCGCCCGCCGCCCGGGGGAGGAGCCAATCAGCGAGGGGAAGCACGAGGCCGGGGGCGGTTCCGTTTTGCCATCGCTTGAGGCCATCGGCCAATCTGCCATTCTGCCATTCTCCCTTTCCATTGATTGCTCTTTCGCTCGAGTTGTACTGCTGCTGCTGCTGCTGATTCTCGCGCGCGTCGCTGGTGAGCTTGTCTCTTTCGTTACTGCCATCCTCTGCCCCCAACTGCTCCCTCTCTCCCCAAATCTATCTATCCCCTTCGCATCGCTCTGCTCTCGTGCTTTCTGTCTTGTGGAATCTGGCGAAAATTTTTCAGCCTCGACTCTGTTTTCCCCCGTCTGTCGCGCGCGAGTGAGAGTGAGTGAGAGAGATCGATCGATCCCTTGATTGCCATCCTTTCTCCCAGTTCTCCCAGTTCTCCCTCCCTCTCTCCCTCCCTCCATCCATCCACAACCCCCTCTACCTACCCTCTACGTGACCAGACCAACTGTTTCCTACACACACCCCCCTCACGCCACCCCAGGTGCAGAGAATCTTCTTTTCTCCTTGAACAACACTACCGCCATCCGGTGTTCTTCGCTCGTCCCCCCAACCCGCCCACACCACACCGAACCAAACCCAACCCAGCCAAACCCAACCGGACTCGTTCGCCCGCCGCCTGCTGCTATTTTTTGCAACGGCCCCGTCCAGAGCAACTTTCGCCCAGCGGTATCCCTCAAAACCTTGCTCGCCGCATCTCGCCGTTATCAACGCGCATCGTCTACCTCCCTCTCCTCACTTCTCCCCCCCCGTGTGAAAAGGCTGCTTTATTCTTCCTCCGCCCATCCGCCATCGCTGTCCGATCTCCGCTCAGTGTTCCAGGCCTTTTGGCCTTTTGCCGCCTCTGACTTCCTCTTGTCTCTTTAGATTCTGTTTGGTAAGCCATTCTGCCCCCTCCCCTCCGTCGCCGTTTCACCCGCCATCCAGAAAGTCCAGCTAGAAAAAAATTTCCCGGGCGCATTGATCACGCGTCTCTTGCCTCTCCTCCCTCTCACCTTTCTCTCGCCGTCTGCTAGGAAGCCTCTGGGCAATTTCTGACCTGACCTCATTGTTGTCACAGCCTATAGACGCCGCGTCATCAGTCGTATCGCTACCGAGCGCTCCGCAAAGCTTCCACTTCGCGCCCTTTCCTTTCTTCCGTTGTCAAACGCTTGTCTTAATTGACTCTTTTTTTTTCTTTTCTTCTTTTTCGTTTTTCCTCTTCTCGTTTTCTCTCGTTTTACGTCGTCTCACGTTGGAGCTGCAGAATCATGGCCGACCAGGAAGTTGATTTGGACTCGATCATTGATAGATTGTTGGAGGTGAGGGGCAGCCGACCTGGCAAACAGGTTCAGCTTCTGGAGTCGGAGATTCGTTATCTTTGCACCAAGGCCAGAGAGATCTTCATCTCTCAGCCCATACTGCTTGAATTGGAGGCACCCATCAAGGTAACGCCATCCCTCGCTTGACCTGGCAGGTCAGGCCTTTCACCATCTACCACGGAAACTAACGCGGCGGCGCTTAATAGATTTGCGGTGATATTCACGGTCAGTACTACGATCTTCTTCGCCTTTTCGAATACGGTGGCTTCCCGCCCGAGGCCAATTACCTTTTCCTGGGAGACTACGTCGACCGTGGCAAGCAGTCGCTCGAGACTATCTGCCTACTTTTGGCATACAAGATCAAGTACCCCGAGAACTTCTTCGTTCTTCGTGGCAACCACGAGTGTGCGTCCATCAACCGTATCTATGGTTTCTACGATGAGTGCAAGCGCCGCTACAACATCAAGCTGTGGAAGACCTTTACCGATTGTTTCAACTGCCTGCCCATCGCGGCAATCATTGATGAAAAGATCTTCACCATGCACGGAGGTCTGAGTCCCGACCTGAACTCGATGGAGCAGATCCGTCGTGTGATGCGCCCCACTGATGTAAGTGCTCTTTCCTTTCCAACTTGTGCAGTCTTTCACTTGTCGAGAGACGCAGACCAGTCCATTTTCTTTATATCTTAGAAGGCTCTAGGAGCAATGAAAATTTTTCTTTTGCCAGGCTCTTTGAAGCTCTAGGCTTCACCTGCTAACGAAGATAGATTCCCGACTGCGGTCTTCTGTGTGACCTGCTGTGGTCCGATCCCGATAAGGACATTACTGGCTGGAGCGAAAACGATCGAGGTGTCTCATTCACATTCGGTCCCGACGTTGTTTCTCGGTTCCTTCAAAAGCACGATATGGACCTGATATGCCGCGCGCACCAGGTCGTCGAGGACGGCTACGAGTTCTTCTCAAAGAGACAGCTGGTCACGCTATTCAGTGCTCCCAACTACTGCGGCGAGTTCGACAACGCTGGTGCAATGATGAGCGTCGACGAGAGCCTACTGTGTTCCTTCCAGGTAGGCTGCCCCGAATTATGAAGTTCGATGAGGATACGTGAGGCTAACCAGCATTTTCTCCCATCCAGATCTTGAAACCAGCAGAAAAGAAACAAAAGTACGTTTACGGGGGCATGAGCTCAGGCAGGCCCATCACTCCTCCGCGAAAGCAAAAGAAGAAGTAAGGAATCATACGAGCTTTTCCATGTGCAGCAGGTTCGGGCGGAGATAAGAACGTCATAAGTCCCACAATGTCACACTACACGAGAGACCCAAGCCCCCAACGACATTCGAAGGCCATACATTAGACGATCGGAAGCAGCAGTACACCGCAGCCGCCCGAGAACCTCCCGACACGCAGAACGTCACAATTCCCTCCGCGCATACCAGACTCCAGCGACTTCCAAGTCATTGTTTTCCCGCTGAATGTGTTTCATTTCTATATGGAAGGTAGTTTCTGCTCCAAGTAGGGGTTGGTGTTTTTCTTTTTCTTGTTCATCTTCATTTTTTCACTTCCTTCCCTCTTACTCTTTTTCTCCTTTCCTCCATTTTTTCGACTTGTGTTGTCCGAATTCATTTGACAGGAAGGGGGAGCGACGGGCTGCATCTGGTGTTTTCCATGTGCGTTTTTTATTAAAATCTTCCTGTGAGTGTAATGCCAACCAAATAAGCAACGACACGCCCGTGTCCTTCGAGCGTCCCAAGCCAAGTCCCCCTCTTCCTTCCTGCCTGCCCTCCGTTCCCTCCCACCTAGCCACCTCTACCCTGCCTGCCTCCCCTACCGAGTGGCTAGGTTTTCGAACTCGCTCGTGAGCATACACGACAACCACGCCACCTCGCGACGTCGATCCGGACTACCCTCGAAAAAAAACCGAACCGCCAGAACAAGGAGGAAGGAGAAACCGACGGACTGAAACCGAGTGAATGGAACGGATGAATGAATGAATGAACAAACGAAAGAAAGGAATCAACGCCGTCCGTCTAGTGACTTATGGAAACCCCGGGGGGTGTTTTGCCCGGCCCGCGTGTATTGCTGTACCTTATTTATCTACCTACTACCTATTCGCCACCATTCATATCATACATGTATTTCTAGATGCGGAGAGACGGTTGAAGCATACGTTTGTTTTTATTTCCATTTTAATTTTCATTTTCATGTTTCATGTTTTATGGATGAGTTTATTACTAGGTACGTACGTACAGATAGTAGAAATACAGTAGGATGTCGGTAGGTACTTGTCGGGCTGTGGCTAGGTATAGCTAGCTAGCTATGGCTTGTACGTTTTTAAATATAACTGTTTATCGCATGTCTGTATTGAATTCATTCTGCGTTTTCGGTCGTGTCTAACTAGGTAGGTGATAAATTTGCGGTAACTGGTTATTAGTTACAGTACAAGGGGGCGGGGAGGGGGGTCGCTTTCTTTGTTCGTTTGGTTTCCGATAGATGAGGAAGGGGAGGGGGAGTGGAGGAAGGGGAAGGCTACAACGAGACAAGTAAACGGCACGGTTAGGTAGACAGACAGTAAATATATGACTGAAGCAAACCCCGGGACAAGAGTATGAAATAGCAGTAAATGTTGGAAATAGAACTGATTGACTGGATTGAGATTGGATGATTCAGATGGACTGAAACAGATTTGAAGATTGGGAGGACGGAGACCAGAACAGGAGGATCATTGGACTATTACGCCTAGCAAGTAAGTTCTTTCTTCAAGCGGCTGGAATGACCTGTTTGATTGAGGTAGTGGGTTCTTTTCATTGGATTCGATGACTTGAGCTGGATGGGATATAATGGATTCCTTTCTCCCCGGGGGTAGAAAGGACATGAGAGGACCGCGTTCAGGGGAATAGTCGGTTGAAGGACAAGAATTGAGGGGATGGGATATATGGCAATAAGTCAACAGCTGGCTGGATAGCTAGCTAGCTGACTTAGACGTATTGAGACAGCCATCTGATACCCTCACCGTATCCTATATAGCACGGAACAGTTAGTCCCTGAAATTCTCCCGAACTGGTAGGAAGAGTAAACTCACCCTGTCTCATGACAACACTGCACATGAACACCTCAATGGGCCGGATTCCCTCGAGAGGAACCTTGCCCTTACCCGTGGTCTGGTACAATCCCAGCTGGTGGCGGAGCTCATCCTCGCTAACAGCATCGGGGTGATCGATCTTGTTTCCAAGAACCAGGAAGGGAACCTTGGCCAGATCCTCCATGGCCAGGAGGGCGTCCAGCTCGGCCTTGGACTCGGGGAAACGCTCGTGGTCCTTGGCGTCAACGAGGAAGACGATACCGCTGACTTCGGGGAAGTAGTCCTTCCACAGGCGACGAGCTGTTTTTCCCACGATTAGTTCCTGATTGAATCCGGAGGGTGCGAGTGGTATAACTCACCCTGCTGGTGACCACCCAGGTCGAAGGTCGTGAAGCGGTTGTTGCCGATGGCGAGTTCTTCGGATGCTGTGTTGCTGGTTAGCCTTCGTTCATGGTGGCGCGATTCCTTTTGTCCGCGTCTTCGTAATTTCTCGGCCTCCGTCTGCAGTATTGGAATACGTACTCGGGTGAGCGGTGGGCTGGAGAATGGCGACTCGGTCGTTCTATTATCAAGCAGACGCGTTAGCTTGTTATTCAAATCTCTCCCAGTCTATCCCTGCCGACGTGCGTGTCCTTGCGATTCGGGTCTGTCCCACAGGAATCGACTACCGCCACAGCCACTTCCATCGCCACCATGGTATAAAGCTGGCCCACAAGACAACAGAGCTCACGTACCTTCAGCATGTGCAGGAGGGTGGTCTTTCCAGCATTATCGAGACCGAGGAACAGAAGCTTGGCGTGCTTGTTGAGCAGGCCAAGGGAGGCCAGGAGATCGTAGACTGTTCGAGGGTGACATGTCAGCAACCGAATATTTGAAGAGATTCACATGGCTAGAACACAGTGAGGAGTCAATGAGCTCTGGAGAACACAGAGGCCCGTTCTGCAGGGCGCCTGGTTTGGGGGCAAATCGGCAGATGGCAAAACCAGACAGTACGTACACCAGTTAATGAGCCACATGGTGAAATTCGACTCAAACCTCAGGAAATGGTCTGGAAATCGGAGAGCAGCGCGAGGCAGGAGGAAAGCGAGCCAAAGGGCGGTGGTGAACGGCTGGGCTGGAGATAAGAGCAGGAGAAGGAGCCAGGTTGCGGTGGCCGACAGTTGACGTTGGCCGGTCGCTTGAGTTGCTGCCCGCTGCCCGCTGCCCGCCTGGCTGGCTTAGCCGAGCGCTAATAATGCCACCTCAGCCGCCGGCAGATCAGCCGCCTGACTTTAGCTATCTACATTAATTACCACACAACTAACTATACACAACTACTGATCTCTCATGATATGGACATGTATGTATTGATTGACGCCGTCAAGTCACTCAATGCGCTCGCCTCTCTCCTATCTACATCGCAACATCAAAAGCAAAGGGGGTATCCACGCAGCAAACCGCCTCCATGCAACCCAGGCTAATCGAGCAATGATCCCGACCGAAAAAACAAATCCGCCTCTCAACCGCACGGATGTAACAATGTAGAAAGAAGAAGAAAAGAAAGAAAAGAAGGAAGAACCAGATATGTATAACGAAGGGAAAAGACGAAAGAAAGACGTAAACGTAGCCGCCCCCTGTGTAAATGCAGACGGGTCCCTTCCGTGCAAATAGAAACCCGAGGGACACGTTGGAAGGACAAAAATAGTAACATCGAAGACAAGTGTGTAGCGAACAACGCTCAATTGAAATTTGTACACCACGTCGGTCCACTGCTCATCACGAGAGCGGCCGACTGAAGAGTGATAAGAAAAATTCGAACTATGTACAAGAATTACTCGAATCCCGGCCGGAATTTGAGGTCTAAACAGATAGGACGAGCTGGGCGTTCTCTCCAACGCCATAAGCTCTGCACCTCTCAGCAACTTCGAGGCCAAGCTCCTTCATCCGTTCAGCACCTTTTCCGCGGATCGGTCGCCGTTCCATCTGCTCTTTGGCAGCTTTGCGGCAGTGTTGGCGCCAGAACTTCTCCTTGCGTTTCTGGCGCTTCTTCTCGAGACCCTCGACGATATCGATGGGACCTCGGGTATGCACCTCACGGGTGCGTGAGGATTCGCGCTCGGGCGATTCCTGCACAGGGATAATGCCAGACCAGCGGTGAGACTTGTCCAGACTGGTAAAGAAGGGGTTGGGGGTCCGAGGCAGCGACTTGGTACGAGACATGGCCGGACGTTGCACCAGTTCACTTATGTTGAGTCCCTGAGGCTGGAGACTAGGAGTCTCTTCCACAGACGCCAAGTTATCGTGGGAAGATCGCAGCTTCATCGGCGGCGGCGGAGAGCGAAGACGCTTGGGCGAGGAACGGCCAGCACGGCGAGGCGGGGGAGATACCATGCGTCTGGGAGACACACGGGGCGAAGCCTTCCCACCATAGTCTCGACCGGTCCTTCCCCGGGGTCCTTCCTCCATCACGGATTCTTCAACATCATCATCATCCTCCTCGTCCACATCCTCCTCGTCTTCCGGGTCAGAAGTAGGAAAGCTGGGATCGATATCCTGGGGAATGACGATCTGCTTTGAGAGGCGACGCTGCTCTATGCAGGACTTGTAGGCAGCCTCCAAAGGACGATCCTCGTCGAAAGTTCCGCAGACGAAGTCCGTACTGTCCGGGAGGTTAGGGGTACCAGGGCGCAGCTTGGGAATCTTCATGGGGGAACGGCCAGCTGGCTTGACGGCGAAGGCGGGAGACCATCTACGCTGACGATTCCCATCGTTGGCAGAATCGAAAGACGTGTTCGAGTCTCGACGGCTGAAAGGGTGACGAGCGATGTCGACAGTCTGGGGGCTGGTGGCAGCAGTTGTGCTGGTCGGGGCCCAGAAGTCATACTCCGAGCCATCATCGCTCTCATCTGACTCCGCAAAGCCGGCTTCGTTGTCCGATTCATTCCCATCGTCGTCGGAGGAAAAGTCATGAACAGTCGAATCGTCGTCAGAGTCCTCCTCCGCGTCATCTTCTTCTTCTTCAAGGGCCTCCTCCTCGGCTTCCTCCCCGAGCTTCCTAATAGCGTTTTCCTTCTTCATGCAATCGTTAAGAGTGATCTTCTCCGGGTATTCGCCGGACTTCTTGACCCATTCGTCATCCTCCTCGACGGAGCTGGCAAATTCGTGAAACCGAGTAGCCTCCGACTCTTCGAACTGACCCAGCCCCTTGGTAGGGACACCGCGACGCTCGACCTTCTGCTCCTGAGCCTTCTTGACAGGGGAGGGGGCAGCCTTCTCCGGAGAGGCTTTGCGCGCGACAGGGGCAGGTGAGCCGCGGGGGCGTGGCCTGCATCCACCACGAAGTGGCGATCGCTCTTGTCGAGAGTCAGGGTCCCGTGCCGGGCAGACGAAGGTGAGAACGGTCTTCCGTTTGGGCTCGGTTGGTGTCGGGCTGGCGTCATGGCTCTTGTTCACTGGTCGCTGGGGGGAAGGGGTTTGTGGCTTCTGCTCTTCGGTTTTGCGTCCACAGGCGAAGCTGATACACCGCTTCCGTCCCAGGTTGGCCTCGACCACTGACTCACCAACTTCCACGACCTCTGCCTTTCTCTTATCTCCCATCGAGACATTCTTGCTAGTCATGCGAGAGGGCAAGGGCGGGCTGGGCGTGTTGGAAAGAGACGGGCTTGTGAGGCCACCATCGCTGGTCAACTCGGCTGCAGAGAGGCCACTGATGTTGGTGTATGTATACGAGCGGTAGAAGGTCTGCTCGTGAGAGGAAGAGTGGCGGTCGGACGGGCTTAGTGGGGGGCTGTTCTTGAGGGCGCGGGTGAGAAGGGACTCCTTCCGGTCAGACATGGCGGTGGGGGACTTGACGTAAACGACACCGTCGTCCATATTCATTGAGGTATTCAAGAAGCGATGATCAGGGGGTTCATCAATGTCTTCAGTCATGTCAGCCTCTTGAGGGGCCGACTTGTTAGACTGATGAGGTGTGAGTAGCATCTTCAACAGGCTATGTATTGAGGCAAATGGTCGGTCACCACCACGTAAGTGAGCCATCCCTTCTAGAATTAGGTATATTAATAGTGAGAGGGAGGCAGGTATCAGTAGGTAGGAGAGGTTGTGTGCAGCGGTTAGGTGGAGGGTTGGCGGTAGTATAGAGTGACTCGACGGAATGGTGGCGGTAAGTAGGCGTTGATTTCAAACAGATGGATTGATAGGGAAGAGAGGAAAGAAGAATAATTGCATCAACCAAAGAGTTAGGTAGAAGATGCTCTCTCGATATCGATCAATAGTACAACTGATCGACCCAGAGGGCGGAAATGAAGGGTGTCCTTAGTAGGACGATGATTGTCATGATATAGAACACATGGTGTGGTAAGTGAGGAGCCGTAGTAGTTTTAGTAGGTCAAAAGAGGAGAAGAGCGTCAGGTATGCGGCCAAGAGATGGACTTACGCCTTCTTCAGAGATTGGCAGCTCAAAGAGCGCCAGAAGAAGAAGACGCGTCGAAAGAGTTTCGCAGGTGCAATGTGTTGGCAGTGCTAGGTGGGATTGAGATGGAGAGAAGGAGGAATGTAAGTAGAGATGATCGGAAAATAAAAAAGTAATTAAGGGAGGGGGTTGCGAAAGGCGAAAATAAAATAATAATAAAAATCCAAATGCGAAAATAATTAAAAAAAAATCATCGGGGGGTTGTCGCAGTGGTATCAATACTGTATGCGCAGAACACCGTCAGTACCGCGTATTCAGCTTCACCAGCCAGAAGGCGGGCGGGTAAAAGAGACTCAGTAATGACGATGAGCAGGGTAAAGTCCAGTGATGGGGGGCGGGAGAGCAGCGCCAGGTTTGTGAGTAGTAGTTTTGGTGGGAAGGAGACTGACCGGGTTAGGGCGGGCAGTGTGGTCAGGAGTGGTCGCCACACTCTGGCACGGCAGGGTACACCGAGAAGGAGGGCAGGAAACGGAAAAAAATAATAATTATAAAAAAAAAAAAAATCGAAAAATCAAAATATGACCACACCAAAATGCCCACGCTTACAATTTCTGATCTTCTCTGGGGCTTCTTTTCCTTCCTTCTGCAGGCGGCCTCGAGGCGCTCGGTCCAACCAACCCCGCCAAGCCTAGGCCCACCCTGTCGTTTTCTCGCCAAATCGATGCATGCTTCGGTTCCTGCGGCTGCTGGTCGGTACCATACCGTGGTAATCTTGCTGCGTAAATACAGAACCGTCATACACCAGATGCCGTCGAAGAAGACTCATGGGGGTAGAGTCATAAAGGAAGGAAGAGTCATTCAAAGGGTCATCTCGCTGAGGATCTCGGATCTCATTGTTGTTCGATCTGCGCGATGGCCGTTGTCTCTTTGATCGATGTCAGGCGTCACCGGTTCTGTTACAAGCCGGTTTCATCCATGGGGCAAGGCAGCGCCGAGTACAAAAGCAAAAGACTATGAGGCATTTTGGAGGTTGGCTACCAAGGCGAACTAACCTCGAGATTATTATTACTAACCCAGACAGTCAAAAATCATCCCCGACCATACTACTGGAGGTACCCAGGAAATGCTGCCAAAAAAACTAGGTACACTAAATCTCTTGGAAAACAACAGAAGCCCCTAAAGAACAAGAGAAGTGAAAGTAAGGGGGGGTTACCCATTGTTTCTAGAACATGTACCACCAAGAGGATATTTTATCTGATCGGAATGTTGTACAAATCTCGAGCTGAATACCAGACAGCGAATAAAGGAAGGGCCCGAGAAAGAAGGCTGTCAGTAAGGAGGGCTGCTGAGGGAGACCCCCACGAGGACAAGACAGCCAGGACAAGGGCAGGCATCATAGCGGCACGAGCTGCTCCTGTGGGAAGTTGCCCTACCGACCGTCGGGGCGGGTAATGGCAGGGTAATTACAAGGGCGAGGACGGCAAGCAGACCCGAACAACTGACCGTGGGAGGGCGACAGACACCGTCGGAGTCGCGCCGAAGCCGTTTCAGCGGGCGCTTTGTTGGGCTAATCATGCTAGAGCTTCAAGGCCCCGCGCATAATTTTGGCACTAGACCTCTTGTGGTCTAGTTTACCCCCATCAGCTTACTCAGGCGCGCGCTCGAGCCTACTTATGCGCTGCCTATGCGTGGAGGTGATTTAAGGTAGGCTTTCTCGGCGAAGCTACCATTTCCGACTCGGTCGGTCGCAGCTCGTAGTAGATACTTGAGGAGACTTGTCCCCTATCCTCGACACCCCCAACAATCCCCCATTATAGTGCTACCAAGATGGAGCTTGGCACGCCTCATTCTTGAGACTGAAACTGACAACAATTCTAGACACTGCCTCCAGTGCTGGCTGCTATTATTGTTTGACAATTCCAATAACAATGCTTGGTATTTCTTGTCATTGCTCACTATTGCATTTGCCGAGACTTTCCCTAGCCGGGCTTAAATCTGGTCGTTCCTGATCCGGAAAGCGATGGTCTTGGCCCTGTGACGTAAGGTTTCCCCCTAGTCCTGCTGTGTCACGGCGCTTTTGAAGGTTATCTCAGTCTGAAGCAAGACGACGCTACCTGTGCAAGAGAGAGCATGCAGGGCACAATCATGCTTGCTACAACCTCACGGGAACTGGGAACCACCCCCACTGCAGGGGAAGTCTCGACGATTCTATCCAGGTTTCTCGGACCGACAAGCCCCCTTGCCATGACGACGTGAATGAGCGCTTCAGTCGCACCAACCTACCCCAGAGTACTACATTGCAACGGCTACCTACCACCTTATGACCCAAGGGAAATTCCCCGGTCATGACCGGGACCGATCATGACGCTATCGAGTCGCGGAGAGTTTGGGGGGTTACAACGACAAGCGATGGGACAGGCTGGGTACCATGTCTTGGGGTCTGCCACGCTGAACTCTCAAGGTTGGTTCCGATCGCCGTACCTAGGAAAGATGGTACCTAGATCGGTCCAGAAAGGATGAGTATATTGGAACCCGGCGCCATGTTGTAGACTTGTAGACTCAAACACAGCCACCGATTGACATGAGCTGAGAGTGACAGTCGGTCTGGGCGGGAAATAGTTGGCTCTTGGCTGTCCAACATACCTACCTCGGTACTAGGTTAGTAGTAGGTACTACTAGAAATAACCACCATGGCAAGATCGGATCTGAACTATGCAAATAAGAACGGGGACTAGTAGACGTGGGCTCATTGTTCAATGGGCTCCTCAAACAATAGTAGCACGATCCTGAAGGGTGTTGCTGGTTTGACAGCTGAGTTCTTGTCTTCCCGAGGGGGACTCCACAATGATCAACCCAGGGATGCTGGTAGCTCTGCTGATAGAGTTCGGTGGTCAAGAAGATGTCCGTTGGAATCTCAGCCTGGTGCCGCTAAGTTTAGAATTAGGCATTGCCTGCCTAGACTGGCAGGGCTCAGCCGGTGGCAGTGAATCCGATGTACGGAGGAGTAAGTCAATGATAGAGACTGGAGGATACTGGAGAGCAAGGAAGCCACGGATGGTAACCATACATACCGACCGAAGCTGATACCGACGCCGTACCGACGGACCCCGTGCCAAGGCCGTTCCCCCAATACGATGGTCATCGAATTCCAGTTGAATCCCCGATCCCTTCCTTCAGGCGATCGTGCTGTCTTTCCCAGAGTGGGTTGGGGTTCATTGTTCCCCCGGAGTAAAAAAAGCAGTGGTGCGGTGGTGATGATGACCAAATCCATGCCCGATGGTCCTGACTGGAGAGAAGCGGTCAGCGCCTAGAGACCCAAACCGAGTGATTGACTACTATGACGGACAGAATAATGCACAGCTTCACACGCTCACTAACCATGGTAGCGATCGCAAGCGGAGACCACCGACCGGGCTAACTCCCCACCTGCACCTCCAGCCATCCACGGTCGCTGAGGAGGGGACAACCAAACGCCTCGCGAGCCTTGAGTGCTGGGACAAGCTTCCTGCGATTCAGGGATACCCCCACTCAGTGCCATGGCTGCTCCGGGAGATGCAGCTGCCCACATCGCAGCAGCCAATCTGCGCCTCTCGGGAGTGTTTTTCTTTTTCTGTTTTGCCCTCAAAGTGCCCTCAAATGCACTGAGTCCAGTCTTGCCTCGATCCCAGCAATCAGGACCGACCCGATCATCAGCTTGGGTACTTTCACGAACCAACGGGGGTGGCCCATATCCAGGATCCTTCGTTGCCCTCAAAGTCTTACGACTCCAATTACCCTTTTGGGCTACCCGGCCCTGGGCCTATGCTTCATTTTACATAGTATAATTGCTTACAGCGTGGAGGAGGGCCAGTTTCATCTGGGTTACACATCGGACGTCCGTTGTTGGGGCGAGAGACCTTAGCAAGCCATGCTTGGCTACCTTACGAGTTACAATCATATCATCACTCTGCCAGCCGGCCTCTGGAGGATCGTCATCCATGGCCGCCGACACGGGCTCTCCGCATTCTGATCGCAGGTCGAGGCCTACTGACCCGAATCACTAGAGACATGATACTACATGTTACTTATGTATTCTTATGCTCCGGATACATACTATGTATGTGCTACGCGGCCCAGAAGCCAAGATTGAAACTGAGTTTCCGCGATTAAACTCCGACCGTCGACGGGAAAAACTATATAATTGTGATCTGACGGGCTCGTGAACAGCGTGCAAGGTTTTGATGCCCATTGAAGGAGGTCAACATCTGGGTAAATGGGCGGGAAAAGAGGAAAGCAAACACGAAGAGATGAAAATGTACCGACCAGAAAGAAAAAAAAAATAAAATAAAATAAAAACGAAAACCAAGAAAGAGAAATAAATTAGACTTAGAACTCGAATCTTACATCTTACGGGATGTTGAATCATGGAAATCGGCCACCACGACGGTCACCGGCCACCCGGAAGAGGAAATGCGAGGTGGCATACGAACAACAAGCCATCCAGTTCTTTCTCCCCAGCCGTTCTGGGATGGAGAACCTGCATTGATTATCGAACCACCAGCATCAACCCGGTGGAGGTTCTCTGAACTGTCGTGCGTGCGAGTGGACCGCCCTGAGATCGATTATGGAGACAAGCAAACCCAAGGAGATGAATGGGATTGTCTCTTTGGTGGCCGGATGCCTCAGGGCCACTTCGGCGAGGCATAAGTGCTACTGCGACTGTGTGAGGTTGACAGGCAGACACCACTGACCACTGACCAGACACCAGACACCGGGATCAACGCTGGATAAGAATAGCATGATTAATACGCCCGCTTATCGACCTCCGCGCCCAGGATCAAAAGTCCTGCTGCAGTGGTGTCATTGGCCTGCAGCTAAGGCGACTAAGGGTTAGAGCACCGTACCTTAATGGCCGACGTCGGCCTAAGTGCGGTTTGTATGAGGGATTTATTCTCCCTTGGTCGACACCCTACGACTCTGACTGGACCGAGGATGGCCTTTTCTCCTCCCTCTCCACCGGCACGGGACTCGCGCTTGGATTCGCGCCGGCTTCAGTCGCGATGCACGACGCACCCAATCCAGTAATCCACTTCTCCAACGACTCGCCATCCGGCACGGCAACGAGGTGCCTTTGCCTGGCTCATGGTCAGCTACCCGTTCGACAGCCAGCTTCGATCCGCCGACCCGGCATTGGCCTTCTGTACCCCGTACAACCCATCGTGATTGACGGGTTGAAGTCTTGGACTCGGTCCATTGGCAAATCACCGTTGACTCCCCTGTCTGCCGAGCTAAATCCACCCCCGGACATCAGACCTCCCATCCATGGACCTTATGCGGACCTATGCGTGGTTGCCGTCATGACATATGCAACTGCACCTCTCCCTCCGAGAGCTGAGCGCATGGATGGCATGGTCAGTTGTGGAAGGATTCAGAACGTCGTCGACCTTGGCCGCCTCGTCTCTTGTTCGATCCAGGTAACCACAATACCATACCTTCTGTGTACAGGATGCCGGGTACACGGAAAGAATAAGGTGGTTGTGGGTGCAGCACCCCAGTGGCACATGGGGTTGCCCTTGCTTTGGCCAGAACAAAAGAGAAGGGGAGAGACCGAGAGAGTACAAAGGCTTTGCATGGGCCGTGACGATCCAGAACCCAGCCTTCAGGACGGGCCAACCCAACTGCACGTCAGAATTCACCGTGGTAGGTAAGCATCTAGAATGTGTCAAATGCCAGCATCCAACACCGCTCTCGGGACATGAGAAGGGATGGCAATGGCTTCAAGCGCGAGCGCATGATCGACATATCACCCGGGGGTTTGGGGAGACACAGCGGATCACCCGAAGCCTTGGACAATCGACCTCAGGGCGTGTTGATTCGGAACGAGACGGCCAAGAGGGCCGCCAAGGTCGCCAAGGCATATCCAAATCCCCCATGCAGCGATCAGGCTGGGGGGACCCTTCAGCTGAGAGGCGGAGTTGAAAAACCGAGGTGGCCCCCGTTCGACTGCCCCTTGCTCAGTGCTCATCCTCACCTCTCGCCAACGACGGTCGCATTCCACGGCAGTGCTTGGCAACGTCCTGTGACTTCGCCCCCCGGTGCGACGGCGACTCGCTGCCAAGATGATCACAGCCAAGTTATGAACGATTGCTGTCGCGGTGGAGGATCGGTCCCGGGGGTTTCCGGGGTCCGGAGCAGCAGCGACCGACCTGTCCGCCCTCCTCCACCGTCCACACATTCCTCCTCCTTGCCTGCCCAGTGCGACTGGCCGCTGGACGATCCGCGTTGAGTTGGTGACCGGCCAAGGCCGCCAAGAGGCATTTCAAATACCTGGGCAAGTGACTCCGTGGGATGAAGGAGAGGGGGGGGGACGGAGAGGAGGGAGTGGTCGGTCTGAATAGGAGAATCCCCCTGAGGATGGGAGATCCCCCGTCGATCATCTGCTTCTATATTGCATAACCGCTTCTTGGCGGGTGACTCCTGAGCAGGACCACGTCGAGAGTTTGCTCAGGAGTTGGACTTGGAACAGGTAGGCTATGCTAGATAGAGGGGTGATGGATAAGCTGTCCAGGTACCTACCTCGTACCTACTACCTACTACCTACTACTACCTTCTCGGACACGTCTGCCAGCACTGCCGTCCATGAGAGCGCCGAAGCCGAACCAGGGCTAAGCCGCATTGCCATCCCGACTAACGTAGTCTTCGTTAGTTCTGTGGCCTGCCTCGGTCGAGTCGGAGGAATCCCAACTCCGTCCAGAGCACCGCCCGATTCCCTCCGAGCCCGCGAGAGGCAAAAGGATCTTCTGATCGCGGTCTGCCTGCCTGCCTGCCTGCCAATGACGACGCCACAAATAAAGTTCGTCCATCCAGCACAGGTACATATACCGGAGTCCAACCAGGAAGTCGGTACAAGGCACTGCAGGGCTCTGCATCGACTACTGTGTGGTGTAAGGAGGGAGGGCCGCGGCGATCGATCTGGTCATCGGACGATTGCAGTAATCTTCTCGAACGTCCGTCTTCCCCGCAATCAAGCATCAGGCCACCGGAATCGGAGGTCCATCCAGCGATAGATGAACCATTATATCATACCCTTAGTAGCTGGGAGTCGGGTTGTAGAAACTAGAAACTATTACATAGTAGGTAGATAGAGAGAGTTGTGAGTGGGCGGGGAAATGCAAGATGGATGGACACCGACGTCATCCTTCCCCTTCTCCTCCGACAACTCACTACCACCCGCTGATATGTCCCTGAATCATAGTGAACTAACTAAAGAGTAATAACATCAACCTGGGACAAATCATCCTGACATATTGTTGTTGTACATAGTACCATAAATAGTAGGAACGGAGTACTCCGTCGTCGAAAATTACCCGACCTCCTCCAGCTGCTCCTCCTCCAGCCATCGTCAGCTGCAACCCCCCGAGCAAAGAAGTGATGTCATCTAGCAAAAGTAACTAACTAGTTGAATCCTCGTGAACTCTCCCTCCCTCCTTGATAGTAATGCTGATGCTGATGATCATGTTCATCTCTCCCACGTAAGCCCACCCACCTTGAACATCTTCAGAAAAATATCTGGTATCTAATAACTAGGTTATCCATGCATGCATTACGGAGTACGTACATAGGTAGTAGTAGAGAATATGCAAACTTGCGTGCTTACTCCGAGGAAAGCGAGCGAGCGAGGCTCAGCTCGGATCTAATTATACTTTATTTATTTCACTATACTACTCTGATACCTAGAGTAAAGTTGTATATTTCAGTGCTATGTGGATACTACTATATATCTGATATCATGATACTTAGATAGATATCTTTGCTTTGCATAACCTTAAGGTATACATAATCCTGTTCAATGTGCAGAATAATCAATATACAACGATAGTGTTGCTTAGGTACTAGGTACTTAGGTACATATATACCTAGGTACATGTTTGTCGGACTTGTAGGTGTCCCTTCCCTTCTCTTCTTTTCTTTTTTTCGATCCTTTCTTTACCCATGACTTTTCCTTTCTCTTTTTTTTTTTTGATTTTTTGTTTTTCGTCTAGAGTGTGGGGGTGTGGTTACGATTTATTTCTGCCCATCGATCAAGGATATGCGTATTCCTGTAGCCTGTTCGTTGGCAGGGTTAGGTAGGCTGGGCTGGGCAGGACTGGTTGGGTTGGGGGCCAGGAACAGTGAAGGCTGGGTAGGAGTTGGTTGGGTACGAGGTATGTTACAGTCTCTCTCTCTAGTCTCATCTACTCTGTACAGCGGATTTGTATGTGTATTTAACATCGAGACTGGATTTGGTGTTTGTTTGATGTTTGTTTGTTTGTTTACGGATGGGTATGGGATTGGAGTTGGGGGTGTTTGAAGCTGGGAGGTACTTTGCCAAGTAGGTCTGAGGGTAGGGTAAGTAAGGCTGCTGATGGATCTTGTTGGGTTTGTCTTATCATCATGTCGGTAGGTAGGTAGGTAGCTTGCTGTGTTGGTAGGGTCGATTTGAAAGAGGGCCAAGGGCCAGTCAGTGGTCAGGTAGCTACTAAGGCTGGGTTCCTGCATGGTCATGGTTATAGATAGAACTGTTGACTAGCTGGATGATAATTATTGGGTATAGAAACAAAGCAATAAACCTCGTGTCATTCTGGTTCCTGAACGGCTGATTTAAATGAAACACTTGTTGATGCAACGCCCCTGATAATCTGAGCGCTGTTCATCAGTATCGTCGAATCCTCCTGGTCTTATTCGCAGCTGCCCTTCGGCGACGTCGTTGGGCTTGCGTCCTCCACCACTGCACAATCACTGCCTTTGCCCATAGCATCCGGTCTCGTGTCTGCACAACTGCTGCGCATTGTCTCGCGATATCCCTCGCGACGGCGCGACGCTGTTCATCCCGCCGCGCAAGAATGCGTCGCCATGCAGTTTGCAGCACGGTCGCTGCTCGAGTGCGCTTCGTGGCGGAGAGAAGTCGCGAGCAGAGGAAGGCGAGTGCCCCGATTGTAAAGTCGCTATCGACGATATGGGTCTTTGAGGCGGGTGACACGAGTTTTGCTGGTTTATGTTAGGTGATGTTGTGTTGAAGATTGTAATCAGGAAACTTACCAAACTGTGCACTGCATCCTAGTGCTCGAAGACGAGACTCCAAGGATGCCGGTTTGTCGTTAAGATTCTCAGGCCGCCCAACTACATGTACCTCATATTCATCGACAATACTTTCGTAGATCCTGCCGTCGCTGAAGCTCGTGCTGAAATTGTCAAGTCGTAGGCCCTTCAGATGCGCTATGACAGACGCCCATTGCTTGAGCAACAGCGTTGGTTCGTCCTCAGCATCGGCTTCATTCAGGTGCTGGTGGAACCAAGTTTCGTCCTGGATGTTCTCGTATCCATCCTGGGACACTGCCTTTTGCTTCAATCTCTCAACCTCTTTTCTAACATCTTCCCAATCCACAAGCCCCGCGAGACCCCATGTGCTGACCAACTTCCACAACAAAGCAATCGTCTTCTCGCGGTGTCCATCGACGATGTCTTCTGCATGTACGTCGCTGACAAGCTTTCTGGTTCCCTCGACAGAAGCCAACGCATCCAAGGCAATTTGTACGTTGAAAAGCTTCACCGTACGGCTCATGCATGGAAATTTCAAATAGCATGACAGGGGCGAGCTGTGACCCGACAGCTCACCCGACGAAGAAGGACAGAGCAACAGCTCCACAATCCGCGTCAATCTGACGCCGTCTCGGAGATCCACAGCAAGGTTGTCAACTCTATAATCGTACTCTTCCAACGGATGCTGTTCATAGCTCAGTTCACAGTCCAAGTGGCTCAACGCCTTCAGGACGTCTCCGCACGATGGCAGCAGAAACCGGGCCAATTCCTGGAGTACTGCAGCAGAGGACTTCCGGGGCGAGGAAGGCAAGAAAAGACGGTGTGGAACAGTTGTTCCTGGGCTCAGCCTGGCCTTGTCCAAAAGTATGACCATCATAAAGCTTCGAAGTACTGTTCGTCGATATGCGCGCCCGGCTGCGTCGCCAGTTTCTCCGGTAGAGGCTTTTTCATGACGGTCCATATCCTGATTTTGTAACAAAAAGGCATCCAAAAAGCCCTCCAGTCTCCGTTTCATTGCCTTTTCCCTATCGGAGGTCTCGCTTCCCTGGGCCAACTTGGTACTAGGTATTTTCCTTCCAGTGATGGCCTCCACTGCGGCTCGCAATGCTCGCAGATCGTAGGTCTCGACCCAAATATCCAAAAACTTCCGTTTCATACCCAAATCTTGGCGAGGACGGTCACTACGCGTAAGCACATCCTTTGAAATGCTCATAGCTCCATATAGCAATGACGCTTGAAGCCGCTTGTGTAGATGCGTAAAAGATGCTCCCTGATACAGGGCGAGGAGTTCATGCCGAAGCATTGCGTGGTTGTCAAGTGCTGGCTTCTTATCTGCACCCTGAAGCAAATCATTGACCAACTGTGTTATTGCCACCTCCTGGTGCGAAAGCCAGTTGTCCTCGTACAGCGCCGAGTTCATGATGTTGTCCGAAATAACTGGGTATTCTTTCTCAATGCTCTTCACATTACTTCGGAGACCGGTCAGCTTGGGTGCCACTGCGCTTGTTGTAGACTGTTTCAGCGACCTTGAAGGATTTGAGCTTCTCATCGAAGTCACTCTGTTGTTACTCGACGTCAAACTCCGCTTCACGCTGCTACCATGATCGACCTTGCTGGGTTGCGTCTTAACAGTGTTTCGACAGTCAGCCAGGGCAGCAACCTTTTGGACCGTGTTGCTCGTTTTCACAGAAAGCGGCTTCGAAGCAGGTCTCGCAGTAGCACAAATACCGCCAGCTCTGCTCGCCAGTTGAGACACCTTGAGATCATCTCGTGCCTCTTTCATCTTCAACGGCTGATAACCCTTCTTGCCATCGACAAGAACTGACCCCGGAGGAATATTCTCCTTTCCGCCGTTCTTCCCAGCAACATCAACCTGAATAGAAGCCTCCTGCATCACCTTCGAGCTTGGCCGCAACGGAGCCTTCTGAGCAGACGACGCAAGTGATCGCTTTGCCTGTCGCCTCCTAACAATCTGCGACTCCAAGCTATTAATCTGCGTATCCTCGGCAATACAATTGGCGAAATTCTCCGACTTCAACGGACTAAAGAGGCCCATAAACGCGCTGGCCACAGTAGTATCATCCGGGGGAATGTAAACCGTGTTACGGCGCACACCCATTTTCAAGCTATCCTTTTCCTGAGCCTTCCCCGCTCCTCCATTAATCTGCATCAAAAGATCATTATTCTTCTCTGCGTCCATCTTCCTGCCCTGTGTCTTGTGGCCGTGTTCTTGTCGCAACTGCTTGCCCGGACTCGGAGCAAAGCTAACTCTAGGACGAAACCTCTGAGCTGGCTGCGCAAGCAAAGATGGCTTTCGATTTGTCGTCGGCACTGCCATGCTCGGTCTATAGGCATTCTGGGTAGGTTTCTCATCGTGATCATCGTGGATCATAAAGGACGAGCTCGTCTTGGTTCTTCGTCTTGGTTTGGCCCCTGTGAGAACGGACGGCTTGATCTCGGTCGTATACTCGACATTCGCGGTCTCGTCATAGCTGCCAAAGCTATCGTTCCATAAGCTGTCCGAGGAGCTTCTCCCGCTGCTTCGGCTGAAGATTGAAGCGTTCATCCTTGATGGACAAGGGGTTGTAGCTTCTTTTAGGTAACTTGACATGTTGATAATGGTCCAAGGATAATTCCTTGAAGTAAAGTATGTTGTTTAGAAGTGTGTCTCTTCCATGTGTATAGCTGTTGTTGGCCGTTTCCCCTCTATTGTGGATGGCGTGTTTGCTATGAATGGTGGGGTGGGCGTTGGGGATAATTTGGAGATTGAGAAACGAGCAACGAGGAACTTCGAAGACAAGGCCCGGTTTATAGGACAAATGGGTCCGTTAAGCTTCGAGGGCGAGACCCAAGCTAGGTCATACAAAGTTTGGTGGGTGATGGGGGGCCCGCCAGCGATGGAGACGCGATGTTGACATGCCGTTGCCGGCGCAACGACATGGGTTTGACACCTCAGGCAGGAAGTGGGGTCAATCCTTGTTTACAGCAGTCGAGTCGAGATTATTATTACACTCCGGAACCGACAATAATCTGGGATTTCATGTGTCCCTATACTATATATAGCCTGCAGTCTAACTAGGCTTGTATTCACTAAACTATCAATACAGAAGAAGAATAGAGAATGCCTCACAGCACAATCTCAGCCCACGACCCTAGGGGAATGAAAGAATCTAGCAAGAAGCTCCAGAGGGAACGTTCTTGCACGTCTTCTTGTCCTTGCCACCGGAGACATCGACATCCTTCCAGGTCCAGTCGGAGCAGCTGCCATCACCGCACAGGATGTAGATGGCCTGGGCATCGTCTTCAACCGAGCCAGTGATGCCATCCAGAGTGACATCCTTGATCGGGATGGTGTTCGAAGGCTTACCAGTGGGGCTACCGTTCTCGTAGTCCTGCTCGATGACCACTCCATACTTGGTGATGCCCGAGAGCTTGATGTTGGAGTAGGTAACGTTGTCGACATCGCCAGTCTTCTTGTAGATGGTCTTGATGCGAACACCATTGGCAGAGTCCACAACCTCGTTGTTCTCGATGTGGATATCCTTGACCGTGTTGTCCGAACGGCCACCGACCGAGCCAATGGACAGACCGTGACCACCGGAGCAGTATCCGCCCGTGAAGTAGATAGTCTATCCATCATCAGTATATTCTCATCTCAACTACGCAAGTATAGATCGCAACTCACCTCGCCAGAGTTGATGGCAAGGCAATCATCCTGGTTGTACACCGTGGCACCAGTAATGTAGATGCCAGTGCTGTCACTGATGTCAAAACCATCGGTGTTGTGACCACCCTTGGTGTCACCCAGCTTGTTGTCGATGGTGATATCAGTCAAGTGCACATTGGTGCCCTGCACACTGATGGCCTGGACAGGGGTGTTCTTGATGTGCAGACCCTTGACATACGAGTCCTCGATGTCATGCACATACATGAACTTGGGCTTCTTCTTGCCACCGTTGGTGCCCTTGCCGTCCCACCAGCGCTCACCCTGGGCGTCAATAACGGCGCCGGAGGCCTGGGTGAATGTGACGCCCTTACCACCGAGACGGACGAGGGGTCCGCTCCATTCCTCGTAGCCGAAGGTGGTGGTACCCTCGAAGGTGATCTATATCCAGTACTGTTAGATGATGACTTGAGGGATCGATATCGTGGATGTGGGAGGAAAACGGACCGTAGAGCCATCAGCAGCCTTGGACAGGTCGAGGGTCTCGCCGGCGGGAACCTCGATGTCCTTCAGGATGGACTGGGAGCACTTCTTGACACCCTCCTTGGCCTCAGCGGCCGAGGTGAAAGTGCAGGAGGATCTCTCGACGAGATCGCGGGGGGCAGGGGCGGCGGCCACGAGGGAGCCGGTGGCAGCGAGGGCGAGGAGCTGAAGAGAGCGCATGGTGAATGAATGTTCTGGTCAACAGAATTTCAACTTGATAAAGAGTGACGAAAAGAGTAGGAAGGAAACGAAAGAGTGGATTGTTGTTGTAGAACGAAGGGGCAAACTCGGTGCGAATTCCTCTGGGCTTTATAACCCATGGATAATGAGGTAGGTACATGCAATGCGTCTAGAAGCCAGGACATGGTGGATCAGGGTCATCATCGCAACCCCACGGGTGTCAGTCTCTAACAACGGTAGGAGGAAGCTAGAACTCCTTCTAGTGGGGTGTTAATCTACTAAGCATATTGATTGAAAAAGGGACTGGATCCTATGAGCTCCTCTGCCGGATTGTCTGCCGCAGAGGTCCTGCTAACCGTACGGAGGACTGTGTCCAAGGTACAGCTTTCGAAGCCCCCACTGTGGGGAATTCTGAAGCTGAGTCGTGTTCCACATGCTTCTGTAGGGTTTGTTCGGAAAAAGTCAGCATGCTGCTGACGGTCCGTTGCTTCGGAAGTCTTTACTGACAACCGACCCCACGGTCGAAGTAACTAATGCTGCAATGTCAGCACTTTTCCAGCTCTATCCTGATTCACTTCCATTCCCTGACCCAAGTTACAGCCAGGCCCAATCCAGGGCCACCGTTGCTACTCGAGAAGAAACGACTAGGCAGTGCAATTTCTAAGCCCCACCCACGGAAGGCCCTAAAAAGCTTGAGATGCTTGTCTGTCGGCACACCTGCCTGGGTGAAAGGATATCGCTTACGCCCGGTCACCCACAGACCGGCGGATTCCTATCCGTCTTTTCCGGGTTGCTAGCAAATTAAGGGGTGAGACAAGTGATTCGTTCACATGGAATACTAGGCAGATATTCTTCTGCGCCATACAATTGCACTTTGAGTGAAAATGCAGGATTCACAGTTGATAAAAGTGTTGCAGTCATGTTTCTGCAACTATGCAGAAGCCAGACAACTCATACTGCGAAGTTGCTTCCTGGGTGTACTCCAAGAGCAGCGAGTGCTCTAAAAGTGGTTGTGTGGCAGACAGGGTCTTCAGAGCTGACTCGGTTCGTTGCAGCGGGCCCTGCTTCGGATACATCCGACCAGTCGGAGGAATCCGGCGGACTACTGTTTAGTACTTAATTTCAAACCATCAGCTGAAAGACCCTGTCGATTTGTCTATTACGGCTTCTTGATAGGGAAACCTCGGGATCTTGCCATAATCTGCAAAGATAATCCGACTCCTAGCAATGTGTACATCACCTAGCTCACTCTACCCAATGATAGTAATCATCCAAGCCCGTCAACTAAGCTGCAAATTCCCTTGCAACACAGTCATCCAGTAGTCTCAAGGAAGCCTGTAGTATAATCTTACAGGAGTAGATCTTCTCCTTCTGGGGAATATAGCACTAGCCACGAGACGAGGCACACCGGTCGTCTCCGCTACTGACCATCTGCAACAAAATCATATGACTTCATTTAAATCAATTAAATTGTTCCTGTTGTCTTATTTGAGGACTAGCAGTTGGGTGGTGTGGGTCACTGCTCCCTTCCACTCCTTCTTCTTCTTCTTTTCCTTTTTCTGTCTCTCCCTAACGTTGGTAAGCTATAGCAAGTTCGTGAATATAAAAGCCCTGTTACCTCCCTCCCCAGAATAAATACTTCTCGGGACACCGTTCGAGAATCAGCCGATGACAATCAGTCAGGACATAGCTATACGCAATATCTCTTGACATACAATGACTGACTAGCACCTAGCTATGGGTTTCAGTCGACTTGGTAAGTCGTGAGATGCTTGGAATATCTTTGTCGACAACAAGGTATGTCATGGACCGGAATCAAGCTTTCGGGCTCTATCTTTCTTTTCTAGAACTGCTGAGTGGAAAGAATTTGCTGGTCTCTGTAAGCTAGCTGAAAATTGTGCGCGTGTCCCTGGAACCGAGTCATCACGTACGAGCAAGGACTACTGGGACTTGGTGAATTTATTAACAGTGGGGGCCAGATATAGCCAGATTCCTGTCTGCTTTTCTGCCTTCCACGTGGCGTAGAAGGGAAGTATTCATGGAGGAGGTTCACTGGCAGGCCCGCCAAACCTGACCTCACAAGTTCTTGAGCAGGCACATGATAACATCACGTTATAGTGCTTCTAGCTGGACCTGGCTTTTTGATAGTTCCAATAAATGAATGTGAAGAAACTATAGAACACGATATTTAATGGTCATAACTGTAACTTGAATTGGAGACTCGTGGTTGACCGTTGTAGAAGCATGATTCTCTTTGGTCATTTGATCCGACATTGAGCAAGGTGTTAGGTACTCTCTGCGTGGTATCATAACAGACGCCCCATATCGCTTTTAGAACACGCCCAGCAACACATATCAAAAGATAATGATTTTCTCATCATGAGCAACTAGCCCATCCCCCTCTTCAAGCCATTTCCGACTCATAAAAACCCTTCTCCCTCAAAGCTTGACTCGGATGAAAAACATTCAACGTAAGACACCCCAGTAACATGAGCGTTGCATCAAAAACATAAATATATACTTCATGACCCTGTAAACTCCCCGAGCTTCCCTGTATATATTCCGCTAATCGATAAATTGATCGAACCATAATCAGCGCGCTCACAGCGTAAAGAACAAACAGAAGTCTTTCCCATGGCACCGCAAGTGAGATGGACCGTTCTGTCGGTCTGTTTCGAATATTGCGATGAAAGATGTATGATACGATGATAAAGACACCGAAAAAGAGGATTTGGACGAAAAGACCGATGTTAATCATTCGCTCGCCCAGCTTGACTTTGCTTGGTTCTTTTGCTTGTGCGAGAATACCGCCTCCTGGAAGGTGTTTTGTTAGACTATATCTCATGTGAAGAGTATGTGGTAGACAAACCTCCACTTTGGAATAAGAAGGAAAGAACGTCGCCGGTGACGAAGATCTTGGTGAGCCTTCCGGGGCGAATGGGTGCTCGAGTATCTCCATCAACTAGTCGGATAATGCGACCTAGGATCATGTAGACTGATGCGGCGAGAAGAGATGGCCCCAGTAGGAGAAGCAGATTTTGCCCTGCGTATGGAGCGATGGACCAGTTGGGAGTCTGTTTGGCATTGATGGCCCGTGAAATATAACCAAGGGTTTCGACTATAGCTGGTTAGGATCCTTGCTTGGTTGAATGGAATTATTGGAAGGCTAGGCTCACAGGCAATGCCGATGATAAATGGAGTCATGGATCGACTTCCCGATTGGACTGTTTGCCAGATGTGTCCAAGTGCAGTCAGGAGAAACCCTATGGCGAAGACCACTGCTGCGGCATAAGAGGGATCGTAACGATAGAGAACGAAAGTATCACTCATTTTGAAGAATGGGAATGATAACGACAGAAAGTAGGATACTGAAATAATACTCGGTCAAGGGTATCTGATGGAAGCCATCATATTTATACCATTACCGAAACAAAAATATCTAGACATGCCCAAGGCTTAGATAGGCCCAACAGAATCGATGGATGTTTGCCAGTATAGTTTCCTATTCAGGAAAGGTGTACGGCAGCTAAAGTTTAGACTCCAGCGGCCTAGTCCTAATCCAGCTGGATCATGGAAATACGAGACCTGAAACAACCACATTGGGTATAGTGTACGAAGTAGCTATTCCCGGGTACATGAAAAACACGTTGCGGGGTGGAAAAGAGCCCCTCTGGTATACTCTTCATACGAGATTGTGTACACTTGTTGTAGGCTTGGGTAATCTCGCCAAGTGGTCGGGTTAGGGGTAGATAGCCAGTCCTCGAAATAGATTATAAAATGCTACAAGGAGTCTCGGTTCTTTTGACTTGGGATTTACTTCTCAGAATTCGAAATGGCCCTTACAAACCTTGCTATCATCGTTATTGTTGTTGTTTGCTGTTTAGCAGTCACGGCTCTTGGAGCAGGGATTGCTTCCTTTTATTCCCCTCCAGAGGACGGGAAATCTCCATATGAACCTTCAGCGGAACAAAAGCAGTATATGCGATCAGTGCGGCTGCGAGCACTTGAGAACCTCGATTCATCAGTGAAACCAGCGTTTTCTGCTCGGACGGTTGGTCACCACCTATCAACATCTCAAATCGTCAGGCTGACAAAGAAGAACAGGTCTAAGTCTTGATCAACTTCAATGTGCGGATATCAAAGTTTGGGAGCAAAAAGGTTGATAGAACTGCTAGGGCTGGGTGGGTCCTTCTGGCGCTTGGATTGCCTGCCTTGCTATTTAAATCCACCCCTGGCCCGTACATAGCAAATGTCAACCCAAATGTCTTGTTGTGACAAGCTGATTCTCATTGGCCTTTCTTTTTACTCCTACTACAGATCTCTGTACAGACTTTTCTAATGCCCTCACGTCGCGCCCACAATAAATCCCGACATGGCTGCTTACAGTGTAAACGACGACGCGTGAAGGTACAGCACTTGTTACGCCAAAAGCATATCAAACCCTGTATAGTACTGATGATTTATTTACCATTTAGTGTGATGAGCACCAACCAAGCTGTTGTCGGTGCCGGGCCAAATCACTGCCCTGCAGTTACCAAACAACCATCGAACCATCTTCCTCCATTCCTCCTCGTACAACGGTAGACAATACGGCGTCTTCGTCACCAGGATCTCCTGGTACTGTTTTAGAGCCAACATCAGAAGCAACCAATACAGAACCATCCCCATCAATACCCGATCCAAAGACCGAGCCATCGCTCAACTCCAGAGACCTTGAGCTCATGGTACAATGGTGTACACACACCCACTGTACTCTTTCTCGCAACCATTCTATAGAATGGACATGGAAATCAGTCGTTCCGAAACTGGCAGTCCATCATCCGTCTCTTATGCACGGCATTCTAGCTCTTTCAGCCTTGCACCTTGCATTCCTCAATACCAGTCATCAACGCAAAGAATACCTAGATACTGCTCAGTCGCATCATCTCAAAGCCATCGCGGCTGTCAGAAACATCAATGCACTCAGCCAGGCCAATGCCAGCTCAGCCTACGCACTCTCTAACATCATCATCATCTTTACATTTGCTCTGCCCCTTCTTGGCGGCGTTAGCGTCGACTCGACATTCTTCAACGAACTAGTACACATCTTCCGAGTCAGTCGCGGGTCTCTTAGTATCCTATTGGAAGTCTCCGAATGGGTGAAAGAGAGTGAATTGGCTGTCCTCACAACCGCCGCCACGGTAGGACAATCAAACCCACATCAATCATCCACACTGCCATCATTCCTGGACGAAGCCCTCAGAGAGGTCATGCACCTCAATAATCAATTAGGAGAGAGCGACCCATATTACCAGCTGGAGCTATACAAACTCGTACTCGGTGAGCTCCGGGTCGCATTCGAGAGCATTTCAAGTGATAGTGAAGATGGAATCATCACTGCTGTTTTCTGGTGGATTTTCAGAGTTCCATCCGAGTTCTTGGACCTTGCAGCCAATAGACAACCGTTTGCCATGGTCGTTCTTGCGTTTTTCTGTGCTTTGATGCATCGCTTACGCAGACAGTGGTGGATGGGCGATTGGGCGGAAAAGGTGACTCGAGAGATTCGGCCTTCTTTGGAGAGTGGGTTGGGAGATTTCATTCCTTGGGATTTATTATTCGGGACGAATTAGTAGTTAAACTTTCAGCTATTGCAATAGAGGTTCTTCGCATCATTCAAGAAAGCCATAACACTACTGTAGTGCTCCAACCAGGGTGAGTAAGCATTAACTATCTCGTGTTTTCGTATTTGAAAGACAACTTGCCATACCCCCCTGTGTTTCCACCAATAAAGAAGATGGTTTGAGTAATTAATTACACTTTAGTACCCTTCTGCAACGTCCAAAACTAGAGGGATGAAGAGATACATTCTCCATCAAGAAATCTTTCCCTGATACAAGATCTCCCTAATCTTAGCGATCCCCTCCCGATCACCTTCAACCGTCTCCATACGACACATTTCCACCCAACCTCGTGTATATCCACCCCAGAAATCAACAATCCACGCATTCTTCACTTCATCAATCAAGACATTATCCGCTTTCACCCCCCCCCCAAAACAATCCCGGCTTCATGCAAGCCATCCAAGGTACTTGTCACCTGGGAATCCCATTGTTTTCGCAGCTCAAGGGAGGTTTCAGGTCCCAACGCATATTGTAATGTACAAAAATTACATTCTACCCAAGATATCAGTATCCCAGTTATGTGGGAGTCCTGCTCTTCATCCTAAACAACACCGATCAAGCGGGGGACTTGAATGTGGTTATAGAGTCCTAAGGTCTCGGTTTGCTCGTATACACCCAATTCACGGGTGGCAGCTCTTCTATCACCGGGCTTAATTTGTTTGAAAAAACAGGTGGTATTGGCAGCTAGGACTTTCCTTGGCGGTCGGGAGTAAAGTTCGTTGGTATCGGTGCCGGGGAGTTGGATGTTCTCGGGCCTTAGTTTGTGCCAGTTCGGGTGGAGTGTGAAGTCTCTCAGTCTAGGCCTTTTGGTCGTGGCTGTCTGGGGACGGTGTATTTGAGGCGCGGTTCTAGATTTTAATGGGTAATGAAGAGGATATATCGATAGATTTGGGGATGGAGGTAATCTCGAAGTGTGAAGGGTCGGGGACTCACTGGGTTGGGGTCAATGTTGGGGAAAATGGTGAGGAAGGGGGTTAACGTCCAAGTGTGAAGATCTTCTTCTTGAGTAAGGTCGTAGTCTTCATCATTGCAGATGGAGGCCGTAAATCCCATGTAGGTTTGTAGGGATGATGGAGAATGGATGAAATTCGCGGGATCTAACTCGAGACAGTTGCCTTTGCTTATGACAGTGATTTCGGCGGTTTTTTCATACAGGTGGAAGAAAAACTCTCTGAAATCCCAAGCAGGGTTCTCAGATGACATTTTTGAAAGAATAGTGGTTCAAGGTAGGACGATTATGAGGGATGGAAGTAGCGGTATATAGAAGAGGGGTGAGGGTGATTCGTTCAGAGGGTGTCCAAGAAGCGGCCAGCCTTCTGATGTTATGTCGCAGTGCAGGAATTGGTGTCAGTTCAGTTACGCTTGAGTTTACCGGAATTACACGGATTAAGTTAATGGCAAGCTCTATAGCAGTGTGTTTGGATGGTGCCATCCAGCACACATAATGATCGCAGGACTACCTCCGCCCAGAGCAGGGGCTCTTGAGAAGGATATTCCCATTATTCGCTATGCGACCAACGAGGAGTGTTCACTGTCTTTGTGAAATCTTTTCCTTGGATTGGATCTGCGAATCCCCAGTTCTGTGGTGTTGCTAGATGTAGGCGCATGTTTAAAGTGGGGAATTTTGATGTAGAACATGCCAGGCACTGTATCTACCAGTTCAATCGGATAGATCGATTGCGGTAGGAATGCCAGGGAATCGTGAGCCTCGGATGCGGATGAGGTATGGGGCAAGAATGCTGATCGAGATGCTGAGCTGGATTTCGATGGAGAGAAAACTCGACACCTGAAACCACCACAACTGCAGGCCAATATTATGGTGCCTTATCCTCTTAACCACAAACGGCGATTTCCCGAGGTTGCCTCAAATTCAGGCAACAACATGAAACAGGCCGTCTGGAAGGGATCCGAGGGTAATAATAATAACGGTGACATCCGAGATCCCTCCCCAAACATATGCGGTAGGCTGAACCTCGGTTTGTTCAGCCATCACAATCCACCAAATGTCAGTTCCACCCCGGATGGTTGATGAGGGGGAAAAAGCACAGACAGGATCATCGCCTCACTAACCTCTCCGGTCCCCATCTGATTCCGTTGAGAAAGCCCGAGACTCTCCCTAGAATCCTAAAGACTCCTACGGGAGCGCTGACTGGGTCAAGGGCGAGATAAGCAGTGGCCTTCAGGGCCAAACCAGCAGATAGGATCGGAGCGATTGATTCGCACAGGAAAAAGACCGCCGAGTGGTGCAGTGGTGGGGGCGCCTATTCTTAGTGTTGGCGCGCAGACGAGGCACGAAAGCGGCGGGCATCGGCCAGCGCGGACTCCGATTCGATGTGAAAGGGAATTCCATCGTTTCCGTTCCCCAGACACACACACATGGTCGCTCATGGTCTGATCTTCAACGTGGCCGCTGCACAGGCACCGTCGTTCTGCTGCCTCCGTCCTGGTCTCCATCTGCCAGGGGTAAATTGCTATGTATAACTTGCGCCATCCTTAACTCCGCTTACTATATCTCCTCTGCGTCTCCACTCGCCTCTCCCTTACGGCTTACACACGCGCCTCAATTACCTACTAGTCTCAGCTGCCTGCCCCCCCGTTCCCAAATCGATACCTGCTCGCCTCGCTTGCTCGCTCGCTCGCTCACTCACGTCCACTTGACACCCTCTTCTCGAAGTCGACTTTCCTACACGCCCCATTGGACTGTCGCGGAGATGGGCCTGCGATAATTCATTCCTTTCCGCCGCTCGACTCTCACTCCCGGTCTCGACTCTATTCTTCGGTTCTCCACTCCAGAGCCTCGGACCTGCCTTGTTTCCCAGTTCCGTAGCATCCGCGTCATTTCGAACTCCTCGCCATCGTCAGTATTACGGCATGTGCACTGGTCATGGAATCCCTCGTCTATGAGAATTCGCCGTTGGCGGAATACCTCCAGGGTGAGTGTTCCCCATCCAAGGCGCTGAGGAACAACGAGGTCTTATCTGGTGATATGTCAGGGGAAGGCGAACACGACCCAAATTGGCCGATAAAGGAGGCCGACCATAGCGATGATTTCTCCGATTCTACCGCGGCCGATTTTGCCCCACGAGGGGTCTCCAAATTCCAGGAACGTATTCGGAATAAACTCCCCAAGCCCCTTGAACGGAAAGCGTCGCGGCAGAGAGCAGCTCTGGGACGACTCTATGACGCCTGCACGGTATGTTCCCATGCGACCGACGCCCCCGTTGCAGACCACTAATGGGTTTGTTCAATGCAGTCGGCGCTGAATTCGCGCATCGGACGAAGCGACAACGAGAGATTCCTGGAACAGTTCGGTTATGTCATCGTTGCGTCTCAGCTGCTGAACGAGCACAGCGCGCCCTCCTATACGTCAGCCGCAGACGTGATGTCCACGGCACTCCCGGCAGATCTCCCATCAATATCCACAACGTTTGGCATACAAGGAGCTTTTGTCACGGCTTCCACGTCTTTCTCCATCGCTTGGTTGTTGCACTGGAGCCGGTCGCGCACATCATCTGGTCTCAACCCTCGAAAGGTCGGGGTTCTATTGGTTCTCGTGCCGGTCATTGGAGTTCTGTTCTATGCTTTCGCCAAGCGACAATGGCTAAAATATTTACGCCATCAAGCCGTCGATGCAGCCGTGACATTCATTGGCAACGCTCAAGGATTCGACTCTGCTGCTTCTGCATCAGTCGTGTTTATACAAGAAGTTGAGCTGGTCTCAAGAGGCTACCGCATGTACGTCCTCTTTGCTATCAACCTTGATTTCAGAATCACTAATCATTGAGTAGAAGCACACCGTTGCCCCCAATCAGCAGACTCGAAGACCAGACGCAAACGCGACGATGCCTCAGACTGCGCCGGACCGTGTCGGAATCGTTCTATCTCATGCTGGGCCGGTATATTCGGGCACAGAATATCCTACGGCCACTCACCGGCAATACGAACCTCGCCAGATACTACGACATCTATGACGTATCAGAGGAGGAGCTTGTCGAGGCAGAGGCAGCGTTCAATGAGCGAGCCACCGAAGATCAATACTCCCTACGCGCCCTTCGTACACTTTTCGGAAGACTTTACATCGTGAGGAAGAGTATCCTCTGCTGCCTTCTAGCCCTCGGTGCCGATGGCGGCGGATCTGATATTGCAAGATGGACTGCGGCTGTTGAGCAGATGCGGGATCTGGCTCATGTGACGGGCGAGAACATTCACAAGATGACCAATATCCTCAATGAGGACGATCGTAAGTGCCAAAAGCTCACAAGGTCTTTGTTGAGGCTAATCCTTTACTCCAGGTGAGGCCATCCCGCCTTCTCCACTACCGACAGCTTCGCCCAACAAGGACAATCTCCGCGCGCAATACCGAAAAATCAATTCACTTTCCCAAGGGGTTCGTGCACTTCACGCAAAGATGCACATCCTCAGAGAGGCATCCAGTTCTAATCTCGAGCGGCCAGATGCTGGTGAGTTTGAGGCAAGCCTCATGCCCCAGTATGAGTCGATTGGGGCGGATATCAGAAGTCTCCTCCAAGAGTGGGAATCCGGCAAGACCGCATTGATGAGCAGCCTGGATAAGCCTTTAAGCGCGGATAACTCGCGGCCACCGAGCGTTATGAAATCCCCAATGTCGCCCACACCCAGCCTTGGAGGTTCTACCGCAGTTGAGGGCAGCCCTGCGGACGCCCTCAGAGCTTTGAATGGGGAAAACTCCGACCCAAGCATCGTCCACACGCTGGATGATGAAGAAGAAATTTTTGAAGCGGTAGCTCTTCCGGCTCGGAACAAGAGAGCATCCTTGACCAGAGAGGAACGAATTGCGCGCGTCAAGGAAGATAGAGCACGACAAGCAGCTGCTCGAGAGCGCACCGACGCCAATACAACCATGCTCAAAGAGCTTGAAATGGTAATCAAACAACGACCTCGTACAACAATAGCTGCGAAGCGTGTCACCAGCATTTGAACCGCCGGCATCCGAGCCGCACCATTCCATTCCGTTTCCTCGACTATCTCGATACCCGATTTTCCTCCTTACATCTTCTCCCTCACGCATATAATCACCCAAGCTTCGCTCGAATTTGAGCTGGAAGCAAACTCCTCCCAGCAAAACATGCAGATTGATACCCACAAATGTATAGAGCGGTCCGGTGTCAGCGGCGTTAAGGCATTCTATCTCAGCTTGGTCATTATATTACCCTGTCCCTTGGAGGACTACCCTGTGGCTTACAATCATTGATACTGTATACTATGTTTTGTTTCTTTGACTTACTTTCAGCTCCGTCCTTCTGTATACTCACTATGCTGGCCTATGTTGGCAGCTACCACTTGATTTCGTTTGTCCTGTATACTCAGCCTTGTGTACATATCTTACATTCTAGCGTAATTGCTTAAATCGATACCTGTATTAAACTCAATTGTCTGGTCATGGAAGGCGACAGGACGTCGAGACGGGAAAGATCTGTAGTACATTAGTCAATCACATCTGGTGGGTATAGGTAAAATCAGTTGGTCTGGCGCATACATTCTTCAAATGCCGGACACATCTAGACAAAGAAGGAGTGCATGAAGGCTTAGGCTTCAATTGTAAGAAGAACTATGGTAGGTATGTCTTCTTAATAAAGTTCTGTCAATACCATCAATTCAATCATGGGCTGTATAGCATTTGTTGTAGGTCTAATGAGTGAATTATTACCTACTACTATAGCTTCTTGATACTGCTGTTTTATGGTTGAGAAGTGGACCGGCGGAATTAGAGCGGCCAATTGGGTTGGCCAATCATGCCTGTTTCTAATTGGAGCACGTACTGTGACTAGTACTACTACTCAGGCATTCACACGGGCCTTTCTTGATCTCTTAGCACACCACCCGCTCCATGCAGCATCGGCCGTGAAATAGGTTCAAAAGGATCTTACCTGAAGCTGCTGCATGTCGGTGATCATTAGCTCCGAAATCGTCAAGTATGACAGACTAATCCCCAGGACTGTCGAGCCTGAACGAGAAGGTATGGCATTACTGGCTGGCCCCATAATTAGGTCTGCTGACAATAATGCAAGATGAGGATGTGGAGGCCCTTGTACCCTGGGTATTCCAAAATGCCTCTTTTGCAACAGAACATTGCATACTAGATTGGCCAAGAGAAGAGAGCGACTTCCGGGATTTCTTTTCTTACTATTGTTCCTATGCTGCTGATCTAGATGAGCAAAACAGAGCAGGGGTCACAAGCGTGCTGAAAGCCAGTGAGGTGATCACTTTACCCAGGAGGAGCTGGAAGGCACCTCAAAGAGACCACTTCAGACATTTGATACGATCACAGAGCACTATGCTGAAATTGTTGATGAATACTGTTTATCTTAGCATCAAAGATAGCATTGAACAAGGTCCTAGAGTGAGGTGAGTGGTTTCTCCTTGCAAATTCGACAACTTCTTACTAATCGGCCACAAAGTTTTCATAAAGCAGAACCAAGGCAGAAGTACGTGATCGGTGGTAAACGGTATGCTACTCAAATAGAAGGGGCTGTTACGGTCGATCTGCAAGAGGAACCAGTGCCTATACTATCATTCACTGGAGCAAGTAGTGTGCATCACAACGATTACCGGTGGCCTCATCTTGTGAATTACTATTTAACATGTCTAGTGGTTCGAAGGACAGACCTGGTCCGAATTCCTTGTAGAAACTTTCAGTGTTATGTTGGGGCAGCTTGCCAGAAATGTTTCTGTACAGGACCGCAGCGCAGGCTGCAAGGACCAGGAGGTCTGTGTGGTTGGTTTTCATGGGCTTCATCTTCACATTTTCCATGGGCTTTTTCGAGCAGATACAATATCTCGAGTGCACTCCAAGGGATGTTCTGACCATGAGGCTTTCGATCTGAGATTCACACGGGATTACAACCTATGCCTAAAGGAAGACTGGCTAGAAGCTATCCGAGCTTTGGCAAGACTGTTCCGATATCTCCTTAGTGGGAAAGCAAAAGTCGGTGCGATAGAGGCCTATCTGCAGAAGAAGAGCTGATACCACTGACCATAGGACGCATATGAATTATCTAATCTCTTTTCGTCTCGTTTATTACCATCATTACTATCTCTTGCCATAGAATCGAGCCTAGTGCTCTTGAAACTGGACCTGCTACAGTCATTTTCGACTAGATAGCTCCTACCTTCCAAACTGTCTTGTGGGCGTCGTCAGGTTGCATTCATTCTCTAGGCAGCTTTGCTGTCCTCAGGCATACATCGGGAAGGGAGCAGTGACCCCCCAGCCTCAGGCAGCAGCCTAGCCGCAAAGGGTGATATCAGCCTAGGAATGACGCGACCCGAACGCGTGCCTCCCCACTAATGAAACCCTCGAACGCGAATTCGCTGCACTTTCGAGTCCCTCAATAAATTCACCCCAACTGAAGCCACGCGACTATCCTTCTTCGCTTTCAATTCCTCACTTAGCTTCTACCATTCCCAACCTTTACGACCCCAGATTCACCCTCTAATCACCAGCTACTTCTTGCAGATTTCGATCTCTTCCTCATCCTCCTCTTCTTCCACCTCTTCTTCCACTAGCTTCTCATAGCTTCTCACCGCACCTACACTTCACATCAAAAGTGAGCATCACAAGCTATGGTTCGCTCAGGATCGCATGCTAACTGCTATCCCAGTGTTGGAAGCTCGCCTAGAACAAGCCAGCCTTCTCAAGCGCGTGCGTATCCCTCAATCTCACCATACAATCTCCATGCCCAATTGCTAACATCGGATTCTCTAGGTCGTCGACGCCATCAAAGACCTGGTCCAAGACTGCAACTTCGACTGCAATGACTCCGGTATCTCACTTCAGGCCATGGACAACTCCCATGTCGCCCTCGTGTCCATGATGCTCAAGGCTGAGGGATTCTCTCCTTACCGTTGCGACCGTAACATTGCCCTCGGTATCAACCTGGTCTCCCTGACCAAGGTCCTGCGTGCTGCTCAGAACGAAGACATTCTCACTCTCAAGGCCGAGGACTCCCCCGATGCCGTCAACTTGATGTTCGAGAGTGCCGAGACGGACAGACTCAGTGAATACGATATCAAATTGATGGACATTGACCAGGAGCACTTGGCCATCCCAGAGACAGAGTACGCTGCTACGGTAGAGATGCCGTCGGCAGAGTTTCAGCGCATTTGCAGAGATCTGAACGCTCTCTCCGAGTCCGGTATGTTTACTGCCAGTGACATTCAATGCATCTTGCTAACTGGGATCTCAGTTGTGATCGAGGCCACGAAGGAGGGCGTCAAGTTCTCCTGCCAGGGTGACATTGGCAGTGGCTCCGTCACTGTCCGCCAACACACCAACGTCGACAAGCCCGAACAGAACGTCTCCATTGCCCTCAGTGAACCCGTTGCCCTCACCTTCTCCCTCAAATACCTCGTCAACTTCTGCAAGGCCACCAACTTGTCGAGCAAGGTCACTCTCTGCCTGTCGCAGGAGGTGCCCCTGCTCGTTGAGTATGGCCTTGGTAGCGGTCACCTGAGATTCTACCTGGCCCCTAAGGTACGCTGAGATGTGGTCCCGCGCTTTGAGAGATGTTTACTAATGCGTGATGTTTAGATCGGCGATGAGGAGTAAACGAATATAGAGGCAAGATCATAATGACGAAAGTGGGAGCAACATGGAGGCAACGATTTCTTTTTTTCTTTTCTTCTTCAAATCTTCGGAAAATAACCCGAATGTTCTCGGGGCCAGTGTTCAGTTTTCTTCTATAATATCCAGCTAGATGCTAAGCGACCAACGTGTTCACATTCCATTTGGTTACAATAGTTATCCAGTCTACACAATGATGTACAAAGCAATGAATGTTGTGTAAGAGCTGCAGTTTTCATTGAGCGTATAAAACTACTCTGCCACAGTAGCTGTATAACAACCTTCCCAATCTCCCACGCAGTATATCCCTGACGTCCTAAATCATCGACAAGAAACCTATCAAGGACCCATACAGAATAATCCATACAGGTCCCAACCCCAACAATTAGCCAGGGGAAAAAAAGTCCTTCCCAGTCATCACAACCCAGACCCTGCCCTGCCACAAAAGCAGACTAAAAAACAAAAAGAGAGAACCAACTAACCTTCAAAAAAAGAAGTGAAGCGCCACCCCCACCGGAATAATCGGAATCGAATTATACCAATCCCCTCCCCCCGTCCCATCTCACCCGAGAGCGAAGAAGGGAGTGGGGGGGAAAGGAAACGGCATGCTGCGTATTGCACTAAAGTGTCACACGGATTTGTTCCGCACACACAATCTTCGCAACGACTCTCCCATGGGGAAACCGCAAGAGAACCAAGAAAAATAAATCCCTTGGCACCTTACGCCCCGATGTTTCTGATGCCGGTTGCAGGTGCAGATCACACCGGGCCCTTGCGGGCAGTACCGGCCGTTGGAAATAAACCTAGATTCATTTCCAATGGCGGGTGCAAAAGGGGTGAAGATTCCTCCGAATTTCTCATTTGCAAGGGGGTCTCGGCTGATTCGGGGAATCAGGACCGAGGACAAGAATACCCCTCCGTCTCCGAAGAGGGAAGGGGATCTTGTCGTGTGTAGCAAAGAAACGCAGCATTGGTGGGGATGGCGCTTGAAGGAAAGAAAAGGGAAAAGGAAGGTTGGGGTGTTTTGGCGGGTGGTTTTTTTATGATGCGGGTGCGGCATAGTGGGCCTGACCGCTTGCCGGGTTGGGTGTATTGCTGGGGGTGTTTGTTTGTTTTGTTTGGCTTGGGGTTTGTTTGCGTGGTATAGTAGTGAATTAAGATTTGATGTGAGTTTTATTGTTCAACGGGTCGGTTGTATTTCGAAGAATAAAGTGGTTCTAGTACAAGTATAACTACGGAGTACGGAGACCTCATCTGGAGATGGTAGTTGCCTTGGCTGGTTGGATATGGTTCGGCTGCCGGAATGAGGCGCTCATACTTCTTTCTTGCCTTGCATCCTACAGAGCTTCAACTCAGAACACACAAAGACTCGATGTCACGTCACATTTCAGATTTTGACAACATTATTTGAGCATCACCTACATACTCTGTATCCAGCTCATGGATGAACTATGGCTGGAAATCTTGGTATCACCGAAGCAGCTTTATAGGCTGGGAGCCCTCAGGGCCGGTCAGCACAGGAGCTCATTCAACTTCAGTTGGAGCCTTTGCTAACTGCTATGGCCCACTTCTCAAATAGATCGAGGCCCTCCGATAAATTATTTGAGTTCTATCTAGGTACTATAGGTCACAACTCACCTTATCTATGCCGTATCTACATCCCGCGTTTGGCAAATCTGACGAGAGTGCCATGACTCTAAATCCCCCAACCAACATTCAAAAATTTATACTGCGGGCCTGCTGCAAACGCAGCCCGAGATATGCAGTGCGATGTCTGGAAGAATAGGATGTCCTCTGTGTGCACTTTGCCAAAGACCCACATGTTCTTGCACGAGCGAGTCTCGTATAACTACATCAAGACACCTACCGGACTCTCTATCATATCTAGGTAGGCAACTTCAGAAAGAAGAGCATGGGAAATCCAACATCTCTTATCCTGGACTTGATCGGGCTACCAATGGGACCGCGTCTCTGTTGGCGTCTCGTTCTTGGGTCCCATAGTTCTTTGATGCCATCGTTCTTTCATCCTAGTAGTCGTCGATCACAACGCTCAGAATCATCTCACCCGCAATCAGCATGAGTTAATGCCCGATATGGCCGTGACGTGGCGTGACTGACAGCGGCAACCCTCGAAGGCCCTCTATCCCGAAGGAATTTGACTACAGTGGTTTTCTGGAAGGCGCCCAGTAGACGGGTCACAATCACCCAGGTGAACTCATGAACGGAAAAACTTTCAGCAGCCAAGAATTTTGGAGACCAGGGATCACAGACCAACTGAAAGAAAACTTCGCGGTGGAGTATGTTTTAGTCAATTTATCATGCGCGACGATGTCGTCCGAACACTTACCAAAGGACGATGGGATGGGCATACACCGAAGTGCATTCATAAGACAATCAGGCTATCAGCATTAAGGCTTGTATCCACCCAACAACACTGGCGTGGTTGCCCTCGAGCCTTTCGGGCGAACCCAGGGAGACGGAGTATCTTTGGTGCTGACTTTGGGCCCAAAATGGATACCATGCTAGAAATGATGGCTGATCAGCGGCCGCCGGGGCTGATCGTCCGCGTCGTGTCGGTCATTGGGGCGCCGCGTCCCGTCAATAATGTCAATTCTTTCTCCCTCTCTTCGATCTTCATTGTTCATACTAGCAAGCACCCCAATGGGATAGGGCTGCTGCAGAAACTCGCCAGATGACGTGTTTCATCCGAGACTTGCTTTTCTCGACCTTTTCCCACTAGTCATGGAAATCAAGCCCGATCGGAAGAAGGTGGCGAATGACCGTTCATCCAGACACTCCGTCTATGACTGACCGGCGTGGAACTTCAGCTTGTCCATGCATCTGTCGACACTTTACAGAGTCACCCCTGCCTTTTCCAAAAATTCGATCGGGCAAGTCGTTCCCAATCGCGAAGATGGGGATTGAATCAGCCGGCCGGCTCCACAGATACGGGACGGAGCGCCTCATGTCTCCATCGACAGCATAGTTACACTACCTACGTATGTCGATTGCCAACAACAACAATAATTCTCGGTAAAGCCAGTCGGAATCTCCATCAGCATGGCCGGAGGCGGTCCACGCGTGGTGCCCTGGGATGGCTAGCTATATCCAATAATGCTGATCAACTCCGTCCCCTAGTTGGAGCTTATTCCGCTAGCCTCTGCAGGCCGTGCTTAGGGCCGTCTAGATCATGCATCCCACAGGATCAGATCGCCCGGCTGTGCTTGGCCACCAGGCCATTGACGGAGTCCCTCTAGTAAAAAGGCATAAGTGAACATTACTACGAATAAGGGCCAGAAGGCCCAATTCGCTTCCGGAAAATGGCTAAAAGTGAAGTGGGCCTTTTCACCTTTTAATCATCATATCCAAGTTTGGGTCCTCTCTTGGTTTGCCTTGGATTACTTTATTGGTTAGGTGTACCCCCATACATGTGCTCTGTCTTATACGCACTTCTGGGCGGATTTCTCCTCCATTGCTGGTTCTTTCCCCTCTCCCTTGGTGAACTCCCAGGAATTCCTGGTACGCTCGACCGAGGTGTCGTCCACTAGCACCATGGAGGAAAAGGAGGTCGGCGCACACGAACCATATCAGGCTGGGAGGACGCAGTCAACATCATCGAGGGAGGAGGAAGAGCGTGAGCACCAAAACCTGACAAGAATCGCCTCCAGCCGAACTGGTCGCAGACTTTCCCTCTCTGCTACGATCAATGAGAAGGATGACCCCCGTTTGGATCCCACCAATCCCGAGTTCGATCATCGTCGCTGGGCAAAGCTCGTTTTCAGGGCTCTGGACCAATCCGGCATTGTACCACAGGCGCAAGGTGTTGTCTTCTCGAATCTTTGCGTCTCCGGATCAGGCTCAGCGCTACAGATCCAAGAGACACTTCTTACACAGTTAGCAGCTCCATTCCGCGGGGCTGCGCGGGCGCTTTCTGGACGTGCCTCCCCTCCTTCACGACAGATCCTCCGCAGCTTCGATGGCTTGCTCCAAAGTGGAGAACTACTCCTTGTCCTTGGTCGTCCGGGAAGTGGCTGCACAACGTTTCTGAAGACGCTCTGTGGCCATCTAGGTGGCCTGACGCTCGAACCTCAGAGTACCATCCACTATCAGGGGATTGAGTATGAGGATATGATCAAGCACCATCGTGGAGAGGTTGCATACAACAAGGAAGTCGATCAACATTTTCCACATCTTACAGTTGGCCAAACGCTCTCATTCGCAGCTCATGCCCGGACGCCCCAGAAACGTATTGACGGCCTGACACGCTCCGAATATGTCGAAACCCTCACCCGGGTTGTCCTGGCGGTGTTTGGGCTGTCAAACACCTACAACACTAAGGTGGGAGACAATTTTGTGCGAGGAGTAAGCGGTGGTGAGCGTAAAAGGGTTAGTATCGCCGAGATGTTCCTTTCCCGGTGTCGAATTGGGGCCTGGGATAACAGCACGCGAGGCCTGGATGCAGCATCCGCTCTGAAATTCGTCAAGTCTCTACGTCTCGCTGCCGACATGGGTCAATCGTGCCATGCTGTCGCCGCTTATCAAGCTTCTCAGTCGATGTACGATCTGTTCGACAAAGTCATTGTTCTCTATGAGGGCCAAGAGATCTACTTTGGCCGCGGTGATCGGGCCGTGCGTTACTTCGAAGAAATGGGCTGGGAGTTGCCAGAACGTCAGGTTAGCGGCGACTTCCTAGCTTCTGTTACCAACCCAAGCGAACGAAAGGCCCGTCCAGACATGGCGGACAAGGTGCCACGTACGGCGAAGGAGTTTGCGGAATATTGGAAGCGCAGCCCCGAGTATAAGGAGCTCTGCTATCAGATAGAGGAGTATCAGCGCGGTCATCCTCCCAATGCCGACGAGGCCAAGATGTTCAAGGCCAACCACGAAGAACAACAGGCTCGTCATACTCGGACGCGCAGCCCGTACCTTCTTTCGGTTCCGATGCAAGTCCGTCTCTGCCTCCGCCGAGCTTTCCAGCGACTGCGAAACGATATACCAACGGCCATGTCTACGGTTGTAGTGCAACTCATTCTGTCTTTGGTCATCGGCTCGATCTTCTTCAAGTCTCCCCCAACTACCGCGTCATTCTTCCAGAAGGGGGCGGTGTTGTACTTCGCTGTGCTCTTCAATGCCTTGGTCACTCTCAATGAGATCATTCAGTTGTACATCCAGCGACCAGTCGCTGAGAAGCACGCAAGTTATGCATTCGTCCACCCCTTTACTGAGGCCCTGGCTAGTCTGATCATGGATCTACCTATCAAGTTTGTGCGCTGCTCCATCTTCAGTGTCATTCTTTATCTCATGTCCAACCTTCGACGAGAGCCCTCACAGTTCTTTATCTTCTATATGTTTCTGCTGACTGCCGTGGTGACAATGTCTGGGATCTTCCGCAGCTTAGCTGCAGCCACGAGGACGAGCACACAGGCTATGGCAATGGCCGGTGTCTTCGTCCTATGCATTGTGGTATATACTGGGTTTGTCCTGCCGCAGCCGTCCATGCATCCATGGCTCTCCTGGATCCGATGGATAAACCCAGTCTACTATGTCTTTGAGTCCTTGATGGCGAATGAATTCCATGGCAGGAATTTTGAGTGCGCATCGGTAATTCCAAGCTACGCCACTGGTTCATCCTTTATCTGCTCCACCGTGGGTGCAGTTGCAGGGGAGCGGTTCGTCTCCGGGGACGCTTATCTGGAGCAGAACTATGAATACTCCTACAGCCATATTTGGCGGAACTATGGCATCGTCATCGCCTTCATGATAGTATTCAACGGCCTCTATCTGCTTCTTTCGGAATACAACTCGGGTGAGAAATCTAAAGCAGAAACCTTGGTCTTCCGCCCTGGTCATGTTCCGCAATTCCTTCTGTCTTCTAATGGGATTGAAGATGGGCAGACGGACAAGCCTGAATTGCAGGACAACGTTGATGCAATCCATCTTCCTGAGCAGACGGATATCCTGTCCTGGAAGGGCCTCAGCTATGATATTCCAGTCAAAGAGGGCACCCGTCGACTCCTGGATAATGTGAATGGATGGGTGAAGCCAGGTACCTTGACCGCGCTGATGGGCGTTTCTGGGGCCGGGAAAACGACGCTTTTGGATGTTCTCGCCCAGAGAGTGTCTATCGGTGTTGTTACCGGTAATGTTTTGGTGAACGGGCGAGCATTACAGCCCAACTTTCCACGACAGACTGGATATGTACAGCAACAAGATATCCATTTGGAGACAACTACGGTGCGCGAGGCTCTCCAGTTCAGTGCCATGCTCCGCCAGCCCCAATCGGTATCCATAAAGGACAAATATGCATATGTTGAGGAGGTCATCAAAGTTCTTAGCATGCAAGACTTTGCGGAAGCAGTTGTGGGCTCTCTGGGGGAAGGCTTGAACGTGGAGCAGAGGAAGTTACTGAGCATCGGAGTCGAACTTGCTGCGAAACCTACCTTATTGATATTCCTCGACGAACCAACCAGCGGCCTAGACTCTCAAAGCTCTTGGACAATCTGCTCGCTTCTGCGAAGGCTGGCGGATCATGGCCAGGCAGTACTAGCTACGATCCATCAGCCGAGCGCTGTGTTGTTCCAGACCTTTGATCGTCTGTTGTTCCTCGCGAAGGGTGGCAGGACTGTCTACTTCGGCGATATTGGGGACCAATCTCGCATGCTTCTGAATTACTTTGAGCGCAATGGTGCTAGACGCTGTGGGGATATAGAAAACCCCGCAGAGTATATGCTCGATATCGTCTCCGGGGAATCATCAGAGGGGTTTGATTGGGTCAAAACTTGGAACGATAGTCCAGAGTACAAGGAAGTATTCGCCGAGGTCGAACGCCTCCAAGACGCTCGCCAACAACCCGAGCGACAGGTTCAAAATGACGATGACATCCACTCTGAGTTCGCGATGCCTTTATACAGCCAACTCTACTACGTCTTGCAGCGTGTATTTCAACAGTACTATCGCCAGCCGGAATACGTGTTCTCGAAGTACGCGTTGGGCATCCTATCAGGACTGTTCATCGGCTTCTCTTTCTACAAGGCAGACAACACTCAACAGGGTTTCCAGAATGCGCTCTTCAGCGTCTTCCTTCTGTGTACAGTCTTCACCTCGCTCGTCAACCAGATCATGCCCAAATTCGTCGTGCAGCGGGCACTCTATGAAGTCCGGGAGCGGCCGTCGCGGGTCTATTCATGGAAGGTGTTCATTCTCTCACAGGTCCTCGTCGAGGTCCCCTTCCAGATCCTTCTTGGGGTTTGCTCCTGGGCATGTTTCTACTGGGCGGTGATAGGCACGGATCAGGATGCTGAGCGGCGCGCCCTAGTCCTTCTCTTTATCATTCAATTCTTCCTGTATGCGTCCAGCATGGCTCAGCTAGTCATATCCGCGCTGCCCGGAGCACCGCTGGCAGCCATGTGTGCGACCCTCATGTTCGCCTTTTCTTTCATTTTTAACGGTGTCCTACAACCGCCCGCGGACTTGCCCGGATTCTGGATTTTCATGTACCGCGTTTCCCCCTTTACCTACTACGTGGGTGGTGTCGGCAGCACCATCCTTCATGGTCGCCCAGTGGAGTGCAGCACTAAAGAACTCAGCATCTTTGACCCCCCATCCGGCTACACCTGCGGACAGTATATGCAGAAGTATATCGAAGCCGCCGGGGGGAAGCTATCCAACGCCAACGCCACCTCTGCCTGCGAGTACTGCGCCATGGCAGTCGCTGACGAGTACCTGTCTCTGCGTTGGATCTACTGGAAAGATCGGTGGAGGGACTATGGCATCTTCTGGTGCTTCTGCGTGTTCAACGTGGCCTGCGCTGTCATGTTGTACTATGTCTTCAGAGTGAAGAAGTGGGGAAAGCGGAGCTAGACTTTCTTTGACTATTGACCAGACTGTGCTACTTCCTTGAGGGGATTCATACTCTACTTTACAGCTGGTTTCGGATATACTTGGCTTTATTTGTTAATACTAATTCGACTGTTTATATGGTTCGCTAGTTAATGTGGATTTGGATATACGTTAACTGGACTTCACTCAGTCCATAAATTGACCCTGCGCATTTCCAAAGATCCCTTCTCAGTCTACACAGATTTGCCTACCCACTTACTCGCTGAATAATATCCCATGCATTCAATCGATATACACTACGTACCCACCCCCTTACTTGTTATTTTTCCAAATATAGATTACCTTTGCTCGGATGTACCACCTGCATCCTCCCAGCCAGGGCACATGCCCCTCGTATCTAGTGGTAGCTATTTCCTTGATTGATAACAGCATTCCCACCTTACTTTACCTCCAGCAAGCCACCCCAATACACACAACTCAACCCCATCAATCATCTCAACCACACCCAGCCTTAACCCAAATATATTCCCATCATACCTAGTACCACGATGATACACACAAACAAAAACAAAAACACACACATTCAATCAATCCCATCTACCCATAAAACAATACCACCCAATAGCTAACCATAGTGTAACCAGACTGTGATATGTATATAAATCAGATATAGATAGACATAGATAAATTATTAAATGATGGACGTCGGGAAAATAACTTTGAGCTACTTATATTATAAGTTTGAGGGGTTATTCAACAATAATCCGATGTGGTGTAACGGCTAACATCGCCGTCTTTCACACGGCAGCTCGGGGTTCGATTCCCCGCATCGGAGAGCTGAATTTCTTTTTTTTTTGTTTTGGTTTTTTTTTGTTTTGGGCGATGAGGTTGGGTTAGTGTTATTATATATTGGTCGAACCTTTCGTTTTTAAATGACGGAATAATAGAAAAGTGATGGGTATGTTGAATAAGCGCAAGTCTGTACAATAATTTTCTTCGATTATTCCTAACTGTCCAGTAACTCAAATTAATAACTACAGTACATAAATGCAAAGTCGTGATATTCACATAATCGGAGATATAAAAAGGATATAGGAAATAATAAGAAATGTCATCAATGAGACGCTGCGCGGCATTGAGCGAGAGCGGGATCGGGAGGATTGAGCAGCCATCTCAGACAAAACTCCGAGGAAAGGGAACAAGGAAAGACAGTCGAAGATTCGTAAGAAAACCGAGCAACGCAGTAGGAGGTATCATATGGTAAATCCCGCGAAACACGCCCAATCTCAGTTATCCAAGTAGTTCCATCTACCGGCGAACTGTTGCACAACTCGCTAACGTATGAAAATGATATATCGCTCCGTAAATCAATGTGCAGTGGGTAGAAATTCTGAATCGTCCCCTTATTTTCCGTTTTCCGATTTTGAGGGGGGGGGTTTTGCTCGTAACTTTGGTCGCAAGTCGTTCAGTCGATCATCATGCGAGAAGGCACCTGGCCTGACATGTTTGAAGACAGTTCCGTCGTCTTCTCGTCCTTGTCGCGGGACTTCTTCTTATAGACATGTTGTTTCAGGCCTTTGTGGAAATTGTGCATGCAAATGCAGGCGTTGATGATGGTCAACACGATCAATAGAAGCGTGATGACGGCGAAGAACGTCAAAGACCGCCGGGCTGGCAGGTACTCTTGGTACGTCTCAGGCTGGTACATGCGGACCAGTTTGAACAGAAAATAGGCCATGGCTGCGAAATACAGAAGCTGCGACAGTTAGCATACATATGAGACTCTGGAGGTGTCGTCTAACGTACGATGACGATGATCATTCCAACCGAGCTCTCCCGCTTGACGAAGACAGCGGCGCAGATGAGAATCAGAATAGTAACGGGGATGGCAGCCGTGGTAAGACCGAATTCGACATCGGTCTTGTTGGTGACGATAACGAGGAACTGGACCGTGAAACCGAGGAAGAAGAAAAAGTCAAACTTGAGGAGGGCGATATAGATCTAGAGGGTTGTTAGTTTGATTCACCACTCCGACCGACTGGCTGTTATGTACCTGATATGTGAGGTACCGACGCTTCATTCGCAAATCAGCGCTGATATGTTTGTAGATCGACCATGCAAATTCGTCGTACAGCTTCCAAGCGATGATCATCATGAGCACCGAACCCATCGCGACAACGCATGGGATGATAATCAAGAAAGGTTCTGTTTCTCCCCAGACATCCACAGTGATCGCGCTCTCAGCCACCAGCATTTCAATGGAGTCCTTGATCTGCTGGACCTGCACCGCTCCGTAGATCAGAAGTCCAAGGTTGCACACGCACAGCCCAATGACTTGAATGGTATTTTTGAGGCGTAGAGCATCGTAAACGAGGACCAACTCATAGATGAAACCGAAACAGTAAAGCGCGAGGAAAGTGGTAACCGTCTTCGATGCAGTCGAGACTTCGCCTTTGGGAAACAATTGGATCTGAAAATTCGCGAAAACATAACTAAAATGCGATCGTCAGCATGAGCCACCCCGTTTATCCGATGCAGCGCCACCGCGAGTCACACTTACGCCTCGAGTGCAAGTGTGATGATGGTCTGTATGAGTGTGACTATACAAAAGGACCAGGTCCACAACGAATTTGGCCGATACATCCTGTGTCGCTTTGGCGGATTCGGCTGTACATTCGTATACCCTTCCCGGGCCCGGAAACCGCGTCTAAAGGATGGATCAAAGGTGCCCCCGAGAAGGGACGCCCGCGAATTGTGCGAATAAATTTTGACAAAGTGCTCCGTTACGGAGCTGGAGTCCGTCGGAGGTTCGGGGTCGGGATACAATATGACGGTTCGACCTCCCGACGGCCGCGAATATACTGGTAGGAAGAGGACCGAAAGATAAGGGGTCGCAAAAGCGGAGAGAAGACTAGCCCGGCCTTGGTGGCTGGGGGCGTGGCCTTGTTTCTGAGGTTGTTGGAGGGTTCAGGAGGTCGGGTCTCGAATATGACGGGTTATGAGAGGACGACAACTCGACGACCGAGGGATAAGCCACACCAAGCCACACTCGAGATGAGCTAACAGGACGGGCGGATAGGATCTTAACCCGGAGAGTGGCTCCAGGATAAGGAGAAGGACGAGGATGCCAGGTTCTGGAGGACGCTGGAGGCAGCTAAGCCGCGTGAGAAATGTCGTGTGTTAGGCGGGGAGGCTCAGTCCGGTGATCGATGGCTCGGGATTGGAGTAGGTTTGTTGGCGTAAGGCTGAGCACCTGCAGGCTCAACAATTGTCCAGGTTCATCCGAAGAGCGAAAGGGAGGAGGGGAAAGGGGGGGGGAAGAGATGGCGTAGGGGGAGTGAAAAAAAGAAACCAAAAAAGGAAAAAAAAAGAGTGTCGGGAATTATGAAGGCGAAAGGTGTAAAACGAAGGCTGGGAGGGGAAACGGGATGGGATGGAATATGAGACGAGAGGGAAAATCGAGGCTGCTGTCAACCTTGCCCGAGGCGTGAATAATAAGACTGATTACTCACTTACTCACTCGCTCACTCGCTCACTGACTGACTGGAGAGGAGGGAGGGAGGCGTATGTGGCATCCAGGGTTCAGCTGGGAGTCCAGACGCAGCAATGGAAGGGAAAAAGCGGGAAGAGCAGCGATGATCCCAAAAATCCGAGAGGGTATACGATCGTATATGCCAGAACCACCGCAGAACCACCTTACATGACAACGTTGGCACCCACCCTGGCACTGGCAGATTAACGGCCAGTCAGTAGTGTTGGGACTTGGGGCTCGCCCGGGTCCAATCTCTTCTAATTTTATGATGGTTAGTTATCATGTCCTCCGGCTTATACACGGGATTCTCCCAAGAAGCCAAGAGGCGTTAATATAGTCCCGGTAATTACGGAGTGCCTGGACCACAGACTGCTTGACACTAGATGCTGCCTCTCGGTCTGGATTCCGGTGTATCACAGAGGTTCACCAGGTTTTCCTGTCTGTCCTGGCATTTCCCATCGACCATTTCTTTTCACTGGGCGGGGGGGGGGGGGGAAGCTGACTGTGCCGGACCGCGTGTTTGTTGTGGTGATGATCGTGGAGGTTCTTCGGGCGACCAGACGGAAGCCGTGCCTGGGCTAACTCGAGAGAGGAAGAAACTAGACCAGATTGTCTCCTGAATCGTCGCGTCGCAGTGGGTCGGACCCATGCCCGGCTGCCTTTTGAAACTGCATTTCGATTATTGTCGATGCTAATAAATGCCGCGTGTTACCAGAAGGGTAGGCTATCTTGATTATTTTAGTAGCAGTCTGGTCTTTGGGGGCCTATTTGATCATTGATGTCTGCATTGGTCGTGACATAGCTCGACTAGTTATATAACAATGTCCAACATTCACGGATCCAAGTGTAAAAGAAAGACAATCCAATACACAGAATTTCCTGGTGTAAGAACAGAGAGCCATGGTTCTGCATAACCCGATGCTGCCATGGATGTGGGGGAAAGTCAGGGTGCTCCAATCAATGGTGGATAGGGTGTAAATGAACAGCTGAAGATGCAATAAAGAGTTGATAGCAAAGCAGGTATAAAAAAAAGAACGAATACGGCCTACACAAGAGACTAACTAACACACAAGCTTGGACTCCATGCTCGAGCTGGGCTTCTAATTGATATGTGTAGCAAAAGCGTACCGGCCCGATGACTAATGATGCGGATGTCTTAGGCAGACCTCTATTTTACGGACAAACGACGGAAATTGCCTACTCCAGACTAGCGTCGGATGGATGATTCTTGCCCGGGGGTTGACGGGGGCCAGAATTATTGGGGCCAGAAAGCTGCACCACACCAGTTCCATGGCTCGATCGACTTCCTGAATCCTGACACAAGGTATCTACATATGTGTTGTGTCTGTGGCCAGCTTTCCATGATCAACGATTCTCAATTCAATTAAAAGAGAGATCCAGTCCTTCCTCACACCCGCAGCGGACTATGAGCTATCGAAAGGAGAGCCATCATCCATGTCAGATACCACCTGCCCCAGGCAGGCACAATCTACTGTGGGCTATCCAAATGCTTGTGTCTGTTTAGGTAGTTTACGTACTACTCACCTAACCCTATCGTCGGGGTCGATGCCGAACCGACGAAATAGTTAGACTCAATGGTGTACAAAGTCGATCCAGAGTAAGGGATATGGATGAGAAATCCGGAATCCGGCATCCCCATGGTCTGTACGGAGTATGCAAGCAGCCAAGCACCAATGCAATGCCAGGTGCTGGAGCCACGGGTTCTGGGGCCCTTTCGAATGTTCTGAGATGGCGTGGTGTGGCTATTTTAGTGCGCCTTTTCTTTTTCCCTTGCGGCTTGCACCATGTGCCTGACTGCTGTAACAGGGCCATTCTTCTTGCTTAGTTCGCTTTTGAAACAGCGGCCATTTACAACAAACACCCAGTCCCTTCGTTCATGCAGCGGTCAGCATCGGATGTGACATTGCTATGGTGATGCAGATCTCAGCCTTGCCTGAGCCCCGAAGACCACCGAATTCTGAAGTGTTCATCCCGTCGTTTCCTTCAACCAAGTGAGCGGACCAGCCATTTTGATTGGCTCTGGTTTCCGGAGAACCTTCAACGGCTGTCCTATCTTTTTGACTGACTGCCTGCCAAGTGCCAATGATTCTGAGATGGCAACCGTGGACCGGACTCAGCGGGTTTCAGTTTAGGGCGAATCTTCCACGTGAGTGGTGGATAGACGAGCGAGCCGTTCGGCACGAATGGATATTACAGCCGCGCGAGACTCAGCTACTCCACAGTGGTTTTAAGGGACAGACATACTCCGTAGGGCTCGTGGTTTTGCCCCTTATGGCAGTCGACTATCCGTTCCCAAAGCATCACTCTGTCGGAACTGACCTGCCTTAAGGGGAGTGGAGTCCAGATCGGATCCAAGGTTAACATGGGACACACAAAAAAGAGTTCTCTACGAGCTCCACGAAAACTCGACCGGTTCAATCGAACTTGTAGGCCTGAAAACGTCACCACTCAAGTAACTCCCCGGGATCTAGACTCTTTTACAGTTTGCACTTTACAATGTTGCACAGATTATTCTGCAGTGGGGAGCTATCATGATTAACGGGGACTCGGAAAGGCTTTTCCGTAGTAAATGAAAAGTGGCTTGTGGCTAAGTGACACATCTAGATGTCCACTTCTCAAACTGTGGGAACAAAAATCCCACTACACAGAGCTAGCTGAATAGGTTTAAATGAAGGTCAAGATCAAGGAGATGATGGGAAAGGAAGAAGAAAAAAATCAAAAAGAGAACTCCGATGCGGGGAATCGAACCCCGAGCTGCCGTGTGAAAGACGGCGATGTTAGCCGTTACACCACATCGGACTTGTTTTGAAAGATGTAGCTAAGTTACGTTATATAAGCTACTTTAAATTGGCAGCTTCCCTTGGCGTTACCGTACATGACGATACCTTGCGCCAGCTGGAAATCGTGAGCGTGGCCTCTTTGTAGCATCTCGCGACCCTCAACTCCCGGACCTCCTGCCAGCGTCTCCCACTCTTCCACTTCTCAGCCGACTTCTTTCCCTGTCCATCGGCCACTTGATTTTCTTGCTTCTTGTTCTCACTACGCTTTAATATTACCAACGTTCTTTGATTCTTTCCTTTTTGAATCTCAAAATGGTGAGCGTCCCTTCTTGTCCTGCCGATCGTCTCGCTGTCACCTCGATGGCCACCTTCATCTCCCCTCAGTAGAATGGATCATCGCTGCGATCAATTCACTACATTATCACTCAATTAAGCTACTGGAACACCCGAGCTAATCTCCATACCCTCTCAGGCTTCTCCCCGTGCTGCTTCCCCCCTGACCTCCGGTGCTGAGTCCGGCCCCGACTCCAAGTCTGCTGGCGCTGGTTCCGGCGCCTCTGCCGTCTCCTCCGTCAACCGTCCTTCCTCTCCCACTCCTCCTGGTGGTCCCCGGGCTGCTTTGCGTCGCCGCGCGGCCGCTGATCACAAGGAGTCCATCCGCAATGCCAGACCTAGCTCGACCCGCGCCGCCGGTGCTGGTGGTTCCTCCGGCACGATGCTCAAGCTCTACACTGACGAGAGCCCCGGCTTGAGAGTCGACCCCGTTGTTGTCCTGGTTCTCAGTCTGGGCTTCATCTTCTCCGTCGTCGGTCTCCACGGTATGTGCACTGGTCCCGCCAAATATATATCAGCCAAATCTAACAAACATCCCTCTACAGTCATCGCCAAGATCACCCGCAAGTTCTCCTCGTAAGCCGCTGAAACGCGACTTTCATACTCGCCAAATCGCCCGTCTCCTGATCCCTTGATACGTGAGATATCTGTACTCGTGTTGAATGAGTGGGGTCGCGCGCGAGATTAGGGACTCGGGGTTAGGCGAGGCCAGCGAATTCAATTATAACATCTTTTGCCTCTTTGATAACATATACCCCTGGTGTCCCTTGCCTCATTCTTCTGTGTGCCGGTGGTGGAGGGGATAGCAAAGCACTTGTCGAGCTTGTGCTGAAATATCTGGTCCAGATCTATCTGCAGAATAGGTTGGAACGATCATCGCTTGATTATGCCGTGCACATGGGCCATCAACGTTAATGGAGAGCTTAGTCCGTGAGAAATGCGTTTGTGTAATATAGTGCTTGTCAATGGAACATGAGTCTTGATGGAAATTTAATATCAATAGCCAACCAATCCTTATAGCGAAGTCGAACGGCATCCTACAAGCACCGCCTATAGCTTACACTACTCTTCCGCAATCAATCTACGAATCTCCCCAGCCATCCGAACCAATTCCCCGCGATCTTCAACCGACGGCCCAGGCAAGGAACTCACATACCCAGGATACGTCTCATGAAACACCTCCCTCTCACCACTATCCCCATCCCCATCCCCGCGAACCGGAATAAGCTTAACATGCGCATAATCAATCTCAAACCCCTCAAATACCATCCCACACGTTTCCAATCCAAAGGCCTGCACCAACACCCTTCCCACACAATACGCCGCCCTCATCAACCGCTCAAACGCACCCTCCTCCAACGCAAAGATATCACTCGACAAATGGGCCCGCGGCACCAGCACCGTAAACCCGGGGGTGTTGGGGAATGGCGTGAGAAAGGCAACGTGGTGTTCGTCCTCCCAGATACGCCATTGGGGTAATTCGCCCCGGATTATTCTGGCGAAGAGGTTCGTGTCGCCTGCGGGGCCGTGGAAGGTGTAGTCGTATGTTGCAGGGTCGGTGGAAGGGAGGTTTGAGGCTGTGAGGATGGTGTTGCGTATTGAGGTGAGCTGGGCGTCGGGCATTCGGGGGCGTCTTTGGATGTTATGTGGGTTTGGGGGTCGTTGTGGAAGGTCGTGGAGGGGTTTATTATGGGTTTCCAGGTTGGGGTTAGGCCGTGGAGAGGGAGGAAGGAAAGGGTGGTTCCTCCTGTGGTGATGAGGGCGGTGCGGTGGACGCGATGATATTTGTTGAGGGTCGTGGATATGGTTCGGAGTTTGAGGAGGGTTTGAATGTAGGTGGGTTTAGGGAGGGAAAAGAGGGGCGTTTTGGTTGTGTTGGTGAGGTGTGCGAGGGTGTGGCCTGGGGTTGTGGGCTGGGTGGAGAGAGTGATGGTGAGGTGGTCGTCATGGTAGATTGAGGTGGTGGGTTGGTCGGCCATTGTAAGTGGTGAGGGTCTGGGTTTGTGAGGAGTAACTGAGTGGTGTTGTTCTGGTTGTGGTGGGTTGTAGATAGGTAGATATGGGTGTATAAATCTGGTGCTGGGTTAGTGCTGATGGTGAATATTTAGTTCAATGGCGTGAGTCATGTGTCAGCAGTAGTAGGATTCTCTGTAGATGATATTTGAGTTGTTATCAAAGCAAGCCCACGCTTTCATGGTTCTGGAACACTTAGTGTATATAAAATGAATGCACCGCCCCCTTCACTGTAGGTAGGTCAATGAAGATGCCCTAGGCTACTGGTGTCCTTGGTGGGGCATGTGTTCCTCTGAGATATATAGACGCTGCAGTCGCAAGGCCCATTGCATCTTAGATGATCAATCATATCCAAGATCAAAGGTATTAGAAAGCTTATCAACAAGAAGGCACTCATGTACCACTGCATATATAGCCTGAGTGTGGTTGATGGTATTGAACTGATCAACCGACATTAGTCAACCACTAGTCACTAATTACCCATAAGGCCAGTTGACAGAGCGCATGCCGGTGGCATTCCTGCGCAAGCAAGGACCTCCAAGTCCACATTGACATGCGAGATCTGGCATATGTGAGATGCAAAACAAGATCTTGGTTCTTTGCCCTGACATCGACCAATCATGGGAATCGAACCGGGATCGAACCTTCCCCGGCTTCCAAGGGCGTGGCTCACGGTGGAGAAGATACCCAAGGCATTAGTGGCAGGATCGAGTAAGGAAACTGATATCGCGCTATCATGAGAAATCCCCCCCATGCGAGACGGGGCTCTTGGCGCAGAGAAAGGAAGTCGCAACGGACCAATCCATCGCCCGGCCGACATCCTTATCTGATATAGTCGGGTTCTTATCATCGTCCGCCGCCACTCGGGCCAATGGGCGTCGTTGCGCTGACCTCCGCTGATAAGAACCATTTCCGGCTCGCCAATAACACGCCAGGGTCTGATAGCCCACCTTTCTTTCCACTTGCAACGAAGTGGATATGGGATGGGTTACGGCACTACGCGACGATGGAGCTGACTGCCCTACTGTGGTAGATACATGGCTCGCCTGGAGTTAGTCCACTGCATTTGATGTCACACTGGATTTGATGAAAGCGCATTACGAAACGGCCGCCATGGGGTTGCTCTTATCAACCGTTTTTCTCCCCAGGCCCTGCTCCTCGGGTCCAATGATATTGGCTTAGTAGTCATCCTTTCAATATGGCTATTCCGCCGATCACCAGGGTGCCTGCGAGGTCGGAGATTTTGCAGAGGCCTGGCGCCCTATATGTTCTTGCCTCTGCCCCATGCTCCGTCCATTGTCTCCCCCAGTCCTCATACAGCCACGACTAAGCGTTGTTTGTACGTTGCAAACATGTCCTCGGACACAGTCACATTCACAGCACCCCTCTCACAAGGGTTCGGATATGGCATCATCATTGGTCTGGGGTTTGCTTTTGCCCTATTGATGATCTTCATCACCTGGGCCCTGAAACGGTATGTATATGCTTCTTGAGCATGGCTTTTGACCCACTGCCCCCACCAGCATCCAATGCCGTGACTTAAAGAAGCTAACGGCAATTGAATAGATACCAGCATGAAGTACAGACCTCGGAGATGTTCTCAACCGCAGGAAGATCCGTCAAGTCGGGTCTGGTTGCCGCCGCAGTCGTCAGTAGTTGGACATGGGCTGCAACTCTTCTTCAATCGACCACAGTGGCTTATGAATACGGCGTCTCGGGTCCTTTTTTCTACGCGTCAGGTATTTCAAACCAGAAACAACGAGTTTGGGATTATTCTGACCCAATGAGATAGGTGCTACGGTTCAGATTATCTTGTTCGCCACACTGGCCATTGAGCTCAAGCGGAGGGCTCCAAATGCGCACACCTTCCTCGAAGCCCTCCGTGCCCGATACGGAACTGTCGTGCATGTTGTTTTCATCGTCTTCTGCTTGATGACCAACACCCTTGTTACTGCCATGTTGCTTACTGGTGGTTCTGCCGTTCTGACGTCTCTTACGGGGGTCAACACAGTTGCAGCCTGTTACCTCCTGCCAATCGGTGTCGTGCTTTATACCCTGTTTGGTGGTATTAAGGCAACATTCCTTACGGACTACATGCACACAGTCGTGATCATTGTCGTCATCTTCATCTTCTCGTTCTCTGCCTATGCAACCAGTGACAAGCTTGGATCACCCGGGGCCGTTTATGATGCATTGGTAGCAGCATCGAAACTGCATCCTATTGATGGTAATGCTGAGGGAAGCTATCTTACTATGAGGTCGAAGGAGGGTGGAATCTTCTGGGTGATCAACCTGGTTGGTAACTTTGGGTTCGTAACCCCTACCTCCCCCACCATCTCCTTGCTAACCATTTATTCCAACAGTACCGTGTTCCTCGACAACGGATACTACAACAAGGCCATTGCCGCAAGCCCTGTGCATGCTTTCCCCGGATACGTTATCGGTGGCCTTTGCTGGTTTGCGATACCTTGGCTGTGTGCTAGCACTATGGGCTTGACTGCTCTTTCTCTGGAGGGTGCTCAGCGCCTGAGCTCGGACGATGTCACGGCTGGCCTTGTATTGCCGTTCGCTGCAGTGAAGCTTCTCGGTTACAGTGGTGCTGTATGCACGACAATCATGATCTTCATGGCAGTCACCTCTGCCTTCTCCGCTCAGCTGATTGCTGTTTCATCCATCTTCACTTATGATATCTACCAGGCCTACATCAACCCATCTGCCAAGGGAAAGACTCTTGTGTGGGTCTCGCACATGTCCTGTGTATTCTGGGCAGTTGTGATGGCTAGCTTTGCGACAGGACTTTACTATGCTGGAATTGGCATGGGATACCTTTACCTGCTGATGGGCGTCATCATTTCCTCCGCAGTCTTCCCAGGCGCAATGTCTCTCATTTGGAAGCACCAGAACTGGATTGCAGCTGCAGCCTCTCCACCCCTTGGCCTTGCTGTGTCTCTTATTGCCTGGCTTGTGACAGCCAAGAAGGAATATGGTGTTTTGACCGTCACGACGACAGGCGCGAAGTGAGTTTAATCCCCAACATAATAACCCTTTCCTCTCAACTAACACCACAACAGCTACCCAATGCTCGCCGGCAACGTAGCTGCCCTTCTCAGTCCTGTCGTCTTCTCTCCTGTCTTGACCCTCATCTTCGGCTCCCAAAACTACGACTACGAAAGCATGCGTGCCATTCGCCGAGTCGATGATGCCGACGTTGCTGCCGCCGCCCACGTCGACATTGAACTCATTCCCGGCGAAATTAACACCCAGACGGCCGCCCAAGAGGAAGAGGAGATGCGCAAACTCAACCGAGCAGCCCTCTACTCGCGCACCCTGACCATTGCCATGGTCTTCTGCTTCCTCATCCTTTGGCCCATCCCGATGTACGGCACCTCGTACGTCTTCAGCAAGAAGTTCTTCACCGGCTGGGTTGTCGTCGGCCTCATCTGGCTCTTCGGCACTACCTTTGGCGTGGTCATCTTCCCCCTGTACGAGGGAAGAGCCAGCATTGTGAGGACGGTCAAGATGATGGCCATGGACCTGATGGGCAAGGGCAGAGGAAAGGCGATCATGGGGGAGATGACCAGCGAGAATGTCTCTGGGGTTCAGACTCCCGTTGCGGAAAAAGAGATGATGACTAAATGAGTGGCTTCTCCTTTCTGGATAGGGAGAGTTGTGATGAAATGTCCGTTTACGTTGGATTTGGATCTATGGTTGGCTTGCTTTGGATATACCCCATTCGTTACCGTGTATACACTACAGTGTTTGCTTCTAGCAAAAGAATACCCATAATAAGATTATGCACTGGATATGAGCAAATAAAGAAAAAAGCATCAATTTAACACATACACGAAGCCCATAGCACCGAAAAAAAAAGAAGCAAAAGGTACTTGGTTAATACATACAGCCCGCGGAACCAGCACGCATAAGCAGCACACAACACGACTCCACCAAAGAAGGGAAAAGAAGACCCGACCCCATCCATCAACTACTTATACACATGATTCTGCTGCTCCTGCTGCGGTTGTTGCTGCTGTGCCGGCGCCACAGCACCCGAAGCCTGTGGAGGCGGGTCCGAACCCTGAGGAGGATAGAACGGTGCTCCACCCCCGTAATAGGCTTGGGGTAATTGACCCGGTATAACCCCGGGAGGAGGCCTCGTGTCGGGCGTGATGTCGGGGCGATCGCTGTAAGTACATATTAGTCCTTCGTATCTTTATTTAAGCTGGCTAGGTGATGGTGACGAGCATACCGTAAATCCTGCGTAAAGCGACACGTATAGCAGGTTACTTCCTATCGCGGTTGTCAGATCAAACCCCAAACACAAAGAAGAAGCAAAAAGTAAAGAAGGGAGTGTCATCATACCTTGTACTTATGTGTCGCCAGGGGAATAACAGGCTACGCCCAGTCAGTTAATTCCATCAACTACCTAGGTAGGTAGTAGCCGAGCTGGACATACAATAAAGCAGACGGTGAACCATGGCCTAGATAAATCCATTAGCACACATTATATTCCCCTTGAAATGTCGTAGTTATAAAGAGGAGATAGATGTTAGCTTACCATCTCGTCAAGCAATGACCATTCCAATGTTGACCTAAAGGGGCAGGCAGAATTAATTGGCTGGGTCAGGAACAGAGCTAAATTTAGGCAGGTCAGATAAGGGTCCCGAACGCGGGAACGCACAGTTATAGCAGAAGGCGCGGACATTCTCGTAGCCTTCTAGCATGGAGGTGAATTCTGGTGTGGGGTTAGTTTAGTATGTAATGTCATCATGGGGATGTTTGCTGTGGGGGAGGAGGTTTGTTCATTGTAGTATGTCTGGATGGGGTTGATGCTTATGACGTTGGCTGGTAGGTGGTGTGGAGTGGAGTAGAGTAGATAGGCAGGTAGGCACATACCGTGTGTCCCGAAGGTGATGCAGATGGCCATGATTGCGGCGTTGGGATGCTCTAGGGTGGAAGGTGAAGTAGGGGGTTTGTTCTAAGGGGAAGGGAGGTTTTAGGATAGGGATTCTTTGTCGTTCATGGATCGGGCGTATTCTCGTGGTAGAAGGTCAATACTACCTAAAGTTTATGGTGGAAGGGGGAGGCAGCCAGATATTGTGGTTGGGGGCTGACGTGTGGCGCTGTGGCTTGGCGTGGTCTGGTAGGCCCTGGGCGTCCCGCTGCCGGGGGGTACTGTGTAGGACGGTGGCATTTATATATAGTGTGCATGCTGGGTGAATACTACGTGTCTACGGCTGTGGCCTGGCAGTGGTTGTGCTACTGGGCAAGAATGTATTCACTAGGCCTTTTTAAAAACGATTAACATAGAAAAGTAATCAGGTAGCAGATAGATCCGAAGAATCACCGCCGCATGGTGCCCTCTAGGCAACCCCACAGCATTCCGTTCTGGACCGTATGACTGAGTCTCCTTCAGCTTTTGTATGGGAGTTTTCACAGCACGACTCCCTGCACGAATTATCCGAAAGAGTTGTAGATGTCGCTTCCGCGAATTAGACTGGGTTGCGGCCGCATTTATTGAGTCTTGAAAAGGAGAATGGCGCAGTGCCCGAGATAGAAGTAGATGAAGTGTTTCGTCTCTGCATATTGTCAGCCACTACCCCTGATATCTTGTCGGTGACACTCACCATGCGTGACGAAGCTTCCGAAGTTCCTGCCAACCACGCAGTGCCATGTCGCACCCTTGCGCGAGTCGAACTGTAGAATGTGAGCGATGAGCCGGGGCTCAGATGGAGTGCGCTAAGCTGACCTCTCTCTTTATGTACTGGGCGATATCCTGCAACTTTTAGCCAGGCTCACCTGAAGACATCGCTGAACCAACCTTCTCGATGTGGTACTTGTCCATCGCCTCAATTGCTAGCCATTGTATTAGCCCCCTTTGACATTACCCGCGGAGGTGACCATACCAACTTCCACAGCCTCCTGCTGCATATCCTCGGTCTGTCGTCTTGTGAGCACAGCCCCTAGCTACCTCCAGCAATTCTTCTTACCATATCGACCGACTTGATCTGCGCTAGAGAGTCATGTTAGCCGTTGTCACGAGGATGCTGCGTTTGAGGACTTACGCTCAAGCTTGTCCTTCTTTTCGCTAGCCATTTTGCTGGTGGTATCTTTGACGTATAAGAGTGGTAGAAAGAGCAATAATTTCAGACAAGGACCAAGCCTCAAACAAACTAGTCTGCACAACAGTTTTCTAGGGAAACTCAATGGAAGTATTGGGAATCAACATTGCTGGCTGCGCGCAATGAGCGCCGCACGGATCGGGCACGGGCCAGGCCGCCCTCCACACCGCCCTCGGCACTATAAGGAAGCAAAAAAAACATTCCACCAAAAATTTTTCGAACTTTTTTTCTTCCAAACAATTCCGTGGCACCCCACTGTCACAATCATGGAGAGCACCAGAGTATTCGTCTCTGGCCTTCCGCCAACCCTTTCTGATGATCAATTGAGGAAGCATTTTGCTACTCGCTTCCAAGTTACGGACGCTCATGTATTGCCCAAGCGCAGGATTGGCTTCGTGGGCTTCAAGAGCCATGAAGCCGCCCAGCAAGCTGTTTCTTATTTCAATAAGACCTACATGAAGATGTCCAAGATCTCAGTAGACATTGCTAAGCCGGTATGTCTTTCATGTTCTCTCTCTCGACGCGCTTCGTTTCTTTCGTCTTCCCCGCTGACAGTCAAGGTGGTCTTGGAACTGACCAGTAATATTGTAGATCGATGCCGAACCCACTCGCAAAGCTGGCAAACATGATAGGACCTCTGCGAATGATGCTACAGAAGCTTCTCTCAAGCGTAAGCGGGATGGCCAAGATGCCCCGCAGGACGCTCGATTGCAAGAATATCTCTCTGTAATGCAACATTCGTCCAAGACCAAGACATGGGCGAACGATGATGACGTGCCCAAGCCTCTGGAGAAAGACTCACCCCCAGAGCAGCCCGCTGAAGAAGAGGAACAACCCCAGGAGCTAACCTATGCACAAAGGAAGAAGGCGAAGCTTGGCGATGACTATGACCAGTCGAGGGAGACTCACACTGCTGACCGTCAAGACCATGTGTCACCCGAACCAATGGTGGTAGACCACACTGAGAAAGGCAACACCGAGACTCCGGCGGAGCAGGACGATGCTGTCGCAGAGACCGAGGAGCAACCTGTTACGGATGCGGACTGGCTCCGCTCCAAGACGAGTCGTCTCCTCGGTCTTCTCGATGAAGAGGAACAGGCAGAATTTGGAACTACCCAGCAGAAGGAATCTGTCTCTGCTGACGTAGCAGAGGACGAAGATGCTGATTCTAGGGAGGCACAGATCGTCGCACCCGCCGCAACCGATGCTGGTAAAACAGTTAAGGAGCCGGAAGTCGACACGAATATAGAGAATATTCGTCTCTCTGCACGTCTTTTCGTGAGAAACCTTGCTTACGACACATCCGAGTCAGATCTTCAACCTCTGTTTGCTCCTTTTGGGAGAATCGAAGAGGTTAGTACATCCACCCACTCTCCAGAGTTGTTGTTATTGCCTTGTATATTCGCCTCACCCCCCCGCTCTATGATGATCATCCTGATAGGGACATCTGATGCAAAGCATATGATGTGAACAGGAAAGAGAATTTTAGTAGATGCCTCTTGTTATCTGATGAGCTACACCATACTTCTATTGCTTGTTTTGACTCATTAGTTTTCTGGATGATGCTAATGGAACTAGATTCACGTGGCCTTCGATACGCGGGTTAATACCAGCAAGGGATTTGCCTACATCCAGTACCTGGACGCTGATGCGGCCATAGATGCCTACAAGAGTCTCGATGGGAAACACTTTCAAGGTCGCTTGATGCACATTCTGCCAGCGGCTGCGAAAAAGACTTACAAGATCGACGATGCTGAAATGGCGAAACTGCCTCTGAAGAAGCAAAAGCAAATCAAGCGGAAGATGGATGCCACATCTTCCTCGTTCAGTTGGAACTCCCTTTACATGAATGTGAGTGAACTAGACAATGAAAGCGCCAATGTCATATGCTAACGGAGTGTAGGCGGATGCTGTTATGTCTTCAGTAGCTGAACGACTGGGTGTCTCAAAAGCAGATCTCTTGGATCCTACTTCATCGGACGCTGCTGTGAAGCAGGCCCACGCCGAAACCCACGTAATCCAAGAAACGAAAGCTTACCTCTCAGCTAATGGGGTTAATATTGAAGCCTTCAAACAGCGGGAGCGTGGAAACACTGCTATCCTAGTAAAGAACTTTTCGTACGGCGTCAAGACTGATGAGCTCAGAAAATTACTCGAACCATTCGGGCAGATCACGAGGTTACTCATGCCTCCCAGTGGGACGATAGCCATTGTCGAATTCTCAAGGCCAGACGAGGCCCAGAAGGCGTTCAAGGGTCTTGCCTACCGAAAACTTGGAGACTCTATCCTCTTCCTGGAGAAAGCCCCCAAGGATCTGTTTGATGCCGCAGCTGTGCCGCAGCCAGCAACCATAGAGACTAAGGCTGTCTCTCAAGGCTTCTCGACCGCTGACACTTTTGCGGCAGATGAAGTTGATCAGCTTACACCCACTACAACCCTTTTCGTAAAGAACCTCAACTTCGCTACCACAAATCAAAGTTTCGTGGACCTCTTCCGGCCACTGGATGGCTTTGTGACCGGCAAGGTTAAGACCAAGTTGGATCCTAAGCGGCCCGGACAAACACTTAGCATGGGCTTTGGTTTCGTCGAGTTCCGGACGAAGGCCCAGGCTCAAGCTGCTCTTGCTGCCATGAATGGCTACAAGCTTGACCAACATGAACTGGTAGTTAGGGTGTCTCATCGTGGAATGGATGCGGCTGAGGAGAGGAGGCGCGAAGATACCGCGAAGAAGGTGGCTGCCAGAAGGACAAAGATTATCATTAAGAACTTGCCGTTCCAAGCCACCAAGAAGGATGTTCGGTCACTATTTGGAGCCTACGGGCAGCTCCGCTCTGTGCGGGTTCCTCAGAAGTTTGACAGGTCGGCTCGTGGTTTTGGTTTTGCGGACTTTGTAAGCGCTCGCGAAGCGGAGAATGCCATGGACGCGCTGAAAAACACGCATCTTCTGGGCAGGAAACTGGTCCTGGAGTTTGCAAACGAGGAGGCGATCGATGCCGAAGAAGAGATCCGACAGATCGAGAAGAAGGTAGGGGAGCAGGTGGACAGGGTCAAGCTACAGAAACTTACGGGGCCTGGGCGCAAGAAGTTCACAGTAGGGGCCCAGGATGGCGACGAGGACTGATGTCCCTTCTCTCTTTCTCCCTGTTGATAGGGACAGACAATGGCAATGGTGTGGTTTTGATGTTAATATCCCTTGCGTCGCGGACTGAACATGGAGTGCGGACGCAGGCAACACGTTCCTGCGGCTGTCAACACGTACATACGCGCCGCGTCCTGCAGAGTTACCCGTCCGCTCGTGCAGTGAAACTCCTATCAAGTCTATCCTGTCATCCCATCGCGGGTTCCTTTATCCTCGCCGATTCAAGGCTTCCTTTCCCTTAACTCCTTATACAACCTAGTCGTTCGAACCCTGGATATCAGCGCGAAGCATAACTAGACCTTGGATCATCCCCAGCAACATTCCGGCATGATCTACGTAACGAGCTTGACATTCCACTCCTATGGCGATGGACGACGTTGTTGGCCACGGCTCATTCCAAAGCATGGTCTTTGCCACAGCCTTGACCGTCGGGTTGTCTGTACCTGCACCTTGGAGTAGCAGTCAATGCTCATCTCGTGCACAAAATCCTCCGAGGAGCAGCTCACTGGTTCGTGCTCCCTGAGGGCCCCTTGCATCAAACTTCCGCTCGTTCCCATGGAGCAATTCCTTCCCTCCTGATTTGCTCGGACACGGTTTTCCTTCGTTCATAGCTCGACCTAGACGCGTGAAGCTTGGGAGGAGATTCCCTTTCCCGCCTTGGACAGTCGACATTGCCCTAGAGGAGGGGTGTATCAACACGCAGCGTGATTCAGTTATGCCACTAGGCCTCCCTCTCCAGGGCGAGAGTGGTTTCCTATAAACACCATGCTGCTCGCTCCCACATTCTCTCTCTCAATTCTTACATTCTCTCCAAGCATCTACGTTCTTGATTGCCGGGTTGTGACTACTGAGTTCTTTGGTAGGCAGTAGTAGGCATTTTGCACTCCTCATCACCCTTCTCTTTGGCATTCTCCGTCATTCTTTCTCAGAGCCTATCCTCTCCGGTGGTCCGCTCGATGGCTCACTGGCAAACGGGGTGCATTGTGCCTCAACACCAGTCGACTCTTGAGAGCCTAGGAGCCCATACGGATCGGGCCCTACAGAATACCTCTGGGAACGTCCAATCATACTCCGACAACCTAGCAGACAGCGGCGCTGTTGGTCGTGACGACCAGCTGCAGCAGCTTGCGTTCAAGTACCCTCAACCCCCAGCTCCAACACATCCAGTGCCCACCGTTCCCACCACCCTTCAGCCCCCTCAGAACCTCCGGCTTCAGAGCAAGAAGCTTCGCCGCTTGCATTCGTTTGGGCCCAGCCTAATCGGTCCTCGTAGCAGGCCCAGAAGCTATCTCCGGTCTAACAAGTATCTGGAGTACAGGTCCCGCCCTCGTCGGGACACTGGCAAAGATGGGGAACCGGTATGGTCGGACGAGCTTGAAGACGCGTTTCAACAAGGTAAGAAGCTTCCGGTTTTGAGAGTGAAGGCACAATTACTGACGTCCACACAGCTCTCGAGGCGAATCCGCCAATGGGCAGACGGAAATGGTCCGAACGAGGAAAGTCATATGGTCGAAATGAGCTCATTGCTGAATTCATCTTCAAGAAGACTGGTAAGCGAAGAACCAGAAAGCAAGTTTCCAGCCACCTGCAAGTCCTCGACTCGTTCCTCAAAGGGGACCCCGACTGTAAGTTGCCACCCACCCAGATGCTATTTGAAGTGCCCCAACTAAGTGCCTTTAGGGGAACGACTTGTACGTGAAGAGGCGGCCGTCCGCTCGAGCAACCAACATCCGCCCGCTGGTCCAAGATGGGGGCCTCCCATGGATCCTCCCTTGTCAAGTCATTATGGCAATCACCTCCACCCCGCCTATCATGACCCTATGAGACAGGCTTATGCAGGCGAGCTGCCGCCGGCTCATTTTTCCTTGAACCCAAGCTGGCACGACACCAACATCAATACCATCCAAGGCCTTGGCTTTGGTATGTGGGTATGCGATCCAGACAAGCACGATCGTATTGAGGATGCGAGCCATATCTACAGCCGCCTCCAAGATGACCAGCGCCACCCTGTCGCGCCAATTTCCCTGAACGAAATCAGAAACTGGCAATCATCCTTCCCATACCTTAATTCACTGATGGCCAATCCAAACTCTCCACTGGATTGCGACATTATCCTAATTGAAGCTAATCTGAAACTAATGGACGACTTCCCCGTCACCAACTCGAAGCTTGGAATTCACATGGAACTAGATTTCGCCCAAGCGAATGCAGCTGGTGTTCCCATGCTCAATGACTTGGAAAACTGGTCTTGCAAGACCTACATGTACGAGAACGGCCAGGAAGTCTACCAGGGTCGTCAGGATGTCGCGAGGCCGGTGCACACCACAACACACACCAAAGTGAAGCCTCTGTTTGAGTCCAAATGGTGGGCCATTCGCTTCACAAAGCTCACACAAGATCAAAAACTGGCTGAGAGTGCTGGACACCATGCCCCTGAGCAAGCCAGAGAGTTCCTCCGCAACCTGACTGTTGTCCAGGAGATTCGGGCCACGGCACCCTACGGCTCGCGGCGGATGTCCAACCCTTACTCAGGACACCCCGTGGAAGAAAAGAAGAGGGTGGCGATCCTTCTCTGGAAATTTCGACAGACGCTGCCCCGCGACGTCGTTGGCACCACTACTTGGCGCCGCGTGATCCCATCTGAGCGGATCCCTCACAGCAGCCCGAAGACAGCCACTGGAATTGATCTTCCTCCCCCATTGTCATTGGCCGACTCCATGTTGTTGAATCGTCCCGGTCCTAGCGTTTACCATCAGCCACAATCTCACGAGCTGCTACACAACAATGGTGTCTCTCAGGCCTCCTGGCCTTTGTATTCGGCGGCCCAGGAGAGCGTTGCGCAGATGTTCAACGCTCCTTATGATTTTCTGGGCCCGATGAAGCAGGAGGATCGTCTGGGTGATAAGATCGCCGTGACTTTGGGCCTGGATGCTTTCCCAAACCTTCAACCACATGACATCAGCCAGCCGACCAGTCTCGGTGGTTCTAGTGGTGGAACGGCAATGCTCAGCATGCCCGAGGTTCCCCTGGCACATTCCAACCACAGTCCATACAGCCTTGAGCATGATGGCCACTATCAGCCCTCGCTTGGGGTGAGTGTGCATGACAACAGCGCCCTTTTGAACGGCATGCTGGTGACAAGCGCACAGTCGATCGACGATATGAGCCACAGTCAGGCATCTTGGATGCCAACCACCACCGCCATGTCAGGAGACATACCCGGCAGTCATTACCCACACATGGCCTACGCATCTTCCGATCACCACGTTGCGGTGCCTCGGGAGCCGAACCCAAGCCACAGCTACGAGTTCATGCCGGAGGAGCTCGACAAGTGGCCGGGCAGTATACCGGCGGAGATGAATGGGGGAGCGCATGAGCATGCGCACTCGGCTTATACGGCGAGTAATACGGTGCAGGCAGTTTAATGGACCGAGCGTTGGCGGACTACTTAATGATAATTATGGCTGAAAAGTACTTTTAATAAGACCCCTAGCCGGGTTGGACTTCAATTCTTATGCAGTGTATAATAATGTCAGGATACCTTTATTTATTTTTATTCACCTTGGCTTGTTGATTACCTCCACATGGAATAACAGTAAACCTACGCAGTATAAAGTGGGTGGTGGATTTAGCCGGGAGGGGCATTTAGCCGGCGGGCAGGGCGGCTTCACTCGGTCTTCACTCGGTCTCGCCTTCCATCCCATCGGACATACAGCCGCGACGCATCATTTAGCCTCCAATGCTTCACTCCGTCCTGTGCTTGGCTTCATCCAGTGGATACGGACAATGGATTTGAGTTTGTGATACCATGACCGAGGGGTAGTCGTGCCCCTCTTAACCTCCTCTCCCCCTTCTCCCCTTCATCCCCTGATCCTGCCTCTACCATACCCTGTACTCAAATCTCACTCCCAATCACAATGGCCTCCCCTACCGTCAAGCTAAGCAGCGGCTACGACATGCCCCTTGTGGGCTTCGGTCTCTGGAAGGTGAACAATGACACCTGCGCGGACCAGGTCTACCACGCCATCAAGGAGGGATACCGTTTGTTCGACGGCGCCTGCGGTACGCCCCCCTTCCACACGTACCTTAATATCAATGAAACTAACAAAGGACTTCAGACTACGGCAATGAAGTCGAAGCCGGCCAGGGTGTCGCGCGCGCCATCAAAGACGGTCTCGTGAAGCGCGAAGAGCTCTTCATTGTCTCCAAGCTCTGGAACAGCTTCCACGACGGCGACCGCGTCGAGCCCATCTGCCGCAAGCAACTCAACGACTGGGGCATCGACTACTTTGATCTCTACATCGTGCATTTCCCCATTTCCATCAAGTACGTCGACCCGGCCGTCCGCTACCCGCCCGGCTGGATGTCCGAATCCGGCAAACTGGAATTCGGCAAGGCCACTATCCAGGAGACCTGGACGGCGATGGAGTCGCTCGTGGATAAGAAGTTCGCGCGCAGCATCGGTATTAGTAACTTTAGCGCTCAGCTGGTCATGGATCTCCTGAGATATGCGAGAATCCGTCCTGCTACGCTGCAGATCGAGCATCACCCGTACTTGACCCAGGAGAGGCTCGTGGATTATGCTCAGAAGGAGGGCTTGACTATCACGGCGTATAGTTCCTTTGGGCCGCTGAGTTTCTTGGAGCTGGATGTGAAGAATGCGGTGGATACGCCACCGTTGTTTGAGCATGATATTATCAAGGGTCTTGCCACGAAGTATGGACGTACCCCGGCGCAGGTGTTGTTGCGTTGGGCTACGCAGAGGGGCATTGCAGTTATTCCCAAGAGTAACAACCCCGAGCGGTTGAGACAGAACCTGGATGTTACGGGGTGGGATTTGGAGAAGCAGGAAGTGGAGGCCATTGGCGCTCTGGATCGGGGTCTGCGGTTTAATGATCCTCTGGGTGTGAGTTTCCTTTCTCTTTTCTTTCTTCTCCCTTGCTGTGTATGTACTGACTTAATTATCTCCAGTACGGACTCTACGCTCCCATCTTCTAGACGATCTGACTCCTACAAATATCACGAATATAATGCTTCATTCCAACCCATGTTTTCCACCGTCCTAAACCAAATGATGTAAACAGTAGATAGCCGGCGATATGATAACGCCAAGACCGCGATAACCAACATTCTCCATCCCATCTACACTCTGTCCCTGACTGACTCCCTCTCTCATCCTCCCCATTAACAATCAACAATGCCCTCCCCCAACCCCAAACCGACTAACCCAACACCAACACCAACATCACTAATAAAAAGACAACCATGCCCCCCCTCCCAAGATGCATCCACATCAAAACCTCCCCCGCCCCACGCTCCCTCACAGAAAGCAAACTGATTCTCTCCGCGCTCCAAAAATTCGGCGAAGTGGTTACATTTCGCAATTTGAAGGTACTCCCCCTTATCCCCCCCTTCCCTAACCCCCAATTCCTAATAATCTGTATACTAACAACACCACAACGGATAAAAAAAAACAGTACGACCCAACCAACAAATCCCCCAAATCATCCGATAACGCCATCGCCATATTCGAGTCCGCGTCCGCAGCGTCCGCAGCACTAGAATCCTCACCTTTGAGCATTCCCATTCCCATTCCCATTCCCAGCCCCAGCCCTGTTTCTGTTCCGGGATCGGATGATAGACCACAATCACAAACGGGGATACGGAATCGAATACACACGCCAGCAGTGATAGAACCACGTACCTTGACCTGCACAATTCAGGCCTCGCGCCATAACCATGCCTCTGCGATGAATCGGAACCCCTACCATACGTTCTTCTATGTCGATAAGTCGAGCCATATGTATGAGGATTTGGTGGGGGCGGGGATTCCGATGGATTATTTGGCGGATGGGCCGATGAGGAGGAAAAATCATGTGCCGGAGAGGGTGAAGAGGAAGTTGGATAGGGATATTTGGAGGTTTGGGGGGAAGAGTTTGATGGGCATGTATCGGTTTGGGTTGGGGGAGGCTGAACGGGAAGGTGAAGGTGAAGGTGAAGGTGGACAGGGGGGTGGGGAGGGGGAGGGGGGAAAGTTATGAAATAATGGTTTTGTGATGTGTCTACGGAGTTTTTCTTGGATGGATGGATGGATGGATGTATATTATGGGTTGGGTTTGGGTGTATAGTACGTTACGTTGCTTCGTATATCGTAATTCTAGTAGGTAGGTAAGTGCTATCGATCGGGAAGATGAAGATTAAGCGCTATGCTGCTGCTGTCAATGGCCTCTTCTCGCTGACCTAGGCCACGCGGATATAGGCTACAATTGTTAGTGATGGGTCAAGAATGAAAGATGCAGGGCAGACTTACTCGCGTCGACCTGCATGATATGCGGTATCGCCAACCGCACCTTATTCCGATACAAAGCCGGCGCCTTCATCTGCAGCGGGTTGCCTTCGAAGTATACCGTCTGCAGCTTCTCCTTGTCGCGGAGTTGGCGCTCCACCTCATCGAAGCTCGAAAGCTGGTTGTTGGACGCCCACAGTTCCTCCAGGTTCTTCAGATGCGACAGATGCTCCAGCTTGGAGACCTGATTGTTGGAGAAGTCCAGCACGCGCAGCGACGTGTTCTCCTCGAGCCCACTCAGCTCAGTGATCGCATTATGAGAGACGTAGAGTTCTTCCAGGTTCTTCAGATTCGCCAGGCCGCTGATACTCGTGAGACGGTTCGACTGGATGGAGAGGATGCGCAGGTTGGAGAGGCCGTCGAGGTTCTATCACCATCATCAGTTAGCCATCCACCACAACCACCACAACCACCCAGCAAGTCACACAACCACATACCTTCAACTCCGTAATCTTATTCTTCCCCAACCACAGCTCCTCCAGCGCCTTCAGCTGACCAAGATTCTCAATCTCCTAAAAACACACCAGTCAGCCATCACCACACCACAAGTATCACACACAATCACAACCCACCCTAATTCTATTCGCCCCCAACTCCAAATTCCTCAACGCCGTAAACGTCTCCACACCCTCTATCCTCGAGATCTTATTCTGCACAAAGTACAGATCCGTCAACTTGACCAAATGCGCAATATTCTTGATATGCTTAATCTTATTGAAGCTGAGATCCAAGCTGGTCAAGTTCTCAAACTCATCCAGCCCCTTCACATGCGATATCAAGTTATCGTAGAGATCAAGTTCCGTCAACGACTTGGCGACACTCGTGGGGAAATCGATTCGCGAGATCTGATTCTGTCGAAGGCATAATTTCTAACCATCCCACACATTAGCATCCACACCACCCTCATCATGAGCGAAATCTCAAGCATACATACCTGCACCTTGGGGAATCTTTCCAACCGTAACGCCGGGATCGAACCTATGCGACAATGAACGAGGTCGATTTCCTGTCCCTATGTTAGCTACTCAAGCCCCCCTCACCCAACAACCACCTCAAACGCGTCAAAAGCGCAAATACCTCTGCATCCGGATCCTCATCCTCTAGTAAATCTGCAAATGCCCAAACCAATCAGCCTCATTCCCCACGTGTCCTATTGCTCCCCATCCCGCAGCCTCTCCCAGCGGAAGAAAACCAGATACCTACCCTCATCGGCCTCAATTTCCTCGACCGGTGGCGCATCCGAATCCGAGTAATCCGGGTCTTCCAGGGCCTCTGGATTCGTGATAGTGGCTTTTGGCTCCACGCGGAGCTTTCCGTCCCAGCCGTTTTTGTCCTTCATGGTGGTTGGGATGTGTGTGTGTACTGTAGAGCACGTTCTGTTGGGGGGTGTGGTGTGTGGATGGGAAATCGTGGGTGGTGGTGGGGAGCGAGCGAGCGGATCGGGAGGGTATGACGATGCCAAGAACGTGACGGGGAGGCTCAAGTACGGGGATTGTCAGGGGGAAATAGTCGATGGAATAGGCAGGCTCCCGGAATATGTGAATGGAGGAGGAATTTCCCTGAGAGGGCGGTGGTGGTGCGCGGATGTCAATGGAAGGATTCGAAGATGACCTGATTGCGGCGTTTAGTCCGCCTGATCTGATCCCGGCCATCCGCCATCAATTCTATAGTATACCGCTCGCGATCAGCGCACATGCGTTCTGTTCATTATGTCATTCGCTACATTTATCTCTACACTGGAGTGGTAGTCTCGTGATATTGTCAATTCAAAAAAAATTACTCAAACACGGGACAAGCTGAATGGTGAAGGCGGACGCTTTTATGTACAGCACGTACGCCAATCAGTACATATACATTGCAAAGCCACCGATCGCCGACAATTCGGGATCGATGAGAGACTATGCGTGTACCAGAAGCAGCGGCAGGCGCTTGGGACATGTATCAAAATGCCACACGCGAGGGGAGTCACCAAAAAGCAGATCATGGTGCGCAAAAGACAAAACGGCGCGGGTTTTGGGGTCACAGGGAGAAAGGAAATAACCAGGACGGCAGTCGAGCCTCTTGCGGGCTGCGGGTTAGACAAAAGGACACAAAATGGAGACGACGAAAAGACCAGAGGTAGAAAAAGACAGATGAAAGAAAAGAGGGAATGTAAATGAGAGCGTATACATGAGATCAGCAAAATTTTGGCTGATGACCAAGACGGACGCCTGCAGAATGCATCAAGAAGAGGAGAAACGTCAAAACACTAGGAAACAAGACTGGCGGGGGTAATCAGGTATCTGCTCGCTGGGAGCACGGGGAACATGGCCGGTGCTCGAAAAAAGGTGCAATAGACAAGGGAAACGGGAATCAAAAGAAAAAATAAAGGGAAATAAAAAAAGATAAAGAAAAGGATGACACATCTTCACCGTGCAACTACCGCAAGCCTCGACGCCCGGGAGAGACTGAATCTGACCCTCAGGATGTCCTGGCTGCAGTTGAACCAAATATCGGACGACTCTTTCTTTTCAAAACCGACTGGACCCACAAAGTGAAGAAGCATGCTGTATAGAAATGCCGGACAGTGTAGAGTTACAGGCATTACAATGCAATGTCGAGAACCAGACTGACGTCTTTCACCTGTGCCCCCGCAAGGTCTTCAAGAACAGGAATCAGATCAAGAAGCTCGTTATCGTGAGCGTCAGAGAACCAGCTGCTGATGGGTATCGCATGTTGAGGGTGAAATATATAGGAAGTCGGGGAATTATCGATGATAATCGTATCGCGCAGGTCGCGACCTACTTGGGAGAGATCCTAACCAGGCATCAGCGTCCACGTCACGCAGCTAAATGTTCCCTAGGCAAGAGACTGACCTTGACATAGTTGCCTTGGTGGTTATAACAACTATCCCTGAACAGTCGGTGGTGGACAACGTTGTGGATGTCCAGTTGATCCAGAAGAGGATCCCCATACTGTAACCCATCAGCGACCGTGAAGTCAACCGTCTGGAAGCAACTAACCTTTGAAACGGAGGCGGTAAAAACAACCACCTCATATAACTCGCCGACCCTTTTCATGAATTGATCGACACCCGGTCGTTTGATCACGTAGATGTTATGGTACTGGCCCTCGATTTCGACAGGAATGGTAAAATCAGCACGTTCAAGAACCTAGAGCGACCGTGTCAGCTTGCATTGTGCTTTGGAAGGATGAAGCAGGAAAAGCGGACCTTAAAGCTACTGTGAACGAGCGTCTCATCCAGGTCGAGAACCAAGCACTTCCTGTCTCGAAGATGAGGCAGAGCTGGAGGCAAGAGGAATTGTTGTTGCACGTCCTGTAATAGCGTGTCTGCCTGATTCCCAGATGGAGCCATCAGTGGAGGTAATTCGGCTGGTAGTACTGTTGCCTCCTCATCGTGTGAAGTATACTTCTCATCCTCATAGCTAGTTTCTGACGACGGTGGCTTAGGCAACTCGTCAGTCGCCACAGCGTCTTGAGTCTTCTCCGTCGGTGTAGTTCCTGGATCTTCCGTTTCCTGGGCGAGATCCTCCGTTTCGCTGGATATCAGGTTTACTTCGGCGGTCGTGGCGGCCGGCAGAGTACTCTGACCGACCCCAGGACCTTGAGACGCAGCATTGTCCTGTGGCAGAGATGGCCCATGGTCGGTCTCAAGTGAATTAGAAGGTACTCCTGCGCCGTCGAGCTGTGAGCCCTGGTCGGGAGTGGTCACAGTGCGTTCTTCGTCTACCTGGGTCATAGACTGATTCGAGGTCACGGTCATGTTGGGTTTCTCGTCCCGGTAGTAGCTCGGGTCTTTGGATTCCGCGGTGCTCGAATCACCCGCATTGGCGTCCGTCTTTTCCGGAGCAGGTTGTGTGTTTGGAACTGATGGCCGTCTGGAAGTCCTCTTGGCTGGGATGGCAGGATCTTCCGGATCATCGCTGGACGAGGAACAGCAACTCAAGAAGGCGAACAGCCTATACGAGACCTTGTTCCTCCTTTCGGGTCTGACCGGTTCACGCAGGTCAGGACTCGCTGCCTTGTCTTCCTCCAGACTCGCCCCCTCCTGGTTTTGCCGACGTGACCTCATACTGCTGCCTCTGCTCCTGTCCCTCCGACCCTTGAATATGCTTCTTTTCGAACCGCGAAGAGTATTCTCGGAGTCATCATGGGCGGTATCCTGGCTCTTGTCCAATGTTGATTGCCGGTCTGCCTTTAAGGATGCACGCGACGGAATGGGCAGCAGCGTGTGCTGTTTCTTCGGTGCGTCGGTCGAAGTGGCTGCCGAGTCGCCTACGGAGCCTTGAGCCGGTGCGACAGACTCCTGAACCGCATTGGAGGGCTCTAGATGGGTTGACAAAGGCGACGCATCTGTGCTGGCGAGTTGGTCCTGAGGCGACGATTCAGGATCTGACAAAGAAGCGATCAGTGAAGATTCTCGGGAGCAAGCCAAGCGCATCGGAGAATTTATCGCGAAGCCAGGAATGGCCAGGAAACTTACTGAAGTCGGGGTGGCTCGTCGCGATAGGCATGGGCGCTTCTCCGGTGGCCGTCTTTGAGTTTGATGGAGAGGAATCTCGCTCCAAGCTCCCTCCGAGCATTGAGGGTAGCAGAGCGAGGTTCACGGGGGACGACAGGGACAGAAACCGGGGGGTAGGAAGGAGAGTGGCGAGAAGATGAGGAGTCGGGGACAATGACCACCAGGGTTACCGCCGAGAAGGGGGGTGCGCCGGCAAGGAAGAGGAGAGAGTGCAGTCACGCCTCCTATGGATGGGATGGGATGGAGGCAGGTTACTAAGGTCGTACCAGTAAGTTGCTTAGCTCTGGGTCCCGGACCACCGCCTTGAAGGAGGTTAGTGCGCAGCACTAAGACTCGTCGCAGTGAGGAAATCCAATCAGTCCTCCCTCCAATATCCAGGAATCCTGACGGCAAACGGGCATAAAAGCATATGCGACCGGCACGATCTGGGACGGGGCCTGGGGATGATCGCAGGAAAGGGTTCGAGCGTGGAAGCGCAGGCTGTCGGGACCAGGGAATCACGTGGTCGGACCAGGGTGCAGCTCTTCCGACGTGTGATGGGGGTTCTAAGAGTGGTACGGAGGAGTGGAGGTAAGGATGATAGTAGTAGTCAGGTAAGTAGGTAGTAGGTAGGTAGGTAGGTAGGTAGGTAGTAGTTAGGAGGGTTGTAACGTAAACGATTTAGGGTATGGATCGATTGTTGCACTGGGGCTGACGGGTTGCTTGCTGGTCAGCGGGAGGGAAGTTAAGGTGAAAAGGAACTCTAGGAATCAGATCGGCGGTTGGGGATCGGATTCTTGTGCTGTGGGTTCGTCCCTTTCGCTTAGTTGACAGACACAAAAGGCGTCAGATGAGTGTGAGAGGCAGATGTTCCACTACCTAGACAGTCCGATGGCGTCTACAACAGTCAGGACGAACAACAGGGGCAGCACGGAAGTCGAGGGAAGTAAGTCCGGGTACGGGGACGCTGGACTTGGAGTCGTCCAGCAAAGCCGGTTGATGATGGTGCCAAAAGGGTGGCTTGTCCTTAGCTCCTGGACTGGCGGCTAACCGGTTTAAGAGGATGAGGAAGGGGAAAGGGGGGGAAGGAGAGGAGAAGGGAGGGGACGCTGGAGAGGGGGGAAAGGTGAAAGGTGATGATAGGTAGTAGTAATAATACGAATGGTCATAAAATAATAATAATGATAATTACAATAAATAATTAATGATAATAATATAACAAGAGTGATAGTAAAATTAAAATTACTGCTGCCGTGCTGCGCGCGCAGGCTTGACTGAAATGATGACCTTAATTAGCCAGTAGGAACGTTGATGCGCCGTCCTGACTTGCTGGGCCACTCGGGGCGGGTGTGCCTCAAGGAACGGGGGGCAAGGGGTAAAGAAAAAAGCAGAAATCGGAGAACGCAAGAGAAATTACGGATGAAGGAAGGGAACGCCTAAGGAGAGGCCGAAGCGGAAAGGTAAAAGAGGGGAAAAAAAAAAAAGAACGGAAAAACACAGGCCAAGTCTGGTCTGGACCAAAAGATGCAGGGCTGCAGAATTGGGGCCAGACACACTCGGACGCCTACTGGCCGGACCAGCTATTGGAGGAAGTTGAGTCCCCTCAAGCAGGCTTGGGGCTGATTTGACGGGAGATGCCCCGTACCTTGAACTTTGCCCGATACCAGAGGAGTGGGAATGTAAAGAGGCAACCATGATGAACCATGTGTCGATGAGGTTGACCACGTACATATCTAGACATGTGCACGACAAGGATAGTAGCCGTCTCTGTAAGTAGGTTGGGTTGATTGCATACAGAGCAGACATACCTTACTTACCCATCTCCACTAGGTAGTATTGCGTACTGATGATGTACTCCGTACTCCGTAATTCATGCATACACGCCCAGGTGGTGGTGGTGGTGGTCCGACTCGAGTCATCCGGAAGAGGACCTGACTTGAATGATCCGTTTGGTATTATTCATTCCCATAATTTAAACTCGGAAGACTGAGGATGGCACTTTTGCTCTCAATAATAAACCCGCACATTTGATTCCAAGGTTCTTGGCGCAGGAATCTTGTTCGCGTTCTTTCCGTGGGCGCTTCCAGGGCGAATCGGGGACAGCCATGGGCCATGGTGGTCTCGATAATCAAGGATGGAAGGCTGGGGTATATCGGGCACTTCAATAGCCCGTCTAGGTACTCCGTACGGAGTATAGAATGTGTAGTCGTGATGCGTATTTGCTCTTCTTTTTTGTGTTTTATTATTCCCCCCTCCCTCGAATTTCTGACTCTGTAGCATCTCGCCTCAGTGGCTATCCATGTTTGTCGGCACGAGTCGGATCAACGCAGGTTGCACCACCTTCACTGAACCTGCAGCGTCCATTCCTCATGATCAAAGCAATCATAGGAAATGTACCCTCCCAGCCCTCTCTCCATCCTCAAGACCCTGAAAAACAGTTCCAGGTGACGGCTTTCTGCTCAGCCATGTGGGCAGCACCAGTACGAAAGTAGGCAAGACCCAGGAATAACTTACAGCTATTGTGGGTGATCATTACTGACTCGGTGATACAGGATCTGAAATTTAATGCCATGTCTTCGTCTTGAGAATTGAGATCCTGGCCGGCACCTCCACTCCGAGAAGCACTCGGTCTTATTCGCTTCTTATCCTGCCAGGCTTCGGCCTGAACACCGTGTGCCTTACGGCTCCGCACATACCTATCATCATCTTCAGTGCCTCTCCAGCCGGTCTTTGATTGGGTCAATCGTTCTCTAGTAATCAGTCTTATCATTGGCCATCTATCACCCTCCACTATCGGTTTGGAGTAGGCATCCCTACTACTAGATACTCCGTACCACCTGCTGCTATCCTCTCCTGCTTCAGTGGGGAATTCCCTCATATCCAAGAATTTGGACAACTAGTATGTCCTGCTTGTAATAGCCCATCACCATGGCTGGCGGATGATGCGCCCGGGGCGGTTCCATGCATCTACTTGGAGTCACCTGCAAATCGGATGCTGTCTAACAAGAATAGGTCCGTGCAGTCGTCTAGGGAGAGTCGATCTTCCTGCGCGGCAGAGACCGATGTCCTATCTGCCTACTCACACTTGCATACGTGCACACATACCTAGATGCTGTAGGTATTAAAGGCCCCGTTATTTCCGGAGGTATTACCCTGCTTTTCAGCAATAACGGTCTGCATCAAAGAAGACCCTATACCCGCCAGAGAAAGTGCATCTGCAGCCATCCATCATTTGCAGGAAAAGTTAAGCAACAATCACAGGGACGCAGCATTTCCGCCTGCGTGAAACATTCCAATGTCCTTCAAACTATGTGTGGGGTTAAATTGTGACACAGAGGGAATGGCGCATTCTACAAAGTACCTTAGCTTGCCTTGAACTTAAAGCGATTGTCAAGCTCTTGTTTCAAAGAGGTATGTTGATACTGGTTTATCGTAGACAGATTCACAAGTTAGGATGGCGCTGGTAATTACTGGTTATTGCTAGATCTCCAAGCTCTCTCCGCTGTTGGTATCGTCCTATACTGAGACCCCGCATTAATTGAACGCTTCGGCCTGCAGTCTTGGGATGCTGCTATTCTTGTCTTGACTATGCCGACATCTACGAAGTACAATGAACGGTCTGAACTAAAAAGGTCACCTCTAAGCACGGTCTCATTATATTGAAGATACTCCACCACAGGGCTTGCTTCGCTCCTAAAGTGCCTGGTATGCGGTGCTTTTAATTAATGTCTTACAGCATGTGCACTGACCTTAAGTTCAGGAGAGCAAGGCCTCGTGCGATGTTCAAGAACTCCTGTGTCTTACCGGAACCTACCCGCTATTGAAGCTTAAGAGGCATACACCAGATCGATCCACCGTGTCTTGGCTGCACTTTGCTATCAGATGATGCCAGTGCCACGGGCGGTCAAACGTCTGGTATCGTCGTAGATTTAGCCAGCCAGAAAGTACGCATTTGTTTTTTCTGTGTCAACGACAAGGGCCCTTTCCCCCCCACTTATTGGATGCCACCATTGTTACTCGATAGCCAACCGCGCGAATCGTACCCTGGAGCTCAAGCCAGCGTCCTGTCTAGTTGCAGGGGCCTTGGTCGGTTTAGGAAGTTGGGCGCTTCCAGGCATCCATACTACTACTAGTAGATAGTTGAATTAAATCGGATGGCAGCATGCTTACGGTATTATTGACATCGCGTATTTTTATTACAGTTGCCTATCTACACCCCGACCTCAACTGGATGATGTCAACACTCCACGGGCTCCCTGGTCATCTGGACGTCGTAAGATGACTACTGAGTAGCTATCAAACATCGCTTTACATGGACGCTAGTCTTTCCCCCAGCTAGCTTGATTCTCAGTTTGAAAAAGTAGCCGATGGCATATTTTCGATTGCTCCATCCTTGGAGCGGATCTCAGATCTCGACGTAATGACCGTCTGGGGACTCCGCACGTGAGATGCGCCTCCGCCCCCTCCGCAATGTTGGCCCGAGGTCTTCACATGCGTCAACTCACAATCGCTCCAGTATCAACGTTGCCAGCTTCACCCATAATGTGACCTACCGACTGAGCTGTCTGCTAACAATCAATAAACAACTCTCTCTATTGCTTTTACGTCTCCCTCCTCACGTTCTCCCCGACTTCAAATCACAGCCCAAAAAGGATACAGATCGCGTCATCCCTGCGGACGCTTCTCCTCATGGCCTTCGACAACCTGGCTTGAGGATGTAAGCTACCGTGAGGGTACTGTGCAATACGGAGAATACGAATCTCACTGAGAGCGGTAGAGTGGTATAGATGAGGCACGATGGCTGTGCAATCAACGCTTCGACACCGAGAGGATCCTCTCGTTACGCTTTTCAACTACTATGCCGGCCTCCTTCGTTCCCGGATAAAGCGTTCATCCAAAACAACCCAAATCATCGCCACCCTTGCACTTATCCTATCGATCTTGGGCTCCGGATATGGAGGCTATAAATGGTTTAGGGAGAGGGCCAAAGAACGTGCGCGAGGAAGCCGATTGTTGCGTCGGAATTCCGGGATTCGAGGAAAAGATGGAACTCGCACCATATACGTGCCTTATAAGGATTCTATGACCTCCAAGGTTAAAATCTATCCCACCAAACAAACAACTTTTGATGCGCACCGACGTTTATTCTTGAACCCGCCTGCCGCCGCCCGTGTAGGTGATGGAGAGTCGGTCAATCAGATCCCGCCGCCAACCACAAAGCCAGGCTTGAACCTGGCATTCCTTCACCAGTTCCTCAGCCTCGGAAGTATCATGGTTCCGAGATGGGGCAGTAAAGAGACTGGGTTACTGATGGGTCATGGTGTTTTCTTGCTATTGCGGACATATCTATCTCTATTGATCGCACGCCTCGATGGCGAGATTGTGAGGGATCTCGTCACTGGTAAAGGGCGCGCTTTCACTTGGGGCATTATCAAGTGGTGTGGTATCGGTACACTTGCTTCCTACACCAACGCCATGATCAAATTTCTCCAATCGAAGGTGTCTATTGCTTTTCGGACCCGTCTCACGAGGTATATCCATGATCTCTACCTCACAGGCGATAACAACTACTACAAGTTGATGAATCTGGATGGCAGTGTCGGCCAAGGACCGGACCAGTTCATCACCCAGGACCTTACTCTCTTCTGTTCTGCGGCTGCCGCCCTCTATTCGTCCATGGGGAAACCTTTGGTGGACTTGTTCGTTTTCAATTTTCAACTGTACCGTTCGCTTGGACCTTTGGCGCTTACAGGTATCCTCACGGGCTACTTCAGTACAGCAGCAGTCCTGAGAAAGCTCTCACCACCCTTCGGGAAGCTAAAGGCCGTTGAGGGCAAGAAGGAGGGCGACTTTCGAAGCCTACATTCCCGATTACTTGCCAATGCTGAAGAAATATCCTTCTATGGCGGTGCAGACATCGAACGGGTTTTCCTAACGAGAAGCTTCAAGGACCTTCAACGCTGGATGGAGGGTATTTACAGTCTCAAGATCCGCTATAACATGCTCGAAGATGTTATTCTGAAGTATGCTTGGTCTGCGTTTGGCTACCTCATCACATCTCTGCCAATATTTCTTCCTGCCTGGGGTGGCTTGGGTGGTGGTATGGAGCTGGTAGATGTGCCCGAGGGAACTGGTCGGGAACGAGACCGCATGAAGGAGTTCATCACGAACAAGCGCCTGATGCTGTCCTTGGCCGATGCCGGTGGCCGGATGATGTATAGCATCAAGGACATCTCGGAGCTGGCTGGTTATACGTCTCGAGTCTACAGCCTGATATCCACGCTCCACAGAGTCCATGCGAATGCATACTACCCCCCACGCAACTCCCATGCCGAAGTGCATTCTCTTGCAGATGTACAAGGAACGATCCACAACGGTTTTGACGGCGTGCGTCTGGAACAAGTCCCCATTGTCGCGCCTTCACTCTACCCTCGTGGTGGCGATGAGCTTCTCGAATCGCTGTCATTTGTCGTGCACTCCGGTGACCACCTTCTGATATCCGGACCGAATGGGGTGGGCAAGTCTGCTATTGCTCGGGTTGTTTCCGGGTTGTGGCCAGTGTACCGCGGCTTGGTCAGTCGACCAAGAGGGTTTGGGCTCGACGGCATCATGTTCCTCCCCCAACGGCCCTATCTTAGCGTGGGTACTCTGCGTGATCAAGTCATTTACCCTCACACAGCAATCGACATGCACGAGGCCGGTATAACCGACGCTGCTCTGCAGGAGGTTTTGGATGACGCTCATTTGGGCTACCTGCCCGGGCGCGAGGGCGGATGGGACTCTCGCAAGGAGTGGAAAGATGTACTGAGTGGAGGAGAGAAACAGCGCATGGCACTGGCACGCATTTATTACCACGAGCCTCGCTATGCCTTTCTCGATGAGGGAACCTCTGCGGTCTCTTCCGACGTCGAGGGCTTGCTGTACCAGCGGGCAAAAGAGCGGGGAATAACCTTGATCACGATTTCCACGCGCGCATCCCTGAAGAAGTACCACACTTACAACCTTAGCATTAGCATTGGAGATGAAGGTGAGCAATGGGAGTTTGAGAGGATTGGCACCGCGAAGGAGAAGCTGGGGGTAGAGAAGGAGCTGCAGGAGATTCGCAAGCGGCTTGACAAGGTCGAAGAGTGGAAGCGACGCCGGGAAGAGATTGAGGACGAGCTGCGCAAGGTCTGGATTGAAGAGGGGGAGCTTGCTCCACCGCCATATGAGGCCAAATCTGAAGCAGCTGGGGTACAGGCAGTTGAGTGATGATGGTCAGCGGCAGTGGCTGATGTTCGTGGCCATCTGTTGACGGGTTTCAATTCCCAACAACGTCTTTCTGGAGATAAACTTTACCTGTGCTTCTTTAAGGATAGCAATACATTCTTTGCCATTGTCACACATTGGTGCATCGCAAGGTGCCTTCCTCACAACCACGTAGGGTCACATGACCGCCACCCACGGCAACAGCGCGGAACCTGCACTTTCCCCATGCAATGAATGATCTAGTCCTTGTCAGCTTCACCCTCCTTTCTTCTGTCCACTTTCTCCCTTGAACTTACCTGTTTATGTTTATCTCGTTCGCACTTCAGCGTTTTTTTGTTTTTTTTCCTACCTGTTAATTCCAACCTCAATAATGTGGATTCTCCTTGCAGGATAATCATCTCATTTTCATTCAAAATTCACGCCCTATCTTACTTCTCCCTTGTCAGAAGGAAAGAAGGACAGGAAAAAGAAAGTGAAAAAGCGAGGAAAAGAAAATTCTCCTTCATAATGTCTCAGATGATAGAAGACTCGTCTTCTTCAGATGAAGGCAACAATTTCGTCGTCGCAATTAATCCGTCCTTCAGCGATGGCACTGAGTCCAGCTGGCCCACCGAAGAGGCGTGCAACAAGCCGGCGGGAAGTAAACGGGCGAGGGTGAAGCTGGCCAGGTTGTGGATGCAGAAAAGAGGGGAATACCAGCGAGGTATGTTCGATCCATTTTCTTCTCTTGGTGGTGTTATAGAATTGCTGTTCGCAAAAATTCCGTTGAGTCCTTGGTGCCATCTACCTGTCAGTGGCTCCTTGCAACTATTGGGGTGGATGATGCGCTGGATTGGATACCTACTCCGCCATCACCACTTGGAGATCAATAACACACCCCTTTTCTTTTGAAAATCAGGAAATCAGGGGATTAGGAGACAGGCAGAAAACTGGAAGAAGTCTGCCTGCCTCAGCTATGTCTGGTATCATGCTTTCTACCTCCTATTGTCCTTACTTCATTGCTCTCTACACATGGTCTTTGTCCCAGGCCGCTGTCTCTCCTCCATTTTGATATCACGGTTTGTTTGGACTCCACCACTGACTTCGGTTAAGGCGTGAATTATATTCTCGACCGTCTGCCCGATGGTTATGCTTTGTTTGACAGGCCGCGCCAGGCGAACCCCGAAATCGTAGGTTTGCGAGCCTACACTTGGGTATAAGCATATTTCTGACTCTACCAGCGTGATCGTTTAATCTTTGGCCATCCCGTGAACCTGGTATTCAACTCCACGAAACAGTTCTTTCCACATTTCTACTATCTGATGACAGGGGGTGAGGAGCCCTGCACCTGTGAGTTATGTTTGAAGCTGGCCAAGCGTCAAGGAGGTTTGTCATAACGAACCCCAAAAAAATTGCATACAATGCTAAGATCTCATCAGTGGAGGATGGCTCAGTACGGCGAGGGCGTGGAAGGCTCCCAGGGAGACCTGTTGGAACGCCTACACGGACCCCAGGAAGACCCGGTCGACCACCTGGCAGACCGCCTGGGTCAAGCTCAAGTAGGCCACCTGGCAGACCACCGGGAAGACCGCCAGGAAGACCGTCGGGGAGGCCACCGGGAAGACCACCGGGAAGACCACCGGGAAGACCACCAGGAAGACCACCAGGAAGGCCGCCAGGAAGATCGCCTGGTAGACCCCCAGGCAGGCCGCCGGGTAGGCCAGGTAGACCTCCGGGAAGGCCCATTGGTTCAACCACATGTCCTACAACAGATAACGAAGGGACGCCAGACGTGTTCAAGAACGCAGTCCTGCAGCTCAAGCAACATGGTCTACTGGAGCTGGACATCACCGAACCTTCAAGTATGGACTGGCGAGCAGAACGATCTGCCCTTGATGAACACATTCAGAAGTTAGATATACAACCGTCTTTCCTGCCCCGTGCTGGGGAAGTCGTTCTCTGGACTTCTGATTTTGATGGAGAGCTAACTTGGAACCCCGAGCAAAGTTGTGTCCAAATATATTCCCCGGGCGAAAAGCGATGGCTAGGCACGCCCGAATGGCGAGCTGGTATCATCAGCCAGGTCCCAGAGGAAGAAACCATATTTCAGGACATTGTCGCGACTTCCCCGAAAGAAATGAGTATAAACTATTCGGGGTTCCGTGTTGAGACTTTTCCTGACCCCCACAGCCCCGACAAGAGCTACTCTCTGCACTACAAGTACGTATACTTGAAGTCTATCAAACCGTTCGGTGCCTTCGAGCACTTCCTGCAAAACACTCCCCGAGAGGGTCTGCACCCGTCTATCGAATACGCTATGACTATCATGTCGTCATTCAGTCTGCTCGATAAGTTTTACTTTAGAGGCGCCTGGCCTGATGCGTCGATTTATTGCCGGGGGATTTTTATAGGCGCGGAGCTATTGGTCGTTGGGGATGCTGTCCGCTTGAAACCAACTTGCTATAATGCACAAACCAATGAGACCAGAGACGTCACCGACATTATGGTCATTGAAGAGATTCGACTTGAACTGAAACAATGTAACGATGAACTCAAGTCCAAACATTTAGCCGAGAAATACCAGGTGCGAGTTCGAGGAAAGGTGTACACAGCTAGTCACCGGCGTGTCTATCTAGCCAACAGTAACCTCCAGCCCACCAAACCGTTAACCCCTGACGAGGTCGTCGACGCTTTCCATATAGTGGGCATGAACGGTTACGGTAATTGGTACCACGTTCACTCCGGGGCCAGGGTGGATGTATCTCAGGATATGATCTTAGGCCGGCTTTATGAGCCAGATGCGCTGCAGCTCATGTTTGGATCCCTTTCATTCGGATACGACCTACACGGAGTGGTGAGCGGACGGGAATACTCGCGCCAGGCTGACGAACGGATCTCAGAAGGCCGGACTTGGTTTTGGGGGGACTTTCGAACCCAAACGCTGGCAATCGACTCGCTGAATGGCGAGGACGTTGGTCACTACAGTGACGCGCGGAACGTCAAGATGTGGCAGGCGAACCTCCGACTGCTCGACGGCATAGCCAGACCGGCGGATATCCGGGAGGCCAAGATCCCTGGAGATATCGGACAGCCGTCGGCCCAGTCACGCTCCAACTTTGCCGTGATAGGAAAACTCAGCAAGCTCGTCAGCACGGGGCTCGGGGCCACGGATATGAGCAACCCGGTGAGCTCGGCCGAGGAGGGGACTAGTCGACTGTCCATTGACAATTACGACGAGGAAACCGAGGAGGAGGATTTCACGCTGCATATTGACCAACTGCGAGGCGGGACCGAGGAGACGGAGGAGGGCGACTACATGCCGGACCAGGAGCCGCAGAGCAAACGGGCCCGACACGATAGTTGACTGCTATGTAGTATTATGTTCTGCCGGTAATCAATAAGATACCAAGCGTTGCATGTCTCCTTTCCTAAATGCATAAAGGATGATATAACTCAATCGACTAGATTCAATCAATACGTCTTGGCCACAACCCCTCTAGCAAAATCTCCAAAGGTAACACCCGGTTGCACCTCCTCATCCAAATTTGGCTGGGTAAATACAGCCAAGGTATTCCTCGCAATTTTGCCCACGCCCTTGGCCCCCTTCACAAAATGCGGCACCGCCCGAAACTGGCCCTGCGTAATCAGCTGCAACGCCTCCCCGGTCTGAAACGCCAAACAATCCTTCGGGATATTGACCTTGACAATCTGTCCCGTCCGAGACCGAATATACAAACCGGCCTTGGGGTCCGGACTAACCTCCAGCTCCGGAAGCGGGGACATCTTATCCGCTCGCTGGGGATTATGTTCATCCTCATCGACAAACATGGCCGAAGTAAGACCAGTCAAACACCCATGATCGAGATGCGTTGCGCACCAATCATCATCCTCCCCGTCATCCTCCTTTCCCTCCTCCTCCTCCTTCTTCTCCCCCGTAGGAAAATAATGCAACAACCTCGCCTTAGTAGTCACACTGCCCCTAACCACCCGTTCCAAATACCCCTCCCTATACCCCTCCACACTCCCCACCGCAAACCGATCACAAGCCCGCGCCACCAACGCCGCCGTATCAATAATCACGGTACAGAGGTCCTCGAAACTCCGCTTGAAAGTGGGGAGGGCCGTCTCACTAGGCCAGATATTCGGGGACGTGTATTCGGGGAAGGACGCGTTGAGGGTCGATTCGGGCGCGCCTTGGAGTGTCGGGTCGTTGTAGAATGCGCAGTTGAGGTAGTAGGATCCCTTGTGGGTGTCGAAGTGGCCGTCACGGAGGGTTTCTTTGCCCAGGGACCAGCCGATTAGGTATTTGGATGTGGGGGAGCTTAGGGATTCTGGTGGTTTGGGGGTTGGATGGTTAGTTGGGGGGTATGGGGGAGAGAGGGGATGAGGGGGTACCGAGTTCTGGTTCGGGAAGGGAGGCGAGATAGGATGTGTTGGAGAGGACTTGGGCGCGGAGAGAAGTGAATGTTGAAGGGAGGTCTTTGACGAGGATTATGCCTAGGGAGGAGGGGCCGAAGGCTTCGGTTAGGGTTGAGGGGGGTACGGTTCCTGGATTTTTGGTTTTTTGGTCAGTGATGTGATAATGGAGGGGGGGTTTTTTTTTTCTTTGGGTTTGATGGGGGTGGGTAGGGGGAGGAGATATATAGAGATGGTATACTCACCGTCAATCAGCTCCTGCAAGCTGACGGTTACGGCTTGCGCCACGGGAATATCGTCGAGGCCCATTGTTGTTTGGGGATATGGTTGATGTGGTTTGGTCGAGAGGGGATATGAGGGGAAGAGACTTTATATAACTGAAGGTGGGATGAGATGGCCTCGGCCCGCTCCGATCAAGTCTGCTTATCGCGCGGCTTCTTATCGGAGAAGAGCATCGTATGAGCATCGGCCGAATGGAGGGTTGGTTTATGTAGAAATGCTGGACTGCGTGGTTGTTGTAGTGAATTGCAGTTGGTATATACAGTGAAGAGGTGTGTATTGTGGTAACTAACAAATGGTCATGATAATGTACAGGCAGCCGAGCTGCGATTCAATCGTCCACTTCACTTATGTCTAGGTCCAGCCAGTCGCCCAGCGCTTGCGGCTGGGAATGTACAACAGCAACACTTATATAAAACCCCTGAACTGCAAGCAATCGCGAAAATCCACTTTCCGTCACGGACCAATGGGAGAGCCGCCGCAAGACGCGTCGACGTGTCTAGCCAGGATCCCCAGTCACTGGGGCTCATCTTAAGGTCTAGATCTCTTCCTCGTCTTCACCAGCCTGGTTCATAGGCTGCGCAATGTGGGGAGAGCTCACCCTCCGCAAATTGCCAAATGGCAGAATGTCTCCAATTCTTGTCTTGCCCGTGAACAGCATGCAAAGACGGTCGATTCCGCATCCCCAGCCGCCAGTAGGAGGAAGGCCCCACTCCAGCGCCTCCAGATAGCTTTCGTCGATTTTCTCCGACTCCTTGGCCTCCTTGCTGTATCGAACCTGATCTTCGAACTTGCGACGCTGCTCGAACGGCGAGTTCTCCTCTTCATAAGTGTTCACCATCTCGCGTCCGTCGATGAAGAGCTCTCCGCGTGCGGCGACACGCTGGCCGGTGGTGGGATGGACGAAGGTCTTGGACAGCGGTGACAAGCACTCGGGCGGGTTGACGATGAAGGTCGGGTTGATGCACTGGGGCTCAACGTAGATGCTGCACAGTTCGTCCAGCAGTCGGGGGAGGGTGACTTTGTCGGGGAGTGGGTGTTCAATGTCACGGAATATGTCCTTCACCTGCTCCAGAGCATCAGGGGACGAGAGGTCAGGGAGCTTGCCCTGGATTTCCTTCTCAATAGCGGGTATGAAGTCGAGTCGGCGGAATGGCCCATGGAAGTTGAACTGATAGAACGGTGCCAAGGTGCCTTTCTCGGTGAAGGGGGAATTTTCGTGAAGTTCACGAATACGATCAGCCATCCCCCCCAGCAACTGTTCGGTTGTGGACATGAGATCTTCCAAATTAGCATAGGCCTGGTAGAATTCGCATGTGGTGAACTCGGGGTTGTGAGTCTTGTCAAGGCCTGTCGAGAGGTCAGTACGCTAGCTACAGGCACTTCATTCAAAAGATTTTACCTTCATTGCGGAACGAGGGCCCGATCTCGAATATCCGGTCAAAGCCTCCTATCACAAGGCGCTTCAACCAGAGTTCCGGCGCAATTCGTAACGACAATTGGCGATCAGGGAACTCGGTGGCTATGGTATGGAATGGACGCGCGATTGCGCCTCCGGCAACCGCTTCGATGATAGGAGTGTTGACTTCCATGAACTCCCGGTCAAGGAAGAACTGGCGAATGTATTGAATGATTGCCGACCGGGCTTGGAGGACGTATTTCGTCTCCTGGTCCGCGAGAAACTGGACATGCCGGGGGTAGGGCGAATTCTCCTGTCCTTTGGCATCCAGCGGAATGTCGTGCAGACAAGCCGACAGAAGCTGAGGCAGTTCACTCGCCAGAAGGGTGAGTTCTCCTTTATCCGTTTTCGTAGGAAAACCTGTTACGGCTATAGAAGATCGTTCAGTCTAGTGTGATGCCGAGAACGGCCGGTGAACATACAGAAGGCATCGCCACGGCGGAGCAGACGGTAGAACTGCTTGAAGGTCGCCGGAGGGACATCCTCAAATAGACGGCGATTGCACATGACTTGGACTTTATCGCCATTTTGGATGAGATCGAAGAATATCAAATTGCTTCCAATAAGTCTTAAGGTACGCACCCTACCTACTGATCTAAGTACGAGGCAACATGGTAGAGCCAGCTTAGGCTAGGACCTACCATTGAGGATGACTTTCTCTTTCTCTAAGGTTTCATTATTTGCTAGGCGGTGGTAGCGAGAACGAAATTCCCCAGTGGTCAATGTTTTCTCGTTGGACGCAAGCCGGGGGTATGGCTCGGTAACGGCTTTTTCAATCCGCTGCACTCGCCTCTTAAAGACTCTGCGAGGATACCCATTGACGCTGGTGTTGCTGCTGTGCCTTGTTTGCACTAAAAGTGCGTGTGAGTGTTGGATTACTTGAGCAAATTGGCCATGTGCATGATTAGTACGGGGGATCGGAAGTCCTGCACTGAACATGCTATTAGCAAGCTGTCAAACCAACACGAGTCAAGAATGTGAGTAAGTCAAAGACAAGTATAAATCAGAAGACATAAAGCTTCCTTGTTACTCATAACTTGGAAAACCAAGCTTCAATGCAGCGGTTCTGTAATTTGGAAGGGTATGTCTCATCATGCAAGTGCAGGGAAAAGCCATAGATTAATATCAAAATGGACGGCTTACCTAGACAGAAGACTTCCGACCCTCAACGTTGACGCCCGCAGTGGGCGAATGGGTTGCATGGAGAGAAGAAGAGACTACGTACTCACATACTGGGAGGAGGAAAGAGAAAAGAAAGAAGAAAAGGGTCGAGTTGTGCGGAAGACGTCTGCAGAACGAAAAATCAATAAGGCGGTGAGGAGCGGCAGCTGCCGGCCAGCTTCAATTCCGACCTCAGGTCCGCATACAACAACACCCTTCTCCGGTCATTATCTAGCTTCTCGATTCTCTATCGTGCGTATGCCCAGTATCTGTTGGAAATTGGCGACTAACAAAACCCCAGCTCAACCACATTCACACTCCCACCCATCGTCATCATGTCTTTCCTCTTCGGCGGTCCCCCCAAGATGTCCTCGGCAGAGAAGATTGCTGCCGCTGAGATCGAGGTCGAGATGGTTTCCGACATGTTCAACCGGTAAGCTTTCTCGTCCCTCTTTGCTACGATTCATACCGTTTCCAGTCCCCTGCTGCCAACCATGCGGACTGTCCTGAGCGTACCTCTCCGTAACTAACCATGGACACTAGCCTTACCCAGTCCTGCGTCCAGAAGTGCATCCCCAACGACTACCGCGAAGGCGACCTGAACAAGGGCGAGTCCGTCTGCCTCGATCGCTGCGTTTCAAAGTTCTTCGATGTCAACATGAAGGTCAGCGAGAAGATGCAGGGTGATGCGGCCAGACAGGGCGGCATGGGCATGGGCGGCATGTAAAGGCGAAAAACGAAAGAGCTGTTTATTTAACCGGTTTTCTTATCAACGTGTATAATCTATTTGGGTTTCAGATCTGCCACAGCTATCCCTCCTAATGGTTTCTTTGGGTTCTTATGTAATGACTGGAGCGGAAGGCCTGGCCTAGTGATCGGGCTTGATAGATGGGACGGACGAGCATCACTTGGGTTTGGATATACATGTTTGTTTGGTCTTGGGCTGGGTTCCTCGGTCTTTTGCAATGCGCGGTCAACGCGAACTGCGCAAGTCTATTTCGGGGATTATGTACATTAGAAATGATATGTGGGCATTTACAAAGGTTTGTTCTGGGAAATCAAGAATCTCCATCATGCAGTCGAGAGTCCTGTAATCCGTCCAAACCAGGAGAACCAGGAGTTGCTCTGCTTTTCTTGCTCGCCTCGGATCAGCAGCTTCACTCTGGTTTCGATGGCGTTAACATGCCGTTCGAATTCATCGAGGTTTGTTTCGACATCCTCGACTCGGGAATCGAGGACATGGAGCTCGTAGTCCAGCTTCGCGCCCATCAGCTCGACCCGCCTCATGTAATCAGTGAGCTGGGTGTGCTCTTCGGTCAACAGGTCACTCGATCGGCCTCGCACTTGCTGGAAGGTTGCCAGCCGCTCCAGATAGGCCGCGTTGACCTTTTCGTGGCTCTCGTGCAAGCACCGACTGAGATCATCCACCGAGGCTACTTGTTGCTCAACCCAAGGGACGGTGTACTCACTCAACTCCTGGATGCGTGAGCTGAAGATCCGTGCGTCGGAGGCCAAAATGTCCTCTTGAATAATGGCCTCCTCCAAGAGAGTATCGGGGGTTTCTTTGAATGCTTCGCCCCCCAATCCCTCCCACCCCAGCACCACCTCTTCAACAGTGCTGAAGGACAAGTGGCGAGGCCAATAGTTGTCTAAGCGTCTAGAATCCCTCTCGGGGCTCAATTCAGCGCAACTCTGTGGCCGACGCAGCAACATAATCCCAACTTCAGACGTTTGCTCCCGGTCGGCGGATACATCGGTAGAAAGCGTCCTCCAGCGCTCAAGGTCTGGCCCCTCGTCCTCCGCTCGAGCCACAGACACCTTACGCGACGACTCTGAATCGGCAGTGGACGGAACCGTTTCTACGGTTATTGCTGGGGCTCTTGAGTTGGGAGATTGCGGTAATATGGTTCTTGGAGGCGGCTCAACCTGCGCGTCATCGGCCGGGGCCGGGGCTTCATTGTCATGGACGCTGTCCGGTTCGGTTGGAGCGCCACCCTCGGACTTCTTCGACTGAGACAACTCGGTGTCGCTATCTATAGGAGGCAGATGAGACGAGTCACCGGCCAGGTCTATGCCATCCCTAGACTGTTTGTGGGGATGAGATCGGAGGCCTACGGCATCCTTGAATCGGCCAAAGCCAGCCCGCGCATCGGACACCTTCCCACTCACGCCTTGCCGGACTAACCGGCCTAGATTCTGGTCCTTATCATCCAAGGATGCTGCTGATTCCGCCGGTCTCCAGGAGCGGTCTGAGCTCTGCAGAATGCGATCCGTTGCCAAGTCTTCGTGCGAGGGTCGCCGTCGACTCGTCCAAAAGTAGCCACCCTGGTCGTCGGTAGTGAACACCATATCTGCGGCTGGCGCGCCGCCAGCATAATTATCGCCAATGCCGCCCTTCCGTGGCTTTCCCCTCCACAGCCATTTTGCCCGTTCACCAGTGACCAGATGTGCAAAATTGTCTATATCAAGGGTCTCGATATCAGCGATACCACCTTTTTCGCGGCCCCGGACCATTCCCATAACCATCTCTCCCCCGTGCCCGCTCAATTCTGCCATGGTAGATTTCACGGCTTCAGTCCAGCCTTCCGCATTCGCAGCTTTCGCTGTCGCCCGGTGCAAGCGATCCAAGGTCTGGCGATCCAGCCTTCGGGTACGTTTCAGCTTCTGCGACTTTTGGAAGCTTCCAATTCCCCGTTCAAGATTAGAGAAATCAAATGCATCCTTGCCAACTGGGGCGCCGAAAGCATGAAGCCGGTTTCGAGCCCCCATCAGAGTACCCAGCAAGCCGGCTACAGAGATAGGGCCTATCATGTTATCGCTCGGTTCAATGTTAAATAGGTCCATTCCTGTATCCGTCCACCAATCATTTATAGCTGCTTCTGTGACATCGCATAGTAGTCCGTCCACGTACTCTGGCGCAAGCTTGCCGAACATCATCAAAGCAATTTGGCACTGCTTCACAAGTTCCATGACGGCAGAATACAAGGGCACCTTTTCACTCGTCCGGTATAGGTGGTGAAACTTTGCTTCGGTAGCAGGAGATGGTGGTTGTAGCTTTAAACCGGAGCGACCTGAGCAACCCAACCGTTTCAGATTTTCGTTGACAACGAAATCCTCCTTGTGTTTAAGGACATCACCGTCGGGTACCGGGATAAGAGTCAATGCCAATGGGAATACATTCAAGTCTGTAACCATGAGTGTCCCCAATGGCGTCTCCATTTTTCGCGCTTGACATTGCGTGACTGCGCTGAAGTACATCTTCATACGGGGAGACCACTTAGACTCATCCGTAGGGACGCTCAGCACCCCCACCACGACCTTGTGCGATAGATCCCCGGTATAGGTGGTGATGATAAACGTAGGATGAATGCGCGTACAGGCCCATTGCTCAACAATGAATACCTCGTATCCTACTAGAGACAAACGACGATGTAGCACAACTGCTTCCGAATCTTCTTCAAGGTATCGAAGGGCGACCGGATCGGTGAAAACGAGCTTCTGATGACCGTGATGAGGCGACGGGCATTCAGACCCACTGGGATTGGTAGAAGGGGGATTTTTGGTGTTGAAAGGTCGTGCCGGTTCTCGGGGGTGTATGGTGGGAGGCGCTGCCTGGCCACCTGTCTGCGTTGCGGGAGGTGGCATGATGAAGACGACCAGTTCCTTCCTACCGCATAAGGGCTGAATGAAGGGTCATTCCTGGATTGTAGATGCGCAAGTGTTCAGGAGAGGTAAAGAATACAGTGACAGGAGGCCGTGCTCAAAGGATGGCGAAAAGACCGAAGCGTTGACCCTCCGGGGGTCCTTTCGTATTGTACAGAGGTAAGGAGGAACCGTAACATATCCGAGGCTTCGGAAGCTGGGAGCTTTAAAACATCAAACGCGGAGGGAACAGACCAAGATAAGGGCTGTCCATGTCATCTCACAGGAATTGAGAAAAAAAAAGTACAAGCACAAGCCTGGCCGACAGGTGGTGGTGGTGGTGGTTACCCGGCCTTTGCAGCGAGTTCCGTCGGCGACGTCACAAGGGATTCGCGCCTGGAGCGGTGAGCGGCTAAATCATGGTCTTGTCTTGGGGCCAAGCCGTCAACAGACCCCACGGGATTGATTATTGCGCGTGTCTCCGAATCTCGTTTGCACTCTAGTTTCATTGTAGGACTAGATACAATGGTGGCACTCTGTAGGACATACGATCCCTTGAAGGGTAAGCATTTGATGCCTGTTGCTATTCTAGAACGCTACAGACCAATTGGTTCTGCAGGAAATGCAGCTGCCTAGTTGCATTCAGCCACAACTCAATCGTTCCTCAGCACTGCCACAAGACCCTCCACCGAAGGACGCGACAACCTCCGTCGCATCCGACACAGCCACAATCCATCATTTACAGCAAGCATGCAACCTCACGATCGAAGACCAGGAGGAAGCTACGTCTACTATGCATCCATTACGAGAAATCAGGTTCTCTTCTCTCCAGGCCTCCACATGGGAGACAACAGCAGTGAAAAGAAGACCGATGTCGAGTACTACCAATCTGGAGGCCAGATGGGCAACAGCAGTGCTGTCTACATACTCTAAACCGCCTCCAAACCAAACAAGGTCGGAGACATGGCATCTTGTTTTTCAAAAATTCCTCCTCGATCCGAAGACCAAGGAGAGCGGTCAAACTAGGTAGTTTTCAACTAGCAAAAACACGGTCTCGGATGTCTCCTCACTGACACGTGTAAAACCCGTGCACCAGGATGAAGAAAGAAAGAAAAAAAGATTCTAAAAGTTGGGCGGGTGCGGCAAGCTTATATACGGCTGCCCTCTGGACCCACCCGAGGAGCTAGCGTAAGCGAGGTGCAGACCCACTCGTGATTGGTCGGAATCTGTCTATGTCGCTAGTGACCGAGCCTGAGGTATTACCTGCTCGTCAGAGTCGCTACTATCATGGGAACTAATCCTATATTAAGGGAATAGTCCTTGGATGCCCATATGGTGCATAGTGGTATATACGATGGGTCTGGAGTACGTCTGGAAGCATTGCTCCGCGGCTCAGGATGTAGTAGTTTACAACTCAAACAGAACAGCCATTAGCGTCTGCTAGTTATTTACTTCATTTGTTAAGCTAAAGATTAAGTCTGTATCTTCCTTCCATCTCATCTTGATATGCTATCAAAGCTGTACACATATTGGTTTGCCGGCGCCATCGGATCGTATGTGGATAGAACCTTCCGTCAATGCGAGGTTGAATCGTGTAGATTCGGAGAACTTGATAATCCGGACTCCTGGGACTAGGATGTAGTGGGTCAAAGGAAAGAGCATCTTCCTGGCTGTATTAGCATTGATACAATAGATGTTCGCTCAATGAATCTTGATATCCACTTAACCGCCTCTATTATCATATTCATGAGTCTCTACGACCACACTGCCTTTGGGGCGAGCGCGCTTTCACCTACACCCAAAATGCTTCTATCGTAAAGAACCTACCTCGTATTGTTTCTGGTCAAGAAACCCACAATGTTGGCCTGATTCCAGTCAATCTCCAAGTCTCTACCTGCCGGAAGGCATGGTCCATGTAGTATGGTTCCTGCCCTTGGCGTGGATGATTTCTTATCATTATCGAGACTTTCCATCGGCATCAACCTTGATAATATAAAGATAGCGATTTTGTTGCTCATTGGTACACCCGGCAGTCCCTCGGTACACTTCTGCCTTAGTAGTGTAACTTAATTTAATATTGCGCGCTGGCGACTGACGGGCCCAGCCAAACCGTGCGATTTTGATCTTGGAAAGATCCCTTCCGAGGATTAGAATGCCAGGTTGGCTGCACAGTGTTGGCGACCGTTCAACCCGAGTGCCTGGCTGAGCTACTACATCTAGAGATGTGCAGATCTATCATCCAAATGTTGTGTTGAGCGATATCCGAAATGTGATGTGGGGGAGGGAGATGAGGGTTCCGATGGTTAGGTGTACAGTCATAGCACTGTAACTCTGTTCATGATGATGCGGAACAAAAAGTTAGGTGAATAAACTAGAGCTGCCTTGATGCAATGTGAAATGAGCCAGCCGTACTAACCTTGGTCACATGAAGGTTCAGAAAGTGACTTTTCGAGCGCAACCTGACTCTCGAGTGCTGTTCCAGCATCGACCCTTTAAATTGGCAGACTCAGAATGTCCTCGGTCCTTGGTCCTCATGTAATTAACCCTCTTCACATTATTCAAAGAGGGACCCAAGACCAGGAGGGGGCCACATATTCATTGGGCAATAGCAATCTGTGTCATATCTCTTCCGAATAGGTTTCACATATTGCCACCAGTGTGTTTGCTTGAGAGGACGACGGAGAGTGGTACTGTCGAAGAGGTTCTATGAGATTACTGCCTCCTTCAAGGGTTTGGCGCCCATAAAAAGATAACATTTGGTATTCCCATACAACCCGCGTTGGTCGATAATGAATAGCATGCTTTGCCAAGATATCGTGTTGGCTAGCCTTTGCTATAACTAACCTTTCCCTCCACCTCTTCAAGTCTGGCTGACTGAACCCACCTCCATAGGAGGCCATCCTCGAACTCGACCTCCTAATCTTTCACTTCATCTTGGATAAGACAAATCCTTAGCTCCTTGGCAATTTTGGAAACCGAAGATTCGAACATTCACCAATACTTAGGCACGTGGGCTAGGCGAGAGTCTCATTCATTATCTGCTCAATTTACGAGCAATGCGAGAGCTTGCGGGAGCTTGCTTGCCAACGGACCAATACCTTCGGTAATATAGGTGGAAATCGGCTCAGTGTCTCCCGGACGAAGTATTAGGGCCATCCAGGTTTAGGACAACACAACTCCAAGGGGGCCTTATAATAGTGGCCACAAACGCGCTACAGAACCCCACAGAATGGCCAGTCGTTGGTAGCACACATTTTTTCGGCATTGATGCAAAGGTCGTGCCACGAAGGGCTTTTGAAATGCCGTTTTGAATCGTAGTGCACATACGGGGAGATATTGTTGAAGACACCCTATCTTCTCAACATGGACAGAAGCCAAACATCCCATTTGTTTGTCTTTTGTATTCCTTCTTCTGTCATGCAGCATCGACCCCACTGGAAAGCTTTCAAACACATATCCGATACTTCTACGGGGCGCCTTAAAATGACCTTGTGTGGCATGGCTCCTGCAGATCGATTGGAGATGGTGGTACGACACTGGGCAGCAATATGCTGTAGTTCTAAAGGAAGAGGGGGTTCTTTTCTTCAACATTGGATGTGAGAAGCTGAACGCAGGCCGACACAAGCTGCTAGTTTGTGCTGTAGATGCCCGATGCAGCAAGACGAATGAGGGCGCAGATGGCAGGAAATCGGAAGATCAAAAGCATGATCCCAGCCCAGCGTCGGGCAAAGGGGGAAAGTAGCCAGGCATAGGAAGTTGCCGGGTGAGACACGGCTCCCTGTTGGTTGGTTGGTTTGTTAGCTAGCCAGGCATGAGTTGGCGACTCGCTGCATTGGCGAGGGGGAAAAAGCAATTCCAGGAAGAGTGTAACCGATGATCGGAGGCCGTCCCAACTTCAAAGAATGAAATGGGATGAAAGATCTTCTCTTGGGGGAAACCTCCCGAGCAATAACCAGGAATAAAATAAGGAAATCGCCGTACTAGGTAAGTATAGTGATCGCTAGCTATCTTTGGATTGTGATGAGGAAGATGGGACTCCGAAGGATGGGGGACAGCGTGAAGCAATGTGACTGCAAGCGGGCCGAGGCGGGGGTAGGTGCACGTGATGGGTCATGTCGTAATAGCCATTGGGTGTCCCCCGGCCCATCCTCCTCTTTCTCCTCATCTGCCCCTGCCCCGATGATTGTGAGTTGTTGAAGCCCACTCAACATATTTTCTCGCCGATTTTTATATTCCAGCCCCAGATTTGGTGAGCGACTTATCTATCACGCTCACCCACATATGGCTACAGCGAGCACCGTTGTGAAGGTGCGGTAACTGTCGGAACACCGCTTTCGCCATTTGCCCCATCATGGAGCTGGTACAGAAAGAGCACGATCGGCTCACACGAAAAATCACAGCCTCTCAAGGTCTTAAGTCGGTGCAATCAACTATAGACTTACTTCAGTCAGCACGAAATGCAATTGCTGCAGGTGGGTGCGCCTTATCGGATGACTGTGTGGCCCCGGTTCGGAACTATACTGATCATCACGAGGACTACCCCAGATCCAAGTCAAGCTGCCATCACACTAGCAAAACTCCAGAACCCCGTCAAGTCCTCATTCGATTCCATAAACGATAGTCTCAAAGAGACGCACAGCGGTCTAAACAAATACTCAAAATCTTTAGATAAGGTAGCATGGCCCGGGCTTCCTCTAATGAATGGCACGCGCTAACCACCCTTGTTCTTTCAGCTCTTCAAAGACAGGCCTTTGCCGAGCACTGAACATGACGTCCTTTCATCCCAAGAACACCTTATCAACAGAGCCATCGCCATGCACCTCCTGCGGGAAGGACAGTTTTCCGTTGCGGCGACATTCTTGTCCGAGATGGCAGAAAAGAAGGCGATGAAGAAGCAGCAGGAGGCAGGTCTAAGCGCTACGGATAGTGCGGCTTCGCTCTTAGATCTCGATGAAGTTCCTTCGGGCGAGGTGCGGAAGCAGTTCGCCACCATGTACTATATCCTTCACGAGTTAAAAGAAAACAACAACCTGCTGCCGGCGATACAGTGGTCGAGAGACAACAAGGAAGCCTTGGAGGCAAGAGGTAGTAATCTTGAATTTGAACTGTGCAGACTGCAATTCGTCTGGCTTTTTCATGGTGGGCAGCATCAGCAAGGACCGAGTCCTGGCGGGCGACAGGCAGCTTTGGGGTACGCCAGGAGCGAGTTCCATTCATTCTTGCCCAGATACCTGCGTGAGGTCCAGCAGCTCTTGGGTGCAATGGCTTTTTGTCCCAATCTGCAAGACTCTCCGTACAGGAACATCTTCAACAACCCATCGGCGTGGTCCGATGTAGCGCACTCATTTACACGAGAGTTCTGCTCGCTCCTTGGGCTGTCTGCGGATTCGCCTTTGTATGTAGCTGCCACCGCTGGCGCTATAGCGCTTCCGACATTACTCAAGCTGCAGACTATCATGAAGGCCAAGCGGACCGAGTGGACTACGGAGAATGAGCTACCAGTAAGCCACCTGAACCGTAGATATCTTGCATCCCTCAAACTGACTGGTACGCTCTCTAGGTCGAAATCCCATTACCACCATCGTACCTCTTCCATTCTATCTTTGTCTGTCCCGTATCAAAGGAGCAGACTACAGATGAGAACCCTCCGATGATGATGCCCTGCGGGCATGTTATCGCCGAGGAATCACTCAAACGGCTGTGCAAGGGTAGCAGGTTCAAGTGCCCTTACTGTCCCAGCGAGAGCCATCCCCGGGAGGCGCGAAAGGTATTTCTTTAGTTTGGCCGACACAGGTGCAGGCACATCTCCACACAACAATGGGAATCGGATACACAATTTGCAAACGGGTGTTATGGTACAGGCGCATCTGGGCTGGGCGGGCACGGGTTCTGGGTTGCACATGGTTGTACATACATGCAACTTTTATTGTATTTCCCCCAACGACATAATCATATCAACAATTTCTTATCACTCGACCCCGCGGCCGGTACAAGTCGCGGCCCCTAGGGATCATACCGCCAGAGGACATGACTGGCAACCTGCCAGTGGCCGAGTGAGTCCCTCCATGGTTCCACCGATACACTGCATGCAAGCCCAAGTGTAGATAATACGACAGCGTAACACTGCAGAATGCAGCTGGAGTATGACCATGATCCCCGATGCGGACGAAATCATGAGTCAACGACTGATTCGTAGCGGGACCGGGACCCCCATCCGGTCCAATGGGGCTCGATGAGCCATGTCGGTGCGACCAGTCAACCGGCGATGCATTTGAAGACCAGGAACTTCCCTGTCACCCACGGCTCAGCCTGTGCCCGATCTTGGATGCATCGAGCGCTCTGCCGATCGCGGGTGACGCCGGACCACCGTTTCCGTTGTTGATTCGCTCAACCAGCTCCGTCCCCACCCCCCTTTTTCCAGCGCCGGGGCATCATTGGCCAATGGCTCCCCCCGTGATAGCGCGATCATTTGGCGATGCAGAAAACCACTTTACGCGTCCGATACCTGCCGTTACGCGTTCCTGGCCTTTCCCCTCATCGTCCCCTGGCCAGGCGAGCACAAAGAAGATTCCACCATCTCAGTCGAAATGATACATGTCACGCCCACTCGACCGGGGTCTGAAGATAAAGGATGAGCAATTTCTTTCGGTCCCTCGTCCGACGATGATGGATGGCCTGTGCTCGTGGCCGACTGATTCAGACAGCCCCTTTCCCGACAGCACAAGAAAAGGAGAGGTCAAACATACCTGTATCTATCGACGGGGTTACCATCTTCCTTCCTACTGCGGTTTTATAATTGCAAAGGACCCCTGATCTCATCTCCAGGCTCGAATTTTACCTCCTGGCTACCTTCTCCAGCCTCCCCCAATTAGCCCCCAGAAACCTATTCCATCAGTAGCCGCACCAACAGCCCCAAAATGCTCTCCACAAGACGCTCCCAGTCCCACCACCCGGACAGCTTCTCCTCCAGATACAGAGCCGGAAAGTCCAAAGCACGGTCCCGAGATCAATCCGTCGCATCACGACGTCTCCATCGCCGACACTCCCCCGATACTCCCCCTGATGGAAGGTCCGTCTTCTGCAATGTCAACCCCCAGCATCAATTCACTAACCCAGAGCTTACATGATATATAGAAGTAGCAGCTCTTCAAACCAAGGTGTCATAACCCTCACCATTGGACCCACGAAACGTCTCTTCGCCGCCCACAAAGACATCCTCTGCGTTTCCCCCTACTTCGCTGCCCTCTGCAATCGCCCCAGCGACTCCTCCTCTGCCTCCTCATCCTCAAGTCCCAACCCCATCGATCTCCCCGACGAACAACCCGAAATCTTTTCCTGCGTCCTCGAATACCTCTATCGAGGCGACTACTACCCACGCCTCCGTCACGACAAAACGAACAACACATGGGATCTTGAAACATCCGCAGCTAACAACACCACCACCTCCACCAACAGGGACACAGACCCCGGTGCAACTATCTTCGTTCCCGCCGCCGGAGCAGAGATATTACGAGACACGGCAGTATAGTACGTCTCTCCCCTCCCCTCCCTTCCCCTTCCCATCCCAACAGCCCACCAAACCAAATCCAGTCCCAAATCCCCTAACAGAAAACCCCCACCTTACACAGCTGCGCCGCCCAAAAATACTCCCTCGAGATTCTAAAACGTCTCGCCTTGAAAAAACAAGGCCTCCACTCAAACATCCCCTGTCACACGATCCTCACCAGTGCGCGGTACGCATACGCACACACTCCCGATAACGAGTCTAAACTGCGGGCGCATTATCTAGCTCTCATTATTCGGAGTCGGGGGACGTTTAAGCGGAGTGGGACAATGCAGATGGAGATGGAACAGGGAGGGAAGTTGTTTTTCGATTTGTTTGTGGCGATGTGTAATCATATGGTAAGTCTTTAGACATGATGCCTCCCTTGCCTTTTTTATTACTATTGCTTTGGTCCTCAGTGGTTGAGTGATTCAAGGATGAATGGCTAATTGTGTTGTTTAATCTTGGACAGGATGATCTTGAGGAGGCTGCGAGACCGGATGATTCGTTTTGAGCTAGGACCCTGCTGGTTTGGGTTGATCTTTTACTGTATATCTATTAGTACCATGTTGTATGTTTGTTCATGATTGGGAATTTGGAATTTTGGATGGATCACTATCAAAGTTTGCATGTATGCGTGTATAGTGGTTGCTTGATGTGACATTGTTTCATACATTTTCCCCTCAATTCATGCTGAGACCTGGGGTTCCGAGACTTGTTCTTGCACGGATTTTGGAGTATTCATGACGTATTCCTGGTTGGTCTATCCTGTCTATTTACGGATATTTCAGCGGTCTAAATACAAGGAAAGAAGCATGACCAGCATTTTCTGGATCACCCGTCTATCCGCGCAGCATGCCACCCACAGTATACCACTGTAACTGCTGATATGGAGCTCAGTGAGCGGCCGTCATGGCTACGGATGTGTATAGGAGCTGCTCATGGACCGCCATGGCCCACGAAATGCAAGCTGATAAGTCCTAATGAATATGATGCAGATGTCACTGCTTTATCCGCCAGTTCGGGTTTTGGATCACTGCCGTTTGAGTGTCTGGTGCACTGATAGCCGGATGCTGTTGAGGGAAGAATGTGGGAACGCTGCCATTGAGTAACATGACAGCAACTGGGTATCATGCTTAGACGCCCGTTCCTGGGAATGCGGTGCCGCCCTTGCTCAACACAACCATGCCACGTTCACGGGCGATGTAACCTTTCATCAACCCCTAGAAATTGGTCAATCGAATGCTTTTCTAACGTGACTTGGATATCTGTCACACTCACCTTGTAAATGAGATTTGACAATAGACATTCAACTTCATCAATGTCCACCCGGGATCTTTCATCCGCATGGGTACCTATTCTCAAAGCCGCTGCAAATTCGGCGACGGGAACTCGCGTGCGCCGAATAGGAGCCTGTCCATCCTTGGACTCATCGAATCCACCAGCAATAAAGACCTTTCGGAAGAGGTTTCGCAAGGCGATGTCGCGCCCTCTCTCAAGGGGCAGGTATATGCGCCGCTTAACGAATTCTTCCTCTCCCGCCGTCATCGCGGCATCAAACCCGCCCAGGTCTCCCTTTTTGATACAGTCGCACAAAGGGCGGAAGAGCTTCTCTAAGCGAGGAAACGGGGCAAGAAGCTCCTTGCTTGGCAAGGTGTGTGTGGTGACAAGGTGACAGGGAATGAGATAGGCGAGAATCAACCTTTGGAGCAGTTAGCAAGGTGGAACAAAGACAACATATGGACTACTGACTCCCGGTTCTTGGTCGCATTTCTGTGGCACATCTTCCATGCGTATGACAAATGCTCTTCAGCCTGTTAGGACTAACAGTCAGTCATCTTGCTCCAACAAAAGATGTGCATCGCATACTTCAGCATAATTTTCATCGAGAAAGTGTATAACTCCGACATAGTACTCGAAGGTAACAATATGGGACTTCGGGAAAGCGTCCACGTCAGGGAGGTCGGCGGATGAAGCCTTGAGGGCACGCAGCAGGTTCTTAGATAGGCCAACAGTGTTGAGTCGGAAATAAGTTTTGAACAGGAGATTAGTGGTGTCATAGATCCCCCATTTCCGTGATTCTTCGATCGGAGCCCTAGACAGCGGTTAGTACTGACATGCGCCAAAACCCTTCCAGGCATAGCCTACCTGTCACCGAGACACAACGTGAACATTCGATTGAGTACCCGTGTAGCCTCCTCCAGCTTCGCATGTTTGACGTCAGCAGTAGCATCGTCCTGGAAGCGATCGTCAAAAGCCATAGAACCTTGGGAAGCAAGTTCCGCATCTGCCTTAATGGCAAAGATCCGCAGGTATCTTCCGACAACATATAGACACGGCACCGTCCAAGCTTGCAGTCCGTTTGACGAGTATCCCCTGATCAGGAGGTTTGCCATTTCCTTCCAAGCATCAAACGCTTTCACCCAGCTGGCATGGCCGGGAGCGTCGTCAAATCGGACAATCTCGCCCACCGCTTTCCAATACGACGTGAAGATATCAATCCAGGCCCCTTGCTCTTGTTTGGGAAGCCTCAAGCCATTGGCTTGGAATAGCGAGTAGCGGAGATCGGCGGACACATGGACGGCGTTGGAGAAGTAATAGAACGACTTCAAGCGATCGGGGTACTCCGTGGGTGCGACGGGGGTAAGAGCTGCTGCGAGGCGGGGACCAGAGCCGATCTTCTGGCCTTCTCTGAAATCATCGAATACAGAGGAGGGCATGGCTGATTATAGCAAGCGTCGAGAAGGTCGATCGTGGCGAGAGATTGGGGAGCGGGCAAGCATCCACGATGATCGTAAGTACGTCCGAGCGACGGAGACCAACAGGCGTCGTCACTTCCCGAGTTCCAGGTCCATCTGATGCCGCCGACGCGATCGGAGGAGGTGGGGAAATGGCGGCGCCGTCACGGAAAGCGCCTTATCTAATCACTACCGCCACACTAGATGTGGCTGGTGACCCCGAACGGGAAAGGTGCGTGGCAAAGCCACCCGGTCGCTTAGCCCTAAGGAGGGCTAAACCTAGCTCACAATCAACTGTTCCAAAAATCCTCCTTTCCGCGACGAGTCCAGCCGGCACACCTCTCGTCGACTAACCACTACAGCGTCAACAATCAAAGTAAGCCCTACCTTTTTGTCCTGCTCATCGACATCTAGAATTTGTTACTGACTGAATTTACCAGATGGGTGAGTGAAGTTTTCCAATGATTCTCTGTTGTCTCCCTTGGTGGATCGGCTTTTGCGATGTTCCCCTGCGATCGTTGAACGACACTTGCGAAATTATCTTATCTCGGCGCTATCGGATACATTGAAGTTTGTTCGAAATGGAAAAGAAGGGCGATTGAAAAAAGGATTTTGGCGAAGGGTATATTGGTTCAACCAAGAGGAATGTTGCGGAGGACGAAATTTGATGATACCTGGGCGCACATTGAAAAAAAATACCGCCAACTACCGACAACTCCCACGACAGTCAACGACGTTTCGCACGGAATTAACGCACCGATTGAAGCCATTGCATGAGACAGATCCCGGATGGAAGGACATGGCTGACTGGGATCCCTAGGGCGTCTCACCGAGTACCAGGTCATTGGGCGTCACCTGCCCACCGAGGCTAACCCCACGCCCAAGCTGTACCGCATGCGCATCTTTGCGCCCAACACCGTCGTCGCTAAGTCGCGGTTCTGGTACTTCCTGACCCAGCTCCGTAAGGTCAAGAAGGCCAACGGTGAGATCGTCAGCATCAACGTGGTATGTTTTGCCGTGATGAAACGAGGAACCGGGAGAGTCGGCTGACGCCTTTCTTCTCCCTTAGATCAACGAGAAGCGCCCTACCAAGGTCAAGAACTTCGGTATCTGGCTCCGCTACGACTCCCGCTCCGGTACCCACAACATGTACAAGGAGTTCCGTGAGATGAGCCGCACCGAGGCTGTTGAGGCTCTCTACCAGGACATGGCTGCCCGCCACCGTGCCCGCTTCGGCTCCATCCACGTACGTTGATATTCCCACCATCTCGTCCGAGATGTTGAGATCTAACAATCGTTCTGCAGATCCTTAAGGTTGTTGAGATCGATAACGCCGACACCATCCGCCGCCCTTACATCAAGCAGCTCCTCTCCAAGAACCTCAAGTTCCCCCTGCCCCACCGCGACTCGGGCAGCAAGAAGGTGTTCGCTTACTCTCGTCCCTCTACCTTCGCGTAAATGTGAGGTTATGGGTTTGGGTGAAAGGAGTGTTTGGATGAATGACTATGTTATGGCCATAGCATGCACGAAGGACACGGATCACGCGGACAGGGCGTGTATCCTCAACCCAGGTAATGGGACGGATGGTTTTTATGTCTCTTTAAGTCCTCTGCAGCGACCCTTTCAAGTTATATCAAAAAATACCGGGGTATTGTTTTCAGTTATATTATCTCTGGATGGGATTTGTAGGGTATATTGTAACTGGAGGACTAGTGTATGTTCAGATCCTCCGGTCCACACGAGACGCGGGGGCTTCAAAATCCGAATATTACTCGCTTGGGGTCCCCGGATTTTCACCCATATGAAGGAAAGCTATGTACCAAAGTCCCAAGTATCCGAGCGTGGTTTCTTGATTATTGGTCCGCTTATGGGACAGTGTTCTGACTTCTGTCAGACTGACACTGACGGTGACCTCGGATGGCGTTCTCCGTTAATGGCTCGGATATATGCATGATGGGTACTTAGCTACATCCGACGATGACCAGGGTGGCAGTAGACACTACCTAGACACATTACAGGCTTGACACTATGCTTGCCTTGCCTCAGCTACTTATACTATGGTGCTACGAAGGATTGTTCCCCGCAGGTTTTTGCAGAAATCGCTCGGTATTAACACTTCTGCGAGCAACTGCCTCTGTCCTCTACAATCTAACCACCAGCCGAGACATTGATCCCTGGATTACTGTCTAGCTGACTAGCTATCCAGCCGACTATTGACCGGATTCAATCTCAATTCCGAGTATGAATTTTCCCGATAGAGGTTGGCTGTGTTGAATTCGGACATTCCTTAGAAATAATATGGGTAAGTACTAAAGTATGGCGGACTACGGAGTATAGTTTGACCAGCTGGGAACTGCGAGATGGCAATAGGGAGTGCTTGATAGTAGGTCACATACATCCCGCCACCTGAAAGTGACCCCACAATAGAACCTGCAGTGTGTGTAATTGACAGAATCTCCCATCATCAGAGGGTGTCGATGGTGTCGATGGTGTCAAAGCCAACCCCCGCCAATAATGATGCCGGGGGCAGAGAGGGACCCGTTAGTAATCCGCTCGGAAATAAGTAGTCATAGCGGCCAGGCACGGCGGGCGGCCCCATTGCGTCATGTGCGAGAACGGCGCTTCGGAGTCCGACAGGGAGGAGCTTTAATACCTTTGCCGAAGGTCCTCTCGCCCTCCGCTCCTCCTCCCTCCTCCCCCCAATCCACCATCCATTGAGCCCGCATTGGTGTTTGTCACTCACTGAAAATGTTTGCTCGTCAAGCCCTCCGCTGCGCTCAGCCCCTTAAGCAGGTGAGTCACTTTGTACAAGCACTCCGGTTTTCTTTTTCGCACTTTTGGCTACCTACCGGCGATCGAAAATTGTGCTAAGCGCGGATTACAGGGCTTCCGCAAATATTCCACGGAAGCGCCCAAGGCCAAGTCCTCCCTGCTTCCCATCTACGCCGCCGTCGGTGCCGCCGGTCTCGGTGTCGGTTTGTACCGCTACAACTCGGCCACCACTGCGGCCACCGCTGAGGCCCCCGTGGTCGACCGTCCTAAGGTCTTCAAGGGTGGTGACCAAGGATGGTTTGACCTCAAGCTGTCGGAGATTGAGGTCCTGAACCACAACACCAAGCGTCTGCGTTTCGAGTTCGAGGACAAGGAAGCTGTCTCTGGTCTTCAGGTTGCCTGTGAGTTTCTCTGTCCTGGGATTGTTCAGACTGCCTTGCTCATAATCCCGCAGCTGCGCTCTTGACCAAGTTTAAGCCCGTCGATGCTAAGGTTGTCATTCGCCCTTACACTCCCACTAGCGATGAGGGTACGGCCCCGTGACTCCTCTTGGTCCGACTGAACGCTCACTGACTCGCGCAGAAACTCCCGGCTACATCGACCTCGTCGTCAAGGTCTACCCCAACGGACCCATGTCCGAGCACCTGCACAGCATGAACGTCGGCCAGCGCCTGGCTTTCAAGGGCCCTATCCTCAAGTACGCCTGGGAGCCCAACAAGCACAACCACATCTGCCTGATCGCTGGTGGTACCGGTATCACCCCCATGTACCAGCTTGCACGTGAGATCTTCAAGAACCCCGACGACAAGACCAAGGTCACCCTTGTCTTCGGTAACGTGAGCGAGGAGGACATCCTCCTGAAGAAGGAATTCGAGGAGCTTGAGAACACCTACCCCCGCCGCTTCCGTGCTTTCTACGTCCTGGACAACCCTCCCAAGGAGTGGACCGGCGGCAAGGGCTACATCAGCAAGGAGCTCCTGAAGACCGTCCTGCCCGAGCCCAAGGAGGAGAACATCAAGCTCTTCGTTTGCGGACCTCCCGGCTTGTACAAGGCCATCAGTGGAACCAAGGTCAGCCCCTCGGACCAGGGCGAGCTGTCCGGTATCCTGAAGGAGCTGGGCTACACCAAGGAGCAGGTTTTCAAGTTCTAGACGAGGTGCACATGAAGACTGCAGTGTAATTTTTGAATTGAACCCTGTTATATTAGAACGGTTTGAGCGTGTTGAGCTCTTTGGTGGGAATATATACCTTGTCTGCTTCAGGGTTGTGGGAATCCTTCCGTAGTCAAGTTTGCTTCCAGCAACGCCATGTGAAGCGCACTAAGCAGCCTCACCTAAGATCGGCCTCCAAGACCCTAACCAGCAGGGCTAATCTAAGACCCCCTCACTAGATAAGCACCCAAGCTTTGACAGCACCCCACCAAACAAACAAAGCATCGCATCAGCCAAAACAAACCACAGGACCCCAACAACACCATCGATCTCGTCTTCTCCATCCAAATCTGAGTAGCTACCAGTAATTTCCTGCCTCCTCTATCATAACCAAAAACTATCCATCTTTACAAAATCATACAGACAGTCAAGACAAATGGTGCGACTAGGCCCCCCGCACAGATAAATATATGCCTCCAACCACCAGATCCATAGACACGTTTTACGATAACACGAACCGCGAAGGATGAGAAAAAGAAACATGTTTATATGTAAATATGTACACTGTATTAATGCAAGTAGATGATCCTTAAGTGATGAGTCACAAATGTGCGCGTCTTTGGCGTTGGGGAGGAGGATGAGCACCATGACCATCTGGGTCGATGGGCTGCGCGCTCGGGGGCAGGGGCGGCGGGGTACTCAGGTAGCCGCTCTGCCTACGGTCAGGGCGTGGGTGGGATGGAGCTGCGCGGATGGCGCCGGGTGGGTGTGGGTGGGTGGCTGACCATGAGCAGCTCATTTACGGGGCTGCGATTGGAGAATGGGGAATGGAAAGTGAGGTTAATAGCTTAAGGAGGTCAATGCGACACATGCGCTGGACTTGTGTGTTTGCTACCTAGTCGATTACCCATGGAGGGAACTGAGCAAACTGGGGATCGTCTTCTCTGTTGGATGGGGTGGTAAGCTGAGGAGGTCGATGGTCGGGGTAGATGGCGGTGGCTACAGTAGTGGGTTTCAGCGAGTTTCAGGGCGTGGCATGAGGGAGAGGGGTTGCCAGGCCCGGTGTGCCAACTGCCAAGGGGTCCTGTCGCGAGCGAGTCCTTGGAGTTCAAGTAGGGTGGGTGGATTAGGGGGGGGCACTGGGGCCGGCGACCAGCTTAGGGAGGGTGGCCCCCCTAAAGGGACCCTTCCTTCAGCTTAGCTACGGGGGGGAGCGATCAGCCCGATGGACGGGGGAGGGAGGCGAGAGTCTCTAAGCCCAAAACAGCGAGGGTGGCCAGCTCCGGGCGGGCAGTATTTAGGAGGCCTCGTCCCGCTAAACTGACCCCGCTAGCGAGCGAAAATTCTTCTTTTCTTCAGGTTCCCGTCATCCCTCCCTCTCTTCTTTCTTCCTATCATTACTGCTGCCCCCCCTCCCCATCCCACCCATTGCTATCTGTTCCCTCGGTGGTCGCCACCCCCCATTACCTATCTCAGGATGTCTCGCCGGGAAGATTCCAAGGCCAGAGATGCCACCATCACCGTTGACATTGAAGATTTCACCCGCACCCGCGACAGTGTAAGTTCTTATTTCACATGTCTTTTTGTTCGTTTTGCCTCCCGTGGGCGCGGCGCGCCGGTTGCCTTCCCTAAGCTTATGGTGGCCGGGCGCTGAGCTGCCTCCCCCGTTCACCTTCACCACGCGTCCGTAAACAAAGCCGCCCCCGACGGCGTCTTCGCGACGCTGGCCCTTTGCTTGCTTCTACTGCCCCCCCCCCCCCCCCCCAAAATTTCAAGCATTGTACTATCTGCTTTAGCGTTTGCATTCGTGTCGCTTTACTACCTTCTTCCCCCCTACTGGCCCCTCGGCTTTGGTTTTCTTTGTCCACCGCCCCTTCGCTCTGTAATCCCACCACGCGTCCTTTGTTTCGCGCCACGCCTTCCCCATGGCCCGGCGCGGACGCTCATCCCCAGCCCGGGCGCCTCCATCGTTGCCTTCCACAACCCTGGTGGCGCCTATTTCCCGTGCTACCATTGCTATCAATGCCATGACTTCCGGCGTCCGACTCGCCACCTCGGCACCCAAACAAGCCCCACTAACTCACTCTCAGGTCGTCTCCAGCCTAGTGCAACTGTCGGCGGCTGTCTCGGAGCTCACCAAGGCTTATATGAACCATGCCGATACTGTGCTTGGCCGTACTCCCACCAGCCTGGACATCACCAGCATTAGTGGTATCACCAGCTCTCTCTACGAGTCTGGTCTGCTCGGCGCACGCCCCTCCAGCCCCGGTGCGAAGTCTGAAGTGGGCGAGAAGAAGAAGCGCAAGCGTGCTCCCCCGGACCCCAACGCCCCCAAGCGCGCCTTGACTCCCTTTTTTCTCTACATGCAGCACAACCGCTCCCGTATTGCCGAGGAGCTGGGCTCCAATGCCAAACCCAAGGAAGTCTCTGATGAGGGCACTCGCCGCTGGGCTGAGATGCCTGAAGTCCAGAAAGAGGTGCGCTTGACCGTTCCGCTTCGACCCGCGTCTTTGGGCCATTGCTGACTTGTGCGCAGGTCTGGAAAAAGCTTTACGCAGACAACCTTGCTGTCTACAAGGAGAAGGTGAAGGCCTACAAGGCCGGTCTTCCTTACTCGGATGATGCCAAGGCTGCCAGCCAGTTGCACCAGGGCATTGAGGGCGCCGAGGCGACCGATGTGTCTGATGAGGAGGATCAGGGATCTGAGGCCGAGTCCGAGGAGGAGTCTTCTCCTGAGCCGGTCCGCGAGCCCACCCCCCCGCGTAGCACCAAGCGTCGCCGCAGCGAGGGTAAGCCAGCCGCCAAGGAGGTGTCGACCCCCAGCGAGAAGAAGAGAGAATCTCCCGAAAAGAAGAAGCGCGGCGCTGCTGCTCGCAAGGAGAAGGAGGAGCAGGAGGCCCCCGCATCCACTCGCAAGGCTGCCGCCAGCGACAACAAGCGCACCAACAAGAAGAAGCGCAAGAGCGAGGCTGGTGCCGAGGAGTAAGGGTTGCATTGTGGATGGAGTGACATTGAGATTGGGCGCCCGTGTATTGCGGCCCCTGCTACATGATGTAAATTGCAAATTTGGATATGACCACTGGGTGTAGCATATTACGGATCGCTTGGTTGGGTCTTGCTATCAGGGTTGCTGTTTTTCTCTCGGGCCTGTTTGGCGTCGGACTGTGCACTTTGCGGGGGTGTTCTTTCGTTCGGGGTGCTTGGTCAAAGGTAGTTTATGAATGGAAAAGCTTGATTCTAGCTTACTTGGGCCGTCCTAGACCACTAATACTAGGACTAGTAGTAGTACTTGTGATCTTGTATATGTTGTAGAAGTATAGTACTCGATACGGAGTAGGGCATAGATAGTAAGTAGTATCTACATAGATAGTAGTTGTTCGCAGTGGAGTGGAGCAGCTGCCCGGCGACTGCCGATGGCCTCCAAGCGACCCGACGACGGGCTGCAGCTTGACTGCAAGCCGTTAGTCACCCTCGCCCAGGCGGGCTGCCATAGGTCCAAGCCGGCCTTATCTGGACAGGCGACCGCTTATCGGCCGTGGGCTGCAGTAGTACTAGTAGTATGCGACGATGCGAATTCTGGGAAACCCCCCACATCTCCATCCCAGCCAAACCCACTTCTGCCTCCCCCGATCCGGCGCGCTTTTCCCCTCGTCGCGTTTAAATTCCTTCTTCGAGCCTCTTTCTCTGGGTCCTGTCCTGCCTGTCAACTCTGAACCGAGTCCGGGTTGCGCTCTGACAGCCACCGGAAACCAACTGCCCGCCCAGGATGCATCTGATTCCGAAGGAGGTGCGTTTTCGATCTCTGCTTGGAAATCCCCAACCTCGACTGACTATATTCTTCTCTCCAGCTTGACAAGCTCGTCATCTCCCAACTGGGCTTCCTGGCCCAGCGCCGGCTCGCACGTGGTATCCGACTCAACCATGCTGAAGCCACGGTACGTTGCACATGGACTTGGGTCCACGCGATTCATCTCGACACAACATGGCTAATGAATTTGGTTAGGCTTTGATCTCGTCCAACCTGCAGGAGGTAATCAACCATCCCGGGGAGCTCTCCTGACCACCTCGTTAACCCACCCGCTGCACAGCTGATCCGCGATGGACAATACTCTGTGGCCGATCTCATGTCCATCGGCAAGACCATGCTGGGTCGCCGTCATGTCCTCCCATCGGTCGTCTCGACATTGGTCGAATTGCAGGTCGAAGGAACGTTTACCACGGGTACCTATCTTGTGACAGTACACAACCCCATCAGTAGCGATGACGGAGACCTGGAAAAGGCTCTCTACGGCAGTTTTCTTCCGATACCCCCCGCCGATGCTTTCCCCGACCCCGATCCGGCCGACTACGAACCCGAAAAGATGCCCGGTGCGATCTTGCCCGTGAGGAACGAGCGCATCACCCTGAACGAAGGAAGGAAAAGAATCAAGCTTAAGGTGATGAGCAGGGGTGATCGGCCCATCCAGGTTGGATCGCATTACCACTTTATCGAAACGAACCCACAGCTGCACTTCGACCGTCTCCGATCATATGGATATCGTCTCGACATCCCCGCCGGTACATCTGTGCGATTTGAGCCTGGAGATACCAAGATGGTTACACTGGTGGAGATTGGAGGCAATAAGATCATCCGTGGAGGTAATTGCATTGCTTCGGGCAAGGTCGACCTTGCCCGCGCCGAGGAGATCATGCTCCGTCTGCAGGTGCAAAACTTTGCCCATGTCCCAGAGCCCACCGCCGACAGCGCGCTGGTTGTGACCCCCTTCTCGATGGAGCGCGAGGTTTACGCTCGAATGTTCGGTCCCACTACGGGTGATCTGGTGCGGCTGGGACTGACCAACCTGTGGGTTCGTGTGGAAAAGGACTACACATCCTACGGAGATGAGTGCACATTCGGCGGAGGCAAGACAATTCGTGACGGCATGGGCCAGTCTTCTGAGCAATCCACGAATGATAGTCTGGACACGGTTGTCACGAACGCTCTAATCATTGACTGGACGGGTATCTTCAAGGCCGATATTGGTATCAAGGACGGAATAATCGTGGGGATTGGTAAAGCTGGAAACCCCGATATCATGGACAATGTCACCCCAGGTATGGTGATCGGCTCTTCAACCGATGTGATTGCAGGAGAAAACAAGATCATTACCGCTGGAGGCTTTGACACCCACATCCACTTCATCTGTCCCCAGCAGGTGGACGAGGCACTGGCCTCAGGTATCACGACGTTCTTGGGAGGGGGAACCGGTCCCTCGACCGGCTCCAACGCCACGACATGCACGCCCGGACCCGTACACATGCGCCAGATGATCCAGGCCTGCGACCGCCTACCCATCAACGTCGGTATCACCGGTAAGGGCAACGACTGCGGCGGTGTAAGTATCGAGGAGCAGATCTATGCCGGTGCCGCCGGATTGAAGCTGCACGAAGATTGGGGCTCGACGCCTGCCGCCATTGACTCTTGTCTCGACATGTGCGACAAGTTTGATGTCCAATGCATGATCCACACCGACACTTTGAACGAATCCGGCTTTGTTGAGCAAACCATCGAATCATTCAAGAACCGCACCATTCATACCTACCACACCGAAGGTGCCGGTGGCGGTCACGCCCCGGACATCATCTCCGTCGTGGAACATCCCAACGTGCTTCCCAGTAGCACTAACCCGACCCGTCCTTTCACCCTCAACACTCTCGACGAACATCTCGACATGCTTATGGTCTGCCACCATCTGTCTAAGAACATTGCCGAGGATGTCGCTTTCGCGGAGAGCCGTATCCGCGCTGAAACCATCGCGGCCGAAGACGTGCTCCACGACCTCGGCGCCATCAGCATGATGTCCTCTGACTCCCAGGCCATGGGCCGCTGCGGTGAAGTCATCCTGCGGACGTGGAACACCGCCCACAAGAACAAGGAGCAGCGCGGTCCGCTGCCCGAGGACGAAGGCACCGGCGCCGACAACTTCCGCGTGAAGCGATACGTCAGCAAATACACCATCAACCCGGCCATTGCGCAGGGTATGTCCCACATGATCGGCAGTATCGAGGTCGGCAAGATCGCCGATCTGGTCCTCTGGTCGCCCAGCTCGTTTGGCGTGAAGCCAGCCCAGGTTGTAAAGAGCGGCATGATCGCAGTCTCTAAGATGGTACGTCTCTTCACTCCCATACACATAACCCATATTAACAAAATACAGGGTGATCCCAACGCCTCCATCCCCACCGTCGAACCCGTCATCATGCGCCCTCAATTCGGCGTAAGTCCCAACCCCCTCCAACCCACAACCCCACTAACAAAGACCGCCAAACAGGCCCTCGTCCCCTTCACCTCCATCATGTTCGTCTCTCAAGCCTCCCTCGACGCGGGAGTTGTTCAAACCTACAACCTGCAAAAACGCATCGAAGCCGTCAAAAACTGCCGCAACATCGGCAAGGCCGATATGAAGTTCAATGATATCATGCCGAAGATGAAGGTCGATCCGGAGAGTTATCGCGTCGAAGCCGACGGCGTGCTCTGCGAAGCGGAGCCAGCGGGCACTTTGCCCCTGACTCAGGATTATTTTGTTTATTAGTTGATATCTATGCCGATGGTTGAATGTTGGATATTGGGTTCTTTGACTTGTTATGATATTCCATTTTGTTGTATAGACTTACTTGGACTTTATTTATTCGTTGACATGTTTTCATACGTGGTGATGTGGGGAGGTATTCATGAGGGCTGTATATAGTGAACTGACTGGAGGGATGATGGAATCATGCATGAATGACTGGATGAATTTCTTTCTTTCTTTCTTTTCTTTTTCTTTTTTTTTCTCTCGGGCATAGCACTCAAACATTATACTTACTACTGTGGTTCCTTGGGATATTCCTACCTTACAGCTACGCAACCAAAATCCTATCTAAATATGCCAAAGCACGAAAATAAACATGAAAGAAAGAAAATACATATAAGGAAAGAATGACAAATGAAATCAAAGCTCGATTTCCTCCTCAGTATGATTGTTCCCCGTGGACATCAAAGAAACCGACGCCCAGGCGTCAAAGCTATCTGCTCTCGCGGCTAGATATGCATCTCGGCGGATCTGAGTTGAGATTGATCGTCTCGTATCTTGTCGTTGTCGTCGAGGACGATCATCTGTACCGTCGTAACTGGGGATGGCGGTTATGTCTTCTTCGTCTGAGTCTTGGTAGTGGTGGTGGTCGGAATTTTGTCCGCATTCTTGGGATTTGAATGCGGATGAGCTGAGGGAAAGGGATTGGCTGAGCTGGCTGTTAGGTTGGGGTTGAGAGCTTGAGTTTGGGTCCTCGGGGTGGTCATCTATGGAGGTATTTTGTGGTTCTGGGTTAGTGATTGAAGGTGATGTTGGAGTTACTGGTATGTGCTTGTCTTTGATTTTGAGTGGTCTTTCTGGTAGTGAGTGAGGGGTGGGGCTGATTTCCTCTTCGTCGGTGGTCGTCCAGGAGGAAGGGAGGGGGCCGAGATCATAGAGCGAACGTTCGGGGGGATCGGCGTTGTTGAGTATGTGCCAGGCCCGGCGGATCTCGTCGCGTCGTGCCTTTGCTGCCCCTGGGGTTGAGGCTGGGATGGTGAGTGGTTCATTGATGGGTATCGGGGTGGGCTCGTTGATTGGGTCGAGGGAGGATGGAAGAGGTATCTGGTCTGAGGAGGAAGAGAGTGGCTCGGGGGTAGTTGGTTGAGGATGTTCTGGAACACTACTGTCTATCCCGCTGGATGTTTGTTGGCTTGATTGCGTCCTGAAGGAGCCCTCGTAGCGGGCTCGTTTTCTGGCGCGGAGGTCTGGGTCGTTTGCTGTCATGTCTCGCATGTATTGATCGTGAGCGAACTCAGTGCCGCTGCAGAGTTGACCGAAGAGGGTTTGTATTGACACTCCTTCGTCCCAGTTCATTGGGTCGACTGTGCAGGGGTGGACGTCTTTTGGTTTGAAGGCGGAGACGAGGTCACAGAGCTCGTCGTAAGAAGAATGGCGAGAGTAGGGGAAGTTCTGGGGATGTTAGACGGTGGCTTACAAGTGAAAATGGGGGGTATGCGTACAATGATCCTAGGGAGGGGATTGCCTTGTTTATCTTGAAGATGTGTGTGGTGGTTCACATTGCCTGACCAATCTTCCCCGTCAGGACGACCACGGCTCAGGATGCTTATGAAACTCTCTAGAGACATTTCGTGTGCATCTTTCATACCGTAGGTATCGAGAGAGAGCACATTGGTTTTGGATCGGAACGCATCGACAAGTGCCTGTCTTGTTTGTGAAAGCGCTTGTATATCATGGATACGCTCAAGACAGAGCTTCTCTAGCTTTTCCAAAGCTGACTGGTCTTGGAGCTCGAGTTCGTGAACTTGGTATAGGTCACCGCCTCCCCCGCCTGCTCCAATCTCGGGCATTTCTGAGCCGTCCATTGTTCGGTTGACAATCGGTGCGATGTAGACGGTGTTTCGAGAAGCAGCTACACGGCAGTGAACGCCTGGCTCACAGCTATGGATGCGCGAGCTCTCATCCTCGCTAAGGCAGCCAGACACGAACCGATTACCGAGTTCGTACCCACAAAGGAACGGGGCATCACTGACACCTTGTGAGGCAAGTGACCTATAAAGGTCTATCTGATAGCGATCCACGTGGACCTGGCTGCATCAATATTAGTGCCGCCTGTCGTGAAATGCAATACACACCTTTGAATTGAGGGCTGCCGATAGTGCCATCCAAACTTCTTCATAGCCGAATGTCCAGGCTCGAAAGTAAAACGTAGTGTTGTCCGGATACGACTGAACCTTTGCCAACAGCTCCTTCAGACCCTCTGCCTTAGATGGAAAGGCATGGAATAGATGGGATGGATGGGCAAAGGTGTTGTCAATGTATATGTTGTCCAGTCGCTTGTTCCCTAGGGTGTAAGGGATGAGGACGGGGTGACGGGTGATGCTGTTGACCCACCAAGGTTCAGCTGGAGATTGTTAGAGTCAGGCTTGCAACAGCTCTTGAACATTTTGCGTACCACGGATATCACCGGTGTATAGGATAGCCTTCCCGTTGCCCTCTACCAGGAACATTACTGCGCCTGTACAATGATTTGCATCGAAAAGAGTGACTCGGATTGACAGCCGTGGGGTGAGCTCTAGCTCGGTTGGGGTATTCAACGGGATAGGTCTCTGTTCTGGTGAGCTGATAGGTCAGTTTCCTGCTAGATAAGACGCACCAGAAGCTTCGACAGGTGCTTGTAATGCAGTCTCCGAGACTCTAGAATGCCTTTGCTGAAGTTCATACGATGGGGATATTTTTCGATGCGTAGGAGCATCTGGGAGAAGATGAGAATGCGTGACAAAGCCTCCAATTAGTAAATACCTCTCGAGTGGCCGGAGAGCAGTAGATGAACGTAGTCCTGAAGGACTCCAGTCCTTGAAGATGGTCACTGTGGACATGGCTGAGGAAGCAGGCGAGGGGAGGTGGCCTGTCTGGATTCTTGCGGAAGTAGTCGACTGCATGATTTCAGTGTCGACGTTCCACCCTTCGGGGCTTATCAAGCTCTTACTCTGAATGGAGGGAAATTCTATATACTTAGCGTTAGAGAGCAGGTTTAGCTGCTGGAGGGACCAGAAGTATAGACCTACCCCGGACGGCCCCATCAAAAGTCGACATGGGACGTGGTGGCGCCGGAATGGACAAGGGCTAGAGCGGGATGCAGCTAAATCATCCTGGGGCAGCGTACGTCTCCGTCGACGACAGCAGCACGGAGGATGATGAGTTGGAGAGGAGGGGAGAAGAGAAAAGTGGGAGGCGTGGTGGCTGCCATGGCCGTCGGGCCTGTATGCACGTGACCGCCAATTTTACGATACGGTGAGGGAAACCCATCATGACGACGAGAGTGATTTGGTTTCTCACTACTGTTGTCACTGGCACCATTGGAGAGGGGGACGACGATGATGATATGCCTGCCCGATCTCCAACTAACCTTACCGCCTCTTGCCCCGGACCCTGTCTGATTTGCGAGACATCTTTTTTTCTCCTCGTCGTACCAACCCTTATGCACGAAGACTGACCGGTCCCTCGACGGATGGATCAATAGGCAACTGTCCCCCCCCCTTGGCTAGGCCTTGTGTTCCGCGAGGAAGAAATTATCCTGACCCTATCACGGTGTAACCTGGGGCCCTCAGGGCAAGTACCTACATGACCCCGGCGTGGAAGCCAACGGGCACTGGCAGAGCGTCCCGGCCCAGCGACCAAGTGGCCTTGCAGGGGAACCACCGTGAGGCGAGTGGGCGTCGAGACCCGCTCGCCAGCGCAGGTTTGGTGCCGTCCATGGCTCGAGATTGGGGAGGCGGACAACTTGTCTTGCGATGGATCTTCCTGTTGTCACGGATTTAGGTTGGCTAACTCACAACGACTCCACGCAGTTCGTTTCCTATGCGCTGGTCATTTGCATGCGTGGTCTGGTCGGTCCCCAGGTGTCAGCCGACTGGCACCAAAGGGACCGGGCCTGATATAAAGATGTCCGCCGTTCGCTCTCTCGCTGAGCTCGATTCCTTCGGTCATCACTAACGCTTCTCTTTTGCTTTTCCCTGATTGGGAACAGCCCTACGACCGACAGCGATCATCATCATGGGCCCTTCTTGCAAGTGGTGATTGACAAGTTGACGGATTAGACTTTGGGTCCTAACGGTACCTGAAGTCAAGGCGCCTGGTGGTGTGTCACCTCACCTCATCTCTCAGGAGCCCAACGGTCTCCGACGTCACCGAAGAGATAAACATATAAAGTCTGGGGAACAGTTACCAACATTCCGGCGGCCGTGTTTCATATTTCTCATCCCCTCAACCCACGTGTGATACGGAATTCTATGTGTTGATCCGGTGGAGGCATGTCTTGCTCTGCGTCGGCATCCCCTAAAATATAAACTGCCTGACAACCGTTTCATTTATTGAATGCGGGCCGTGGCTGAAACCGTGGCGAGATCTGACGACTGCAGCGCCCTCCTATTCTTCTAGCCCGTCTCCGTTTCCCGCTATTGCCTGACGATCCCAACGGCCCCCTTCCGCAACCAGATTCATTCGCATTCAGTCCCTTTCTGCTCTCTTGCTTCGATAGATTCCCGTCCTTCCTGAGTTGAGCGAACGATCATTCATCCTAGTGGTCCTCGTCTTCTCTTCACCATTCTCTCTTTTTCTCATTTCAGGATCTACAGCTCGTCTTTTAGTCGACCTCCCTCTCTCTTCGTTGTATATACTTGCCTTTGTCTGGTATACCCCGTTCCTTATCACCGCTCTCCATCACCAACCCTCGCTATCAACACCACCACGAACCAACCACCACCACCATGCATAAACCTTCGCTGGCTCAAATAGTGCACAGCACATTGTTCCCCCGTCCGCGCGCAAGTGATCCGGCCACCTTTTCTGCACATATCACCCGCAACTTGGTTCCGGAAGTTCGAATCGAGACGTCAACATTCTATGGGTCGCTGGACTGCCCCGAGGCTCAATACCCCGGACTTGACTATTCATACGGTCCTCATCGCATGAGGCTGGGCCGATTTCCATGGCACCGCAGACTGTTCCGAGCCTTTGATGAGCTTCGTCTCACCGAAACCGAGATCTCTTCCTTATGTCGCTGGGAGGGCACCAAGTCGGCGCGGGAGCGTTACGAGAAGGAAGAAGGGGTGAAGGTCCGCGATACTACCGCAGATAGCATCCGACCCGCATCCCCTAGTCCCCTCCCCACTATCGAAGTCCACTACGAGGATTACGAGGACGATGAGGAACTCTTCCCGGAAGTGGATCTTGACTTTGATACGTGTGAAACCGTGCGCCCCACCAGCGGCCTCATCGATGATCGGGGGATCGACTGTATTGTGGAAGAAAAAGAAGAGGAAGATTCCAGCGATGACGAGATGGAAAGCTGCGGAGTGGAGCTAAACCATCGCCTGATGGCGGCGACCGCAGCACGCGAACAGGGTGACGACGTACCACTGGACGAGGACTGGGAGCAGTGGCTGAAGGAAGCTGGGGAGCGAGGGAGCTACACCGATGTGCTTAGTGCAATTCGTATGGGCCAGCCATTGAGTTACCTATACGACATGCCTTCTCCAATGCCGCCCCTCGGGAGATCAGGCGTTCGACCATCCGCCTCACTTTCGGAGCCATTTATCTTACCTACCCCATCCATGCTGTCGGGCAGGGCTGTTCGGCGCTATGCTCATTCGCCATCCAGGGCTGGACGCTAGAACCGCCGTTGACCGAAATTCCTTGCGAGTTCACCATTAGCGAACGGGTTCGGCTCCTTTGATCATGCATTTGCGGCGCTCCCCCGGTGGAATATTCTGGCGACCATTTCTCATTGCTCTGCTTTCCCATTCCCATTGCTGTTGCTGCGCTGATAGATTTCCTGTGATCTTGTGCGTCATCATCTCACTCCTACTGTTGTAATACCCCTTACCAATTTGCGGCACCATTTGCAATAGACCCGCTCTCATCGATCGTCTCTAAAAATAAATTGCAGATTAAAATTCCGACGCAAATAGTGTAATGCGATCCGATAGTGCTGTGATAAGTAGTGGACGAATATGGGGGGGCTCGGTCGCCGATTGCGGGTCGATTACTATTATTATCTATCATGTTATGGTGGTTGTTGGAGCTCCCCGCGGCTCCCCGCGACTTGCCAGTTCCAATTCTCCGCCTCGATGCCTCCAATTCCACCATGATCAAGGCGATCTTCTACAGCAAGTTCGACACGCAGGAAGGTGGGCAGCCTCCGTCCATGGAAATCTTGACTCCCGCTCACTGACTGTCTTCTACAGGGCCCAAGGTCGTCCACCAAGTCCCCGATGGCGCCATCGTCCCCTCTGCGACCGCCCCCTCACAGCCCCTCTTCCTGACCTTCTCCGACATCTCCTTCTTCGTGATTCCCCGACAAGAGCTCTGCGGCAATTTGATCCAGGTCTGCACCAATGGATACCGGATTCTGGGTTATCCGATCTGCATGAAGTCACTTCGGTATGACCGGAATGAGTTCATCTTCAATTTCTGTGTGGTGCTCTCCGAGGAGGAGGATTTCAGCACCTACAAGAGCGTCGTCCAGAAGCTAGCGGATCTGATGCACGGATTGGAGGAGCAGAATGGGTTTCTGTCCAGGGATCACTCCAAGTCGGGTGAAGGGAAGGTGTACAGTCTGTGTGAGACACTGATGGAGGATCTGAATAATTACTGCGAGTGCATGATCCCAATCGGTAATTCCTACCCTTTCAGTCCACTGCGTATCAACCCCAGTCCGGGATGCTAACAAGGGATGACCCAGATGAGCTGAACACACTGAACATTAAGCTGTTTCCTGTGTATCCGGCCCCTCCGCCCGTCAAGGCATGGCATGTGCCTCTATTCACGGTCCGATACCAGACCTTCATGGACGAGAACTGGGACCTGACCATGCAACGCGTGCGATTCAGCCAAGCCCCCTTCTGCACGTCAGCCAGCTGAACCCCCCCTCCAGATCGTCCCGCATATCAATGGCGTCAATAGCGTCCGCATAATCTCTATTCTCGCTGACACCGATTTCTCCCTAACGTGCCGTGCCATCCGCCACCTTCTCTACTATGGCTGCCTGTTCCTCCTCGACATCTTCTCCTTCTCGGCCATCTACGCCCCAACCGCACAGTTCAGCTCCACGATCGCCACAGATGAAGACATGCAGCAGGAGTGCGCCCGTTACGTCAACACCATCTTCGCCTCTCCAATCACCGCCGCGTCCGCTGCCCTTGCCCCGGGCTACCCCCCGCATTACGACCCCGACGCCGTCTGGCCACCAGTCGGTGACCCCTTCACCACCAATAGCGCCAGCGAAATTAACATCCCCAGTCGAAGCCCCAGTCGAAGCCCCAGTCGAACTCCCAGCCCGAGTCCCAGCGCCGCCACCATCCCAACCAGCAGTAGGACCACGTCCCCGGCGCCAGCAACTGCCACGGACGACGACGCCGTCACAACCACCACCACCCACCCCACAGAACTCCAGCTCGTCGATGGCGTCGGCATCGTAGAACTATACGCTAGTCTCAAACAAGGCCAAAGCATCAAGCAATGGTACCTCCAACACAGCCGCAAACTAATCCACATTGATATCCGCCGCTTCATCACCTTTGGCATAATCAAGGGATTCCTATACCGCGTGCACAAATACGCCTACGCAACGGGTAACCCAGCCCCACCACTGAAATCCTCCCACTATCACCACGCCTCAACCACATTCCATCTTCCTAGTGGACCGTCGTCACGCGGCCCAGGCACGGGGGCGAACAGTCCCTACGCATCCAGTGCGGGAGACGACCCAGCACCAATTGCACAACAGGGGGGAACGGGCCATCCAACATCAGTCTACAGCGGAAGTCGGCCAGCCACAATCGTGACAATCGAGGGCGAGGAAGAAGAAGACGACATTGATGACAAGACGCTGTCCAAGTATCTAGACGGAATGCACTGTTTCGATCAAATCTGCACAGAACTGGAAATTAGTGAGCGGGAGTTAACGATGAGGCTGAAGAGGTTCCCAGGAGAGGTGTTGATATTGCATCGGTGATGGTGCTGCATCCAACTATCTTTCCCTTATAGAGATGCTTTGTTGACGTTGATACCCATTCAAGATACAGATAACTACCATACACTCCCTATCCATTTACATTAATCGTGAAATAGCATCGTAAAGCTGAGTAGTATTAATAACCCTCCCCTCCCTCACCTATCATATCCTATCGTATCCTATCTGTGAGAATCTAGGTATCGTGTTAGGTTCGTACGTATCCGTTACGTCTGCAAAACGCCTCAGCCATCCATCCATCCATCCATCCATCAATAATAATATTCCTCCCACAACGCCTTGGTCATAACCCGGAAACAAAAGTCCCTCAATTCCAAATATGGAGACACGGCACAACTGAGAATCATGATCTAAAGTATCAGTACAGGCCCCACTCCGATCATCGCTAACATGGCACAGCAAAACAAAAAGATGTACAGCGAAGCAACATAAGCCAAACAAAACCGAGTCTGTTTAAAGTGGATAAAGTGGGCGAATGAGAATCATCACTCTTGTTCTTCGTCCCAGCCCTCGACTTCGGCCTTCTCGTATTCGGCCATTAAGGATGGGTCGAACACGGTGTCGGTCTTCCCCGGCACGCTGGTCTTGCAGTCTTTGAAGACGGGGCCGATGCAATCCCGCCACCGCTTGCGGCGGTCCATAAGGGTGCGGGCAACATCGCCGATGGCAGGGCGGCCGACACCGGCTGCACTAACAACATGGCTGCCGCCGCCGGCGCCGCCGGGGCGGTGTTTGGCCTGTGAGCCCTTCTTGCTCTTGCCGAGAGTGCGAGTGCGTTTCAAGTAAGCTTGTTGCACCTGCGAGTCGAGGTCGTCGTGGATTGTCATGTACTCTTGATGGGCCATGCGTTCGCGGGCGATCTCCAGGAGGCGGGTTTTGCGGGCGCTGTTGATGATCATTTGCTTCTTGAGCTCGCTTTGAAGGAGACGGAGCCGCTGAGCGATGTCGTCATCGTAATGGGCGTCATAGTCAGGGTTGTCATCGGCGCCGAGGAAGCCGACGTGGCGGAGTTCAGCTTTGAGTCGCTCGTCTAGCTGCGCGTGGTCCAGCTTCGCGGCGGGAACTTTGAAGTTATTGGGGGAGGCATCAGGGAATGCGGTTGCCGAGGGGAGAGGCTTGCTCTCGGGGTCCCCAGCTGGGTGGTCTATGTCCATGGAGTCGCCGTTCATGGGGCCATTTGCGACATCGCCGTTGACGGAGCCGTTGGCGGTGCTTTCGTCAGGGGGGGCACGATGTTCGTAGCGCAAAAGGGAGTAGAGGCGGCTAACAACGGGGCCTACGGAGATCTTGTCGGTTTCGAGGGTTTCGTCGGTCACTTGGTCGATATTTCCTCGGCCCTGGTTAAGAGGCAAACGCTCTTTATCACCGTTGGTCTGGTCAACATTCATGAGTCCGTCATCTTCGGCCCACGTCTCGGTGTAGTGCTTCTTTCCACGTCTAGGCATGATAAATGGGGTCGCTCGATCACCCTGTGGCTGTTAACAAATGGCATAACAGAGCCGATGAAAAAGCCCACCTTCTCTTTCAGAAAAGCCATGTCCTCCTCAGTCAACGGGCGGACGTATGGATCGACATAGGCGAGGAACGTATTGGCGCTGACTTGGTTGGTGGGTTTTGCATTGCTGAAATCCCGATCCGGAGGGGATCCCGCCATCATATGACTCAGATCACTCCAAGGGAAGCGATTGACACTGTAGATCACCTTCTTCTCCTCATCTGTCATGTTCGGGGTGACATCGCGAATGTGGTACACGGTTGGGTCATCAAATTTCAGTGGGTTGGGGCCGAACACTTGCACCTGTGGCACGGCCGGCGCGGGTTCAGGCTGGTGCGACTCGGAGCTATCATCGGACTCGGGCGACCCTGCATCATCGGCAGCTTCAGCCGCGGCTGGCCGAGGGGATGTTCGCAACGGAGGGGACAGGGATGAGGCCTCTTCAGAGGGTGCGTTCTTCGACTTTTTGGAAGCTGGAGATGCGGCTGGCGATGAGTTAGCCGGGCAGGTCATAGGACACATAGTGTGTATGATGGAACGCGCAGGTATGGGATGGATGGTCTGGGTTCACGACCGTGTAGCCCAGTGCTTTGGAAGCCAAGCTGCATAGCCATCTGCGAATGGAGTACCAACTTACCTCCTTCTACCTTTGTCTCAGCGCCGTCCTGACGCGCGACATCATGGGCGCCGTGAGCCAGCGGGCGTTCCTCTTTGGAACTGCTTCCGCGCTCCTTTCGCCTCTTCAACTTCCCTCCCTTCAATACCTTTTCCTCCTCCTCGTCATCAGCTTCACGCTTCATCTTCACGCGGTCGCTCCCATCCCTCTCAGCCGATTCCGGCTCCTCGACTACCTCCTTGCGCTTCTGTGATAGCTCCCGGATGCCAGCATTGCATGCATCACTCCGAGTTTCGGCTAGCTGGCTGAGGGTCTTGAGGTGTTCTGTTAACAACTCAAGCGACTTGGAGTCGGGAATCGGGCCGACGCCCCCCATGCGCTCCAGGAGTTCTCCATACTGTATGGCCGAGGGTGTCAAGATCAACTTGGAGGCATCGTTGTCAAGGTAGCTGTGGAGCGGGGCGGAGGCGGTCGGGCCGGCGCTGAAGCTGGAGTTGGGGGTGGTGTTGCGGCTTCGGGAGGGTCGGGCTTCGCGGCCTTTACCCTTGCCTTTGCTGGCGGAGGGCATGTTGACACAAACGGCGGTTGTCGAGATGCGATGCGCGACGAGGGTAGGCAATGAAGTGTGGTCTGGACTGGTGGTGGGACTAATAGCCCATGATGCTCGTGCTCCAGGATAGCGGGCCCTGAAAGTGAACATTAACTCCGGCACAGGATCTACTTGCTAGGATCCCTGCATCGAAGAGCAATGCTCACAACGTCTCGAGGTGTGGTGAATCAGTGGTGATTGTTGTTGATGGTGAGCCTGGATGGAGATGTCGGCCTTCCACGTGAGGGGGCATGTGATCTCACGTGGCAAGTATATCACATGATGTCAGCACATCCGGAGCTCCAGCTGGTCACGTGCGGGGCTACCGAGTCAAGGCTCCACCGCGGCTAGGAGGGACCCGATCTACATCCACCCTGCAGCTGAAGGTAGTACAAACAACAGCGATGAAGTCGGCCTTGAGCAGTCGGCCATTGGCAATTCACTCCCCCCCCCCCTGGCCATGAAATTACACAGGACTACTTGGCTGGTGAATATGGTTGCGTCTGGTGTCCCATCGGCTTGCTGGGGTTTATTCTTAGCCCTTCAATAGAACCGCAGATGGATTCCTCCCGCAAACGTCAGTGACTGCAAACGGCATCAAATACCAGGGTGGTCTGAACAAGCAAATTGAACCTCGAAGAAGCAGCGACCAGGGCAACACCACATCAAACCTGCATGGTCTCTCAGCATAGGCTTGGCCTTCTTACAGGTGGCCGCAGCGACTATCCGCGACGGGCAGTCGAATCGACCTGACCTGTCAGCATTCTTCCATAGACGAGATAATATATTGCCTCTGCCCTCGCATTCTTCCCTTTGCAGTAGTTGTCGTGCGTCTGACGTCGACCCTCGCCCAACTCGGAGCAGGATACGGACGATGATGCTCCCTGGACTTCGAATTTAAGCTGCTGGATTCCTCCTGGGTGACGGACTCGTGCTGGTCGCACGATCGTGTTTCACAATGAGTATGCTCCCTTGCTTGAGAGAATGCTGCACATTCCAGCGTGGATCTCATCCTCCTATCGACGTCGGATCGATCGCTGATAATGTCTCCATCTAGCTGCGAAATCACTCACCACAGTTGCGACGCTCTTCGCAGACCCGAGCAATACCACGGCTCCTCTGAATGTACGTCACAAACGCCCTGGGACTGGTGCGGGGAGCTTACCAGGAACACCTAGGAGAGCTCAGTTTTTTCTCTCAAACTTGAGAGCACCATTCAGACGCTGTCCGAGCAAAATGCCCCGGACAAGGGCCCGATCCAGGGATTACTCTTCGTCCCCCGTCTCGATGAGCAGAACCGGTGCAACAATGCCACCGCTCCGTTCATACCGGCCAATGTCACCCGCCTTCAGGGCGTCACTCAGTTCGGAAGCCGTATGATCGGGCTAGCGCCTTGGGTGAACGACGAATGTACTCAGGCGTTTCTAAATGCCTCGCAGGATCCCACGCCGGACGCGCTGGTCTTCTTCCTGCCGTCCAACGATGACACCAAACCGCCGTCGGCAAATGACCCAGTGTGGCTGCTGGGGGGCAGTGCTGCGTGGCAATCGCGGAGCGAGTTTCCGGTGTACGCAATTCCCGGCGCGGCGGGTGTGACCCTGATGGACCAGCTGTCACGAGATGGGACGACGAACCAGACTGCATTAGCGCAGATGCAGTCAGGGGTTTCCCAACTGATGGCGGTCATTGATATAGGTAGGTGTCAGCGCTGCCGGGCTGGAGCAGCGAACGCTGACACTGTCTAGACAGCGGCGGCAGTAAGATGCCCAGTATCTGGGGGTTCATCCTCGCCATTCTCGGGACGATCCTTGTCCTCACCATCATCCTCCTCCTGTTCTACCAGCTTGTGCACAAGCGACACCAACGGGAGCTCCAGCGCCGCCTCGAGGCCGGGGAAGCGGATCTGGAACAGCTGGCACAGCATCATGTCAAGGTTCCGCCGGAGTTCTTGGAGACCATGCCAATCTATCTCTTTTCGGGCCCAAATGCTAGCGACAGTGGCTCTCAGAATGAAATCGCACCATTCAGGGAGCCGTTGGCGGACATTATTGAAGAGGGCGAGGTAGAGGACGCAGCGAGTCAGCCGCCCGCGTTTGCAAACCAGGTGGCAGACGATGAGCCAGAAAAAGCAACGGATGACGAGTCCGCCAGACGACCATCACAATCCGACCCGGAAGCCGCCTATGCGCGGCACCAGAACCGACTCAGTCGGCTACAGACCACGTGCGCGATCTGCCTCGATGACTTTGTGCCGATGTCGTCGAGGGTGCGCGAGCTCCCGTGCGGGCACATCTTCCACCCGCCGTGCATCGACACGTCGCTGATGCAGAGCAGCAGTCTCTGCCCACTGTGCAAGAAGAGCGTGCTGCCAGGGGGTTGGCTGGCGTATTCGGGAATCGACACCACGATGCACAACGACCCCTACTTACAAACCGCCCACGCCTGATGATGACCGATGACCCTGTGACAAGACGATAGACTGTAGAGTGATACCCGACAGACATAGATACGAATACATAATGAGAGTGTATACAGCCATTCCGACATGATATGAATACATGATCAATACCCTATATAATTCCAAAGTAGATAAAAACTCAAGCAAACTTATCATGCTTCCCCCTCACCCTTACATCCAAGATGGCCTCATGAAAGTCGCCTTCCTTCCTCGCCTTCCGCAGCCTCCGCACTTCATCTTCATCCAACCTCCTGCCCACAATGCCCTCCAACTCTTTCCGCCCGATCTTCTCCCGGGCCTTGATCTCCTTACTCGCCTGGATGCGTGGCTTGAAGCGTGCCTGCATGCGCACCCGGATATTCGTCCCTTCGTTCGAGTCTAATCTAGTCTCATCCCCGCGCACCTCAATCTTGACCCCTGATGCTGTCGTCTTGGATAATACCTCTTTTGCGCAGAGGAATGTTGGCTTATTTTTTCCCTGTCCTTCTTCCGGCGTCTCTGTTGTACTATCGGAGCTGGCAGTATCGCTACTCGCAGTCCCGACATTGAAGAACCCATCCCCGCCACTCTCTGACTCCATGATGGAGAAGATCTCGTGTCGTGAAACGGCCGATGCAGCGGCGGAAAGGATACCGTGTTTATCGCTGGTGAGGTATCTATCAACCCAAATTCTTGTTAGCACATGTATCCACATAGTAGAGATAGCACACAGTCCCTCAAACCAACAACCCAAAGAAACCAAGAAAATAAGGAAAGAAAGAATGCATACTTCCCACTTCCCCCCCTCAAACTCCACCCTTCTATCCCCGCCACCTTGGTCGCAACCCACACCTGCCGAACATCATGTGGTTCCGCGGTCGCGGGATCCCCCTCAATCAGATTCTCGATTTCACTCACGAAGACAGTCCCATGCGCGTCCGTCGCGAGACATGTGGGCGGGTTTGTGCGGAGGACAATGAGAATAGGACCTGAGATATCGGACGGCGTGTCGGCCGACACCCAGGATTGGTCGGATAGAGTGGAGGTGTCTTCTTCTTCGATTGCGGGTGCGGATTGCGGTTGGGATTCGGAGGAGGTGAGTGTAGGTTTCTTTTTGGGTGCGGAGGAGTCCGACGTGTGCTTGCGTTTTTTAGGCTTGTCGCCTTTGAAGGTTAGAGGTTTGACCATAGTGCTTTCCTGGGAGGGTTTTTGACTGGATTGGGTGGTAGGTGGGAGGATCAATGGATAGGTAGAGTATACGTGACTGTGACTGGGGAATGGTAATGGTGGTGATGGTGGTGACGGAGCTTGGGTGGAGAAGATTTCGTGGGCGATCTTATCGATAGCAGTCCCGGTCCGAGTCCAGTTCATCCCTGGGTTCAACATCTGCTCTGGTTGAACCAAGCTACCTCCAACTGACACATCCCTCCACCAGATTTGTGGTGTACCACTCCAAGGTCCTCTGATTAGCATTATTATTTGCTATTGATGGCTTCTTTGATGATGAATTCTCACCAAAGTACCTTGGTGGCCCTAGGTGATCCCCCGGGTCCCCGTCACCTCCACACATCTCATTATATACTGTTGAACCACTGTCAACCGAAAATGAATTCCTTTAAAAGGTTCATTTCGAACTCTGACATTTAATAAACACCGAATGCTTGTAATACTTTTATTCATCATTCATTATACACTATGATAATGGTCCAGCCATCTAATCGAAAGTGATCGCCGCCTTAATGGCGGTCTTATTCTTCATCGCCTCCAAGCACTCTTCCCACTGATCAATCTTGAACGTCTTGTTGACAATGCCCTTGACCTTAACCTTGCCAGAGTCCAGGTAGTCGATGGCAGCAGGGAACTTGTACACCTCGGAGAAGCTGCCCAGGATGGTGATCTCGTCGCCGACTGTGTCTTATTAGCACATCGCAGTCACCAAGACACAAACACGGGGAAACTTACAGATCTTGCTCGGAGGCCATGAGACGCGGTCCTTGTTGGAATACACGCCATACACGACCAGCTTGCCGCCCCTCCGCACATAGTTGATCGAGTCCTCCAGGATCTTGACGCTACCGGTAGCCTCGACCACAATATCAAACCCATAAGGGTTCTCGTCCTTCAGCTTCTGGAACTGCGCGCTGGGGTCCTGGCGCGACAGCGCGACGTATTCATCTCCCGCATCCAGGGATTTGGCCAGATCCATCTTCAGACCCTCCGGCGCGACGACCACCACGCGGCAGCCACCACATTGGCGGAGCAATTGGGCAAGGATCTATATATGACTGTCAGCACCAATACCAACCAGGTTCAATGCAACTAGATGGAAGCAACCTACCAGACCAGTGGGCCCAGCACCAAACAGAAGCACCGACGAGCCCATCTTCGGGGCAATCTTATCCAGCCCATGAGCAGCACAGGAAGCAGGCTCCAACAGCGTGGCGTCCACATCTGAGAGGTTCTTGATCTTGAACACCCTGCCAGCAGGGTAGGCACAGTATTCAGCGAAACCACCGTTCATGGTCACACCGTGGGCTTTAAAGTGCTCGCAGAACAGCTCGTCACCACGACGGCAGTAGAAGCACTCGCCGCACAGCTCGGAGTTATCTGCGACGACGCGGTCACCGATGTTGAAGTTCTTGACCTTAGGGCCGACGGCGGCGACAACACCAACTGTTTCATGACCGGGGACGAGAGGGAACTGTTTCAATTAGTCTGGAATGCACATGGCCCATGAAGAGGGAAGTTTGCATACCTTGGCGATGAATTCACCCTCGTGAATGTGCAGATCGGTTCCGCAGACACCGCAAGCCTTGACCTTGATCTAAGAGTTGGTTAGTGAGTGCCTGAAAAGACACAATGGGGTAGCAACATACCAAGACATCGTTGTCACGGAGCTCAGGCAGAGGAACGTCGACGATGCCGTGCGTCTCCGGCTTCTCATACCTACACTGGTTAGTGATACATCGTGGCCAAACCGACAAGGACTCAACCTACCGGAGGGCCTTCATAGACTGTGGAAGCGTGGAACCCATGGTTGATGATGCGATGAGATATGATATCCTACAGACAGACAGACAGGTCAGCACATAACCCCAACCCAAACCCCAATCCTGACATCCAAATGGACAAGAAAAGGAAAAGACATACAAGAAGAGAGCAAAGTATATGTGATAGCTACAACTTCAGCGAAGCAGCAGAAGAGCAGTGTATTCGAGAGAGCAAGACAAAGAAGATGATGAAGATGAAGATGAAGACAAAAAACAACTCCCAACCGGGGGGGAGACGAGGCTATTTCAATGTCCGCCATCGAGGGGTCCGGATGGCAGGCCGCCGGGCTTCCTGAAGTCAGAGAGTCCATGCTCATACCTATACCGTATAGGTGATTGACCCGATCCACCCACGTCGCATGGCATCCCCAGCAACCCAATCCCACCCAATCCCACCCAACCGAACCCCCAACCCGTTACGTACCCGTACGTAACCTTCCATGCATGCATGAATCCCCTCATCTCTTATCCCTCATTCCGCTACGGAGTATTCCTAAGAGTACAATTGAGCGGACCGAGCGGCCCTAAACCCAGACCATGCTAGCGGGAACGGGGAAACGCTGCCTGGATGTGGTCTGATTTGTCTGCCGAGGAGACCATGGGATCATTGCTACTGTACTTCCAGCTACTATCTATCTTACAGCGTCTTCTACCCCTCCATGCATCTACATCCAATACAGTAAGGTACAGTATACACAGCACATTAGGAACCACCGCCAACAACCATCACCAACCCCCGCTAACAAACTAACAGACTACCAGACTAGCAGTAGTAAACAAAAGTGGACCCACTCCAAAACGCCAAGCACAGCCAGACAGAAGACAATGACTTCATCGCAGAAACCACCAGAAATTACGGACATCAGACTGAGACTGAAAGGCGCCCCCACAGCCTCGATCCGCATGACTTCATTCATCCCCCACTCGCCCGACCTGCCTTGGCTGCCAACCCGCCCGATGGCTGAGTTAGACCGGGACTACTGCTAGACGGGCCAGGTACCCGACCGACGGGCTGGCCGATCCCTGACGATGGTTCCTGATGGTTGGATGGTTGTTGCCCTTATCCAGCCGGAGGACTACTATCTAGACTCCAGAGAGATCGAGTGGGATGACTTCATCGCGGTTGGGCCGAGGTGCATCGGATGGGAAGGATCGAATTCGATCTCATTCTACTCCGTATCTTGGACGCACTATCTAGAGACTTCCAGCAAGGCCAAACAAACTCACCGCTACCCCACCCGCTAACGGGGCGACTAGCGCGGACGAAATGCACTTCTTTACCTTGCTAGTGGGCAGTCGGCCAGTCTACTGGCCTACTGCCCGTGTCAAACTGCCAACCATCGTGCATCACTCGAGGAATTGCCGCTTGCATTTGGCCTCGCAACGCGACCCATCGACTTCTATCGGGCCCGTCTGTCTTCGGGCGTCTCTGCTATGTACTGCTATGTACATTCTCGGTCCGAGACCCTGGCTCTTGCCCGACCCCGCCAGTCTGCCACCCGGTCCGGCTCGCTGGCTCCCTTGGTCGGCACAGTCCCATGACCCCCGGTGCCATCTCGTATCGACTCCCCGTTAAACCTACACCATCCATCAAGTCCCCGGCCACGGAAGCAGGCTCCTTCTCCCCCAGATGCATCCCGTAAGGGTTCCCCAGTGCCACCGACCTGGTAGAAAACAAAAACGCCCAAAAGCCACAGGAATGATTAGTGCTAATGCCTATAATGCCCGTAATCCCGGCAATGCCCCCAAGACGCCACTGAGACTGTCCCGCCGCGTCCCAAGATTCGAACCCGGGAGTCCTGCTCCCTGTCTACTTCAGCCCAAACCCTTCGCTGTTCAGCACTGCATCCCACAGCACCTGCTCCAGCCTCTCCCGCGTCTCATACCTATACAGTCCCAGCTGGTTGAAGCATGTCCGCGCGGTCGGGAAACGGCTCGAGTCGTCCCCCAGGCACACCAGCCGGATCGAGAGGCTCGTCGCCCCCATGGCCGGGATCCGATCACTCCCCGTTACAAACGACAGGATCTTCCGCTGCGCCTGAGGTTGTGTCTGCTCAAAAAAGTCCCAGAACCACCGCACCACCGGCTCCGTCTCCGGCCGCGCATTAGACCAGTTGTCATACGTGGCAACCGCCCGCAGGGACGCCACATCCAACGGCTCGTCCGAGCCGCGCACCAGGAGCTCGATTTCCTCCGGACGGAAAAGAGAGAGCGCATTGCCCCCGCACACTGTGAAGAACCCCCGTTTGAACGGCTCGAATTGCCGCGTGACCGCCGTGTCCAGCAGATAGTGCACGTACAGATCTACAAACTCGCGGCGATTGGCGTTTGTCACCGGCCGGTTCTCGCCCCCGGCGCAGAGTGGCACCGGCACCACCTCGCCATATCGATCTACTTGCGCGACAAAGTCGTAGCAGAACGTATCCGTAACGTCCCCTTCGAACTCCAAAAGCGCCCGAAGTCCCTTGGCAAGCGCGGGTCGGAGTTCGGCCAGATCATCCAGGCTGCACTTGTACGTGGGCCGCGTGATCGATGACAGCGGCGCCGCAGCTAGGAGCTTCTTAAATGCGAAAGGAGGCAGAGCAATGTCGAGAATAGTGGAGTTGTAGATGGCAAGCCCTAGTAGCACTCCGACGAGGAAGAACTGCTCCGATGACTCAAAGCAGTATGGGTTGAAATAACAATACCGCGAGTCGTCATCGTAGATGAATAGCCCTGTAAGACATCAGCCGACTAGTTGATAGGGTGTTGGGGTCGCACAAGGAACATCCACCTACCGTGATGAGGATCAAAGATTTCCCGGACCAGCAGCAAAAACCATTCCTTGCGAAGACCTCCCGCATCAACACCCTCTTCGCCCAAGAACTCAATCCGAAGCCCCTTCTTGATTTCCTCTTGGCTAGAGCCAACCACTTCACTGACCCCACGAAGGCTGTCTTCGACCAAACAGTCGCGCCGCACCTTCAGTACGAGATACTGGCTGATCGCCGTCCGACTCATTATACTGTTGAAGAATGCCTCGCGGGCCTTGACCTCCATCTGGCGGCGGGCATCATGTTCGAGGATATGGATCTTGGCCCAGATGCTCAGGAAGAACGGATACTGACAGAAAGAAAACTTCGTCGTCTTCGATTCCCAGGCCTCAAAGTCGGCCACGAGGTCGGAATAGTCCAGCAGGGTGTTGTAGAAGGAGCTGATCGGAATCATATGTCCTCGCCGACTGGCTTGATGTTTGGCCGCCGGGCCCGCATCTTGGCCGAGGATGCCATCCGGCTTCCGAGTAACGCTCGCGTTGTTAGCCGTGAAGAGCAACGACATCACGCGGGCCGCAGCTCGAACCTGCCAGTCATCAGTATAGACCACGGGCCGGTCGCGCTTTTCATTCCCTGGTTTATTGGGGCTCCTGCCGTTGATGGCAGCATGCAGCTCAGCCGGAGTGTTGCCGGCGGCGCTAGAAAAGCTAGGCACCAAACTATCGTCGTGCTGCGCCGACTCGCTGCGTTTCCGGCCATGCTGGCGTGCTAAACGATGGGTAACGAAGCTACCGGCAAGGTCGACGATCTTCTCGAATTGCCCAGCCGAGAAACGCGAAAACCAGGAAACGAGGTAATGATGGCAGTCATTCGGCAAGTTAGCCAATAACCCCATTATCCGCTTAATAATGCCAAAATGATGCCCTGGACCGCTGCTTCGGAGTTTCGGAGGTGGCTTCAAATCACGAGGTGCTGGTCTCGAATTGCCATCTTTCGGATGAGAGGGTCTCCGGTCACTGCGGGCCGCTGAAGGTGTCAAAGTGTAAGCCGCCAGAGCTGGACTGGACGGATGGATCAATGGGTTTGTCAGTAGCATCAGTAGAAATCTGATATCCTCGGGCTTTTTCAAAGGCCGCCTGGGCCGTTTCAGGAGGTTCTCTGTGGCCTTCAAGAGCGTTCGGTGCAAATGCAACCGTGATTCGGTGATCTCTCTGTCGACCATTGCTAGGTCGATGGTGTCCCATTTTTGAGCTCTGAGGACGTCATCTTCTTTCTTCACCTCAAGGGGCTTCATCGTTGACCAAAGTTCGACCCATGATGTCCCTGCTATCATGATCATGTTGTGCCACTGTGCAAGTTCTGCCCAATTGATCCGAGGGCTCCGGGAGGAAACGGGTCTAGACGAACTCGAGGACTTCTCTCGGCGTTCTTTCGAACGCGACGGATGTGTGCTACTGATCTGTTCGACTTCGTTCATCCACCAAGATGAGTTTTCTGCAATATCTCCCAGAAGCAGCAGCTTCGGATCTGGCTCGAATGCTACCTGGCTGGGGGCCTGTGCAGAGCTTGGTTCCGCTTTCTGCTTCGGTGGGCTGCTGTGATCGGCAGTTTGCAATGTCGGCTGTACGGTAGTAAAGGAGCTATTTAAGCAATCACATCCTTTGAAGGAGGTGATGATATATTCCTCGAGCGACCTGAAGATGTATGTTCGACGGGTGGGGATCTTAGCGTCCGAACTGTTTAATGGTGCAGCATTCCGAGGCGAACGATCACGCCTCGGTGTGTTTTGAGCATCCCGACTTCTCATCTGCGAGCCTTTCCTTTCCCCATGAGCATAAGAAGGCGTCAGATTAGGCTTCGAGTAGTTCGGAATTCCGCCCATTGTATCCAGCTTCATGGGCTTACTGGACGTAGAAGAGCTACCACCCCGTGGGTCCACTGGCTGCCGAGGTTCAGACAAATACCCGGACGACTGGTTCGGGGACTGTGACAGATTCTCATCTTGCGCGATCTCCAAGCGCTTTCCACTATAATTCTCGAGCGATGGGTTTTGCTGCTGTGGAATATCGAGGAGCTGTTGGAGGTATTTGGACAGGCATTCGTCTAGGATAGTCTTTGTTCGCTCGACAGAAAGTGGAATAGCTAAGCGACATCAGTTCACCAATTCTGGAGTAGACAAAATCAATATGTGAAAAACCTTTTCTGGGCACCACTGGGGTGGGTGCTTTCCCATCATTTCCTGAAATGCCATGGCTGCCAGTCTTGTCCGAGTCCACATACGGCTCCAAGTCGTTCACAGTCAAACATTCTGTGCACCGAAAAACCTTGAGATTTCGCGGCCAACGCACCGTGCTGTTGCAAACCATGCATTTTCCCGAGGTCATCTCTTCGGCAGCAATCGGACGCGGGGGCCCCTTACGAGGGCTGGAAGAGTGAGGATCTGGCAGGTACGTAACCTCATCATCATCTTCATCATCGGAGTCGAACAAGAAGTTATCCTTTTTAGAAATTGACCGATTGCGCCGTTTAGCGATTCCACCGAAGGGCGAGGGGAACGGATGACTGATGGAACGAGAATGTCCCCGACGATACGGAGGCGATGTGGCTGGGTTCCCAGTCATGGACGCTTGGCCTGGAGCATCTTGTGGAATCCGATAGGGCGAGTTTCCCTCTGCCGGGAAAGGTATCGCAGCAGGATGGATGTGGCCGGACGGAGAGGCGGACGTCGGAGGATGGGACGGGTTATATGGGGACCGTGACGGCATATGGGCACATTGGTTGTACTAAGCTTTCGGTGAATAGATTGACTTGCTGTCTGGAGCGGCGTGGTGTTGCACAGCGTGGATCCAGCGGAAGATGTATAGTGAAAGATGTGGGTAGATGCCGGGGGAATTGAGTTGCAACGAGCAGGGGGGATAGCGGAGGTGGCTCACGGCAGCAGTGAGAAAAGGTGCTTAGGAGAGAAGTGATGAGGTAGCTTGACAGCAGGTCCAAGTAGCTCGAGAAAGAAATTGGGTAGCTTATTGTGGAAGCAAGTGATGAGTAAGGTCGAGGGGAGGGGGGGGGAACTATGTAACGTGAGGAGGGATGGGATGTAACGTGGACATGGACGTGGACGAGGAGAGGAAGAGCCCCTGGAGCCAAACCGGACAGAAGCAGGACTGGGGACGGGAAGGAAGGAAGGAAGGAACGAAAGACGTCAGGCAGGGAGGGGAACGAGGGATGGAGAAAGTGGGTTGAATCCCACCTGAGGGGGAAGTTGCAAGACGATGCGCCTGCCATGAATGGCCGGCGATGGGCGCACGAGACTTGGGTGCCTGAGGCCAGCGGGGAGTTGCTGCCCCCCTCTTGGCGGCGATGGACGAACCACGGGGCCGAATTGGCCGCGCGGTGGGATCAAGGCAACGTCGGGCGCCTGGACGGGGTTTCACTGGGAGACGCCAGCGCTACTATTTTTATCAATGTTGGCTCCATCCTGCTGGCTTGCAACCAGCGACTCTCATGGTAGTGGTCGGGTCTAAGACTCCGGTGGGCTTGGTGGTCCTGCCATCCAGACATCACCACTCAAAACCCAGGTTCTCAGACAGGGACCCTAATCATACTCTGGAGTATACTAGGACGAGCAGTAGCGCCGGCTTTCCCACACTGGCACACCATGAAACCAGGCACTGATCTGCAGAGGCAAAACCGGTCTACACTCTACACAATACATAATCCGCACACGAAACCCTCTCCCCGGACCCTGAATACGCCCCTACGAGCTGCAGATCGTTGGAAAGGCAAAAAAGGTCGTCATACTTCGTTAGGTGGTGAACAATACTGTCAAACTGAGAAAATGAAAAAGGTATTTTGGCTAACATCCGATCCAGAAGATCTGTTGCATTATGCTCGTACCCCAGCAGTTCAAGGATAGACCCGTAGATGCGAGTTTTGATCGAAATAGAAACATCCACAAGATCAAATTTTTCCCATAACCAACAACCCCCTCCAACACCCCATCTACATTTAACGGTAACGCCAGTAGCTCTGGGTGTTCTGGCGCTTCCAGGTGTGGCGGCGGCCAGAGCGGGTGTTGTTGTAGCGGTGGCCCTTGTTGATACCACGGGACTTCTTGCCGGTGGCAGTGAGACCACGAGCCTCGCGGTGCTAGATGACACATTCCAGGTCAGTACAGTGACACTCAAAAGGCGGTCGGACGATGCCCAAGGATAGCCTAAACGAACCTTGTGCACAGCGTTGCAGATCCAGTTGATGCGGGCATCGCGGCGGATGGCCTTGTGCTGGGGGTCGACGAGGATGACCTCGAAGTACTTGTAGGTGGAGTCCTGGTTGATCCAGTAGGAGTTCAGGACACGCAGATTGGCGCAGCGGCGGCCGACACGCTCCTCAGCGGTGGCACGGAGAGCGCGCTGGTACTTGAGCTGGTTGATACCCATGTTGGTGGGCTTGCCTGTAGGTGGGCATGAATTAGTTCCAATCCTGGTTCGGAGTCGACGGACACGCTTGTCGTAAAGCGGTGTCTGTTCTCTTCTAAGGACGAGGAATATGCATACCGTAGGTGGCACCCTTGGGGGCGGGCCTCTTACGGCCACCGCGTCTCACACGGATACGGTAGACAACATAACCCTGCTTGGCCTTGTAGCCGAGACGACGAGCCTTGTCGGGGCGAGAGGGGCGGGAAGCACGGTGGATAGCGTTCAGCTGACGGAGCTATATTGATGCACTCTCAGCAAAGTTCAACGAGTGTATAGCAAGACACACGAGGCCCCCAAGGCAAGAGTCTCTCTGTTGTGCCACATCCATCCGCCGGCGAAAAAGTCGTTTCGAGCCGCCCAGTAACACCATTTCTCATAAAGAAGGTATCCTATGGCAAACTACACGAGCCCCCGGCGGGATGTTAAGCGATCGCAAATTGGAGGGGAATTCTCACCTCCCAGCAACGGACACGCAGCAGGAAGCGAATCACGTCGGACTGCTTCTTCTTCTGGATCTCTTCCACGTACTTGAGGGCACCCATCTGGACGGCAATCGAAATGTCAGTTTCCGAAAATCACGGTCTTTTCGATGCTTCAGAGTAATTCGTTCTGTCGCGGCGAGAATAACGGCGGGATTGGTGCAGCAAACGTACCTTGTCGGCGTGGCTGGTCGTCGATTGTCGTCGGTTGTCACAGCTGAAAAGTTGCAGGAGCAAGATAGTCTCTTCAACGACCTTGTGTGTGGGACGCTAGAAAATTAGGCGAGCCCCCACACTCACCAATCAGACCCATATGTTTTCCTCCGTCTCTGCCTGAGGTGCCTACTGTTCACCGCCTTCCGTTTCCTACTTTTTCCTCTCTTTTTTTTCGGCCCTAACCTTTAAGGCAACAAGGCAATAACGTCAGCCTCCACGGCCGAGGATCCTTGAACAGCCACAACCGTCTATGAACGACACATGATTAGACTTATCCTGTGGCATCTTATAATGGGTGTGGGTGCTAAAAAATTCCTATATCTGGAAATATACCTACGTTGTGCTCCTACCCAATCCTAGACAAAGGGATTCAAGCTATCCACTACATATGTATGGAAGTGTGAGACGAGTATTCAATATGGACGGAAAGGAGGGCCTAGGAAAGGTAAAGCCACCGTGTGGACAGGCTGAGACGTGGGTAACCACAGCTACTACGTAGTACTGAGTGGAGCGCAGAACCAACTAGACAACGAGGAAATACACCTTTGGCACGGAGAAGAAAACTGTTTCAAAGAATTCACATTGTTCTGATTGCTCACAGCATAGCCCGAGGGCCAAATATGCCCAAGCCCTCAGACCATCAAAGCTGAGTCTATTATTAGGTATCAGCACTAACGACAGGTCATAAGTCTTTCTTTTTGATCCGTTGCACATGATTTCTAATCTCTTGAAAGGAACACATTAGGAAAGAGGGATGTAGAAGAAACAAGAGACAAATAAACGAGGAACGCAGCAAGGAAAGCGGAACCTGGATACATGGAAGCGGGGTGTGTGGGTGGTCTTGGGCGTGAGCAAAACATAAAAATAAGATTTGAACAGCGGCAGAAGAAGTGAGCGACGGGAAGCAGCTGTTCTCGATGTACAGCAGTAGGCATCAATTTGTACAAAGAAACCACACGGCAATTCTCAAGAGTTGAGCGACAGCCCCTGAAAACGACCCACCCATTCCGTCGGAGCAGTGTGTAGGCGTGATGGCCCAGCGCTGGTGCCCGTACCAGCGCCATAGTCCACGTAACCGGAGTCTAAGGGACCATAGCCGTTCGGTGAGTATGGAGACGAAAAGGGATCCGCGGAGGCAAGTCCGCCTAGTCCAGGCTCTGGCTGTCGAGAGGCTTGGCCAAAGGTTTGGTACGACTCCGTATAGGCATTGCGCAACATGCCCATCTGGTTGGCGCCAGCATCTCGTCCAGTGTCCATGCCCTCACGAGCATGACCGTAGATCCTGTTATCAAGTGAACGATCCACTGGCGCATCGTGGCTGTAGGCCAAAGGATTCGGAGCTGATAGGCCGGCACTGGGGGGCGTGACAAACGACGCCGGATTGATAGCCGACATCCAGATTCTGGTTTTGTAGATTTTGAAAAGATCGGTCACAAGCGAGTTGAAATTGATGTAGGAATCCGCAAAATAGTAGAAAGTGAGCTTCTTCCAGTCCCTGGATAATGGGTTAGCACGGGGATGGCTAGGCTAGATGGGAGGGATGGACTTACATCTGGAACTCGGCATCGAGAATCTCCATATTAAGCCGATGCTCTGAAACCTTTTGCTGACAGACCCGCTTAGCCTTCGCTTCATTTCCTTCCTTGTCGCGTAACGTTAGTATTTCATGATTCTGGGCAAGGCGTTTGATTAATTTAGGCTTGATGTCTGCAGCAGAGTCCTGCAGCCCGTGCGGACCATGCGGACCCATACCACCAATGGCGCTCCTATTGTTTAGGCCTGGTACACCCCCAGACGCATTCACCACATTAGCCGCGCCATTCTGACCCTGCCGGGAAAACATCATCAGCCACTTGTAGTGCTCCTCAGCATACTGTTGCTTCAGCTCCCGAGCTCTTTGCATAGACACATTAGCGTGCTGTATGGTGCCGAGGTCCGTACCACGGTCCGCTTCGACAATGACGAGGTCACCGGGTTTAACCTGGAGACCAGTGTCTTCCTGGATATAAAAGACATCCGCCCGGTGACATTTGAACGTCACGATATACAATAGCTGGTTCTGGTGCGGATGTGCGAGGCCAGGCTGGTGGCGGCCGTAGGCGTTTGGCATCGTATACGCTTGGTGAAGGGATGTCGCCACCGGGGAGGGGCCGTCGGCGGCGCGGAGAGCTGGGTCACGAGCAAAATAGGCTTCTGCAAATCGACGAGCTCGTAAATACTCCGTTTCCATTTCATGTTCCTCGGGACGAGGGGCCACATGAAAACGTGGATACTCACGATTCTGGCCTTGGACAGTAGAAAGAGGGCCATCGGCGATGTTCCCATAATCCTCTTCTCTATCACCCATCCCAGCCCTAGAACTAGCGGCTGCCTGTGATTCCCCTGAGACGGAAGCGTGTCGGATAGGAATGTCCGCGAAAGAGTGGCGTCGACTCTGAGGAATATCCACCATACTACCAAAGCCGAGGGTAGTCTGCCAGTGACCCTTGCGGACGTTCTCCAGGGCGCGATTCTCAAGTGGTGTCATGGGAGCGAACTGCTTCTCCAGGTTTGCTGAATGCTCGGAGAGTCTCCTCCGGGCGCTGCTATGAATGTTATTGTAACCAGGAATATCGCCAACCTCGTCAAGGTCCTCCACTGCTAGATCTGTCTCCTCCGGGACACTGCCGCGAATGCGATGCAAGTTATGAAGGCCATTGCCAACCACATATCCACTAGCTGCAGATGCAGACGACATGGCACGATCCCTCATGGTATTGTCCATCTGTCCTGCTGCCTGGCGTAAGAGCGCATTTTCCCTCGAGAGCTGTTCAATGGTCCGGGCTTGGTTGGCTGCATAATTGCTAAAGCTACCGTCCGAGCCATCGGGGCTTCCAGCATCATCGTCATCATCCTCACGCACACGTCCGAGTGTAGCGGGGTCGTGACCCAACTCGCCAAGAAGGCTAGGTCGAGACGACCGATGCTGTAAAGCGGAATATTGGCCGCCATTTCGGGGGCGACCGCCAGAGTAAGGTGTCGAGGACTTGTTCGCCATAAAGTTTAGGAACTCAGGATCCAGCTGACCTACCGAGTACGACTGCGACCGATAGGTTTTGGGAGTTGGGTGTAGTGGGATTGAGAAAGGAATAGCCGAGTCGCCCGCGGTTGTACGAGTCGTGGGACTCATCAAGTCTTCCGTAAAGTAGTTGCTCGCAGAGGACATAGTTGGGGACGGAACTATTTCCGCCAGTCGGGGCGGGGGCTCCTTCCGGGACTCAGTATTCCAGATACCAGTGCCCCAAGGAAAGGAACTGTTTCCTGCATGGTTCCAGGCGATAGAGCTACCGATCCCGGGACTCGTGTTTGGCCATCCGGACTGGTCCGTAGCGGGGCTGCTTGGGATAGAGGCGCCAGACGACAAGGGACCATTGGTGGTCAACGACGCTTTTCTGGTGATAGTAGCAGGGATCTCATTCAGCCATGACGTACGGCGCGCAGGTTTCGGTGCTGGCATACTCGCAGACGCGGCGATCTGCTGGGAATGATCGCCGTCGTCATCAGAGGATGCCAAAGCCTCGGAGTCAGGAGTAGACCGACGGACACCAGGATGGGTTTTCTCTAGCCTGGCAGACACGTTACTGGTCGGAGTCGACGAAGTGACTGACTTGGTCACCTGCGAAGAAGGTTTGCTGGATGGCGCAGCCATGGTGTATATCTGAAGCAAAAAAACTGCGACTGTAGATCAAACGCGCTAGGCTCTTGAAAGACGACGCGTAGCAAAGTGCAGAGTACACTGGCCATAACAAGGAAGTCAGTGAATGCTGAAGAGCGCCAACATGGACACGCCTTGACAGATTTCCCGTCCCAGCATGCAACCACGGGTCAATGGAATGTGAAGTGAGATGGAAAGGAAGGGTGGACCAGGGTGAAGGTAAAATAGGGAACCGTGCAAGAAGAAAGCGAGGAGCAGTGGAAAGTGCCTGCGAGAGAAGAATATAAAACGGATCTGGGGTTTCACTTACAGTGAGGACTGACGTCAGGGGAGGGGGATTAAAATGTGAATGGTTTGTTCCGTGTAACCGGTACCCCTCAGCCAATGTAAAGGACGGTCTGGAGGATTCACTGGGAGCCAGTCAGTATCTCATGGCAAGCCACCTATGCTTGTAGCTGGAGTCCATAGGTACTTACCTTATTGAGATTAAAAATCAGATGGGCGAAATGCAATGAAGCCAAACACTCTAATAGTAGCTCAGAAACCGCGCCGGGAAATATTATTTCTTTCGAAATAAAGATAAAGCTGATCTCCGAGAGGTATAAGCTTTTGCTCGCCGCATGATTAGTTAGTCCAGTCTGCGCAATACTCGCTGGGGCAAAGACCAAGTCAAGGGCTGGACAGAAGAGCATCAAATAAGAATCCAAGGGGGAGTGCCTAGAAGGATGAACCGGGGAACGGATCCAACGAGGGAGGGGGGGAAGGCAGCATTGAAACCAGGAGAGGCCCAGGTGCAGCTCGTGTAGGCTGAGTCAGTTGGGGAAGGCAGCAGCTGTCGGTGGCGAGACGGACAGCCACCACCCATGGGCCTGGGAGGCGCCAACCTGTGAAAGCCACCCCCGGATCATATGACTCGCGGGACAGAGCACCAGAAACCAGCAGAACCCCCGTTTCACATGCTCCCCAACGGGATCATACTATTCCCATGCCTGGATTTCGCAGGGTTTGCCCCGATTCAGCGACTCCTCCCCGGGGAAATATTCCTCGAGGAACCTCTGGACCTGGAACCCTATCAGGCAATCGCTGCCCATTTCACAGGATTCCAACCAGTCGGGATGGCAGAAGACTCAGGAAGCCACGCAGATGATAGTTCCCCGGGAAATGCGGGGGGAAGGGGGGCGCAACGCGAAGCGTACAATAGACATTTAATACAGATGGACGTACCTTGGGGGAAAAAAAGTACAAATTCGGATCAGACCAGGAACCGGTATAGAAACTTGGGTATCGCCAACCGTCCCAGACAAGTAGAAATCGCAGAAAGTCGTGATCGCGTCTGCTGGCGCATCCCTCTTTGATCAGCAAGTGTCCTGAACGAGCGCAACTATACATCCAGCACCGGGTACTACTTACCAATCTAATGGGGAACAAAACGAAACTTTTTGTACCGTCTATCCAACATAAAACACACAGGCAGTCAACCCGATCGTAGAACCGGTCCCAGTTGTAGCGGGAGAATATGCCCCAGGCGAAGCGACCAGGCTTCGATCTAAACAAAGAAGGTATCGTGTAAGATGGCGCTTTGCGACCAGTCGTAAGGCGAAGGAATCGAGGCAGGTCGGCCTAGAGGGGGGCTTCCACCGGACCAACACGAATCGTTTTTTGACCTTTATCCTTTCTTTTCTTATTTTTTTTCTTTTCGATGCGAAGGTGTATCTTCGGCACGTCGCTCCAGAAGACTTATTATCTTACTGGATCTCGAGTCGCGATGGAAGGGATCAATAAATGCGCGGTATGGGGAAGTGGTAGTGTGACCATAGACGGATAACGGTGGCAGGCAAACTGGCTCCAGTAACTATGGGCAGGTCCTCCTCAAGAGCAGCGCATCTTGAGACTGACGAGCGACGATCACAGCAGCAAGGGGAGCGGGAGAACCGTCAAAGGCGAGAAATTATTCTGCGACCCGACCAGAACGAAATAGGTGGTGGACTGGTAGTGAGCAGGCCCCTTTTAATCCCAATGCTGGTATGGCGCGAGAATGGAGATGGTGTTGTGTGCGTGTGTGTGAGTGCGGAGCGTTGAACGTCGCAGGTCGCAGAGACAGGAGCGGCAGCGTGGCTTCTGCAACGTTGCTTGATCAATGACGATCTTCAGATTGGGGAAGTAGTGTGGGTGGTGTGGTGTGATCGCAAGTCTTATCGACGAGGGTCAAGGGGCGATAAAAGGAACAAGAAAATGGGCGAAGAGCAATAGCTAGGAGGAACGGCGGAGGAGGAGTAGGGAAGTACGACGAGTTGTAGAGAAAAGAAGATGGAAAGGACGGGGAGGGAAAGAGGAGAAAGAGGTCAAGAGGTTGTACAGTCGTAAGTTGCGTAGGATAATAATGCAAGCTAAGGGAGGTAGCTCTCAACTAAAGGTCGACCTCAGGCCACTGGACGAGCGACGAAAGGAGGAGACGACGAGCCACGGGTCGGAGCACCGAGCAGCAGTGGCGCAAGTGAGCAGTGAGAAGAGATGGAAGAGTGGTCAAGGAAACTATGACTGAGCAAGTTAGATCAGGATTGGGGGACTGGGGAGTGAGTGGTCTTGATTCTTTTTATCCTGGTCCCTTCCAGCTGCCAATCGCCCAATATTAATATTTGAAATTCATTTATTATTATTATTTAATAATTTTAATTTCCTGCCCCGTGAAGTACAGCGATCGATCGTGGCCCGGTACCTTTTCCCTCCATCCACACTAACCACGGCTAAGGGGGGCGACTACGTACCTGGAGCATAGGATCAATCTATCGCTCCAAGGCGGGGTAAGAAATCTACGTGAGTCTAGATACCGCATGGAACCATAGGCCGCAAGAGGGGAAGGATCCTACGCTCGGTCGGGTCAGAACGAGGGGCAATGGGTTCGAGACGTCGGACCGTCTTATGCATCCTTTCAATCTGACGTCCAGTTTACGGGGAGTAGGTAGGGAGGGGGGGGTTGAGGGAGGGAAAGGAAAAAAGGGGGGGTAAAGAGAAGTAAGTTAAGGGAGGGAGAGAGGGAGAAGTGAGTAGCAGTATGACAGGCAGCAGGCGACCAACTACCAAGAGGAAGACGAGGGCAAGAACCGGTCGGTCGGCCGTGGATGGAACGCCCGTGAGTGGGCCGGGCGGGCCTCGCTGGAGAAGATCCTCCGCGCTTCTGACTGGCCTGGGCAAAATGCCCCGGTCGCCCTCTCAGCATCGCCGGATTCTGAAGCGGGGCTTTTGGGGGGAGGAGGGGAGCTCCAGAGCTGAGAGAACTGAGAAGGTCTCTATCAGGTACAAAGCCAACTAAGTATCGACCGAAGACAGTATCGACCGAAGACAGCTACAGAACGAACCTGGGAAACACTGCCGTTGAAACCCTATCTGGTCAGGGCCTAGGGGAAAATCCTGTTGAGCAAACGCCCGATCCAACCCGCGCTGGGGTTGTGGAGGCTTGGAACTGGCAACATTGGATCTGATGGAAGGAGCTTGGACGGGGGAAGCATGGAAATTGGAGGGATTTGGAGGGATTTCACGGCCGCAACACTCCCAACCAGAAACCCCTTTCCTCCCCTCAAAGGGTCCATTGCAATCATGCGACATTCGACGGGAACCGTGAATGGCATTATTATTAATATGAATATCTTCACCCTTGTTAAAAATTATTAAAAATCAAGTAGTCTCCAACATCAGGGTGAAAAAGTGCCATGCCATTACAAAGTACAGAGTAGGCGGGGCATTAAACAAAAGAAAAGAAATCTGTTCAGTGTGAATTTATTATTTTCTTTTTCCTGATCAATTCATCATGATCGGATTTACCCTTTCTTTCATGCATATTTACGGGATGAAAGTTCTTTGTGTCATTCCGCACTAGGGATTCGTCAACGTCATACTGGCGTGAGGTTACACGGGGCAATCCTGGGCGACTGTCAAACCAACGCGAATCAACGCGCCCATGGCCAACCTTGTTGCCTTGCAGTTCCCCCGGGCTAAAGTAAGTACTAACTATGTTAAGGGTCGAGGGTTGAGGGTTGACGATTGTTAACGATAATGATGACCTCCCATACATGGGCCTTGCATGCGCCCCCCCTCTCTTACCCGGTCGAGTAAGTACTTACTCCTCCTTCTCCTCCATCTCCTCTCTCGAGACTCTAGTACTAGACCACTAGACCACTACTTCCCTTCTTGACGGCAATCATGCACCAGGTGATTGCGGGGGAAGCCCCGACTAGATAAGTCGGAGGTAAGGGATGACGATCCCATCGATTCCCACTCGTCCGTTTGGCCCATTCCTGTTGCAGAATCGTCTCCGTTGGAAATTGCGGAGAGAGCTTTCCCGCGTTCGGTTGCCAGCCAACCCTATTTTCTCTTGCCTGTCCACTGTCACACTTCCTTATTTCATTCCTCCCAGTTGGTCTTCTCTTCCCACCAAAAGACCGCTCCAGAATCTCCCTCGGATTCCGCGCATGGAATGTTCGCGAGTAAGATGCCAAAATCCACGGGACCGGAAGCGAGGCCAGCCCTGGTCGGGGCCGTTGGGCCCTTCTCCCAGCCCCTCGTAAGCGATGAGGCTTGAACCCCGGCCCACGGATCACTCTGGAGTTGCGCTACAGGGACCGACATGATTATTAGCGGGAATGCAAGTCTCGGGGTTTCCCTCATCTGACTTGTCTGAATGTCCGATTGGGCTACAGCCACAGCGGAGTGTACTACCCCCTCCCCACTATCTACATATGACTAGTGCCTACTTACGATCTACTAGTAGGTATCTAAGTACTGTGTAGTGTAGATAGGCGCGGCACCGTGGCTCGTGGCTCTTCGTGTCTCGGCCCCGAAGAGAAGAAAGAATATACCAGAAGCACAGACTGACACTCCATCGTTCTGGCTGCTGAATGCGGACTGCCAGGTACTTTACCTCGAGATATGTCTCTTTGATAAGATTGCGTCATGTCGGGTCCGATCTTGCAGCCTCCTTATCCAGAATATCGAGAGCCTAGAGCAAGTCCAGCCCCTTCCAGTTCAAATGCTGACAGGGTGGGCATTTGGCTGCCAATTCCCTCGTTGAAATGCGGGGGGATCTCATCGGCCATCGGGTTTGTGGCCCCTGCTGCTCTCGCATGAAGTAGATACTGTCTGTATAAACCATCCACGGAGGAGACTTGGAAGAAAGATCATGGCTCATTAATACTGTCTATATCTCCACGTTGCTTGTCCGACTCATCCGACTAATCCTGTATTTCGTCGTCCGGTTGCTCCTCCTTCTCCATCTGCCTCACGATCACCACCCACCGGATTTTACTGGTAGTTCGTCTCTCTTTGGCTTCGTCCTTCGCCCATTCGTCGTCTTCTTTTTTCGATCTCTCTCCAACCTTCTTATCCCGCTCACGGCATGACTTTTCCATCTTGTGCTGCAATCCCCGCATCTCCATTTCTAGCTCTTTCTCGATCCTGGCGTGCTTTGTCGGATGGACGTACATTTTTTTTGGCAGCCTGGTACTGTACTGTACTTTACGCATCTCCTTCGCGATCTTGGCAAATTCTTTTGCTCCTTTTCCGCATCCGTGGCCTTGTTTTGTCCTTTCTTACAACCTCTGTGTCGCTTCCTATCGAGCTTCCTGATTTGTTTGACCTCCTGCTTCTCTGCAAACGAGGCATTCATTCGTTTCAGAAAGTTGGTCTGTACCACGCGATCAGGCAGACCGTCAAACTGTAATGGAGCCACTAAGCCCTCCAACGCCTTCAATCTCTGGAGCCTAAGATCAACAGGCATCATCCTAGGTACTGGAGCTTCCCCTCCATATTCCTCTTGCAGCTGCGCGACGCGTCCCGGGTCGATCTCGTCCAGATCATCTACATTTTGAGCACCGGTATGGGACAATGACGAGGAAAGTACCGTGTCTGCTGCTCTTCGTTCAAGTCCACCTTGGCCATCATATCCTTGGTGCTCAGGATGGTACAGTGCAGGCCCCTGGGCCCAAACAGTTCCGCGTTTGCCGCCTTGATGTAGGCCCGCGTGCGACCGTACGAGATGCCTGCACTACTGAATCCTGAAGCGATCTGCATACCGATACCAGTCAATTGGACGGGAGGAAATGGCACCATGGACAGAATGCTACCAATTGTCCTGGTCGCTTGGGGGAGGGGGTTGGTCATTGAGTCCGTCGATAAAGGGCAGAAAATCTTTCATAGTTATTCCAGCTTCTGCCAGTGCAGAGCTGTAAGCTCGCATGAAGGGACTATAGAAGGTGCCGCGGAAGGCTTTGCTGGTTTCTATCAGTCTGTCAGCTTCTCCGTGGGACTGGGTTGGACTAGGAACGACATACGTGGAATTACAATAAGCTCTGAAGCGGAGTGAGACTGACACCACCCTGCCTGTGGATGGGACGACTGCGATGTATGAGGGATGCCCGAGTATGATTACTGCGTACATGAAGGCCGGTACTCTCGCACAGGATCGACTTCATTATACTCTGGCAGCGGTTCAAAGTGGAGTTGTTCCGCACCAGACGGCAAGTATGCCATTGTATCTTTCTTGACATCTTTCTATAAGGGGAAAGAAATTGAGGTATATAGAGGGTATCTTGGAAATAAGTGAGCTGATATGAGCAGACTATCAACCCTCCCCCTCTCCATCTGGGGAGAACAGTCAGTTATATAACCTCGAGGACTCTATCACCATCCCATCACCCCAGACATTTAAATACCAGGCCCTCCTGAATAAAGAAGATGCAGCGCTTGGATCGAGGCTGTGATGTCTCCCCTCTTCTCGCACTCCATCCTAGAAACAGCCTAGCGCCACTCTCCAACAAGTAACCAACACACTATTCTTCTTGTTTCCTAGTAGATATACCCTCCAGATGAGGTTGTGGCTCAGCTGTTATGGCAAACAATCAGCCCCCTCATCATCGGGCTTCGACGTAAGGCTTTTCTTCGTACTCTGCAACTACTTCTTCATCCGGGTAGTGTTACGATGGAAGGGTATACCTCCCGCCTACGATAGTTCTTAAATACATCACCAGCAGGAGGGATTCATTTATGCCACAAATAACCAGGGAGGGGTATATCTTCCCGTAGTAAATTAATCAAGTATTAATATGCGTGCGCGACATTCTTCACAGACAGGAGATTTCACGTAGTATCTAGTCCTGTATCAAATCAATCAGAAGGAGACTAGTCACTTGTTACTCGTCAAGCACGTATAGAAGTTACTATTTCATTCAGATATAAGTGCTATATCATACTACAGTGAAGATACTAGAAAAAGATACTAACCTATAGTGCTTCCCATCCCCACGGTCTTTTTCAAATATCACTGCATCCCCCGTGAACAAGAAATAGTTCAATAGTAGTGAAATGTGTGTAGGTTCGGACTAGACAAGTTGTCTACTCCGTACCCAGCACAGTATAATATATATTCACCATCATACACATCCCACATCCCACATCCCACTTACAACCAACAAATCAAACCCACCAGTTATATACTTATTCACCAGCCAGAATCCAAATACCTCACACATCTTAGATATGAGTATGAGTATGAGTATGACCTTTGACCAACCCTCAAGACCAAAGTACCACCTGGAATTAAATGGGGTACCTCCACCTCCCGATATCCGCCCGCCCCGCCACTAGCCGCTAAGGTAGTAAGTACCTGAGTGGCAGAGTAGTGCACTTCCGGTTTTCGTCCTCGCTTTTTCGGAGGAATAGCCCGACTCGGAGGGAGATACATAGGACCCCGGGCTCCGGTCCGGACGTGCAGTGTCGATCGTTGTTACTGGGTTGGTTTGGAGGGATGGGAATGGCTTGTGGGGGGTAGTATCTCTTGGGGTTGATGCTGTGAAAGAGGCCATTGGAATGATTAGAGACTGTTGGAATCAAATTTCTATAACTCGTAACGCAAAAGCGGTATATCCAAGATGAATGAGTGAAACATAGAATACAAGTGAAAAGATTAATTGAACTAAGGAGCCGAATCCAACGTGCCCTTGCCACCCGTCGACGCAGTGGCAGCAGCGCCCTTCTGCTGGCGCAGCTTTTCCTCGAACTTGGCGAACTCGTGCATCGAGATCTCCTCTTCCTGGTCCAGCACTTGCTCCACTCCTTGGACCTCCTCGATCTGTATACAATTAGTTTCACTCCAAGATCAAAGTACAGGTGATGGTACTCACGTAGTGCATCAGCATAGACTCGATACCATTGCGCAGAGTCACGGTACTCGAATCGCAAGTCCGGCAAGCTCCACGCAGCTTCAGCAAGACAATACCGTTCTCGAAGCCCCGGAACTCAATGTCGCCACCATCCTCCTGGATGGCGGGCCGGATTCTCGTGTCCAAAAGCTCCTTGATCATTCCAATAACCTCATCTTCCTCCTCATCATAGCTCAGAGACTCCGACTCACCACCCTCCTGTCCATGCTCAGCACCGGTCTTGGCAATAGTGTTCACGATAGCCTCGCCCGAGGTCACGGCCTGGGTGATGAGACTGAAGACCTCGGGCTTGATGTGGGCCCAGTTCGAGTCGGTCGCCTTGGTCACAGTGATGAAATCAGGTCCGTAGAATACGGAGGTGACACCGTCGACGTTGAGCAGGCTCGCTGCCAAGGGAGAGGGGTGCGGAGCAGCGAGGGTGGAGCGGGGTGACAGGTACTCGAGGAATGTGGATGGGAAGTCCTCGGGGAGGACACGATGGTTAGGGATGAATTTCAATGCCTGTCAATTCGCATACAAGGTCAGAGGTTTATTCGGTTTGTCATGCTGGTGTTACGGGAACCTACATCAGGGTTCGGAGTGTTTTCTGTCTGAATGAATATCGTCCGCTTGCTCGACGGCGAGGGTCCGTTCACACGAGCCTGCACGGTCGAATGCTGATGAGGCTTCCAGGTCGGCCGGCGACGAGCCTCGGAGGCAGTGATGGCGGGCAATCGAGCCGAACGGTGGACACTTCTGTATGATCCAAACACCGCGGGTCGGGCGACCTGGGAGGAGCACTCGGTGGCGCTCAGTTGCTGCGTCGTCAATCGGACGCTAAAGAGGGTGCGCCTGAGCATGTTTCCGGAGGCCGAGCTGACAGACATATTGTTGAGATAGTAGAGAGCTGAGTGGCGTGTATCTGTCTCGTTCCTAACCGAAGAAAAGCATCCAGATGGGAAACTCCAACGCTTTCTTCCGACCGCCCGGCCTCTGACGCAATGAGCGCACGTGACGACCGGCGAGTTTTGCTGACAAATTGGCCGTGGCTCCACCAATCATCAGTCGTTGGTTTGACATCTCGGCTCCAGTTCTTCTGCTCTGGCCTAGGGGAAAGTAATCATTTCGGCAGTAGATACGGAGTACTAATGTAGATTATTTCACTGGCCGGCGAACATGTCGCCAGTACTAAGTTGTAGGTGACACGGCGCCGCCTCTCAGCTGTGTGGCACTCTGATTATAGCTGCGTTATGCAACATGCAACATGCTCTTGGGTCCCCTACCCTGGTGGACCAGCGTCGCCGTGAAACAAGCCTTCTCTGGCTCTTGACCCAATTCGGCCGCCTCGGGTGCTCCAACGTGTCCAGCACGGGGCGCAGAGAGACCCCGCGGTGACATACTTTGCTAGCAACTTAGCAACTGGTTTCTCCCCGAGATCAAACGGTGATATGTTAATCGCATCGACCGCTTGTTCTGTGCCCAGTCTTGATCCGACTTGGCGATGAAACTGGCGGGTGACTGATAGCTGTCTATGTCGGTCAAATGGGTCCTGCTACCTGGCGCGGGGATGTGTTGAATGACCAGGCTCATCATGGTACCTCTTCCACGGGCGACAACGATCTACGTGACTGAGCGGAACGGTACCGGGGCCATATCATGTCCTTCAGTAACGGGGCGATTCCTAGACCTAGCGAATCAAGGAGCATAAACACCCCCTGGCACCACTCGTACTTTTGCGTTAATCCTTGGACCTGGAAGAACTGCGCACACTGGCTGAGAGGAGCAAGCAGGTGTTGTGCGCCCAAGGTCTTCATTTCAGGCTGTGTACAGTACATAACTGAACGGCAGACCTGGTCGGCATAGTGCTCAGCCAGGGCTGTGAAATCCACGGCCACACCAGAGCTCAATGGAGAATCCTTATTCGTCTGAAAATGAGTGGGACAAGACGGGGAAGGTGTAACATCGGTTCTGGGACAGCCAAGGACGCCGAGAAGCTGATCAACTAGCGGATACAGTAGTATCAGAGTGGCCCAATAAATAAGGTGCGATTCGGCGCAGGGCAAAGAAGCAAATTGAAAGGCATCGGAGAATAAACCGGTGGCAAGATGTGCTCTGAAACCTTCTCGCAAGGGCGCGTCATGAGGGAAAGTCGATGGCGTTCCAAGTTTCTTCTGCATCTTGAGACATGCGCGGTGAAGCTTTTCTTCCAGTGACAAGCAAGAGCGCAGCAACTTTTCACCAGTCTTCCTATCATGTTTAGGGCTCTCCAGAGCTTGCTCGATGAAGCTGTCTACTCGTTCTATAAGAGCGGAGCATTCGGCTAAGATGTCCGTCAGCTCATCAATTGGCTCAAGCTCTGCCGAGCCCCGTGCTGAGCGATCTCGCGAAGTCAGCACATTGTAGAGAGTGGCAGCCTTGCGCCTCCCCACGGCATCACATAACTGGTTTGTCCAACGTCAGCAACTTTGAGTTGTTCGACAGGGATTGGCTGATTGATCAATCCGAGACCAAGGAGACTGACAGTGACGAATTTGAGTTGACGTTGGAACAGCTTCTCTGCGACAGTCTCCTCTTTCTGGCTAGCACACTGATCGATGATTGCGTTGCTGCCTTGCACATGTGCTATCCATGCCATGAACCCCGGAGGTGACGAGTGGATCAACTTCTCATATCGTTAGGTCAGCCGCGAGGGCGGATTGCTGGGTAGCGAGGGTGGTGCGCTTACTTCATATAACTGAAATATTACTGTTGTGTATAGAACATCTTGACCAAGACCTTTGCCAGACCTGATCCTGCCATGCATGACCTCCATTGAGGTGCTATAGAGCTTCGTACTATACCAAAGTAACCGATCATCCTTGTGTTGTTTCGCAAGAAAAGCGGAGGAGAGCGACATGACCGCTTTATCCAGAAGAGGACTATTTCCACATAGCCCGGGGAGAGATTCAAGGATGTTTGGATCGGTGCCATCTTGCAGGTTCCTTGACGTAGGAAGAAATGTCTCTATGAAGGAGGTGAGCAGTTGCGATCGGACCGCTGCATTGAGACTCAAACGAGGGAGCTCCGGCTCCACTTGCGTCAATTGACGGTCGGCAATCTTCCCGGGGGTTGGCTTGGGGCGGCGGACGAGCTTCAGATCGCCCTCCTCGATGGCCTCGGGGGACTTGTGGATGAAGACCCTCTTCCGCTCATAGCCGGTGCAGACATGGCCATTCTTGGTGCAGCGATTACATTGCGGCTTTGCCTCGTCGCACTAGACAAGGATCGTTATCAGACGGCTGCTCCTGCTCCTGCTCCGGTTCCCGAGGGGCTTGTTAGAAAGATGGATTTTACCTTGACTTTCCGTCGCCGGCACGTATTGCAGCCTGTTGATCGGAATGGAATGCCCCCCATGGTTGGTCAATTCATCCAGGTCCGTCAGACCGCAGACGGGAAACCACGTTAGAAGGATGGCTTTCATCCGGATGACCGAGCCATTGTCAAGACTGCGTCTTTAAAATTGCCGGACGCATTGTCGACGCAGAAAAGGGACCGCTGTAGATACTGTTGCTGGGACTAAGGGGACTGTCGTCATGGCCCGCGCCACTTCACGTGAGCCCCGATGGGCTGAGTTTGTTCCTTTTTGGTCCACTAGACGATCGTCCCTGACGGATTCTTATCGGCCGTTAGATTCCTTTACATCACCAGCTTTTGCAGCCACATATTATTTCCCCAGGACACTAGGTACTATCCCTGGTCCACGTGTCGACGTGCTCGCTCCATAGGACCCGCTGCGACCGGCCGAGGCAGGACAATGTTCTACAAAGTTTGACTGTCGCGCAATTGGCACAAGGTTTGGATGGGAAGTTGGCGATAAAATGCCCGGCACTTGCGAGGTTTGTGTTTCGGAGCCTTCGAAGTACCGATGTCCGACTTGTGGGCTTATGAGGTATTCTTGTGCTTCTCATCAACTCCCATGGGAGGGAGAGAACAATTTCGTGTACTAATGCCATCATCCCAGTTGCTCCCTTGCATGTACTCAATCCCATAAAATCTATTGCGCACCTAAAGCACCATCACCCAAACCATCCGACCAAACAGGCGACGCACAACCACCTTCAGGGGAAGCCAACGGCAATGCGACCAGTGAGGTGGCATCTAAGGCTCAAAACGGTCTCGACCTGAGGTCCTTAAGAACTTCAACCGAGCTCAAGGATCTACTCGATCGGTTCCCCTCGCTTCGTGAAGAGTTGTACAAAATCTACAAAGAGACGACGGAAGAAGCTTGGCCAGAGACACAAAACCATGGAGGTCGGGCTCGACCCTGGGGAAGAGGTAGACCACCGCAACGTAACCGTGGACCTTGGACGCGTGAGAAGGGATTTAACCGAGGAGTGGGAAGGGTGAGGAAGCTACGGGAGAGATGCGAAGAGGGCCTGGAGACCGGAAAGAAAGCAGAAGGCTTTGTGCGGTTCATGGCTCTGATCACTGGAAATGAGATTCCACAGGAGGGCATGTGAGGGTCTGCAGGAGATGCGAGTCCTTCCGCAGGATCCTACGGATATGTGGTCTGCGTCTGGGTGCTAGTTAGCTACACACCCCTCGTTGATATGTGCCGGGGATGAGTGGTTCTGCTGTACATTTGCTAGCGCACTCAGGGCTCCATGGTGTTGAGACAGGCCAGGCGGACTTGTTCGAAAGATGCGGTCCTATTCCAAGGATGCTAATTATAGCAAGCAACTAGCAACCTCGGTTGGTTTTACAGCACCCGGAAGCCATTGGAGTGACTGGTCTTGGAGGGTATCCTCTGTCCGATCGACATGGTCCAAATAGAGGAGCTGCAATCCAAAATAATACCTTACATTGTCAGCCCCAGGTCTAGCCGAAGCCATCGTACTTTTGTATTGCTTGACACTCGGCCATCACTGACATATGTTACGCTCATTGATCTCTTAACAATGTCCCCGAGTCCCCGACGTGTCTATAGGTCCCCGAGATCCTGTCTGGCCATTCATGTGCGCAACGCCAGTTGTGCGAGAGGTGAATAGATGGACTTCATCATGCGAGAAGCCGAAGAGTGCAACGCACGAGACTGGTTGGTGTCCCATCCGGACCATATACGTGAGTGATTTCGTGGCGTCAATGTAGATATAGGATGTATAGATCAAGCACTTGACGACGGGGATATTGTATGCTGGCTGACCGATCATGTCATGGCCTGAGGCACCAAAGCCCGTGTGTCTCCCGCTCATCCAACAGCAAGATAGATGTGAGTACTAGATACATGTAGATACTTCGTTCAGGGCCACTGTATGTTTCAAGCTCCCAACTAAAGTTTAGTAAGTGATAGTGTGAAGTATACCAACGCGTGACCCGAACCCTGTGGACAAAGAACCAGCGAACAGGCATCCCGGACCGCGCATTGAATCAAGTCGATGCGCGGATCGGAGACTGGGCAAGCCATGTTTCAGACTTTCAGCATGTCGCTGGGGGAAGGGGGATCGATTGATTCGTCCGGCTTACGCAGGCATCTAGCCGGACTGAGCGGCCTCAACATCGCAGATCTTGCCAAATGCCTTCAACCTAGGTCTCTTCTTTTTGCCGGCATGAGGAGGGAAATGGCGGGGAAATGCGACCCGTCTGGAAGGATTCTCGCAATGCCGCCAATCGTCCATTACCGCACCTCGTCACATCTGGCCCCCTGCCAACGAGAGGCCCCGACTGCTGAGATCTGAGCAATTGCCCTCACCCACGGTCTTTGCCTTGTCTGATTCGCAAAGGCATCCGGACTACTTGAGCTAGTTACAGATCTCCCCGTCTTGGGTACCACTGGCTGTCGGGGAGAGATCCGACGGTATTCGTCCCGAGCATCTCCGTCCATTCAATTCAATAAAGGGATTTGGGGGGGGGGGGGGGGTGTAGTATGATTTGAGTATGATGCTCTGTAGGGGAAACTTTGCTGGCCACCGTGTGTGGTGGGATTGAATGGATGGTATTTTTGCCCGCGGCCTCCTTGCCGACTAGCGAGGAGCGATTGGGGTTCTGGATCGGTGGTCGGAGTTGGGGAGGAGCAACTACATACGAGTTAGCATAGTTAACGCGACCGACTTCCGTAAGACTACTACTAAGACTCAGATCACAACCGCCAGCCATTGTCATTTCTCTGGCAAACGGGCGGATTGACTGACCTATGGCGGGGTCTGGTGTTTCTAATAATAAGAAACCATATCCTACTACCTACGTATCTGAATACTACTATTATTATTACTGTTAGCAGAACCAGACTTGGCCGGCCCTCTCCCCGCCCCCCCCGACAGAATGCCCCAACTCTGACGGACTGTCTCTTGGGGGCTCATTTTTTCGGTCCAGTGACATCGTTCCGCCTGCAACTGGCGGTCTTCCTCCAGCTGCTCTCTCTGACACACTCCCCTCCTCGCCTCTCTCCATTCCTCTTGCTCCTCTGGTCGATTTCCCAACCCGATTCCTCTCTTGTAAGACTTGTGCTACCCTCTTGCCGCTGCCAATATCCATTCTGTTGCTAACCTGGGTTCTGCTTGTGTCCAGGACCGGTAACCTGCTTCACCCGACAAGAACATTCCCCCCCCCCCCCAACCAAAATTCAAAGGAAAAAGGAAAAGGAGGGAAAAATAAAATAAAAGCAGACCGTCGTGGACACGGACGACGGAGGATAAAAAGGGAGATTCCCCGAGCTGATTCGAGCGGCCTCTTCAACCCTTTCGATTGCGGCGAACCCCACGAACCCTGAACCTTTCTACTTTTCCCTCTCAAGCGACAATGGATGAGCTGTCGTGTCCGCCTCACTCACTTACGTAGCTGTTGGACCCTGCGCTGTCGCACCTTGTTTGTTCGACCGGATCTCACTCGCGCCACAGCACCGCCTATCCGTTCGCGCAAAAGTAGCCCCCCGTCACCATGACCTCCCAACCTACGCGGAGAGAGCGAGCATCTAGCGACAAAGCCCAGGCTGTGCCTGTTCCTCAGCGACCGGGCCTCCCCAACCGAACGAATTCCGCCCCTGTTGGAGGACTGTATAGGCTCGAATCGGCCAGAATGGCGATGGAATCGGGCAATAAGGTTGACCGGACGCTGGTTGAGGAGGATGAGAACCCGCCATCAGCCGGAGGGAACGGTGTGCCATCATCCCGGGATGAGGTATGGTTTATTCTGTCCATGTTGTTGGGTCCTTGGAGAGCGCATTGATTTCTGACGCCCGTGGGTGCCGCAGACCACACCGAAGCCGAATTTCCCCCATGTGAGCATCGCCGTGGTAGGTCCTGATCATGTTGGCAAGTCGACCTTCATTGAAACCGCCCTGGACATGAAACATCCGCTGTCTTCCCGATCGACGACGAAGAAAATGTCTTTGGATGGGACGGTGTACCTGGTCCGTCTAATGGAGATTGATACATTGGAAGTTTCGATTGGGAGCGATGGCGAGGTCAACTGGCCATTGCTGGGTCACGACTCGCCCCCTACAGTGGACGGAGTATTGGTTCTACACGACGTGACTCAACCTGCCAGTTTTCCCGAGATTACCGGACTACTAGGTTGGTCGCATTACCAATTTACAGCACCGCGATGGCCGCGCGATATATTCCAGACATGGGCTGATGGATTGCAGACTCCTTAACCGCCTCTGGCATACCGTTTACCCTGGTGGCCAGTAAATGCGACATCCAACCCCCTGATAGCCCGGTGGAGCCTGTATTGGGTGGCTATGAAATCCACCGGACCTCTCCCGACTCCCCACGGTCGCAGAAGATGTGCATCGCCTTGGTTCTGCGCTCGGTGATCAACAGCAAATATGGTAAGTGGATTTGTGAGACTGCATGCGATATGCCCCTGCGATTGCCGTTTGGATTGGAGAGGCGAGGAGAGGCGAGGAAAGCCGAAGAACAGGGCGGAAGAGACCATTGCTTCAGCAGTTATCTTCCGCTCGCATCACCCGACGATTGCCTGTCCCCCGGGGCGTGGCCCATCCCTTAAGAGTGACGGCCCACCGGGTTTCGCGCTAGCTCACGGCGCGGCCTGCGTTTAGCGTTCGCGGCCTCCGTATCTCGTGGTGGTTTTCAAGACCCGCCGATCCCCCCGGGGGGCGCGAGTGCAACAGCAGCAGCTGGCCCAGCTGGACCGTCGCATTTCCACCGTCGCAATTTTTTCCGCCGGGCTAGATCACACGTGGATGCTAACCGATCTTCTTAGACTTCATCGATTTCCCCTCCAACTCATCCGCCACCCCGGATTGGCATCACAGCCGTGCCAACTCAGAAACCCCCACAGCCGTGTTCACAGGAGCCGCAGGCGGCCCAATTACAGACGCGCTCGATCCAGGAGTCGATGGGTACGGTGTAGACCGTCAACCCACCGACCCGGCCCCCTCTGCCAACCTGGCTTCCAATGGCCAGGCCTTTCGCTATGCCCGGAGCAACTCGCATCCGGTGCGACCACACACACCTCCTGGGCCCCGGTTGACTTCACGCAAGCACTCCGCGTCTGGAGAGTCATCGCCCAGCAAGGATCTCAACCGACAACATCGACTCCATACCGCCTGGCGCAACAGCGGCGGGTCGGATGCTTTCAGCAATTTTCTCGAAATGGGGGAGGAGTTCGATGGGCCACGCAGCGCCCCGTCTAGTCCAGGAAGCAAGGACCAGACGCCTAGCGAGGGCTCATCCCACGACGCCGGTCTCACTTTTGACGAGCTGGTCGATCGCCTGGTTGCGCAGCCCATATCGAAGCAGGACTCGAAATTCGCCTCGATTTTTCTTTGTCTCTATCGCAAGTTTGCTGCCCCATCGACTCTCTTAAATGCTCTGGTCAACCGATTCGAGCGGAATGAGCTAGACATCACGGACCAACTCGATCGCATCGCTGTCCAGCTGAGGTTGCTAGGTGTCATGGCACAATGGGTTTCGGAGTATCCGGGCGACTTGGCGTATCCGAAGACGCGCAAGCGGATCATGGACTTCGTGACGACGTTGGAGAAGAGCCACTTTTACATGTTCGCCGCCAAGGAGGTGGGGTCGTATCTTGAGGGCAACGCGGACGATGACAATATTGGATGGCCCTACCGCGATGGCGACGTGGAGGAAGTCAATTCGGTCGACCCTCCGTTCCAGTTCTCCGGGCGGAGCTCCCCGTCAATATTCCTCGGGGCGCCGCCGCTCGGCGATGAAGGCGAAGAGGAGGAGGAGGACCCCATATACAACATGAGTGCACTGGACCTCAGCGAGGGTGCGACCGAGCCGGCGTCACGATTATCGGGGTCGATGTCGAACTCGTTTACCTCTGACAAACCCGGCACGGTGGCCAGCCAGTCGTTCACATTCTTGAATATCGATTCAGCCCAGAGAGAGGCGCAGCATTTGGACCTCACGCCCCGTGTCCCCCTGACGAAAGTGCAATGGCGCCAGCTCATGGAGATTCCGGATGAAGACTTCGCCCGGGAATTGACGCGCATTGACTGGATCATGTTTAATTCTTTCCGACCGCGCGACCTCGTGCGGCATGTCAGCATCTCCGGGCTGGAGAAGGACAAGATCCAAAGCTTGAAGCACGTCAACCGGATGATCAAACAGTTCAACCATGTGGCGTTTTTCGTGGCCAGTGTGATCCTACTCCGGGACAAGCCCAAGCATCGGGCCAAGGCTCTGGAGAAGTTCATGAACATCGCCCTGGTAAGTTAGCATCAGCATATTCAATCGGACCAGCTAATCTGACTGACTGCAGAAACTTCGTCGACTCAATAACTACAATTCTCTCGGGGCCGTTATCGCAGGCATCAACGGAACCCCGGTGCACCGGCTGTCGCAGACGCGGGAGTTGGTGCCAGTACAAACACAAAAGGACTTCATGAGGCTGGTCATCCTCATGGGGACACAGAAGAGTCACTTTGCATATCGCCTCGCATGGGACAACTCGTTTGCAGAGCGTATTCCGTTCCTACCGCTGCACCGACGCGATCTGGTGTCAGCGGAGGAGGGCAACAGGACGTTTGTAGGCGACACGAAGACCCGCATTAACTGGCGCAAGTTCGAGGTGATGGGGGAGGTTGTGCTGGGGATCCAGCGCAGCCAGAAGACTCCGTACCCGCACATGGGCAAGTACGAAGAGGTAGAGCGAATGATTTTGGAGATTAAGCTGTCGGGTGATGACGAGGTACCCCCATCCCATTTCCTTTCAGTACTATGGGAAATATGTACTAACTATGAACCAGGACTTGTATTCACGCAGTATGCAAGTAGAACCCTCGGCTGGCGGCGACACCGGACGCAAGAAGTTCGGCTGGTTACGGTCGTGACGGGGGCCGTGTTATGACTACCACAGCTTGCACAAGCAGCTGACGAGTACTATGAATGTGATGATCGTCATCTGATGATGTACATACATTGTTATTGTAGTTTATACTACCATTACCAATACCATTTACCACCTTTATCTTCTATAGTACCCAGTAAAATCACGTGACACTTACAAACCATCCTCATCTCCATCCATCCCAACAACCACCTCCATCCTCCATACTTCACACCTCACCTCACCTCACCTCACCTCACAACCCACCCACCCCATACCCAACGCCCACAAACCACCCACAAGAATGTCTACCCCAATCCAAACCGCAAAAGCAAGCTACCGCTCCCTCCTCCGCGAACTCCCCGCCGCACACTCAAGGCCCCGACTCCGCTCCAAAACCGCATCCGCGATCTCTACAACCAGCAAGCCTCATCCACCACTACGAGCCAAGAAGCGAAAGACGATATCTATCTGCGCCGCATCGATGAAGCAACCCAGTACGCGGAGTACGCGAAGGCGCAGCGCGTGTATGCGGAGTTAGTCGAGCGATATAATCCTGGGATGACGCTTGATGAGGAGGAGAGGATTCGGTTGACGGCTAGGAGGGTGGGGTTGGATTTGCCGGTTGAGGTGGAGGTGGAGGGGGAGGGGAAGAATTGAATTTTAAGGGGAATGAAGGATTGTGTTGGATTGAGTTGAAATGATTTCGGGGAGAAGGGGGTTGGAGATTGGAGGGATGTGGATGAGGAAGGGAGAGGATTGGAGATGGGGAGTTGAGGATTTGTTGGTTTGAGGGGTATTGAGTGTTGGGGATTAGGTTCAATGAGATTGAGATGGGTGGTTGTTAGGAGAGGTCAGGAGAGGGTATAGTTGATGAAACTCATGGGTGGCGTTTGGGTTTCTTTTTATTCTTGTTTATTGGGCTTGGTGAGTTTGTATGATATTGGGTGTATCTATATATGATGGATGTATTATAGATGGGTCAAATCCCGGGTGAAGAATGGGATGAGGAGAAGTGGACATCTATATCTAGAGGTATCTGTCATGGCACATAAGTCGGATAGGACCGACTGGGTCTGATGCAGGGCGGATCGTTGCGGATGCTTCATGTTTCTGTCTGCTGTGTGCAGACTATGCATAGGTCCAGAGCTTATCAAGGATCACCTCCCAGCTCAACCTGCTCCATCTGTCTCCGCAACGTCGAACTGCTCTCCTCATCCTCCAAACCCACCTCAATCGCTGTCTTTGGCCGGTTCTTATTCAAACCCTCCAGCAGCGTGCACGCCTTGCACACCCGCTGACTCGAGATATATCCGCACCGCTCACATGTCCCTAAAACCTGCGACTTGACCTTCTTCTGCGACGGCTCTGGCTGCCTCCGCGGCATTGTAATCTCCGTCTCTCGATCCTTGGCCGCCTCATCCTCCGCCAACTTCCTCTCCATCTCCGCCATCTCTCCCCCGCGCGTACGCCCGTTCTGACTACCGCAACCTCCACCAGCGCCGCCCTCCTCGTCCTCCGTCGCCGCCTTCCCCCGCACCTCCGCGGGCACCAACAGCGCCATATCCTCGCCACTGCGCACAATATCCAGAATCGAGCTGGGCCGAATCTTCTCCAGGTCCTTGATCAGCGTGCGCGCACTGCCCCGGAACGCCTCGGGCGAATAGATACACTCTGTACTGAAGTAGTCCAACTGTTTATGATGCGCATACAGCACAATCTCCTTCTCGTAAGCGTACTTCAACGGCTTACTGCGCTTGATATCCGACGCTGCCGATCCCGTCACGATGCTCGTGCCTCGAGATAGGCGGGGCAGATCTCCACGTAACAGGTTCATCATTACTGTTTCCGCTACATCGTCCGCGTTGTGTCCCGTCACCACGTGCTTGATGCCCAGTCGCGCCGCGCCCCGATCTAGTGCTTGTCGTCGGAACACGCCGCAGTACGTGCAGTTGCCCTTCTTTCCGACCTGCGCGACCACCTGGTCCATTGTCCACCCGTACAGGTCCCCGTAGCTGACGATCACGAGCGGCATGTTGTATTGTTCGGCATTGCGCTTCACGGTCTCGAGACTGTCGTCGCGGTAGCCTTTGATTCCTTCGTCGATGGAGAGGAGGCAGAGGTCGAGGCCGTAGTCATATCGTTCGTTGAGGGTCTTGAGGACCGAGGCGAGGACTGTGCTGTCTTTGCCGCCGCTGGCGCCGATCGCGATTCGTTCGCCCCGATGGAAGAGCGAGGTGGTGGTGATGGTTTCGTGGACTTCGGTTTCGAATACCTGCAGGAAGCATTCGCGGCAGAGCTTTTGGCGATCCTTGGGTCGGATAATCACCGCCCGTTTGGTGTGGCACAGGGCGCAGGGAGAGGGCGGCATTTTGGTGTGCCTTGTGTTGGTTGGGAGGGGAAGTTCAGGGTGGTGGAGGTGGAGGCGATGAGGGGAGCAATTTTCGATAACTGATTTGCAGTTGGTTATCGATAAGCGGATTAGTCAGGAGAGTTTGCAGTGTTTGTGTGGTTTCCCCGGAAGGAGAAAAATAAACAGGCAGAAAGGAAAATAATGGCAGGATTAAATAGTGTAATTCTATCGGACAACAACGTTGTCAATCTAATAACACATAGAACATGAGATAGTAGTGTACATATACCCGTCTAAGTCACCCATATATCGTTTACATCTTGCCCTTGAGCGCGTTGGCGATCATCTCCCGGCCGGTGATTCTCGAGGTCGCCCACAGGGTCGGGAAGTCCAGAGTGCTGGAGAAGGTGTCGGCGTATCCGAAGAAGAGCATCGGAGGGATCCAGCCACGAGCGTATTCCAGCGCAAAGCACGACTCGTCCATCTTGTACTGCTTGACCTCGCCGCGGCGGAGGTGGTGCACGCTTCCCTGGGGGTAGACCTCGGGCTCGTAGGACCCGGGCACGTAAGCCAGCTGGGTTCCCTGGAGGATGTTGAAGTAGTCGTCGGCCGTGTGGCGGCCGGTGTGGCCCTCGGTGCCAATGGCGGTGCCTAATTGAAGGAGTGGGAATTAGTCTGGAGTCTCCCGATGGGTCGGGTTTTGAGTCAGGGATGACATACCGAAAATGATGAGGTACTCCGTGATACCTGTTGAAAGCAAAGCTTAGCCTTGGCCCTAAGGTTAATTATAGATCTATCAAAGAGGAGACGCACTAGCATGAATAATATACATGGCGCCCATGGCACCACCGGCGTTGTTGAAGACCCATTCTTCCTCCTTGTTCAGATGGGTGGCTGAGACCTTATCCTCCAACTCGGAGACGATGAAATTGACCACGGAGCGGGTGTCATTACCGTGAGCGGCAATGGCCCGTTGCGACAGGTCATGTAGGTGGGAGGGATCGAAGATGTAGAATTGCTCCAGACGCGCGTTCAGGTAGCTGTAGAGGCCGGCAAAAAGAGCCAGAAGGGCCACGGCGAAGCTAATGCAGCGCATGATGATGAGCCGTCCGGAGGGGAATTGGCCGGGTGAGGGGAACTGGAGAGGCCAATGGGCAGTGAGGGGAGGGGGTGAGGAACAGGGAATGGAAGCCTGGAACTAGGGGAGGAAATGGGATGGATGGGTCGATTCTTTTGATTGTTGTGAATTTGTGATTGATGGATCGATGGGATTAATTATCCAGGGTTGCCTGATCCGGGTTGGCGACGAGCAGGAGCCGGCTGAGTCAGCGACTCTCGGGGGGTGTTTGTTCGGCAGTCAAACATCCTCGTGATTGTTCTGGAACATGGATCTGGATAATTGGAGATGCACACTATGCAGTGTCTCGAATTCTCCATCTTCCATATATTAATCCGTCCACCGAAAACCCTTCTTTTGACTGACTATCGATTCGGACGGAGCAGAGAGTGGGATACGCCCGATCGATTAATTATTCCGCCTGTCTCTGGCTCCTCTTGCACCCTGCGAACGAGCCCACGCCCCTCTGGGCATTCATTTAAAAACGGCCTCCTGTTATCTAATCCGAAACGGACCATCTCCGTGCCCCATGGCCCATCCGGGAGATGATTCCTTCTGGACGTGACGAATCCACCGTTTCCCCTGATCTAAACTGCTCTGGACGTGTCCGCCGTGTCTGTCAAGTCTGGTTGACCACCCATTCTGCACGGAGCATTCCGTGGGACCGTTTCGAAGAGCAGGATCGAACACCACCATGATCCTATCGGCCTCGTCCCTCGCGGCCCACTGGCTCCAGTCTTCCATTCGAAGACGGGTTCCCTGGAAGCTTCACTCCTTCTGAGTGCATATGTCTCAACGGCATGGAGGGCTAAGCTCGGCAGGCCCATAGGCTAAATCGCCCCGGCTGTTTCTGCTTGATGAGGGCGAGGCCTAATTTTATCCTGTCCCAGCCGGCCTTCCGAACATCATGGCTATAAGAAGGCAGTCCGGCCAGCGACGGATTCTCTCCATCAGCACAATCATTCTCTGGGTCAGTGGACGTTGATCGCACATTGCACCAAAATCATCCCGACCGTTAGTCTCTCCTTACAACAGTCACCATGAAGGTTCTCGCTCTTTCTGCTCTCCTTTCTTTGGCCTCGGCCGCCTCCATCCGCCGCAGCGACTTCTGCGGCCAATGGGACACCGCCACCGTTGGTGACTTCATCCTGTACAACGACCTCTGGGGTGAAGACAACGCCTCCAGCGGCTCCCAGTGCACCGGTGTCGACTCCGCCAGCGGCGATGAGATCTCCTGGCACACCAGCTGGTCCTGGGAGGGTGGCAGCAGCGACGTCAAGAGTTACGCCAACGCTGCTCTGCAGTTCACCCACTCTCAGCTGAACTGCATCTCCAGCATCCCCTCCACCTGGAAGTGGTCGTATGTTGCCCTGGCTGTCCGAACGTCCCTCGGGATTCTGCTGACATAGACAGTTACACTGGCTCCGACATCGTGGCCGATGTTGCGTACGACTTGTTCCTGGGCTCGACCGCCGACACCTCGTCCAATGAGTACGAGATCATGATCTGGCTTGCTGCCCTGGGCGGTGCTGGCCCCATCTCTTCGACCGGCTCCACCATCGCCACCCCGACGATCAACGGCGTCACCTGGAACCTGTACTCCGGCCCCAACGGCGACACCACCGTCTACAGCTTCGTCGCTCAGTCGACCACCGAGAGCTTCTCCGGTGACCTGATGGACTTCTTCACCTTCCTCATCGACAACGAGGGTGTCTCTGACAGCCTGTACTTGACCACCGTCGAGGCGGGTACTGAGCCCTTCACCGGCAGCGACGCTAAGCTGACCGTCTCCTCCTACTCCGTGTCGGTTGAGTAAATCAAACACCGAGTGTGACAGATAGTGAATGGGGGATGTCAAGGACTTGCTAGGAGCGGAGGGGGAATGTAGGCGCCGTGTTTCAGCTCCTGGGCAGGATACCGGAGGACATAATTATACTTAGGATGGGGGTAGAGGGGATGGTGGGGATGGAGGGGATGGATGGTTCGATGACGCGCCGAGGGGGGTCTGGGCGATCGAATCATCGTATGTACATAGGATGGAAACCCGTTGGGTTGACAATAATGGCATCATCTAAATATAACCCGACTTAACCGCGGAGGTGATGAGGCACACTGTAGGCCAATGCAGCTGTACTCCGTGCTCCGTAGGACCTAGAATGAGATAAGAATAGCAGCATGATTATGACCGGCGCATGCATGGCAATCAATCGCGGCGCTTGCAGGCGGGCGCTTAAGTGCAGATGGCAGATGGCAGCAGCCCTAAAGGGTGACTGACGGCGGCGAGGGGAAGGCGACCAACCCCATTGGAATGAATGAATGAATGGATCCCATCAACTGAATCAATCCAGAATCCCTCCAGCCTGTCGAACCAGTCTCCCTCCCTCCCGCGTTCCAGGATCATGCCGCCGACGCGCTCAGCTGGCCTCCCTTGATTCCTGCATCTCGTGTCTTGGGCATTCTTTTGCCCCCCCTTTGCTTGCCAATCATCGCCATGCTCCAGTCGCGCGCCAACCAGCGATCGGCCCTGCAGGTGGCAGTCCAAGTGCTTGATTGATGGACGAGTCACTCAATGAATGGCCCAGTGAATGCATGCAATGCGCGTCGCCGTCCTTGCAGCTCCAGCCTTCGGCGGGGAGGCCCTTATATCAAGCCCCGTCCCTCGGGCTCGGATGCATTCTTCACGAGGTCAATCATTAATATCATCACCACCATCATCATCACCATCCATCCGGTCGTATTTTTTTTCCCCTGCCAGCCTGTCTCTCTCTCTTCATTCTTCTTTAATCTTCAGTATTTCCCCAGAATCAACCCGCCTCCAGTCATTGTGGCCAAACCCGACCGGCTAGTCCTTTCGCTGTCTCAATTGTGTCTCAGAGCTATTTTGAGTTGAGCCTATTCATCCATCGCCATAGAGATCTTCACCACCCTACTTGAGTGTTGACACGACAACACACATTCCTTTCCTGCTGGCGGGACTCACATTCTTTGCTCTTTGCTCTATCTACCTATCTATATCCTTGGGGTTCTCTCGGCATAGCCTTTTTGCTTTCTCTCTCCAGCGAAGCTCTCTTCCTCCCTTTCTTCCATCCTCCTCTTCCTCCACCGCAACATGGCCGCCTATCCCTGCTCTCCTTACTCTAGCTTCACATCACCCACCACCATGGATCTTGAACGGTCGGCGCTGCATGAATTCATCATTCAGCCTGTCTCGCGCGACATGATCGCTCATCTGGCCCAGCAAGCATCGCAGGTCATCCGCTGCGAACCGCATGTGACGGCCCATCACGCGCATGGCCAGCCCACGCCTCCCAGCACTCCCCCCCTGGATGATGACCTGCCTCCATTACCATCCGTAGAGGTCTTCATCGCATCGCTGGTCGCCCGCTCGCAGGTGCAGGTGCCGACGCTGATGACCTCGCTGGTGTACCTGGCGCGCCTGCGTGCTCGTCTGCCTCCGGTGGCCAAGGGCATGCGCTGCACGGTGCACCGCATCTTCCTGGCCTCGCTCATCCTGGCAGCCAAGAACCTCAATGACTCCAGTCCCAAGAACAAGCACTGGGCCCGCTACACCACTGTCCGCGGCTACGAGGGCTTCGGATTCTCGCTGCCCGAAGTCAACCTGATGGAGCGTCAGCTGCTCTTCCTGCTCGACTGGGAAATCCGGGTCGAAGAGGCTGACCTTCTGAACCACCTGGAGCCCTTCCTGGCTCCCATTCGTCGGCGTCAACAGCTGCAGGAGCAGCGACAGCGAGAGGCCCAGCGAGAAGCCCAGCTGCGCCAGCCTCGCGACTGGCGTCGCTTCCATGCCTCAGCCGACATTCTGGCTGCCCGACTCCGCCGTCAGAAACTCGAGGCCCGCCGGGTGGCCGCCGAGTCACCGTCGCGCCGTCGTCTGCCCCCCAGCCCAGCATCGTCTGCTTCGCTCTCTTCCATGTCCTCTGTCAGCTCGCACTGCGCCTCCCCAGCCTCCCTAGCGGAGTCGGAGCGGTACCGCCCGTACCCGCCACGCCGGCGTCCATCGGCGCGCAGCCAGGCCTCGGTGTCCTCGGTGTCTTCCCCACCGTCCGTGCGGGATGTTCCTGGCCTTTCTCGCGCCGAAACCCTCCCATCGCTGAGCTCCTGCGCGTCCAGTTTGGCTCCAAGCTCCCGGGGTGCCACCCCCGCCAGCCTGCGCACCTCCAGCTCAATCACCAGCATGGACGAGGTGCACGTCGTGGATGCTGCCCGCAGCCCATCGCTGAGCAGCAGCTATGTTCCGCTCCTCGACTCTAAGGCTGAGGACCTTTCACAACCGAGCAAGAAGCTGCGACACGCCCCGAGCCATGGCCATGGGCAGAGCCACCCTGGCTTCGTGGCACGGTTTCTGGCCTCCGCGACGGGGTCGTACATGGGGGGACGGCGTCATTGAGCTGGACTTGATGATGATGAACCGCACTTTTTCTGTCTCATTTCATTGTTGGCACTATACATTGCAGAGTTGATGATCCCTGATGACAAAAGCACTACTAACTAGTTACCCTACCTATTCCCCACCGAATACCCATCCCTTCCTCTCTACACCCATTCTACCACAGAATCATGTCCTCCCTACCGGTGATGGTTATTGCATGGCACGGCGGCGTTCTTTCCATTCGGTGTTTATCTTGTTTACCTTTTTCCTCTTCCGCTTGGGTAATTTACTGATCCTACCAGACTGCTCAATGAATTTATGGTCATGTATCTATGATAAAGTATATCTAGCCTAGTATAATACTATTGCGTGTGATCACCTGGCTGGTTCATTCTGAGTAGACTGTCAACCGATGGTACCCGGTGGTGGCGAGGACGTGATCAAATCGCGCGAAGAATGTGGGCGCAGCAGGAATGCTACGGAGGTGACGCTGAGGCGGGGGGGGGGGCTGGGTAAAGTATCTGTGACATTTGGCGGGATCTGGAATGAAGCGTACGTGATGATTCGACCTGTCTAGAACTATCTACACAATTGTGTCTGATTCAGTGATGAATGTATCGTCGGTGCAGGTTGCCTGAGGAGATCATAGTTCCCTTTTGGGGAAAGATGAGTGCTCCACCGGCCCGTGACTATTCGAGTTTAGCGTCGCCTGGTGCCTGACAGGTCCGGTCCGCGGCACCGCTTCTCTGCGCCCCTCACCATCGGGCCTCAAGGAACACCCCTACAGCAGTCTCCCTCGCAACGAACTGCCAGTGCTTGAGGTGCGAGCTTCCGCTTGCTGAACCAGGTCTTTTGACTCGCTCAAGGGCCATAATAGCCTTCGTCCTCCGCATCAATCTGGGTACCCACCATATAAGGACCCACTGTCCAGCTGAGGTTCTCAGCACAGTGGCATAGTATGAATTGCCAATATGTGAAGAGGTACACAAGCGGGGATAAAAACACTCCGAACCAGGAGCAGACCATGACTTTCTCTCTTTTCCCACCGAATTACTTCTTCCGGCAGGGTTGATAAGACCTGTCTACTATGTATCCATTAGGATATCTTACATTATCCCCTTTTCCCTTCGAGGGACGGAGACTCTCGTCGCAATAGAGCTCTCCTAACGAACGGACCAAATATAGCTGGATAGAGCGAACGATAGTCTTAGGTGATGGACTACATTATCTCCCATTATTGATGACAAAGTCATGCTCACCAAACATTATGGTGTGGATGATCAACAACACCAACCCGTTCCTTAGCATATCTATGTTATCCAAGGAGTGTTAATTGGACACAGTATCTCTGCTCGTATGTCTCGACCAGGCTGGATGACATTGCATCATTGCTCGCAAAGGACTCTACAGCTGTCGTGACGAACCACTCCGCTGCTAAGCAGAAATAATGTGTCAGACTGGCGCACTGCACGTGCCTGGTATCATGTGAATTCCTGTCTATGCTGACAATTAGTCAGTATGTAATGGGGCGCATCTGTCCTCCGGTGAGCTGGATGATCGCTGGAGAATGAAGCTGACTGCTTGGCCCGTGAAATTGAGATGATGTATTCATGGGACAACCGTTTTGGTTCAATGACGATGGGTGGGTTCTAATCGAAACCTACAAACTTACTCTCTTCTCCACCATATGGACTGGCTTTGCGGTTCCGGTTCCTCAGCATCTCTGTTGTCGCGGAGTCGGACTGGTCCCAACCACTGAAATCCACCACGACGTGGAATTATGGCTTGTCGGGGTCCCAGCATTACAGAAGAAACGTCAAAGCAGACTTTAGCTAGTGCTCACTGAATATGTCCTAATGGCCGAGTTACTGTTAGCTATCTCGGGCACCAATGACTGAAAGTCAAAGAACAATAGCGTTGTGCGAAAAGCTCGGCTATAACATAAGAGACCCGAGAGAAGCGAACGAGATGATATATATCAACCAAGCAGGCTTAGCTGAAATTGGCGCCACGTTTGCGGAATTATCCGTCCGGCGTTTACCCTTGCTTAGTATCTAGAGGCCAAACACACCATGAACTCTCCGCCGATGCTCGCCCAAGTTGTCTCTACGGTTGAATGTCCGCTGACACCACGCACACCTATATGAGCTTGGAGATACATGCTGACCTTCAATATGACGCATAAGGTCTACCTTGCGGCGGAAAGGGCGGTCATAGTGACATCCTGACCATCCACATCGGAAAGAGTCGAGGCGTTGGTGCCTGGAAGCGATTAGCCTAAGGATTTTTATCGGTGAGCTTCAAGAGAGATCACATAGCATACCTGTTTTGGTCTCGATTGCTACTGCCTTGGTTCCTTATGAGGCCGCTGTCGTTGGTGGATGGAAGTTGGGCGGGAAATGGGAATTGCTGCAACACATGACGCGATCTTGTCACGTCGTATTGTGGCATCTGAACAGGAACAGCCATGTCTAGCTGTTGGACTGGCTGATAAGTTCCAGAGCTTGGCATATGATCATAGACGGAGTGGTGTCCCTCCATGTTGCCATTGTTCGCTTGGGTAGTAGGTACGAAGCCATGTCGAAAGGGGTCGGTTGGGTCCGTGGACGGATACTCGCTGTTTGGACAAAGACCTGCCAGGTTGTTTCCATGGATCGTAGACATCTGAACCATGTTTTGGTACAAGCTTCCCGGGGATCGGAGAAGGTGGTCTTCCATGGGCGAGATGGTGGAAGTATACACATCTGTTTGGTAGGTGGTGTTGTTGGGCTTGAGAATGAAATACAAGTGAGTATCTTGGTAGTTCAAGCACCAGGTGAACGGTACTAGGAAAGTTGAGTCGATCTTGTTGGAAGGATTGAAAGAAGAAACAGTTTCGCTCGGATTTCTTAGGGTATTTATCTATCACTGGCAGTACTCAGGCCATTGCAGGATAAGGTCGCCTGGCTGGAGTGGCACAGCGTCCACAGTACGACCAATTGCATAATAGAGTTGTCGGGCGACGGAGATTGTGGCAGCTAGCCAATGGGCTGCATCTATTCTAGCCACACCTGCTGGTAGGCAGTCCTCACTCCCATTAGCATCTAAGTAGTGGTGTTTAGTGTCAGGACGTGTCCAGCCAACTGATGAGAGCCAGCGATCAGCCGTTAATTCCTACACCGAAGAACCTGGCATCTATTTAGATGAACTGATGGAGGATACTGCGGATGGAGAAAGGATTGGCAGTAATCAATCAGCAAATACCATTGACACTTTGCGTTTGAGTCTAGCCTTGTCGGGCATACACATTCACCCCGTCCCAACTGCCCCATCTCATCATCTTTCCTTTCTGTCCTCGCCTCGGTCTTTCCAGCCCACCTTGGCTGCCTGCTTATTCTTACATTGTTGAATTGATCTAACCCGATACTTTTCCATTGAAACCCACCCACAGAACCTGAACTCAACTGTTAGCACCAATGGGGGACTCATCCTGGAGGTTCACAAGGCTGAGATCCAGTGCCTTTACCTAAAATAAGGGAAGCTACACTATATTGGAAGAAATCAAAGACATACTCTAGCGACGCGAGGCTTATAGGAAAGGTGCGATATTCCACATTTGCTCTTGTCCTTCGTTCAAGACATTAACAGGATCCTTCGCAGTAAGAAGCAATATGAGAATGCGTTCAAGGGATGGGACTTCGGGGTATACAATATGAATCTGGAGAGGTGGGAGTACATCAATAGGATGCTGCGGAAGAGAAAGCGCGAGAGCGATGTGTGCATGTATAGCGTGCGATATCCACCAGAGAAGATACAGAAAGGAGAGTCTTCAGGAAGTCGTTGTAAGGCAAGAGCTCACAAGATTTTATAGAATACGTGACATCTGTGCCGACTGCAGAGTCACTCACACTAACTCCTGAGGGACAAATTCTAGTCTGGATTTAGTCAGAGGACTTCCATCGAAATCTCACGTAGGATATGTTCGACATGGTATCAATACAGCAGGTATAGACATATGCCTGAGGGCTATCATGCCGGAGGAATATGAAGGACAGCATTATACATCATCCGAAGTGCTCCTTCGCAGTGAGAATCTAATCAAGCACCCAGAATGCTTCAAGCTGATATGTTATCAGCTCTCCAACAACATTCCGCCACGCGGTAATGCCAATTGTAGGGGCGTTCGCAATGAGAATGACTTGATCATGGGATTGTTTCGAGAGTTCCGCTTAAACAAGCTTGACAGTATTCAATGGCTTCTTGATCTGTCAATTTGGCCGCACTCGCTGCGGCCGAGAAGATTTTTGGAAGTGCTCTGAGATCTGGGATCTTCCTACTGTCGAAATGCTGTTGAGGTCTGGCATAAATTCAGATATCGCAGTGTTGGATGAAATGATGACTCTATTGACACCCCTGGAATGCGTAATGACGGTAGGCTCCGCGCTCTACCAAATGACCAAGTTATTGATATCATACCACGCCCAGGTCAACATTCATCGGAGTTCCCAGTCAGCGTTAAAAGTTGCTACATCAAAAAAAGACAAATATCTAACGTCTTCTTCTGCTATGTGGGAAGTTCTATCCTCCAGGGTGATATCATATCTACTTTTCAGCTGTTGCAACACTACATTCAGCTGGATCATAAAGACAATGCGTCTTGTTCTCCTGGTACACCGCTTGGAGCAGCAATAGAGGTAGGGGGCCCCGAGCTGATCAGCAGATTACTGCACGGTGGAGCGTATGATTTAGGGACCGCAAATTCTCAGATTGGAAACTTGCAAACTGCAAGGTATTTAGCAGAGGCTGGAACTCTGCATAGGAGTCTGCTGAATATGGAAGATCGAATCTGGCCAATGCCGCTCAGGCAAACAATGAGAAGCTGGCTTGGTGCCTTCGATACGGGCAACGCAGCAGCAGAGCGATGAAATCTTTGGTGCATAGTTTCAGGCAACGGAGGACCGTATGAATCCGCTAATAACTGCCATCCGTGGAGGAAAACTGGAATTGGCAAAAGCCATGATTGAGCATGGAGGGCCTGTCGCCGACAGTGTTCTCAAAGAAGCCGTGTGGCTCTCAGCAGACGGGTATGATGAAATTGTTCAGTACCTGGTCGACCGAGTTCCGTTAAGAGGACTTCGAGTCCCATCTGCAGTGGACCTTGCCTTGGACAAGGGTCTTCTCCCTTGGTTACCTCCTTGCTCGACGCTGGAGTTAATCCGAGGGGATCGTCTGATCCTTCAATTTACTCGAGTTTGGAACCGAAGTCAGTACTTAAAATGGCAGTTGAGGCAGGACAGTTTGTTATTGTGCAAGCTCTCCTGCAGTCGGCTCTCGCAGCACACAAGGGAGATATCGACCTCATAAATAAGCTTCTAGAAAGAGGCGCAGATGTCAACAATGGTCCAGCTGCCTATGGTGGCATAACCGCCTTACAATTCGCGGTCCTGAGTGGGCTTCTGGGAGTTACTCGCAAATTGCTTGGAGTTGGTGCCAAGGTCAATGTTAGACGAGCACAAAAATACGGACGAACAGCATCAGAAGATGCTGCAGAGCATGGACGGATTGACATGAAGCGCTCGTTGAAGAAGGACCGAAAGCAATTCATCCGGGCTATCAAGCTGGCTGAACGCAATGGCCATCTTGCTGCTTCGCTGTTGTTGAAGACATTTGGGATTGGACCGAGTCAGTTGTCAAGACATATGAGAGTAAGCTTGATGACGATCGTAAGGTTAAGGAGACGTATGAAGGGAAGAAACATGACGATGATCTGATTGTGTGACCTTTGCCTAATATTGAGCGGGACGGTAGATTGGAGTGGCTAGCAGACTGGGGACTGTTGCATAGTACTTCGTTCTTGTACTATCATATAACTAGCTTTTTGATTGATCAGGATATTACCATTCGCTATAACTATTCCATCTCTCTTTGTAGTAGTTGTTATATTTATCTCACCGTCCGATAGTGTATATTCCTAATCAACACACCAGAAGTCCAATTGGGAAAGCAAAAAGAAAAGTTCGACAAAACAGCACAGAAAATAGATAGGATGTCAGACTCAAAGGGATCAGCCAGGTCAGTTCTGATGCATGAGTCTGTGCTGGTGCATGAAACCACAGATCCATTCCAATGGGATAATGGATGACGACGCATACTGAGCACCGTTCAAAACATGGAACAAATGATCACCGTGCCAGGTTGTGGCTAGCTGGGAAGGTGATTGACTCTGGTTGAGTCGTCGCTTCCCAAATCAATGGATCGACCATTTGATAGACCGTGGCAGGAAATTATTGCCAGACAAGCAACACAACGGCAGGCACTATCGAATGTTGCCGGCGCACTTATCGGGGCTTGCTTTTGTGGTGCCTTCCCGTTGTGGTGGTGGTGGGTGGTGGGGCCCACCGCCCCACTTGGGGGCATCAAGGGGGGGGTGGCCGGTGGCCCTGTACCGTCGCGTCCCGTATTTATAGCATCGAATTCGCCAGAACCGCCGGGAAGCTACCTATCAGCGAGTGCCAATGCTTGGGGGGAGGGCTTGGCAGGCCGATGCACTGATCCTCATGGCTGGTGCAGGCTGCAGGAGGCAGGCCCTACCTATCTCCCTAGTACTATAGTAGTAGATAGTGACTAGGTGACACTACTGGCAACGGATGGAGAGAGCGTCATCCCGAATTCCCCGACTGGCCGTCCGATATGTCCGCGGTGATCCTCACCTTTTCCATCCACCCCCATGGGACATAGATCCCCAGGACTAGTGAGCCGGGCAGAGGAATAGTCGTTCATAGGGGAAATCCCGCATCGTTTGACTCGCAATTCTCAATTCCAGTGACGACGCCCCGCCGAGGCTCGACTGTCGTCATCCGGTCCGCTCGCCCAGACCACCGCCGCCCGCTTGCGTCGGGTCTTGTTCTTAAGCAGCCAATCTCCCCTCCTCCTCCACCTCTCGCTCGTCCACTTATCTCCGCCGTTCGTCTTTTCCTTGTCCGTCGGGCCATGTCTTATCACCGATCCAGCCATTGAGATCCAAGAAGTCTATTAGTACCACTATTATCTATAACCATATATACCCATAGTAATACCCCGATCGTTCCGCTGCTCCGGCCATCGTCCGCCATCCCTCGTCCTCATGCCGCTCACCATCCTCTCCCAAGCGCAGCTCCGCTCCCTCCTGCTGTCGCTCTCTCGCGACCAGATCCTCGATCTCCAACACAACTTGGCCAATGCTCTTCGCGACTATTCCACCGGTAGCCAGGAAAAGGGTTGCGCTGCTGCCTATCAGCCCACCCGCACAGCCATCACTCGCCAGAATGGCTGCACCACCTTGTTCATGCCTGCCAGTACAGGCCACACCTTGGGCATGAAGATGATCTCGTTGCAAGATAATGGCCAGGCCGGCTGCTCAGTCGACCCAGCCTTGGACCTGCCTCCGGTCTCCCAAGCCTCCTCCATCCGTGTCAACCAAAGAAAATCCATGTCGTCAATCTCCTCCGAAGGCAGCGAACAATCCATGTCCTCCCACGAGGACGCCGAGACCGGTTCTTCCTCCCCCTCCTCCAGCAGCAAATCCCTTGCCCCCGGCTGCGTGAACCAACAACCTATCGACACTGGACTGTCGAATACCATGGGTGCCTGGCCTGCCGCTGGCACCCGCGATACATCCCCCCAAGGAAGCGTGACGCTTCTCGACGAGACGAGCATGCCTTTTGGTTTGATTAATGCTCACGAACTCACTCCCTTCCGCACCGCCTTGACCGCCACCATGACCCTCAACAAACGCAAGCGAGTTCGCACAGTGGTGGTCTTTGGCGCAGGGAAGCAGGCGTACTGGCATATCCGGCTAGCCCTGATTCTGCGCGGGGAGGGCATTAAGCGGGTATACATTATTAACCGATCATTCGATCGCGCGGCCGAACTGCTGCGTGATATCTACGCCCCCGAGAACGCCAGCTGGCGCGGGGACGTCAAGTTCTCGGCGGTCAGCACAGACTTTGTCGAATACAAGCGCATCCTGCACGATGCGTTGCTCAAAGCGGACGCGATCTTCTGCTGCACGCCGTCAACGGAACCGCTCTTCCCGGCGGACATCCTCACCTCGCGCGACGGGCGGCGGAAGGGCCGTCTGATCAGCGCGATTGGCTCATATAAGCCGCACATGACGGAGCTGCCGCCCGATTTGCTGCGGGACGAGGTTCAGGTGCATAGCTCACACCGGCATTTCCACAAACATGTCAAGCGGAGCGGAGTGGTGGTAGTGGATAGCTTGGACGCGGCGCTGAAGGAGGCGGGGGAGATCGTGCAGGCGGGGATCCGACCGCATCAGGTGGTGGAGTTGGGCGAGTTGCTGATAGTGCGGGAGGCGTCGCGGGAGGGCGACAGCGAAGACGGGAAAAGCCTGCGGGACTGGGTGGAGCGGGGCAACGTGATCTTCAAGAGCGTGGGCATGGGCCTGATGGATCTGGTCACGGGCGGCGATCTGGTGCGGTTGGCGCGCGAAACGGGCGTCGGCACCACTTTGGAGGAATTCTAAACTTGACCCAACTTATGCTTCTTGTACTTATTTGCGATCTCGATGGAGGCACGGATTCGTAATTGCTGGCCGGTTATTGTGGGGTGTGCCATTGATATCCAGACTTTGATTTCTTGAGCGGAACCAGAGTTCATTTCTTCATTTCTTTCATTTGTCCTCCATCTTTTGAAATACTGTAGCATTCCCACCAATCAGCAAGTTCAATGCCTCGTTGCCTGACCAGTCATCCATCTACCCAGTTCACCTTCCTCCTTGCAGTACTCCGTACATGACTCCATTCCCAATTGACTCATGCCTAGTACTTCGTAAGTGAAGTGGGTATAATTCATAAATATTACTAAGGCCTGTGATTCCCGGAAAGAGAAAGAGAAGGCGGAAAAGGTCTGAATAAGAATAGCAGCATAAATACTTAGTAGAAAATACTTAGTAGATACTTCGTAACATAACATAACCCATAATCACATAAATAAATGGTGATGAATATCCACGAGCCATCACTGCAAATCAAACCAAACCAAGCATAACTACATACATACAATCATGAACGAACCCTAAATGGTAATCCAATCACACTCTCTCTAGCAAGCACCCCTTCTGAAAGTCCATTTCCAAAAGAAAGGGGTCAATACCCCCACATATCCCCATCATCTCTCACCAAATCATCCTCATTCAACACCTTCAGACCACTTTCCTTCTCTGCTCTGCGTCTTTGACGCTTTGTGATCATCGTGCTGGGCGTCAAGGGCGTCACTGGAGTGAACGGCATGTAGGGACTATATGGCGTGGGCAGGCCTGTCCTGGGCCCATTGAGTGGCTTCAGGGGCCGTTCCAGCACGGTGAGTTTCGTGGCGGGAGCGCTTTGAAGTGGGTAGGCGTCCCGGAAGGGGAGGGAGGAGGAGGGACTGCGGCCGTGTTGTTGGCCGCTGCTTGTTGGAGTGGTTAGGGTTAGTGGTGGGGGGACGGGGCCGCGGGAGGGACCGGGGGATTTTTGGCGGGAGAAGGTGGTGTCGAGGCGGGGAGTGGGGAGAGGGAGAGGAGGTGGGGTTGTGCTTGTGTTTGTGTCTGTGATGGTAACTGCTGCTGGGAGAGGGGGGACTGGGGGTCGGGGTGGGTTGTAGTGTCTAGGGGTGAGTGGGGGGTGGTCTGTTGGGTAGGAGGGGGGGCGACGGGGGAGGAGATGGAGAGTTTGCGGAGAGGAAAGGGACGGGGAGAGCGCAGCTTGCTGGTGTTTGGGGTAGATGGTTGGCTTTGCTGGTTCTTGTCATGGGATTTGTTGAGGTTGAAGAGCGAGAGAGAGGAGATGCGGGATAGGCGTGAGCTGGCTCGTGGACTCAATGGGGAGTTGTTGACGGTTGAGCCGGGGCCAGAGGAGACGTGGGAGGCACGGTCTGTAAAGGGGTTTGTTGGGATACTGTCTGGCGAGGGAATGTCTTTCTCTGCTGCTGCTTCGTCGTCCTCGGAGTCCTTGTTGGCGCCCCGGGCTGTTGCTGCGGCGGCGGCGGCGGCTTCTTTCTGTGCATCGTGCTCCATGACCGCTGCGTACAGCATCTCGAGGTCCTCTTGGGCTCGCTGGCGGTCGGATGCCACCACCGTCTCGTCGATGGTGGCAACACTGGTGGTCCCTGAGATGTGGGAGCGAGGAGCCCTGCCTAGGCTGCTCCAGGACCGGCTGAAGCTTCTAGGGCCCGGGCTGGGCAGGTTGACGGAGATGGGGGTGACGGGACTTGGATCCATGCTGGGAGGTGGATTCATTGGCTTCATCATCTCTACTTGGAGAGAGAAGTTGGAGGAGAGGACAGCTCGTCGCAGACGGCGGCCCACGAAGAGGAGCAGTGAGAGAAGGACGGCAACGAAGATCACGTATGCGCCGACAATGCCTCCGATCTGGATGGCAAGGAGCGATTCATTCACGTCAGGAGTGATGGGGTAACTGTTTCGAGGGACAAGAATTGGCTGCTCCTGGAATACTGAGCCAGCAGCAATGAGGCGGGGGAGAAGCGCAAAGACGAGCAGATAGGGCATTTCGGTACTGCAGACGAGGTGATTAAGTAGCACCCGCAGACATGTCGGGATTGCTCTCGAGACTGCAAATCCTTGCACGGGTAAAAAGACATGATGGAGGAAGGGGAAGAAAGAGGGGGGCAGCGGTATATTGACAGGCCGGGGGGAATTGTGATGGGGAAGTGTGAAGCGTGATGGTGGTGGTCGGCACGCCGTCCCTCGCCGGTCGTTGGTCAATTTACGCGCCGGGCTGCATGCACGGCACTCTTGGTCACATCGCGCGGTTGACCACTGGCGGCCAGCCCTCCAATCTGTGCCGTGTATACTAGTACCTAGATGGAACTGGCTTTTAGAGTCACTCCCAATCAAAGTATTGAGATCGGCATTCATCACCGCATCAATTCGCTCACTCTTTTCGTCCGATGCTTACAAAGATTGAGCCTTTATCTTGACTCTCACGGGGGGGGGGTTCCAGAGTGCTTCTGTTGCCTTGATCCAGGAAAGTCGATCCTTTACTTTGGATGAATCAAAAGGATATTTTCTGCCTCAGGCCATCATCCCGTGGGATCCGCCAATGGCTTTCTCGCCTCCAGCCAGGGACTGTCTACTTACCACCTCGATCATCGAGTTTTAATTTGGGATCCCAATGTACCAATCTTCAAGACTCTCTAGCAATCGGTTGGCTTCTTTGAACTGGCTAGCCTCAAAGCGACCACTATTCTCTACCTCTCGTAACTCGTTATGTTTTCCAAAAAGTCCTGGAAGTTATCAACAACAAACAGCCATATCCACTGCTCAGTGGACATCGGTGCCACGGAGTTTCCCATCCTCTGGATTCAAGTTACTTAACTCATCTTTATGTATTGAAGAAGAGACTCTACCTTTATATCAAGCCTAAAAATATTATCCAATACAACAGGGGGAAGTGCTTAACAATTGATATCAAGTATTAGCCAAGTTAGGCTATGGAGTCACTTCCACTGTATGGTTTGGTTGTGACTTGGTGTGAGTATAGTTAATCATCAACTATACCTTTTGCGGGGTTTTATTGATGATGGGATATAGGAACTTCAGTTATGTTGCTTTAAAAGTATACATGACAGGTGAGAAAAGAGACGATGAACTGAAGATCTATTATTATTTAATTCAGTGGAAGGCGAACATCCAGGTAAAAGATTTGTTCAAAAGTTATTCAATCATTTCATTATCACAGATCCCCACGGTCAACATATCTGTCTCATTCATAAATCCTTGAAAATAAGCGCGAGTGAGCTGCTGGAATGGATTCCGGGAAAAACAGTAACTCTTAAAAATATAAAAGTTTGTATCCGACAGTTACTAGTTGTGTTAAACTTTTTACATTCTATAACTGGGGTGGTCCACACAAATAATGTATTACTTTCCTATCTGACAATATTCAAAGACTGACTTGCATAAATCTTCAACTAGAGAATCTGCTTCTTCCCACCCCAAAGCCAGAGACACTCTCTAACTTTAAGAAAGAAAAGATAAAAACACCATCAGCACGAAAGGTGCTTCAAGATCATACAATCTACATATCCTCCCACTTCCCTCCTGGAAACAGACTACCACTTCTCACTAATTTCAGCGAAGCTCGGCTTAACAATAAGAAACATAATAAAGATATTATACCAAACCCTTACAGAGCGCCTGAAGTGATTTTAAGAGCAAGCTAGGATTATAAAGTTGATATCTGGAATATCACTATAATTATAAGTATATTACACTTTGTTAAACAGTCGTTTAATTTATTATTATGGTGTAAATATGCTAATTCGATTCATATTCTGGAGGCATAGGACATTATAAGCTCCTCCACATTATCAAAGGCAGAAATCCAGATGGGATTTTTGATGATCATATCCATTTTGCAGAACTGGTTGCACTCCTAGGCTGCCCACCACCTAGTTTTTGTAAACAAAGCCATCTCAGCTCTGTTTTCTGAAATGAGTCTGAGACCTAAAAAAGATTAGCCCCGATTCCTGATATTACATTCGAATCCTTAACTGCCAACATCAGAAAGGAAGACAAGGATGGGTTCCTACGGTGACTCCAACAAGCTTTGCAATGGAACCCTGCTGACCGACCAACAGCTCTGGAGCTCTTGTATGATGAGTGGTTGATGAAGGGGCTTGAAAAAGGCAAACGCGAAAAGGCCACTAACTCTTGACTTGCTTCCATTGTCTGTCTTTAGTGAAACCAAGTAGTCCTGTCATATTTCTGTACTCTACTCAACTAATGCAGATGTCTATAATACAGGGAGGCGCTAAACTATTATCAAGGCCGGAAACACATAGAGAGCGAGAGATAGGAGACAAGAACAAAGGCATGGCTCCTGGATAGGTAGGTCTACGTAGGTCTATTATGAAACATATTGCTCGGATATTACTAGTGCTAGTGATGCCTGCCACTGTTTCTCTTCCTACGACTTGTATCTATTGGGATGTTACTTGATTAACGGGGGAAGAAGCGGAGCTTATCACAAGCAGCGCATCCCTTCTGTTCTATCTTTCTCATTACCTGTGTCATTTGTTTCTTGGTCAAGGGAAGTAAAGTTTTCTGGCTATCTTCACTACTACACTGCAAGTTTTGCATGGCTGACTTGCTCTTCTTTCCCCCTATCTACCTATCTATATAGTCATCATATTCTCATTACAATGAGGAGCTAATGCAAACACTGTACTACAATCTAGATTTCTAAAGTTTTATTATCTTTAAATTATGAATTGGACTATATCTTCATTCATGTCAAGGATGTATGACGCGAGAATCCTTTACTGCCTCATGCCACGTGACCTTTGTGTATCAACGAGACGTGACTCTACGAGTATAAGCTTGGTTTTATAAAAACCCTGGGGAAGGTGATTCTTTTTCTGACACATGAACGTACATATGTACCTAGTCTCCTACGCTTTTGTCCGCCTTTTGAGTGAGCGGAAAACAATGTGATGAAACAAAGGGAAAGACAAAATGAGGTCTTTCTCACTATGCTTAGTACCTCTTCGCACTTTCCGTTTTTAGTTATAGATCATCTGTCTAGCTCTTGGGTCAACTTAATCTCATATACATTTTTCTGACAAAATTAGTAAACAACGCGACATGCCCATCAATCTTTTGCTTTAGGAATTCTCTGAGATTTGGATCTAATCTCGAAGGAACTTCCACTTCAAATATCCCGGTTGTGAGGGTAGAAGGAACGCTGGCTGGGTGGTTTTCTACATCATTGTTCGAAGCAACCACCCTTGAGCTTGGGCTAACCCGCGCAGTAAGAGCTCTCTGATATAATTACCCCGGAATTAGGTGTATGTTCTCCTGACCGAGTGGCTTTGCGGAACATTGCAGTACTTTCCAGAAATTCTAACTGAGGATTCTTCCAACTATGCTGCATCTATTTCTGACCCTGTCAGTATTGAGACCTTTGATCCTACCATATAGGCCACACGGAAATAACTAGAATTGCCAATTTGACCCGTTCTCAGGAGTAAGCCATGGCGTCTGAGACTCGAGTTGTAACGCTAAGTCTTTCGATTCCTCGCAATACGTTAATAACAGGTAGATTATCTCTTGATATCTCTTCGTCGGTCACATTAGCCCGTGGTAGCGCAAATAACGCCAGCTCTTCCAAGTGTTTGGCAAGGTGTTCCTCTAGCACCTCCCCTGGAGTCACCTCACACCCACAAAGCAGGCATTTGGAAACCTCGCCAACACTCAAGCTTGTCATGTGCTCATCATGCATGTGAGCATACCATTCTCGGCGACACTCGTATAGATGATTGGGTGTTTGACAGTCAGGGAGAACGCAAACATATGGCTTCAAGTCACTGAATATGTGTTCGATCCACTCGTTTTGGTCTTTAACATTCACGATAAAGAAGCAATAGGGACACGTAAATGGGGCCCCGTAGGTCGATCCAGCAGGGGGCAATGGAATAGCTGACCCACTACCTCCTTGAACCACGGACTCCGAACACAAAGTCTGAGGCATCATAGACTGTGCATCAACTTCAAGAGTTTCGGTAGGCTCTTGGTTAAGTTTGATCGTCGTTGCTTCGGACAGGGTTCTAATGGAGACTGCATCTGATATGACACTGATCTCTGTGTGAAGACGTTCGTAATACTGCAAAACAGCCCGACGGATAGATATTGCTTCCCCCAGGCGATCAGAAATAGCTTGTGAAATGTTAGGATATTTGCTCTGGACGTGTCGTCGATCGTAGTACTCGAAGTGGGCTGCATCGGCTCTCTTAACCCGCGTGAAGATATTATGACACGCCGGCAGGCGAACTGACCTGATCAACTGGTAGAGTGAATCGATCGTGTCATGTAGGCAGTAATAGAGCCCTTGAATATAAGTCTCCATTGTCTCGTCGGTCATTTTCTCGCCCCCATTCTCACTTTCTTCATCGCTAAGGTCGAACAGTTCATTTTGCAGGCAATCATGGATCCATTTTAATCGCAGTAGGTGCCGTTTTACCTCGTATTTGATATGTGACGCGTCGCGTAATCTGGAATGGAGAGATGGCTGCCAAATTGGATGAGCTCCAATATCCGATATGCAGACACTCATTCGACCAAGTCCATCTTCCCAAAAGGAATGAGGTACTTCATGGCTAAATGCCGCAAGATCTCCGGATGACACGAGCTTACCCCATAGACTAAGACAAGACTGAGCAAGAGCTGAAAATTCTGCCGCCATACTGCCTATTTTGGAGAGCAAAGGAAGCCGCGGTATATTCCAGTGGATGGTCGACTAGCCTTGGGCTGCGAAGATTGATGAACGCAGGCGGAGAGCTGGCATCAGAGGCAGTAATGAGATAGTGAGATGCAGGGACTTTATATAGGCCATCTGATTCATTTTGATAGGACGCCGCTCAATGTATGAAGGGAGTTGCCGCAGGGTCGTTCCTTCGAAGATGAGGCATCTACCTAGTACTACGTAGTAGTACTTACTAGGTGGTTGTTGTATACTTTGACTGTAGAACAAACCAGCCAAGCAGACCTCACATCGTCAACCCCAACGAGGCAGTCGCGGCTCTCAGACCACCTGCCACAATGGCTGGTAACACCACCATGGAGGCTATATAACCCCTGGCCAGGGGAACAGTACTTTCTTTTCCAACCTCCCGCATAATTCACATTCGTTCATACCATACCATAGTCACTCGCTCTTCATACTATCATATAATATCATTTCATGGGCCAAAAGCTATCCGCAATACACGGCGTCAAATCAGAGGATTACGACAAGCCCGGCAACGCGATCAACGAGGTCTGGCTCGGTAACGTCGAAGTCATCTCCCGTCTTCCATTCGCCGATTCCGACATGGCACAAGCTGCGTGGCCCAAGGGACAATTCCCCAAAATCCCCTGGCATAATTTCATCATTCCGTGGAAAAGAAGCGCTTCGGCGGTTGAACGGGCTGTCGAGTCGAGTGCAATTGCCGCAAGGCAGGCATTCAACGATTCCAAGAAAGATAATATGCGAGACGAACTGTATGTATACTCGGTCCTGCTCGTCGTTGCCATCTTATATTGTTGCGCTTGGTCGGCATTGAAGTTACCTGCACATCTGGCCCGAGAGGAACCGCCGTATAGGCCGGACGAAAGACCACGATCGGTGGTGAGAAATCGTTTTAGGGAAAAGTTCTCAGTGTGCCTGATTTCGATCATCATGGGGATGGTTTTTTGGATGATGGGATTGTGTGTTCTGAACTATTTGACTGAATCGGTTGTGCATGCGTCGGGCCCTTTCACAAGAAGCATTGTCGACATAACGTATACTCTGCCGTCGCTGTACTTCCTTGGTCGTGGATTGCGTGGGTTGAGGTTCTTCTGGCTTGCAATGAAAGCCATCGGCGAGGCCGGTGATGACATGGATGACGAGGGTCAAGATGGATCAGTTGACGCTGGATTGGTGGAGCATCAACTCCCGGGCAATCTCGCTTCATACAAGCAGAGGCAGCGCCGCGCCTGATGTCAGACGGTTGTTCAATGCTGTTGGTTTAGGATGTGGAAGGCGGGATATCTCGAAAGCGGACATTGTTAGGACGAACGCGTTCACAGTACTTTGAAACATAGATAGTTCAGTTTTCGCGCAATGGAGATGATATCAGATCTATTCACGCAAAGTCGTATCGTACACAATACACCCTCTTATATAGGAGGACTCTCTATTCCTTCTTCGAGAAAATATCCCGCCAAAATTGCTTGAATCCGTAGCCATTGGAATGGTCCTCCTCATAGACACGAACATTGTTCGAGGTGCTCAAAGTCTCCAGGATACCAGCGGCTTTGGGACCCGAGTCTTTCGGGCGAGCTCTTTCGGTGGCACGTCGTCTAATCTCTTCAGCCAAGCCTGGGGCCACCTCGGCATAACACGCAGTTAGCTCACGCTCCAGGTTGAGGTAAGGCTTTTGTGCAACAGGAGGCGCTTGAAGGTTGTAAGTCCGGGTAAGCGCATTGAGGTTCTTGACGGTGAGTTCGAGGAATGAACGCTCCGTGTTCATGTATTGCGGATCACGCAGGGGGGAGACATATGGTAAAGGCTCTTTCTCCTGTGGTTCAGCAGTTGCACCATCTGGGCCCTTCTGGGCCGCAGATACAATTGAAGAGTCCTGTCCTCCAGCAATGCCCACATCCGAAGACGCCAGACTGTCGCCATCGCGGAACGCCTGCTCTATCTTGGCCCTTTCCGCCAACCGCGCCTCCGCAGCCGCATACGCATCGGCCCGTCTCATCTGCGCATCCAGGGATCCTCCATCGCTGGCAATAAGCCGTGCCGCATGTCGTCTCCACTCGGCCCTCAGGCGCGAACGGAACCGATCAACCTCCCTAGCCAGGTCCTGTTGCTTTTCGATCCACGGCGGTACAATCTCCTGCTTCTGGATCATCTTGTTCATGAAGTACTCGGTAGTATCGATGAACGGACTATTGGCCCTGTGATCGGTCTCGGTGTTTACACCCTTGCCCCTTTTTATTTTGTGGAACTGGCCCCGCGCCATCGCATCTTCGATCCGCTCGTTGGCGAGCGACGTCAAGCCCTGGAGCGTGGCGGGCATAGGTCGCGCACCGGGAGAGAACCGCTCGCGCATCTCTCGACGCATAGCTTCACGTTCTTCATCTGAAATTCCTTGATTCTGACTCAGGGTATACGTCGCAGTGCGCTCTTTGGCATTCGCGAGACGCACTCCAGCGGATGCTTTGGGCTTTGGGCTAATCCGCATGTCCACCGGCTTTGGTTGGGGGATTTTATATGGCGTGCGCATCCGTTTCTTGGAATCATCCAGCATCCGAAGAGTGATGTCGTGGGCGTTCTCTGTTCCTGTCCATGGCTGTGCTCCGGCGATATCTCGTGTCCCTTGGCCTGCGCTTGACTAGGAACTTGTCAGTCCTGAACGATACTCTCTAAGCACCATGCAATATGCAACATACCGGCATATCGAGAATAAAGTGCGCAGCCACGTACTCATTCTTGAAAGCCGCCGCCGCCACTCTTTCCTCCAGCTGTTGCTTCAATTCGTCCGAGAACCCCGCCTGTTGCATGTTTCTGCGCGCGGACCGGCCTCCTTCCAGCATAGCTTGCTCTGTCATTTCCGAAAGCCTTCGGGCCATAGCCCCCTCTTCCTCCGGCCGCTCATTCTGTGTCTCAGAGGCGTCCTCGCCTTCAGCCGTCTTTGAAGTTGCCGCATTTTGCCGCACGCTGGCAGTAGAGAAGCATCTCGTGATCCGCCGCGGCGCACATATCGGGGCGACAGTATTGGTATAAAGGATGCTCACATGCCTTCTGCTCATGTCTGTTCTCCACTCTGCGCATCCAACAAATCCAGAAATGTGAGTGAAGTGAAGAAACAAGAGTAGAATCACTACCTTATCGACAGCTCGGAATCGCCGCGGTGATTACATCAGCCACTTCCGCGGGCAAAGCGCCGAAAAGTCTTGGCACCTCCGAAGCCTTCAACTTTTGGTTGTTCCGGAACCACATCGTCACCTTGGCTGCGTCGTTGCTGTTTTCCCCGCTGTCGTCTCGATTCCGGTGTCCGTCCCTTCATTTCATCCATCCTCAATTGCAACCATGCCTCCGAAGGGCGTCTCGACCCGTCTCAACCCCGTCCGGCTGCAGACCATCCCTCACCTGCGAGTCCGTCGTCCAAACAACAATGAGCCGAACACCTGTGTCGCGGTCATGTCGTCCATGCTGAGTGAGTCCCTGCCACTCTTGGATCCAACCGGACTATGCATATTTATACATGAATCACCGACTAACATGAACGTGCCTCGAATGCAGGCTGCTGGGCTTCTCAAGGATACACCGCAGAGGGATGCGTGGTCCTCGAGCAACAATTGAGACAGTGCATGGATGCTCCTGTACGTATCCTCTCCTCACCAACAATCCCGATAATGCAGTTTTATCTATCCCGTCTATATATACATATCTAACAACCCATTTCCGCATCCAGAAACCCAAGAGCGAAAAGAGAAACGCCATCAACTACCACCTGATGAGAATGTATCCCAAGGTCGTCGGTCCCAAGAAGAAGGACGGTGTTTTGGGTTAATTTGTTTATTTTTATTCCGTCTCCCGGGGGGAAGAATCACCTATCTGCGGTTTATTATGCTTTCGGAGCGTTCGCACACGCGCATACGATATACCTACCTATGTTCTTTGCCTGGTGGAAGATGGTGAGGGAGAAGAAAATACTATCTATTTGGAGTTTTGGGCTTGTATGTACCGTACCGTGCGATAAAGGATTGCGTGTTTCGATTTTATGTTGAGATGGTGGGATGGGAAGGGAGGGGAGGGGACGGGGGTGGGATTTGTATATCATTATGGTATGTGTGTATGCTATCTTTTTTTGAGAATGGTTTGTTACTACTTGGTTATTTTGTAGGTTTGGGGTTGGGTTGGGTTGGGCTGGGCTGGGCTGGGTTTAGTGGAGGGTTGTTGTAGATTGATGTGCAGAGAGAAGGTTAATTGGTGTGGTTTGTATGGGACTAAGCTACTGATTCGAATTTCAAGACTAATTTCTCTCCACGCGGTTTGACCGTGTATGCATCAATGGCTTCGATATCCTCGTCGTCAATGATGGTGGTCGTGTAGTTGGTGTAGATGGCTGCGACTGCTAGTTTCATTTCTGCAGTTTGGTTAGATTCTTTCCATGCTTTGCGTGCGGATTGCTGGAGAAGGGTTGATGAGAGGAAAGGAGAGGATTGCATACCCTGCAGAGCAAGATTACTTCCAACACACATTCGTCCACCGCTCCCAAAAGCCCAGAACCAGCGTCGTCTCTCCTCTAACTCAGACGGCGTGTTGCTATCCTTCAGCCACCGCTTCGGTTGCCATGTCTCCGGCTCGGGGAAAACCTCTGCATTGCGATGAAGTGAGTAAGCCTGTGCACTTACCCGGGTGTTTCCGGGGATGTCGCTATATCCGACTAGATTGCAGCCCGGGGATGGAGTGACGCGGGGCTGGATTCCGGGGATTGGAGCGTGCAAGCGTAGAGTTTCTGTTACGATGGCTTCGAGAAGGGGCAGGGAGTCGATCGACTTGGGGGTGGGTAGCTCTCTGGAGGATGATGAGCGAGGGTAGAGGATCTTTGGTTCGAGGGTTAGGAGCTCTTCACGCAGTGATTTCTGGAGGTCCGGGTGTTTGGAAAGCTCCCAGAAAAGGTAGGTCAGGGCGACGGCGCTGGTCTCGTGGCCTGCGGTGAGATGGTCGTATAGTTCGCAGGCAATGTCGAGTCTTTGTTTCTCGATGAGTTTGGTATATGAAGCTGTGTTCTGTTCTTTGAGTGGGAGCTGCTTTGAAATGCTCTGTTTAAGATGCTTGTAGACCGTGGGTTCAATGCCGGGCTTGGTGGAGGATAGACATTGGTCCGCTCTGTCGCAGAAGTTGAGTCCCCAGGCATCGAGTATTTCATTGGCTTCGTCACACCATTTGGGGATTAGTCGAAGGCCTAGATGCTTTGTCCATGACAGAAGGTTTGGGACCTCTTGGTGGTAGAACTCGAATGGCTTCCTACTCTGGTAGAGACGGAGCATTCTGCGGCGGAACGATTCGTCTTGGAGGAAGTTAGATCCGTTTGCCAGTCCGTAAAGATATGCGGATACAAAGTCCATCGTAAGGCCCTGGTTAAGGTCGTGCATGTCAATTGGTGAGCCAGAAGAGGCTGCTTCCTGGATGATGGGTAGGAGACGGTCGAGCATGATTGTCTCGGAGATAAGGTGGATATGGGGCGAGGACTGCAAGAATGACTTGCTGTATATGTTGGATAACATCCTTTTACGATTGGAATGGGCTTTGTTGTTTGTCATAGTAAACATGCTAACAGTTCTAGACGGAGCACTGCGATCAGTATGCTCCCAGAAGCGTTGTATGGGCTATGCTTACCCGAAAGACCCAAAGACACGGGGGTACCATTCATGTTTCTCAAACCCACCAGTATAAATGGACTTGATGCCTCCATCTACGCAGTTGACGGAGACTTCAGAGGGTGCAAGCCGGATAATGGGCCCTAGCTGTTCATGTGCAGCTTGGATGGTCCGGTTGTTCTGGGCCATATATCGTTTCCAAATGATCCAGACAGGTGAGATTGGAGCTGACCAGTGTGCATTGGGTATCTTTGACAGTGGCGATATAAACACCGGATATATGACAATTTTGTATGCCAGGAGAAGGATGAAGAGGCCGGTCGCCGTAGCAGTAATGGTAGAGATGGCCATGTTGAAGGAGCGTAAGCAATATAAGTGCGTTGAAGATAATGTTTCTTAGTCCAGAAGTACAAGCACTAGGGCATGAGCAGAAAGTGGTGCCATATGAACAGCACGCGAACTTCAATCGACACAGAAAAGGGCCAAATAATCATTGGGGATGGATGGAAAGTTAATAGCCGAAGCCGGGACTAGCCCTTTATATAGCCCGGCTTCAGGTTGAGTCGGTTGCATGGGGGGAAAAGCCGAGCCATGGAGCGTATCTCGAGTGACTCCACGACCGACCCGATAAGACGATGAGACCGCGGGGGGCCCGATAAGATAAGCCCGCCAGCCGAGGATGACATAAGGGCCCTCTAGCCGACTCTTCATTCTTCACTCTTCATGACCGCCATTCCGTGTCATTGTCGCGGGAATTTATAGATATATCTATGTCAAACTGGGCCTGCTTTCTACCTACCAGTTCTTTGTCTGTGGCAATCATCTTTCCCTTCCAAGGATGCCGATGCACGGGTCGCGTTGATGGCTTCGCCCGCTTCTGAAGATCACCGCGGCGACTGACCGGACGCACAATGTCCTGAATCGCCGTGGGGACTTCCTCTAGATACAACCCTCACTCAGCTATTTCTAGATCGCTTGATTATTTACGTCATTCCTGTGATTTGTCTGCTTCAGCACAGTCCTCCACAATGCTTACAGACCTACCCCCGGAGATTATCCAGCTCATTGCATGCTACCTCCCATCTGCCAGTGCGCTGGTGAACCTGTCAAGGACTTGTCAACGCCTGCACCAGATCGTTGCTGCAGAGAATTGGCGCATCTTCCGTGCCTTTGTCAAGACCAGGTTCCCCGGCGTTGGGACTCCGGAGATCTGGAGAGAAGCTGCCCAGGCACTTACCTCCCGCTCTAGAGCGCTGGACAAACATGCAGTCATTGGGAGGTTTGTCGTTCCGGCTTCGGAGGCTGTCAAGGTCGGGTCACATCAGTCTCTGCGAGGCGATAACCCAACGCATGGATACCGTCCTGCCTTGTGTTCATACGAAGTCTGGAATAGCTCGGCCTGGAACGACCGAAAAGAAGTTCTTGCCTGGGGTGCAGCCGATGAGCTAGTCCTGCGAATCACACAGCCCAGCGCTGGCCCACAGGGAAAATGGGTGGTTTTCAACGACCTGGACCACACCAGCAGCCACGATGATATCTGCGGCGTCCACCTTTTGCGTCCCGAACACCGTGCTAAAGAACCCCAGAATGAACATATCATCTTTGCTCGAGTGCGCGGCGAGCTTTTCCATCTCTCGATCGACCCCGATGGAGCTTCTCATGAATATAAACAGCAGTTCATGACATCCGGACTAGGCATTGAAAGCACTGATCTGAGTTATGGAGCGGACCCGATCTTGTCTGCCCACTTGAGTAATGGATCGATTGTCTTCTTCAGCACCACGTCTGAGGAGGAGAAAGTCCAGCCATTCGCTCGTCTCAGTGTTGACCCCAGCACTGATACTGGCAATGCCGCTCGCAACAAATACTCCAAGTTTCTCTCGCCCAGCCTATTCGCGGTCAGCACAGGTCGGATTCACGATGCGATTGCCATTTCCACCGTTGCTCCAGAACGGCTATCACTGGAGCGCGAGCTCAGCGTGGAGTTAGTGGATTTCGAGAGACTCAACCTCCACACCCCCATCAAATCCAACGTCAATGCCATCGCTCCCCTCGATTCCACCGGACAGGTTTTCCTCGCAGCATGGGGTGACCGAGCCGTGAGGTATGGACTTTCCTCTCCATGACCCTCTCCCACCACTAACATCACCCAGACTGCACGACCTCCGCTCAGACAAGGAATACGAAAAGGTCTACCGCGACACCACCGACCAAAACCCCATTTATTGCGTCCACCCCTTCGGGCACGACCGCTTCGTCGTCGGCGCCGGCGGCGATGCCCTAGTCAAGATCTTCGACCTCCGCATGCCCAAGCAAGAAACATACAGCTACCGCGACGCACGCCCTTCCCCAATTCCCCGCAACAAACCCATCCTAGATAGCCTCTCTAATCTATCCCTCACCTCTACCACCAATTCTTCCAGCATCACCTATCCCCGCAAAGACATATCAGTCTTCCTCTCCGCCCAACCCCCCACCAGCCGCACCCGAGCCCGCAATCAAAGCACCCGTTCCTACCGCGGCGCAATCTATAGCATGACCTCCCCTTCCCCCTCCTCATCAACCATCTACACCGGCGTCGCCGACGGCGTCGTAAGACTCGACTTCACCTCCACCGATGACCTCAATGGCCCTTGCAAAAACTGGTACCGTGACCCGCTCTCCATCGACCTGAACACGCACAGCCGCGCCCGCCGCGCAGACAGAATCCTCGAGTTATCAGGTTACGAGCGTCCCGAGAACACGACTGCCTCTATAACCTTGCGCACGCAGCAGACATTTCGCTCTATCGGGGACGATGACCTCGTGAGTGAACAGGTCACGGGATGGGATCGTCGCTGGCAAAGACTCGAGAAGCCGGGTGCTTGGAGGCGGGCCGATCAAATGTAGTATCCTATCCTGTCTTCGTCGTGGGTTCCGATCTGGGTTGAAATACCATGCCTCGGCCGGCTAGATATTTGATGTTGGGATCAGGTTCTGGGAGCGCTTCACGTTCAGATACGATCTACGGTGGTTATAGTCATGGATATGGATGTACATTACACTGAAATAATATATGGAAAGAAAGGTGAATACACGTTCAACATCTCTCTTAGAAATCTAGATGATGTAGGTAGGTAGATAGTAGATACAGCCGAAGGGAACAAAAACATATAAAGCAGAAGAGGAAACAATCCGACCGGGCTCCATTAGCGCCTTGCTGTTGTAGAAAATAATTCAGGGACCCATCTAGAATTTGGCATATAGATCTATGGATGGAATCATAAGTGCCGAAACTTTTGTTTACCATGCCCGAGTATATGGTGTCGTGGGTATGCATGATTGGCCCGGGCCTTATATCATCGTTGGATATGGGCGGGGGTGGAAGAAACTCAAGGAGACTTGATCATTTGAAGGCAAAGATCTAGTCATCGAACTTGAAGGACTTGCCGCCAGAGATGTCGATCGGACCACCCCGGTAGGAGCCACGCTTCTTCTTGTTCTTCTCCTTGGTGAAGCCCTTGCCGCGGGTGACCGACAGGTCCTTCCAGGCGTTTTCGGCGTAGGCGTAGGGGATGTATTCGTTCGAGGGGTGGTCGTGGGGGAGTTCACTCAACACGGCCAGGGGGGTGGGACGAGCTCCGACGTGCTTCTTCTTGGGGAAACCATTACCGGGGGCAGGGCTGGCGCTGCTGGAGTAGGTTTCCTGGACAGGTTCGGAGTTGCTGACGGTTCCGCTGCTGTCGGAGTTCTGGGGAGAGCTGTCGGAGTCGTCCGAAGAGGAAGGGGAGCCGCTGGAGCTGGATTCGGACGGGGGCAGAGGAGTCTTGGTGGCGGTTTTCAGAGCCTTCTTGTCGTCTTCGTCGTCAGAGGAGTCGGAATCGGAGTCAGAATCAGAGTCCGAGTCCGAAGATGAGCTAGACTCATCACTGGAGGAGTCCGATTCAGACTCAGATTCGGAGGAAGAGTCTTCCTCTTCCGACTCTGACTCTTCCTTCTCGGAAACGACCTTGGTCTTCTTCGACTTCGGAGCCTCGTCGGACGAGGAGTCTGAGTCGGATTCGGAGGAGCTGGACTCAGCCTTGCGCTTGGTGCCCTGGGACTTGGCAGCAGGGGCGGGAGTCTCCTTCTCATCATCAGAGTCGCTGTCGGAGTCTGACGAGGAAGAAGAGGAGGAGGAGGAAGAAGAGCTCTTGGCCTGCTTCTTGGGTGCATCGTCCATCTCAACGTCGGAGTTGCTGGACTCATCGGAGCTGCTGTCACTGCTCTCGCTCTCGCTCTCGCTGCTCGAAGAACCGGATTCGTCCGAGGAGCTAGAGGAAGACTTCTCGGAGGACTGGGACTGGCTCTCCCAGGTCTGGAAAAGCTCGAGTAGAGACGGGACATTCTTCGCATCGGAGTCGATCGACTTGTTATCCAGCTCTTTAACGAAAGCGTCCTTCGTCTTCGAGAACCCAGACTCTTTCAGGAAAGCAGAGATCGCGGCGACAAGCTGGGCGGGAGGAGCGGCCTAATGGATTGAAGGTATTTGTTAGTTGCTATCCCGCATAGTCAACAAGTCGGTCGTTTTGCCTTACAGTCTTCTTGCCCTTGGAAACCTTAGCAGGCTTCGCCTGCTTTCCTTTCTGAGCGGCCATTGTGACGTTCTTGTACACAGAGACTGTGAACTGTCCGATAAATCGAGAGCACTTGTGCGGAGGTTTTCAAGGTTCCCTTAATCGGCGATGCAAAAAAAAAAGAAAAAGAAAAAGGAACGGGGAACTCGGAAGGCGGTCAGCAATTTCACGATCTGTGATTGCTTGGCTAACTTTTCGTGGTGGGGCTCACGTGAAGTCTGAAGTCACATGGCATCTATATCACGTGCCAGGGACTAAGGATAAGAGATCATGAGTGGTTTGGGCTATTTGAATGTCCCGCATCGTTGTGTCGCACGAGCATAAATAGGCTGATATCAAGGCCAGGCCAACTCTATCCGTATCAGCTTTTCTAAGGAATGATCTGTGTTGTATCATGATGCCAGTCCGTTGCTAGTATCTGTGACGCTTGTGAGTGCTACGATGATACAACTCATGACCAGAATGTCAGATCTGGTAGATCTGGCATAGCATACCCCGAGAGAACGCTTGCTTGGGAGGACCGATCGCCTCTATGCGAGTTTTCCTCTTCAGCTAATCCGAGAACCATCGTCAATGGCTCCTGGATGAAGGAGTGCCAGCCAGGAGTCAGCTGTCTCTGAATGACGCGGATTAGCGAAGCCGCGCGCCCTTCAAAGTACCAGTGTTTCTCCATCTGTTTCAGTAAGATGCAATAATGTGCCAGCAGAACCAGTGCTCCGGGATGTCCCTGATGGAGAAGGGACATGTATTCTAGCGACACCTTCATGGGCCATATTCGGAGAATATCCCAGGTAGTGAGGAATTCGCGCCGGGCGCGCACATACGCAAACGACCGGCTGAGTTCAAAGGCAGCTTGTCGGTATATGACCGTCACCTCTTCTGTCCAAGGGGAATTACTTTCACTGGTATTGCCGATGTCACCAGTGGCAGCTGATTCATTGGGAATTACGGACAAGAGACACTTCAGACACGAGTGGTCTGGGTCATCACCGAGTTCGATGTCCCAAGCCTCCAATAGCGCTCGGACAGGGCTCTCTTGCAGTTGCTCCCACACATCGCATAGCATAGAGCAGCCAGCGCGGAGAAAGTATAGCCAGCTGCGAAGAATGCTACCAGGCTCAGCGTCTTCGCCGCCGCTGTGGTCGACTAAGAACAATGAGTCTGTTCTCCACACTGATTCTGGGCATTCGGGTCGATCGGCAGCGAAAGAGTATACCACTAGCAGATATGCGAAAGCTAGGATGGCGTTGCAGTTATCCTCCGTGGGATGCTGGATCGCATACCGAAACTGCGAAAGGGCAGTGTCCTGATGGCGGTATGCTCTCAAAAGGAATGCCTTCTCCTGATCTGGTCGTCCGGGGCTCATATACGCCCGGTGCAAGCTTGTACAGGCCAACAGGCCATGCAAGAGGAAACTATTCTGCTGCGCCAGACAAGGAACAATTAGGCGCCAGACTTTATCCGTCTCCTCATTAGTGGTGAAACTCTGATAGGTGTGTCGGAGATAGTAGTCCATGAGAGCAGTGTCCATGGAGTCTAGACTTGCTCCAAGGTTGTTGAATTGCGGGGTATTCATGGATGGCTCAATAGAACAGGACGTCGTTTGACTGGTGAAGTAGCGCAAAAGATTGCCGCGAAAGAAGGTCTGTATGGGAACCGGACGCCAGTCTCTGCCATCGTCTCCCCTTCGTCGATGTTCAGATCTCCAGTGAGATTGCATGCGCTTCACTGAGGCACATAAATACAAACAGCCGCGCGACAAGCATTGAAGACCGGGCTCGACCGGTAGATTTGGGACGGGGAACTGATCCGCGCGGTTAGGGGGAAGAACGTCCTTAGGATCCCTGAGGGATAGGCTAGCGACGTAATGAGAATACTTGCGGCGGCGGCCACGAAGTATGTGGTGGATGTCTTTCAGATGACGCAGGATGCCATGGGGCTGGACAGCATACTGGCAGGCGGTGCAAACCACGACCTGATAATCCGGAAGGTAGCGCAGCAGCTGGGATGGAGCAAGGTCATCCAGCTGGCGAGAAGCTGCTATGCTTGCGGTAGAATCCACCTCGGACATGGCGGTTACGAAGGACTACTTAGCGAGAACGACAACGTCCATTTGCTCTTGAAGTCTCCCAGCGAAGGCGCTGGCGAGGTGAGATTCAAATGAGATGCAAGTTACCGACGGTGCCGTTCCCGCTATTCCCAAAGTGGAAATCGTATACATCGACGGTCACTCGCTCGAGGTGAGATGAGGGCTCAATTCCTGACGGTTGTCCATCGCATTCTTCCGTGGCCTCCTGCCGGGGACCGGCCTTGCAAACAAATGGGACTCTGTTAGGTACTTTCATTGGTCCGTCATCATCCTGTTCACTTCATCGCGTCCTGAATTTCAGGGGTCAATGTGCCCCATGTATTACGCGTATTCCAAGCGGATTCTCGATAAAATAAGTCATGGGCACCTGGTGAAACAACCTGAGATTAGTCACATTGTATGTGACACACTCTATAAAAAGCAATTGTAAATTGTGGTGCGACATTGGCATTCTCTGATTGTCACTGGCGACATTGTCATGCCTGGGCATCCGAGTTGGGTAAAGTCGAAGCTTTGGCGATCAATAATTGACCTGCCCAGAATTTTGTCGACTGTATGGATGGACCAAGAAGGCTGCATTCTTGCGCGTGCAACCCAGGAGATTTCTTCTAGACACGTCAGATTCTCGCCGACATCATGGCCTGGGATTGAGTGGTCACCGTACGTACCCCATAGGCAGATCTGCCAGAAGTATCTGGGGGAACCCAGCTAAGCCATTGGTTGTTGATAATAAGGTAACATTTCGTAAGTCCTATCTTTAGTCTAGTGCATCATTAGCCTCTGAAAATCAACAGTTCCTATCACTTATCACTTTAACTTGACCTCAATTTTAATCGGTGATTTCATCATGAGGAAATTCATCGGCTATGTCTATATAACAGCAGACAACATTTGGCATATCTCTGTGTGAAGTTTAAGATGGCCGATACTGAAGGCACAGACACAAGCACCCCCCGTGCGGAACTCCCTCGCCAATTTACATTCTTCTCGACTGCTGCTTTAGGCTTCAGTATAACCAACTCATGGCTAGGCTACTCAGGTGTCTTATCGACTCCTTTGATTATGGGAGGGAGTCCGACGGCATTCTTCGGTCTCATTATTGCATCGATCGCTAGTTGTATCATCAGTGAGCTTCCCCTGTCTTACTAGAGGGGACTGGGGAGAGAGTTGACCGCATCCATGATGCTCTCCGTAGCTGCTGGATTTGCCGAACTATCATCTGCATTCCCATCCAGCGGGGGCCCCTATCATTTTGCTTTCATGGTCTCGTGGCCCAAGCATCGTGCCTTAGTTACCTTTGTTGTTGGCTGGTTAAGTGTGATTTCCTGGTGTACGGGGACTGCATCCGGCGCAATCATCTGTGGTAAGCCTTGCCTTCATTTTCATTTTGACCTGTTCTCGCCCGGACTCGAGATAATCGGTTGAGAAGCACAAATGATCAGCAGCCTGGTTGCCATCCACTACCCGAGCTTTACCGAAACGACCTGGCGCATCTACCTGATCTACCTTCTGACGGTCCTCCTCTCCGCAGTAATTGTCTGCTTGCTGCCTCGCGCTATCCCTCGGCTAGAAGATTTCCTCTTTATTTGCAGTTTGCTCGTCTTCCTCGCTAGTCTTATAACGGTGCTGGCAATGCAAGCCCACAAGCAATCCGCGCATACGGTCTTTCTTGTCTACGAAAACCATACGGGCTGGAGCGACGGAACAGCTTTCATGATAGGCACCGGGACTTGCATGTACTCCTACGTAGCGATGGATAGTGTCACCCATATCGCCGATGTGAGCCAGCCCTTTCTTCTGTCCTATGAATTTATCCTTCCCCTCTGTTAATAATTGGTCCTTGAAAAAGGAAGTCCCGGACCCCGGCCGCAATGTTCCTCGAGCCATGATGACCACCATACTCACAGGCATCATTACTACCGTCCCGTGGGCGATAGCCCTTCTGTTCTGTACAACGGACCTCGGTGCCGTCTCTTCCTCTCCCATCCCAATATATACAGCATACCTACAAGCCACCTCCAGTCAGTCCGTGGCCACCTTCTTCACTTCTTGGATCATCTTTCTCTACGGCGCTGCCCTCTTATCGGGCCTTCTTACAACCGGACGACTTGCATACTCATTTGCCCGATCTGGCGGCCTTCCCTTCTCTCCTTTTTTTGCCAGGGTCACTAACGAAGTGCCGTTGAATGCCACGGTGGCTGCGGCTTTGTTCATCATCTTGTACGGGCTAATATATATTGTCTCGACGACAGCTTTCAACAGTCTCATCTCACTGGCCATTATCATTCTCAACGTGTGTTACGTTATTCCGCAAGGAATTGTGCTGCTTCGTGGACGCGACTTGGCTCTTCCCAGAAGGTCCTTCGCGATGGGGAAGCGGCTGGGAACAATCTGCAACGCGGTGTCGGTACTCTGGGTGACAGTTATCCTGATTTTCTTTTGCTTCCCTCTCCGTGTACCGACCACTGTGCATGAAATGAATTATGTCAGTGCGGTCATCACAGGGTTTGTTGTTCTGATTGCAGTTGGGTGGTGGGGAGGAAAGAGGACGACATTCTCCGGTCCGGTATATGTTTCTCTCTCTCCCGGCCTTCGGAGGATGCCTAGGTTCACTGATGGCCTCTCTTGATGCTCGAACATAGGAAATTGTGTTTACTTATAGCGGGTAGGACGAATGGCACGAATATCTGATGATGAAACTGGTAGTAGATAAGTTATATAAGGGCTGGTGGTAGTGCCTGGTAGATGAATTGGTGGGCGAAACTGTTTCTGGTAGTCATGAGCAGGTAAACAAGGAAGTCGAGTTTATTGAATGAATGCCAATGTATAGAAAGCGTGGAATTCAATCAGCTCGGGATTCCAACATGGTGAATAGTGAACCCCTCCCTTTCTAGACCATCTTCTTCTGTTGTTTATAGTCCCGGACCATGTAATAGCAACGTCCAATGCGGCAGCCCAATAGCTGCAGGCATATCTCAACATGAATAATGTTTCAATATCCCGTTCTACTGCCAAAAGTGCCCCTGATGCCTGAGTCTCCGGAAATCATCAAGGAATCAAACCTCTTGCAACCAAGCCGGGACGAGTGTGTGACACCGACGTCGTGGCATCATTCGGAGAGTATTCAAATGTGGCCGGCTTTCCAATAGGTTCGGTCGTAGTGCAGGATTGGGTGTCAGTCCAGTTACACATGAGTTCATCAGACATCGTTACACAAAGTAAGTGAATGGTAATCTCGAGGATACGAGAAACCATGACCTGGGTTTTGACGGTGTGAGGCCATTTTTGGATAAAGCGTAGATACATGGTACATGTATAGAAGTAGAGCACCTGTCTAGGTACCTCCTGACATCAAAATAGCTCAGGTGATAGACAAGGTGACTTCTAGATGAAACTTGCCTCCTGTCATGTTGGCTGAAACCGCATTGGTTTCTCCTGCATGACCGTTATGCACAGTTGACACGAGTGGAGCATGCCAGACTTATGTACAAAATTACGTAATTGTGCTGGTATGGGGTGGATGCCTGAGGACAGGGTTGTTGTTTTGATATGGCCTTGGGTGAATCTGCTTAGGAGTCCGACACTGCAAGCCATTATTATTGAGAACTGTGGGGATCTCAGTTTCCCGCTAGCATTTCTCGCCTGGTGTCTTGTGAGTGTTCCTGCGTGGAGTGCCTGCTATAGAGTCAGTAACACTTGCTACTCCGAGACTAGCTCCGTATCCGCTGCCGCCCATGCTCTGTAGTGGCTAAAGAATGACCTAATCCTACTCTCTGGCTCCTCCTCCTCCACCACCTTCCCTTGGTTTTGAAACTCGGTCTTGCGCCAAATCGTTTATGGCGCCGTCATCTCTCGAAGTCCTTGTTCCTTAATTACGTTCCTTTTTCTTCGGAGCCTACCGGTTAACAGACCATCCGCTCTCACCCACGGCGCGCGCCCCGTGTGATCCCTGCCAGCCTTCTCGACCATGTCCACTGGGTGCCCGGCACTCCCTGCGTGATCCAGGCTTCCGGAGATTGAATATCAACCATGAGTAGTCGTGATCGCATGCGGGGCCCTCCTCCGGGTGAGGTGCCGCCCCAAAGAGATCCCCGTCGAGCTGGTGATGGTCGCAATGGCGGTATCGCCGGACCGGGGGATGGCACAATGTCGAGGGCCGAGAAATTCGAGGATGAGAAGAGGCGGATAATGCATAGCTGCTTCGGCAAGAAAGACAGCGATGCTTCTCGTACGTGCATTGCCCCATGGCGCCGCTTGTAGAGTGTCCTGTTGACTGTTCCCCTCCCGGTTCTAGTGGTCGAGTCCTACATAACACATGTCCGCATTCTGGAAGATGCGGCATATCCGTCCACCCCCGCACCACCCAATTCGCCGCCTGAGAACAAGAAACCCCGAGTGATTATTGTTGCGGTCAGACGGTCCGGCAGAGTGCGCATGCACAAGGCGCGGGAAAACAACGATGGCACGTTCTCCATTGGCAAGACGTGGATGCTGGATGACCTCTCCTCGATCCAGTCTTACAATGCCTTAATAGCATCTTCGCCGTTGGAACAACAGTACAAGCAGTGGGCTGGAAGTGTTGGATTTGTGGTCACCGTGGGAAAGCCTTACTACTGGCATGCACGGACCTCCAAAGAGAAGGAGTTCTTCATCGGCAGCCTGGTTAAGATCTACAGAAAATACACCGGCGGCAAGATACCGACCCTGATCGGCTTCGATGAGCGTGAGCGTCAGCTGCTTGCTGGTGCAACAGCCCCAGGGCCGCCAGCTCCGAAAGGGCCTCCTCCAGGACCCCCGCGCCCCGAAGTGACTCTCCCTCCCCCGCGGCCCCCCTCTTCCCAAGGCAGCCGGCCTCAATCACCATATTCTAGCCGTGCGCCTAGCCGTGATGGACCGAGGCGACCACCTCCAGAGGAACATGTCCTACGAGCTCAAAGAAGTCGCGATCAATTGGGGAGACCATCGACCGGCCAGTCTGGTAAAAGTGGTACTCCACCGTTCAGCCCACCTCAACACCCGCCACCGAGACCTCCCGACCAACGTGAACAACCACCCCCACGCGCAGCCGAACGTCTAGAAAACAGAGTGCCGACGGTCCCCATAATATCTCCACCGGAACCGAGGAATAGGGAGTTCCCATCTAGCTTGCAGGCCGCCTCTGTTGCCGGTCAGCGGGAACGGCCGAATGGCAGCTTTGAGGAGGTCAGCTCAGCGAGTAACCTCCCGGACTCCCGACCGTCATCCTCGCGCGACGGGCGGGCAGGCATCGAGCCTAGGCCTACGCTTCGTACCCATGGTCTCCATACAAGTCGCAGTAAGGATGGTCTTCGGCCTACAACACCAGGGTCTGTTTCTGGAGAAAACCTCACATTCATGCATAGTCCAGCAAGCAGCGTGGGTCCGAGGTCGCCTTTGAGAGAAACAGTCGAAAAGCCAGTGGCTACGCCGACACGGGTAGAGCCCCAGGAGCTTGAAGCCCCGAGCAGCTTCATTAGTACCCCCGTCGTTGAGGTACCAGCAGCACTCACACCAGGCTCCTCAGCAAATAACAAGGCATCACCTATCGTCAAGCCTGTTGAGACACCAGCGGCCACAGCTCCCATATTGCCAGCTCCGACATTGCCGGCCCCCATAAAGGTCCCAGAGCCTGCTGAACCAGTGGCAGAAACTGAAGTACCATCACCACCCCCTAGCGCTCCGGAAGCCGTCGAGCCTGTAGAAGATGAAGCTGATGCACATCGTCCTGGACTTGGGCCCATGATCAAAAAGAAGCAGAGCAAGGATGTTGTAGGTGCATTCCGCAAAGCTGCCACTGCCTATGGGGCCTTCAAGCCGAGGCCGGGAGGTGCTGGTGAGAGACTTCTGGCAGCTGCAAAGAAGCAGAAGGCTGCGGCAGATGAACCGGACGGTATTACCAGCGTGGTTCCCGCTCCATCCCTGCTCCGGACGAACAGCGAAAACACAGTGACCTCCCCTGAAACACCGGATACTGAAACGCCTCCAATTCTATCGTCGTCCCCTGTGAAGGAGGTGCAGCCGCCAGTACAGCAGCCAGTACAACCACCGGTGCCACCGCCTTCTGCTCCTCCAACAATCGAACCGCCCACGGTTGAAGTAACCCAGGCTGCTCCTGTTGAACCTGTAATCAGCTCAACCGAGACGTCCGCAGAGCCAAGGGATACGTCAAGGGCTGCTGTAAAGGTCGATGCAAAGAGGTCGAGATCTGTGTCCCCTTCACCTCATGACCGTCGCCGCAGACGTCATGAAGATAACACGATCAAGTACTGCCAAACGCTTGGAATCAATCCCACCATTCTTGTGGGGCGCGGCATAGACTTTGATGATATACTGACTGACCTTGGCTGGAACGGGCGGCTCGGTGATGAAAAGAAGATTGAAGATCTGGAGGCAGATATTCGTCGAGAAATCGGGCGTGTGGAGGCTACCAGCTGGCTTGGTAACCTTGAACAACAGGAGGGCAAGATCGATCAACTTGCGAAACTCATCGACAGGACAGTCGAGGAGTGTGAAGAGCTGGATAATCTTCTCACTCTGTACTCCCACGAGCTCAACGTAAGTTGCCAAATATTTTTGGGGGGGGCTCTACCTCTCCCTTTTCTCATCTCAATATTTGCTAACTGCATTATAGACTCTTAACGATGATGTTGCATACATAGAAACACAGTCGCAGGGTCTCCAGGTGCAAACGGCCAACCAGAAGTTGCTTCAGAATGAGCTGCAAAATCTACTCAAGACTCTGTCCATCTCTTCAGACGATCTACGGGCATTGAAGGAATCGTCACTGAGTAACCCCGATGGTTTGCGAGATACCGAGGTCGCCTTAACAACACTGTACAAGGCGATGTTGATGATCGATTCTGACATATGGCACAACAAGAGGCGGCTTGCTGATGCGGCCGGAGACCACGGTAGCCTGGGCGTATATGCCGATACAGAAATTGGACAAATGCGTGCAATCAAAGAGAAGAAGGAAGAGTACCGTGCACATGGTCGTGTGTTCTTACAACGGCTTAAACAATTTATGGCTATTGCCTACAAGGTGGCGGAACAGAAGAGAATTGATGCGGCAGCCAGTGGCCAGAAGGATCCCTTGAAGCTCGACAGCGAAGCCCGAGGCTACTGCCGCCGCGAACTGTGGCAGTATCATGCAGTGATACTCTTCGCACGGGAAGTCAGTTCCGGGGAGTGGCACGCGCTCATCAACCTCTACGAGCAACAGGCTAAGCACCCCTACCAAAATGATTTCCGGGACAACAACCTGGCATGGAGGAAGACAGCGAGGAAGTCCAGTGGAGAGGAGCAGGAACTTCTCTTTACTCACCAGGAGAAGGAGAAAGAATCTGAAGGCATCACCATGGCGGCGCGCAAGCTCACCGTGAGAAGAGGCAAGACCATTCGAGCAGCGGCAGGTCTTAAGCTTCCCTCTGGGGACAAGCAGCATGGCAAGCTCGAGCCGTGTGAAGCATTTGCCGGTACCCTTCATGAAACTCTTAACATGATCTCTGAAGAGCAAAATTTCATCGTCCATTTCTTCCACCTCAACTCGCTTTCTACTCTCGACTTTCCCGATCTTGTTATGTCAGGCGCTCCCGATGAGCGCAGAATTCCTAATTTCGGATCTAAGCAGCTGCACGATCCTGACCGCGCTATGGCAAAGAAGGTCGAACAGATTCTGGACGAACTCTTCGCGTTCTGGCCGACGGATATGCAAAACCTTGTGGACTGGGCCATCAGAGCCGACCCGCTGTAAGTTGGGAACTGTTGGTGCTCGTTTGACAATAGACTAACTCCGTGATACAGACAAGGAATTGGGATCTTACTGGCCATCGAGAAGGCGATTTCCGAGTTTGACGATACCAACCAAGACTTCATTATCCACTCACTTCAAAAGCTACACTCCCGGCTGCTTGGCCTCTTCAACCGATTTGTAGATGACCAGATCCGCGGTATCGAGGAGACCAAGGTCAAGGTGAACAAGAGAAAGGGAGTAATCTCGTTCATCCGCGTCTTCCCCCACTTTTCTACGGCCGTGGAGAACATGCTGTCGCAAGAATTCTACGACATCCGAGTCAACGTCAACGATGCCTACGATCGCATCAACCGCGCCATGTGGGAGTCGCTCAAATTCATCGCCAAGGAGGCTCCGGGCCAACCCACGGGCGCAGCCGCTACTTCGGGCGATCCGGAAGACAAGGAAATCCTCAATTACCACATCCTCCTGATTGAAAATATGAACCATTACATTGAGGAGGTCGATGTTCGGGGTCTTCCTGTCCTGGAACGCTGGCGAGATCGGGCGCACCAAGACATGCAGGAGCATATGACACTGTACCTTGACTCGGTCATCCACCGACCGCTAGGCAAGTTGCTCGAGTTTATCGAGTCGGTGGAGAATCTAGTGAAGACGGGCATCAACCCTGCCGACATTGCCAGCCGACCTAGCCACTCACGGTCGGTTGCGAAGAAGGTATTGGCTACGTATGACGGAAAGGAAATCCGGCGAGGAATCGAAATGCTGAAAAAGCGGGTGGAGAAGCACTTTGGTGACGCGGATGATCCCGGCCTCAGCCGAAGCTTGGTGCTGAAGGTGCTCCGGGAGTGCGAGGGCCGGTATGGGGAAGCATATGATCGGACTCGACGCGTTGTTGATGCGGTGTATGAAGGCCAGCTGGAGCTGGAGTGGCGCAAGGAGGACGCCATTGCCATGTTCCAGAGGTGAAGAGCGGTGTCTCTTTCGTGTTCAACTTGTGGCTGGGGTCTCTTGAAGGGGTTGCCCATGCATAAAATACCTGTCAGTTGCACCTTGCTGGATGGTGAGGATGGGGCATTTCGTTTTGCGCATCATAGAACAGGCGCATGGGTTGGATATTCGCATTCCTGTGTTCTTTTTCCTTCTCGCATTCTGTCTAAGTACTTATACCTGTTGATGTATCTGTAGCCCGTGGTCCATGAGGGGGAAGAAAGGGGAGGAAGGTAATGGTAACCTGACTGCTGAGGTCGCACTACATTTTCCTGGTGGGACAAAGTAACCGACGTTGAAACGGAAGACGTGTAGGAACAGTGCCCCCATGCGGGCGCAGTCGGGAGATGTGGTTTGGGGGATTTGGGAGGACTTGATGGAATCCCTTCAGTTCTCAGTCCCGATATGTTGGAGTTGGGGGGGAAGGTAAGTAATCCCGAGGCCAGCAGCGACGAACGATGAAGGAAGAATCCTGGAAGGGCGATCTTCACCCGAGCGAGACAGAGAGCACCCCCCAAAAAAGAAAAGGTGAGGGCACTTGGACAGGCCAAATTAGCGGCCCAGTGCTAGGCCCCGGCGGGCGGGCCAGTCAGCAGCTGGCTGGCCCATCTCCATTTTGGCCCTGGATTCAGGGGCCACGCCGCCGGGTCTGTGCTGGCCAAATTAAACATGTCAGCCACTCAGCCGGCCTAGCAGTCGCCTAGTCAGGAATTAATGGCAAGGCGTTATAGCTATTGGTGAAGAACCTCGGACGGTCCGCTTCCTGTCTGGACAATGTTCCTCGATACGGAGTCGATGGAGATGCATTGCTTTGTCTCTAGTCTTCTCTACATGCCTATCTACTGTCTAGTAGTCTATTTATATGGCCACGGGAAAAGGTGGGTTTCCCCCCCTGCTTTTTCGCCAAATGGCCGTTTTTGGTAGAGGTCCCTGGGTAAGTAGAAAACAAACCGAGTAAACGTGCTGGTGAAACCTGGATACAAACTGCATCCTCCCCACCGGTGCATCGATCGGTCCAACTGGACCCATGGATGGGCTGCATAGTGTGCCAGATCCCGTTGATTGCCTGTCCGGCGCCGGAGACCACCTCCATGGAAATGGGAATGTAAAAAGGAGAGCATAGAAATCACGCTCAAAACCATGACCCCAAGAGGAGGCATTACGAGGCCAATATAGCGATCAATTAAAGTTAATCAACAGGTCCGGAGGCTGCTAGTCGAGTCCTCCACGCCGGTCCGACCTGGTGAGAGAGTCTAGCCTCAGGCTGCGTATGCGCTCCGGCCTCAGGCTCCCGGGCGTCCTCTCCGCCTCCCGCCCCGATTCCTCCTCCCTCCCATTCATTCCCATCCCAGCCCAGCCAGCATCATCGGCCCTACGATCATCATCCTTCTCTCTCCCTCCTCTCTCCCTCCTCTCTCCCTCTTTCTGCGGGACTTGTTCTCCTCCACCTGTTCAATTCCATCATTCCACCCCTCCCCCTCCTTCCTCCTCCCTCCTCTCTCCCACATCTCTATCTATCTATCTATCCATCCATCTACCCATACTTCCTCTAGCTCTTGGTAAGCTCTCCCCTCCTCCCCCCCCTTCGTTTCATCTGTGTGCCTTCTCCACAGTTCCTGCCAAGTGAACAACTCCCTCGGCTCCACTCCCATTCCACTGCTAGGAGGCACCGACAAAAATGTCGAAGGAAGACAGAAGCTTGGAGAATCATTTAGTGGTGCTTTTCTGGTCGCGGTTATTATGGCCACAATTACTAGCACCGTCATTAAAGAGTGCTCTCACCAATTGCGGCGGTATTTCCAGCCGCTGAGACCCTTTGCGACAGCCGCTCCTGAATGGATTTCGTCTTCCGCTTATCATGACCGTCTGGCCTTGACACGCAACCCAAGCACGCCTACGTTTCGCTTATTAGAATACCTCTCACTAACCGCACATTTCGTGATGGCCATATAGTGAACCCGCCGTACCCCTTACCCCGAACTAAAAGCAAGACACCATTTCCGCCAGGCATCACCGATTCGCACTCCGCATCTCGGAACCCGCCTACATTTCTCTCTTTCCTCTCTTTGGACACCTGCATGTAGCGCCTCGGCCGATCGATCAGCAGAAATTCCCTGACCCCTCCCCTCTTCAACCCCGCTTCGCCGGTCCTCCTGCATTCCTCACGCGACCATTGTGACGAACACCGCGGCGGGGTGTGCTCTCGAGTGCCGCCTCGATCGCAGATATGCCCTGGCGGCCTCTGCCTCGAATCGCTTTCGCTGTCGCCATCTATCCTTTCCAGCCGACGACCCCGGCCGATCTGCCTCTGGAGCTTGGCGATGAGCTGTATATAATTGAGCAAGGTGGCGCCAATGGGGAGTGGTACCGCGGTTACCTCGTCGCTCCACCGTCCTTGTTGGCGGGCTTGACGAGCACCAAGGGTCAAACCCTTGAAGCAAGAGTCTTTTCGGGCATCTTTCCCCGAAATTGCATCGAAATCCGTGAAGTGCTAGGCGATGGCGAAAAGACGATCACAAATGGCGACCGATCGAGCATGGCCCTGACGGCCGGCGTGGAGGGAGAGGTGCGCAATAGCATGGCCTCCTTCCAAGATGATGAAAACACATTTGGGGAAGTATCTAACGTCGTAATCGCGAAGAAAGGAAAGCCGTCTCAGATCTTTATCCAGAAGCTGGATGAGGACGGTCGTGGAAGCCCGGGGAGCCCGCGCACTCCTCGGAGGGATCTCCTCAGGACAAATTCTATGGTGCTCTCTCCCATCAACGTGGCTCCTCGAGACCCCGACGCGCCCAAACCAGCCGCCCCTGTGCCAATGCTCAAGATTGGCGATGAAACACCCACTTCGCTCTCAGAACCACTCGTCGATGAAATCGCATCATGTCTCCGCGAATGGCATTCTACCAACCTACATCAGCTCCTGCTCTCTCGCCAGTACGTCACGGTGGAAGAAATGTCGAAGATTGTCCAGGAACTCGACTTTGCAAGGCGACAACTTTTGTACAATGTTTTAACCGCACAGGAGAAGGAGTCGCTACGACAAGAGGTGGTGTGGAAACTCGTTCGCGGGAATAAAGCATTGGGTGGGGAGATAATTGTGAGAGATCCTCAGCAAAGAGGTCGTCTACTCACTGGGGATGATTCGGCCATAGAATTGGCAAGGCTACAGTCCGAGATGGGCATGCTAGACAGCAGCCCCACGCAGCAGTCAGATGTGACTGCACTCCATCATCTGCTGCTCGAAGTCAATGCCGTCTCTGGGCATGCGCCCGGGCCGGTGACATTGGCTGTTTACCTCTGCTCTCAGTCGGAAACGGGGGCTCTTGTGCCCCTGTCGGAAACTTACGTCTTGGACATTCCTTCACCAGAAAGGTTTGCGAGCATGGGGCAGAGCGCCAAATTGAAAACGCTATTCACCGACTTGAGCAGCACGGATTTTGGCGACGGCTCTGCAAACGGTCCAAAGCTATATCTAATCGTTACGGTTCGTGCACCAGAGACTGCGTCAGTGGCCAGCGTCGCGGCCCAGCCAAGGTCGTCCATCTCGCGGGACAGCTCCTCCGCTAGCAAGCAGGCAACCGGGGTCAATCAATCAGTCAAAGGAAGCCTCAGGACTCGCCGGAGCATGATGTGGACCTCGAAGCCGCGCGGAATCCAAAGTCCGGAGCAGGCCAAGGAGTCGAGTAAGGCCCCGCCTCAGTCTTCTGGCAGTAGCACAAGCACCATCACCAAGGAACGGTCTGGTAGTCAATCAACCAAAGAGACCACTCAGATCCGGACGGTGGGAGTCGGCTTCCTCGAAGTTTCCCAGATCCTACGTCAGGAGAAGGATGCGGAGCAAGTGATCAATATCTGGTCTCCGTCCGAGGAAAGCGAGGACAAAGAGGGGCGTGATGAAGGGTTTGATGGAGTAATTCGCCTTTTGTTACCGAGCCTTAGTGGGAAGTACGTGCGGTCTCAACGGGCTGCCCGACTTCATTTTCACCTCTATCCACATGCGGACCCGGACGCAGATTCTCTAGTCCGAAGAAACCCCACGACTCTGCACAACGTCATTCAGACCCGGAGGATCGGCTTCTCGCAGGCCCCAACCAAACCCAGATCTGATATTTACGTGACTATTACCCACGCCACCTTCCCTCCTGAAGCGCTTCTTTCACATCCTCATTCTGGTCAAATTCCGGTCCCAGCGCACACCGGCCTTCGCAATCTGCAGTTGACTCTTGAAGTTCGCACATCATCCGGGGTACGCGTAGATCGGTGTGTCTTCCCCTCGTCCAATCACGCGGCACAGACAGCATGGCGAACCACAATCGCCGACAGAGGAGCCCCTTGGAACCAAACTATTCGCCTTAACATACCCACGGATCAGATCCCGGGGTCACATCTGATCATGAGTATTGCGGATGCTCCCGAGTTTCCGTTTGCGCTCGCCTGGATGCCACTCTGGGACAACCAGGCCTTCATGCGAGACGGACCCCATTTCCTTCTGTTGCACGCCTACGACAAATGTACGTCGAATATTGAGAATGGCAAAGGGGCCTATTTGTCCCTGCCATGGAGCTCGCTGGGGAAGAATGAGTCGGCGAAAGACGAGGCAATCACCGGTCCCTTAGCTACTCTGCGGCTGGACACACATCTGTGTAGCACGGAATATTCCCAGGACCAAGTTATACTCAGTCTGTTGAACTGGAGGGATCGACCTGTGAATGAAGTATTAGATACCCTCAAGCGGGTTCTCTTCGTGCCGGAAATTGAGATTGTCAAGCAGCTCAGCAGCGTCTTGGACTCACTATTTGGGATTCTGGTGGAGAATGCAGGCAACGAAGAGTACGAGGACCTGATCTTCAACAATCTGGTGACGGTTCTTGGTATTGTTCACGACCGGCGGTTCAACCTGGGTCCATTGGTTGATCACTATGCCGACAATCAGTTCAACTTCCCCTTTGCTACCCCATGTCTCGTCAGAAGCTATCTACGCCTTCTTCCGTCTAGCTCCGACGCTCAGCAGTCCCGTAATCTCCGTGCGACGTTCAAAGTAGGACGCCATGTCCTCAAGTTCATCATCAACGCCCGACAACAGCAGAAGGCGAAAGAGGAGGGTATCGGCATTACCAGGGTCCAATCGACGTTCAATCGGGATCTGCACACAATATTCAAATCGCTGGAGGCTCTGATGAAGAATCCGTCACCGGCGATGATTGGAAGCAAGACGCTTGTTGTCCAGCATTTCCACACCTGGCTGCCCGAGCTTTCCAAAGTACTCAGTCGCGACGAGATGATCATGATTGCTCTTAGCTTCATAGACTCATGCAAGGACGTCACGGGCATGCTGATTCTTTATAAACTGGTCCTCATTCAACATTACACTCGGCTGGAGATATTCAGCTCCGGGTCGGAGCGAAAGAGTTTAATATCCAGCTGTATCAGCTGGTTGGCGCCCTACTGGGGTGCGACAGGTGCCGTGTCCGATCTCTATCGTGACCAAGTCCGGCTGTGCTGTGCGATCGTGGCAGAGCTGTTGAAGCAGCCGGACCCATATCTATATGAGTTTGTGCCGAGAATTGTGTCGTCATACTACTCCATCATCCCCGACGGTGTTGAAGAGACGAGCTACCTCTCTCTACTTTTCAGCAAATCCTTCCCATTCCAGGTGAAATCTTCCAAGTACTCCCAAAGGTTCGACGAAGCATTAGTGGAGCTGTCCGCGATTTTGGCGGGAGCGGCGACGATACCCAACCCCAAGCGCCCTCGACTGAAGGGATTGGAGCTCTCCAGTTTCCTGTCTCAGGCGTTTGAAGTGCATACTTCGATTCTCAACTGCGAAGCGTATCCCGAAAGCTGGCTCAGTGTCCATGTATACAACCACCGGGCAACTGTCAAGAGTCTGGAGTACCTGGCTTCCATCTTGACCAGCGAATTCCTTCCATCCCCGGAGGAGGCAGAATCATTCGACACGAGACTCTGGGAAACTTTCTTCATGACATTGCTCAAGGTTGTCTCGAGCGACGCTCTCGCCCTGGAGACCTACCCGGAGCAGAAGCGCCGCGCCATCTGGAAGATCGCGGGTGATGTTCGGGAACAGGGCGCAGACCTACTACATTCCAGCTGGGAGTCAATCGGCTGGGAGACCACTGACGAGGAGAGGGAACACTACGGGCTCAGCAAACTGGGTGGCTATCAGGTGCAGTATGTTCCTGGCCTGGTGGCACCCATCATCGAGCTTTGCCTCAGTGTCCATGAAGGACTACGGCACGTGGCTGTCGACATCTTACGGACGATGATATTGAGCGAGTGGGGGCTGAACCAGGATCTGTCCATAATCGAGACGGAGGTTATTTCCAGTTTGGATAATCTCTTTAAGAGGAAGAATATGAGTGAGAGTGTTGTCCAGAAACTCTTTATCGGGGAGTTGTCGGATCACTTCGAAGGCTACGCGGAGTTTGATGAAGACCTATCTAATGCGGTCAAGGCTCTGATCGCGACTGTGGATGAGCTGCTCGACCTCTTTGTGGCCTCTCAAGGCGGCTCGATGGCCGAAAGCCTGCATACGCTTCGACTGATGAAGTACATGAAGGACATGGGTCGCGAGGATATCTTCATCCGCTATGTCCACGAACTTGCCCAGGTGCAAGCCGCAGCAGGCAATTTGACCGAAGCCGGGCTGGCTCTCCAGTTCCACGCCGACCTGTACGATTGGGATGCGAAGCGGACTCTGCCTGAGCTACTCAACCCTGCTTTTCCCGAGCAGACGTCTTTCGAGAGAAAGGAGTCGTTATACTTTGCGGTTATTCAGTATTTCGAGGATGCCAAAGCCTGGGCGCATGCACTGTTGTGCTACAAGGAACTTGCGCAGCAGTATGAGGAAACCGTGGTTGATTTCGCCAAGCTTTCGAGAGCGCACGGCTCCATGGCCAAGATCTACGACATCATTGCAAAGGAAGACAAGCAGTTCCCGCGGTATTTCCGCGTGCTATACAAAGGACTCGGCTTTTCCACCACTCTTCGTGACAAGGAATTTATCATCGAATGTGCGCCAACTGAACGGATGGCCTCGTTCATTGATCGCATGCAGAGAGAGCACCCAGCTGCGCAGGTCGTGTCTTCTGGCGAGATTCAAGATTACGAAGGACAATTCCTGCATATCAGCCCTGTCAGCGTCCATCGAGACGTGGATCATCCTGTTTATCAGCGGTCCAAAATCTCGCAGTCCGTCAGAGACCACCTCTTGGTCTCTGAGCCCTGCCACTTCAGCTCGACCCTACGGAGGCACGTTCGCGACACCGACGTGAGGGAGCAATGGGTGGAGAAGACGGTCTACACCACTGCGGAGCCTTTCCCGAACATCCTCCGCAGAAGTGAGGTGGTTGAGGTTAAGGAAGTGGCACTGTCGCCGCTGCAAACTGCGCTCGAACGGACGTGGCGCAAGACGCAGGAGCTGTCGATGTTGCAACGTCGGGCCGCTTCTGGTGAGGACATGAGCTTGAACAATCTTACCGAGGCCTTGGAGCAGTTGCTCGAACTTAACGCTGCGACTCCTAACTGCGTTGCTGCCTACCGCCAGTTCTTGTCAGATGTGCACGATGAAGACGAGGGTGGCTTAGTGACACCGAAGCCGGCCGATCCGTTGAAGAACGCGCTGGCAGTGGCTCTTATCGACCATGCCTTGGCCATCAAGCAGGCTCTGGCCATGTACCACCGCCCGGCACATCAAGCTACGCAAGCTGAGCTGATGCGCCGATTCGAAGAGGCCTTTGGACCGGAAATCTCCTCTCTCCGTCCGGCAGAACAAGAAACGCCCCAATGGCCTCGGCGAAGCACCCCGAAGTCACTGGAAGAGCGCCAGAAGCAGCCGGCTTCGCGGGCGCTCAGTCCCGAGCAGGAACTGATTCGGTCGTCGCGAAAGAACCACAGCCGCAAGCACTCGGCCAAGCAGTCTGTCAGCCACCGCATCAGCGTCATGAACCCTTTCAAGCGCACCAACCACGTTGCGAGCAACTCGGTGGCTACAGTCCAAGAGGACCCGAAGGGGCCAGTTGATAGCAAGGTCAACGGCACCGCCACAGAAGAGCATGTCAACGGCGAGGCGGCGGACTTGGATGATGCAGCCACCATCCACAGTCGGACGACCACTCAGTCGCGGGATACGCACCACCGGCGTCGGAGCCGACTCGGGGATGTGCTGCACAAGCACGCATCGTCGTTGTCGATCAGCCCCAGCGCGACCGAAGAAAGCCAGAGCCGGAAGAAGCAACGGACCCGAAGTGCTTCTCGCGACACGGCAGCCAAGTCTCACGAGAGCATGAGTCGCACGACCTCCCACACCAATGGGACATCCACGGACGACCGGCCGTCGGTGACGAGTCCGAAGGGTGGGTGGTCAACGATCCCTTCGATCAGCGACTACCCACGGCCGGTGACACGGAGCAGCATGACGTCGATCCGCAGTCCGGAAATTACGAGCCCAGTCAGCCACAGCAGCGGGCGGCGGGACTCGGTATTGAAGCGGTTCAGTCTGCTTAAAGGCGTCAGTCGGAAGGGCAGCCGTCTGGACTTCCGGACGGAGACGCCCGTGCACGAGGAGTGATTCCCTCGTCTTCTTTCTCTTCTTGATAATGTCTGGACATTCATCTTACTTGCATTATATTTCATTCAGCGTCGACATCGGCATGTCTTGCATTGCAGCGTTGCTTTCCGGCCGGTTGCACAGTCCTTGATTCTCTTCTCTGGTTGGATACACTACACTTTTTTTTAAAAAAATTCTTTCTTTCGACATATCCAGGCATGATATACCTTTTAGTGAGATACCTACTTACCTTTCTCTCCTTCTTGTTGGACTCTCGTTTGTTGGCCATGTCTGTACACTATTCTTTCGCCCGATGGTAGGACGCAAGGTGGATGGGTGTTATTGTACAGGTAGCATATGAGCATTCAAGAATATTGAAGATCACTTGGTGACAGACAATCTGTAGAAGTAAAGTATGTACTTGAATTGAAACCGTCAAGGTTCAGTCTCCCTCCTGCCACACACACACACACAATCATTCTTCCTCTTGAGCCTGCTCAACGACTGGCAAATCCAACTCCACCAACCACGGCGCATTAATCGCATGATACTGCACCGTCACAACACTGGCATTGACAAACAGAGTCTCTGCCCCGGGCCTCAACGGATTGCCACCTTCCTCACTAACATCGACATGAGCACACCTCTCCTCCAACATCTCCTCCTTATCACACTGAATCATCGACTCATTCCCGGAACTCCACTCCTTCCGCACCGCCCCATGCCCCTCATGAATATGTCCAAAGACATGCAATCTGGGCCTCGCCCTCTTAACAGCCCTATACAAATGCTCACATCCCACACTAACATGACCAGGTACCACCTGATCCAGAATCCCATACGGCGGACCATGCGTCACCATAATATCCACCCCCGGATAATCAGGCACCGGATTCACCGGCCCTCCTCCCCCCTCCTCATCCCTCCCCTTCCCCATCCCCATCTCCTCCCCCTCCCCAACCACCGGCACCGGCACCGGCACCTTCACCCCCACCGGAAACCGCTCCTTCTCACCAACCCCAGGGGAATTAAACCGATCCTCCCCCCTCTCATACCCAAACGCCCACTCACAAAACTCCGGCGTATACGGACTCGCATACACCCTCAACACCCGTCCCCCCCTCAACACAAACCTATGCATCCCTTCCTCCAAATACCTAATCCCCTTCTCCCGCGCCCCCGCCCCAGTATACAACTCCTTTATCTCCGCCGGAGATTCCACCCGTCCCGGCTGCGCCTTCCCCGCGGATACGTTCTCGCTTCCTGATGTCGCCGACGGGGCTGTATGATCGGTGCGGTATTTGTGGCGGTAGTGCCCGATGCGCGTGTAGTAGGGCTCGTCGAGCGTGATGTCGTGGTTGCCGGGGATGATGAGTTTCAGGGGCGCCGGGTGCGAAAGCAGGGTTTGTAGGATGGTGAGGTGTTCGTGTCTGTAGCCGACTTTGGTGAGGTCGCCGGCGTGGATTAGGATGTCGGATGGGGGGAGGGGGTCGCGGTAGGCGTTGGAACTGGTTAGTGGGGGGTGAGGGGGAGGGTGTGTGTGTCGCTGAGGAGGAGGAGGGTGGTTTTCATTGTTTATTTCTTTCTGATGTGGTTGTTGTATGGTTGGTTTGGGGATTTGTTTGGTGGTGGTTATGGGGATGTGGTGAGGGGGTATGGGGATGTGGTGGTGTTGTGAGGGGTTTAGTAGGATGGGGATGGGGTTAGTGGGTAAATAATATACTATACTCTACTGGTAGGGTAGGGCGGTTTCGTCATCGATAGTCACAGAGTATAACTCTATCAGGTTTCGGTTGCATGTACAAATACAAAAGTACAGTCGAGTACAGTCGAGTACAGTCAAGTACAGTCAAGTACAGTAATAAGGTACGTAGTATCATGTACGTGCGAACATAATTTATTCATCCATTCAATTCAGAGCTACCAGCGGAAATCTGGAAAATGCTAACTCCGATCCATCCCACCCTTTTACAACGTGTATCCTTTTTACTTGCGGATAGCACGCTGGTAGAAAGCAAGCTCCTCACCCTCAAGGATGTATCCGTCCACGCGGCCGCTCTGGCCGGGGCGGGACGACACAACGGCGTACAGACGACCAGACTCGAACTGTCTCTCGACAGCGGACTCGACCTTGCCGTGGTCGGCAAAGCGAGCAGCCTGCTTCTTCACAACGCTGTTGGACTTCTTCTCCTCGGTGGTCTCGGTCTTCTGCTGGCGTCTGCGACCGATGGGCTGGCCGTAGTGGGCCTCGTACCATTGACGGAAAGGAGCGGCATCGATCTGGACGACGGCGGACTTGGTCAGGGTGTTGGTACGGACCAGCTCGTTGTTGGAGGGGTGGTAGGCGACAACGATGACACGGGTCTTGCGGGAAACACCCTCGGAACCCCACGAGAAGTTACCGGACTCGAGACGGAGAGCACGGAACTTCTGGTTACCACCACGAGTGCGGACAAGGTGGATTCTCTTGGCACCGATACGGGTGTTGGAGGGCTGGCGACCCTTCTCGAAGGCCCTGTTGGTTGGTCGTGCGTCAGTCGCGGCCATCATTTTTCAATCCCGATAGGAACTCATGCATACCTCTTCTTGCGGTAGGTGGCCCTCTTCGCGCCGGTAGCCGAGCGCTTGTGACGAGAGTCGCGTGAGATACCCATGTTTGCTGTTCGAGGGGACTGTAGATGAAGATTATTAGCCGGGGATTCTTCGTCACACCCAGTAGACTGTTATCGATGATATGATCCCTCTTTCCGTTTCTCCCTCGGATCGTCTTATGTGGTTGGATGGTTGTTCGTGCGATTGTTGATTGTGTCTGTCTGTGTGGGTGTGTGGCGATGCTCGATGCTGGAATTGTGCGAAACTCGGATGTGGAAGAGAAAAGCGAAAGAAATTTTTTCTTTTCCTGTCAATCGTCGTCGTCGTCGCTATTCCCCTGCACCAAACACTGCTTCTGTTCTTCTCCTCGTCCTCGCTCCCCAGAATCTCTTTTGCTTCTCCGATTCGAGATCCAGACCGATCGTAGATTGCACGCGCACACCGACCGTCGACGACGCGGGAAAACGGAGAGGGATCGATATCACGACGGATTGGATGCAATAGACTCACCTCTAATCCTGCAGCCCTTCACCAGGAACGCAGCGGGCAAGGGTCGTTGGGTGGTCGAAGGAGTTGAGTGCTTGTCGTCGGCTTCCGTTGAATTTCGCACTGTGGCTCGCTTGTGGAAGTTGCCCTACTACCCTAGTCTGCGAGCGGTTTAGCGTTGTCCCGTGACCAGCTGACTCAGCCGCTAGTCGAGCCCCGATAAGCCGATACGCATTTTGGGTCATTCAGCTCGCATGTTTAATTTGTTCGATTTCGATGTTCTTAGACGCGGTGGAGTGTATAATCCATTCGGTACATTATCCTATCCTCTACTTCCGATGCTCTCTCTTCGCCCGCTCCTCCATCACCATCCGATCAAATCGCGCCCACACTGTAAATCCCTCAATCAAATTATTCAACACCCACGCGCACCACACCAACGACAGCACCGGCACTCCATGCCGTCTCAACCGCTTCACCGTCAACAGACTAGCTTCGACCATATGCGATCCCGCCAGCGTGGTGATCACAAACAGCTGCGTCTTGTAGAATAATTCCGCCAGCGCCGGAACCCTGCTCAGCCCGACCGTCTCGTAGAACAGTGACCCGGGCAGGAAGTTACTGCGCCGGCAGAACCCAACCAGCCCAGCCAGACACACGGCGAAAATAAGGAGCTCCTTGCCCTCCGGGCGGCGGTACTCCTTGATCGTAATATCAGACCGGCCTAGTCGCTCCAGACACTCCTTGTGCATGGCCACCAGGCGGGTTCGCGACTCGGAGAAACTCTCCATTGGCGGGTCGATAGGGACCGTGTAACGGGTGCCATTGGCACTGATGAGGAGATCGGACAAGCTGATGTCTTCGAGCCGGGCGGATTTGGCCTCGCGAGATGAGACGTGGCAGTAGACTTGCAGGTAGGACGCCAGGGAATCTTGGTGGTTGGCGTTCATGTGGGTGATGGTGAAGGCGAGGTTGGAGCGGTCTTGCGCCATGGTGAGTGCTGCTTTTTTTTTCTCTTTCACTTTTTCTCTTTCACTTGATCGCAATAAGGTCTGTGGAAATTATGTCTGCGAGATCGCGGTACACAGTGAATTGATATCCTCGGGGTAATGCGCGGGGTTTAGTAACAAATGTTTGGGTTCCGGTCTCCTTTTCAATCCTGCCAAGACCTCGGGATCGTCTCTTGGGGATGCGCTCACTTTTCTGCTCCCGAGGAAAGGAACTTCACTGACATGGGGAATGGATCTGCGCGCGTATTGAGGGATATCAGCGCATGTGAAGATGTTGTTTTCACTTTTATGCTTCCCTGTTATCGTGCTGCACTGGTCTTCTTCATCGCGACTTTGTCCATATGAATGGGTCTCGACTATATATACTGCGATCTTTTTTCGTCCAGCCTGTAGTTGACCACTCAACACCATGACTTGACTTATACAATGAGTCTCAGAGCTATATCTATCTATGAGGGTCTAATTTGCTTCGATATAGTTCCAACATGCCCTCAATTGCAGAGTCCCACATGTTGACGTGGGGATATCCACCCTATTAACTCTTGAAAACAACAAGCATGGCTCAATAATGGGCTTTTACAACACGATAACCACATTCAATCCTGCAAGAACTCAGACATTTCAGACCCACTCACACCACAACTACTCGGCATAATACGAGGCCAAGCTCTACGAGTACATAAGAGTATCGTCCGGGGACAAACCATCGCCTGCAGAATGGGACATGGTGAACAGGCCTGACCTTTAGCTGATCCCGTTCATTACATTCAATTGTCCCTGTCAGCTTATAGGCCCAGTGGCAGTCTCGCTCTGGGTTTCTTTTCTATTGTCTCTATCTTTGGTTGCCCTGTTCATCACAGCCAATTGCAATCCTTCTGGAGGCTAGCTCCAGCATTCTACACTCAAGAACTTCTTGTCTCTCTATAAGAGAAAGAACTATCCGGGATGCAGAACTTATGATTCTCATACTTGAAAATGTCCTCTGCCGACATGGTAAGCACAACTTGAGACTCATTGGTGCACTTAATACAACCAATAGGGCACTCGAGTACAATCAGTGGAACATCCTGGCGGCTTTTCAAATGAGAATACAGTACCACCACATTGCAAGACGATATATTCAAGAAGATATCAAGAAACAAGGATCCTGTGGCCTACCCTGGAATGCTTATGGTTGGCAAAACGCGAGCCTATACTTTATATGGTCGATGCGGTCCGTTTCGAACAAGGGGGGGTGTTGGACCCGATGGCAGCGGAGCGATCGTCAAGCAGACGGCCATCGTGGTAAGCTAACAATCCAGACAATCTCATCGGATAAAAACATCTGGAGTGGCTAGTAGATTGAGCAAACGACCCTGTATCTAGGTCAGATCAGCTGGTATTTGCCGCAGGGAACTTTGAAATATCGCCTCTCTATGATGCCTCGTTTTACGCTTGTCATACAACACGACCACTGACCGTAAATATAGATTTATCTACAATGTCACAAGTTGATTAGTTCGACAGACCTCAAGGGCTAGATTTCCCTGCTCATATCTACCAAAGGTGACGCTTGGCGCACCTGCATAATAGACTTGCTGGCTCAAAAAAGATGAACTACTAAATCCGGCGATGTTCGTATTATGCTATGTTCCCAACAACCATCTCTTTCTGTCCGCCTAAAGTCAATAGCTCAGGTGGTGTTTTCTTTCTAGGACATCAATGGGATCGGAGGAGACGGCGGTGTTGCTGACGAATCTGTCAAATGGCCCGATAAGGCGTCGAGTCTCTCTGTACGGGATGAGGTATAGACGGACGTACAAGAGGAGATTGGTGCTACTGCTATTGGCAGGGGATTGACAGGTGGAACTGCGTGTAATGCTATTTTCATAGATGAGGAAGAAAGACATAATAGTAACCAGTCAATCTTGATAAAGGAAGGTGGAGATGAGGAGGATCCTATCATCCTGTAGGTACGTACATTTTCTAGTTTCTCAATGGCAAGAGACAAGGGATAAACTAGTTGTGACAACGGGTCCTGTGTACAACACCTGATTGGTAGTCCTGCTAACAGTGGCTCAGACGACTATAAAGCTGACCCAGATACCTCTGACACTCCCCATTCCCAGCTAGCTCGCATCACGCTCAACCTCTGCTCCGCAATGAAATTATCCCATTGAAACTTCAGATACTTATACCGTCTGATGCCCGATCCTGCCTGGAACGAGACTGAGGAAAGTGCAGAATAGTTTGGAATCCTTTGATTCAAAGACATCTTGACGACCCCAAGATTATCCAAGATTGCATATACTATTTATTCATTTTAGCACACACGCAAGAACATTGTTCTGATGGAACCGAGCAGTGATTACATAAAGTGCAATTGACGAGCATCCGTTAATATACCATCAACAAAACATTAAATCTCTATATAACAATTGAAAAAAAAAAGAAAAAGCCCCAAGCAATACTCAATATCATCTATCCAAGAACCCTAACAGATCCTACTACCCACTACTATATCGCATTAACCCAGTAGGTAAGCAACCATGCACCAAAAGATTCAACACCATCCATAGCAGTCAGAATCCCCGCTCTTGCCGGCTATTCTTATTGACAAAGGCAGTAGCCGATTTGCCTATGAACTCAACCAATCCCCAAATCCTGAATCATATTTATTAGAAAATTCTATATTCTCTCCCCCCCTAGAATAAACAAAATGAGCACTAGTCACTAAGAGCCAACTACTTAACTAAAACTCTGCTTATAAATCATCACTACTCTAGGAACTCCCTCTATCTACAGTTTATTCTTCTTCTTTAACATAGATAGATAGTCAATGTCGAACGAGAACATAGCATATTACTCCGTATGCGAAGAATCACGGTCTCGATGAAGGATTCAAAATTAATTTTTAATCTTTCTTAAACAGAAGAGACTGAAGAATATCAGAACGAGAACTAAGACTACCAGTCATTGCTATTAAGGACTGTATTGATCTGAGTCTAGTTTGTATAGAATCGCCAATGGTAATGGATGATAGAACCTGTCAAACAGCACAAACACATCTACCTCATTCTGAAAATAGAATGTTACCCGGTTCGGGCAAGTTTGACGGGGAGTGGAGCCGGTCTGGACTGCGTCATTTTGTCTCGTCTCGTCTCATGTTGCGGCCGGAGTTCATTGAATATGTTTTTGGTTTGAACTCTGGTGTCTGGAGGATTGACTTGTGTGACGTAGGGAGGTGATGATTTAATTGATGGGTATTGCTTAGGATATGTTGATGTAGTAGGCTAAATTCAATGAGAGACTGCAGGACCGGGGTTTCCCACTTGGTATATATCTACGGTCGCAATTCCAACCGATTCTACAGGAAATAGCAGTACATTCGCCTTGGAAAATAACGGAGGACAGCCTCCAATTAACCTCAAGCTAGGTAGATCCAAAAAGTATAAAACATACCAACAATGGTATAACCGCGCACAGACATTGACAGACGGGTAGATAAGCATCGCAGAGCGCAGCATAAATCAGAGTGAGATCGCAAAAGACGGGAGAAAGGTAATCGCCAACTCTATCCAACAATGACAATGGCATGACATGACAATGGCAATCAATCAACCGCTATTGTAAAAACCTTCGTGAACGTCATAACGGGGACGGAATGGAATGATTTTGAGCCGACGGCCGGACGGAAAATGCAACGATCGCCAGGAACCAACCACCAACCACCGCAGCACTGGTGGCGAAAAGATGTCGCTTCCGGAGATTTATTCAACAGCCTCGCAAACGAGGAATATCCCCCCGACTCCGAGCTTCGGAATATATCTAGGGTGTAGAATGAAATGTGTCGATCATGCGCTGGTAGAAGAAAGGAATGTCATGTCAACACCGATTTCGTTCAAGTACTAGCGATTTTAAGCGATTGATTGCATGCACTCGCTAGCATGCAATTCCCCCCGCAATCAAAAAGCCTATGAAGTTGGGAAAAGGGACTACTTACAGCAATGACAACGTCAAATCACCGTGAATATGAGCCTTCAACTCCACCTCGATATCCAAATTCAGCTCCAATTTGAGCTTCATTCCGTCTTGATCCTCCCAGTCATCCCCTGTTTTCCGTTCTTCGGCGGGCTGCATGCCGCCGTTTGAGATCGGCTGCTGAGGCACGTTATCCCGGCTGCTGATGGTTGTGGGCTGGTAGCGCTCCATGGCTTGGACTTCATCATCTGCATCTTCGTCGTCGTAGTAGTCATCATCATCATCATCGTACTCGTCCGAGTACTCGTCTGAGAGGTAATCGTCCTCTTCTTCTGGTTCCTGACGCTGGGGACGACGCCGGCGTCGCTGCTGCTGCTGCTGCTGGGGTTTCTGAATGTTATCGTCAGAGAGGTAGTCATCCTCGGAATCATAGTCGGAGACATCGTCAGGGTCGTTTGCAAAGGTTTTGGTGGCCGGTTTTTCAGCTTGAGCGGTGGCCATTTTGGATTAGATTCTGGGGTAGGAGGGGAAGTGGATGGATGGGATAGCGGGGTTTGCAGATTCGAATTGAACCGATAATATCAAATATCAACCCGGATTGAATGTTTAGTGAGACGGTATTTAAAAGGGCAGGCAAGAAATCGGCCAGCAGGGCAGACGGGAGCGGGCAGAGCGGAGGCTTTGCTTTACATACAAAAGCCCGAATGCGGGAGGCGAGCGAGTAGTATACGGTGTTAGTAGAGTAAGCGAGGTCGCGCGGCCCCGGGGAAAAGCCAAAGTCGGAAGAAACGATGGAGAATGATGTATGGCCGTTGATGGCGACGATCGGGGCTGGTGGGCTGAAGGGAAATGACGTCTGGAGGACAAAAAAACTGCAGGGAAGCTGCAGGCTTCATCATCCGATTTCATGGCTGCATCATTTTGTTTGGGGAAGGCACGAGTCAGCCGATGGCGGGAAGGCGCCATCGTCATCGAGCCCACGTTGCCCGGACCTTTTTTTTTTTTGGTTTGATCTTTCACACACACTCTCTCACTCACTCACTCACTTACTCACTCGGTCTCTCTTGGATGGAGTAATCGGAACTCTCAGACTTCCTTACCTGGAGTACTTCCCTGATTGTGGTGATGATATTCCATGGATCGATCCTACTGCAGAATTGCCGCCCGGTTGATTGGCCGAACAAGCTATCCATGGAACCTCCCGCCAACATCCACGGGCTCGGCCATAACTGCGCGGTAGAGGTATCCGATGGCCACGAAAACATACATCCTTTGCACGGGTCTGAAGACAAAGAACCTACCATTGCGGTACTCTTGATGTATCCCGATGGCCACCAAGATGATACCTGTCAGTAGTCAGGACCGTGTCCCGGCTGTCAGAGCACTGACGTCTTCTGGCGTCACCAACGGGGGTGGAGACACGGGATGGCGCTACACAGACTGGGATACCCTCATCCGCCCACGTTCATTGGCCTTGACCCCCCGCGACATCTGACGCTAGGGCAGATTACGATGGCCTTGTTCCCGCCTACCGACGATCTCGCCCTCCCTTCATCCCAAATTCTCCGATGCAGAGGTCAGCCTGCGACGTCATCGCCCTTGACCCTCTCTCGCCTTGTCTGTGGTACGAATGACATACTGGCACCACGCCCATGACCGCGTTTCATCATGTCGACTGACGTCGGTTGGCCTGCTTCCCTTGCGTGTGCGCGGGTACCGTCTATAAATATTGCTCGGCCATTGGATGGTCCGGCCGAACCCTATATAGTGTACGACCCCGTGCCCCAGACCGCCGCAGACTTATTATATTTCGTTGCTTTCCACCATGTCTGATCAGAATCAACCCGACTCTTCCAACCCCAACAACAACCCGACTGCCCAGCAGACCCCAGAGGGAGAGTCCAATCCCAATCCTACCTCCCCCCAGCAGGAACAACAGGAGGACCCCTCTACCTCTCCCGCTCAAGAAGAGAAGCCTGATCAGAGCAACCCCGAAGATCAGAAAGAAGATCAGTCAGAAGACAAGGAAGAAGACTCCCAACCCAAAGAAGACAAACCCAAAGAAGAAGAGCAACAACCTAAACAGGAAGAGTCTCAAGAAGAGAAACAACCCAAGCAAGAACCCGAATCCCCCAAACCCAAACAAGAACCCCAATCCGACGAGGAGGAGGAAGATCCCGAACCCGAACCTCAACCCGAACCACGCCGCCACAAATCCGCCGAAGAGCGTAAACGCCGGTCCCGACCTCCCCAGAAAATCAGACACCAGGACGACTACTCCGATATGGATAACGGCGCCGTGGAGAGACCTCGTCGTCAGCGTCGCCAGCGCCCCCAACAGCAGCAAGGCCAGGACGGTGGTCCTCTAGGTGGACTGCCCGGTGTTGGCCAGGCAGGGGATCTCGTCCAGAACACGGCCGGGAATGCTCTGAACGGGGTGACAGGCAGTGCAGGTAAAGCAGTAGGGGGTGTTCTTGGTGGAGGAGGTGGTGAGAAGGATGATGGCGGCGGCAAGGATGAGCAATTGCGGTTGAGACTTGATCTGAACTTGGATATTGAGGTGCAATTGAAGGCTAAGATCCATGGTGATCTTACTCTGGGGTTGCTGTGCGTATACCCTATTCTCTTATTCACGTTTTGAGATTTTGCTGACTCCAGACAGGAACTGAGGTTGTACATGTCCGTCAATTACGAGGATCGGTCGATAGAAAAGTCTTCGTCGTCTCGTCCTGATGATCGTTGTTGTCTTTCTGATACCTTGTCCCCTTCCTCTCTTTGTCTTCTTCATACATATGCTTGACTGTTCTTCGACACGGTCTAGATCTGTTATGTCCCTGTTACGTTCTGGCATTCAATTTTCTGTGATGAATGATGATTTGCGCGCTTCTTTTGTCTCTTCTTCATGCATGAGCAGCCGGCTGCTTTCGCGGTCGTCCATGCCGGTCAGTACTAGTATAGGATAATGAATGAGTCCAGCCATGCACTCCAAGAAAATTTCTATCATTCATCTAGCCAAAAGCAAATCCAGATATAGCGAGTTCAGATATAGCGAATCTAGATGTATCAGATATAGCATGTCATCACTCACACAATAACCCACCAATCCCAACCCCCCTCATCGCAAGATCTATAAGATCATCTCTTTCGTTGCCCCACATATTCTCTAAATCGTATGGCCAGCGAACCAAACACAGCAAAAAGCAAAATCCAGTCCAATCGGTCCGCTCACAGTCCAGCAATGTACATCAGCCCGTAACCGACCGTCACGACCACAACGAATGACATCAAACTGGCTGGGATACCACGGGTGAAGAAGTGGCGGACCTGCAGGTACCGCTGGCCAGTCTGGGGCACTTCCGTCATGATTGCCGCTGCGACTCGTTAGTACATGCATACATTACTCAATCCAGGGAGCGAAAAAGGGAGGAGGTGAGGGGGCTTACTCATGTTAGGGAAGCCACTGGTCGGCAAAGCCATGGCCACAGAGCACATCAATGCGCTCGCCATCACGAGCAGGTTCGGATGAGGGTCGGCCATGCTGATGCCAATCTGTCGCACCAGGGGAAGCATGATTAGGGCTGCTACCGTGTGGGAGATGAAGGTGGCGACGACGAGGATCAAAGAGCAGAAGACAAGTAGCACGCCGTAGAGACTGAGGTGTTCCACCCGTTCCCGGATGCCGCTGGCGAGGGTGTGCAGGAGGCCGGAGGACGTGACGGCCTTTCCGAGGCAGAGGCCACCGGCGGCTAGGATGATGATTGTCCAGAGGAAGTTGTTGAAGTCTTCTTTGTTGAGAATACCAGTGCCGAAGAATAGGACCATGGGGATGATGGCGATGACGCCCATGTCGCCGAAGATGTGCTCGAGTTGGTGACTGCCACACCATAATGCGATGGTGAAGAGTGTGACGATACTGATGAACCATTGTACGCCGGTGAACTTGTCTTTCAAGGGGCGGATGGCGACGGCGGTTTCCCGACCGGGTTTGAAGGTAACCACTAAGAGGACCCAGATCAAGAGAATGGAGAGGATGCACACTGGCAGGGAGATGAAGAACCAGGTACCCCAGCTGATGCTCGGGTACATGTTCTGCAGCGCGATGATGTTCTGGGGAGATGCGATCGGCGACGCAGCACCACCGACGTTAGCGGCCAGAGCGATGCCCAGAACAAGGGATTTGGCAAAGCTTGAATCGGGCGCTAGGTTTCGCAAGAGAGGTTGGATGATCGAGTAGCAGAGCACGGGCGATGCGACGTTGCTGATCCACATACTCAGGAACATGCTCACAAACATATTGGTGAGAAGCAAGACGTTGGGGTTGGAGCCAGCTTTACTCAAGACAAACATTGCCATTCGACGAGCGATATCGTACTTCGATAGGGCGGCAGCGATCGTGAAGCCGCCAAGCAATAGCATTATGACTGGTGTCCACATGGCGCTGAAAGCCGCACTGGTGGCGTCCTTGGCCCCTAGGCGTTCGTGAGGCTTGGCTTCGGACAGCATGATCCGAAGCATTACGACGAGGAAAGGAATGAGTAGGGATGTGACGAAGAGAGGGATGACCTACAGTAACAAAACCTGAGTTAGCAGACAAAAGTCGGGGCGTAGTGGGGTGGGAGACTGACCTCTGTAGCCCACAGTAAACTGACGAAAACAAGCATAGCCAGACAGTTTTGCTGCTCCGGCTTCTCCATTATCGGAGCAGAAAGCAAGATGCCAAAGACCAACAGGATGAAAACGAGGGTGCCGAAACTCAAGCTAAAGAGCCACTGTGGAATTTGGACAGCACCAAAAGGCGTCCTGAGTACCTTCGGCATGGCTTCCTGCTCGTCCCCTTGACGTCGGGCTCTCGAAGGGTCCTCGTCTCCTCCCAGGAGCGTCCTGCGAATACCAACGTTGGCGGCTTGAGCCTTCCTTTCGATGCCTATCATTTCTCTCCACACTGTGTTGCGTTCCCAGACAACATGCTCCCTGAGGTGCAGCCGAAGTTCACGTTTAGCCAAGGAAATATTACCCGTGGTGACGATATTCGCGTAAACCTCTTCAACCTTGTTGATGTTGTCATCTACCAGGCCCATGGTAGAGTCGGTGAAGGGGTACGCCGGGGACACGACCGAGTTCACGTACTCCCGTCGAAGATTGCGGTCAAGAATCTTATCGTACTTCTTCAATGCCTTGGAGAAGCCGGTCTTGTTAAGCTGAATATACGACTTGAGTCCACAGACGGAAACATAGGCCGCAACGGCCCGCTTCTTCAGCGAGAGACCGGCATTGTAGAGATCCACGACGGTTGGATCCGAAAACCGTTCGTCCTGTGCACCCCCACGGTGGGCGGACGGACCTCCGTAGCCCAAGAGTCTGGAATCGGCGGCCCAGAGCCCGGAATCTCTCATGTCGTCCGTACGACACCCATCCGGGTTGCTAGACTCGGCGCCATGCGACTGGGACCTGTTCTGATTCGACAACGAAGCGGGTTCGTCATCACTGTCCAAATCATCATCATCGTCTTCTTCGTCGGCTAGTGTTTCGCTGAACGTGCTATGACGCCGTTCATGACTCTGCCGGAAAAAACTTCCAGGTCGCTGCCTGGAATGGGAACTTGTCGTGCGAGCCTTTATCATGCTCTCACTCATCGGGTCGACGTTGATCGAGTCGGCCCGGTTTGCATATTCCTCAGCATCCTTGACGACATCCTCGACCTCTGCCAATATCTCCGCCTCCTTGGCTTGGTAGAAGGAACAGATCTTCTCCAATTCTGCATCTAGGGCTCGACGAAAGATGGCATCCGTGTTGAGATTGCCGCCATCGAGCAAAGGGGCTGACTCGACATCTACATGTTCCTGTCCGGTCGATCGATGTACTTCTTGTTCTAGAGAGTATATTCTAGACGGGGACAACAGTTAGAGGCCCATTCAACCGGGAGAATTTCAGCCAATGTAACATGCACTTCCGAGTGTAATGTCACATTCGCGAGATAGGATGAAAAATCACCCGGCGGAGGACAAGGAGCGGACATACAATTTCTTGAGGTTGCTATAAGCAAGATAATAGGCACTCCAGTCCGGCACCGCATTGAACTGGAGACTGTGGGAGAACTTCATCTTGTCGGAGCCACTGGCGTTGTGGCGGTGAGAATGACGACGAAGAGCTTCTATCCAATATTTGATTCTAACCGGCTTCTTCCGCAGGGTAGGCTGAATACCACCTTCCTTGTCGTCTGTACGACGCTGTGGGCAGTCTTCGGACGGCCGGTCAGTCAGCTGGGTATGTGCAGTTGTTCGAGGGTCAGGCGCGTGAGACTGGTGGGAGGGTGTGGCAGGTGAGTCAGGATAGTCGACAAGCTCGATAGTCTGGCCCCTCGGGGTTACGTCGTTGTCGTCGGTAAAGGCACCCCTCGCAGACGCGATGCGTGCCCAGGTTCGACCACCGGCATTCGACGACACGGTGTCGGACAGGAAGGATGGCAGGGAAGAGCGGGGCAGAGACAGCGGCGGCGGTGCTATTCAGCGATTTTGTGCGAGGGTCTGATGGGCAACGTTCCACGTTCTCGAGTCGCGCCGCTAACGCTAGTTTGGGTGGTAGTCCGTAGTCGAGTATAGTATCTGCGGTGCGTGGTCGTTATCAGAGGACGAAGGCGGGAGCGAACAGACTCTCCGATCGGCGGTCCCCCCCACGCGTCTAGAGCTGAGATGCACCGAGACGGCCGTCAATGAAGCATGCCGCTTGACACACCAATCGAGATGCGCCCGTAGGAGCCAAATTGCATCCTACAGAATGAGAGTAGGCAGGCAATGCTGATCGGTGAAGCTAGAGAAGTTGCGTGCAGCCGGCCAGACCAGAGCGGCCCAACCGCGACTAGCGCATTTAGTAATCGACGGCATCATTGGTCACGTCAGTAGCTTCACCACTTATATAATAAGGTAGTAGTAGTAGTAGTAGTAGGAGATAATTGCAAGTCGACCATGAAAATTAGGCGTAACTCTAATACCAAACAATGCTTTCAAGACGGTTCAAAAAATACAAGTGTAGAAAATATACAGACAGCACCATTCCTCCATCTAGAGTTTCCTCACTGCATCTAGTGCAGCTGACCTCTCCCTGGTTTCATCCTGGTACAATGGCGCTCCGATCTAGAATCGATCACTTCCGGCGCACCACCAATGCAATGTTCGAACGGCCGGCAACACCAAGCTTGTGCACCTGCTCTCTCTTATCCCACACACCACTACGACCCTCTGCAACAGCAAACAGCTCATTGGCAACTCTCTGGGCAAACTGACTATCCTTGCGCTTCTCCGAGGCATCGATAATCCACTTGATTGCCGTTCTCCGGCGCTGTCTCAATGCGAGAGGAGCAGGGACCTGCACAGATACACCACCACCAACAATACCCTTCTGGTTGCGGAGCTTGAGCAGAGGAGCGACGGAGTCGACAATCAAACCAAGGTAGAGGACGGGGTTGAGAGGGAGCTGGGGACCCGGAGGGCCGGGGAGCAAACGGCGCTTAGGGTTGTATTGAGGGGGAGGAGCAGTGCGCAGGTGATCCAGAATAAACGCCATGTTCTACCGGGAGAGCAAAAGTCAGCATGAATGCTAGCACACCAAAAAAGTCATAGTTCGTATACCTTCTGGGCTTTGCTCAGCTTGCCATCTTTCATGAGCAGCTTGGTGAACTGCTCCACTATCGTCTCGTATCTTTTACGGAAATTCTCCGTCCTGGGAATGCTTTGCGGTGCGGGAAACTTGAGGCCAGGGTGCAGCTCCGCGGCCTGTTGGTTAACCTCGGAGAGCATGCTGGCAACCATAGCCGCCGAGGCCTTGTCGAAGTTGTTTCCCTCAACCTCCGGCTGCAGACGACGAGCGGACGTCGAGAACGAACGGGTACCCGATGGACGGGCCATCTGGTCTTGCATAACCTTGGGGGCATGCTTCTGGGCTTCTTTATCACGCTGAAGGATCTGCGGAGAGAACCAGTCAATACAAGGGACGTTGACGGCGCGGCGAATGTCCAAAGTAGGATAGAGGCAGCCGTAGTATGGCTTCTCCTAACACTCACCTCAGAGACGGGCGTTCCCTGCTCCAACTCAGGACTGGCAGGGGTACCGTCGCACTTCTTATCCATGATCTTGCTGACCTCCGCGGCCTCTTCGCTAACATGGGGCAATGGGTCCTCGGTCGGGCCCTTGGCTCTGTCCTTTCCATCGGAGGAGTTGCACCTCCTCTGCACCCGCATTGAAGCCGACAGGCCAGATTTCAAGCCATGACCGGTCGACGCGGCGCAGGGTCTGTTGGCGTTAAGGATAGTCGCAAAACTGCGTCGGGAAGCAGCCGAATTGTTGGCGGGGGACGGGCAAGCCTGGCGAAGAACGGGGACCGCCCTTGCGGTGAAGAGGTTGAGACGTGGCGGCATGGTGAGATCGATCCCCTCAATGAACGAGCAACGTCAAGAAGGGTGGAAGGAGGTAGTCACATCGACCCGTCTGGCTCTCTGCATGGAGGCCGGCGAACGATTTTCCTCTCCATATCCGGTCGCTGAGTCAGCCACCGCCAAGAGTTCATTGGATCGATGGTAGATGACGATGTGACAATGATGATGCTACCGGCCTAATTTCTACAAGAGATGACACACAGTCCAGCAGATTTCCTTGCTGTATACGGCAGATTACTCCCAAGCCTTTTATTGGATTTCCTAGCCAACACATTTTTAATTCATACTTGCAGGCAACAAAGCATAGATATAGACAGGTTCACAGGAGACTTGTAAAAAGCCTGGCTCTTGGCCGATTAAGAGCAAAATCGTATCCTGTCCAACACAGAATGGTACTGACCTGCAGCGCGATTGAAGTACGAAAAGAACCTCCACTAGTAGAACACACACAAAGCGTAGGAAAATGATAGGGCATGTCTGTACAAATCCCAGACCGAGGCGGCTAGCTCGATTTTACAAAAGCATATTCAAGTGAAAGGGGGTTAAGGAGAGACAGCGAAAGGTAAAGCTAGGAGGTGAGAACAGTGAGTGAAGACGGCAAAGGTAGATAATGATCAAGAGACACTAGCTACCAAGCAAAGACTCAGATATGAAATAGGGCATCCTCGTTGACATCATCTGGGTAGATGTAGAATGCAAGTGCCAGGATTAGATACCTGAGAGACAGATCAGCATACGAGTCCAAAAGTAACGAAAAGGGGTCGCAACATACATTCCCAAGCACAGTCCACCCTCGAGATAGTTGGACTTTCCGTCCTGAATCAGGAATGTCACCACCAACCCAGATATGAAGAAAGCCATGGTCTCAAAGATATGAAAGTGCAGAGTCATATCCACATCCATGATCCAGCCAAGAATGACGAGGAACGGCGTGACAAACAGGGCGATCTGAAGACTGCTTCCAATGGCAACGCCAATGGCAAGGTCCATTTTTCCTTTCCAGGCGACAACCACAGCGGTGACATGCTCCGCAGCGTTTCCAACAATGGGAATAAGAACAAGACCGATGAACGTGCGGCTCATGCCAGTCGTCTGCACAATACTGTCAATGCTGCCAACCAGATAATCTGCGCAAATGGCAACCATGATTGTGACGACAATCAACGCAACAGTGGCTGCCCACGGACTGAGCAAATGCTCCTCCTCAGCTTCCTCGGTTTCGCCTGCCTGGTTCTCGGCTTCGTTGAGCTCGTCGTTGGCTGCTTCGAAGAGTTCCGCGTGCGATTTAAGCTGGAAATACAGGTACATGACATAGAGAATCAAAAGAATAATAGCAGTTCCATGCGATAGAATCAGAATATTGTCATGCCGTTTCTTTTCGTCGCCGGAGCCGCTCAAAGAGGCGTAAAGAGTAGCGGGGATAATCAGCGAAGCAGACGAAACCGTCATCAAGGATGACATTGTCGATGCTACCGTGCTATTGAAGGATTGCTGCGAGTACTTGAGCCCGCCGACAAAAAAGCAGCAGCCAAGAACAAGCAGAATATTCGATAAGATGCTACCAAGCATGCTAGCCTGAACCACGCGGATTTGGTTATCTTTCAGGGCAATGATGCTAACCTACCAGTCAAAATAGCCGTTAGCATCAAGACTGAAATAATTTGGACACCTTGCGCAAGAGCCAAGATTATACTTACAATCAACTCCACAGCATTGCCAAAGGTGGCATTCATCAAACCACCCAGGGCCTGGCCCATGGTAGCTGCCAGCTCCTCAGTCGCAAAACTCAAGAGTGAGGCCAATGGGATGATCGCCAGAAAGTTCAAGGTAAAAACAACCGTGCTGTCCCAATGGAGAGCACCAGAGACGATGCCCAGGGGCACAAAAACGAGAAGGACATTGACATAATCCCGGACGAGTGTCGACCAAGTCAAATGAGCCACACGCCTGGGCCAGTGAGACCAATGATGAGTACGCTTCTGCTGTCGCGGACGGAGGGTGGAGTTACTGCGGGCAATGTCACCAAGCAATGCCTCTCTTTCATTGGGCTCCGTGGAACCGTTCTCTAACGAAGAGCCTGTCATTCTCCTTTTGGGGCCCCAGGAGTATCTCCGGAATGATTTGAAGATATTGTTGGACGCTGCAAAACCGCACCCGAGAAATCCGTTAGCGACAATTAATAGGGCGAGATTGGCACAGGCGCATATATGGAAGGAGGACTTGGCATTCGCCGGGGGGGTGGCGGTATGGAAAACAAGCAGGAAGTGAACGAGAGATGAGACGACAAAGCTATTAAGATAAACGAAGGAACTGGGGAGCTAAAAGCGACCTGATATACTGAGACAGAATAGACAGATCTGAGCGCGCTTGAAGGAACGACGAGCTGTGCCGATCGTACCAAGGGAGAAAAGGTAAAAGAAGGGAAGGACTGTGACACCTGGGGAGACGTAGATGTGAAGAAACTGGAGGTGGGGAAGCGGAATTAAGAACAAGGTAGGAGGGGAACTCGAAACATGGATGAGAAGTGCCTAGGAACAATGGTTCTCTAACACTTACACATTGGGAAAGGACACTATTGTGGCGACAATCTGGGCCACAACCGACGGGTGATGAGAGATATAAGCGATGAGAGACCCGGTCTTCTGATCCAAGGTTCTTTTGTTTCCGGGGCTTAATGGAAAGGAACAACGGATTGACGATGTAGCACCCGTGATCGGATGGAGCAATCTGGTGTTGTGGCTTGTCGCGTGGAAGGCTTTCCCTGAACTTTACCTGCGCTCAGCAAAGATTTCTCAGAACACAAGCCACGTATAATGCCTTGCAGGCTTGGACACTGTGGATAGAGAATGACTAGGACCATGCGACGCCTTCCAAGTGGATGAACTTTCGGGGGTTGCAAGAACCAAAGGAGAGAGGTGCAAGGTACAGGGGGCCAAGAGACGGTGGCTACGCACTCCGTACCGTATAAATCCTAGTGGGAGCCAAATTAAATCGCTAAACAGTGCTCACAATCCGGGATGTTCCACTGGCAGCGGTAATTGGCTGAAAGAAAATTCTAGTGCACCAAGAGTGAGGGAATGGACCAAGAGCAGGTGGCAGGTGCACAGCCTCAATCCAGATCATCCAACGTCCCAGGGTTTTGATGGAGGAGGAGAAGGAGGGGGGAAGCGGCCGGTATGATTGATTGAGCAAGGGGGCAGGCAGGTAGTAGTAGATATCTACCTGGGATGAGTTAGAGATCTTGTCTTGACAGTTCTGGGCAGGAAGGGTACTTTTAAACGAGGGAATAAAGGGTGCCAGTGATGATGATGACGTTGACCACTTCGCGGTTGACAATTGGGTCCAGAGGAGACTGCCCAAATCCGACCGGAAACTTTGAAAGGAAACTTTGGGGAAGGGAATGAAAGTTAGGTGATAGGTGGGCAAATGAGTGCGGGACCAGCTACTGGATAATGGGATAGATAGTAGTAATGGTGGTGAAGACTAATGCATGAGATAGAACTGACCATTACCTCAACGCTGGAGAGACGGGCAGAAGACAGACAGAACACAGAACAGCACCGCAAGCATCATCATGATGAGGCCGGACTAAACCGGATCGATCGGGCTTGGTGGGGCGCATGGGCAGCTCCAGCCACCTTCACCTTCAACAAATGCACGGTTGAGCTTAGCGCCCGACCATGGCCTCCTTGGCCCAAATCGATTTATTTTGGACTCTTTACTCCATCTTATGCTAATGATAATCATATTAGTGATCGTAATGATCATGAGCTGTTCCATACTGCGTCCCAATTCTGACCCGCAACGTGCATCCACCCACCAGCAGATTTTATTGTGACGCCGGATGGCGATGGATCCCATGCTTTTTGAAACCTTCGCCGAGACTGCACTGCCACGATCAGGCCCACTCTCAGGGGAAAGGCCCCTTTGACGTAAGACACCCATTCTCATCTCGGTTGCAGGAAGCCTGGAACACTGCGATGTATCATCTGCGGTTCAGATTGATTCGACGGTCTCTGAACCATAAGCAGAGTGGAAGGAGATACCAGGAAAAGGACCCCGCATGTATACATTGTGCTCACTCATGAAAGGAAATAGGAACCGATCCGATGCTGTACGCATTCCCGGCTTCCATGTCGATATTGATCTCACAAGTCACAATGTGTTGCTATGTACTCAATACTTCGTACTCCGTACCACGACAAAACCACACAATAAAGTTTAAAACCGGTTCTGGCAATTTTATTGAATGAACAAGAAACACAGGAGATTGATTATTTCCTTGGCCGATAGCTGCGGCCAAGACACGTCCCCGTTGACTACCCAGGAGAAAGTGAGACCACATTTGAACAAAGTACTACTGTGTGGGAAGACCGGATGATCAGACCAACCAGAAATCGAAATAGCTTTGCGACAGAAGGCCTAAAAACGAACAAACGTATGTACGGAGTACGATCGAGTATGTTACAATGGCGGCAGTTGAATGATCAGGCCCCGGCATTCGGTGCTGTTTGCTAGCATGCTTCTGGGATTCCGATTGGATACTGCTGGCACTGCTGCATATTACCTACCATAAACGGCGGCTGAGAGAGCCAGCCACGTTTGACCCTCAGAAATCAAGCCTGGGGCACAGTCGTTTGCTACCTACTATCTACCAGATGGACAGGTCCAGATGATCCGTGCTTCTGTCATGGATTCCTCCGTCCCTTACTTACTTTGGCCCCACTCGCTGCCCGGGGTTGTCTGCAGCCGCCAATCACATCACGATCCTGTAGTTCCCTGGGCTACGGCTGGAGGACTGGACAATTGATCCATCAGACATCGCTCACAAACTATGTGGGACAGATCTCTTCCGCGGAAAATATTACCTGACCTAAGATCCTAATACTATTGCCAGCTGCTCAAACCCCGACATCTCACCCCCATTAACTTTAGGGTATTGCTCAAGAAACATGCCATCAGAAACGGAATGAAGACAAAACGAAGACAATCCGCAGGGGACAAAAAGAGCCAGCTTATACGGAGTACAAGGTGCACTCCTCCTTACTTACAGCGAGGACCAGAATACGGAGTATAAGCACCCTCAATTCAAAGCTCATGAACGAGACCAGACTGAATTCCGCCATGCCATAACTACCGACGCAAGCTGGCACAAGCCACGAACCCCCGGGCGGCCGGTACAGCCACAATGCTCGGGCTCTCATACCACTCACTACTTATCTAGGTTGCCACCATCCCACAACTCCTCCGAGGAGAATCAGCGCCGAAGCCTAAGCCTACACATGCAATGCAATCTTATACTCTGAATAGTATTCTACCTTTACCCCACACCATCTTTTCCCCCAGCAGCGCAACAACCAACCAACCAACCATAACCGATCCCCAAATCACCCCACCGTAGCCACACCACAGACAAACAACTCTACACTCAGCCTCACCCAGACCTACCCACCTAATTCCCAAGATAAGCAGTCAGTCTATACCTGGTTATCTGATCCCACAGCCAGCCGACCAGAAAATTAGAGCAAACAAACCCTGCCCCGTGCACATGCGCGTGCAGGAGACCTAAACCCTCCACTGGCTCGCCCCCTCCCGCATCTAAGGCTACCTACTACCTATACGGCCTACATCTTTGTTTTTTAAGGTCGATGACCTATGCTTAGATGGGGTGGATGCGTGAAAAGGACAGGATAGGCTATACTGTTCCCCGCCTCCACCTGGGTAATCCGATGGCGCAGGCGGGTTTATGGCGTCGAGGCTATGCTTGATGTATAGTCGCTGGAGGCTTGCAAGAGAGCGAATGTGCTTACCAGGTCCGTGGTTAGGGTTATGTGGTTGGGTGTGGGTATTCACGTTGGTGATATTAGGTTTTGAGAATGCTTACGTCTGAGAGCAAGATTACAACAGCTCTTAACTTGGTGCAGCTGGGTTGACAAAAGAAAAACAAAGTAAATTAATAGGTATCTATGTCACTACGTCCACAGTGTAGTAGTCAGCTATATCAACAGGTATAGTAAACATCGCCGCGCAACAATCGGCAATAGATACATGATACATCGTGTATTCTATGAAGAAATTCCGAAAGAGCGTTTCCAAATGGAAGATATCAAATCAACGAACGCTTCAGGTCCTTATTCAAGGACCTCCGCCCATGCCTAAATCGCGATTGTCAGCAACATCGTAATTTGAGGGGGCGGGAAAAGTCAACTCACCAGCTGCAAATGCAAGATACCACGTCCGTGACGCTCCACCGTCTAACCAACTATAGTCGAAGTTGGATTGGGCGAAGAAGTTCCACGAGGATGCAGGGTCAATCAAAGCCAAGTTGGCATACAGGACACCCTTCCACCCGCCAGTGACGGCCGAGGCTGGGTCACTGGCATTGGACGCGAAGAGTGCATTCCACTCCTCTCGAACAAAGTTCTGTCTCCGCACATATGAAGACGAGGGCAGGAGGGGCAACATATGAATTCTTACTGTGGATTAGTGATATGCAGGAAAACCAAGAGAGAACAAACATACCCTTGAATATACTCCAGGTTGCTGCCGAAATAGGTGGTGTGGTCAACCTTGTTTTCAAACAGCTTAAAAACTCAGCTATGCACGGCTAAACTAGCATGATAAGGTAGCAACTTACAATGCCGGTCACCTTGTTGGCGATGAAGTTCGCCGGTTGGTTCTTGTTATCACTCTCCATGAGGAAGTAGTTGTGCAAGCTGCGTCGTAGAATTCCCAACATCAGGTTGCCACGTGCCTCCATGCTGGCATCGGCAATAGTCTTTCCCCACATCTTGATGGCGTACGCAAACATGCTGTCTTCCGAAGTCGACTCTTCATCCTTGCCATCATACGACTCGAACAGACCCTTAGCCCACGAGTGCCCATGGTACCAATCGAAGGCGCGCGAGAAAGGGAAATACGGGTCATTTGCTGCAGAGTTTCCTGCGTCACGAACAAGCATATTCACCCAGTCCTTGTTGGCGGTCGTGAGCCAGCTCGGATCAAGGGATCCAATGATGGCAGCAGCATGAATGAAGTACCCGTAATGGAAGTGATGATCATTGTAGTAGGTGTTTCCAAAGTCAGCACCAGAGTCGCCGCCATAGCTTGCAGAGGACACTACACCCCTCCAGACACTGTCATACACCAACGGAAACTGCTGCTTGTTGTCGATGAAAAGGGCAAAGGCGTTCTTCAGGTTCTGCAAGGCCGACGCTGCAAGGTCAGCATTACCGCCTAGTTTGCTAACAGTGTAAACGAGGGTTGCAAACTTGCTCAACCCCTTCCCACTGTAGTACATGCTATTGAGATTTGTCTGTTGGTCAATGCTCTGATTCAGTTCAGTGGGGGCCACGTCCAGGATGACCTTTTGAACAGCAGTGGTCAGGCTATTGACACTGCCTGTAGATGCCGACCATGGAGCGAAGCCCATCTGCGTAGGGAGGTTGGGTTCAAGCATCGTCCACGTTTCTCCCACCACCGCTGTTGCGTTGCCTTTAGTTGTAGTTCGAAGCGTGATGCTGGTCATCCGGCTCTTTGTAGTGTCATCAAACGATTCGATATGATGCGGCAAAGCATACATCAACAGAGGAGTCTCCTGCACCTGTTTCCCTGATTTGGCCCATGCCAAACTGTATGTACCATTGCCGTTCAAAACGGATCCAGACACAGCGGCTTCTAAAGCAAACACTCCGGCAGAGTTATCCAGTAGCTTTTCTCCAGAGTCACCTGCTGGGTTTTTAGTGATCTGGATTGTACCCGACCACCCGCTAGGGCCACGGAAGTTTGTGTTGGACTCCAAGCGGAAGTCTGGATCCTTTCCATCCTGCGGTATAGCGTAAACAATCCATTCCGTCCCATCGGCAAGTGTCATCTTGTATTTGTAGATACCGATCCGGGGGGAGCTAGCAGTGACAACTTTACTGAAGAAAACACTGCTTTGGATCAGTGGTTGCAGATTGGTGTACATTCCTGTCACGAATCCCATGCCCTGCACCAGAGGGATGGTGATCCTCTGGCTCGATCCGCTAGATGGTGACAACACAGCGTCGGCAGAGAACGGCAAAAGATTCTCTGCAGTCAGCACAGTTGAGCTATTGAGTTCAGTTGCTGAAAGAATCATGTGCTGGATACCAATCGGATTGATGTAGTACGAAATGGGGTTCCCGGGAATGTTGGCATTGGTCGGTCCCTCCGCAACGACGTTGGCCTCGTTGTGGGATACAACCATGCCATAGCTCTGTGCATTTCCACTGCCTTTCGCCCACGTGATGGCATAGGGGTGGGTGAATGTGGCATTGGTCTGCGACCCTAAGAAAAGACCGGCGTAGAACTTGTTCGTCTCGATGGGGATAGTGATGTTTTCCTATCATCGTTAGACACCTAACAAGGGGCTCATCATGTAAGTACATACAATCCCCTTCTTGGGCACTGGGTGGTCATTCCGTGCAGTGATAGTTTGTGGAATCGGTCCCGTTGCCAATGGCACGAAGACGTCCTGACCGCCAGACATTGGTGTAACTGAGCCTAGCGCCAAGTCATGTTAGACAGTATACGACACCCCACCAAGAGCACGACTCACTTTGCGCGACAGTTGAAGTTGTGGAAATCTCAGAGCTCGTCTGGCTCGCGCTCGTGGCGGAAGCCTGTGGGGTTGAAGTCTCGGTGCTTGAAGTCTCGGAGCTTGAAGTCGCTGCGCTTGAAATCTCTGCACTTGAAGTTTCTGCACTTGAAGTTTCTGCACTTGAAGTTTCTGGGCTCGAAGGCTCACTGCTCGCCTCAGCAGGGTTGCTTGTTGATTCTGGAGCGTTCTGTCCTGAAGCTTGATGCGTTGTGGTCGTCCAAGCTGCAGACTTGGAATGGTATGAATTAGTGTGTTTGTGATTCTCAACACTTGAGGTGCTGGCTATGGCTGCAGCTGGCGTATATGCTGATGGCGGTACGGTGACAGGGAAATCCGACATCCAGCTCGGTAGCAACCCGTTCAGCAGATTGTCAGGAAGTTCCTCGGGATTATCCAAGGCATCCAGCACACTATCAATTCCCCAAGGCGCTTTTCTTTCCTCTGTACCCGTTTGGGAGGGGGTAGGGCGCCACGGATGGCCCTCACGCTCAAGACTAGTCGGATAGAACTGATGGATTATGAGAACCAACCCACGGATATTTGAATAGTCTTGTACTTACACCTTGTGTCCCCGGTATGAGTAGCCTTTGGCTTTCAGCTGCGGGCGGATATTGCGTTTTCTCCGTAAAGGCGGCCGACGATGATACTGTTGGGGCCGAGCATACACCTCTTGCAGCTAGCAGCCACGTTAGCAGGACTGAGGAGCTCCATCTTTGCTTCCTCTCCATGATGAAAGCTCGTCGCACTTGCTCGATAACTCAGGAGGCGCAAGTATCACTGGCAAAAAAGACAGTACAAGTTCCGCCACCCTTTCAAGGGCAATGCGTCCTTTTGTACGAGACTGGCCAGTAGGGTTTGGTATACAACGATCAAAACATCAGAGACAACAGATAGCAGATATCATGGGCAAAGATGAGAAGCGATCAAAGTCCGGATCTCTGTATTTCCCTTCGGTATGATAGCCGAATTCACTTGACGCACAAGAGGCAGGCGCCAGAATATAAGGGACAATTCAAGCGCAGAAGGGAGAGGAGGGAAGAGAGAGGGAGATCGAGCGGCAGACGCCATCTTCAAATAGAAAAAAATACCAGCGTTGCTCACCAAGGTCGACTATAGATTCCGGTCTCAGCCAGTAAGAATCTCAGGTCCGGGCAAAACTCCGGTCCCGTTGCAGAGGGATACCAGATGGACACACTGGTGTGCGAGATCGAGCACGGACAAGGTATTACGAGGCGTCGATCTGCATCGAGGTCAGTGTTGTGGTGTCTACTCCGGGAGGCCTGGACAGTGGAGGCATAACAAAAAACATGGATTGGGGAATGCAGGGTTGAGGGGGGCGGAATGCACCGTCCTCAGGCACCACGCCGCGGCGCATGCAGTCTGTCGCAGGGCCGGCGGCGGGTATGTGCAGGGAGGGGGGGAACTTACTGCGACCGGATGATGGAGACAGCTGATGGATGAATTAATGAATAGATGAATTAGTTCACTCGCATAACCGATGGAGGGGGGGGGTGGATGTTGGTTTTGCAGAGGAATTGCGGTTCCTGCTGTGGGGGATGGAGTTGTTGACAGTTGAAGGGTGGTGGGCAGTAGGTAGTACTAGGCACGGGAAGGGCAGATGGGAGATGGGCAGAGCTGGAGTGGAGAAGGTGAAGTGGAGAGTGGGTGGAGCATCTCTCTACTACAACATCCATACAGCAACAGCATCCTCCGCTGCTCAAATACTTCCCCCCTCGTCGGATTGCTATTCACCCTTCACCCCAACAATTACCTTCTGACCTTCATTCACCTTCCAAGACACACAAGGTTATTGTCCGATCGGTCTTGACTGACTCGGGTTCTCCACTGCGGCTACCTTCCCAACTCTCTTTCTCTCTCTCTCTAGGCATCAAGGAATGTACCCAACGCCAAGGTGGATGTTCATGTCTCTTCTTTCCCGGCCAACACCCGTCGTCACATTCCACCCTGTCATTCGTCGTCGTAAGAGACGCGAGTCTCTCTCTGACTGGCCTGCGCCGGACTGCCATGTCCGTGTATCAAGGTCGGACCAAATCTCGATGTCCATGTGGTCTGCGATCAGGGAACTGATGGTATCACGATGCAGGGGCTCACCCGACCAGATCATCTTCAGCCCAAACACTGCTTATTCGACAACCTTATTGGGAATGACCAACCCCGGAGACTAACGCCCTACAAAGGGTCCAAGGCTAAACTAGCTCGCGTGGGAGAGTGGGAGCCCGGTGCTTGTCTGCAGATCTGCTGCTACCACAACTCGGATGATGCGGGGATGACAACCACCAACTTGACACAATGCTCAGTAACAACTGACATCCTCTTGAACCAATAATCAAACAGATCAGATAAAATAGTGTGAGTATCTTTGAAATGACTTGGTATCATGACCAAACTTAATTCTACAACAACTACCTCGAGCAAGATCACTTGTATCTGTCCACACATACACCCATTACCGACTCGCACCCAGACTCTATCATACCTTAAGCCATAGGCTTCGACATCGGCTTGATGACGCCTTGCTTGACCATCACGCGTGGCTTGGTTGCATTCTGGAAAGTTTCCTTGGTAGACCATTCGGGGCCGATTGGCAGCCGAAGCGATCTCTCGTACTGTTGCCTCGTCTCGAAGGGGTGAGGGAGCTGGGTGGCCATGTATTTGGTGTTCTAAACCGACAGAAATTAGTTCATCATGCGCCGGACGACAATCACACGCGACGGGGCCCAGCCTGATAGTTCTTACCTTCTTGACCCGTTTCTCATTGATAATGACCCGGGAAAGCTTGGCATCCTTCCGGTCCTCCGGTTTCACTCCTTCGACCTTGGTGAGGAAACGTTTCTGTCGCTTCTGCTGTTTCTTGCTGATACCATCACCGGCCCAGCTACCCCATCCCGGGAGGGTGTTATCAATCACTTGATCATCTTCCTCCTTGATGGTGTCGAGCTTCTCTTGATCGAAGTCCTGTACAACTTCGTCTCCAGCAAAGGCCCTCTTCACCAGATCATGATTCTTGAGGAGCACAGGCACGCTGTCCTCGTCGTCGCTGTCGTACTCCTCTGTGGCAGGCTTCTTCTTGGAGGCGGATGCCTTCTGGGCTTTGGGCGCATTCTTAGAACTGGCGCTGCTAGTCTTCGCATCATCTAGCGTGATATCAATGGTCTGTTGTGAATCATTTCCTGTTGTGCGACGGTTGTTTCTGTTGGTTTGGACGAGCCACGGGTTCTCCTCGACATCAGATTCCTGTTCTTCGGCAGCTCCTTTTTGAGGACGAGCACGAGGCTTGTTCTGGGAGGCGGACGGTCCTTTCTTCTCGGGACGGTCGAGTACGATCTTAACTTCTTGATCCGCCTCTTGCGCCTCCTCGTCATCAGATCCTGGTGCCTCTTCAAATTCATTCCGGGGCGCCTTCGCTTTGCTTTCCTTTGCAGACTTTGCCTTCTCTGAGTGGCCGAATTTCCGTCGCCCCATCTCAGATTCTGCCTCAGACTGAGACTCTTCACCATGAAGCTCCCGGTTGAGTCGTCGGACCTCAGCATCATTCTCTGCCTTGCGAGCAGCATCCGCATTCTGCATGAATTTCATAGAAAGAAGCTTGGCATGGGGCCCCTTCAACTCCAAATCAGCCTCGTCGCCTCCTTCGAGCTGGCTGAGCTTTTGGCGGATCTTGCGTTTTTCAACATCAGACCCGGCCTCCTCGTCCCATGGGTTTTCCTCGTCTTCGGACTCAGAACTGGACGAGCCGAGATAATCTTCGTTGCCGTTCGTAACGCTCTTTCCTTCAATCCGCTTCCGTAGTTCTTCCTCCCGTAATGCCAGGTCCTGCGTACCACGTCGAGCATCCTCGTCCCAGGCGGTCCGACCAGTCTGCTTCAGGCTCTTCGCCCATTTGCTCTCCTTGTGTTTAGAGCCCATTCTGGCCTCCGCCCTCAGTCGATCGTTCTTCTCCCTCTCCTCTTCATCTAGGTCCACACCAGCCTCTATGAGAGCCTTTCGTTCCTGTTGCTCTAGCCTCTCTCGCTCCTTCCGGTGTACACGACGATATGACTTGCTCTTAATCTTCTTGATCCGCTTGGCTCGTACTTCTTCCCGGAAGAGCAAATCGCGCCGCTTGCGTAGTTCTGCTCTACGAGCTCTAATTTCCTCAATAGGCAGCTTCCGCGCCTGTAGCTCTTCGATATCCTGTACCTGATCCTCCGCTGACTTTCCATTGGCATCGGTAAGTCCGCTCTCCTGAAGGATGTTGTGAATGGTGCTTTCAAGATCCGTCCGCGGCTCAGCAGCACCCATCCGATGCGTCTGGTTTGCTTCGGGATCGGGCAACGGGAACACAAGATGCTCTGCTCGGCGATTCTCCTTGACCGTCTCCAGCCAGCGATCCAAAGTCTCTCTGCTCTTTTCATATGCAGCCGCCCGGTCCAGCCGATCCTGTTGACGTTTTGCAAGAGGCGCGTCCAGCTTGCCTGGAACACCAGACGTTTTCTTGTGTGAGGTTGTAGCAGAGTCGACATGCTTGAGCGAACTCTTCAAACGGGAGTCTGTAATGGATGGCAAAAGATCGGCAATGGTGAGCTTTCGCGTAGATGTCAAACCAAACTCCGTCGGGGTCCCTTGTTCCTGGCTGCCACCGGTCCTTCGAGTCGTCTTGGTAGTGCTCTCGTTATTCATGGAGTTAACAAAGCTCTGTAGCTTTGAAAGACCGTGTTCGTCCGCCTCGTCGTCATCGAGTTCATCTCCTGAAAGTGATAGTTTGTCGCTGTTGTCGGAATCGCTGCTTTCGCTATCGGAGTCATATTCTTCTGAATCATCGCTTTCGACCGATTGCTTGGACTTGGCCTTTGCCTTCTTCTTCTCCTCTTCTTCCTCTTCTGCCATGTTCATGTCCCAGGCAGCGGTCAAATCGATGGCATCCTCTCCGAGGTCGTCCTCATCATCGTCAAGATCGTCATCGTCCTCCGACTCTTCGACATCTTCAGACAGAGTGATTTCACGACTGCGCTTTTTGCGCTCCGGCGCCTTCTTTTTCGGTTGGTTTTTCATTGTAGAGCTACCGCGAAAAGTGAAGCCTTCAAATCTCTCCTCATCGCTGGAGCCCATCGCTTCGTCACTGTCCACCTCGCTGTCGTCGTCACTATCGACCTCACCGATCTTCCACCGGTGTCCTTCGCCGTCGCTACCAGCATTCGATCCCATGTCCGATGCATCATCGTCCTCCGTGCGACGGCGCTTGCTTTGATCCGGACCGTCCGAATCCTCGTCGGCGTCTCGCCCAATGTTTCGCTTGCGCTTAAACTGTTCATCTTCTTGGCCGAAACGACTGCGCTTAAATCCCAGCTTTGGTTTATATTCGCTTTCTGCAATAGCAAAGGCATTTAGGAATTTTCCGGGCCTGTTCTTCCTGGGTGCGGCTCTCGGTTTCTTGGAGGACTGGTCTCTGTCTTTGGGACCGCTCCGTTGCGTTTGGCTGCGAGGCATGATGGCGTTTGGTGCAGCTCTTGCGGGCAAGGGGAGGTAGCGTAAGATTAATCCAGATTTATCCAGACAAGCCAGCAATCGAAAAAAAAAAGCCGTCGATGGCGTCTGAGCACCGCGACTGTGTCGAGATGTAGCAATTGATTTTTTTACTTTGCCGATGCGGCCCAGGAAAAAAGTTCTTGGCGGGGCGGAGCTACTCCTAGCGCCGCCCAGAAGAGCCTTTTATCGACTCCGACACTGAACCTCCGTCTTGTCTCCGCAACCAGGAACAGCGACTGCCTCTGCCTGCCACCATGTTCAAGCCCTCACAGCCCATGATGGCGCGACTGCGCCTGACAACCAAGCAGATCAATGGCGGCTACTACAAGGGTAACCGGACCGGCTCGATGGGTTACTTCGCGAAAAACGGCTCTTATGTGATCGACTGGAAAAAAGTCCGCACTTACGTCGTCCCCGAGAACTTGGATCAGTTCAAGGTGGGTTCCCATGCCCTTGCATTCGGGACAATCGCTTTGTCCATGGCCCATATGCTGACTTATGCGATCAGCTCACGCCCTTCGTGACGAAACGTATGCCTCCGACGAAATCCAAATACACAAACGAGGTCGAGAGGAGGGGAAGGACCATGACGATTGAGCGGGCTTTCGGAGGCAAGGACTACCTTGATATGTGGGCATCGGACAATGGTCAGGAAGTTCTGGAGCAGGAGCGCCTGGAATCGGAGGCTGCAGAGAAGGCCGCGGAGAAATCGAATTCGACCAAGCCTACTCAATAGTCGTCGGTTTCTCGTGAAATAATTCGGATATTCGGACATACTGAGGTATGCCTAGTCTCTGCATTGTGGCGGTTAGACCAGGCATGGACAACGCGGCAGCTGATCGATTACCTTCGCGTCTGCTGCTGTGACTCTCGAGGACGCTTAAGTCGGTCGCCTCCTCTTGCCATATCCGCTGGCTTGCGTGGATTGTATTCTATGTACAGTAGCTGTGGGGTTTGATGTTGAGGGCACATATTACTGGGGCTACCTATGTATCAAGCAGTTGAGGAGACAGGGCATATGGGCCTAGGTCTCGGTCATCACCCTTGATACGCGGATTGGATTGCGGCGCATCTCTGGGTTTTTGCATATTAGCAAATGGTTTATTCTACCAATTACAAACTTCATGGGTTTTGGAAAGACTATGACTTCTTGTGTGCCAGGTCCGCGAAAGTAATTAGTTGCTAGAATTCGAAAGATCCGAAAGAACGCAGCCGTGGGCTGAGGTATATAATGGACCTCTAATCCCAGAGAGCAACCCACAGCCACTGCAGGCTATCCCGCAAAGCATCCTTTCTGCTTTTGTGTCCTCTATTTTATTTTTCTCTTGGTTTCGTCTTGGAGAATTTCATATAGAGATGAGAAACCATTCCAAGAAAAGTGACTTACATACAACAATCGTGTCTAATGCATCCCTGGATAGCAATGTGATTACAATACTCTCTCTCAATGCCGATAAATATATACATGCCTGTCAAGCAAGCAAGTCTTATCAAATTTTATGTGATCCGCAATGAGAAGACACTCTCTTTGTGGTCTATCACATACTCGTTCTCGGTTTCCAAGTCTGTGGCCACCAAGTTTGTCTGTACTGCTCATACGGGGCTGCTTATACAATTATGAGATCTGCAGCATCCTCTAGAGCAGATATCTTGCGGTTTATATGGGTGTAACAGCCCTAGAAGAACTCAAATGTCTGAAACAAATCCGGGAAATCCTGAATAATCATCTGGAGTTTGTCAAGCCCGGTGCCGACGACTCCTTTACCTCTAGGGAGAGCTATGTTGTGCTCGTTTTGCCTGGAAAGCCAGATCGCTGGATAATGCGACCAGATATTCTGCAGTTCTGACAACAGCTCATACCTCGAATGTAGTCCTTTAGAAGGATGGGGTACGAATGAGGCGATTTGGGAACGCTTGGCCGAGATTTAAAACGAGGGGCCTAAGTGGCTTGTATGCCTAGAGAAGCCCCCAAGCTGGACAATCAACTCTAGACCATCAAGATAATGAATGTATGTGCTTGTTGTTGGAGGATTGCTTCACCATCTCTTCTCATCTCGGGATTGCTTAGTGTCTGATGTACTCAACAGAAGCATCGTTCCATGGAGAGGCCTTATTAAGCAAGGTATGTCGTAGCATGGAAGTAGGGCTCTTCCAACTTATAAGGACGTTTCCCATTGTATGCTCGAGTAGGCTTTGGTTCGATAGTTTGGTTCGAGTCCTTTGCGAGATATAGCCGATTCAACAAGCTCACGCTCAACAATCGTGTGCGACGAACTACCTGGAGTTCAAAGACCCATCTGAGGGAGATAACTCTCGGGCATTGTTTCGATGTGAACAATTCAATTCCAGCATCATCTAGATGTCGGTGTCATTAATAAGCTTGGTGACGGAAGTTCGGTGGCGGGACAGTGAGTGGCAATAAGGTCAGATAGCGGGCAGGAGTGCGTGGCCGTAAGGGCAATCAGCAGCGGATGCGGACCCCCAAGACCAAGACCAAGAGGAAGAGCTGCATGTTCCCTGATGGCATAATACCAGCCTAATGATTCATCCTCCCTCCCCCTCCGCTTCACTGCGTGTCTAGGTTGCTCATACATGGGCTGCGGCATGGAGACGCTTCACTGATGCTCCTCGTCTCTGCAGTGCCCTTCTCACCTGTCCGATCGAGTCTTGTCGACCGACTTTCAACCCCAGCGTGATCCCGACGCCACTATGTTCCAGTCATTTACGGGGAACTCCCGCCGTCCACGGCAGGTTAACCTCGGTGGCCGCAATACGAACCCTTTCGCCGCATATCCCTCCGGCCGGCAAAATCCCCACGGCGCCGGTCCCCAGAATACTCTCGCCATTGCCCAACAAGAACGGCTTGTGAGACAGCAAGAAAGAGAGCGGTTGACGTCCAGCCGGCTCATCCAACGCACATGGAGGGGTTATCGGAGCCGGAAGATAACGCGCAGGACATGGCGCACGGAGTGGGATACCACGGAGAGGCAGGGCAACGAGGACTCCCTCTCGTTTGAGGCCCTCGCCCAACGTCCAGATGTAGTTCTGCAGCAGTGTCTCCGATACGGCACGGCCACGGAGTGCTTATCACAGCTGCGTTTGCTGGTCCAATTTCTGGAACCGTGGAACAGTGGTGATGTTGCCCGCTTGGTATATTTCTCGGAGGCTTTTCAAAGAACTTTGCGAGAAGTGCCTACGATCGCGACCGAAGGGGAATGGACCACGCCACTGAAGCGCCTGGCAAATCTGACCCTTCGTGTTCTGCGGTCTGCGATGTCGTCAACGGTGCCGGTTTTCGCCGTTGGGCATCTTCTCCGGCTGCTCGTCTTTCTCATGGGCCTTATACCAAAGCAAATGGCACGGCTAGCCAAAAGCTACTATTCCGTCATGGCGATGTTCACGAAAGACTTTGGATCGATGTCTCAACGATATCAGTTATCCCAGGATGGCCTTGTTCAGTGTGTCCTTGCTTTGCTTCGACCCATTACTTCCGAGACTCTCACGGCCTACGAGTGGTTCGCAAGAAGTTATTTAACGATTCCCAACCTGTTGGAATACATAGGAAGCTTGGATGGCATATCAAACAATATCAATTACAAGTTGCTAACCTCTGCCTTGGGATCGTTACGAACACTGCTCGAAGATTACCCTAGGAGTTCCGAGGACGTGGATGCCCGTCTTTGGCTGCTTGCTTACTTCATCTTCTTCCACCGATGCGCTTTGGGGAATCAGACAGGCCGCCAGGCACCAGAACCTGGTTTTGTCAAGGTGGTATCGAAATTGCTCAACTCCACCGCTGTGCACGTATCGCGCCGTCTAGAGTCGGAAGACTCCAACGAGTATGATGATACTCCCGAACGAACACCGTTGCACCCTTTTGTCAAGGATCAGCTAGTCAGTCTCGTCAATCAGAGTAGCATCACGGGGCTTCTTTCACGGCTACAATCGACCCGCCTTTCTCAAGGCGACCTGGCAGATGCCCAGTCTGATGCATCTAGAGAAGCGAAAGTTCTTGCTACTTATGCCCTGACCCTCCTGAGAGTTTTTCCTCGCCGGGGTGATGATATCCGGATGTGGTTGTACCTGGGGTCGGCTACTTCAGGCGACCAGACCGCAGGTCAGTCAGGCTCAAGAATTCCGGCTATCAAGTATTTCTGGCAAGCATCCAGGGCCAGTAAAATATTTGCTGCCATCAGTCATGATTCTACCAAGGTGTTGCCCCTACTGAAACCGGCCCAAGACGCTCAGGGTGCTAGTCCGGGAATATCCCAGTTTGACAGGGATGAAGAATGGACAATTATACTGCTATTCCTCGAGCTCTACACGTTCGTCCTGAAAGTAATGGATGATGAAGAGTTCTTTTCTAGCGAGTCTTCTTTCACAGCCTCATCAAATGCAAGAGTTTCGTGGACCAAGGAGAGCGCTTTACCCCTGAGAGATATCAGGGAAATGACGGTCTTCCTCAAAAACCTAGGCTTCACCCTGTACTGGAATTCGGCGGACCTCAGCGAAAAGGAAATTACTCAAGACACTGGAGGTATTCGAAGTTATTTCAACTCAACTACCGCGCCATCAGATACCATTGCAAGTGTGAGGGACATTGAGATGAAAAACAAAGAGAAAGGACTCCCCGGCGTCACGGGAATTCCGCTTGACTACTTCAAGGGCTTGGTTACGGGTCTGTTGAGGATGATCCATGAGCGGGATTCGAGGCGAAAATTCCTTCCCGATGGGCATTGGTTGATGACGAGCCGTTTCGATATGGAAGGCTTCATTCCTGCCGTTACAGCAGAAGAGGAGAATAGGCACCAGCTTCAGGACGAAGACAACAAAGAGGAACACGATGATCTTATACATGATGACTACTATGAGCCATCTCCAGGCCTAATCGGGACCGGTCGCGCTCAGCAGACACTTCGGATCGAAGCGCTGAGACGCCGCCAGCAACAGGCCGCTCGCAGGAAGCAGCTGGAGGCCGTGGCCCCTAGACTGGAGATCCTCCGAAACATGCCCTTTTTCATACCGTTCCCGACGAGAGTCCAGATATTCCGTGAATTCATTTATCGCGATCAGATGCGCAGAAGACAAGGGTACATTGAACCGGATTCCTGGCGCATTTCCGTAGCGCAAGTCCCAATGGGCCGCATGATCGATGGCCGTCCTGCCGTGGTAGATATTCTGAGTCGGCACCATGCCAATATCAGACGCGAGAGCATATTCAAGGATGCATTTGATGAATTCTACGAGCTGGGAGTGGGGTTGAAAGAGCCCATCCAGATTACGTTCATTGACAAGTTCAATACGCCAGAAGCTGGCATCGATGGCGGCGGTGTCACCAAGGAGTTTCTCACGAGTGTGACGAGCGAAGCCTTCAAATCGACCAACGATACGAACTTGTTCGAAGAGAACGACCAACACCTGCTCTACCCGAACCCAGTTGCTGTTGAGCAGCGGCGAGAGTTTCTGCGTCAGCTGGGGTTCGTCGAAAACACCCCCGAATGGAATGAAAACATTCGCGACCTACTCAGGCGCTACGAGTTTCTGGGGCGAATCATTGGAAAGTGTATGTACGAGGGAATTTTGGTCGATGTCAACTTTGCCCCGTTTTTCCTGCTCAAATGGGCTTTGACCGGTGGGACGGGCTCGGCACAGCGCGAGACAGCCTACCGTGCCAACCTCAACGATCTGCAAGACCTGGATCAGGGTCTCTACCAGGGGCTGGTAAGTGAAGCCTGCTCACCTCTGGTGCTGTGTACTTGTCGCTGACTGGTGTGATAGTTGCAACTGAAGAATTATACTGGAGATGTGGAGGATTTCTCGTTGAATTTCACCATCACCGACACCGTACCGCTTCCGGACGGGGGCAGTCGTACGACGACACGGGACCTGAAAAGCCATGGATCAGACATACCTGTTACGAATCAGAACCGACTGGTGTACATCTCTTACATTGCTCGCTACCGCCTTCAAGTCCAGCCTGCTCTGCAGACCAACGCTTTTCTCCAGGGACTGGGGCAGATCATCCAACCCTCATGGCTATCGATGTTCAATCAGACCGAGCTACAGACCCTTGTGAGTGGCGATTCAGGAGACATCGATGTAGCAGACCTGAGACGCAACACGCTTTATGGCGGAGTGTACACAATCGGTGACGACAAAGAAGAGCACCCGACAATCAAGTTATTCTGGGAGGTCATGGAGAAGATGTCGAACGCCGAGAGACAGAAAGTGCTTCGATTTGTAACGTCTACGCCTCGGGCTCCTTTATTAGGTTTCAGCCACCTCAATCCTCGATTCAGTATCCGGGACTCAAGCGAAGATCAAGAGAGATTGCCTAGCACAAGCACCTGCGTGAACCTCCTCAAGCTTCCCCGATATACCAACGCCGATACCCTTCGAGAGAAGCTCTTGTATGCGGTCAATTCGGGAGCTGGATTTGACCTAAGCTGAGGTGGGTGGTGGGTTTGTTGACATGGTCTGATAGGCCGGTCATGCAATTACATGGAGTGAATTTAGTGAATCCTTAAGAAGTTGCATAGCTGAGGCGTCCTGGTGAACAGTGCGTCATTTATTGTTGTTGTGTTGTTTCATTGTCTGTCCAATTCCGAGGGTGTATGCTATTTCTAGCTCGAGTCCCGGAGCTGCTGACATCTCGGGCCTTTGTTACCTGTGGAGGGGTAAGGGGGTAGCTTCGACCCACCGGATAGATAGTCATTATACATACTTATTCAGAATGGTTCCTTTGACTTTGAGTTCGGCTTCCTTTGTTGTTGTAATCTACTCCGTACCACCGACACGGTGGCTGCCGTCAAGCTCCCGTCGAATGAAAGGCGAGGTGGTTGTTGATCGCGGCCCAGCCCCAGTTGACACCTGAGGCCGCAGGTGTCCGGACGAATCTTCCTTCATAGTCGTTTTGCCGCTCGAGCTAAAAACTCGACGTAGCAAACGAGAGTGCAGGGCGGGAACCCACCATTCCGTAAAGCGCCGTTCAAGCGGCGAGCACCATGGCCTTTTTAGGACTAGTGGGAGCTGCCGGTCCAAAGAGAGAAAAGGAAAATTTTGTCTTTGAGTTTTTTTCAGATAAAAAAAAAAAAAAAAAAGGCAGACAGGTTCCTTTGGGGCGTCGTTTCATTCTTCGCCGTCTTTTCTCTTTCTCCTCCATCCGCTCTTCTTCTTCCTTCCCCAAAAAATCATAAAACCCTTCTCTGCTGTCTCTCTCAGCATCCTTTTCTCTTCTCCCTCCCTTTTCATATCCCCTCTTTTTCGAAAACCCATCGAAAAAAATCTCGCAAAAAAACCCGGAAAAAAGTACAAAAAAACCAAAGTATATCTCCCCTCCAAACCCATTTTCCGTCGGGCCCTACTGTGACTTTTTCCCACCCTCTCCCGAAGTGTGCGGTGTGTGTGTGTGCGCGTGGGTGTGTTTGTGCGTGCATCTGGAGGTTTTTCCCTCGACCGCCTATTCGTCCTCCCTCGTGATCGTGTTTTCTCTTCACATCCCATCTGTCTGTCTTTGTTATCTTGCCAGTGTCGTCTATCGTCATTGCTGGTGCCTGAGATCGAGGTTGTCCCTTTATCGCGTGTTGATCATCGTGCCTCCCCCTCCCCCCATCCTTCACTGTGATAGTGTGACCGCCTGGGAGTGAATTCCCGTCTCCGTCAGTCAGCGCACACTGGGCTCTGTTGGATCCCCTTGCTCATCTTCCGCTGTCATCGGCCATCTGTTACTCCTGCATTGCACTCTGTCTCTTTCATTGTAGCTTGGGAGCTTGGCTCAATCCTGCAATCTGTCTGCCTAGTCATCTTGTCTTCCACCCTTCGATCTTCTCATTGACATTGGGCTAACCTCGTCCCCTGCCAATAGTAACACCACAAAAATGTCTGCCGACGCCGCTACCACCCCCGCCGTCGAGAACGTCAACGGCGCTGCTGAGGCTAGCCCTGCTGCTGCCGCCCCCAGTGGTACTCCCGAGGTCACTGCCGTTGAGAACTCGGCTCCGGCCCCCAGTGCCAACCAGCCTCACTCGGCTTCCCTGTATGTCGGTGAACTCGACCCCTCGGTCACCGAGGCTATGCTCTACGAGCTCTTCTCTTCCATCGGTCAAGTCGCTTCCATCCGTGTCTGCCGTGATGCCGTTACCAGACGCTCTCTCGGTTACGCCTACGTTAACTACAACAACACCGCCGATGGTGAGCGTGCCCTGGAGGACCTGAACTACACCCTGATCAAGGGCAAGCCTTGCCGTATCATGTGGTCTCAGCGTGACCCCGCCCTCCGCAAGACTGGCCAGGGCAACGTCTTCATCAAGAACCTCGACAGTGCCATCGACAACAAGGCTCTCCACGACACGTTCGCCGCTTTCGGTAACATCCTCAGCTGCAAGGTCGCTCAGGATGAGTTCGGTAACTCCAAGGGATACGGTTTCGTTCACTACGAGACTGCCGAAGCTGCCAACAACGCCATCAAGCACGTCAACGGCATGTTGCTCAACGACAAGAAGGTCTTCGTCGGTCACCACATTTCCAAGAAGGACCGCCAGAGCAAGTTCGAGGAGATGAAGGCTAACTTTACCAACGTCTACATCAAGAACCTTGACCCCGAGATTGAGGACGATGAGTTCCGCAAGATGTTCGAGGTCTTCGGCGAGATCACCTCCGCCACCCTCAGCCGTGACCAGGAGGGCAAGAGCCGTGGATTCGGTTTCGTCAACTTCTCCACCCACGAGAGCGCGCAGGCCGCCGTCGATGAGATGAACGACAAGGAGATCCGTACCCAGAAGCTCTATGTTGGCCGTGCTCAGAAGAAGCACGAGCGCGAGGAGGAACTGCGTAAGCAGTACGAGGCTGCCCGCCTGGAGAAGGCTTCCAAGTACCAGGGTGTCAACCTCTACGTCAAGAACCTGACTGACGACATTGACGACGAGAAGCTGCGTGAGCTCTTCGGACCTTACGGTACCATTACTTCTGCCAAGGTTATGCGCGACACTAACGTCGAGCGTGCCTCGTCTCCCGACTCCGCTGGTAAGGAGAAGGAGGCCAACAAGGAGAACGACAAGGAGACCGTTGAGGCCGAGAAGGCTGAGGAGAAGGCTAGCGAGTCCTCCGAGGAGAAGGACAAGGAGGGCAAGAAGTCCGAGAAGAAGCCCTTCGGCAAGAGCAAGGGTTTCGGTTTCGTCTGCTTCAGCAGCCCCGATGAGGCTTCCAAGGCCGTTACTGAGATGAACCAGAGAATGGTCAACAGCAAGCCCCTCTACGTTGCCCTTGCCCAGCGCAAGGATGTTCGCAGAAGCCAGCTTGAGGCCAGCATCCAGGCTCGCAACACCATCAGACAGCAGCAGGCCGCCGCTGCCGCTGGTATGCCCCAGCCTTACATGCAGCCCGCCGTTTTCTACGGCCCCGGTCAGCAGGGCTTCATTCCCGCTGGTGGCCAGCGTGGTATGGCCTTCCCTCCCCAGCCCGGTATGGTGATGGGTATCCCCGGTGGACGCCCCGGCCAGTACCCCGGTCCTTTCCCTGGCCAGCAGGGTGGTCGTGGCATGGCCCCCAACCAGCAGATCCCTCCCAACTTTGCTCAGGGTATCCCCATGGGCATGCAGGGCCCTGGTGGTATTCCTAACGGCATGGGCTACCCCGGAGCTATGGCTCAGGTGCAGTTCGGACGCGGCGCTGGTGGCCGTGGTCAGGTTCCCGGAATGCCCATGGGCCAGGGTATGCGTGGTGGTCCTGGTTACGGCCAGGGCCGTGGTGGTGTTCCCGTTCAGCAGGGTAATGTCCGCCCTGGCCAGGGTGGCCGTGGACAGAACGCTGCTCAGCCCGCTGGTCGTGAGGAAGCTGCCGCTGGCGGTCTCAATGCTCAGACTCTCGCTGCCGTTCCCCCGGCCCAGCAGAAGCAGATGCTCGGCGAGGCTCTGTACCCCAAGATCCAGGCCCAGCAGCCTGAGTTGGCTGGTAAGATCACTGGTATGCTCCTGGAGATGGAGAACACCGAGCTGTTGAGCCTGTGAGTATTCCCTATCATACCTCATCATTCATGTTGCCTTACTAATGTGTTCTTGCAGGCTGGAGGAGGAAGATGCCCTTCGCGCCAAGGTCGACGAGGCCCTTAGCGTCTACGATGAGTACATGAAGAACAAGGGTGAGCCTGAGGCCCCCGCTGCCCCCGTCGCCGCCGCCGAGCCTGCCAAGCCCGAGGAGGCTGAGAAGGAGGCCGCCGCTGAGGAGACCAAGGCATAAATCCCTGTCTCACTTGCAGCGCCGGTGGTTTGATTCAGCTGTGCCATGTCGGAATTTTGACACCACCAATTTTTGATGACCTCGATTACCTCTTTTTACTCGAATTAACGATATCACCCTTATTTTCTCTTATCCTAACTCCTCCTTTTCTTTTTCACCTCCTACCACTTTTTTTTTTTACCTCTCTTCTCTTTCCCTCCTGGTCCTGATATCCCTCGGTTCCCAAAAGTTCTTTGTTAGTGGTGTCATCGGCCCATGATTAGCGAGCGACATCAACCTTACTGGATCCCACTTTTTTCTTTCTCCCACTCTCTTTGAAGGACCAAGCGTTCTTCTGCCGCGATGCTACGTACACGTGATGCCAGAGGGCGACGAGCAAAGAAAAGCAGCCAACACTGGGATCAGAGATGAATAGTTGTTCGGATGCCATGGTACTCTCTTATTTCATGTCACGAGAGGGAGGAAGTTGTGACGTCTTTTCTCTTCCTATCCCGCCATACTACCTACCTCGTATCCTACGATATGACACGAGTGTAATATAGACTTATGACTTCCTCACGGGATGCTTTCCTTGCTACGTAGTCCGTATCTTAAACCTAGATATATTTCGTATATAAAGATTGCTGTACATGATATACATCCATCCTCGCTGCCGCCAACTCAGAAAGTCGGATATTGCTGCCCAAACATATCCGTCAAATCATCAAAATTACTCCCCTGTAGCAGATCCACGATATTGAAATCAAAATCTGCATCGTTCAAGTCTGGAATCTGTCCAGTAGCGGCAGTATTATCGTGGTATATGTTGGTCGTTGTATTTGCGCCGTGGTCCCTTCTTCGTCTAGCATGTTCTTCTTGTTCTTCCTCTCCCGGGCTAGTAGGACCCGTGTGAGTTGAGGGTAGGTGATCGGTCATGATCGTGATGGTGGGATCTTGTGAGTTACGAGGACGGGCAGAGGAAGAATAATCTACTTTTCGTCTTTTGTTGGGGGAGGGTTCGCCTGTAGCATTAGTCTCGTGCATGTTTCGGGATAGTAGGGAAAGGGCCCTGTAGCAGTGTTTGGCTGTTTCCCATTGCGTGGACATGGTGTGAAGGATGGAGAGACATTTGGTTATTTCTCTGTTTTGGGGAGGGGGATTGTTAGTGCCTGGAGTGGCAATTTCAGGCAAAAAGGGCTGGGAACGCACTGGATTCCTTTGGATAGAACGTATTGGCGGAGTTGACATGCAAATGCAAGGACGAGTCCTGACATCCAGGCAGCAGAGAGGAAGCCAGGCCAAAAAAAGGATTGGCCGCTTTCTTGTTGCGTGGTTAGGGCGGAGAGGATCTCCCTTGCGGCGTTGATGCAGGTTTGGAGCCCTGAGCAGAATTCGGGTGTTGAAGGGTTGAGGGAGAGGGAGGGGCGGTTGATGAGGAGGATGAGATGTTGGTAGAGGACGGTGAAGAAAGGAGCGAAGTTGAATGCGTTGGGTGTTGTTGTCGTTGCTGTTTGGGATGATGAGGCTGCGTTCGCGGCTGTTTGGCCTTGGAGAGTCTCGATGGCGAGATTGTTCCACCACTTGTGGACATCTGTGATGAGAAATAGCACGGAGCTACGTCTGACGGAGCGCACGAAAATGGATTTGTGGAAGAGCTCGAGGGCTCGGCCTGTCAGGGTGCCGGACTCGACGTAGCTTGCAAAGGCGAGTTCCCGGCGGTTTTGCTGGGTTTCTTCAGCTGGCGAGGGACGTTGTGAGGCATTTCCGAGAGATTGGTTGTTCGAAGAGTGGGGATAGTGCTCTCTTTGTTCAGGGAACAAGGTAGGTCGATAATTCTGGGCCCTGTTGTACATCCCTGGGATATGGGTCTCTGGAGCGCCGGGTAGACAGACATCGATGTCGGAGTCTTGGACGCCTAAGGGCAAACCGAGTGCCTGGCTTAGGTATCGATCAATGGCATACGCGCACCAAAAGATCCTCTTCCGCAGCTGTCTGTCATGGGATGTGAGTTCCCGGTATCGGAACGGACAGCGATGGAGGCCAGCGTGCAGCATGGACCGGAGCATGCAGCCACCTACAGTGGAGGCTGTGCGGAGGGACATTCTCGCAACCAGGTAGAGCTGGCAAGCAAGAAGTGCTTGCAGAGAAAGGAGATCATTTCTACTGGTCAGAGTCCCGAGAAGAGCATGCATGTTGCTGGGTGACTCAATCCGGGACTCTAGAGGAAGATGAAGGTCTGGGTGCACAAGACTAGCCAGATTCAAAACGCACTGGAAGATCGTGGTCCAGCAGGCATTTCGGTGGTCTGGAGATGAAGAATGGGCCGAGTCCTGACGATCTTCGGAATAAAGCACCTCCATGGCCTGCAAGAATGTCGGGCCATGTAAGAAAGGGAACAAAGGATGCCAAACTTTGAAGTACATCATCATCAGTTCGCGGGCTGTATCCAGCGGGGGAGCATTGCCCAGGACTGCTGCCACTGCGGGGTCATATGCCCATTGGCACGGAGACTGGTCATCTTGCAGGGCAGCAGGGGATGTGTTCGCGGACCGAGAGACCGAATGATGGTGATGATGCGAGTCTTCGCTACCTACCAGGGTATCCTCCGGGTGTGGAAAGTCTTGCGCAGGCGATGCGCCGCTCGGATCTAGACTTTCGGAGAAAGCCCGTCGGACGGTTTTGATGAAGTAGACTCCGCTGGAGCTACCGACAAACTGACTCTCATCAGGTGAATGCGCGGTCAGGGAACCGATCTCGCCATTGGTGAGGTCCGAAGACTCCATTCTGGCAAGCTCATGGTGTCTCCGTCGAGGATGAAGACCGGAGATGGAAGAGAAATCAAGTTCGACTGGATGAATTGCTGCCGGAGACGTTCTTCTGCTTAGTCATGCCAGAGGCACAACTTTATGCACCACCACCACCATCACCACCACCACCATCACCACCGTCAACCACCCCACTAGATAAGTATAGGACCATGGCAGGTGGATATAGCCAGATCGACTAGTCTTGTATAAATCCCTGAGACTATCTATGCTCATCGGATGATGGGACCTTGGTAACTCAGTGGGCTCGGTGGAAATTCGGAACCTACTATAGACAACAGGACAGTTAGCAGACACTCATCCAAAAAATAGAGGAAGAGACTCCCAGCCTTCTCAAACCAATGTCTTTGGTCCGTACAGCCATCAGTCAGAATATATACTGCCTTATGTGGACTGTTCAACAGAGCCGAGTCCTCTTACGAAACAATCAGACAACTACCCATTATTATTTTCTCCATTGCTTCTATAATACGCCCGATCTAAGAACTGTGTCATCATTAGCCATGCCCAGGTGCATTACAGACAAAAATTACGAATGATGAGACACGGAGGTGTTGATTGGGGATGCAAAGAGCACATTAGAGCCGAGCTGTTTCTGCACGCAGTCTGGTGATGACGATCAAATGCGGTTGGCGGTGCCTCTGGTTGGCAACGACTGCATGGTGAGAAGGGAGATAAGAAAGGTGCAGCAAGTCAGTGCCATAGGTCATGAAAGTGTATAGCTGCAGGAATGGTGGGGGAACTTGGGGTACCGAATCTCGTATCGGAGTAACATGCCTCGTGGAGACTAACAGGGATATCGATGCCTGCAGGTTGATGCTAATCAGAGGATGGCAAATATTGCCGAAAGAAGCGGGATGAAGACGGGAAGAAGTCCGCAAGGGAAATTTCCGAAGTAGATTATGCTAGACTAATAACTAACTTGTTAACCTACAACCATCGGCGGCAAAGGGATGGGTTCTACTGCGAAGCCAATTGATCAATCTCCTTGCAAACTGCATCCACGACCCCCTGCGTATCCGACGTCCCTCCGAGATCCGGTGTTACAATCCCAGCGGCGCATACCTTCTCGACACAGTCCATCAACTTCTTCGCGGCATCCCTTTCACCCAACCATGTCAGCATCTCTGCAGCCGACCAAAAGGTGGCCACCGGATTGGCCACACCCTTGCCCATGATGTCAAATGCACTTCCGTGCACTGGTTCAAACAGTGACGGGTTCTTGCGGGTAGGGTCAAGGTTGCTGGATGGTGCCACGCCAATCGAACCAGCTAGACCAGCTGCAAGGTCGGAAAGAATATCCATATGCAAGTTGGTCCCCACGATAGTGTCAAGCGACTGCGGCTTCGTAAGCATGCGGATGGTGATAGCGTCCACCAACATCTTGTCCCAGGTGACATCCGGAAAGTCCTTTGAAACCTTTGCAGCGACCTCATCCCATAGGACCATCCCATGCCGCATGGCGTTACTCTTCGTAACCACGGTAAGATGACGACGCGGTCTAGAACGGGCTGTTTCGAAGGCAAAGCGCATGATCCTTTCGATACCAACTCGGGTGAACATCGCCACCTCTGTCGCGGCTTCCCATGGCTGGCCGGCATGGCTACGTCCACCCTGACCACAGTATTCTCCTTCAGAATTCTCTCGTACAAGGACCCAGTCGATGCCATCCACAGCCGTGTTTAGGGGGGACTTGGTTCCGGGAAAGGTGCGCACAGGACGGACATTTGCGTATAGTTGCAATGGACTGCGGAGGGCCAATAGAAGACCCCATAAGGAGACATGGTCGGGAATGTCTGGATACGTCAGTGGCGTTCTCAGTCTTCATTGGGATTTGTTTTGGGTTGTTAGAAGCAAATCGCCGTACCTGGATGTCCCACAGAGCCAAACAAGCCTGCGTCGAACTTCCGCACCGTCTCCAAGTAACCTTCCGACATGTACCGACCATGCTGCTTGTAGTAGTTCGTTCCCCATGGGAGATGCGTAAATTCGATGTTGAAAGTGTTCAACTTCTGGGCAAGCTTATTGACCACTTCGATGGTCGCTTTCACCACTTCCTCGCCTATCCCGTCACCCGGGATGGATGCGATGCGGTATGTGAGCTTTTCTATAGTCATGTTGTATTGCAATAACCAAGACACCAGGACAGAAGCTGCAGGAAGTAGGTGATTCCCTTAGAGAATATGAACTCCGCATCTTCATGCTCTATATACTTCCTCCCGGCTGCAGATTTGGCTGAATGTTTGTCCTATTAGCATGTCGATTATTCGGTGCCAAGCGTTTGGGTGCGGATCAAAGATCTGTTTATTGATATTGCATGCAACTCTTCGACTATCATGTCAGCATGTAGATAATGATGGATGCTCGCTGCTTCGCCAATGAAGACTACGGGATTGGAAATGACCGCCAACTGCACCGGGTACCGGGTACCCGCAGTAACTTGCCATGGGGTCAGCCACGCCACAACCGAGTAACCATGAGTATTCTGCAGTTGAATCATGAACTGTAATAGCATATCGATGTCCTCGATGGATGAGAGGAAGATTGTTGACCCCGGATGGAGAAGGCACATGGATTGCCCGAAGAGGAAGCCACGCGTCGGCTAAGCGTTCAGCCGTGGAAGGCCCCACCGCCCCCGCGCTTTACCCGAAGCGGGAAGCCGGCCTGCCTTGGGTGGTTGTATAACGCTTTTCCTGGCGGCGCTCTTAACCCAGCCCTCTGGCCGAAACGATGAGGATCTCCGAGCGGAACCGGTCACCCATCCCACTCTTCCTGCGTCCCCCCTCTGCCAAACTATTAACCGCCCACCACAATGGCCCCTGCAAAGCCAAATAAAGTGTCTCGCATCACCGTGGCTTGTAATTCCTGCCGCTTCCGGAAACAGAAGGTAAGAAGATCCCTTGCCTCGACGGATATGCAAGTTTAACCAAGTTTAACCGCAATACGCTTTTAGTGCAGTGGAAACAAGTAAGTAGATAGTACACTTGGCTCATCTTTTTCCCTTCTGCACCGTACAAGCAACTAATCCGACTCGGAGGCCGATATGCACACAATGCCACCAACACAACCGGCCATGCGACTGGCCCGAACAGTTAAAGCGGTAAGCATTGCTGCTTGTACCTTGAAGTTCGTCATTCTTATGCCCACCAGTGGCCCTGCCAAAGGCTATATAGAAGCCCTGGAGCACCGTCTTCATGAAACAGAGAGTCTGCTTCTGAAATTACTTGCCGAAATCCCGGATTCCCAGCTCTCAGCCACCATTCAGGAAAGCCAAGAACATCCCAGGAATTATAGAAGCAGCAACAGTCCAACACAAATGTACTCTCCATCCACCCGCTTTGGAAAACGAGGTACAGATTACTGGAAAAAGTTCCCTTTGCACACCGTCCAGGATATTCGTGACTGGCAAAATGATTGCTTGGGCAACGGAGGTAATGCCTCAGCACCACGCTCTTCGGGACCAGATGTTGTCAGGCGTCCTTCCATTCCACTTTCTCGATATCAACCGGAGATCGAATCCCCGAGAGACCATGCCTCTGAGTTTCAAGAACATCGGGAGGTGCCAGCGCTACCACGGATACATCAGATCGAGATCCCCAATAGCCCGGGAGATGCGTATGTGTCGCCGGCTAAAGTGGTCCGCAGTCCTGGGCTAGATGATGAGATAAGAGAGAGTCGCCCGCGAATTGATCCAGTTTTCGAGGCGATACAGTACCAGCGCGCTCGTGCGGAGGCCGTCCATGAATTGAGCTCTGTTGTGCAGCAAAAGCCGAGTCTATGGAGGGGTGCGCCGTCTGTGAGCTTTCAGCAGCAATTTCTCTGGTAACCTTGACGACCCTCACATGAATAAACGACTCAATTTCTGTATCAACTTTCTAAGCTTGGATTGGGTTCGGACATGCCTTACTTCAGAGATGCAAGAATTGTCTGGTCGCCGATTGGAGGATGCACTCTGATTTCATCGCTCTAGGACTTATTAATCCTGTTATTGCCTCCGGTGTCATTGTGGAGGGCAATTCATATTCTATGTGTGGAGCAAACGCCGACACTATCAAGTATAACCGAACCAATTCACTATATAGAGAAATTCCAAGTCCTATGATACCATGCCAATACAGTCTATTCGAGAACACACCATCAACTAAGCCACCACGCCGAAGTATCGACACCTCAAGTAGGATGCTCGATCTCGATGATTCTTGCGTTTGGCGAGAATAATGCAGTGGACTCATTTGTCTCACCCAGGATCTCCCAGTATTAGGCCACTTTTACGGATGATAAAAAGAGCGAAAAATAGACTGTTCATGCTAGAATGAGTCGCAATCGAGAGATGAATATCTAACTAAATACTAGCCGCGTGTATAGGAAGAGTCTAGTCTGGCCCGGGCCCCCACATGTGGGGGATTGCTTAACAGTCAAAGCCAGAGTCAATGCGGAGACAGGCCCATGATTCTATGTTTTGAGTTAGTATCATAGCTGAATATTAGTCTTGGATATACAAAAAGGGTGATTCTATACCCGGAATGTGCAATTGAGATGATTCTGTTGGCATGCATACATACCCCATAGACAGTGCATGTAACTCAACATATTACTCCTTTCTTCCTTCCTTTATTTCCTCAGATCTGTAATGTTATCCCCATTACATAAATCAAACCCCTCATCGCCCTAACCCTAGAATCTCACGAGGTATTTCCTAATCAGGAAACCATGAAGCTATCCCGTCCCCACCACACTGAATTCCATCTCACCCCTAACCACGCTCCCCAAACCAGCATCGTAGAATCCAGAGTACTTTCATGTTAACGGTGAGTTTCAGCTATCATGACACTTAAGGTATACAGCCCCCCAATGACGAGGTTACTCTATCTTACATCGCCATGACGCCATCGCCATCCTCTCCCGTCACTGAACATGATATACCTACTGTGTAATACCATAGATATCACCCACTCAATCATCATCGAAAACCTGTCTAGGATGTGGACCCCACCCAACCAACCCAACCCAAATCCTTACTGTGCATCTAGACTAGACTCATGATCTCATCATAACGCTACACAAACCTACTTCCCACTGACACAGTGCATAGCACACAGTACATAAACCCATCCCCCCTCTCCCTTCCCTTCCCTTCCATCAAACCCTCTTACCTACAACATCCACCCAACCTACAACCCCACCAACCAACCAAGCAAGCCAAACCAAAAACAATGCCCTCCAAACCAATCTCCTCACCCCCCCTCCAACCCAAAAAAGTCCACGGCAGTGTCCGCGACGACGCCCCGATCGACGATTACGAAAACGCCTGGACGCCCGACGACGACGAACTCCACCAGCAACATCTAGAGAATGATGATATCGCGTTCAAGGCCCCGAATGTTGCGGCCGCGAGGAGGATGAATACTGGGACGGCGCCGAATCCTTCGGAGGGGGGAAGGGAGGGGACCACTGGGTCGGTGAATAGGTCGAAGACGAGGCATTGATTCTTTCTCTTTCTCTCTATTATGCTTATCTTTGTTTTGGGGTTTAGGTGGTACTGGTACTAAGTAGTACTTTATATGTGGGGGTTGTTTTACGAATTCGATGAGAATTGTATGAATCATAGTAGTAGTTTTGATTTATCCCAGTCATCCCACGTTATATACACAATTCTATAAACAAAATTTCAACACCACAGGTATTTGATTATTTACAGCATAGGTTTCAGGTCCTCCGAAACCTTGAAAGGAGCGGCAGTCTTGCTGCGGATCTCCTCAACCGTCACGCCCTCGGCGTACTCAACCAGTGTCAGTCCCTCGGTAGGGCTAACTTCGAACACGGCCAGATCGGTGATGATCTTCCACACGCAGCGAGGTCCGGTCAGGGGGAAGCTGCACTCGGGCAGGATCTTGGGGTTGCCCTTCTTGTCGGTGTGTTCCATGGTGACGACGACTTTGGTCTTCTCCGGGTTGGAAACTAGGTCCATGGCTCCGCCCATACCCTTCACTTTACCGGGGAGCATGAAGTTGGCCAGGTCTGGATGGGTTAGTTGATGGTTTTTTGCGTTTGGAATGGGGGTGGATTACGTACCGCCGTACTGGCTGACCTGGAGAGCACCGAGCATGGTCAGATCGATGCGGCCAGAGCGGATCATGCCGAAACTCTCCTGGGATCCGAAAACAGAGGCACCACGACCCAGAGTGACGGTCTCCTTGCCGGGGTTGATGCAGTCGGGGTCCTCCTCACCGGGCTTGGGGTAGCCACCCAGACCCAGGATACCGTTCTCAGCCTGGAGGACGACCTCCACGCCCTCGGACACGTAGGAAGGAGCAATCAGGGGCATTCCGATACCGAGGTTGACGTACATGCCGTCCTTGAACTCCTTGGCGGCGCGCTTGACGATGCGCTCGCGGCGGGCGGTGGCCTCACCGGAACCTGTAACAGTCAACACCCGTAGCCTGTGTGTCTGATCGGTGATACTCACCAGCCTGGAGCATCTCGCTAGGGTCCTTGGCGAAAGTGAGCTTCTCGATCTTCTTCTCGCCGGTGCTCTGGATGACTTTGTTGACGTAGATTCCCTGGAGGTGGATGCTCTCGGGGTCGATCTCGCCAACCTCGACAATGTGGTCCGCCTCGACGATGGTGTACTTGGCGTTCTTAGCCATGGCCTCGTTGAAGTTGTTCATCGACTTGCGGAACTGGCAGTTACCCAGCTTGTCGGCCTTGTGGACCTTAACCAGAGCGTAGTCACCGAAAATCGATTCTTCCAGGATGTAGTTCTTGCCGTTGAATTCGCGGGTTTCCTTGGGCTCGTTCTTGATCGCGACGCTACCGTCCTTGTTGTAACGCACGGGGAGTTCACCGGTTTGCACTGTCTAGGTTAGCAGGGCCTAGCTGGGTAGTAGAAGACAAAAGGTCGTACCAATTGTTCCATAAGCAGCAGGGGTATAGAAAGCAGGGACACCAGCGGCACCAGCGGCACACTTTTCCGCAATGGTGCCCTGGGGGGTCAATTCCAGGGAGAGGTCACCGCCGAGATACATTTTCTCGAAGACTTTGTTTTCACCGATAAACGAGGCAATCATCTTGCTGATCTGTTTGCTTTCCAGAAGCTGGCCTGTTGGGGGTTAGACCCACGCAATACTTCACTGTAGTAGTTGAGACGTACCGAGACCAACACCCGGCATTCCAGCATTGTTGGAGACGACCGTCAGATCCTTGATTTCGGGGCGATCACGGACAGCATCGATCAACGTGGTGGGAACACCGGCGAAACCGAAACCACCGACGAGGACGGTGGAGGAACCCTTCATGTCCTTGATGGCTTCCTGAGCGGACGGGCATATCTTATCAATGGCGCGCTTGGTGGTTGAGACGGAGAAATTCCGCCGCCAGATGGGGCGGAACACCGCAGGAACAGGCCGCGACATGATGCCGACCAGCCTTGACTGAGAATGATTCTGCAGAGATAAAAACTGGGGAAGGGAATAAAGAAATAAAAGAAGAAGAAGAGAAGGCCGGACGAGCAGCGATAAAAGTAACACACGGCTGTTCAGCATCACCAGCTCGCCGGTCGGCTAGTGAGCGTCGCGACGCAGCCGACAAAGCGATTATCCGCCGCCTACATCCAGCATCGCTTTGCCGCCTTCCGAAGCCGACCCCACCGGCGATCCACCACCGCCGTATTGCATCGTACGCCCGTGGGGGGAGAAACGTTCTGCCTGCGGGGGGGCCGCCCCCTGTCGCTCTCCCCCGGGCCCCTTTGCTGCCATCCAGGCACGCGATCGGGACGGGGAAAGTGTCAAATGCTGCCCCGAGTCCACCGGCCTCCGAGTTCCTGGTACTTTGCGATCAACTGCTTCTGATCCGGCCAGGGTCTTGCTGCTGAGAATCTGCAGGCGATCAGATAAGCCCCTGATGGGGCCCCCGTCACGGCACCGGCGTAATTTACAATTCCGACAGCGGAATGGGCATCGGCAAGGCACTGGCAGTTGGACATCGGGTGAACTCGCCTGGGCTCTGCCGACCGCCAGTCCGACTCGGGAGATTCTGTGGGGTCTCGATCTGGGGTAGTTCTCCCATAACGCCAACGGCTACGTGTGGTCCATTTATCCCACTCATTTTCTTCCGCCGAGGCTGACGTTCTCAAAGTGACTACTCAACTCAGGTAATTGGTATCGGACGTTTTACTCGCATTATAATCAATCTCGTACATGCAAGATCATCCTGAAGGAATCAATGGACCACCCATCCCTTAAATTGTGGTATTCTGAGCAATCTCGGTCCTTTGACAGGGAAGAATCGGCCAAACTCTGCCATCGTGGTCGTGCAGAAGCGTGAGAAGGATCGTTTTGCGGCAATCAGTCAATTCTTGCACATTGTTGTACTCCGATGGTTTCTGCTCATTGATGCTGGTGTAGATATTCTTTATGCACCAGCCGTCATCGGCCTCAAAGTTCCACCACTCCAGATTCACGGCCTCAATATGTTTCAGCTTCGCATTCGAGGTCTTGGTGTATTTGTGCAGTCCAATGAGAAATCTCCTTGCTTCTCGGTCATCGACAGCGGTCACAAGGTATCGATGCCAGTTTCCTGGCCATGTGCCGGGCTGGCGCTGTTGAAGGTGAACGTAGTATGGCATATTTTGCTTGGTTAAGCTTTGATTCAACCAGTGTGGAGAGTCGGTGGTTATTATCATTGAAGAATGCTGCAGTTTTCCGGTATGTCAGTTCGCTACTTTATAACCTCCTGCCCGCCATTCTCCACCTCCTTTTCATCATCGTCATGATAGGATAAGTTCGGAATCTAAGCCCGCTACTTCCCAGTGGTTCGAATCATGATCATGGCGCATCTGCATGTGAACGTGGTAGATGTCATGGAATGAGACAAGTCGATTCGCTCTTCAGAGCTCTAGACAATCGGTGCTCTGGTTGTAACCCAGAAAGTGAGGGACCGCATCAGGGTCTCCAGGCGGATCAAGAGCTATTCCATGTTTTGAACACATGTGCCGTGGACTGTGGTAGATACTAGATATTGGTCAGACGCTCTTCGATCCAATCAGGAACCCCCCCGAATTTAGCTTGCCTTATTAATACCACGCAGCTTTGATGGAATCGAATGTTGATATGCTCCTTGTATCCAGCAAACTGGGGTCGCGTCACTGATTATAGCCCCCAATTATCCCAGCTTCTGGTGCATCATCGCGCAATGGGTTCGTACTCGCTGAGTTCCATCTTCGCTTGACGAATTGCTAGAGGTGAATACCTTTTCAAGATGACATCTCCAAGCTGTAGACTTTCAAAGAATCTAGATGGTCAGCAGGTCAGCAATTCATAGGACAGCACATACGCAAACCAAGGCAACTCCTTGGTTGTGCTTTTCCAGAATGTGAACGGAGATGGCTAGCTCCTCGGATTGGCCAGGAAAGGAGGGGAAAGAGGGGAAGTCCAAACCAGCGCACGGAGACATCGGCTAACACTAAGTCAGTAGTGTGGTGCAACGCTCTAGGATGCGATGAACTCATCTACCGACAAGTCCAATGGTACACAGGTACAACGCCAGCGACACCAACGTGAGGTGGGGTAGCTGTCAGCGCCGGCGCTTAATCCGCCCGGGTGGTTTGCTCCATAACTGGACTGTCGCATCCCCTCCATATCTAGGTACTACCCATCAAATGCCCCGTCCGCCATCGACCTTATCGACTGCAGGAGGATGCCTTTAAAAACACACACGCTGCCTGCCAGGCATTTTTTGTCAAAGAACTCCCTTTGGTCTTACCCGGTCTGATTCACCAAACCCTCAACCCTCAATCACGCCAGTCAACCTTGACGAGCCTTCAAACCCGGTAGAATGATCCAGACATCTCCCGAGCCCAAGCTGTCCCCCTTGTGGGAAAAGGCATTGGAGAACTACCGCGAAGAGCTCGCGGCAGACGATGAATTTCGACTGATACTGGAGACGGGGAGTCTCGATGAGTTACTGAACGACCCCAAGATACTGCAGCCCTTTGGGCCGCGAGGACGAAAGTCTTTGGACTCAATGTACCGACTGAAACCAACCTTTAGACTGGTCAATGACTTTTCTGCGGTGCTCGCGGTCTCTTTTGGGGCGGGAACGGTGCTGACGGCTCTTGTTTGGGGCAGCATCCGCATGGTCCTAACTGTAAGTCGCAATTGGCTGATGATACGACTTGGACGGTGTAGCCGATCATAGGCAGGCACTCCAGTATCTAGCTGACAGTAGCATAGCTAGCATCTTCTGCTGGAAACCTTCTTCAGGAGGTCCCGGATATGTTGGAGGAACTGAGTTTGACCTTACCGCGCCTCAAATATTATGAAAAAACAGTGCCTATGGATCAGGAACTTGAGAACTCGTTACTCGCTGTCTATACGGAGGTGATTTGCTTTTATGCCCGCGCTATTCATTTCTTTCGCAGCCACAAGCATAGTAAGGACACTCCCCTTCACGTGCAGACTTTTCATATGTCTAATTTTAACCTTCCTCGACAGCTATCTCCTAGCCTATATCTGCTATTTCATGCTTCCTGTTGGTTGCTACAGCCTATTATCATTTGCTGATTCAATGGAAAGTGATACTGCTGCGAAATTCATGGTCTGAGCTCAGCGGGGATTTCAGCAGAACCGTGCAGCGAATCAAAAGACTATCGGCGACAATTGAAAGCGAAGTCGAGCTCACCCAGATGCGACATGACAACCAGAAGTACCACGAAATCCTTGATTTGATGGCCAATTTCCACACTCAACCTCCCGAAGCGGCGACTAAAAGTCATCATTATATCCCATTCTCGGAAAGCACGCGGTTCTGGGGCAGGGAGGAAGTTCTATCACGGATGGACGGTGCACTTACAGGGAATGGCCCAAAGGAGTCGCTCTGCTCATTTGCATTGTACGGAATGGGAGGTGTTGGCAAGACCCAGATAGCACTCAAATACGCCAACGCCTCGCGTGACGAGTTTGATTCAATTTTCTGGATCTCATCCGATAATGCTATCACGATTGAACAGAGCTTTCGTGAAATCGCTAAATCACTGGGACTCATTCAGCCAGGTATGGAAAGCGATGATAATGCTGTGATCCTGGAAGTTAAATCCTGGCTATCCTCAACCAGTAAGTGATGTTCATTCTTTAGGCTCTTGTATGGATGACGTCAACTAACAGTGCAATCTAAGAGAGCCGCTGGCTTCTTGTGTTCGATAATGCCGACGACCTGAGCGCACTGAAGCAAGTTTGGCCCAGTAGTGCAACTGGAGCTATTTTACTGACAAGCCGCGACCCGGCCGCAGCCTTTGGCCTGGCGTCGGATGGTGTTCAAGTCACGCCGTTCGACACACAATCCGGCTCTGCGGCGCTGCTGAACATGCTTGGGCTCGATCCGGAGACACAATCTAACAAGGAAAACGCTGCGGCCATTACTTCAACATTGGGTGGATTGCCTTTGGCACTAAGTCAAATCGGCGGTTTTATTGTGCAGCGGAAAATACCCCTGCATGACTTCCTGCCTCTATATAACAGAAAGTCCGAAAGCGTTGATAAAAGGAGCACATTGAACATGAATTACAACCACACGTTGGCCACTGTGTGGGAGATGTCTTTAAGTAGGCTATCAGGAGATGCCAAGGCGCTCCTCATGTTCCTCGCCTTCTTGGATCCCGACTACATCAATGAATTGTCCTTAAGGATGGGGCTTCTCGAGTGAAACCCCCAAGTTTACATTTTGCTGAGGACGAGTTAGAGTAAAGGCTATGCACATCACATTTTATTCCGTGATGCTAACTCACATGCAGCTTCCTGGACGCCGAAGAAGTTCTACTTCAAGGAGCGCTCATCGACAAGTCGTGTGAGAACGGGGCCATTACGATCCATCGGCTTGTGCAGAGAGCGGTAATTCGCCGTATGAGCCTCGAAGAACGGCGGGACATCTTCTCTACTTTGGTAGACATCCTGACGGCGAACTTCCCGGATACATATAGCGCCGATGTTGGCCATCAAGTCGCATCCTGGACTCTCTGCGAAGCAAGTCTACCCCATATTGAAAGCTTGACGAAACAGAACGATGGCTTTGGCATATTTTCCGAACACAACCAGTCATTTGCAGAGCTTTTGCTTCGATGCAGTTGGTATGTTCAAATCACCCCTGAATCCGCCTGAATACTGACCCTAGTAGGTATCTCTATGAGCGAGAAAACTATGGTATCGCTCAAAAATACGTCGATATCGCGCTCAGGAAATTTTCCGACAGAAAATCCCTCGCATACGCGAGTGCAGTTGACTTCAAAGGCCTGATTGACCTTGATATTTGCCGCCCCAAAAATGCTCTTGCGGCCTTCGAAGAAGCATACGAGCTACGCTCCGCCATTCTCTCGGGCGAAGATGCCTTTTTGGCCGCAAACCTGGTGAACTTTGGCCTCGCACTCACAGAGCTCGGGGACCTGGATGGGGCTCTCGACTATCTCCAGAAGTCGATCGATATTCGGTTGAAGCATAATAGTGATCGTATCGGCAATTCTTACAGTAGTATGTCGAGCTTGCTTCTTCGCATGGGGAAAGCCGATGAGGCAGAGGAGATGTTGAAACGTTGCCCCTCACTAAAAGTCTTCACGGATGAGACCTTCCTCAAGACTGGAAACCCACGATTTTCCGGGTGAGCGGCGTCCAACTCTACCTCGAATATCGTATACTGATTAAATCTAGGGATATGGTCCTGCTCAGTCGAATCCGATTGGCGCAAGGCCGATACGACGAGTCTTTGAACCTGGCCTCAAAGGCTCTAGTGTTCCGGAGGCAGTGCCTGGGAGAGCGTCTCAAAGTCTGTGACTCACTCTATCAGGTTGCGGATATTCTGGAAAAGGGGGAGAATCCAGCCTTGGCATGGTAAGTCGAACCCAGGCCCAATGTCATGTGGCTTTGTTAATTGTCCCAGTCAACTACTGGAAGAGTGCGTCAAGATCTCGGAAGTGTTGCCCCCAGTTGAGGGTCTGCGGCATCTAGCTCGGGCAACCTATAGATTATCGCGTATCTCAGATGCTCTTGGGAAGGACAAAGAGAGCGCTAAACAGCTGGAGCGGGCGATGAATGTCCGAGAGGAAATTCTCAAGTTAGAGGGCGACGAAGTGCTTGGTAAAGATGCTGGTTCTGATCTCGAGGACCCTGTTCCCTGGATGTTGTGGTAGACCTTGGTCACCAACGGCCTTTTCTTTCTAGCTCACTCACCTCGTCGCTCTTCTGTCCCGGTACATACAGGAATTATGCACAAACTGGAATATAACGCAACATGGCCTGTCATAATGGCCAGTGCCAGCGCACAGAAATAGCGTCCTAGAGCCAGTTCTGTCGCACATGTCATACACGGGAGCTGAAGGGGCTGAGATCACTCGCTCCCCCAACAGAATGGTCGCATTTGCCGCCAGCAGTGCATGCACCAGCACCTTTAGACTATGTCCTAGCATGCTAGCCGCCGGAACATTCATTGATTCTTCCCTGCGCGGAGACAGAGGCTTGTCTTTACGGGCCCCTCATTCGATCCTGTGCAGATTTGAAACAGAAAGCCCAGACTCAGCCTGCCATCCAGTGAACCCCGAATAGCCGCTGCCGGCTATGAGTGGCACCCAGCAATGAGAGTGTTCATTATAAGCGGCCCACCCTTAGCATAATTCTTGGATCAATCTACATCTCCAAGAATAAGTTCCCACTCCATGACTAGACCCTATACTTTCTCATTTGGCTGCATCATAAACGATCTCTACCTCCCTTGAAGGAGACACACACCAGCCATGGCAAAGGGAACAAATCTGCACATTAAGATCAAATCAGACCGAGCACCAAGGTCAGCCGGTACGTCCGGAGAATTCCAGCTTCAACTCAGCCTAATGCCATATGCTGATAGAAAATGTACAGTGGATCGGCTTGACTCGTCCACATGTGGCCCGCCAGACACACCGGATCTCCTACCCAACGGCCTAGGAAGCTGTCCCCAAGGCTAGGGTCCCAGCTGGTATCAGGCGTGGCTCTCCTCCCAGTTCGAAGAGCTTCCTAGTTCAATCCTTGACATATTCCATGTGGACCACGAGCGTTGTACATCCGAGAGTCATTGGGAGTGTTTCGTCTCGGCCTTCCTCGCAATATCCGAATGCATTGCGTCGACCAGCGCCATAACTATAGACGGCATTATAATTCAGCTCCTGGAGAAAAGTGTCATCGCTACCGATGCCTCCTACGATAGTCTTCAATATGCGCGATACTTCGTCTTCAGTGTGTTGGGCTGGCAAACCATGCTTTTCAAGCCCGCACACCCCACCGAGCCTGTCCATCAACTCACCATCGAGGAGCAGAGGGGCTGTTGTGAGTACACGCATATGTCGCTACAGCAGGATATGCGTGTCTGCGAGCAGGACCCTCTCAGTGAGTTCCTGATGGGATTCGGAGTACTGTTACCCTCGAAGAACATTTGTCTGAACGATGATCAAGACGTCCTGCATATCTTCCATCAGCAGGTAGAGGTCAGCGCCAGAACCTTCAATGCGTACAATCTGAGCTCAATCACGGGCATCCGAATCAAATGGGTGGATACCCTGGCTTGTCATCTCGCATTCAACGCTAGTACCAGGGAGCTGTCGCTGTTTCAGTGTCCTTCGTTCTGCCAATTTTGCTTGTTGACGTATGAATCTCTGGGTCAAGGATCGATTCATGCCTGTGCGACGACGAGCAAGTTACGTTGTCAGTGGGCCACCGAGGACGAGGTCAACCAGCTGCTGCGCGAGATTCTCTTGTCGTATCGGCTTCTTTTTGGACAGACTAAGAGGTCCCGGGTGCTCTTTCGCTCATTGAATCCTTTTGCGCAGTGCTCGAAACCGAGTAGAGATCCGCTTTTGTCGACCCTGTGTGGCAAAAAGCCATGTTTTCCCGGTCTGGTGCAGAAAGAAAGGTATTACCTATCGCAGGATTTCCCGGTCCTCCGATATCGTATCGCGGTCTTGCAGAGGCAGCTGGCGACTACGACGCCTTGCACATGGGTCCAGCTCTGGCGGGACAAGAGAGATTCTGCGAACTGGCTGACGTTCTGGGCGGTGATTTTTTTCGGTGCCTTTGGCTCTCTTATGTCCTTGCTTCAGGTTGTTTTACAATTTGTTTAATTATTCGTACAGTAGTCTGTCAGGGTAGATCGGATGTTTTGGGAAGGCAATGAAATTCTTGAGTCGGGTTGTAATTGAGCGGATGCATTCCAAATCTCAATATACTTGTTGGGGCGCGAGCGTATAGGCGTCGCCTAGTGTATACTTCTTTCGGCCCAGCTTTGAATAATTCCCCGAACAGTGGGTTCATACTCCTTGATCTTCACATCGTTCTCTACAAGGTAAGTATTGGCCTGGCTAAAAGCCAAGGGTGGGTCCTTTTTGGAGATAACGATATCTCTCCATGTCAGGGCTTCATCGTCTACTTGGGATAATTCTTCGTAGAAGTGCCGACAATTCGAAATGTCTGCAGTGCAACGATAGATATGAAGTTTCATGAGCATCCGGCCAAGCGAAGGCTTTCCATGAGAGATGACCCGGGAACGATCAACTTTGACTGTCAACGTCATTTTCTCAGTATCACATATGACAGTATAGAGGCCATCACTGTCGCGGAGAAGATGGCGAAACATTGCAAAGTGTGCCTGTGTGTGAATTAGGGAAGGTCGGCTTCGTGGAAGGTTTTGGACTTACTCGACTATGTGCTTGCCCCCATTTCTGTCATTCGGTTAGCACGGTAATTCAACTTTCACCAGGTCTCTGCGTACCTTAGTCGTGGGATCATAATTCTCCAGACCTCGAAGTCCATCTACACCTAGCTGCAAATACATGTTGTAGGCGACTGTGATGGACGGGTGATCAGACTCGGTATTTTGGTATCAGGGAAATGACTTACTGTCATCGGGCTTGACCTCGCTCTGCTCTGTGTATCCGAAAATGCGCAGAATGTCTAGATCATCGATCAGGTAAGCGCCAACCAATTCTGCTCTGCATTCATCCACTGTTGTTGCAAGGTCTTTGAATACTCCTGTCCATGTTTGCCCGGCCCGATACCAGCATTCCACGGAATTTCCGGTGAGAGGATTCAGTGGAGGCTCGTCTGGGTTGAAATTGAGACTTCCATCGGAAGATTCGGTCAAGAATCTTCCCGTGCCATGTCCGAGAATTTCGTGCAACACGACCCAGATGTAGTAGGCATGGAACCGATGCTTCTTGAACGTGTCCTGCTCGGGTTTATCAACCATATGTAAACCCCTTGCTCGGCTGCTCTCAGACACCATGCGGTTAGAGAATATGATGTTCTTGTAGCCTGTATTCTGTCGGATATCGTTATACTGCTCAAATTAGCATCCAGAGATGACTTGAAATTGGTGTTACTGACATTAGGCAGGTTAATTCCGGGGAAGATGATGCTCGACCAATACGCAAGGCCTAGACATGTCAGACTTTAGCCAAAAGAGACTGGAGAATACCTACTGTTGATGCTCGAAAAATCCGGTGGCTCAAACAATTCTTTTTCAAATGGACCCTTGTGGGTACCATGGCCCTCAACCCATGGAAGCTTATAAACAAATTGGTCTGCTTTGCTTGCAAGAGAGCTTAGTATCTTGGTTTCCGCAAGATCAGGTATCCCGACTATTCCTTCAAACTCTGAACGTATACCTAGGGGATCGCGATACGGCTCAACAAAGCCTATAACGGTTTCAACTGGGGGTGCTTTGTCATTGACCCAAGTCCTCTGAGATTCCCGATATGCTTCGAGACTGCCCGTCTGGAAACTGTCGATGATTTGCTGTAGCATCTTTTGCTGGGCTGGGCTCGATGCATATGGGATGGCTTGGTGCAAACAATCACATATCTGCCTAAGTTCCTCTATGTGGTCTCCCTTCACCAAGTGTATTATTTTGTCGGATGCGTCCGAACCACTTAGGATTCCCAGCGTAGACTTATCCTCAACAACTGATGCTTGTACAATATCATAGCAATCGGTTCCAGAGCTCGTGTATCTCTTCAACCGTGTATTTTCGGGCAAGATACATTGGTCTTCCATAAGTTTCGATATCCGGGAAACATCCTCCGATGACTCCAGGCAACTTTCTCCCAGATAGTAGGACGACTGAGTCAGGGGCCCCGGGCGACCTAAACTGTGCGGAAGGGCACTAAGCATTGGCCCTTTGATTTTCTCAAGAACTTTACTGGCAGACGAGGACGCCGAAGCCAGTCTTGTAAGAGTCCCCTCGGTAATATCAGGTGTGAACTTCTGGTCGCCGGAACCCTATGAAAGAATAAGAGTGATTCAACAAGTGGTCAAGATATGTCTTACAAAGTAATTTCCGACGTTGGATAAGAAAGTCGCAGCATACTCCAGGAACCTGTCCAGATCCTGCATGCCGACTCCACTCGTTGTAGCAAGTTGTTCCCACTGCCCATCACAGCTATGGTACAATGCCATTGGCCTCAGGAGACACTTGACGGAGGATAATTCTTGTGCCATTCCAAGCAGCCCTTGAGTACGACAGGTCAGAGGTTGTTACTCATACGGATTTGGATCAGGATTGTCTAGTACCTCGCCATATGATGAGCATAAAGCTTTTCCCGGGCACTCAGGCCTTCAAATGCGGCTGCTACCGACAACTGGTAGATCTGAGGGCTAACCATAATTGATGGCAATGCTCAGTTGGATACGAGTAGTTACTGTCTTAAGTCAATGTGAGTGATCATGTCTCGAGGGGTTGTAACCCCGCACATGTGACATGCCACCTTCCACAAAGTGTTTGCACTTGAATGGCTGCTGAACACCATGGTAGTAGTGGACAGATAACAACTGTCGGAGTCTTCACTCAGGGATAAACAGCTAAACTCACTGATACCTACCGAGTACCCATCACCGCTAATTATCGGAAAATTATAGCAGGCGTTTTTGTGGGCAGACACTCTCCGCCGCCGTTGATTATCCTCATAGTACAATACTGTGTATTACGGCACCAACCCCACATTGCCTGCGGGGCCGCCGGCAAGTCCAGGGGCTTCCGTCTCCAGGGACAACAACTCGGCAACGGGTAATCCGTGGCTCAATTCGAGGAAGCCAAGGTTGAACGGATTCCGGATCTCGCATATTGTCATTGACTGAGGCCAGCCCTTAATTCTACCGTTCCATGCTCGCCAAAATGTCAGCATCTCTATTTGCACAACTATCCCGTGTCTCTCGGCTGCGAGCTCGCGTCCCTCGCGTTGTACCCCAAAGATCTATTGGATCTGTCAGTGCAATTGACTCGGGTATTTTTCGAACATTGTTTGGAACCGAAGAAATTCGCAAGGTATTCGACGATGAGGCGTACATCAAGCGGTGCGTAGATGCCGAAGCCGCGCTTGCAAGAGCTCAATCACGTTGCAATGTGATCCCATCCCAGATCGGCGAGATGGTAACTCAGAAAGTTCGCGAATCCAGATTGGATATGGAACGCCTCCGTCATGAGACAGAGATTGTCGGTTACCCGATTCTTCCCCTCGTCCGTCAACTATCTGCGATCTGTGGCGACGAAGCCGGGAAATACGTACACTGGGGAGCAACTACGCAGGACATCATGGACCTGGCGAGTGTCTTGCAGATGAAAGAGGGCTTGACTATCATTGAGCGCCAACTCAAGGAAATTATCAGTACACTGCGTGGGCTGTCCATCAAGTACAAGGACACGCCAATGGCGGGCCGCACACATCTCCAACATGCCCTCCCTGTCACCTTCGGGTACAAGTGCGCGGTATGGTTGTCCGGCTTCCAACGCCATTTGGAGCGCCTGGAGCAGCTAAAATCCCGCTGCTTGCTGGTCCAATTTGGGGGTGCGGCTGGGTCTCTAGCATCTCTGGGATCTGGAGATGATGGGTTACGAGTGCGCAAGGCATTGGCAGAGGAATTGGGTCTTACTGATCCTCCTATCACTTGGCACGTTGCCCGCGATGGTGTGGCAGAGATAGCAAATTTTCTGGCATTGATGGGTGGATCTATGGGCAAACTAGCCCTAGATATCATCATCATGTCCTCTAACGAGCTGGGAGAAGTATCTGAGCCGTTCGTACCGCACCGTGGTGCCTCCTCTACCATGCCCCAAAAGCGCAATCCCATCTCCAGCGAAGTTATTCTGGTAGCATCAAAAATCCTACGTTCAAACGCTGGACTGGTTCTCGACGGGATGGTAGCTGATTTTGAACGTGCCTCGGGTCCTTGGCATCTGGAGTGGGTGGCTATTCCAGAAAGTTTTGTCATTGCAGTTGGGGCGCTGTTCCAGACTCAATTTGCTTTGTCTGGGCTGTGTGTTCACAGTAAGCAAATGCTGGAGAACCTGCACTCAACCAAGGGACTGATTGTGGCCGAGGCGGTGATGATGGGGCTGGCGCCCCATGTGGGACGGCAACAAGCGCATGACATCGTCTATGAGGCTTGCCGGGAGAGTATTGAGAAAAACCGATCCTTGCTCGAGTGCTTGATGCAGAAGACCGAGGTGACCTCGAAGATGAGCGAGGAGCGTGTGAGCCAGCTATGTGATCCTGTCAATTACCTGGGTGCATCGACAAGGATGGTGGATGATGTCCTTGCTGTCGACTAGACATGTATACTCGCACATGGTTGTCAAGTACTGTCTGATAGAATATAGAGGATGTATCACTTATCAACCTCTCGAGTAAAGTTCAACGCTATGGTACCGTAACCACTAATCCATCCTCGAGTCCACATCCCACAAGCTCCACCCATATGGTACATTCACAAGGGCTCCGCATGCCTTAGCGGGGAGCCACAGTAGATTCTATGGGGAAAGCTCCGAGCATCCGTGGGGTTCATTAATGAGGGACTCCTTGGCTGTATCTCGACCAGGGGCATAAGCCATAGTTTCCCTCTTTCTATGTTCCATACCCCTACTAATAATGAGCTGCTCCACACGCTCCAAATATAGATTTTTTGAAGCCATCATGAGTTCATGGCCTACTTGACTCTCGGGCCAAATCTCGACGTAAGTCCTCGCTGTTCTCCAGTGATCCTTTCCATCATCTACTTATTGCTTCTCTGGTTTTGTCATTACCCTTACTTAGTACCTTCATTTGCACTGTATATAGTCGACCTGGCTACCGTTCCCTATCTACATACCCTTGCTGATAGTTACTAGCTGCCATAATGTCAGCTCGGTCCGCCAGGCGTACTGCAATACGGATGGTGACTTTCTAATTACGGCCCAGCTGGGCTTGTGTGGGAATGCCGCTAAAGCTCCAAACGGAAATTGGCGCATTATCTCCGGCCTGCATTAGCTTGCTGTACTTCGCTGTTCCGCAATGCCGAGGCCGAAGTGGTTTAGTGGCCGGAACAATGATTCGGAATAATGTTTTGATCTACAGTGTGATTTCCAAGAACTACATAAATAGCCGGAATAATCATACAATGTCTGGCCAGGATTGATTCTATCACAATCCCTCTGGGCCCTATCAATTATTCCGTTTACTGAATACGTTTTGCCGACTCGAAATCACAGCCACTGCAGTTCTGCCCCTTAACGAAATGCTACCCATGAATACCACAACTATAAGAGGCTTGTTGGCCTCTGTCCATCACTGGTGTCGCTCAAAGCATCTATACACTTAGCAGATACGTCCTACATGCTCTACCAAAATACACACCACCTACAACTTCAACACACAGCCAAGTCGATTTGAAAATTACAATGAACGTTCTACCTCGAGCCAACGACGTCCTCAATATCAACCCTCCGGTGGGAGTGGACAAAGCTCTGTCTTTGCATGGTTCGGACTGGCTTTGGGCTGTCACGGCCATCTATGCAGTTTCTTTCGTAAGTGTCCCGATCAATACTATCTAGCCGGCCTTTCCTTTGTGCTTCGGCACTAACACTCCTTCCTCTACAGCTCGGCTTGTTAGTCTTCTGCTTCGTTGCGCCTCCTAGCAATAGAGTCTTCCACTATACCTTCACCATGGCCCTCCTGGTTGGCACCGCGACCTACTACGCCCAAGCTTCCGATCTGGGTTGGAGCGCCGTTGAGCAAGTCAACCAACTCACCCACGGCTCGACCCGTCAGATCTTCTACGCCAAATATATCAACTGGGTTGTCACCTTCCCCTTATTCGCTCTATCACTCGGTCTGTTGGCGGGAGTCTCATGGACTACCATTCTCAGCAACGTCTTTCTCTCGTGGTTCTGGGTCCTCATGTACCTCGCTGCCGCTTACACAACCACCACCTATAAATGGGGCTTCTTTGCCTTTGGCACGTTTGCATGGATCATCCTCGCAATGAGTACGCTTAACGAGAGCCATGAATCAGCATCCGCCCTTGGTATTGGCCGCGACTATATGGTGTTGTCAGGGTGGCTGAACTTCTTGTGGCTGCTGTACCCTATTGCGTTTGGTCTAAGCGATGGCGGTAACCTCATCAGCGTTACCGATAGCTTTGTCTTCTTTGGTATCCTGGACTTGCTCATGCTGCCGGTGTTGAGTTTTGCGTTTGTGGTTATGGGTCGCAACTGGGACTTTGTCAAGTTGAACATTGCCTTTAGTGAGTATCGTGGACATCGACCGGGTGAAGCCTTGATTAAGGACGATGTTCCAGAGGTAAATGATACGGCCACAAGCTCTTAAGGACCGATGAATGAGACTATTGGCTGACAGATTGGGTTGAATGTTACTTTTCTGTTCGAGGAAGGTTGCTTGAAGGGCCAGGATGAGTATGCTTGTTGTGGACATGGGTTTTACTTTGTAAGATTGTTTGTTTAGTTGTTTCGTATACAGTTGGAATAGAGATGCATATCTCTCCGTTATGCATTAATGGAGGACTCGGCAATACGGATCTACCCCGGATTTCCCAGATACCGACGAACGGCCAAGGCATTCGTTCCATTGGCCAAGCCCCGTACCATACCGGTTTCCGTACGCTGCTCCACGGCCCTGCAGCTCACCTTACCGTATCAGGACTAAGGCAACCCCGGCAGAAGCTGCAAGTAGCCGGCGTAGAATCGTCTCCCCCACAGCTGCTTCTCTTCTAAATTCATTTATCCCCTGGCCTTGATGCTCCATGCCCCTACAGTGTAAGCCTAGCTAGGCTCTGACACTGACTCTGGCTACAACAGCTTAATTCTCCCGCCGACTGGTAGTTGCCAGAATCATGGTCTTGCGAAAGTGTACCATCTGTGATCGGCGTTTCAAGAAGACGGAGCATTTCAAGCGCCACGAACGCTCCCGTTAGTCAATCAATTTGTACCTTTGTCCAGCTACTGACGATCCACAGATACCAAAGAAAAGCCGTATGAATGTAGCATTTGTCATAAAAGGTTTTCACGGAGGTATGAACTACAATTTATCTATAGACTCGACGCGCATTACTCTGTACTTTGCTGATAATAGTGACAGTGATGTTCTGAGCCGTCATGCCAAAGGACACAATCAACTAGCTACCAATGCAGTCAGTGGACCAGTTGCATATCTTCCCAAGCCGGCCAACGGGGCTCCTGCTCATCAGCCGTCGGTGATCTCGAACGATAACCAAGACCGTATTCCTGTCATGGAGGCGGAGAATGCTCGCTCATTCCAGCACAGCTCCTCCACAGCTCGCGATATGCCATTGTCCGCAGCTGCAAACCTGCCATCCTCGTCCTTGGACTTTCTTGCCAACCTTTCTGCTCATCAACCTCGCTCCGAACCCGCAGTTAATCCAATAATAGCGAATGAGCAGGCAGGCTACCTTGATTGGAATGACGTACCTGTTGCAGACCAGCAATACTACAGAGAAACTGTGCTCGAACCAATTCACAATGATATACTGCAATTCTGGCTGGAACCGCAGGCAGATTCCGTCTCGGGACATAGGTCAATAGATGTGAGAGGGGATTCCAATTTCGGCCTTTCGGGAGAGAGAGCCATCTCCTCTTCAGAGCAATCGAGGCTATCCGTTGATAGTGCTGGCTTGAGATCAGGAGGCAACATACCAAATGAGCGGTTTGCGCGTGTTCAACGCTATTGGCTTGCTCCGTCCAACAACACCGGGCGACTGATGAACAGCGTATGGCATGATGTAGCCTTTAGCGGTCTGGACAGTGTCTTTGCGGTTAGATCAGTCCATCCATACAGTGGTCTGGCCAGCTATTCGAGAGGGTCAAGGTACGGCATCGACGAAGAATGCAGACAGCGTCTGTATACCATATTCGGTCAGGGCCGCCAGGGCCATTCTTCCATGGGTTCGTCTGAGAACACTGCAGTCTCACCATTTACCCTCTACCCCCGCAACAATCCCAACTTTCCTCCGGCTGAAGTTCTAGATATGGCACTTGATCTGTTTCTCCGCGACTTTCATTCCCTAGTCCCTTTCGTACACCTCCCTACATTTTCCGCAAAGAACACCCGTCCGTCCCTGCTCTACGCTATGTGTCTGATTGGGATGATTCTTCTGGGAACAAAAGGCACAAGAAACTTTGTCCTGCAGAATTTCTCGGTATGTCGGGGTCTTTATGTGCTTGTGCTGTGTGCATCGCTGATAATTTCCTGCAGTTCATGCTCGAAAATGTCACAGCAGATTTAGCCAAATGCTCTGTGGGAGTTGAAGGAACCTTGTCCACCATATCGACATTTGCAACTGCCCTTTTGGTCCTCAACCTAGCTGCCCTGACTGGGGTATGTTACACTCTCAGGTTTGTTGGCCTCACTAACTGGTATAGGAAAAGGAACACTTGGAAAAGTGCCAAATGATCTATGTCAACCTCATATCGGTATGTCATCCTCAGACTTCGGGGATCTAGCTAATGGATAATAGGTCGCACAACGACATGGCCTGTTCGCAGCTAGGGAAGGACAAGTGCTTGACAGAAACTTGTTCGATGCAATTCCCGATATTGAGGCACGGTGGAAAGCATGGAGCAAGGTCGAGACGGTGAAACGGTGAGTCGCGCTAGTAGACAGCAGGAGCGTCACTGACATCACAGACTCATTACTGGGCTATTGCTGTTGGACTCTTGGTACTCTTCATTCATGTCCACTAGCCCGATTATTGCGCCTGATTCTACGCAGCTGATCTTACCATGCAACGAAGCACTTTTTCGAGCCACGACCTCTGCACGTTGGATGCAGCTCAGTAACAGCGGCAACCCCCTACTGATGCCCACTATAACGATACCGTCGGAGAACGTTGGTGTCCCCAACCTCGACAGCCCTGTGGATGATTTCTGTCTATATGGGCTGTTGGCAATGGTTCAGCTGAGACTCTCAGAAGCCTATTATCGTCTCCTTTCCAATCGTGCCAGCTACCCCTTTGCGCCGTGCAATACATATGCCATGGACGGTCGTGCAAGATGTCTGCCGTCTCTTCAGCTTCAGTTGTCGAACAAATACGGCGATGTGTTAGACAGACTGAACCCCAACGCGGCTGTCATGTGGCATAATATGTGCATGATGCTGACTGCAGACATCCAAATCTTCGACATGGCAGCGGGACGTTCGGGCCCGGTCCCTGCCCGGAAAGCGTTGGATGACATTGCGGCATGGTCGCAGACCCCGGCTGCCAGAAGGGCGTGTCTACATGCGGCCCAAATCTACCGGGCCATGACGAACCGCAAGGCATCGGATCATACGATGTTTCATTCTGTGTTTTCCCTCTTCTCTGCAGCACTTGTCTTGGGTCTTTACGTTTTCATGGTTCCCACTTCCGCCGAGTCGCAGGGAGGGACCTCGATCGAGCTCCTCGATGACATCCATTGGCAGAAAGTGGGCACGGAAGGTTTCACCAGCTTCATGGAGGCACGAGAGAGCCAACCGTTGCCGCCGTCGGAGGAGCCCGCGTTGGAATTTATTCGGCATGGTGGCACGATGTACCTGCGCGGAGTTCCTATCCAGGGTGGATACCAGCCCGCAAAGCGCATCTTACTGGACTATGCAGGGCTGCTGAAAGATGCGGGGAAATGGAGCGTGCAGAAGTTTTCGTATGTGCTACACATCATGAGTGATGTACTGATGGAGGTGGAATGAGCTGCCAGTCACAGTATGGCATTGCATCAGGTGAATATGCTATACTCCCGGCACCATCAGCAGGACTGAGGGCCAGTCATGATTCAGATATCATGAACTACGTTATGAACACCATGGTAGGATGTATCAAAATGAAAATGACAAATGTACAATATTCTTCTATATACCTCACACTCGCAAACCAGACAGACTGACAGCTAAACCCACGATCTATTCCTCACCCTCTCATTCAACATGTCCAACTCCTCCTTGGAAGCCACCACTCCCAACATCTTCCCTCCCCCATCACCCCTACTCATCTCCCTCTCCCCATCCCCCGCCAACACCACCCTCAACCCATCCACCCCCATCTCCATACCCCCTCCCTCTCCCCTCCCCTATATCCCCCCTTAGCAAACCACAACCCCTCCCCCTGCTCCCTCTCACTCCTAACCTGAAACCACCTCCCATCCCCCTCCACGCCCACCACACACCTCTCCCCCGCACTACTCCCCCCCTGGTCCGACATCACCTCCGACCCATCCTCACTCCCACTCCCCTCCTCACTCTCCCCCGTATACTTCGCCACACTAATCCCATTACACCGCGCATTCGGCATATGCAGCACGTCATGCAGCACAAGGGTGTTTGTTCGCGGATCGTCCGGCGCACGCTGCACTCGGAGTTGAACCGTCCCGATGCCCAGGACCCGCTGGTTGGCGATCTTGCATGGTGCGCGGCGGTAGGTGATAAATGAAGAGCGGTTTTTGGCGATGTGCGTGTTGCTGTTTGTTGGGAGGAGGACCCAGTCGAAGCACCGGGGTTGGGGTTGGGGTTGGAAGTGTGGGCGTGGGCGTGGGCGTGGTGAGGGTTTGGTGGTGGTGGTGGTGTTGTAGGGATGGTAATGCTGGTAGTGGTTTGTTTTTGTTGTTGGTGTTATTCGAGAGGGCATTTTGATGTGTTTGTATTGTGGTGATGGGTATGTAGATACTCGTGTGGGTATGTAGTAATGATATGATATGATAGTATGAATCAATTTGATGAAATAAATAGTATAGTATAATATAGTATAGTATGAAACCAAATCACACAAAAGCGAACATGAATATGAATATGAATATAAATACAGCCAGACAGCCAGACAGCCAGATAAAGGCAAATCACGGCACCCCCCCAATAAATACCCCCCAGATCGAACACGCGTAATCCCAATTCGATATTGGTCTAGAACTTCCGTCGTGGCGACCTCCCCCCTTCCGCATTAGGAAGTCCCTCACTGATAGGTTCGTCAATCCATTGATCTTCTCTCCTCTCCTCTCCGCGCTGTATCATTAGGTGGGTGCTTAATATAGGTATATTGTGTGATGGGTCATGGTAGGGTTGTGATGTGTCTTTTTACTCAATTACTTAGAAGTACTACCTAGTTAGATTATAGATAGTTACAGTGTGGAAATAGGAGGTGCCGTGTGTTAAGAGACATGAAAGAGTCTTGACGTAAGTTGATGGAGAAGCTTAATCAGATGTGGAGTTTGGGTGGGCAGATTGCTTGGTGTTCCGTTGATTGCTTGGTCCACTTGCGCCGTGGTTACTGTTCGTCAGTCTGTGAGGGCTGGGCTGGCTTTGTGAGGGACTTGGGGTGGTGCTTGCGTGGATTTATTTCTTTGTCTAGTTATTATTTACCTACATGGTATTTCGTATAGAGTACTCTGTACAGTAAATAGTTTGCAGTCTATGACCAGTCATCTGCTCTATAGTATATACTATATACATTATCCAATAAGACAGTACCTACGGAGTAAGTCTCCTAATACAGAATATCCCTAACCATCTCCCCAATAGCCAAACTACTGGTCAACCCAGGACTCTCAATCCCCAACAAATTCACAAACCCCGGAAATCCCTCTTCCTGCTGGATCACAAAATCCTGAAATCCCTTGCCCGTATTCACCGCCCCTCCTCTCCCCAACTTGGGCCGAATCCCACAATAATCCAACTCAATCGCCTCGACATCCACATTCGGCAAATAGGCCCTGATCTCCGGCAACGCCTGCTGCAATCTTGCCGGACTCGGCCTCAAATCACTCGCATCCTCCACCCACTCCACATCCGGCCCAAACCGGATTCGACCCCCCATATCCAGTGTCAAATGCGTCCCCAATCCCCCCAACCCCGGCAACGTAGCCGGATACACCAGCACCGACGTCTTGGGCGTCGAAGCAGAGTAGGAGAAATATGTTCCTTTCGCGAAATACGGCTTCCGATGCCGACTCTCCGGTAATAGCATGTTATTGATCTCGCATGCCGCGTTACCCGCACTGTTCACCACCGTCTCGGCTGTGATTGTCGTCTCGGTCCCGTCCGCAGACACAGCACTGATACTGTAGCCTCCTTCAACAGGCTCAATCCCCGTGACCCGCGTCAAGAACGCACAATCCCCATCCCGATCTTCAAAATCTCCCTGCAGATAAGTCATCAGGGAATGACTATCCACGATCCCCGTCGTCGGACTCTCCACCACCCCTCCGAGCGCTTGTACCTCCGGTTCACGATGACGGGCTTCCTCTTGCCCGAGGATATGGGTGGGGACGCCGATGCGTTGAGCATGTTCATGCACGCGCAGACACGCGGCCCACTGGTCGGGGGTTTGCGCGACGATCCATTTCTTGGTGTTGCGGTGCGGGATGTTGTGTGTTTTGCAGAGCGAGTACAGGAGTTCTTTGCCTTTGATGCATAGGCTGGTTTTCAGGGTGTCGGGGCCGTAGTAAAGGCCTGCGTGGATGACCTGTTCAGTCGTTATTTAGTAGTTAAGTTGTGTATTCTGTTGGTAGAATCGAGTTTTTCCATGAGAACGGGAGGGGAGGTACCTCTGAATTACGACTACTCGTCTCCGTCCCCGGAGCTGCATGTCGCTCGAGTAGGATCGTCGATGTGCCCTCTTTCATAGCGAGTTGGCGGGCGACTGCCAGACCGACAACCCCGGCGCCAATAACCTTCATACATTGCGATGCGTTAGGGATTGAGTTTGTTGCGACGAGAATGGTAGGTGGTCAGGCGAGGGATTACCGCATGTGTGACGTCGGCCCTGGAGGCGCGGGTGCTGGAGAAGCCGCGGCGTGAGACGAGGCCATTGGGGATGGAGCGGAGAATTCGAGTTGCCATTGATGGGGAGGTGCTCTGTGGCTTCGTTGAGACTATGGTGAATGCATTGCACGGGGATGCTGGGAGGTCATGGTGGTGAGGAGAAGAGTGGTGTTCCCCACTGGGCTGGGCCGGCGTCGGCGTCGGCGCCGATCCCGATAAGCTTCGTTACTTATCTATCGGTTATCGAGGTACCTTGCGGGTTATTGTATTGCTTTTCAAAGGTGGGGTGGGTTCAATTTATTGATACCTGATGTTTATAGGAAGGATGCTGGATATTGTACGGTGAATCACGATCAATGATAGTATCTACAGAATGACCTGCGGTGTCATATTAGGCACTGGAATATACAATGGCATAGTGGATATACACCAACACACATGGTCTATCGAATATCTATAAATCAACCACGCTTTCCTACATTCTTAAGCATGTCTTCCAAATGCTGCACAAGGTTAGTTTGATTCCCTTACGGATGCACAACAACGTACCTGTTTCTGTTCGGTGGCTAATTTGCCATGGGTATCCTGTATCTGTCAGCACCAGCATCGTCCATGGATCGACCAACATACACTAATTATAGCCAGAACAAGCGAGTAATTGTTGTAAAGAAACCGCTCCCTTCGCTTGGCGTCCCCGCCAATCCGGCTGAGTTTCGCCAGGAGATTGTCGAACTCTGTCGTCAACCGTCCCAGACTATTCGCGACCGGCTCGTCGTCCCCGGCCTCGCTGCTGAGCACCAGAATGCCATGCAGGAGTTGCCCAAATCGCTGAGTAAGGAAATGAGGGGCCGATGACTTGTTCAGGCCATCCCCTCCGGCAAGGGATAACGCAGAGACCGCACTTCGGCCCGTGTTTGCGGCTACACGCTTCAGGGACTCACATTGCGTGTCCATGATGACCTGGAATCGGGGCCACAGCTGCATATTGATTCCGTTGATGTACGAGTCGGCGACGGGCACCTTTCGGCGCTGCAGTTCAAAAGCGGCTTGCTGGTTCAATCGCACGCAAATCAACACTCCGAGCGCATCGGTCGTCTGTTCAATCAGGTATTTTGTCATGTTCTGCCCGAGCCCAAATACTGGTTCAAATATCTCAACGGCCTTGCGAGATATCTGCTTAAAGCCCAACGTGGAGAACATCTCGGTCATAAAGGAGTATTCGGCGGAGATGTTGTCCAGGAGAGCAAGGTTGAAGTTTCGGAAAGGAACCTCGAGCCCGTGGAACGAGGTGTCCTCCTCCGCTAGGTAGGAAGATATCGCCATATGGTTACCAGTCCGCAGGATGTCGACCCTTCTGCCGAGCGAAAACGGGTCGTGCGCTGCTGAACCAGCTCGGCCGCCGGAAACGATGTTACCTGCGGCTGTCAGTCTCATCCGCATGATAAAGTTATTAACGCATCGCACCTGTCTTGTGGGTGGACGGATCTCCTCCTAGGACCTCGTTTCGATCGCTCGGGTAGACTTTGATCTTCTCGAGAGCTTGATGATACCGCGTGAAATGGGACAGGTAATACCAACGCATTGTATTGATATACGCTTGTGTGATTTCTCCCGTGAGCGTCGGGTGGGCCCTTGAGATGTAGCCGTACAAGTCCTTGAACTTGACGAGTCGCTGCTGCTGGATGATTTGGGCGTTGATGTTTGGAGATCGGAGGGCCCGAATCTGAGAGACCAGGTAGTCCCGGATCCGCTCCACTGCCTGGGTATACTGTCAGTCAGGTGAAATATATATCTGCAACAGGGATACAACCTTCTTTTTGATATCGCCCAAAAGCGGGCGCACATCTTCGATAGACTTGCTGCTATTGGAGCCCGAGACCTTGGCTTCAATGCTGGCCGTTCGGGTTTCAATCTCATTCAGAGCCTTGATCCAATTGTCATCAATAGGCCCCTCCGCAACAAGCCGAACAGTTTTGGGAGATAAACTGATTTCCTCTACAGCAGGACCAAGGAGCTGTTCGACGTTTCGTCGGTTTTCCAGCATAGCATTCAATTGTATGGAGCGAGACTGGAGACTCTCGATCTCTGCCGAGACCGCCCCGAGTTCATTCTGAAAGTCATTCAGGTACATCTCAACTGACTTGGAGACATCATCGCAGCCCGTGATCGCCGAGTGCAAGTCCTGGAATTTGTCCCTTTCCTTCTCGAATTGCTGGATGGTCTGGGCACCAACATCACTTTGTTGGGTCCTTCTTGGCTCGTCATTCTCGGCAACAAAGTCATCGAGGCTCAGGCCATGGAAATCGATGTCCTCCACCAGATCCGAGGGCTTCGCTTCCAGGAGGGCTTCAGGAGAACCGTCTCTTCCCTTGCTCTGCTTTCCAATGATTCCGTTCAATACTTCAAACGGATCAGCCACATCAGAAGGCCGAGGCCTTGCAGCGCCGGGCTTTGGTGTCGAGCCTTCACCACGGGCAGTCGCCGGGAGAGAAGTAGTCGAGTCGTTTGGAGTCGACAAGAGAGACAGCGATGAGCCGGGGCGAGTGGATCCGGGGCGGTTGGGTGGGGGATTTGGAGCTAGACGGGAAGAAGTCCGTCGAGGAAGAGGGGAGTTGCTGCGACTATCAAACTGGGGACCGGAGGGCGTCGAATGGCCGGAAATGCGGTCTAGCCACATCTTGGGAGGCCGGCACGGAGAAGCGTGCGGATACCGGATAGCTCCCCGGCCTCATGGAGGGACGAAATGGGTTGGAGGAAAGTCTCCCAGAGCACGGCTAAGGACGGGGTGCGCCCACAGCACCAGACATCCAGGATAACCAGGAAAACGGGGCAATGGCGGAGCTGGGCGTTGGGGATGGAGAGCTATCTAGTAATGAGGAGTATACGTATGGCAGGTCAAGATGCTACGGCGGCCCGCAGACACCGCAGACGTGGTTTGTCCGAGGCTAGACCGGAAGGGGGCTAGCGACCACAAAACCCCGCCACAACCAGGGCCTTTTTTTCGCAGTCCATTTGTCGATTTCTTTTCGCCTGTTTCCCCCTCTCCGTCCTTCCTTCGATTTTTCTCTTCCTTTTCTCTATCTCCTCCTCAATTCCACCTCCGCTCTCCCTCTCTTTTAGGACCTTTCCTCATTAACCTTAAAATCCATCACCATGGCTGACGAGGTATGTCCATAACTCCCATTTTCCGACTCTCTGCACCCCCCCCGTTTTCGACCCATCTTACCCCTACCGGCGGTGCTGGGCTGGGTGTCTTGGGGCCTCGCATCTCGATCGTCTCCCCCCCCCACCCCCCCCTCGTTCCTGCAGACAATGCATATTTGCTTGACTCTCAGCCGTCCTGGCCATGGATGAGTTGCTAACGGTAGCTGCTCGATAGCACCACGAGACCTTCGAGTCCGCCGACGCCGGCGCCTCGGCCACCTACCCCATGCAGTGCTCTGCTCTGCGCAAGAACGGTCACGTTGTCATCAAGAACCGCCCTTGCAAGATCGTCGACATGTCCACCTCCAAGACTGGCAAGCACGGTCACGCCAAGGTCCACATCGTCGCCATCGATATCTTCACTGGCAAGAAGCTCGAGGATCTGTCCCCCTCCACCCACAACATGGACGTCCCCAACGTCTACCGCAAGGAATACCAGCTCGTAAGTAGCTCCCTACGGGTACGGCTTAGATGCCTCGGTTTTACTAACACGGCCTAGCTCGACGTTACCGATGATGACTTCCTTTCCCTGATGGACGAGTCCGGTGGCACCAAGGACGATGTCAAGCTCCCCGACGGCGATGTCGGTGAGCGCATCATCAAGATGTTCCGCGATGAGGAGAAGGACTGCAGTGAGTAGACACCGATCCGTATGGGTCAAGACGATGGAGAAAATTGCTAACGGGTTACCTTTGCAGACGTCACCATCCTGTCCTCCATGGGCGAGCAGTGCTGCATGGAAGTCAAGGAGGCTCCCAAATAATGAATTACAGTCTCTATGGACCCTGTACTGCTCTGTCAACCCTGGTGTATTTGAAGAGCCTTGCTCAGTTTTGCCCTTGCTTAGGTGGATGATGCGACCTTTTGGGCAGATACGGCGTAACGTACTTTTATATCCGTCGGTGTAGCATTGGGTATGCGCTGAGCTGGCCATGATGGTCACGTTTACTTGGCAGCATACAGCCTGCTTTGTCAGAGAACAGTTCTTGAGTTCCGCACTCTCACGATAGTTTGACGAATAAAAAACTAGCTTCCTCCACCATCTGTTCAGATTACTTGGTAAATCAGATCATCTAGTGTAGCCTATCCGAAGACGCAAGCATCAACTTCACGGCACAATGGAGATAAACCGTTATCGCAATGCTCAAAGGCCAAGTATGTACAATGTAGTCGGCGATAAGGACCGAGCCATGCGGTCATGGCCTGGCTGGGGCTGCATAAACGGTAGAAAAATCTGACCGGTAACAACCTCTGGTCGCTGACCCGCTCCTGGAGACCCAGGCCTTCGATCCTCCGCATCTCTTGCCGACAAGCATGACGAGCGTTGCCCTGGATGGAGTACATCACCCGAGGGGTCTGCGGGCAGGAAGGGTGCCGTGAACGACGATATTATCTCGAAAATGGCCTCTGGTTCTGCAGGCGGGGTCATCAGCAAGAGGTCTGACCTTTCCCACCCCACCCCGCTCTCCCCTCTGCGCGCACGCGACAGATCAGCCCATCGCGCACGCGAATCGTCCCGCTCATTCATTCTACCATGTAGGGTCAACAAGTCGAGGAAGATCCCGATGACTTTGGCACGCAAGGCAAAGTCAGTCGCGTGAAGAAGGCCGCAGCTGAGAAGGCCCAAAAGAGTACGAGCCCATTCTACCGTCCCATCTAGATGTCGGCTAATATCGGACAGCATACCGGGGTCGCCAGGCGTATACTCTATTTTTACAAGTCTACCAATTAGTCCTCTGGAAGCAATGTCATGAACTGGTGCAGAACGGCGGCTTTCCGTCTCAGTTCGAGGTATGCATGCCGTCTCCCGCTGGGAACCACTCAGGACACGACTGACGGGTGCACGCATAGGCCGTTGTTCGCGATCTCTGGGCGCTCCGATTGGAGACCTTCGCCGAGAAGATTAATGACCCTGCAGATCTGGATGAGGAGCCTGAATTCTTCAGCTCCCAAGCAGCCACGGACCTTGACAACGTCGAGGGCTACAGGTCCAGAGCGAGGGAGCCGACATGGCCTCGCCTCATTGACAGTATTGCTCTGTGCTACCTCGGAGCTCTCTTAATGAGGCTGCCAGTGAGCGTTGGGGATCTCCACCGGTGAGTTATTTTCTCTTTCCGAACACCATGGAAGTGGCCCTGGCTAAGTCAAATTGCTAGCATGATGATGCGTGGGGATGTCCCTTTCATCAGAATCATCAAGGATATCCCCCGGGAAATGAGGGATAAGTTACCCCCGGAGTTCATTTCAATTCTCGAGACCACGGTAAGTGCCCTATTACTGGTCAGATACAGCTGGTTGAGTCTAACTATGTGATAGAGGCTACCCCAAGCCGAGCACCTTCATGGGGTTATCTCAGACCTTCTACTGCTGTACCACAGTAAATTCAGCATGCAATTTCCATCTTTGAACTGGCCTGTTATGTTGTATAGATATATCAAAAGGCTCGCGCTTCCTAGTATGCAGTGCCCCAGTCCTTTCTAAGTCACTTACTAACATACCTTAGTTGATGTTTACCCTGCCGTGAAGAGGTTGCAACATCTCCTAGGTTTCACCTTTGAGTTTCCTACAGGCATCGTCGGGAAAAGGAGAGCACTTCATTTGCCTGAGCTGCAGCTAGTTGCTTTGATCGTCATCTCCACTAAACTTCTATTCCCGTTTGACGATCTTGAAAGATATCCTAGGTCTTTGAAAGAGCCTACGGTGCAAGTAATTGATTGGAGCCTCTGGGCACAGATTCAGAAACATTTTGACAGTCGAGAAACTTCTGCAGGCCAGCTTGGCAAGGGAAGAGAGGTTTTGGTGAATGAGAAAGACGTATTCAGCATGACCCCGTCCCAATTGGACGAGTATATGGATTGGTACGAGAATAGTTGGCTTGACGCCAGTAAGAGTAAGTATCCTGCAACCTTTCCCGTTTGTCCTCATACTGAACCTTCTACCAGCATCGAATCCATTGGCAGACCTCTTTCCGACCGGTCCAATTACTGGGGAAAGCCAGCCTGCTTCTGCACCAACATTGACAGAAGAGGAAGCTCTAGAATCCATGGTGAAGGAATCTACCAGCCAGTTAAAATCAAGAAGGGTCATCTCGGAGGATGATTTTGATACTCCCAGGCCAGGATCTTCCTACGCGCGGTATCGAACAGAGTCTGATCTCCCAGATACAGCGAGGTCATTCTACGAGACAGCTGCGAAGGTGGCTGGGGTGTCGCTTCCTACACTCGTTAGGGCTGTGTCACAAGCAGAGAACAAGATCACCCAGTGGCTTGAGGAGCAGCGGCGGGTTGAGTACTTCGGAGATGCGTTAGATACAGAGTTCATTCGAGACTCTAGTACGGACATGGATTATGAAGAGAGCATATCCGAGCCGGACGATAGCGATTGAGTGTGGGTCGGCAACCATGTGTATCGTGCAATAAGATCAGATCAAAAGGATGGTGTTACATCGAAGTATATGGCTCTCGGCGTTGTAGTTACTCCGGACGATGCATTGTAATTCCTCGGGGGTGGCATAGAGTGGTCAGAAGGACTGATGTAGCGTATACAACACTAGCAAGTTGGATCAAGCATCACGGCAACCCTTCGGAATTCCGGACCGCCAACTCCATGAACGGACCGGACTACACGTAACGATGATGCCGAATGGATGATGTAGCAGTATGGAGACTGCGGAGAGGCCCCGACGCGGCCGGACCGGACTGCCCTAAACCCTGATCACGTGCATACAGTTCCACCTTTGCTAAGCGAGAAATCGTGAAATTGACATCGCCTCTTCCGACCGACCTTTCAGCGATCGTCAGCCAGCAACAACGAAAACCGCAGCCAGTACGTATACCATAACAGTTGTCGAGTCGAGATGCGTGGCCCGTGAATCGCAAGCTAACATGGCGTTTTTTCCGCGTTTCTGCAGTGCAGATGTAGGTCCCTCCATGAGTCCCTGGCACCTCGAACCACCCGGCGAATACTGTCCAGCAACGAACATCGAAAGCAAACAAGAATGGAAGACACTGACCAGCCTCGAATCACAGTTTCGTCAAGACCCTGACGGGTAAGACCATTACCCTCGACGTCGAGTCGAGCGACACCATCGACAACGTCAAGACCAAGATCCAGGACAAGGAGGGTATCCCCCCGGATCAGCAGCGTCTTATCTTCGCTGGTAAGCAGCTTGAGGATGGCCGCACCCTGAGCGACTACAACATCCAGAAGGTATGAAACGGTTCCGCGAAATCATCTCCACACACATACGTCTCTCGAATCTTGTTTGCAACGAATGATCGGATACGACGTGATGCGATACGGTCGGTTGGGCGCCACAATACACAACTTTGTTTCTCGGATCAATCGGCACGGTCGCTATCATGGACGTTTGACGATTATCGGTGTATCTTGTGTTCGGATTTGCGATTTGGGAATATCGTCTGGCTGACGGGTTCTTCTTTTGTCCCATATATAGGAGTCCACTCTCCACCTGGTCCTCCGTCTCCGTGGTGGTATCATCGAGCCCTCCCTGAAGGCCCTCGCCTCCAAGTACAACTGCGAGAAGTCCATCTGCCGCAAGTGCTACGTACGTCATCACCCTCATCTGTCTTCGACTTCGATACTTGTCGCGCCCCCCGCGAACTTACCCCCACTAACATTGTTCCGGATTAGGCCCGCCTTCCCCCCCGTGCCACCAACTGCCGCAAGAAGAAGTGTGGTCACACCAACCAGCTCCGCCCCAAGAAGAAGCTCAAATAGACGATCATCTTATTACGGTTTTTCTGCGTTGCTGGGAAAAAGAGCTGCTGGGGTTACGATACGATTGCAACGTGGGAGGTTTTCTACACGGCGTTGGAATGATGAATCATTATAGCCGAAGTCAAATGTTCATAGTTGACTCCTCGGAAGAAGTTGCAATCAAAGCACAACTGTAAAATTCAAACTCTCGTCGCATTCTTAGGAGTAAAACACATACCACATGCAGCACAGCACGGCTTGGGAGCATCACACCAGGGAAACCGATATCAGAAATAACACTCAAGAACTAAACCAGCGCGGGGCGAGAGTGACATGATGCTGCCGGAGCAATGTCATGGTCTTTTTTTTGGGGAAAACACCACAGGAACAGTACAAAACATCCTGGCCAAGGCCAACTCCACACCTCTACCATCCGAGCATCCGTCGCTTATCATCGTGGTGATCGTCATCGTGATCCTTATTCTTCTTCGAAACGGGGCTTCCGTGCCTGCACATCCATGTTAGCCGCAACCCCTCATCAAAAGTCAGGGAAACCACATACGCAAAGAACAGAATCTTAATCGCGAGCGCAAAACCCGCATGCAGCACAATAACCAAGACCAAGAGAATCTTGCTCGCCTTGGCATCCGTAGCACTCAAAACGGGGTACAAATTGCGCAAGAGGAAGAAGACCGTCCAGCCGAAGCCCACGCCCACCAGAGCCCAATTCAACGCAGTCAACGGACTCCAGCTAACCAAGGCCACGCCAATCCAAACCAGATTGGAGTATCCGTACAGCGCCCACTCCTCGACCAAGTCGGCGCTGGAGCTTCCGAACCAGCGGAGCGCGCCCCACAGAGCAATGGGGATGATGCCCGTGTATCCGTAGACCAAGCCCGCGGCGCCGGAAAGCAAAGTGAAGTCGTATTCGAAGTGTTCGTCGTCGTTGTTGGAGAGCCATTGGGAGATGGTGCCGGTGAGGAAGAGGATGACGACGACGGTGGTTGCGATCCAGAAGGGGCCGTACAGATCCGGGTTTCCTTCTAGGACGTCGAGGAAGTTGCTGCGAGGGTAGAGGGTTGCGACGCAGCGCCGGAGAACCTCGTTGGTGTCGACATCGAAGAATTGGGAGTAGTAGTGGATGGACCACCACTTGTGCTTGGTTGGGGTGCCGCCGGGGGATCGGTCACGACCGCGGGACGAACTTCCGCCGAGGAAGGGCGTCGAGTCCTGTTGGGCTTTGGCGTTGCGTTGATCGTTGTCGAAGTCTAGGTGGGTGTGAGAGGTGAGTAGGGGGTGGGTTTGACTGTGGTTGTGATGGTTGTGGAGGCCAGCTTACTGGAACGGTGAAATTCGAGGTCTTCCTGGAGGTCGGTATGGCCGAGGTCGCCCTGGGGTTTGAGGGTTAGCACCTTGTGTGGTTGAGATGTAGTAGGGAGATGTACCTCGGCGTCCACGTCGACTACCACATCGTAGCCCTGGTTTGCCATCTTGGGCTGGTCACGTTGGTTCTCAAGGGTGGTGGTTCAGGTTGAGCTCGGTACCTGGGAGAGGCGGGAATGCAAGAGTACACCTCAGCGCATGCGGAAAGCCACGCACTAGCCACCATGTGGAGTCCTGACACGGGCAGTGTTTCGCATTTTTGCCGTCCGCCGTGGAAGTGAAGCTGTTTGATTGTTTGTACTTTGTACATGTAGTCTTTCTTATTATCATTATTATTCAAGTCCACTATTTTACATACATCTTCGGTTTTTTCTCAAACCGTCTGTTTTCTTTGAGCGGAAAAACAAGGAAATTAGAGATAACCGCGAGCTTGCAATGCCCCATGGAATTTACTGACATACGCCCATATCGTGTTGTCAAATCCCCTTTTCTTTATCCAAACCGACATGGCACCAATAAAGATGGTGACCGCCACAGAGCCAATCGCCCTTCTGTGGCTCCACAGGAATGCAATCGTCTTCTCCTTCCGTTCCTCGTAGCGTAGCTGTCGTACTTGTTTCTCGAAAAGCCCGACCGTCTCCTTCGTTGTTTGGATCTTGACAAGATCTCGCGAAGACTTGAGCACACTGCAATCGGGAATGCGCTTCCAAGCCCCGAATGCCAAGGACTCGGGTGGATAGTCGTCGAAGAGTTGCATCGCGCGCGATATCAGACCATCGAGATCCAAGGGATTCGGAAGCTTGGACAGGGTAAAATGCAGCATTTCGGGCTCATCAACCGAAAATTCTAGTAACTCTTTCTTGCGGGATAGTATAATGGCTGCAAAGAGATAAATCGAGACCACCGGTTCCTGGGCCAGCAAGAAGTCGAAAAGCCGCGCAATATCGCTATACTCTTGGACATCGTGCGAGTATAATGTAAGAGTTGCGGCAAGCGCGAAGAAAGGTTGGATCTCTGCGAGATGACGCTGTAGCGCAGGGTCGGCCCTTTCGATTATCGCTGGAATCAGCTGTAGGTGTTTCAGCGCCGGTGACAGAGACGGCAGCATGTAATCTCTTATCCTGAGAAGAGAAATCTGTGCAACAGCGGCTGCAGCATCTTGGCCACCAAGTACTAGTAACAGAACCTGAACGATGTCATGATATCCCTGAAAGTAGCAGAGCATGGGGAAGCACCGCAGAACTTGCTTGATCAGCTTGGATAGCTCGCCCTTCTTGGTAGACAGCTCCTCATCAGAACCTAGTCAAAGGTTAGAGACTTTATGAAGGATTGGGGTCACAGATGGCCTACATTCAGGATAGTAGACGAATGACCGGTTCACATCAAGTTGAACCTGTTCTTCGTCTACATGAGGCGGTAGATCATCCCACCCTGTGAGATCAAGATCTTGTCGACGTCGATCACATTGGAGAAGAATAGGCCCTAAGAAAAAGTCAATAGTTGGAGAAGAGTCGCATGGGGGAGCTCTTACAAGCTAATCGCCGGACATCGTCATTCAGGAAGCCACCTTCTGAGGTGGCATAAGAGACTAAGGCATCAAAATCACGAAAGTCACATGCTTGACGAATGGCACTCTCCTTCTCGGCTACGTGACTGGCAATCTCGTCATCTTGGGACTCGTCTTCAAGGGCAATTTTCTGTTCCTTTTCAGCACCCGTATGCTCTGATTCGTTATTTTCGGCTTGATGCTCCATTATAATCGGAAATGGACAGTAAGTTCCCCTGAGCTGCTGGAATGACTGTTCTGTATTCTCGAAGGGAATGTCAAGGGAATAAGCAAATTTGACGATCTTATTACTATGTTTCCGGATGCATAAGCGATAACGATGGGTGGTCTATACTTTGATGCAACCGATGAACAGGGCTTATGCCTAGTTAGATCTCGAAAATAGCCAACATTCAGTATTGGGGTTCGATCCGGTGCCAGCCCATCCAGAGTCCTCGACAGGGTCGCAATCCAGGCAGTGAAGTATCTATGGGACAGCAAAGGCGATATTGGAAAGCCGGAGGTGACGGCGACCACGGCCAAACCCAAAGCGGACGGGTGTCCGCCTCAGGCCACCACCCGCTCGGATCCCGTGATCTGCACCGCCGCCGACCGCCCGAAGAAGCAGGCGAGGCATCGATCGATCCACTGCCCCTCCAGAAATTCTATCTACATGGTCTGCTGGGGTTCCCACAGTCCCATAGTCACTTTCTACTTGACTCGTTAGCAGCAAACTTTGTCATACCCTAAGTGGTTCTTGTTGGTTCGCAAAGACGACCGCGGACATTGCTGCAAATTGGAAGCGGGCCGATGGCATCATACTAAACCAAAACATACTCGCTTCTAATTGACCCTCCCGTGAACCGCTGGGGTTCCACTGCTGGCCATCGTGTCCAATCCAACATACGACTACTCGACTCTTTGTTGTCTGTGCCTCAAGGGCTTATATTGCATTGTATACTCTTACGCTCTCGGGTTCTTGGGTTCTGAGAGAATCGAGACATCTCAGTACATATCACCAACACCCGCAGCAGGTCTTTGAATGAAGATACCATTGGTTTGTAAGTCTCATACTCCTGAGTGCCGCTTTGTCAGAGGAGGAACTTCTAATATCCCTTGTAGGTCTTTAGGCTACGCAAGGGTATTTATGTTTCTGCGGATTGCTTACTCTTTAACCTGTGCTCATTTAGTATCATTCCATCCTGTGATCACATCGTCTGGTACTTCCTCATCAACTCTTTGAAATGAAACTGCATTCTCATACTATCCCAAGCATGAAGGTCCATGAGCCATAGCTTTGAGAAAAATCTTTCCCCCACTCATTCTTGACTTCCTCGATCAGCTAGAGGATCTCAGAAACCCTGGAGCGACAGCTTCTGGCTTCTGTCGTTGATACTGCAGACTCGCTTCCTCTCGTTTCCTTATAGTTCAATCTTTATCTTTCTGGTCTCTCGTTTGCTGTGGAACCTTTCTCTCCAATCCCCTACCCACCCTGCTTCTTGCTCCCTCGAGTTACTGGAGAAGTTACCATGGCTGCATCAAGGAGCAATTCAGGCTTAACAGCGAATAGTTTGGCGGCTACTCCAAGTGAAGAGCCGATGGATATTGAGACTGAAAATGCTCTTTCTACATCACAAGCGAAAATCGGGTTACTGTCACATACCTTGGTATCAAGCCCGATAATCCAGTGGATTCTCCCCGCGCATCTCAGAGGAAAGGACCAGAATGATGTTGTTTTCGTTGGTGAACGACATTTGCAAATCAAAGAAGCTGTATCCGGAGATCTGAAGGAGGTCACTACCAAAAATGACTTCGACTCATATATTATGGCCGCGAAAGTCGTCAACGTGAGCACGGAATTGCCTTGGGAGGAAGAAATGAAGCTCGGGTCTAGCAACCTGACGTCGCGTACGAACCCAGATATGCATCAGGACCTTCCACCACAAATATTGGTACTCAGCCTTGCTTCAAAAGAGCTAGTATTCCTATACTTCTGGAATGCAGGTGGCCAGTTTATCTATCACCATCGCCCGTTACCAAACGATGTCAGCGCCTTCGAACGATTTGGCCGCAATATTGCTGTGGAACCAAGGTAAGTCCCTTTCCGGACTGCCTGATGATCCTAGACTGAGAGATCTGCAGGTCCCGCGCAGTCGCCGTTAGTGCCTCGTGTGATTATTTTGGGGTCTTTGTCCTGGAGAAGCCGCCTATTATTCAGTCCCAGATGGCTCAAAACAAGCTCGATCCGATAGCAGAGGTATGTTTATAATGTTGCCTAGATACGTCGAGGCTACTAATCTGGGCGTATTCTCTGTAGGAGCGATTTTTCCGCCTTGAAGGTGATATCATAGCGATGGAATTCCTGTACCCCAAATCTGAAGACAGTGACAAGATTATCTTAATCCTATTGGTTGCTCAAGACCACTTAACGCATGCTGTTTGTTACGAGTGGGACGCGAACGAGTCTTTGCGCCAGGCTGCACCCCGGGTGACCAGGAAAGTTTTGCCGCTGGAGGATAGGCTACCGACGATGCTGATTCCGTTGACTAAGACGTCTTCCTTCTTGCTCGTCACTACAACTTCAATGGCCGTTTATCAAAACAAGCTTGACCCACAGAGACATCCTAGCAGATACCCGCTTCCGGTCTATGAAAGGGAATCTCAGAAATCACCTCTCTGGACCAGATGGGCAAGGCCGTTGCGCAATTGGCTGTACAACCAAAAGCATGATGACATTTACCTCTGTCGTGAGGATGGCGAAATCATCTATCTGGGTATTGGCAGAGAAGGCGAGCTTGAAAACCAAACTCATTTGGGACAACTCTGCTGTGATGTTGACGCCGCATTTGATATCTTGGATATCGGCTATGAAGGTGGTGACCTGCTTCTTGCAGCAGGCACAACTGGTGATGGCGGCTTATTCGTTCAGAAGGCTCGGGATCATCCACGATGTGTTCAGAAATTCATGAACTGGACCCCGGTCACCGACTCCGTCGTTGTGAAGAATGACAACGCCATATCTTCGGACATCGCAGGCGATCGACTTTTTGTTTGCTCTGCCTCTTCGTTCTCGCGAGGGGCTGTAGTTGAGCTTCGACATGGCGTCGAAGCACAAATCGGACTGATTGTTGCATTGGAGGAGTTGTCGGGCACAAGAGACATATGGACCATGCCAGACAGAATCAGCGGTGGCGTTTTGGTTCTAACATCGGACCCTGTTTCCTCACTCCTGCTATACCTACCTGCCGATTTTGGAGAGGAACTGTGTGCTATTGATGAGGCAGAGTCTGGACTCGACTTTGGCACACAGACTTTGGCGGCCGGGTGCACTATATCGGGGGCTATCATCCAAGTGACGGACAGGTCAGTTTGTATTGGGGCAACTCCGGAAACATCGGGCTACCGGCTTGATGTCGAGTCTGGACAGACGATTGTGGTGGCTGCGATCGATGGACCGACTTCACTCATTGCCATTGCTGTTAGAACCCAGCATGAAGTGCGTCTACACGTGAAGAGACTCAATATAAGTGATGGTCAGCATCAACTTCTTGATGTGAATCCGCCCTTACTGATCCAAAATGAGCCTATCTGTATGACCATTGAGGAACTCGACTCTTCTCTGTTTCTCTTCATAGGCACAGGTAGCGGCAGCATTGTGGTGTATAGCATAGCTGATACCGTCGCTTTCTTGTTGGAAACTAATGTTATGGTCGGGAACGAGGACGACATATCGAAAGCCATTGACAGCATTGCTGTCATCAGGAAGGCTGGTCCAGGACTGTACACCGTTCTATGCGGTCTGCGAAGCGGCATTCTAGTTCCTTTCGGGCTATCGCTGGAGAAGGGAAGCGCTGATTCCCCTATTTGTGAGTACTATTCTGCGTCTTGAAATAGATGCATTTGCTAATCCAGCTTGACATACAGCATTGAAGCAGACAACACCGGAGCAGCTAGGGCATACATCTGTAAAGGTGCAGGGCAAGGGAGAAATTGCGTTATTGACTTGCGGACAAGGGTTTTGGCGAGCATCCTGTGCTGGCGGGCTAGCCGATCACACTGTTCAGAGAATATGGATTACTGATCAAAATAATGTGAGCCTCCATCGTCATTCGAAAATAACCCAAAGACCTAACCCATTTTAGCCTGCATACCATCCAAAAAGCATTCATAGCTTTTCCACCTCTAGTTCGGGAAGCCAAGACATGGATGGTCTATCTGGCACGCTGTTCTGCGTCGCAGATGGGCAGCTTATGGTTTGCACCTTGGATCAGGAAGCAAAGACCGTTCCAAGGAGGATCGATCTGCCGGGCAGTGCTAGCAAACTTGCTTATTCGCGACATCTCAGGAGCTTAATAGTGGTTTACTCTCAGACTTCATACGACACCGACGCTGATCCTATCAAACGCTATACTCGACCCTTTATTGAGTTTGTGGACCCCGACCTACAACATTCACTAGTGGACTCCCTTGAGAATCCACTGGATGAAGAACCCCGGCCTTGGAGACCCCAGGGAGTGGCAGGAGAGAAAATCAGCTGCATACTGGAGTGGACACCCAGGAAAGGTGACGAGGAGTATCACTTCATTGTCATTGGCACATCTCGCAGGAACCAGCAGGACCGGGGCAGAGTCATATTCTTGCAGGCATACCGTGACCCGTCCAAGCCGTCACGGATTGAATGCTCTGTGAAATACATCCACTCGTTTGAGGGGCCGGTTTTCGCAATTGCGCCGTACGGTGCGTTCACATTGATGGTTTCAACAGGTCATGAAATCGTACCACTGGAACCGAAGTTCTCACAAACACGATGGGTTCGAGCAGCAAGATACTCGGTCTTGTCTCCAGCGATCCTCATAACCGCCCGGGAGCCCTACCTTTACTTGACCACATCAAGAGAGTCGCTTATGGTGCTCAAGGCCACAGAAGAAAAATTGTCTCTCCATTCTTATGATCGGCAGAAGCACGACGGGCTCGCTCATGTTTATATCGGTGGGAAGAGGAAACTTATTCTCTGCTCTAACAGAGGTGGCCGAGTCAGCCTTTTGACGGAACACGGGATAACCGAGAGCAATAAGATGTTGCCTATAGCCCTGTGTGAAGCACACCTTCCTTCATCCGTGATGAGACTCAACGCAGGATCCAACAAGTCACCCATTTCTTCCAGCTCTCAAGTGTTCTACGGCAATGCCATGAATGGCACCGTCTACCGGTTCTTGACTGTTGGCGAAAAAGAGTGGCGCCTCCTACGCCTGCTGCAAAACCTATGCATCCGGGACCCGATCATCTGCCCGTTTACACCCAGGCGGATGAAACAGCGCAACCCTATGAGACTAATGGACCCTCAACCATCTCAAATGCATATCGATGGGGACATTCTCAGTCGCTTGCTACTGCGTGGTCCTGGTCATTTGATGCACATGCTCAATAGGGAGACGTCCAGTGGGACATCTACTCCCGGGATTGGACCGGGACAGACAGTCCTTGAGCAATTCGCTGAAGTGGCCGGAGATGCGCTTGGAGAAATGACGGATCCAGTAGAGAGCGCGATGGGGTGGTTGCAAAAGATACTCCTGGTGGAATTCTAGGGCTGGGATGAGAACGTACATTTTCGGCTATGGGGGGCCATGCTTGGCAACATCCTGTCCCATACACGTATAGATCTGTATTATGTACATATCTACCATTTCGCATGCAAATAACTGCTTCTGTATCGTAGGGCCGTGATGGCGTGCTGCAAGGGCGAGGCAGTGTCCGTTGCGCCACCAACTGGCGGGGGGGGGGGCGGTGGACTCGCATCGCATAATAATCCGGCGTCGTCCCCACCCACGCCGGCCCAAAATTCTTATTACCCCAAAGGACCGTCCTTCCCGCCCACCGAGTCTCCAGCCTTGGACCTTATCGACCACAGGGGGGAATAGGTGCTCGTTTTCACTCTTTCGTTTTCCTATTCTACAAGATCCTTGTTGAAGGATCTTCGGGCTTATCTTTGCCACTCTCTGCCTCCCGACTACCGCAGATCGCGGCCCGGAGAAGCTGATACTTCCTGGTTCGTGCGCACCATCATCACGGCTGCCACCACCGCTTGGCCCAGACCAATTTTTCCACTAACTGTCCGCCGACAACAGATTCTATATAGACCAAATCATCTAACGAATTTCGATCTGTCAATATGGCGCCCAAGAAGAAGGGAAACAAGAGACAAGAGGAGGACTGGGAAGCTGAGCTGGGCGAGTCCGCTCCCGCTCCCGGTGGCGAGGCCGAAGCTCCTGCCGACGCTGCTCCTGCCGAGGAGGAGGCCAGCTCGGGTGGTTTGCTCGCCGCTCTGAGAAAGAACAAGAACAAGAAGGCGAAGAAGGGAAAGCCGGCCAATGATTTCGTCGAGGGCGAGGATGCCGGTCAGGATGCCAATGAGGGTGCCGATTTCGCTAGCAAGCAGCCTGAGGAGGGTACCTTTGATGAGGATGACGTTTTTGCTGGAAAGGCCAAGCCCAAGAAGGCCGCTGCGCCTGAGCCCAAGCAGGAGGCAGAGGAGGAGGGCGGCTTTCGTGTGAAGTCGAAGAAGGAGAAGGAGAGGGAGAAGAAGGAGCGCGAGAAGCAGCGTAAGAAGGAACAGGTACGGTTTTCATTGCTTGTTCATCGTCGTGTGCTTGACTTAAGCTTACGGGTTTCGTTATATAGGCTGCCAAGAAGAAGACCACTGCCCCCGCTGAGGAGAAGCCCACTAAATCCGAGCCTGTGAAGAAGGCAGAGGAAGCCCCCGCCCCTACCCCTGCTGCGGCGGAAACTGGTGGCAAGAAGAAGAAGATTCCCGCGCACCTGCTTGCTATCCAGAAGCAACAGGAGGCTCTCCGGAAGCAGCGTGAAGAGGAGGAGCGCCTAGCAGCCGAGGAGGCGGCTGCGGAGGAGGAGAAGCGTCTTCGTGAAGAGGAGGAAGAGAAGAAGAGGGAAGAGGCTCGCCAACGGAAGAAGGAGAAGGAGAAGGAGAAGAAGGAGCAGCTCCGCAAGGAAGGAAAGCTGCTCACCAAGGCCCAGAGGGAAGCCAAAGAGCGTAACGAGCGGCGCATGCAGCAGATGCTTGCAGCTGGTGGCGCCAAGGTTGCTGGTCTGGAAGAGGGTCAGGCCGAAAAGAAGCGCCCTGTCTACGACAACCGGAAGAAGAAGGGACCCAAGAAGCACGAGGAAGACTTGGAAGCTGCTGCTGCCCGCGCCAAGGCCCAGCGCGAGGCTGAAGAGGAGCGCAGAAGAAAGGAGGAAGCGGAGAAGAAGGCCAAGGCGGAGGCTGAGGCTGCTGCTGCTGCCGCCGCCGCTGGCGGCGAGGAGAGTGAACTTGAAGACTGGGAGAAGGCTGCTGATGCCGAGGATGTGAAGGACAGCTGGGATGCCCCTAGCGACGAGGAAGAGGAGAAGCCCGTCACCAACGGCAAGGCTGCCGAGGAGGCGGAGAAGGAAGAGGAGAGCGAGGAGGATTCTGACGAGTCTTCCTCCGAGGAGGACTCCGAGGATGAGGAGCAGTCTGCGACACAGAAGGCCATTGCTCAAAGGAAGGCCGAGGCCGCCGAGCGGAGAAAGAAGCAGCACGAGGAGGCTCTGGCAGCCCGCTCGAAGGACAACCTTCGTTCGCCTATCTGCTGTATTCTGGGTCACGTCGATACCGGTAAGACCAAGCTGTTGGACAAGATTCGTCAGACCAATGTCCAGGAGGGTGAAGCTGGTGGTATTACCCAGCAGATCGGTGCCACTTACTTCCCTGTCGAAGCGCTGCGCCAGAAGACGGCCGTGGTGAACAAGGATGGCTCTTTCGACTTCAAGATCCCCGGTCTCCTGGTCATCGATACCCCTGGTCACGAGTCTTTCTCCAACCTGCGTTCCAGAGGTTCGTCCCTTTGTAACATTGCCATCCTGGTTGTCGATATCATGCACGGTCTCGAGCCCCAGACTCTCGAGTCCATGAGGTTGCTTCGTGACCGCCGCACGCCTTTCATCGTTGCCCTGAACAAGATCGATCGTCTCTATGGCTGGAAGAAGATTGACAACAACGGCTTCCAGGAGAGTTTGGCCATGCAGAGCAAGGGCGTCCAGAACGAGTTCCGCACCCGTCTGGAGCGCACCAAGGTCCTGTTCGCCGAGCAGGGTTTCAACTCGGAGCTGTTCTACGAGAACAAGTCCATGGCCCGCAATGTGTCCCTGGTGCCCACCTCGGCCCACACTGGCGAAGGTATCCCTGACATGCTGAAGCTGTTGACGACTCTGACCCAGGAGCGTATGACCAACTCCCTGATGTACCTGTCGGAGGTTGAGTGTACCGTCCTTGAGGTGAAGGTCATTGAGGGTCTCGGTACGACCATCGACGTCGTCCTGTCGAACGGTATCCTCCGCGAGGGTGATCGAATCGTGCTCTGTGGTCTCAACGGACCTATAGCAACCAATATTCGAGCACTGCTCACGCCGGCACCTCTCAAGGAACTGCGTCTCAAGTCGCAGTATGTGCACAACAAGGAAGTCAAGGCCGCTCTTGGTGTCAAGATTGCCGCCAACGACCTTGAGCAGGCCATTGCCGGTTCCCGTCTGATGGTTGTCGGGCCTGATGACGACGAGGAGGATATTGAGGAGGAGGTCATGTCCGATCTGGAGAACCTGCTCAGCAAGGTCTCCCGTGACCAGCGTGGTGTCAGTGTGCAGGCATCCACCCTTGGATCCCTGGAGGCGCTGCTTGAGTTCCTTCGCGTCTCCAAGATTCCCGTTGCCAACATTTCCATTGGTCCTGTGTACAAGCGTGATGTCATGATGGCCGGAACCATGTTGGAGAAGGCCAAGGAATACGCCGTGATGTTGTGTTTCGATGTCAAGGTGGACAAGGAAGCCGCTGCCTACGCCGAGGAAGCCGGCGTCAAGATCTTCACTGCGGACATCATCTACCACCTGTTCGATGACTTCACCAAGCACATGGCTGAACTGACGGAACGCAGAAAGGAAGAGAGCAAGATGCTTGCCGTCTTCCCCTGTGTGCTCAAGACCGTGGCTGTGTTCAACAAGAAGGACCCGATCGTCATTGGTGTTGATGTTGCCGAGGGAAGTCTGCGGCTGCACACTCCTATCTCTGCTGTCAAGGCCAACCCGGAGACGGGCGCGAAGGAAATCATCGAACTTGGCAGAGTGTAAGTTCTTTTGCTCTTTTTATTTTTAATCATCACTAATCCTCGCCCAGTGTCTCTATCGAACGTGATCACAAGGCCATCAACGTCTGCAAGAGGGGTCAGCCTTCCGTTGCCGTCAAGATCGAGGGAAGCAACCAGCCCATGTACGGCCGCCAGCTGGAAGACAAGGACACGCTGTACTCCCACATCTCCCGTGCCAGTATCGACACCCTGAAGGAATTCTACCGCTCGGACGTCACGATGGAGGAATGGGGTCTCGTCAAGAAGCTCAAGCCTGTCTTTGACATCCCGTGATCGCCTTAACGGTTACTCTGTCGCCCGGGATGCCGACCAGTTCGAGTTCCAAACCATGGGCACTCACGTGAGTGTAGCTCGGGGGCGGATTCAGCCATGATGTGGCTGGAATCGTGGTGTCAGATGGCGATTGATGCGACATGTGCTGCCTTATGCGGTGCATGGGTAACGACATGGAGGAGGGACAGCACGCTAGGTGCACTCTCGAGACGAAAAAGCAAAAGAGCCTGCATGAGGAATGACTACGACTTTCTATCAAAAGCAAGATGCCTGTACATGACACGAGGGGTGGAAAAGTAAGCCGTGGTCGATACCTAGGTTTTGTTTGTTAATGATAATTATGGATCTAGTTGAATTGTTTTCAGCATGAAACATCTTATACTACATTGTGTATTATTCCAGTAAAACAGCTATGCAATAATTTTCAACCACCCCACCCACGTCACACCCATCCAACATATTTACACCCCACCCCCAAACCAAAACCTATCCTTCAACTTCAACTTCCCCAAACAACCCTAATTATCCTCCCCCTCCCACCTCTCCACCCGTCCCCCTTCCTCGCCCAATCCAACCAACTCCCATCATAAACCCCAATCCTATCGGCCTCATACCCCGCCTGCACAGCCAACTGCGCCGCCGCCCTCGCCCTCACCCCAGCCTTACAATAAAACACGATCTCCCCATCCCCCTTCACACCGGGCTTGGGGAACCCAAACCGCGTCTCGAATTCCTCTTCCGTCAGGAAGAGTGCGTCGGGCTGGGACGCCAGCGGGACGCTTACCGCCGAGGGAATGATCCCCGTAGAGTTTAATTCGGCGGGTTCGCGGACGTCAATCAAGATAAGGGATTTTTGGGCCGTGGAGGGCGGGGATGGGGTCGTGGTGGGGAGGGAGGCGGTTATCTGGGGTGGAATTGATGTGTTAGTTTGGGTGGGATGGATGGGGAAAGGGGAGGGGGCGTACGTCTTCAAAGCCCCATTGGCGGAAGGTGGGTTCGCTGTCTGCTGCTCCGGTGGTGGATTTTTGGCGGATGGAGAGGGGGTAGAAGGGGCGGGGGTGGAGGAGGGGGTGGTGGTGAGGGGGAGGGTTCTGGTGATGGGGGTGGTGGTGGAGGGTCGTCGGGTTTTGAAGGGTCGGGTTAGGGTGAGAGTGGTGGTTATGGGGCGGAGAGTGGTGGTAGAGGTGGAGGTGGAGGAGAGGAGGGTGGAGGGTGCTCGGCGGAGAGGGAGGAGGGAGGCCATTGTGTTAGTGGTTGAGTATTTGGGGGTTTGTTGGATGTTGGTGGTGTTTTGACTCCGGAGATGAGGTGGATGGTCTGGGGATGTTAGCTTGGTTGGAGGGGTTGAGAATTATTTGCTTTGAGTGGGATATTGTTGGTCCGGTAGGAGGGAGGATTACTACTTACCCCCGGTGTAGATGGGGTTGATAGTATGGCTGGGAGGATGAAGGCGGATGCAATGGATTGGCGATGAGTACAAAGAAGAAGAGAGGGCCGGTTTCGGGTGATGTCAGTTGCGGAGCTGACCGCCTTCCTTTTCTACAGTATACATCTGGATATACTGTCACGTTCATACCAGTAGGCCAAAACGGTATACCGCTGGTATCTGGAGAACAGACGGAACGAGGACTGTCCCGACATATACATTATGTCTCTTCAATCTACTTCCAAATATCTATCGATATGCAGTGACATTCATATACATATGAACCCCGAAAAAGCCCTGCTCGGCTTGATTATATGACCATGCGCGCATTCTTTCGCCATCTTCGGTATCACCTATAAACTGTTCAAGGTCTCTCTCCCTTGCCTCTTGTTTAGCAAGCGCCTAATTCACAGCTTCTTCGTCGCGCTGGCCCCATCGCTGACTGTATCCCAATATAAGTTTGCTCATCCAAAACGCAATGCAGCTGCTCGCTTCTAGCTATAGCAATTCCCTTGGTTCCTTTCTTGTTTCCCTTTGATCCTCATAAGACCCGAGACAATCGGAATAGTTCGGATCAACTGTAAAGAAACACTAGTCCAAGTCATGGTTAGGAAAGGCCCTGGTATACATATCTGAGGATGATGTATATCAACTAGGCCAGCCCCCAACCATGGGTGACGCCGCTTGCTGCTATTGCAACGAACAGGCACATAGATTTCGTTAGGATCAAGAGCCATAAAATATGCCATGACCATTAGGAAAATAGCGCAATATGTTGTATCAGATGAGACTTGTCTCTTATCCAAATCTCCCACCCTGTATCCGGATTATAGAAGTAAATCGATTTTCGCAATCAATCATCGAGCTTTCAGTTGGCTTCGTACACCAGTATCCCATATAAATAGCATCGTCCAATGTATTCCAAGCTTGTCGACCCAGCATCCCAATATTATCCAGTAGCACATTCAAGATTGGCTATGGTATCGTTTCTGGCATCGCCGGAGCATATTTGCCGTCAGCCATTGCTAGTCCGGACAGACACTAAGTCATTTATCCCCATCTAGCAAAGATATCCCCATGATATAGATATCTTTCACAAGGATATGCTTAACGAATATCACACACAAATAGCCAACTTGTTTGAAGACAATCTGATATAAATGTAGATATCAGAGCTGCCTGAATGTCCGTAACACATCCACTCATAGATATCAATCTTAGATGCATAGTTGTCGTATACACCCCTCCCATTTACCACTCAATATCCAAAATCGATAAACGATATCAAGCGTACCCAAAGCAACGCCAACCCAGCACCTGCCTTTGCATTGGCTCCGACAGGCACAATAGCATGCCGGCGTCTCTTCGCATAAGCTCTAAGTACTAGACTAGACTCGATAGTGTTGCAGCCACAGTATCTGTTCGATAGTACTTCGTCTTCGGTGACCATTTCATATTGATGAGCAACAGAGGGTCTGTATTAAGTATAGATAGAGGAAAGCTGCGTCATGCAGACAGATATATATTATCAACCGGTGTATCCGCATTTCCTTGGATAGGAGTGATCAAACCCCCCTGCATCACTGGCCTATGTGGACATTGCTCGCTTTTCAATATATGGGAGTTTTGATAGATATAGCTCTGGGTAATTCGACTCTTGCATACTTTGTTTGATATTGAGTATGTAGCAGTGCCTGGCAGGTGGTCGGAGAGGGTGTTCATGGGATACAAAGTCCAAAATGGGGGGAAAAGCTGGCTTTTATATGTCGATGTGGTTTGGTGAAGACAAAATTGGAGAGTTTTGGACGTGAATAGTTGCTGACATACTGGAGAGGTTGGGATTAATGCTTATTCAACTTGTAGCTGTGAAGATATCAATAGTGATAGCATACGATCTGGTGAATCGCTGGCAAACTCTAAGCAGCTCAAATGTCACATTATTATAATTAATTCTAGGTACCGCGGTCTAAAAATGACATGTCCCTTCAGTGCGTCGCTCATCGCGGGATCCGACGCCGGCACGTGGGTCGTTTCAATATCATATACTCCAGACACCCTGTCATCGGTGTCGGTGCCTCCGGACGGATTAAGGCCAGTAGCCGCACCTCAAAAGGTCGACGGTCCGCATCTTCCACCCAAAACGTCCAAATCAAAGGGACAGGGGGAAGAAAAACAATACTACAAGTACGTACATTTTGGAGAAGGGAAGGGAGAAAGAAGAAATGCCTGCAACCATTCTATCGCCAGGATAGAAGTGGGCACCCATAGCCACGAAGCAGGCGCTTGCCTTGGTTCAGCAAGCCAGAGATCCGGCATAACATGACGTTACAGCGCCTGTTGTCTTCAGCGAGACAGCAGAAATGCTCAAGGGCGGGGACGGAATGAAAGCAGGCAATCATCCTGGATTTCGTCAGCTTCAGACCGAGGGCTAAATGGCACAAGGAACAAATAACATACCTGAGGGAAGATCGTAGCAAAGACCTTGATGTCTTCCGACTGGGGAGTAGGGGTGTGCTCCCAGTCCATTTCCATACTGGCCTTTCCGATCATAGCCATCAGGTTCAGCTGGGCGTAGGTCTGGCCCAGGCAATAGTGAGGTCCAGTACCGAAAACGAGCCAGTTCTTGGTCTGCTGCTCGGCGGTACCAGTGATCCAGCGGTCAGGATCGAAGGAGTCGGCGTTGGGATAGGCCTCCTCGTCGTGGCAGGCGGGCCACACCGATGGGATAATCATGGAACCCTTGGTCACGGTGACTTTCTCGGTGATAGGGAAATCCTTCTTGACCAGGTAGGGAACCATGATGACGGGAGGGCGGTAGCGCAGAGTCTCCTTGACCACAGCACGAGTGTAGGTCATATTGTCAAGCAACTCCATAGTCAGAGGGGCATTGATATCACCGTTGCGAACGCGCAGGTTCTCCTCGCGGACCTTGTCGAGAACATCGGGGCGATCAGCCATGAGTTGGAACAGCCAGGTAGAAGCAGCACTGGTGGCATCCTGGGAGGCAAACAAGAAAGTGAAGACGGTCTGGGCAATTTCGTAATCGGTGAAATCACGCAGGAGCTGGGGAGGCTTCTCATTGGTGTCAACGGGAACGCCCTGGGCAAGCTTCTCACGATACTTGGCAGAATCCTGCTGAGCCTTGACCCACGCATCCATGATACACGAGATGTCTCCGCCGGCGGCCATACGGGCCTTGCTCTTAGCGGCACACTTGGAGAACTCTTCCAAAACCATGTCGGCGGCCTTCTTGCCGTACCAGGCCTTGGTGTAAGGCAAGATGAAGGGGAAGTTGACCAGCTCCAGGGCGGCAGTGATCATGTAGTAGTCATCGGCGATCTTTTGAATGGCTTCTTCGGTAATGTAATGGCCGACAAAGGTACGGCAGGACACGGCGCACATGAGCTCACGGAATTCGGGCATCCAGGGAGTGGGCGTGCAGTTGTTCTCCTTCGAGATTCGGAGGAAGCGGGCATAGTATTGGTTGTAGACTTCCTCCATGCGAGGAAGGTAGAACGAGAGGGCCTGGCGCGTAAAGAGACCGTTGAGACCCTTACGGAATTCAACGTGGTCTTTACCATCCAGGAAGACCCAGTTGTCCGCACCAAGCAGCTTGTGCGCAACATCGACAACGCATGGCTTGACGTAGGTGGGCGAGTTGAAGATCTTGCGCGACATATCGCGAGTGGATGCAATGACAACGAACCTATGGACAGATACATTAAAAATTAGACCTCTCTCAGTCATGCGCTTATCCACATGACCCGAGACATCCCGCAGGGATAGGACTTACTTGTGGAAGACAGAAACACAGCTCAGGTCTCCGCTGTCCCATTTCGCCTTGTACTCGTGGAACTTGGGGTTGACCGACTGGAGGAATGGTCCCATGAAAGGCAATTTCCATGCCGGGCCGACAATGGAGCCCTTCTGCCAGAGATACCGGACTGTTTTATGGGTTAGATTGATGCTTGACTTTGTCCCCTCTTCAGGCCATTTCTAGGGTGGAAGAACCTACATTGATCGTAGATAACGGCGCCGATAAACAAAGTCAACAAGGCCTTCCAAACAGTGAAGCCCTCGAGGACGGAGGCGAGGAGACCGGTGGGCTCAAAGAGCCTGGGAGAGACGACGGCATCAGCCGAGGGGGAGGCAAAGCTCCCATTGATGGAGGCCATGTCGGGCGGTCAATTGAGCCGAAAAATTGTCTCCGACTGGGGTAGGGAAGGAGAGGGACGAGGACGAGGACGAGAGGGCGGCGGCGGCGGAGGGAAAAGAAGAGGAAACGGAATCCAGGGGAGACGCAACTCTAATTTCGGGGCAGAATTATTGGCGAGGGAAAAAAGTGGCCGCTCTGGATTGGGGCGGAGGTCCGGCAGCAGCTGGGCGGTACGCAGGTGGCCCCAGGCACGCAAGATCGGCAGTATGTCAATCAATAAGTACGAGATAGAGACGAGGATGAGGGAGTAAGGAAGGACAGTCCACAGTCCATCCGCTGCTCAAGTGTTGTTACTTGTTAAGCACCAGGGTACCAAGTAGATCAAGTATCTAATTAGCGGCAGGATGATTTAAATTTTAATAGACAATGACACTGTGCAGCCTGTGGCTTACGTGTGAACCTAAGCCAACCCCTGCTGTTCCTTCGCATAAATCTGCACGGGAGATGTGGGGGAAATTGAGACTACCCCTGGATGTTGCGTATCCGTGTCCGTATTGCCCGCCTGCATGGATATTTCCGGGTTCCGACTCCTTCGAGATTCGTTGAAACTTTGGCAAGATCGTTCTGCTCAAGCGCAATGAGGTCCAGCCCCCACAGCCAATCAGGGGTCCCGCAGCTCGGTTGTCAGGCGACGCTTGCTGCTTCGAGAAGCGTACTAGACTAAGTCAGGTTAGCTTGTATTACTAGCCCAGGAACCTATCGAACAAAAATGACATTTCCATCCAATAGCATGTCCTGGTAGTTCTGTATGCCCGACGGGACGGAGGTTCGCATCATGGTTACCTGACCTGGTAATGTGTCACCCGGCCAAATTGCACATCCCTTCTTATGAACCCCTTTACAGTTTACACATCAGAGGCCATCGCTTTATAAAACAATGGATCTAATGTGGGCATATCTCTACGATGTTCTAGTACAAATGAGGCACAAATCCGTCTGGACCTCAGGCTCTGAATACTAGTATGCCTTCCCAGATATATATCCAACATCATCCAATGACCCTTGCAGTTGGGTTGGCATTCGACATTGAAACCTGCAGTATGGTCATTTACCCCCAGTAAATAGCCGACAAACCACCTCTAAGAGGATCAACAAAACTCGTTCATGGTTTGTTGTATAGTCATTCCGCGGAGGCTGAACTCCAAATTCTCCCATAGCATGGCTGGCCCACAGATCGCATATTACTAATGCCACAGAGACGGCTTGCTCAGGGCCTAAGTCTAATGATTAATGAAAGCATGGACATAACCGGCCACAATGCAGCCTAGCCAAGCCAAGTAAATTGCCATCATACCATTTGTTGAACCTGAAAAGGTGATCCGGCTGTCAAGGTTCCGAGTGGATGCTGTTCGGCTTATCCGTATGGCCCGTGCATTATTTTCCACGGGGTCGGGCTTTTCCCGTTACAGCTTACCGAACAGTGAATCTTCGGAGATGCCTATCTAGAGTACGTTCCAGATATTACTGGGTAGATGAAGCATAGGTGTAAGCCATTGCATATCTGGCCATGTGGTATTCTTTAAAATCTGCCGAGGTGGAAACTACTATCTAGTGGTAAACCCTCAGTACCTCGTTGTCGCATGCAGCAAACGCAATATATCTCGGAACTTGATTGTGCTTCACTGCGCAAGTGAATGTTTTCAGGTGTTCTTACCATTATCTATTTTGCTTCATGACCCCATCCTAGGATATTCGAGTAAAGGATAATCGGAAACACAGGATAGTAGTAACCTTATCCCAAAGTCAAAGATATGCTCCGGACTAGCTATTCGACTGGCTGCAGTATCGTCATCGTCAGATTTACTATGTACTCTAGTTATAGCCCGGCAGGTACCGAGATGCAACATCATATTAAAAGTTTCATGGCAATAATAGCCAGTAAGGAATCGAATGACCCCTCCGGCAGCCCTAATCATTAACAAGTTACCGACCAAAGCCAAACCAGCCGCGTCGTCCACCCTTTTTCTCCTCTGTTTCTGTCTCTGTTTGAACCGGCCCTTGCTCCTGAGCGGGCTTGTCTTGACGCGGGTAGTCGATGTAGTTCCAAGCCACGTCAAGGAACAAAGGCTTCACGGGGACGGGCTGCATCTGAGGAGGGTACGGTACGATATTGGTCAAGTTTAGAGCGTCACCGGCATATTCGTGTAGACGCTCAACCGCCGGGCGCTGGGTAGTAGACTTGGACTGCGCTTCGCTGGATATCTTTTCCAGAGTAACCAGACCACGGTATTGCGCAACCAAGCCCTTTAGGGTCGATTCGAGGTTCTGGACCTGGCTACGCGAGATATCAAGTCTCGGTGGCCCTTCCGTTTCGGCCGAGGACTGTGAGGACCGTGCGGCTTCTGTGACAAGGGCCAAAGCCTGCGCAAACAAGGCGAGGGCGTTGGTAGACTTGCCAAGGATTCCATGCGACCGTCCAATAGTCAGGCATCTGAACAATCATTGTTAGCACATGATGTTGGGAATGGAGGGCAATAGGCTTGTACCTTAAAGCACGGAAATACCGCCGTTTGGCATCTAGCTCGCGAACAAAGGCCGTATCTGCGGCAACTCCAGGAAGCTCAAGGATAAACTCGATACTCTGGAGAGTGGAATCATACAGGACGACTCGTTCACGCAGCCGTGCCAGCTTCTTACCAGTGGCCTCATCCTGTTTAGCAGAAGACTTGGCACCCTTGGGCAGCTTGGCCGGGACCGGTTCGAAAGAAGTGCCGTCATTTTCTCCGCAAAGAACACGGTTTCGTCCGATTCTCCACCCGACCAGATCATAGTTCACAGCAGTCCGCGTTATTTGCAGCGCCTGCATTCTCTTATCACCCTGGTCAACTCCCTCTCCAACGAGATCATCAATCGCTGTCTTTGTAGCATCGACGGCATCTTGACTAGCAATAATCACATTGTCATAGGCAGCGGCTTTATCTTTTGAGGATGCGGATTTCCCCGCGCTCTCCGCAAGCCACGTGCCGAGGCGAGATTCAGCTGCAGCTGCGGCCGCGAGAGCTTGCGAGATCGCGGCATCCTCCAAGCCGACTGTATGCGACCTCCATGTGATACTTTCAGGGAGTTGCTGCACTTCCCCGTCAGCAGTCCTCCGCGTGCCCGCTGCCTCCTCCTTCAAACAGTTGGGATCAAGTTTCTCAACCTCGGACCTGATGGTCGCATCCGCTGGGAAATAGCTAAGTGCCAGAGACGGGATGGGCTTCGACCGCGGGAGCTTGAGCTGATAGGCTGCATATCTTATGCTGGGGTCGACAGTGCCGGAGAGGAGGTCTCGGAATGCGTCTTTCTTAACCTGCTGACCCAAAGTCGCATAGATAACCCTGGAGATAGAGTAGTTCTGAAGACATTGCCCCCAGTTTCGCTTCTCCAAGTAAAGGGCGCCCAAGAGCGATGCCAGGTATGCGCGAGCTTCGAGAACATCGGTGTCCGCAGCCCCGGAGGTCGCCTGGTCCTCGAGAATGAGCACCAATTGCCTCGCATAGGTGGCTGCCTTCTGAAGTTTAGAGATGATATGGCTCCTGGTCGCACCGCTGATTCCCTTTGCCGATGGATCTGCCGAGTGGGTGGACTTCATAAGCATGGCATGCGCCCATGCTCGTTCGGCACTGATGAGAAGGACATGAGCATACCTAAGAAAGTCGCCGAGTTAGTGTCAGGGGTGTAGATGATTGAGTCGCAAGTTTCTTCATGTGGTATTAGAGTACATACTCCACGTTGCTATTCACATCGTCGGCAGTCACCGGTCGTTTGGCAGTGTACTTGCGGCCTTTGGGGGTCGTCTGGCCGAGTCGCTGGCGGACTTTGTGCAACTTGCGGGTGGTGTGGGTTCGGTAGGCATTGTAGTTGCCGGTCAAGAGACTGTCCTCGCGCTGGGAGAAGATGAAATCGGTGATCTCCATGGTGCCCGCGATAATCATGATCTGCTGGGCGAGTGGTGGTGGTGTTCCCACCCGACTGAGTGCGGGCTGAGGTGGCCAGGTCTCGGCCAAACAAATCCCCGGCTGATTTCGCGGGATTCTCTTTTCCAGCATCGGCCAAGCTCGCTGCTCGACCTTCTCAAAAATTGTTCCGCGTCACCATCCCGGCCATCGAACCACCCACTTGGCTTTTCTTCTTGGAGCTTCTGGTTCTCCAACCTCTCGAGCAGATCTCTGCGCTCAATCTTCCTAGGCGGAGCAGCCAGTTAGCGGCAGGCTGTGAGCTTCGTGCACAAGGTTGCTTTGCTTGGTACGGCCTGCCTCCCTTTGGCACCCTGCACATTCCTGCATGACCACCTGTCTGACTTCAACTCGCCTCGATTACAGCTTCGGTCCCGATATGTTATGCATCACAGTCAGTTTTCGGTGAATTTAGGGTTTGGCACCGCAATCTCTCGAGGTGATGCTGGAACGGGCTGCCGGATGTCTTGAGAACGCAGGACGGCGTTTCTTCCGGGATCCCAATGGCGCTATTCGAGGTCGGAGCTCGATATATTCAACTATCGGGCAATACGCTACCACGGGGGCGGAGCTTTTGGTTTTACTACAGCCACCGCAAAGATCCGCGTCGAATAATTTGAACGCCTCATCGACAACTGGAAGAGCAGCGACAGATCCACGGCCCCCCGTCCTCGAGTTTCTCTATCCACCACGCACACAGGAGTTTATAGCGTCATGTCTGCTACACTCCCCTAAAAGGCTCGTTTCCCGACGCAGGAAGAAGGCCGTTCCTGGTCTTCCTCGAAACTACTCATCAGAAGCCACCAGCTTAGATCGAGGTACCGAGACCGAGAGCCAATTCTTTGACGATTCTAATGAGGTTATTACCGACGAGGACCGTGTTTTGGCCAGAGATGAGCTTCAAGCTTTGCTGGATGAGGATGAGTTTCAGGATTACGACAAAACATGGGGTCTTTATTCGAAAGCTGGCCACCCTCTCGACCTGAATTCGGCATTGCTTGCAGGTTTCAGTGGATCGGACCGGGAGGTTGATTGTAGAAGAGCTAAGAGGCTGCTCAGTTCGATACCCCTCGAGGCGCGGTCCCCCGAGGACTTTATGCACCTGGCCAAGTCTTATCTCACCACGGGAAATTTCCTGGATGCGAATGAACTATGCCGGGAAGCGATTTCCTATGGCCGCGGCCTCTCGTGCTGGGCATTTTCTTTTGCACACGTTATCAATAATAAGCAGTGGGACTGGGTGCTAGATATTTGGGATTCGAGGCCTTCGTGCGAGGAGAACGATCTGTGGCGCTCTGTTGCCTCTTGGCTAATCGCTTCTTCTATACAAAAGCCCTTGGTTGCATTGGCAGATTACATAGAAGTTCAGAGTGACGATAGCCCAGTACGCAATGTTGCTCGCTTCTTACTGGATAATGTCTTCTCCAGTCCAGAATTTGCGGAAGCCACCCCAACGGAGACCCTTCTAATACTCCTGCAAAAATTCAATAATTTGGATTTAGTCAGCGCCCGGAACTATCTCAATCTCATCAAGATCCTCCAGGCATCCGAGCACCGATTTACGTTTGTTCGATCCATTGTGATCTACCGGAATTTTCGTTGGCAGATGGAAGAAGAAATCCCACCCGCAAAACTTCTTGGTCAGCTCTTGAGACGCCTTGCTTCTTTTGAGATCACAACTGGTATCTCATATTTCCTTGATGAACTTACCCGGTTCCATGACAAGCCGTCGGTGGACGCTTATAAGCAGGCACTTATCGCCTTTTCGAGAGCCGGTGATGTGACCAATGTTCACCATGTATTCGAGAGGCTTGTTTCAGATCACGGAAACCCACGAAGCCGTAGACTCTTGACTCCGCTTCTTTACGTTTACGCCAGAATTGGCGATGTCCAAGAGACCGCGCGCCAGTTCCGAAGGATTTCCGAGGAGTTCGGCCTTCAGCCAGATACAGTGTGTTGGAATATCCTGCTCACAGCTTATTCCAAGGCGGGAAACCTCACAGGGACCTTTACCACGTTCAAGCGAATGCTAGACGAGGGTATCGAAACTAATCCCCATACTTTTGGTATAATGATGGGTCTTTGTGCCAACCGGGGTGATGTCAGCCATGTCCGGGATCTGCTGGATTTGGCCCAACAACACAAGGTGCAGATAACGGCTCCCTTGATTGATACAGTCGTGGAGGCTTACTGCAATAATCAAGAATGGGACATGGCCGAGAACGTTGCGGAGACTTGCCTTGGCTTAGATGTCAGAGGTTCCCGGGTGAGAATGTGGAACATCCTACTTTGGAACTACGCTTTCAGGATGGATTTGGAAGGCATTTCGAGAGTTCGCTCGCGCATGGATGCAGCAGGGTTGCAGCCCGATGATATGACATATGCCGCTCTCATGCTCAGCCTGGTGCTCATTGGTCAGACGGATTCTGCCCGTCGTATTCTTCGGACGCTCCATCGAGGCCGTCGAGTATATGCTACTGAGTTTCACTACGCAGTCATCCTGTATGGTTACCTGAAGGATCGGAACCGGGACATGGTACATATTGTCTTTCGCGAGATCAAAGACCGGTTCAACCAGCCGGGACTTGGCTCGAGGCTGCTTGTCCTCAGGAGTCAGATCCAGCGAGATTTGCAGCTTGTGGCACACGGTGGTAGGGCTGGTGATAATGCAAGTCTTCGCCTTGAGAACTCGGAGAAGTTCCTTGCCGAGGTCCTGGCAGATTACCACACTACCAAATTGGCGACAAAGTATCCCTTGCTGGGCTCTGGCAGGATGTCTGCCAGGAAGGCTTTCCCAGCTGTTTACTACGAATACATTATCTCTGCTTATGGCATGAAGGGGGCTTACAAATCGGCTCGGAAGCTGTTCGATGAATATATCGCCAGCCAACCGCCCAGAGACCCGGAAAATGACCATGACATAGCACCACTTCGTCTGCTGTCTGCGCTAATGCTCGCACACTTGAAGGCCGATCAATATCACAAGGTCGAAGAATGCTGGAACCTGGTCTTCCCTCGGGCTTTGAAGATCGCCAGCCCTAGTTCCCCTGATATTGATGAGTGGCTCTCCAGTCAGCTTAATCAAGTCAAGCCACCCCTTCCTTCTCATGCAGAGCTCGTCGTGAACGTCGACACTGAGGTCGAGTTCCCCGAGAAGAAGAAGCTCTCAATCTTACCGGCGTACCGCTTCATGCTATCTCGCCCCCTCTCATTGTATATGCGTTCCTTGGCGTATGGGAACGAGGTTTGGAAGATCTCCAAGGTTATCGCAAAGTACGTGGGAGCAGGTTTCGCAATGACCACCTTCAATTGGTCTACCTTCGTGCAGATGCTTGCATCTTCGGACAGATTGTCCGATCAAATCGAAGCCTTCTCTGTCTTTGAGGAAAGGTTTATGCCAAACTTTCCTGGATGGAATAATCTTCGTCGAGGATACGGTCTCAGACCACCCGAGGTGCCTGCCACCATCGATGCAATGGAGGATCCGAGACGGGCCAAGCCTCCAAATGTGTTAGGAAAAGAGAGCCGACGATACTGGAGTAAAATCCAGCCAGATTTCATGCAGCCCACTTATGTGTCCATGGTATATCTGGCTGCTGCCTTGCAGCGCCTCCGTGAAAGAAGTATTTACGATGGGGGAGCGGAACTGCAAGCTATTTACGATGCTGCGCCAACGACTGTCGCAGCAGTTGCCGACATGCCTTACCTTCGTGAAAAGTTCCAAGGTGTGCTGCTCCGACGTCGACAGGAGCAAGGTGATCAGCTCGCTGGGCGTGATCACTTCGTATGGACAGGCGGTATTCTTGGAGTAGGCGGCTTGGCCAGATCCGACTCGGAAGTTGAGCCGGCCCCCGAATCAACAGAGGAAGACAGCAGTGCGACTGAAGACGAGAGCACCGCTTCCAAGCAGACCGATAGGCTTTCCCCCATCGCGGAAAGTTCTGATGTGACCGATGTCCAATATGCCGAGGCTGAACCATCTCCCTTCAAAAAGACCATCGACTACCCAGACGAATATGACATTGAGGCCGAGACGCTCCTAGAGGAGCGGGACAAGGAAATGGGAACGAAGGAGGAACTGATGGATGATGAGAGTCTCGTGGAATATGATGATGAAGATGAAGCCGACGACCTGGAGGACACGGAATTCGAAGAAGGAGAAGGCGAGGAAGAAGAGGATATTCTTGATGCCGACGACCAGGACGATGTGTATGACCCTGAAGGCGAGGGGGAGACCAGATAAATGTGTATTTTTAGGATGTATTCCATGTAGGGGTCGGATGTTCTGGGTTGGCGTGTATATATATGTGTGTATAAAGACTTGAATGTACAGTATCATCAAAGCCTATTGAGAGCTAGTGTGGCTTGCTTCCTATCCAATCCTGCTGTGATCAGAACTAGTATACGAACTATCAGTGTCCGTCTGGTTTGTGTAGATGCTGACTCAGCAAGTGACAGCGACACGGTCTCACGCGTCCTGCCGAGCGACGCGCTCTAATATTACCAGATCGGGCGGTCGCGTATGGCAACCAAGCTGAAAGATCCTCCGGCAACCCACCCTTCCCCATCAAGGAGAATCAAAAATCACCACTGGAGTTCCGAGCGCTTGCTTTTCACCACCGGACCCCACAATCCCAATCATTCGTTTTTAACTCCTCGTTGCCAATCCTCACCAGATACCCCTTTTGTTAGTAGTCCGTGAGATAGTTTGGCGCCATGGAGGGACAATTTGACGACGCCGCACAAGATCGAGTGCGTGCCGCCGTCGAGTTCCTCGACCCAAGTAAGCAACTGCCAACTTGTCCCAAGCATGGAGTTAATCTAACTTGTTTTCTCTTTAGGTGATGCTAGAGCGCGCAGGTCCGTCATTGATCCACCGCCCTTACGTTGAAGGACTACACCATGACAGACGCTAACCGGCAATTAGTTATCGAGCTGATATCCTGTTGATGTTGAACCGGGGATTGCGCCGATTGATAGTATGCATATATCTTCATACATCGGACATCGCATATCAGTCAATGAAGCTAACTCTCATGCGTACCGCAGGTTAGCATCGATGAAATCCGAGCGCATAACCGTGAAATGGCCGATGGGTAGGAAATGGCAGCTCCTGCATGCAGACAGCAAGGCTAATCGCATACAGCCTTCTCACATCGCCTTACGAACACGCCGAAGCCTTCGAAAAAGCCCTCAAAGAGATTATCAAGACCTTGCCGCAACGGCCGTCCAGGGAAACGGCAGATGACGTGGTATGGGATTCGACGTTCTCGAAATGCTTGTATGGATCTTAACAGAGCTTAGAACTACCATTGCGGTTTTGTCGGCGCATTTGGAGAATTTTCTTGCAACCCTAGGACGTTGGGATCTTCCCATTTGAACCGGATGATCTCCCTCGAAGGTATTGTCACAAAGTGCTCCTTGGTCCGTCCCAAGGTCATACAGAGTGTGCATTGGAGCGAACGCGGCCAGAAGTTCCTCACGAGGAAATACGTCGATGCGACCATGACCGCCAGTGGGGCCACGAGCATGAGCATCTATCCCCAGGAAGACGACGAGAAGAATCCGGTATGTCTTGGAAGTTCAATATTAATGACTGGGACTAATAGTGTTGCCAAATTAGCTCGTCACAGAGTACGGTTTCTCCACGTATATGGATCACCAGACGATCTCGATTCAAGAAATGCCCGAGAGAGCCCCGGCTGGCCAACTGCCTCGAAGCGTGGATGTGATCGTTGACGATGATTTGGTTGATCGCGCCAAACCAGGAGACAGAATTCAGTTGGTGGGAATCTACCGCTCTCTGGGTAACCGGAACGCATCCTCCACCTCTGCGACGTTCCGCACACTTGTCCTAGCAAACAACATCATTCAGCTGTCCTCGAAGTCCGGCGGAGGAATCGCGCAGGCAACCATCACCGACACCGACATCCGCAACATCAACAAGGTTTCCAAGAAGAAGGGCGTCTTCGAATTGTTGTCACACTCTCTTGCCCCTAGTATATATGGACACGACTACATCAAGAAGGCGATCTTGCTTATGCTGTTGGGTGGTATGGAGAAGAACCTGGACAACGGCACACATCTGCGTGGTGATATCAACATTCTCATGGTCGGTGATCCGTCCACTGCCAAGTCTCAGCTGCTTCGTTTCGTCTTGAACACCGCCCCGCTTGCAATTGCGACTACCGGTCGAGGATCTTCCGGTGTCGGTCTTACAGCTGCCGTCACATCCGACAAGGAGACTGGCGAGCGGAGACTTGAGGCCGGTGCAATGGTTCTTGGTGATCGTGGTGTGGTCTGTATTGATGAGTTCGATAAGATGAGTGATGTCGATCGGGTGGCTATCCATGAAGTAATGGAACAGCAAACAGTCACAATCGCGAAGGCCGGTATCCACACGAGTTTGAACGCCCGGTGCAGTGTCCTGGCAGCTGCCAACCCGATCTATGGACAATATGACCCCCACAAGGACCCCCACAAGAACATCGCACTGCCAGACTCTCTGCTGTCGCGTTTTGATTTGCTCTTCGTTGTGACGGATGATATCGAGGATTCCAGGGACAGAATGGTCTCGGAGCATGTTTTGCGTATGCACCGCTACCGCCAGCCCGGCACCGAGGAAGGCGCTCCTGTTCGCGAGCAGCTTCATCAAACACTCGGTGTCGGCCTCGAGGACACTCAAGACTCAAACCAACCGACTGACGTTTACGAGAAGTTCAATGTCATGCTGCACGCCGGCATGGCCAACATGAGCCGGAGCAAGGGAAAGAATATCGAGATTCTGAGTATCCCCTTCATCAAGAAGTACATCCAATACGCCAAATCCCGAGTCAAGCCTGTCTTGACCAAGGGAGCCGCTGACCACATTGTCACAACCTATTCTGCTCTGAGAAACGACGAGCTGTCCGGTAACCAGCGCAGAACATCCCCCATCACCGCTCGTACCCTGGAAACTCTGATCCGTTTGTCCACGGCTCACGCCAAGTCACGCCTCTCCAACAGAGTTGAGGAGCGGGATGCAAAAGTTGCAGAGTCCATCCTTAGGTTCGCCATGTTCAAGGAAATCCTTGAAGATGAGCGCCGGAAGAGAAGAAAGGTCGCTTCATTCGACGAAGATTCCGAGAGCAGCGAATCCGATTCTGATGACGACAATACCCCGGCACAAACGTCTAGCGCTACCCCTCGATCCATCAGGAGAACCGGCCTGCGAACCCGTGGAGCCAATGCTCGTTCTGGCACAAACGAGGACACGGAAATGGACGCGGACGGAGATGCTGTCTCCGAGGATGGGGATGGTTTGTACAGTTCCAGCCCTCGCGGTCAACGGCTCCGTTCTAGTCAAACAACCCGCACGCAGACACAGACACAGAGCCAATCCCGGATGTCTGTGGCTTCATCTCAGCCCGAATCACAGCTCGTCCAATCCCAGACGGACAACTCGCAGTCGCAGACGGCTAGTGCTTCATCTCAACCGATCCAGCCCGCTCGCTTGATGGTCTTCCGCCAAGCTCTGGGCCCGCTGATGGGCACTCGACTATTCACTCATGGTGATACCGCCGACGTCGAAGCACTCATTGGAGCCGTGAACACTGCGCTGCGCAGCACACCCTCGCTCGGCGAGCCACACGTCTTCCAGCGAGCGGAAGCAATCCAAGCCCTGAGGGCTATGAACGAGAGAAACGAATTGATGTAAGCCCTCCCTCCCCCAGAGAAAACGAACGGTTTCCCCCGACCCAATTTGACCCAATACTAACAAATTTCTTTCAAAACAGGTACCTCGAAGGTGACGAAACCATCTACAGAATTTAATCAAAAACCAATGGAGTTCATTCAACAAGATCACACGACATAGAAATGGAAATGGATACTTGACTGCGGAATCCGGACAGCGCATGCGCATGATTTTTCTTTATTCTTCGGGCCCGAATACATAAATCTCTCTTTATTAATGAACGAATCGTTTGGCGTCTTGGATAGTTTTCTTTTTCTTTTATTCCTCTCAATATCATTTCTTTTGCTCGAATCTTACGGAGTACTAGTCCATAGTTACCATCGAATCAATGTACGACCCCTGACATTAGGCCCGGAATTGAGTTTCTGCTTGAACCCTAGGCCGTGTTTCCTTTTTCTTATTTTGCCTTTTTTGCATTTGATTTACCCCGTACTCCGTAGCTAGCTTGCACTTGTCCCCGCCCCCCCCTTACGTCCCTAAACAGGAACGGAACCACGCCGCCAACAGCTTGTATACATACGAAAGTCCTGATTACCAATATACTATGCTCAGGGGCAAAAAAAGAAATAGAACGAGAGAAAATATCATCATATATGCGTGTATATAAAATCCAGGGTGATCTAAACTATAAAGTCTTTGTGTCTTTCTTTTGCTAGTTGGATCAAAAGGAGTTAAAATCATCGATGGTGCTAATCAATCGTTCAAGTCACTCAGGCATTTGTCTCGATGTCAATGGAAAGGAGAAGGAAATTGGATGTATATGAACGTATGATAGGTATTAAATAGGATAGTGGATGGAGAGGGGGGATGCTGGAAGTAGGTATAAATGAAGTATGAGGGAGGGGTTTGATAAGGTGGGGGAGAAGAACTAGATAGGTAGGTAGGTGATAGGGAGAAGGAAGCTGCGAAATAATGGTAGGACTGTTTATTTCGACCTAAGTACGACATAAGTAGGTACATCGAGACAGTGATGTGTCCTGTGATGATCGATCAGACCAGGGTATATTATTGACAACACACGGAGGGTTGGACTAGACCAGAATGAGTATAATGCAAGTGATGATTATTGTGGTGATGATGATGATGATGATGATGATGATGATGATGATGCTATTCAACGCCGTCTTCCTTGGGTTTCTCCTTCTCGCTGGGGGTGCCCATGAAGGAGGAATCGTCGGATGAGAACGATGGGGTGCGTACGCCCTCTCGAATCTGTGCCTGCGTCAAGGGGGTTAGTCCGCGTGTGACTGTCTTGGAGCCCCTCTTCTTCCGTGCTTGCTGGATATGTTGTTCGGTGCCTGGACTCGTGCTTCCGCGACGGGGACGGCCACTCACGGACGATCTGGACGGCGGTCGATCGTCGGTGTCAACAGGGGTAGTGCTGCGGGATGGAGTGCGAGAATGCGACTCTGAGCGTGTACCTCGGCGAGAGGGAGACTTGGGCTCGTGAATATGCTTGGAGATGCTGGAATGGTGGTGATGGTGGGAGCGATGTTGGCCCTTGTCGGCGTCTGCGGGTCTGATGGCCGCGGCAGCGACTCGCCGGCGTTGCGACGCCCTCCAACCAAGTCCGATCCACCAGAACCAGCCCCCAAATTGCTGAGCTAGTTGGCGCTCCTTTTGGCGCAGTTTCAGACGCAATTGTGCCCGACGATCATTCTCCTTCTCCCAGAATTCGCTGCGGTATTCGTCCCAGTTCTCTCGGAACTCCGGCGAAAAAGACTTGGGCAGTAGAAGAAGCCGAATGTAGTCGCCTCCTGGACTGAGATCCTCCTGGACAAGACCCGATTCCGTGTCGTGGTTGTAGTACTGCTGGTAGTGCTGCCGACTACCGCGTTTCTCGGCCACGGGACGCTCCACGTAGTGGAAATCTCCTACTGGTGACGGGAAAAAGGGTGCAGAGAAGGGAAATAAGAAGGAGAGGTAGGAGAAAAGTTCCTGCCACCAGGGACCTCGGATGACCACGATCTTGGTGTTCATCGTGCGGAGGCCGCGGTTGGCCACGGCGAGCCAGCGCCGCGGCCAACGGACTCCACGTTCCCATTGCCCTGTTCCCCAGACCAGTAGCGCAGTGACCACGCCGCCCATCAGAGCGACCTTTTCTCCCATCTCAACCACCCAGTAGACCGAACCACCGACGCCGCGGCCATCTTCGCGCGGGCGGAGAAAGAGCGCGTAGGCAAAGTAGGCGATCCAGGCGGCAAGCAAGAGAAGAAAAAACGTATTCTGTCGTCGGCGTTCCCGCAAAGCCAGATACTGGGCTCGCAGCGAGCTCTCGAGGATGAGAAGGTTCAGGTAGATTTGGGGTGGAGAAGAGGGGAGAGTCGACAGTGGATCGGGCGTCGACGACCGAGGCGGGGAAGAGAGATCGGACGATGGAGAATAGGTTTGGAACGGAGGCGCCAGCGATTCGGACGACGAGGTTGTAGACGAGGCAAGGCGACCGCTGGGAGCTGGAGATCCCTTGACCAGCTGGTCTAGGCTTGCTGAAGCCATGGTGCCTCAAAAGAAAGCGAGAGGGAATCGAGAAAGGCAAGGGAGAGAGTGAAGATAACAGAAGTAAGCTCGGAGGCCCAGATGGCAGGGCGAAATTCAAAACACGAGAGGGAGGAGTGGCCTTTGCGGCCCAGCGCTATCTCATCGCATGGGAAAGGGAGCAAGGCGAGCGAGAACGGGCAGGTGAAGGCGAGGAAGACGAGGACGAGGACGAGAAGAGAAGCATCGTCATGGAGGGTCGGCCAACACTTGGTTGAGGCTCCACTTCCGCTGACTTCAATTGTTGGTTTCAACAACCTCCTCGCCTCCAGCCTGTCTGTCCCCCAGTCGACGCCCTTCGATCGGGGTTCGATCGTGTCCTTCTGTCCCTCTGTCACTGTGTCAGTGCCTGCACCCTGCCGATCCAGCCAGCCAGCCAGCCCGGGCCTTATCTATCTATCTAGTCTCTAGTTACTCTCTGTATCGCCTCGTGTCCCGTCAGCGTCATCCACTGGTGCCTGTTGCTTAACTCCATCGGAAACGGGGTTAACGGTCTTTCGGTCTTGTCTCAACCTTTTTTCCATCTGTTCCACTCGCCTTCACTGCCCCCTTTAAATTCCCTGCCCTTCCCCTCATCGTGCATTCCGAGAGTGACAGAGTTCTTCCCTCTGTCACTCTATCCCTCCGTGCGACAAGGTGTCTGCCGCGCGACTCCCTTCGCTTTCTCTTCAGGTCCCAGCCTCACGTTCCTGGATCTCATTCGAAAGCGCCCGATACATCTCCTCCCGGCCGACGGCATCCAGACGATCGTCGTCTACGTCTACGATGGCCTCCGAGTCGCTCCGCTCGTCCAGTAGCGAGTTTGAGAGCCGTCGACAAGACAGCACTCCACATTCAGCTCGTGGAGCCAGCGCAACCCCAGCGCCCTCAGCCTGGTTCCCCCTAGGTTACAGGGAAGGGTTCAGTCAATGGGTACGTTTCTGAACTGAGGAACCAAGCCAAGTGTCGCATGTGTCACTGAGACGGGTTTTTCTTCCAGTGGGCGTCTTTACCCGCCGCCACAGCCGAACACCGAGTCCTTTCCTACCTCCCTTATCTTCAGCATCAACCCCCAACCCACCTCCAGACCGGAAAGAAATGCGGTTCTTCCAGCGGATCGGAGAGTCTACAGTCTGCCGACCAAACCCAACAGGGCGAAGTCTCAACCGACTCGACGGATGACCCGTACGGCCCTCGTAAATGGCGCTCCAGCATGGTGGAGCTGAGCGGGAAGAACCGCGCTCTGAACGAGTTCTCCGTGGAGAGAATTGGTGAAGAAGCAGACCAGCATCTTGTCATGCTTCACGGGTATGGCGCTGGTCTCGGATTTTTCTACAAGAATTTCGAGCCTCTCAGTCGGCTTAAGGGGTGGCAACTCCATGCGCTTGACCTCCTGGGCATGGGCCGCAGCACGCGGCCATCATTCCGCATCAAAGCGAAGGAGCGAGAGGAGGCCATTAAAGAGGCAGAAGCCTGGTTCGTGGATGCTCTGGAAGAGTGGCGAGTCAAGCGCAAAATCGACCGCTTCACACTACTCGGTCATAGTCTGGGAGGCTACATGGCAGTTGCATACGCCCTTAAGTACCCGGGACGACTCAACAAGCTTATCCTAGCTTCCCCAGTGGGAATCCCAGAGGATCCCTACGCTGTGCGGGCAGAGATGCCAGCACCACCCGATTCCACCATGGCAACCGAGCTCACCCAGAACCAGCGCAACATCGCCGAATCAGCATCTTCAGTCCCCCACAGCGAGATACAAAAAGGCGATAACAATATTCTGCTGAAGGGTGCCCCCACTAATACTGCCGCTGGCCAAGATCAGCCGGCCCGGCGCATGGTCCCCAAGTGGTTCGCCTATCTTTGGGACGCTAACATTTCCCCCTTCACTCTGGTGCGATGGGCGGGACCCTTGGGACCGCGCCTGGTCTCCGGGTGGACGTCTCGACGTTTTTCCCATCTGCCGGCTGACGAGGCCAAGGCTTTGCATGACTACTCATATTCGATCTTCAGCTTGCGAGGCAGCGGCGAGTATGCTCTGTCGTACATCCTCGCCCCGGGCGCATTTGCCCGCAGTCCCCTGATCCAACGCATTGAGGGCATCGGTCGCCAGTTCATCCAGCAGAATCCATCACCCGCTCTCGAGTCAGCGAAAGCCACCGCGACAGCCTCCCTCCAATCTACCCCGGAATCGTCTGCCAACCAATCCTCCCTGACCACAGCCAAACGCGAGAACGGTTTGCCGATTATTTTCATGTACGGTGATCACGACTGGATGGATGTGAAGGGCGGATTGGCAGCAAAGACCAAGCTCGACCAGGAGAAGGAGCGCATTCTGCAAAATGCGACGGTTGAGGAACGCGCGGCGGACAACGGCTCCGCCAAGGTAGTCATTATCAAGCGGTCCGGCCACCATGTCTACCTGGACGGATGGGAGGAGTTCAACCGGATCGTTCTGGCCGAGATGGAGGAGACGACTCAGAAGGAGAGAGCCAAGAGCACATGATAGAGCTCTTGCCTCTCAATTTTGCTAATATCCAAATCTCTTATCTTATTTTCCCTTGTTAATGTGTTCCCGAAGAGGTGTTTACGATGTGTTGGGTCCTAAACAGCGGGTTTGTCTTGTCGGAGTATAATCATTGATTGTTGGTTTTTTCAGGTCAAAATCCATCATGGAATACGCAAGATGTACATACCTACGGTAGAAGTTGATACAGATCACAGCAAGAAGGTATAGACATATTCAAAATCTTTATCATGGCTAAATCAAATTGAAGTAAAGTAGATATTTCAAATCCAATATTGTTCAAAAGAAGAAAAATCATATACATGTCCTCATATCTCATATCTCATATCCCAAATCCCATAAATGCCAGTATCCAAAAGTTACAACGTCCGATCCGTGCCCGCCGAAGACTTGGTCAACCGAGTCCCCGAATTCGGCCCGGACATACTCCTGCGACGATATCGTACGCCAGTGGGGTAATGGATCATGTACCGGCCGGAGGGTCTAGGCGATCGTCGTTCCTCGACCGGCGTCGTCGACCCACTTGTACTGGCCGTGCTGCCGGGTCGTAAAGCAAAGTACCCGCCCGCTGCTTCGGGAGGACTGGATCCCTGAGCTCCTATCGGCGGTGCACTTGGGAATTTCTCGACAGGGGAAGGCGTACAAGGAAGTGTGTTCTGCTGCTGCTGCTGTGATGGTGATATAGTCCTACGGTGTGGATCCAGGCTGTGGGAGTCCGGTAGTGAGGAATTAGGGGATAATCTATTAGAGACCAGGGAGGTGGTGGCGGAGCGATGGTGATGGCGAGTACTAGTATTATGACTACCACTACCACCAGTGCCGGGGGGGCTGATTGAGGAGGCCATTTGACGGTGTCTCCAGGGGAGGGTGTCTAGGGGTTCGAGGTTGGAGTTGTTTCGAGGGAAGAGAGGCTGGAAGGGGAGTTCTAGGCGTCGGTTGATGGAGAGCCATGCTCGTTCGTCACTTTCGTCGGTTGTATCGTTTGGGGATGGAGAGGCGGTTCCTGAGAGATGGCCGAGGTATTTTGTTGTGGCGCTGCGCCAGCCGCCTAGTCCTTCGAAGTCACGGTCTTCGTCGCCGCTGATGAGGGTTAGGAGGGCGGAGGGGGTGGTGTGATGCGGGGGTGTGCGTTTGCGGTGAGGGGTATGCTGCTGGTGGTTGTTGTTGTCCGGAGAGGTTGAAGAGGAGGAAGTTGTGGAGCTGCTTGTTCGATGAGGAGGCGGACGGGGTTGGGTACGGGGGAAAGGGTAGCCTTGACGGTGGGTTGCGAGGAGGCCTGGTATGCTGTGGTCAATGGAGCGGCGTTTGGGGGTCGAGGAGGCTGCTGGGGTGGTTGGCTCAGATGCGGAGAAGTTGAAGAGGGAGGTGTGGGGGGCCATTGGGACAACAAAATAGTTGGCGATGATGGCGAAGCATAGCTCGGTGTAGATGAGGGAGCCGCGGAGGATGAGAGCTAGAATGGAGAAGCAGATGGTGATGCATGCCGAGAGGGCGAGGGGGACGGAGATGAGGGTGAGGAGGGGAAGCGTCACGAACGTGGAGACGAGGATGGACATGGCTATAAGGCGAGTAAGAAATGTGTGGGAGGCATGGGGATGGATCTATGTTCGTGGGGTAGATAATAGATATAAGAGGAACAGCATAATTGAAATATGAAGGAGATCGTAGATGGCGATCCTCCGATGCTCGAACGCCATCCAAAGTGCGGAGAAAGACATGTGATGCCGGCCCCAGGCACCGTTACACTGCGTATCGTGGTGTATCAGCGGGCGTTTCTTACGTCACAGCTCGGCGAGGCACGTTATAAGATTCTCTCCGAACACTCGGCCTCTATTGTCCCTCATTCCTCATCTCGATACATCACATGCACTATGTCCCAGGATGAGCAGACCGCCGACTTCCCTTGGCACCTGGGGGTGTTCGACGCCCATTGTCACCCCACCGATACCATGTCATCGATTGCGGAAATCCCCCAGATGAAAGCATCGACATTGACGGTCATGTCTACTCGCGGGGAGGATCAGGACTTGGTGCTTGAGACTGCGATATCCCTGACCAAGGGTCAAGAGCCCTCCCAAGGTTCGGAGACAGGCCGTGTGCTACCGTGCTTTGGCTGGCACCCATGGTTCTCGCATCAAATCATCGACGATGCTACCGGTTCGCCAGAGACAAAGCAAGATGTCTCGTCCATCGAACAGAAGAAGCTACATTATAAGAAGGTCCTTACGCCAGAGCCAGACGATGACTTTATCCTTTCATTGCCAGATCCAAAGCCGATTTCGCAGTTGCTCTCGGAATCACGAGCACGGTTAACAGCCTACCCCCACTCTCCTGTGGGTGAGGTCGGCCTGGACCGCGCTTTCAGACTCCCACAGCCCTGGACCAGTGAAGAGAAGGAAGCGCGGGATGAGCAAGTGACCCTTGGGTCACGAGAAGGCAGAAAACTCTCGCCCTATCGGGTCCAGCTGGCGCACCAAAAAGCCGTCTTGGAGGCTCAGTTGCGTCTGGCCGGGGAACTCAAACGTCCGGTCTCCGTGCATAGTGTCCACGCACACGGAGCAGTGTTTGACCTTTTCAAAGGCCTTTGGTCAGGACATGAACGGAAGAATGCCTCGCGGCGGGAGAGACGTCGGCGGCATAGTGTTGCAGATGCTCATGCGGATAGTGATGCGGAGGATGAACAGCGTAAACAAGACCTTGCAACCCCTGAAGAAAATCCTCTTCCATTTCCACCCCGGATTTGCATGCATTCATACTCAGGGACTGTAGACCCACTGAAGCAATTTTTGCATCAGTCTAATCCATCGGACGTCTACTTTTCTTTCTCTTCCGTGATCAACTTCAGCGGGCCTTCATCGCAAAAGGTCATCGATGTTATCAAAGCTTTGCCTGATGACAGGGTGCTTATTGAGAGCGATCTGCATACAGCTGGACAACAGATGGATGACTTGCTCGAGGAAATTGCTCGACAGATCTGCGATATCCGCGGGTGGACGTTGCATCATGGCGTCCAGCAGCTCGCTGATAATTGGAGAAGATTTGTTTTCGGATGAACGGCCACCTGTGGGAGATGATGCGTGCATATGTCCCTGAGCCATGGATCAGCGTACGAATTCGCTACCGATTGATATGGTCTGTGCTTGAGGAAAAGAGAGACAAATGCACTGCAACTACTCAAGCCTGATGATGCCCGAGAATTGAGCTAGATTTTGAGCCCAACAAGCATTCGAACTCAACTCCCATGAAATAATTTACGACCTCAAGCTACTTTCGGTACTCGGATAGTGCTACAACTTATCAATAGAAGATATCGACTTCCCAAATAGAGATCAACAAATAAGACATGAAGAAATAAAGCCGACAATGGTTTGCTAGGATAAGTGTCAGCGTAGCCCTCCTATTCCACTAGATATCGGAGTTTATCGATACCATCGGTCTGTGGCGTCAAGCTTTTGTCTCTGCCGTGTCCGGACCGCTTTGGAGCCAGTCTCAGTCTCCGGAATTCCAGCTGACTCTTGGATACGCAACGGCGCCGTGTGACAGAATGACACATGGTAGCTTACCGGAACCCAGCTGGCTCTTACGCATGCAAATGGTCGCACTCTACCTTGAATCGACCATCTTACTTACTTAGTCTCCCTCCAGATGTCACTATACTTAGTACGGTCCATTTAACAAACTGAATAAATTGCAGGTCACTGATATCAACTCCTTCTCAGACATGTTCTCGAACCGAAACCCTGTATAGCTCGATCTCATCATCATTATCAGAACCAATCTTCTGGGGCCTCGCCTGGTGCCTACAAGGATCACAGCTCCTCTTGGACCGATACAACCATGATCGGAAAGAGCCAAGCCTAATCATCAGCCTACGAAGGGACAGCTTATCGAGATGTCTCGCGCAAGGGGGAAGACAAGCGACCTGAAATCCCACTCCCATCTCGATATATGTCCAGAATAGAATGATGGAGACGATGCCTGCCCATAATTTGGGTTAGTCACTGCACGCACAGCAGGGGCAACGATGCATCTTCCGTATCTTACCTTCCTGATCAACGGTTGGCAGAATTGTGGCAAGGATCTTGATGTATTGGGGTGTAGTGTCCTGGACTTCAATTTGAATCCAAACTATCATCCTCAAGAATCCCGCAATCACTGCGCTGCTATATAGTTAGTGCCCATTCCCTCTCTTCCTGGAAGGGGCTTACAAGATACTACAGCAGAAGACAAGACAGACTTGGAGCTTCTCCCGAAAACACATCCGTAGCGGTATGACCTAACGACAGATTAAAATCTGAGGAAAACAGTCATGATAACATCTTAATAGGCCGACCGACGTACCATACAGATTGGTTCTATCAAAATGGCCATATCCATAGCCCAACAGAAGACGGCGAAGCCAGTTTGCATCGCGAACGTATCCATACAGATATGACGCAGCGAGTATAGAGTGGACCAGCTTGCATCCGCGTTTCTATCGCATGCAAAGATTTCAAAAATGAAAAAGACGATGGTCCAGAGGCTGACCAGAATGATGAGCGTCCAATTGGCGTAGTCAAAGGTGGTTCTGTAGGCAGTGCCTGCTTCCTCAGTCCGTACTATATAGTATCTTGGTCGCAGAGAGCAGCAACTCACCTTTGAAGATACGACGAAACAAGAACAACAGTGCCAATTTGATCAAGCCTACGTCGATCACATGGCCCATCCAAAAAGCGTACTCGAGCTGCAGGGCCTTGCTTAGCAGTTCTTTGCAAGTCTGCTTAGGAGATGGGAAAGTAAAGAAAACCAAAAACCTTTCCAAGCTGGTCTTGTTCTGTACGGGTGATGGCTGGGACGGAATGATTCCCAAGAATGTGCAGTTGAGCCCCTATGAAACACACTCAGCCGACAGTCTTAAGACGATGATAGAACTGGCATTTCCACGTACCTATCACCATCGCAACGCCGGCAGCTATGGTAAGTAACTAGGGGCCCTCATTAGCAGCCCAACAGGAGGGGAAAGTGTGATGTTAAGACCTACTGCAGCCGGGATAATCAGAATGTCATCAATCTCGAGGTTTCGCGGATACCTTCGCCATCCCGATGCTCGGATGGCAAACGAAATGATGGCAAGGACTGAAAAGATTATGCCAATGGCAGTAATGCTGCCTGTATTGATGTAGGTCATGGTTGGATGTGGATCTCTCGACCTGGTCAATATCAATGGATTCTGGATACTATGTAAGATTGCCTGGAAAATTTCTTATATCAAAACGATGGCCTCCTCATCAGACAGCTGACCCAGCACCAGCACCAGCACCACTGAGTCAGCTGTGTGACAAGTAAGGTAGTAGGACGAGGTGGCATTGCATCCAGCAGGGATGATAAGAAGGCCAGCCTGTAAGCAGTCAGTGTCTTCTGCACTAGCTCACAACACAGTTATACAAGCATCAAACCCCGCTGTTAGTCTGCTGCTGTTCTTCCACGGGCCGTGAATGGAAGTCCAGTACATGTTAGTCCGTTAGTGCTGAGGCTCGGCAGGCTTAGCCATCCTTGCTTGACACTCTTTGTGCTCAGCCATTCATCCCCCCTCCTCTCCTCACTTATCTCCCTCTTCTCTCAGACTCTCATCCCGACAACCATGACAGAATCAACCAATCCCAATTTTCCCAATTCTCCCGGTTCGCCAGGCCTTATTTCTCTACAAATAGGATACTGGAAGACTCGCCCAGACACCTAGGGACACTTCATAGTATAGTTCCACCCCAGTTGCTTTGATTCAATGCACATGTCGGTTCCGCTCTTCCTGGTCAACCACGAGGCCTACGCCACTGCCCGCCGCTGGATATACAAGCAGGGGTCGACCATCCGCTTCCACTGGCCCACCGATCCCTTCCTCTTCCTGCGCCGCTGCCACCCCGCCTCCGATACGCTCTACGTCCCCGGCGCCCAGTACCACGAGTTCATCCGCGAACCCGAATCTGAAACCTTTGGGGATGGACCACTCCGCTATCGCACCGCACTTCTTGCGAATCGCCTTTCCCAATACCTTCCTGCTCAAGGACGACGGCTACCACCGGCTGACGGAGCTGCTCGAGGACACCAGTTACCGGAGTCCCTGAGAGGTGTTGGTAGTCATTGATTATAGTCCAACTGCTCTCGACCTCCGACCCAGCGAGGAGGCACCGCCTGCGACGCCATTCCAGTTACAGCGGCATGACATATAAATATATAAGGATGCTCTTGGGCGAAACCTGAACAGTCACATCTACTTGTTATTGACGTTGCAATCAAGCAGTTACGGTTTCGTATTCAACCGTGATACTATCTGTGCGACGAATGCGCCCTATGTGATGGCTCTCAACCCCGTGGTCATCAGCGGTCTGCAAGATGCTATCCTGACTCCTAATATCCGCGATCATTATATCATTTTTGTCTCTCCGGGGTCCGGACCGCTTGCTGCCCCACCTGTTTGATGCAGGCAGTTGGGTGCTACTCTCTTTATAGTTATACGCGCCAGTGCTTCTCAGACTGCGTTTTCCGAGGATTATTTCGAGGAGAGGTTGTAAGGTAGGAATGCAGGATGCGAGGATCACGACGTTCGATTCGATACTGTTGAACTGTTGTCAGTCTCCGGTTTTCTAGCGGACTCTTGAATGTCAGAGTAATGACTTAACAGTGGCTCACCAGGTCCAAATCACAAGGTCAGCAGTGGCATCTATCGCAGTGTTAGTCTCATCCCCTGGTCATATCCACTGCTTCTCTCAGAAACACCCACATGTTGTATCACTGGTATCGGCAAGACCTGGTAGCTGCATGCACTTCACGATTGCTATTGCACAAGCGCTGCATGTTTTCAAGTTAGCAAATTACGACTGCACACTCCAAGAGGATCTCACTCACACCGCACTCAGTCCCAAGGCTCCGCACAGAGCCAGTCGTTTCCGGAGTGACATATGAAGATTTAGCAGGACAATGGTCGGGTAAATCGCCAGATACAAATCCGTAAAAGCCGATACAGCTACACCTATTTGAGTCTGCCTTGCAATTGGATAACGGTTGCACTTACCTCCGGTGAAAATGGCATAGTCGACAAAGATCCATGAGCTCCGGCAAGTTGCACCCTCCGACAAGAGGGACGTGTCCCAGAGTGCTCTCGGCGGATTGCACATTGTAAAGAGTACTATAATACAGATGGAGGACACCAATGCCACGAACCCAGTCAACCCCCATAAGATCGCACGTTGTGTTGGTGTCGGATTTAAGAGCCGGCTCAACAAGGCTGCCACAGCAAGTTTGGGTAGGGCGAAAGAGATAATACCCAAGGCGAAGTTGATATAGTTGACTAGCAAAACAAGTTCTAGTCTATCCGTTATGATCACTGAATGTTGACCGTACCCTAGAGCGACATCGACAGTGGTGATCACAGAATATGAGATGCTGAATATCTGAAAAGCAGTCAAACGCATAGCACAGAAGGAAGCCAAGACTTTGTTATATGGAGAAACTCGAGCAGCCATATCTACTTACCATCGATGCTGCAATCAACCAATCATCTGCACCGGGGCTGCGCAAGATCTTGATGCGAATGAAGAGCCTGGCCGCAACCAGCACAATCGCCAGGCTAGTCATCGTCCAGAAAACAGCCAAGATCCGCGGGCCCTTGGTCTGGTGGGCATATTCTGGGGATACAACTGCCATGACTTTGGCTCCAATGACCAATGGAAAGTGATCATCAAGAAGTCCAATTCTTGAGTATTGAAGAATCTAACGTTGGTCAAGTTCAGCAGATGCTGGAATATTGGATCCATGGCCTATCTAGACTGCTTAAAGATTCAATCAAGGGGCAAGGTAAGAGTTATCCTATCTCCTATTGCTAATAGCTCCAAGTGCAGTACAACAGAATCCCTGCTACTTTTGATGGTGTGCACGAACCACTGCGTACTTCCGAAGAAAATTTCAAATAACCCGATGATTTTTAGACACTGTATCATCGCGTTTCCAGCTTAGGGTCTCAAATCCTGAGTTAAATGTAATGTACAGTAACTCGCTGATAGGCACATAGGAATTGTCCTAATTCCTAGAGTTTCGGCCAAGTTGCCCCATCAATCGACGAACGGGCGGATCATTGAATATTTTCATGTCTCAGAGGAAGAAGCGCTCTCGATAGTCGATACTAATAAAAAGCGCGCACCCACCATGCCCACGGTCTAATCGAATGATCTTAATCTGTACGTATGTGATCCAGGATGGGACTTACCAAATTGTCGGCCGGGGATCGGAACTAGAACCCGGTTGGGGATTAGCACTGGCCCATTCTTATGGGGAAAGTACTAGATAGGTACTCCGTCTAGAATAATGATCACTTTGCGATCCCTGCGAAAATTCCGCCAAAGGTGGCCACGGCATCACGCAACAGAACAAAGAAATACTGGGTGGGTCGCTCTATTTATCCGTCTAGTCTCTAGCATTAAGATTATTGATTGACTCAGTGAGATGCCTGGCTTGGATCCAGGAAACCATACAAGCGAGGATTCAGCCGTCCGAAAGGAATTACTCGTTAATATACGGTCATAAGACGGATAAGCAGATGGCAGCATCCAATGACGCTACTTGATACGGGTGGCACCATGACAGCCCTCAGTTCTTACACAGTATTTCCACCCATCCGACGATCGGTTTGACAAGGCTGACCCTATGACTCAATAGAACAAAACATTATATCGAACAACCCCATGCAGGCATTGTTCCTTGCTCGGGAATCACAGCCTCGTTTACACTGTACTGTTCGGCAAAATAGGATGATGCCTGACCCACGAATGCTAAGAGCTGGAACTACTAGAAAGTACCATGCATTAGCGGTCTTTGGACTTTGGAGGTACCTAATGCATTGTGCTGCTCCCTAAGGGCCCAAACAAGTACCCCTGCAAAAACCCCCCTGCTTGCGCGGCAACCGACGGACACAATGGAAGCTCTAAGCAATTGAGATCAGCTCAAGGGCAGCTCCTCCTTTGATCATGCGAATGGGATCTCGGAAGTCAATGACGCCAGGATGCTTGTGGACACTTTTACTATGCTCTTTCGAAAACACATACGAGATTAGATACATTAAGTATCTTGCGAACAGTATTTGGTCTATCACTATGGATAAGCACTCAAGCTCCGAATGCCATTAGGCGTGTGCTACATACTACGACGCTAGCTGCCCTTGGTGCGAAGCCGTCGATGTTTGGTTGTCATTCATAGAAACGGAAGTCCGTCCCCGATTTCCATTAATCAAAATTAATTACCTTGGGCTGACTAGATAGTTAGTGCTGGGGCCGGACTGGCTAGCTGCTTCATCCAGTCTACAACATTATGTCGGAGCTGCTACCTACTGAGGGCTGCCAATCCCCCAACAATATTATGTACCACCGCGAGCATCCCTCGCCAAATAGAAAAGAGCTCCGCAGGTCCTCCCCGTCGATTTCTACTCCGTACGAAATATCACATGCTCAGTGTCGGCAATAACATGTTTGACGTCACAATTCACTGGTCCCATGGATGCTTAACGCCATCGGGAGCAACGCGACCGAGAATCCAGATAGATACTTATTAGTCCATGTGCAAACCGTTACTAACCTGTCTCCGAGGACCAGTGGGGCCTGTCTAGGGACTGGAGCCATGAACGGCCTTACTGCAGGTCGCCAAAGTTGGCAGCTGTCAACGAGATATACATCCAATGGGGGCGCTGTCACCTTGCTTTAGCTATGCCAGCGGGTATCGGAGATAATCCCAGTTATATCACTCTAAATACTATACCTACTCCGAACTACTAATGTTAATGCAAGCTTCATTAGGTGCTACGGCAATGGCGCATAGAAGCCTGGGAACTGAAGGGCTATTTAGTTCGGAAGCCATCCATGCCAGCATGTTCTGTTCAACACTTGCGACCAGGTAATACCCCTCAATTGATGGTCAAGATAATCCCAGAATGACTTACACAAACGGTTCAACGACGAATGGTCACCATGTTAATGGGGACCATGCCAATGGGGATCATCCCAATGGAGATCATATCAATGGCAACAACACGAATGAGTACTGTATCAATGGGGATCACTCAAACGGCCACAGGCCTTCTACCTTGAACGTGGATGTGGATAAGATCGCCCTCTCACCAAGCGCACCAGATGCTGTTCCGGTCCTTATCGATCAAATCGCCTCCATCAAATCCGTCTCCTTGGAGAATTCTCAAGAAAGGTTGAGGCTGCGGGATGCTGCGATATCCTTAGCTAATGCGCTAGAGACTCCGCGAGAGGCGATTGTCAGACACTGCTGGACTACAGTAAGTTCTAATGTTTTCGAAGAGCTTTATAATAACTGCAATACCCAGTATGTAGCGCTAAGTACTGACATGATATTATATCATAGGCTACCAGGCATGCTGCTATTGAAACGGCTCTGGCCTTGGGTGTGTTCTCTCAATTAGCACGCGACAAGCCCAGGTCTGTCGCAAAGCTTGCGGCAACCACGAAGAGTGATCCAGTCATGTTATGTGAGCGCTTGATGACTTCCATCCTCGCACAGATTGTAATTTATTGACAGGTCTCAGCGCGCATCATGAAGCACCTGGCTGCCATGGAGGTGATTACTGAAGCGGGTCCTGACGAGTACACCGCGACAAATTTCTCAACCACTTTGAGCGTGGAGCAATACGGTGATGCCTTCCCTATGCTGTAAGTGACACTTCGATGTCGATAGAAGGTCGCTAACATGTGGGACTTCGAATCCCAGCTCGTCCTCCTTATACCTGGGCATCTACGCTCTCCCTAGCTTCTTGAGAGAGACCGGGTATCGCAATCCAACCGATCCTACCAAGTCCCCATATCAGCTAGGACGCCATAGCGACGAACACTTCTTCGAATGTGTACAAAAGAACCCTACATTGAATAAACAATTCAACCACCACATGTCGGTTTACCATCAAGGGCGACCTAGCTGGATGGACAAAGGCTTCTACCCGGTTCGGGAGCGGTTGATTGAAGGTGCCAGTCTCGGCGAGAAGGATGTCTTCCTGGTGGATGTGGGTGGTAGCACTGGGCATGATGTATCGGAATTTCGTCGCAAATGGCCTGATGCGCCTGGCCGCCTTGTTGTGCAGGATCTACCTGAGGTTGTAGAGACTGTGAAAGATTTGCATGTGTCAATTGAACCAATGGCGCATGATTTCTTTACGGAGCAGCCAGTCAAAGGTATGGCTTGCACTCATTGGCAAGAGACAATGGTTGCTCTGCTGATTGGTGATGTGGGCTGACATGGCGCAGGAGCCCGGGTATACTATATGCATTCAGTTTTGCATGACTGGCCTGACGATATGTGCCATAGCATCCTTTCGAATCTTGCTTCAGCCATGAGACCGGGGTACAGTAAGCTGTTGATCAACGAAAATGTTGTCCCCAGTCTCGCGGCTCATTTTGAGACGACCAGTCTCGACATCATCATGATGTCGATTGCGTCGGGGGAACGCACAGAGAAGCACTGGACCGAATTGATTGAAGCCTCGGGGTTGAAGATCGTCAAGATTTGGACAGTGCAGAAGGGGGTGGAAAGCTTGATTGAGTGCGAATTGGCTTGAAGGGGGGAAGCCGGACGGACGGATTGTCGGGGTGGCATATTGGATCCATAGTAGTCCATACAAATATTTGTCAAGCACATTATCCCGTGGGATGTTGATAAGAGACCCCGCGGCCATCCAGTGAGAAACGAGAAATGGGCGATTAGGCGGGCAGATAACGGAATTGGCGCACGAGGTGGATCCCGGTGGATAAGCGCACGGAGGATGCGCCGGCTGCTGTCATACAGCGACGGGCAGCAGATGGGATGAGGTGCTCTGTGTAGGGGGAAATGGCTTCTGCTAGTCTACCGCGGACACGTCTTCGCATCAACCGAGGACTGGACGGCCTTCCAGAAGCCAGCGAGAAGGGCTCGAAGCCCGCCTGGAAGGCATCTCCGCACCCACGTGACTCCCCCAGACCCGCCCTGGCCGTGCCCCACCCGATTGCCTGCTATCGCCCAATCAGCGGGCAGCCGACCCAAGCAATTCCGCCTTTTCTCCTCCTCTCGGCCATTCTGCTCGTCTTGCTTCTCCTCCTCTTCCTCCTCCTGCTCCTCCCTCTTCCCCCTCCTCTTCCCTCTTCTCATTCTCCTCGCCAATCGTCTTCCTCCGGTGCAGATCATGTCTTGATCTAGCCCCTCAACCTGTCACCAGGGTCACTCGGATCAGGAGTGACAGCTTAGCGAGTCTTCGGACCCTGGACCTGTGTCGATGCTTCTGCTATGTCCTCCGTAGCGCATCACAGTCATCCGCCCACCGGGAATGGGGTGACTAAGCGCAAGTCAGGTACGCACCCCCCAATGCTTCTCGCACGACTTGGCAGCGATTACTACACCTCCGGACTGTCATGGGTCTAACTGTGTCCCCTCATAGGCGCCGCGGCCTGCGTTCACTGCCATCGACGCAAAGTCCGATGTGATGCCCGCATCGTCGGCCTTCCTTGCTCCAATTGCCGGTCCGCGGGAAAGTCGGATTGCCGAATCCACGAGAAAAAGAAACGCTTGACTGTGCGATCCATCCTCGATCCCGTTCCAATCCGCTGTCGACCCCCTCCTGCTTCTGAGTCTACGCACAAGCCTTCGCCTGTCACGGCTACAACCCCACCTAGCGCTTTCACCACCGCCTTCCGCGCCGTTCAACCGGAAGTGACAACTCCAATTGCGCCTCCCACCTCAAGCCTCCATACCCTTCACCATACCCTTAATCATAATGTTAATCACCACCCTCCGCATCATGGCACCAGGCCTACCACGGAATCCCCGGCATATAGCCGCCCTTCCGGTCCGGATGTGTCGACTGAACCAGACTCGCATGCAGAGTTGGAGAAACGACTCGTGAAGCTCATTGATGAAGAAGAATCGGGCAGTCGGGAGATTCAGAGGGGTGTTCGAGCGATCTACGTGGGCCACGAATTGTCCAACATGTCCTTCTTAATCCGTCAACAGCGTGACAAGGATGACGACGTATATCACTTTGCGGGCAATGAGATTCCCCGACGGCAGCTGAGGACAGGACACGACCAGCTCCTCATGGACGCTCTCACATTGCCAGAACCGGTCCTAGCGGATGAGCTGGTGCAAGCTTACTTTGACCACGTCAATCCAGGATATCCCATCGTCGACGAGGACCTGTTCATGGCCCAGTATCGAAATCGGGACCCCGCTGATCCACCGCCGATACTGCTACTACAGACCATCTTGTTGGTAGGGGCTCATGTCACTCGTCCGAAGGCGGAGCGTGATACCCTTAAGGATATCTTCTTTCGTCGTGCCAAGTGGCTGTTTGACAGCCGCATCGAACGGAATCGCGATATCCTGGTGCAAGCTGCCCTACTCATGACTTGGCACTCAGATGGCGCCGACGATGATGTTGCGGCCAACGCGCATTACTGGGTTGGCGTAGCTGCGAGGATCGCTACTGGCCTTGGAATGCACCGCAATCCTGTCTCCAGCCGATTTGTATCTCGTGATCGCCGAATGTGGAGGAGGCTATGGCACATTCTGGTCCAGTTTGATGTTATGGTTTCTCTTTCTTATGGTCGACCCCAGGCTATGTAAGCAGATCAATCCTTCCCCCGAAGTCCAGAAAATGTGTTCTGACTCTTTCAACTTAGCAACCTCGAAGATTGTGATGTGTCTTCATTGACGGTTTCCGACTTTGAAGGATGCGGACCTCGTGTCCAATCCGACTACGTGATTCATTTCTCTGAGCTTTCCGTTATGATTTCGTACATTATCCGAAACCGCTTTGGGTTACGAGTGAGCGCGGAGCGTCGCAAAGCCGTCCTGCAAGAAGCCGACGAAGCGCTGGCCAATTGGTCTTTGAAGCTGCCCGATAAGCTGCGTCTTCGAGCATCTGACATGGACCCGTGGTCCGCCATGCTCCATCTCACTTACAACAACTTCCTCATTCTTCTCCATCGCCCACACCCCCGGGCATCTGCCTACTCGGATGACTATGGGCCACACGACGCAGAGATCTGCAGCGCAGCAGCCGGAGTCATTACCTCCATCTTTGAAGAACTCCGTTTGAACGATCGGCTCAAGTTCCTCTGGTACTCGGGAGTTCACACCCTCTTTACAGCCATGATCCAAGTACGAGTAGAACTTCGCTTCTCCAACCCCGTTCTTGCAATCAACGCCCTCCGTCGCTTCGACTCGGCCTCTTACTCCCTCCGCGAACTAGCAGGCTACTGGTTCCACGCCAGCACCATCCTCCGGCTGTTCGAAGACTCTAAACGCCTCCAAGAAGACCTCCGAATGGCCACCAGTGAACGTCCCCGCCGCTTCAGCAACCCTCAGGACCAAATCAAAAACACTCACCACTCCTCTTCGGCATCCACCTCTACCGTCACCACCACAATGCAGACCCCTCAACCAGCAGACCGTCCCCTCCCCTATGAGGTTCCCACACCGGACTCTACGCACCTGACCACCACATCGACAAGCCCACACCACCCCCAACCCCACCAAGTAGACACCTGGATCCCACCACCATTTACCACCATGACCCCAGTAGTCGAAGCCATCGACGCGCCCCGTGGATCTCTCGACTGGCGACAACTCTTCTCTTTCGCCGACCTGGATCAGCCCGTCCTCCCAATGGCCATGGAGGGACTCCCCGAATTGGAAGACGAATGGCGTCAAATCTACTGGCAAGATGCCCCAATGTCAGACCTTCTTCAGGATGGTGGCTGGATGCACGGTTAGGCCGGGGAGGTTATGCAACATGTGCCCCGGGGAGTGAGGTGAATCAGTGATGATTTGTGTTTGTTTGTTTGTTTGTTTGATATTTAACTCTGCTAATTTAGCGATTTTGCCATTTTCCCCCTGGTGGCTGGTTAGTTAGATTGATTGGCATTGACGACAACGATTATGATGATGACATTCTTTCTGTTTCTGCTGTCTATAACTAAGTATCTATCTGTCTATGGTTTAGTCAATTTTGGCTGGGCTTTGGCTTGATTTACGGAGTACTGTTTATGAAATTGCGTCATACAGCGTATATACTCTATTCATTGAACAGTTATCGGTATCTATCTATCTACCTACTAGGTAGTAGGTAGGTACTATGTTCACGGCATTGTACCTATCCATCGTTTTACATGCCAGTCAAGAAGAATGGGTCTCATTGGACGGGTGGGAAGGGTCGTTCGTTTGTTCTGCAACCAAGGATGCCTGCGGTTCCACTGCGACCGCTGATACCGAAACTTTGTACAACCGTGATGGTGACCAGGTAGATAGATACTTGTCAGGGACAATGAAGTCCAATTCTTAATCTATCTGTCAGTCCTGTTTTCCTCCTTCTGGACAGCGTTCCATACTCTGCAAAGACATGAGACAATAATAGGTACTCGACTCAGACAATAATTACATGATGTGACGGGCCCAGACAAGGGGCCAACCTCCCTCAACACCGTGACGCACAGATAACTCCTGTATCATATGTACGGAGAATCGATGGCGACCTCCTGAAATTGGCTTTATAGAGGCCTCGCTGAATGGAGGTGAGCCGCCAGTTGGGCCTGGCAGGTCGGCTGGTATGCCAGCCGATATAGAAAAGAAGAGAAAGCGTCAAAAGAAGAAAAAAATCAACCCAATAAAAAACAGTGCCCCGGTTCCGTGATTCCTGTCGTATTGCTCATTCGTGTCCGTTCCGTTAATATCCCGTAAGTTACCTACTGTATTGTACCGCGTAATTAGGAGGGCTGTACAGGGAGTAACATCTGGAAACATTGGTAGCTTGAGGCTGTGTTCCCAGCCGCTTTGATTCTGGAAACAAGGTCCATCCAGCCTCTGGAGATGTGAGGTAGGAGTTCGAGTCTGTTTGGACTCCGAAGACTCTAGCGTGGGATAGTTGTCGAGTCCAGCGGATGGTTCTCCCGCGCACAAGCATGCTAATAAGATTCACCAGTGGTGCCATTGTGCGCCTGGCCGACCATGGGTGGGTAACCGTAGGCGGAAGTGTCCTGCTCTGAGGGGTCCAGGTTAGGGTTCATGATGCTGTTGGCGCTGTCGGCAGCTTCAGGAAAGGCACCAGCGGCACCGGGTGGAACTGGCCGTCCACCAGGGCCGCCAGCCCCAGGGCCCCCAACAGGCCCGCCAGCCCCATACCCACTGCTCGTCGGACGATTCTGATGCTCGCCCCTTGCGGATTGGGTCTGAACGGCTCGTCAGCATCTAGAACCTTTATGAAACGGATCGTCTCCTGCCGTGGGGAAGGAAAGATGCTTAGGGGCGTTGCACAGGTCTCACCTCGCGATACTTAGACAGGTAAATTTTCAGGGCCTCCGCATAGTTTTCAAACCCCAATGAGGTCATGGCGAACAGAATGTCCTCCCCGTTGACCGTCTTGCGCTTTTCCTGCTGACATTTCTCGGACGCTACGGGAAAACGAGTCCATCAGTTAAGGGGCGTGGAGGGACAGGTGTGGTCACACTAACCTTCGCTAGTGATGAATGAGATAAATTCGCTCACACATTCCTGCATACACTCCTTGGCCTCCTTTGCGATCTTTGCATTCTCGGGCAGGGCCAATTTCATGATGCGAGCCACTTCATTTGCAACATTAGTATCCTATCTGACCACCAATTGGGGCAAACGCGAAAGGGGGGAGTCGCAAGAATGGCAACTAAAAGGGAGGACGCGTCCAATGTTTTGAGATATTGAACGGGCGGGCGGGCTTAATGCAATTGGGAGCTTGCGAATGGACAGTAGATGAGTGAGAAAATGGCCAGGCCGGGCTATACCCGAGGCCTGAAGAATCAAACTCGAAAATCACATAAAAGGAAAGGTGAATATTATCAGATGAAGCATCTGGGGCGGTCGAGGAGTCGTAAACCGTCATAGTAGGGCAGAGGCGGTTGACCAGCAGATAAACGTAAGGTACGCACAAATCAGGAAAAAGCGATGAGCTGCAAGGGAACGCAACTAACCATTTGCAATTGGTAGCCATCTGTCCTGCTCCTTCACCTCGAACTCTCCCTGACCCTGCGCCTGAGTGTCGTGTTGTTCCTTGTCCATTTGTTCCTGGTCTTCACCCGATTGAACTTCGGGTTCCACCTCGGGTTCCTTCGAGGGAGAGGTCGACGACATGTTTTTTAGGTGTCGGCGAACGTGCAGAGATACTGGATTTAGAACGGGGGCTTGTCTCTAACTGCTCTGTTGGCAAACCACGTCAGAGCTGGCTTGCAGCACGCGGTGGGTTCTCGATCTCGGACGCTATGATACAGCCGCGCCAAGGACAACGAGTGCGTCTGGCTGGGCAGCGATTCGCTTCACAACAGCCTGAACGGGGAAAGACGAGCGTGGCTGCGCGTGTGGGGGATTGGCAATGCTTCTGCGATAGTCCTGCCTTAGCGTTGTGAGCCAGGACCGACGGGATCTATTATTCGACGGCGATGGTGGAGGGCGCGCGGCAGGTAATTCTGTTTGTTATTGTTCTAAGGTACTTTAATTTGTTCTGGTCTGGGATTTGTTTGGGGGGTGGGTTCCCTTTTTTTTTCCTCTCTCTGTTCTTCTTTTTTGGAATTCTTTTTTCTGATTATTTTTTTTCCCCAATGAGTGAATCTGATTTGATCAAGAAATCACCAGTGATGAGGATAATGCACCAATAAACCGGAAACTCTTTTGGACCAGTGGCTCAGAGTGGAGGGAGTTAGAGGGTGCGCGCGACTGCAGGAGTTGGTAACGTCAGCAAAGCCGTCCAAGCGCAGTTGACAGTTGCAAGACGCGGGTAATGCAACACGGATTCTCGGCAGTAACCGTGGGTCAGACTGGCAGTGGCACCTTGTGTAGCTGGGAAACAGAACCCAAGTAACCAACAGATAAAAAGGGAGGGACCGACCAGGCGATTGGACTAAATTCCGGAGGTCCACGACGCTGGGGATGGATGGGGCGTGTCGAGTTATTTGGCTTACCGTCCAGTAGAGAGCAGGCAAAAGTCGTAGGGCAGGTATTACTGGGGACGGCCGCGATGCGCGCAGCAGTCAATTGGCGAACCAGAGGTCCCTGGCAGGGCGAGCAACGATCACTGGTCGTCGCGAGAAACTCCCCCGACGCCAATGAGATCGGACGGAGATCTAGATAACAGGGTGCTCCAACAGAGGGGCACGGCCGCTGAGCCAGATGGTGATGTGCGATTCAATGGAAAAGCGTTCGATGAATGATGAATGCTTGCTCACTGTTCGCGATTGCACGAGAGAGATGAGAGAGAGAGAGAGGAAGAGGAAGAGGAGGACGCGCGAGGCCGCCTTGACGGCCAACGCCGTGGATGGCCTCAGGACTCCAATTACACCCCCCGAACGCTGTATCAGTGGATGACTGCCTGCTTTCGGAAAGGTGCCGGCCCCGATCGCGGGCGCCGGAGATGAGGGGTGTCACAGTACCGTATTACACGTGATGCTGACCGGCATCGTCATCACCCTCATCACGATCTCTCTGATCTACAACCTCAATCCACTGGAGGATGTATCTTCTCTAGTCTGTTCCTCGAACATGTACTACGAGTGTAGAAGTAGTCAAGCAAATCTCCAACATGGTTACATCCGAGTTCATCCGCCTCGGGGGAACGCTCCCAGGGGCCCTCGGCCTCGAGTATACTCCGTACATCGATCTGATTCGGATCTGACGTCCCGTCAGCTTGGTCCATGAGCATCCCGGACTGGACTGCGTCGGCAGTGAACGGAAGTAACAGATGTTGAAGGCCTAACTGACACAGCATCGTCATACGTGCCAAGCTCATCCGGGGTAAAACGGACAACATGTGTCATTTCAGGCATCAATGGGATCTAGTCAAACAAAGCAGCCATGACGAGATGGAGGTTCTGGAAGCAGTACTGTGCATAACACTCTAGTAGGTCTGCCTGCTTCATGGCTGTCATCAGGCAATACGTAGGTGGAACCTCTGCAGCCCAACGCTCGTAGGTGGTGTGGACAAAGGCATCCACCAAGTTGTGTTATCAATAATGACTGGGTGGATTCGTACCCAACTGCCACGGTGGGTTTGCTATAAAGTACGACGTGCCGAATTCATGCCCTGGAAATCAGGCCGGAACCAGGAGTCCATCACAGTCACATCACAATCACCATCACAATCACAATCGCCTATCTACGGAATGCCTGGGGCTAACATGAAGCAGCCAGTAAGATGACCCCCGAGGGTCCTCGTGCCTGGACGGGGTGACCAGTAGATATCAGATCAAACCTGGAACCAGCCTCCGGTCGGCTGCAGCCCAGTACAACCTCGTTGCAGTTTTAGACGCCTTGTCCCACTGGGCCAACTCACCCGAGCCACACCCTTCCCTTGGTGCATAAGCGCTTCAAGGGAATTGGTCAATATACGCGCTCTGAAACCGGAGCCAACCGTAGTGTAATAAATGCAGAAAACGGAGGGAAGCTCAGTACTGAACAAAGAAGAAGAATTGTTATCATATACATTAAGTTTCCGGCAAACATGGACTGAAGTTCAACGTCTACGCTTCACATCCCTGACGGATGGCCTGATGGAGCCTTCCCCAACCCAGAACTGCCATTAGGCACGAGTGCATCCGAGGCCGCAGCAATTTGTGGCAGAACGCCTGCCCCTGTCGACTTGCCTCATTCTCATATCGATGACGTGTGGAACTTCTAGTCCTTGTCCCACGGCATGCCCAGCTTCAAACAGCCATAGCCACCGTCGTGGTGACTTTGCAATGCATAGCGTCGCTGAAAGGCAGAGGCCCATATTCAGTCTCCAGACTCCCGCTAACACCGCTCTTGCATTCCTCCTATCGCCGAACTTTTCCTATATGACACTGCATCAAGAAGATGGGGGCAGAGAACTGCTATGCGATTAAGAGATAGGTATGGTTGCTTTAAGGCTGTACAACCTGGATGTTATTCTTCTTCTGTAGATCGGATAGAATCGTCAGAGCTCCACTTATGATTATGTATGCGGTAACTTGACAGGCCAGCGGACTTACCTTCCAGTTATCCAGATCTGCCTGCTTCGACTTGTACTGTTTCAATAACTCCTCCAAAACCTGCTTCAATCCATCCGAGTTTGTCTTGAGGGACGGAAGGACATCCTCGACTGTCCGCTCAACCAGAACACCGTTCACCATGCGAAAGCATTTCCGATCAGTTGGGAGAGGATCGAGGGTTTCGATAACAAGCCTAGCGATTGCGCGTTAGTGGCCATCTTGACACAAGCACAAGTAGGCAAATATCCATGTGTAGGACTTGAAAGCAAATGAGAAAGTCAAAGACGAGAACTTACTTATGCTCTTCGGCTTCCTGCTCGATGTCACCAATCTTCTGAGCCAGTTGTTGTAGAGTGTTTTTGTAATTTGAGTACTGGAGCTGGAGCTCTGCTTGGTATCAGCTTCAGGCTCGTTCAAGTTGTATCAATAGAAGGCTAGAAGAGTCCGGGTTCATACCCTGCTGTCTCTTAGGGTTTACTTGCGCTTGGCTGGCCATGGTTTCGGAATGTGCTTGACAACGCAGTTGCAAAGCCGTAGTTGCGATGCGGGGCGCTGCTCGATATCGGCGGTGGTTTGCGGCGCCGCTCCCACTAATCCGTCCGAATCATGGTTGGACGCGCTACATAATTCCTGCATGCGCGACAGAGCAGCTTACGCTCAGTTATAACGCAAGATATTTCACCCCTCTATTTCTTTCCCTGATAGAAATATCCACGCAATCCTCACAATCTGCCAAGTCCTCTTCCCTCAAGGCTGAGGGGATGGTGCACGTGACTAAGCATATGATGTTTGCCTCGTTTGCTGTCTCCGATAGACGATTCCGCCTCTCGACGGCCGATTACATCTTCTCCAATTTATCGTCGGGGGGCTAATGCAGACAGCTGTGGCCCTTCTGCGACCCAAGAAATTGCCAATTTTGTCCTCGGCTACACTCGGTTTGACACTCCTTATACACGCCAACCATGGCTTCCAACGAGATGCCTCCAGCCAAAAGGCTGAAGAGTTCCAATCTCCCGGCGCCGCTGCGCGAGGCGAAGCGCAAGGACATCGACAACTGGGAAACAAACCGAATGCTTACGTCCGGTGTCGCCCAGAGACGCGATTTTGATAGCGACTTTATGCCCGAGGATGAAGAAGGCACTCGAGTTCATTTGCTGGTCCATGATCTACGTCCGCCTTTTCTCGATGGCCGCACGATATTCACCAAGCAGCTCGAGCCCATCTCGGCTGTACGAGACCCGCAGAGTGATATGGCAGTGTTCAGTCGGAAGGGGAGCAAGGTAGTCCGGGAGCGACGTCAGCAGCGAGAGCGCCAAAAGCAAGCGCAGGAGGCGACAACGATGGCGGGGACGGCACTGGGAAACCTTATGGGTGTGAAGGAGGACGAGGGTGACAGTGCGGTCGCTATGCCTGTCGAGGATACCTACAAGAGCGGAAACAAGTTCGCTCAACATCTGAAAAAGGATGAGGGCGGTCAGAGTTCGTTCAGTAAGAGCAAGACGCTTCGCGAACAGAGGGAGTACCTCCCGGCGTTCGCTGTGAGGGAGGATCTATTACGAGTCATCCGGGATAACCAGGTTGTGGTTGTGGTCGGTGAGACGGGCTCCGGAAAAACAACACAGCTAACCCAGTTTCTGCACGAGGATGGCTATTCGAAGTTTGGCATGATCGGATGTACGCAGCCTCGTCGAGTGGCAGCAATGAGTGTTGCCAAGCGTGTGAGTGAGGAGATGGAAGTCGACCTGGGTGACGAGGTCGGGTACGCGATTCGGTTTGAAGATTGCACAGGCCCGAAGACAGTTATCAAGTATATGACCGACGGTGTCCTTCTACGAGAGTCACTTGTCCAGCAGGACCTGGACAAATACTCTTGTATCATCATGGACGAAGCACACGAGAGAGCATTGAACACCGATGTGCTCATGGGGCTTCTCAAAAAGGTATTGGCTCGACGCAGGGATCTAAAACTCATTGTCACATCGGCCACCATGAACGCGGAGCGCTTTTCCAGGTTTTACGGTGGTGCACCGGAGTTCATCATCCCTGGAAGGACGTTCCCGGTGGATGTCCACTTTTCGCGCACGCCCTGCGAGGACTACGTCGACAGCGCGGTCAAGCAGGTCTTGGCCATCCATGTGTCGCAGGGTCCTGGCGATATTCTTGTGTTCATGACCGGACAGGAAGATATTGAGGCGACCTGCGATCTAGTTGACGAAAGGTTAAAGTTACTCAACGACCCGCCGAAGCTGAGCATTTTGCCCATTTACAGTCAGATGCCTGCAGAGCAACAGGCAAAGATTTTCGAACGGGCTGAGTCGGGAGTGCGAAAGGTGATTGTGGCTACGAACATTGCGGAAACCAGTTTGACTGTCGACGGAATCATGTTCGTCGTGGATTCGGGGTACTCCAAGTTGAAAGTGTACAACCCCCGGATGGGTATGGACACGCTACAGATCACGCCGATATCACAAGCCAATGCCAACCAGCGTTCTGGAAGAGCAGGACGTACGGGGCCTGGCAAAGCGTACCGCCTCTTCACAGAAGTGGCGTATAAGAACGAGCTATACCTGCAGACGATCCCGGAAATCCAGCGGACCAGTCTCTCCAATACCGTCCTTCTACTCAAGTCTCTTGGAGTCAAAGACCTTCTGGACTTTGACTTTATGGATCCTCCTCCCCAGGAGACAATTACTACATCCCTTTTCGAACTCTGGTCGCTGGGTGCACTTGACAACCTTGGCGACCTGACCCCATTAGGACGTCGGATGACTCCGTTCCCAATGGACCCTCCGCTCGCGAAGTTGATTATCACCGCGGCCGAGACATACGGCTGCAGCGAGGAGATGTTGACCATCGTGTCTATGTTGTCCGTTCCCAGCGTTTTCTACCGCCCCAAGGAGCGTCAGGAGGAATCCGATGCTGCCCGCGAGAAGTTTTTCGTTCCTGAGTCCGACCACCTGACCTTGCTCCACGTGTACACGCAATGGAAATCGAATGGATACTCCGATGGTTGGTGTACGCGACACTTCCTCCACGCCAAGGCCTTGCGGCGGGCGCGTGAAGTCCGGGACCAGCTCCATGATATCATGACGGTGCAAAAGATGCCCCTCGTCAGCTGCGGCACGGACTGGGATGTGATTCGCAAGTGTATCTGCTCGGGTTTCTACCACCAGGCTGCGCGCGTCAAGGGTATTGGCGAGTTCATCAACCTGCGAACCAGCGTCAGCATGCAACTCCACCCGACCAGTGCCCTCTACGGTCTCGGCTATGTCCCCGAGTATGTGGTCTACCACGAATTGATCCTCACCAGCAAAGAGTACATGTCTACAGTGACGGCAGTAGACCCGCATGTAAGTTCCAAATTCACGACAATCGCATACCAAGATGCTAATTTCCTTATCAGTGGCTGGCCGAACTTGGAGGCGTGTTCTACTCCGTCAAAGAGAAAGGCTACTCTCAGCGCGAACGCCGCATCACCGAACAAGAGTTCAACCGGCGCGTGGAGATCGAAACGCAGATGGCCGCCGACCGCGAACGCGCGGCAGCCGAGAAGCAGCGCGAAGCGGAGCGGAACGATCCTACTAGACGCAGAAAGGAAATCGAAGTGGGCTCCGCGGTGCGTCGGCCTGTCGCGACAGCAAGACGTGTCGGAGGCGTCACAGCCTCGAGTTCACACAATGGCGTGAGCGGCGGCGGTGGCGGCGGCGGCGGGAGCGTGGTCAAGAAGCCAGCGATCAAACGGAAGCCGGGACGAGCATTTTGATTGTATAATGGATAGAATATACCCAGTTGGCACGATAAACGATACATCACATCACATCTTACATCTGATGTCAATCTACTCGCAGAATTCAATCAGAGTAACCTGTAAATATCCATACATAAAACAACCAGGTATAAAAGTAAGCTAACATAACATGATCGACACTGATATTTTACCTCGTCCATTTCCCCAGCCAAACTAAGCCAGACCAGACAGACAGTAAATGATAGAATAACCCACCTCCACCAGGGAACCGGCCATCCTCTAGATACCATCCTATCTGCCCAGCCCAGCACAGCCTAACCTAGCAGCATAACATGCTTAACTCTCCCCCTTCCTCAGCCCAACGCACCCATCCCACCCCACCCCATTCCATACAACCCGCACTTCCCTCTCCTCCCGGAAAAAAAACAACCTAATTGATAAAGTTAATACAAAAGAAATGCAAAATCAAGCTTCCGAAGACATAATCCGCGAAAGCCCTATCAATCACCAAGTTAGCAAATCAATCCAACGCCCATTAATCCACCCCCCTTATCCCCAAAGACCAAACAAACAGGTAAATAGGCAAGCATCCACTAACCTCTCATGCGAAACACCACCTTCCTCAGTCCCAGCACCAGCACCAACCGAACCCGATATACCTTTCTTCGCCTTACCCTTCGCACCCGCACCAGACCCAGTCGAAGAAGGTAAAGAAGAGGAGGAGGAGGAGGTTTGCATTCTCAAACTAGCCGTAAGAACGAACTGACCCACCGCGGCACAGAAACCGCTCAGGAAGGCGTTAAAGGGCTATATCATCACCCCCCGAACCAATCGCATTAGCCCATCATTTCTCTCTATACACAAAGAATATAACGACCCACGGGGGATGGGAGAACTCACATAATTCCCCGCCAAAACACAATACACGAATTGCACGCCTCCCACAAGGACCAAGAACGCCATGAAAGCGTCCAGTAGCAGGGTGCGCTGCGGCGTGGTGGCCAGGTACTGCTGCCAGACGGTGTGGGCGATATCGTAGATGGAGGAGTTGGAGGTGAGGAGTTTGGGGCCGGAGGAGAGAGATGCGCTGGGGGCAGAGGCAGAGGCAGAGGAAGAGGAGGGCATGGTTGGTGCGGAGGGAGCGGGGACGGGGCCGGTGGTGTTTGTGGTGGCTGCTGGGGTGCGTTTTGGGCCCATGGTGACGGTTGGATGTGTGTGTGGGAGGTGGAATTGAGAATGAAGGAGAAGGGGGTGGGTGGTTGGTGGATGTAGTTCGGGGTTAGAGTATGTAGTTAGTTACGCAAGCTGGCCTGTCGGATGGTTACGCGGTGTCACGTGATTTATAGATCGGGGGGATGGGGGTGGTTTGGCTTGGTTGGAGGAGGGAGATACGGTTCTGGAGAGATTTGGGTATCTATTTCTGATGCTACTCTGGTGTAGGTACGCTTAGTTACAGTGACCTGGTGGATTGGGCTCAATTCCGACAAAAGTGCCAATGTAAGTTCATTTCAATTATTGTCATCGACATAGTCATTATATAACCTATTCATATCGTTGAATGGAGAGTCTTGTTGATCATATGGAGAGGAGACATTCACAGGTCCCAGGGTAGAGAGCCCTCAATAAGACGGCCACCAGGGCCGTCAACTTGGTATCACAAAAATAAACACATGTACATCAACCCCTCAAGCAAGCCAGTCCAGAGCATTGCCAAACGGATTCTGCGTATTCGTGGCGTGCAGGTCCATCTGGAAATCAGTCATGACCTGATCCCACTCCTCCCAATTCAGATTATTCGGCATCCCTGGCTGCGTCTCCGTCTCCGTCGGCCTCACTAGCGTCTCCATTGACGCGCCCGAGTTCACCGGCTGTTGGAGGCTGGCAGCTGTGGCAGGGTTAAGCCAATCTGTCTCTGGGAATAACTCCTCAATTATACCTATGGGGCCTTTTCGAATATCAAAATCCATGCCGCCGTTGTCAGGAAAAGTGCCTGTATCATTGATTGGGCTGGTTGGTAAGGGCTGAAGCGCCAGCGCTCGGGGTAGAATAGAGGCCGGTACAAGCCCAAGCCCGTGGCGACCGGTGGGTGAGATATCCTGCACTGGGCACACGTTGGAACTCATTTGCGCCTGCATCTCCTCCTGCTTGGCCCGGAACGCAGTGGCTCGCTTCATCAGCCGGGAAAGAGGACGCCAGAGCATTCCCTTGCGCTGCTTGCTGTTCTTAATCCATTCAGTGTACAATGTGCTCACAGCTTTCCACGCTCGATCCGTAAGAGGGCTAAGCGGGCGCACGCATAGCTCCGAGAGTACAAAGGCAATGGCATGCCACTGCATGTTAGTAGCAAACAGCCAGCTCCATTTGTACGTTTTAACGTCGCCATCCAATAGTCGCTGGAACTCAACTACCTCGACTGACGTGGCAAACAGGCTCTCGCGATTCGCGTGGCTCAGCTTTAGTCCACGCTCAGGCCGGGTCATCGGATGATGGATGACAAGCCACAGCTTGGTCAGGATGAGACGACCAATTGTCGCGCAAACCCACTGAATGGGAATGTTCATGTCGCAATGCTTTATATATCGGTCTTCGATGCGGTTGTTGATAGACCGAATCAGCCTTGCACAGTTATCGGGGTCGAGATGCCGAGCTGCCGCAGCGAAATGGCCGTTCGGACATGCGTAGCTCACCCGGCGCACAGCAACCGTGATATCACATCGGATCAAACAAAAGGTCATCTCCGTCCAGCCCACGTGTTCCTGGGGAGGTTCCTGCATGTCCGGCGTAATGTCTTCGTCATTGATGTTCAATGGAAGTCGAGTATCGTACAATCGTTCGTGGATCTGGGCATCGGATCCATGGTCCTCTGCCGACCGGATGTCCAGCAAGCATATATGCCACCACAGTCGTCGGCGCATCTCTGTTTCAAAAGGTTTCAGCCCAAAGTTGGTGCCGTCTCGGTGGAGACCGAGTCCTTGCGCAAGCCGAAGGACAAGCGCCGTCATAGACCACACAAACTTGGTGTCGTCTTCCCGACGGATTCCGATGAGAAATACCACTAGAGCTTGCAGGAGTGTGATATTCTGGGTATTCAGGAGATCCGCTTTAGCTAGCGCTTGCTCAACAGCGAAACGATACCGCTTGACAGCTACATCCCGTTCTTCTCCCAGACGCAGTGAACATTGCTCTGGCGACAAGCTGATAATGGAAACCAGGCACATGGCAAGAAACAGTGCCTCAAAGTTCTTATCCAGGCTGCTCGGATCTTGGGCAGCCGTGGTAAATATTTGCTGAGCCGACGCCTTATGAACAATGGGTATCAACGGGGCCACATTATCCAACCACGTGTTCCATAACTTCGGAACCTGGGATTTGGAAGGAAGAAATTCGTGCAATGAGTGCGAAGCAGAATAAAACCCAAATAAGAAGCCGTCGTGGTTGGCTGAGTGACTTGACGATGTCTCGGGGGACGGATAATCCTCCTCATCGGAGGATGATGGATCGAGAATATCCTGGAGCTCCTCAATCTAAACAAGCATTAGCACGATGAGTCCAGATGGGTATCAGGAGTAGCTCACTTCATCTCCAAGACTAGCCCAGAATCGATTGCTAACATAACGACTTCGACTTTCTTCGATAACCAATCTACCAAACTCATGCTCCACATTTCGCTGTGCTATGGGTCTGGTGGGATCCAGTTTGGCTGCATCCAACAGAAGTGGACAGCCATCGCCGTCGCCCTCATGTTGAGGAGCTTGAGGCTGAACTGGGGGAGCGGGCGGATTCTCACTGTGTTGCTGTAAACGGGGGGAAGGCGTTTCGGACGAAGGAGGAGCACTGCTCGTTTTCTTTTCACTGAGGTGTTCAATGACGCCCTCGAGGCGCCTTAATCGGGACAGGAGTTCGGCATCTTGAGGGCGTTTGACTTTGCGGGGCGCCCGTCCAGGAGGGGGGAAAATACACTGGATGCCGGCCTTGACACAGTTGGAGCAAGGGGTTTTCTTGTTGCAGCGAACTTTTCTCCGACGGCAGGTGATGCAGCTACGCAGGCTGTCCTGTGCGGAATGTGAGACGACATGGGCATTGAGGGAGGTGTGCGGGCCAGGAACAACGTCAGACCCGTTCCTGGGAGAGAGGGACGATGGGGCTGAAGCTGCGTTCACAGGCGAAGTGGACTCGATCGATGGGAACGACATGGCGTGGATGATGAGTTGCTGAGCAGAACAGATTCCCCACCAAACCACATCCTCGCACGCGGGAGTTTGGTCAGCAAGAGTTCGTTGAAGAGTGAAAATTCTCGGCGAGTCAGTGGGAGACCATAAAGGATCAACTAAACAAGGGTAGATTATCAAGCCTCTTCGCGCCTGACCTGGATCTTCAGTCATCGACTCATAGCGGGAACCCGGGAGGACCTCGGGCCTTCCCATTGGCTGCACGCCGGTCCTTCTGGCCCCGGCCGCTTCGGCTTGGCGCCCAGCCACTGACTAATCATGTTGGTCAATCACGTGGGTCGCCAAGCTGCAGCATCGCAGCATCGCAGCAGAAAGATAACATTCTTTTAGCCAGCGTCTGCTCCATCTTTGTTGGTGGAGGAAATTGACGATCATACACAGCCAGTGCAAGGCACCGACGGCACCATCGCGGTGCGGATTGATTCGGAATCTGATCCAATAAAAACCTGCCAACACCGGTCCTCAGGCATCCCGCGCTTATCTGATTGACATCACACGCTGACGGCTGAGTCACCTCGTGTACGGTGTAGTTAACTATGGCATGCTTCTATTTCGGGAGCCCCAAGCTTTATCCACCTGCCGGGCTCCATCGTGGACGCATTCTAAACAGCACCATGATACCAACGGTCCCTAAACAAGCATTTGAACCCGTTGTGGTGTAGTCGATTATAGCAGGGCCCGCCTGAGACCCATTCAGCAGTCTTATTCCAACCAGATCCCTTATTACAATGCAATCCCTGGAAGGCTATTAAGAATCTTTGTGAATGAGCTGGTTTTTATTCTCATGTTTCGACTGATAGTTGATGATCTGTTTGTGCAGGCATTTACATTTTGAGTGTCAGCTTGGCTCTGTTGACCTATAAGTGTAATCGGTCGAGGTGATCTGAATGCCTGATCGTGTCCAGCTAAACGACTACTCATTCAGCATTGATAGTGTTCTATACAGACCATTTATTGCAATCTCAATACTATGCATCATACAGTCAGATAAATCGTATTATATATGTTCACAAAGCCCTCGGTGGGCTTGGTTGCTAAGCAGCCTATGCATCAGTAGCTGCCAGCATAAATCTTCAATATATCCGTGCAAGTCACAAGAATCAAACAAGATCCAGAGTATATACTGGAATGAACCAAACGCCAAATATAGCCAAGATGCGGGATGTAGCGCACCCAAGGCAAACGCCGTATATGCAAATGAAGTCGAAAGTCACTATCTAGGTGCTGGGCCAGCTATATCGTTACTGTCATACACAAGCTCTGATGTAATAGGAGAACATCAAGAGCTCCGAAATCCAATATCGTACAGTCGCACGATCATCGGAATAGGGGCCCGAGGGGCGTGGTCCGAACCGGATGGTCAGCCTCCTGTCGCCGCCAGAACCTCTTCTTCCTACAGCAAGAACTTATGAGCAAGAAATCACAAATTGTTCGGGCGCATGAGACTTACCTGAGTCTATCCCACACTTGAGTGACTTGGTTGAAGTGATAACTGTGTCGGGCATTAGTTGGACGAAAATGAATGAGAACAGGTCAGAGGCATACCCTTGGAACACAGAAGAAGTCATCGACTTGGAGCCGTACTCCTTTTTGAGCAAACGAACATATTCGAACGGGATCTTGACCGGGACATCTTCGAAATAGCTGTTGCGCAGCGGGAAGATTTCGGTTTCCTAACGCCAAGTCAGCCAAGCTGTTGTGTCACCGGTTCGCACGCCACTCACATCGAAGCGGTGGCCATCTTTGCACATCAAAGAGCCAGGGTCGCCATGTTTCCTCCGCTCGTCGTCTTTGCGTACCGCCGTGATATCAATGAAAAGTCCGGAAGAAGTGTCGATCCAGCGGCCATCAATCACGTTCAACTTGTCATCGGTCGACCGGACGACATAGTTCGGGTTGATTTCCAGTAGATAGGTTCGGCCGCCTTCCACTCCGGGGATATCAAAGTGGTGTTCGGTCATATTGTAATAATCGGCTAGGAAATGGATGGTTGGCTCGGAGATCTGAACGTCGAGATCATTGTCCCATGGGAAGATCTGCCCTTCCGTCAGCGGGCGGCACATTGTAAACAACCGTGGTTTCGGATCACACCTTCTGGTTCCACCACCATGCCAACAGAGTGCCGTGCATTATCCATGTTTCGGCCCCAAGGTCCCCCATTGTCGAGAGATAGGTCCGGATGAGTTCCGACAGATGTGGGACAGTCTTGTCCTCAGAAAGAGGTTCAGATGCGAAGCTACCAAGAGAATTAGCCACCGCAGGATTCAGTTCAGTGGAACCAGACATACCGTCCATCATAGTGGTAATGAAAGCTAGTGTAGATTAACGTTAGCCAGAACCAGCAGAGAGACACCGCCCACGATTACGCGCTATCGCATACCTAGATTCCTCTGCGAGCAGTTAGATCAAGATACTAGCCAACACGAGCCCATGGCAACTGAGCCACAGTCGGATCAGGCCAGACTTACTGAAATATTTCTCTCCCGGCTCACCTCCTGAGCCTGTATAATCCTTGACCATACTGGGCCTCACACTCATGAAATCGACATCGGCGCGAGCCGATCCCACGGCCGACAACAGCCCATAGAGGCCAAGAAGAAGTCGGGGGGGTGAAGACCACATGGCGGGACAAAAGACGAGGGTTTCTCACTTTCAACTCAATGACTCGGGAAAGCGCATGCTCTTATCCGCGGTTGCACGATGGCGCAGATAAGGCGAAGGTGTTCGCGCTGCTAACCAGACGGAATGGGCGGGATCCGTTGTGCCGAAAGGTTCAAGGGGGGAGCGGGCGAAGAGAGTTCCAGGGACCGGCGAATCGGGGCCGGGGGGATGAAAGGGTTTTGGATAAAAAGTACAATAAAAGAAGAAGGGGAAGGAGAAGTTAGTATTAGTAGTAGATAGTGATAGTAGTAGATTTTTAATTCAAGAGAGAGCGACGTAATCAGTGCGGCGTAGGATAATAAGACAGATGGGGAACCAAGGAAAACCACGAATCGCCATGGAGATCGGCAGGGAAGACGTATAAAAAGAACCGCAGCCATACAGCGTATGTATCTACGGGGGGCCCGGTCGCGTGCTCAGTTACCGTCCGCCGCTGCAGCGAGTGGCAATGGCCTGGAGAACCGGAACTGACCAGCCTTGCCAGCCTTGGCGATGGCCTTACAGTGCCGATCCGGGTGGATGGCCTGGCAGACTCTGCGTGTCAGCGTTGCAGCCATCTTGTTCGTTTCCTTGGATGTTCTACTACGTCCGGAGGGTCCTATCTATCTATCGTGTATCTACACAGTATCAAGTAGATACTATCCTGGGGATGTGTGTATCACCGACACTAGAAACCACTAGACGCCCGTCTAGTACCTTGCGTACGCGGTCTGAGGCCAATAGCATGACGAAGATAGCACGGCTTGTTCCGACAAGAGTTAGCCCGAGGACGCCTACCTTTGTCTTGGGTTCGCACCTGAGATGCGTGCAAAGTGGGTGGTCCGCGGCATTGGGGCCGCGTCATAGCCTGGTAGTGGCATGTCCACTCCACCCATGGGCCCAATACCCTCCTCACTTTACCCGCTCACCATCCAAACCGTCCCTAGTTTCAGGTGACAGTTGGCCTCCTGCTGCTGTCATCACACCGGGAACGGATGACGAGGCTGGGTCTCAGGCTCTTTTCTGGTCAAGCCCCCTTCACCACCCTTAATGAAGCGGCTAGACGGTTTCGCGTTGTACAGTTAAAAAGCAAGGGCAGTAATGCTCCACGCGGCCGATAGGGAAGTCATGCCTTGATAAAAAAAAAAGTGGGGGGCCTCCACTGCATCGATAAACATTCAACACGTTAGAATTGAGATTCACTGTGATCATAGCCTATGTTGCTTTATTGCTCCTTCCAGTCTTCCTATACAGTATACACAGTACATTCAGTACTCCACTGAGGCCACTGGTATGCACAAACTATGTCTATGCCGCTCTTGGAAGCCAATAGGCCTACCGGATCATTCCTATTGTGGTCTCTTTCGGTCATGGAACAGACGTCACCGTGTCTCAGCATCACCCAAATACAATGGATAGACGAGCGAATCATAATCTACTCTCAGGCTTTCTAGGCAAGTCTTATCCCGAGAACAATGTGAGATTGTGGCTCCTCTATCGCCATTAAAGTATATTCACATTCTCTGTCCTAGATGCTAGTCATGAATGCAACATGCATAAGTACTACTCACCGATCATGCCTCAGCACAACACGACAAGACAATGCTGCATCTCTGGGACACGGATATATACTGCCGAGACATGTCGCTGAACCTTGGAAACCATAACGTGCAGACTGCAGCCAGTCCTGAAAACGCTGCTGAAGCCCAAACCTAAAAATAATACCTACATGCGTACAGTTTAATCCATCAATGACAGACCTGCAGGCAATGTCAGCCTCGTGTATGAACAACACAGGCCGGCTGTAAGGATGGTTACGCGAGCACTTGTCTACTTTCGAGGCATTCCATCCTTGCTCACATTATCTGACAAACCGACAATGTCACTAGTTATGGAGTTCGCACCCCACATCACCTACTTTTGATCTCGAGATTGTGGCTATCGCTTTGCCTATTATCACTGTCCATTCTCGACCGTGACCGTCCGGTAGGCAAGGCTATTGTACTATAGCGAGGACATCGTGCGGTACTACCGGAAATGGTCCTAAATACCTCTTCAGCTTCCTTGGAAGACATGCAGCGCAGGAAATTGAACCATGACAATCTCCAGCGTCTAATTCAATTCCCGTGGGCCTCTGAGATTACCAAATCGGGCAATTGATGCCGTTGGGCGCGATGTCGCGAGGCGCATCTGTGATTGGCCAGTGGATCAGATCTTCCGGGCGCGTCGGGGAAATCGGTTCCAATGATTCGTCAGGTTTGGGATTTTCTTTCTGTGTTATCGCAGCTAATTTGGCTGTTTTCCAGTGACTAGTACCTAAGTGACTAGACTTTCTTCCCTTCCCCTTTTCACCATGACTTCTATCTTCGGCTGGAAGATGTCAAAGAGCGGAGCAGAGGGATGCTAACCTGCTCCGACTCCATCCTATAGTACTTACTATCTACTACATATGTAGCTGGCAAGCTGCAGGTACAGAGTAAGCACACACTGTCCATCTACTCCGTACTAACCACCGTATCTTGGATCTTCCCGCTCCCCGTTCAAAGTTGATCTAATCTCTCCACTTCTGCCTGCCGTTCGCCAAAGAGAACGGCCGACTAAAGATTGCACTAACCTTAGGCCTTTCTCCTCGAGCCAACCCCCTCCCAGCAAATCAGCAATGGCACCATCCTGGCCCTGGAACCGCAAAGAAAGGCTCTTTTGAATTTAGTCGTTGGACCTTCCCCTGTGGCTGGCCTCTCACATGACTGGGGCTTGTATGCGTCCCACTGCTTCAGCTGGATTCTGCGGCTGCACCAACTCCGCCTACTTGCGGCACCGGGTACATGGCGACCTCTGCAGATTTCCCTGCCAGTGGGCATCCAATTGGATGTCTTCCAGGGTTGTGTCTACAATATAGTTGTTAATCTCCATTGGATCGGCTTCTGAATCTCTTCGAACCTCGCTCGACCGACGTGAAATGGCAACGTTAATACCCATCCTGCACATCTGCTTTTAACACCATTCGGTCCAACTTGAGAGGACTCTTGAGGACAAGTAACATTGTCAGATCAGTTGGAGCAACCGCTGCGAAACCACTTTTCAGACCCAGTTTATTTTCGAACCCTTGTTTTTCTACTGTCGATCGCGCGTGGTCTAGTTACTTACTACTACCTACATCATCCTGTAACCAGGTGTGGGGGCCAAAATGTCGAAGACACCCACAATGCTCCCTGACGACCCCAACGCCTTATCACAGGCGGCGACCGCACAGCAGTTGAACCGATCTTGCGAATCGTGTCGAGGACTCAAAGTCCGTTGTTTACCCGATCCCTCGACGCCAAACCAGTGCCAGCGATGCGCCAAAGCCAACAGGACCTGTGTCTTCGTGGCGCCCCAAAGACGGCGACCGCGCAAGCGGACAGATTCTCGGGTGGCACAGCTGGAAAGAGAAATGCGGCAGATGCGCTCTCTACTGAAGGATAGGTTACGGGTGGATGAGAGCAGCGCAGAAAGCGTAGACAGCGAGGGGGAGGACTCAGGAGAACCCGACCTAGGACCAAATTTTAACGATCCCATGTCCGCCGACACAGGTCCTCCGAGCAGCGCATCGGGATCGGCCAGGCCCATGGAGTTGTCACCCAGCTTCCCATCAACCTCCCCATACCAAAGTACCACCTTCGACAATTGTGCCGCGCCCGGTTCAGCTGCCAATCCTGTCTCAACAAGCTACTCGCTTGAAAAAATACTGGAGAGTGATGTCGTGGATCGGGGGCTGATCTCGCTGGAGTATGCCAACGATTTAGTCGCCTTCTTTGTCACCGAGCTCACGGCGTTTGCTCCAATCGTCGTATTGCCGCCGGATACAACCGCCTCCCAACTGCGTTGTTCGAAACCGGTGCTCTTTCTCTCTGTTATTGCCGCAGCTGCGGTCTCCCTGGATGCCAACCTAGCCGCCGTACTCAACCGCGAGCTGATCCGAGTTTATGCAGAACGCTTCTTTATCGGCGGAGAAAAGTCCTTGGAGTTAGTCCAAGCCTTGTTGATCATGATTGTCTTCTATTTCCCGCCCGATTCGCCTCTGAAATTGCAATTTTATCAATACACCCATATAGCTGCCACCATGGCTCTGGAGATCGGCTTGGCTTCAAAATGCCGAGTATCCCCAAACTCCAACCGCAGGACGAACAGAAAAGCGGCATATGATGAGTCAATGGCGGAACAAGCGAGGGCAATCTTGATCTGTTATCATCTGACGTCCATGTAAGATGCAATTTCGCATGCAATTGAGGCCAACGGGCTAATTCAGGACAGTGTTGCGATGAAAACGCGCCGACCCAATTTGCTTCTTTATAACGACTGGATGAGCGAGTGCGTGAAGCACTTGGAACGCTCACCAAATGCAGTCGACAGACACTTGGCCACCTGTTTCGAGGTCCAAAGGATAGTTGATGAAGCGATGACTTCCTTTGGGCTCGACGACACCAGCTCAACCGCTCCGCTCACAGAGTCACGACTCCAAGCCATCCTGAGGTGGTTCGACAACCGGATGCAGTCGTGGAAAAAGGACCTATCCATGGACATGCACACAGGTAATCTTCTCTCGATGCAGTAAAAGCAAAACATGCTGTAGCTAACTGGTTGTCAGTTCCTATGAACTTCGAGTACCATTATACCAACCTTGCTATCTATGAGCTTGCTATCGGCGAGGGCTACCGAGATCCGGATGCAATCAAGCAACAGTACTATACTCTCCCATCGCCAGATAGCGGTGACACATTAGCCAGCACGCCGGTCAGTGCGGTGCGCGTAGACTTCACCATCAAGTGGATGAACGCAGCCCACGAGATGCTCGACTTTTTCCTTGAGTGTGACACGGAGATGTTGCGAAAGATCCCTAATCTAATCTACACCCGGGTAGGAGTGGCAGTCATGTCTCTGCTGAAAATTTATTACTCCGTTCGAACCGGTGCGCTGGGAGAGTTTGTGACTGCTGAGACTGTAAATGTCGACAAATATTTGGACGCAATGAGCAAACGGCTGGCAGAGGCAAGCGGTGGCCAGAAGTACAAAATCCCCAGTCGATGGTATTTGGTGGTCGCCATTAAAGCCCGAAGTTGGTATGACCGCTTTCAGCAGCAACAGATGCAGAGAAACCCCGGGCTCATTTCTCAAATGACCGCCGTCACACAGGTATCTCCGAGCCATATCCCTGCACAGCATCAGAACCCGCTGCCATTTGACCCATCCCAGCCACATGCGTCGCTAGGAATGAAAGCTGAGTTCTCGCCCATGGTCCCTTTCAATACCATGGGAACGAGTTATGGTGTATCACCAGCGACGGATCGGATGTGGCCATCCGACCAGAGTGGATTCCACAACATGGTCAACATGAACCAATTCGCCGGCTACCAGCCTTCCATGATGCCTTCTCCTCAGTATGGCTATGATGTCCAGCAGCAGAGGACGCCTCCAGGGGGCAGTCCGCAGGGCAATCCATCATTTGCGAAAATGAGCATGGAGCTTGATGAATGGATTCCGGATGGTAGTATTTTCGCGATGCCCAGCTTGCCTGGGTTTTAGAACTTGGTTGTCGATTGACGCTGGGTATCCGAATAGGAGGTGAAATCTCTGAAAGCAGGGGTCTGCTTGCACACTGCAACCTAGCCAGACCTGCGAGTCATCTGAATAGACATTATCAGCCTGGCATAGCAACAGACAGACATGCCAGGGCGTTAGTATCGCTGAGCAATGTGAGCATGGCTCTTTGGAAAAGTGAATTGCGAACAGGAGCACGCAGTAGAAGAAGGAAAAAGACCAGAAACAATATTGTTCCACTGAAAGCGACGCGCATGAGCAGACCCCTCGAGGTTTCACCGTCGGAGGTTCGGTAGACATGGAACCTCCGACGGCCGGATGGGGTAGATGGATGTCACCCAACGTCGGCGTTAAGCCGTTGATGACCGCCGGAGATTTCCGAAAGTGGGATCTGTGGAGTCTAACCTGACTCCTGGCACTCGCTTCGTAGATATAGTTCGCTGTTTAGATCCAGTTCCATGTGGGTTACCAGGGTTGGAGCCTGGGAAGTTGGAGATGCTGCTGACCTTGTGGAGTAGGTACACCATTGACCCACGAATGACTAAAAGGGAAATCCATGCCAGTGAGTTATCGGATGTGTCGTGAATGGCAATGCATGGGTTCATAAGGACTTTGTCGGACCTCCGGGCATGCCACCATGGGCCGATCCAGGGTCATCGGCCCGATGCCGACGGACGACCTTAGCCCTCAGGCCTCAACATCCTCCGCGTCATTCACCAGCACGCCAGTATCTACATCTTCCGTATGTTTCCTTCTATTGAACTGAGTAGGTATCTGGGTTGTCTGTGCGGAGTATGCTACGGCTAGTCCTTGGGTCTTCTGGACCGATCAAACTTCATAGCTTCAAATATGACAAGGGTATATCAAGCCACAGATCAAGCCACACACCCAGCTATTTGGTGAAATCTAGGCATTGATCGAAATCTTTACTCCGGACTCTGGAATCGCTTATTCGAGGTGTTCTGCAAGTTACTCCCAAGGTAAGTATGTGCAAGCCATCACTCATTGCTGGTCCAATCAAGTCTCGGGCTTGTCAGTCAAGAAATTAGTTTGTGTCATATAGATCAAAAGACCTATCGCAAGAGGCGACTAAATTGACAACTGGAAGCCATGATATTCTCCTAGCAGCACGTGGTGATCACAGTGTGTCTGACTGTCTGAGCTCTGAACCACCATGGCGGGCCCAAGTGCTCCCTATGTCTTAGACTTATCAAACCCCTCCTTCTTTTCACTACCAGCAACACATCGGTACCTGTTGGTCTACCTGGTGTCAAACCAGGAAGATAGCCTATGGGCATATTGGGTGATTCCTTCGACCCTAATGAACGGAGCCGTTGGGCTATCTGGAGGATGAAACAGACAGGGTACAAATCCACGCTAAATCCTGTCTGTGTCAGTTGTCAGAAACAAGCCCTGGCAGATAGTGCAGCACTTCGTAGGCAGCGATTGATTCCCAACCAAGACCAGGATTGAGAGAGTGGCTGGTCCCAGATCCAAGGATGGGAAATGATGCCTGTGGCTTCAGGTTTATGTAATTCCCGGTCCCCAACAATGTAAATTACGGTATGGGAGCTCTTTTAGAAGGATGGCAGAGGACGGGGCAGAAAAAAGTCCAGCCATGGCCCCTGCACCACTGCAAGGTCCAAGGAGAGAGAGTTCGGTTCCAATTCCTCGCCGACCGGTTCAAAACCAGACGAGGGTGAAGCCTTGAAGGGAGGAGAGTCCGGGGACCCGCGATTGAGGAGAGGGAAGTAAGTGGAGGACTGCTTTCAGAGCAGTTGGGTTAGTTAGTTGGACCCCCTCCCCATGCGGCACCACGTCTCCCGGTCGCAGGCTGCTTTCCAAATCGGCCCCGAATTCACCTGGGCTGACTATCAACCAGCAGGAAAGGTGTTGTTGGCCTTCCGATCCTGTCCTCTTCGTCCTGACTCCAGCGACCCTCAGTCCCCATTTCCGTCCATGCTCAATTACCATTCCTGCTCCTCCTGCGCCGTTACTTCTCCGTCCCCGCCGTCCGCTGTACCTTGACCTCCGTCGCTACCCCATTGCTTCCTTGTCGGCTCAATCGCCAGCTGCCCACTGGCCTTCAATCAAGCTTTCTTGGCCAGGCACAGGGGAAAGGCCCTACTCCTCAGAGCTGCCATAGCAACACCAGTCTCGATCACCCGGTGCCTTTCGCACGAATGGGTCATCCTTGGCCCGATTCATGTCGGAACTTGCACGGTGGTATTAGGGAACCGAGAATCGACACGAGCCAACTGCACCCACTGGATTTGACACGTCGATGAAGAATGAGCTCAGTCTCCAGCCCTGCCGCCGACCATTCTGTCGACCTCCCTGCCGATCAGCCACACCTCTCCCAGGCTTCCGGTACTCCGCCCCCCTTGGCTCTGGCTGCTGGAACGGAAAGCAGCGATAATGTCACGATACTTAAAGAGAACGTCAGGCCGGTCGATGGGAAGGCTGTAGATAAAAAGACAGTGTATTCGGGGCCGAATACTGGGTCGATACAGGAGGAACTAGACGACTTTGGGCTGCCAATCCGCGTACGTCCTAAGAGAGTGTCCTCAGACAGCGAGGAGACATTTCAGGATGTCGCTGAACTACCCGGGGGTACAGATGATGATGGTGATTTGGGCAGACGTGGAGGTCAACAAGCTACGCCAGAGGAGTTGGCTACGAGTGATCGGGTAGGGGAAAAATCCCAGGTAGCGGAAAAGGAAGTGAATGAGGTTCCATCGTTGCAGTCTATGACATCTACGTCGCCTAATCATGAGCCCCCCGTTCAAGAGCCAGCGGAGGCTTCCACAGCTAGCGAAAAGCGTGCTCTTTCCGACCACCCGTCCCATCTTCCGGAAGATGAACCGCCGCCGCCGTACACGGAGAACCCAGCTCAGGAATTACCCGAGGCTAGTACCGAACGTACCTCTATACAGAAGAAACGTGCATCTGTGAAGCCATCCGAGTGGTCACATCAGCATCTGTATGGGGCCGGGGATGCGGAAGATGAAAGCGAAGAAGAAGAGGACGATGGGGGCTGGAAAGATATGCCTGCCGTGGGCGAATTCGATGTATATGATGACTATGGCCGGCTTGTTGCCCGTGGCACGAAGCCGGAGGACAGCGAAGCAGTGTACAGCGGCCTTGGAGGTGCAGGAAAGGGATACACTCGAGTACAGCTGGACGAAGATGCTCAATCAGCGACTAGTTTGGATGAAGATACGAGCTATCTCTTCAAAGAATCTGCCGCCAATGCCGCTGGTATGGAAGAGGAGCTGCGTGACCCTGTTAGCCAATTGCAAGCCACGAAAGACCTTCTTACTGAGAGCCAGAGGATAGCATATGTCGGGGTAACTAGGCTGACTATACATCAAATGACTTTGGACGTGGAGAAGATCCCACCGATTAAGGGCACGCGCAAGGCAAGACAAGCTGGCGTCGACTCGATGCGGAAGTGGGGTCAAGCAATGATGGCCAGGCTCTATTCCCACATGGACATTGACACCGCGGAGCAGGTGATGATCGAGCAGTTGGCAGGACATGGCGTGCAACCGGCCGACCTTGTCCGGCCGCTCATGAGCAACGCTCGTGTCACGAATCCTCTGGCAGAAGAACCCGAAACGCCCAAGAAAACCATGTCCTTGCCCACCTCGCCCAGGCCGAGGGAGGACTACCGAAGCAGCATATCTACCGAGGTCGACAGATCCTCGAGGTCAACATCCCCACCGCCTTATGAAACCCACGAGGGAGAAGATCTGCCAGAGGTCCGAACCCCATCTCAGCTGCCCACGTCAGCGAAGATCGACATTGATCTCCGATGGACAGTGCTCTGCGATCTGTTCCTCGTTCTCATTGCAGATTCGGCCTATGATGCGCGGTCGCGGACATTGCTCGAAAGGGTTGGTGCGTCGATGGAAGTGTCATGGCTGCAAATTGCCCGCTTCGAAAAGCGCGTCATAGATGCCCTCGAGATGCAGGAAGCCGCAGAAAAGGAGACGTGGGATGAATCGGAGCATATGGAGAAGCGACGAAAGATGGCCCTCAAACGGAAGTATATGGTCATGGGCTTGGCCACCGTTGGTGGTGGTCTAGTGATTGGCCTCTCTGCCGGGTTGTTGGCCCCAGTCATCGGCGCTGGCATAGCAGCTGGATTCACGACAGTCGGCATTACAGGGACGAGCGCATTTCTGGGCGGTGCTGGAGGTACAGCGCTGATTGCCTCCGGTGCTACCTTGACTGGAGGCACCATCGGGTTGCGTGCGTCACAGAAACGTACGGGACCTGTTCAGACCTTCGAATACCGCCCCTTGCACAACAATAAGAGGGTTAATCTTATTATCACCGTGGCTGGTTGGATGACGGGTAAGGTAGATGACGTCCGATTGCCGTTCAGTACGGTCGATCCCATTATGGGCGATCTATACTCGGTCTTGTGGGAACCCGAGATGCTCCGGAGTATGGGTGATACCATCAATATTCTCGCTACGGAGGTAGGCAGCATCATCTCTTAGGATCGCTCAGACATATGCTAACGTCAAATAGGCCTTGACTCAGGGATTGCAACAGGTTCTGGGGCAAACCGTCCTGGTTGCTTTGATGGCATCTCTACAACTACCTCTTGTTCTGACCAAGCTGTCCTATCTGATCGACAACCCTTGGAACGTGTCGCTTACCCGCGCCAACGCAGCCGGACTTATTCTGGCCGACTCGCTGAGAGACCGCAATCTCGGGAAGAGGCCTGTAACCCTTCTCGGATACTCGCTGGGCTCCCGGGTCATCTTTTCTTGCCTCAAAGAGCTTGCCGACAGGGGTGCTCATGGGCTAATTCAGAACGTGTATATGTTTGGGTCACCGATCGTGGCCAACAGGGAAGAGTACTTGAAAGCCCGCAGTGTGGTGTCCGGTCGATTCGTCAATGGATACGCCTCGAATGATTGGATCCTCGGGTACCTGTTCCGCGCCACGAGTGGTGGTATCATGCGAGTGGCGGGTCTCGCTCCAGTGGATCGGGTTCCGGGCCTGGAGAACTTCGATGTCACCAAAATCGTGAATGGCCATATGGACTACCGTACCGCCATTCCTCGGCTGTTGAAGGAGGTGGGCTGGGAAGTGCTGAGCGAAGAATTTGCCGAAATCGAGGATCCCGATCCCGAAAATCATGCCGAGCGGCAACGAGAATTGATTCGGGAGATCGATGAGGCGCGACGGGAGGCAGAGCTCAAGCCGGAGAAGAAGCGATTCGGGCTGTTCAAACGCGGGAAATTGGCACAGAAGAAAGGCTGGGAAACATATGACGTGGAACGCAACAATGCCATGCCCCGGAGTCCCAATGAGAATGCTGCCGGGTCGGTCCTGTTCGATATCGACGCCATCAGAGCCGAATTGGCCTCGGAGAACCTCGAAGTCAGGCAGCTTGAATCGACGCTCCCCCCGATGAAATTAGATTTGAGTTCTCCAGCGAGCCCTTCTCCTTCTGCACCACCTTCAACGGTCAAAGAACTGAAGAGCGCCGAAGTGCCAGCGCCTCCGGCCCGGACGCCGCCGACTTACAGTCCCTCTCGGGATGTCTATGCTCCTACGCACCATGAGGAGGAACTAGAGATGACCTTTGACACGTCCTTTCACGATACCCCACCACGCTCTCATTCTTCTTTCGAGCCTGCCGCCTCTTACGAAGCCCCCCCGTCGAGGCCGGAGCTTCGGTCTTCCGTCACGATGCCGGCCCTCGGGGCCAGCACGCTTGGAGCTATAGCTCTGGAGCCTAATGCATGGGCCGAGCATGAAGAGGAGGAAATCCAGATGACGTTTGAGTGATGATGTATGAAACCAAACGATGGATAAGAGCTTCTGTTTGTGTATTTGTTGATTGTTGATAAGACGGTGCACGGGGGTTACTTTTCTTAATAGAGTTGCTTTTCTTCGTTGTCATTAACTTGCTTTCTTTCTCTTTTGCATGCTGCCGCTTGAGGAAATCAGGACCAGCCATGCGATGGCCAACTTAGAGCATCTTTTATTGCAACACTTTTCTTGCGAGACAAGTCTTGATGCATGCGTTGTTGTACCTTCCAATTGGGGCTGTCTGGATCTGCTGGGTTGGATGTTGAGTCGGCCTCCGCTTTAGCATAGCATTGTCTATTATTACAGAGCTTCTATAGCATACGAATATATAGTCTGACTATCAATACACCGAAAGAACATTGATTTTCATTCATTGACAATCGGGGAAGAATTCACAAGCGCCCATTCCACCCCAGCCGGCTTAATATAGCAGCGGGTGCGGAGAAACGCCCGAATAGCGTGTCACCACACGCGTCCACGGTCCCTCTCCTCCGAGCTCCCAGCCGGTTTCTCGATTGCTTCTCACCCTCGTCTCTCGCATTCCCCCGACTGCTCCGCCCGCAAAGTCTGGTCAAGATCCCGTCCAGGCGCCCATGCGCATCTCGTTCCGTGGTTAATTCCATCGCTCAGAGGGGTCGGCTCGCTCTACCGAGTCCGGGGCTTCGACTACCTACAACTTGACGTGACCATTTATCATTGAAAGAAACACAACCACCCCAGCAACTCTACTGCTATATATCTGTGTGGTCTGATACGAATTGCCGTCTGCAGATCTCATCAATATCCTGCGTCGTTTTCCTGCCGAATATCCTAGGTTATTATTTACGACTTGTGCTGCGAGCAGCTGCCTCATCATGGTTCTCCAACCCAAACGAGATGCCAGCCACGCCTCCATCCGACTGACCCGAAACATCAAGGGCCACCTCCTGTCCAACTTCAACAAAGACAAACGTCCTACATCCATGAAACCTGAACCCGCAACGGACGACGAACCCATCAGCTCCAGCGAGGAAGACACCCTGAGCAATGCCGGCCTGGACGAGGAATCAGAGGAGGAGACCCGGCCACGAGTGTCGCGTCCCACCTTGGACGAGAAGCTCGCCAAGCGCTCACAGGATGAAGAGCAGACGCCACGCGCCCGGCGACAAAGGAATGATACAAAGGACTCGAGAACGAGTACCCCGGCTACGAGTCGGAAACGAGCTTCTCAGGAGATGACCGATGACCCCCTCTTTTCAGCCTATCGTGAGCTGGATTCCGGGCATAAACGACGCAGACAGACTATTGCCTATCCATCGAGGAAATCGCTCACTACATCGTCAGCTTTAACGTCTCCGAAGTCAGAGTCACCGGCGGGAATTATTGAGGGCAAAAAGCAGAAGAACACGAAGGATGGGGGGAAAAAGAAGGGTCCAAAGAAGGAATTCAAGGTCCCCCGGGATATCAAGGACGAGAGCCCGAAGCCACAGTTTAAGCAGCCGCCCCCGATGCCCAATGACATGATCTCGAGCTCTTCGCTTGCTACCTCCTCGGCTCTCGATGCGCTTATTTTCGACGACGACGATTCCTCAATTGGGACGCCTCTCAGCACGGCGTCTTCGTCCCTAATGAATGAACTTTCGGAGGCGATGCTGGACGAGACGGTGCTCACTGAGCCGTCAGTGTGTCCCTGGTGCAAAGCGCCTGTGGACCCAGGGATGCTACTGCGATTCCGCGCGCAGCCCAAACAGCGCATGCGCGAGCAGCAGCGGTTCTGTGAGTCGCATAAGCAGTCCACTGCGGAGCAAGAGTGGAAGGAGAAGGGGTATCCGACAATCGACTGGGATACATTCGACGAGCGGATCAATCGGCATTTCGCGGACCTGGAGACAATCATGGTACCAGAAAGCACGTCCTTCTATCGCAACATCTTGGACACGACACTGAAGACCGGAAAGGCCAAGAACTTCCGCCTCACGCTAGCCGGAGACGGGCTGGAGGCGATGTCGTGTGGATATTACGGGACGCGGGGGGCTGGTAAAATGTACGTCTCTTTATCTTCTATTTAACCTATCTGAGTTCCCGGCTAATTGGAGGGTCTTAGGCTACAAGCGATCACGACGCGATACGGGCGGAGGCTCCGACGGCTGGCGGTCAGCGACCATATTGTCAAGACGGCCGGGGTAGTCCCCTACGCGCAGGCCGTGCTGGTGCCCGAGTTGGCGGTCAGACTGGTCAAGGAGGACTTGGGAGTCCCCGACGAGACGGCGCGACAGATCCTCCGTGAGACCATGGACCTGGGCGAGAAGCTGAACTTTGCCTTGAATGACAAGGTGCCGGTGCCGGAGGAGAAGTTGCAGTAGGGCAAGAGTGTATTATTCTTCAACTATATTTACTTAGGACTACTATTCGGGTTTCCTTTCTTTTCTTACTTTCGTTCGCTCTTTCTTTCTTTATTCCTTTCTTTCTTCTTTCGTTCATTATGCGGGGTCGGGGTTGATCTGCTCTGTATATCCCTTGCCTTCTTGACCGGCTGGCCGTGCTGCTGTTGCTGTTGCTGTTTGCTGTTGATGTCGCTGTTTCTGATTCTGGTTTCTGTTGTTGATGCTGATGTTGAGTGTATATACCGCGTGATACAGTACGGCGTACCGGATACCTGGGTGAAATGTGGATGGCGCGTGCTGAAGACGAGTTGACACCATTTCTGACACCATTGGACTCCACTCTTGAGTACCCGGTAGATACGTACTAGTATCTAGATAGGTTACTCCGTACGGAGTACATTTGTAAGATTCCGGCCGAGGTGGAGCTGTCCCGATAAGATAGCGGCGGGCCTGATAGGCTGGCCATGATAGGCGCTGTCTGTTACGTCGTGCGGAGCTGCCCGAGCCAGCAGTAGCTCATCTCTCCTCGCCTCGACCTCCTCCTTCCATTTCTCCTCTACTCTCCTCTTCTCTCCTCTCCCCTTCATCCTCCATGCGATGGATAGTGCAATCCATCTATCCCATCCATTGATCCCTTAAACATGCCTCCCGAAATGCGGGAAAAGGCCGACGCCTACGCCATGTCACTCTCGGAATCGACTCCCCTTCTCACTACTGTCGGCATCCGCCCTCAGCGATACCGCTATCCGCACCACCGACTCCGCCGCTTCAGCACTATCGTCCTCAGCTCCATCCTCACCCTCGCTGCTCTCCTCTTCCTCTCTCCCACCGCCATACTCCCCCGCACTCACGGCTCCATCTGGTCCTACGCCCCCTGGGCCCAACCCTTCCCCCACGAGTCCTGGCCCCATGGCCACGGCCTTAGCTACGCCGAGCTCCAGGCCCTCCTGCAGGAGACCCCCTCCGCGGAAAAGGCCCGCGAATGGAGCAGCTACTACACCGCGGGGCCGCATTTGGCTGGCAAGAACCTGAGCCAGGCCGTGTGGACCCAGGAACGCTGGCAGGAGTTCGGCGTCCAGGATACCAGTATCGTGGCGTATGATATCTTCCTCAATTACCCGTTGGATCACCGCTTGGCGTTGCTCAAGAAGGACAAGGTGGTGTTTGAGGCTACGCTCGAGGAGGATGTCTTGGAGGAGGATAGCACCAGTGGATTGGAAGACAGAGTCCCCGTGTTTCATGGATACTCGGCCAGCGGCAATGTCACGGCGCCATTTGTCTTTGTGAACTTTGGCACGGTGGCGGATTATCAGGATCTCGTGGATAGAAATGTGAGTCTGGCTGGGAAGATTGCCATTGCCAAGTATGGTCGGATTTTCCGTGGCTTGAAGGTAAAGCGCGCGCAGGAGCTGGGCATGGTGGGTGTCATTCTGTATGATGATCCCGAGTCCGATGGCGAGATCACGGAGGAGAATGGGTACCTGGCCTATCCTGATGGACCGGCTAGGAACCCGAGTGCCGTGCAGCGGGGAAGTACCCAGTTCTTGAGTAAGTGGTGTCTGGATTGATCTGGGATGTGTGCTGATCTGATGTAGGCATAGCACCGGGTGACCCGACCACTCCTGGATATCCCTCTCTTCCGGGCTGTGAACGTCAGGATCCGTTCAACTCCATCCCCTCGATCCCCTCACTTCCGATTTCATACAAAGAGGTGATCCCTCTCCTGAAGGCTTTGAATGGACACGGTCCCAAGGCGTCCGACTTCAATGAATGGTGGCAGGGCGGTAAGCTGGGCAGCAAGGGCGTTGAGTACTACATCGGTCCCACGCCGGATGATGTCCAGATCAATCTGTACAATGACCAAGAGTATGTGACGACACCCTTGTGGAACGTCATTGGTGTCATCAAGGGTGCAATCCCCGACGAGGTGGTGATTATGGGCAACCACCGCGATGCTTGGATCGCCGGTGGCGCCGGAGACCCGAACAGCGGATCTGCGGCCCTTAATGAAGTCGTCCGCAGCTTCGGAGAGGCGCTCAAGGCCGGCTGGAAGCCGCTCCGGACCATTGTGTTTGCCAGCTGGGACGGCGAGGAGTATGGCTTGCTCGGATCCACGGAGTGGGTGGAGGAGCAGCTTCCCTGGCTGTCCAAGGCCAACATTGCTTACCTCAACGTGGACGTGGCTGCGTCGGGAACGAACCTTCACCCGACGGCCAGCCCGCTGCTGAACAAGCTGATCTACGAGGTCACCGGGCTGGTGCAGTCCCCCAACCAGACCGTGCCTGGACAGACGGTCCGGGATGTGTGGAATGGCCACATTGGCACAATGGGCAGTGGCAGTGACTTTACGGCCTTCCAGGACTTTGCCGGCGTGGCGAGCTACGACCTCGGGTTTAGCCGTGGCCCTGAGGACCCGGTGTACCACTACCACTCGAACTACGACAGCTTCGACTGGATGGACCGGTTCGGCGATCCGGGCTGGAAGTACCATGAAGCGTGCACCAAGATCTGGGCGCTGGCGGCGGCCAAGCTGGTGGAGACACCGGTACTGGCGTTCAATGCGACGGACTACGCGTTTGGCCTGGAGGGATACCTGGACAAGATCAAGCCCGCGGCGAAGCAGCTGCCTGCCGGAGTGTCGTTTGACTTTGGGCCTCTGGACGCCGCGATCAGCGAGTTCCAGGCGGTGGCAGCCAAGTTTGATGCCTACGCGGCGGACTTGAGTGAGCAGCTGGGCGAGGACGTGCCGTGGTACCACTGGTGGAAGAAGGTGAAGTTGTACTTCCAAATCCGGGTGGTGAACGACAAGTACAAGGGAATTGAGCGGCAGTTCCTGTACCAGCCAGGATTGGATGGACGTAACTGGTTCAAGCACGTGGTGTTTGCACCGGGCATCTGGACGGGCTACGCGGGAGCGACGTACCCGGGCTTGGTGGAGAGCTTGGAGGCGGGAGATTTGTCCAACTCGCAGGTAAGTGCGGCCCGGAGAATTGAGATTCGGGGCTAACGAATCATAGAAATGGCGCTCGATTATCCTGGAGCGTATCGAGGCGGCTACGAAGCTGCTGCAGTAGGTCAGATGGACTTGTGTCTGGTGTGATTGGAGGCGTCGGTAGAGAGGATCCGAGCGGGATGCCAGGTGACTGAGGTGCGTGGAAGCAAGGAGTCAAGGGATGTGTTGGATGGATAGATCAGGATCTGTCTTGTTGGTACGGAGTACTTGGTAGAGGCAGTAGACTAGTGTAGATAGATCGATAGTGGCAGCGGCGGAAATGAAGGCGGGCAGTGCTGGAGCCCACAGCTTATCTTGGGCCGTGGAGGCTTCATCATTCAGGGCTTCCCCGCCGGAGATCGACCCACCGACGGCGCATTTTAGAGGCCTTTAGTTCGTACTGTCTGCCGAGTGCCGACTAGCCTGTCGCCCGTCTTTTCTTTCTGCTTGTCTTACTTCTGCTGCTCCAATCTCTTTCTTTCTTTCTTTCTTTCTTTCTTTCTTTCTTTCTTTCTCTCTTTCTCTCTTTCTTCTCCAACTCGAAGTTGTTGCCGTCGCCATGTTGGAGAAAACCCCCCGGCTGCCAGTGCGGCAGCTGGTCATTCTCTGTATGTTCTTTCTCTGTTAGATGCGTAAACACATGAGAGTATACTGACCGACTCAGCAATATGTCGCTTCGCAGAGCCTGGTATGTCGTGATTTGTCCCTGACTCATATCATCTCTCACAGTCAATCAGTCGTTATCACCTCTGTCCTTCCCTATCTCGTAAGTCCCCTTCTTTCTCACCCATATTCCCTCCTAACTCACGAATGTAGCCCGAAATGATCGAATACGTTGGCGTGCCCAAAAGCGATGTCGCCAAATGGGTCGGCATCACCTCGGCCGTGGCCTCCATCTGCCAGGCCGCCATGGCCGTGTCCTGGGGCACAGCATCCGACTCGGTCGGCCGTAAACCCATCATCCTAATCGGACTCACCTGCACCATGTTCTTCTCGCTGATGTTCGGCTTCTCCCAAACCCTGGGCATGTTGGTCGTATCGCGCGCGTTTCTCGGTCTGATGAACGGGAACGTGGGGATTATTCGCACCATGGTGGCGGAGATGGTTCCGGAGAAGGAGTTGCAGCCGAGGGCGTTTAGTATCATGCCGTTGGTGTGGACGATTGGAAGTATTTTTGGCCCGGCGTTTGGCGGCGCTCTTGCTCGGCCGGCAGAGAAACATCCGGATTTGTTTGGAGATTCGGTGTTTTTGAGAAGATATCCGTTTGCGTTGCCGAATATTGCCTCGGCGTGCTTTTTTGTCGTGGGGATTACGACGGGGTTTTTGTTCTTGCAGGTATGTTTGCCTGGTTGGTGGTTGGTGCTGGTGGGTGTGGGTGTGCTGATTGGTATAGGAAACGTTGGCTGCGAAGAAAAATCATCGTGATTATGGGTTGGTGCTGGGCGAGGCCCTGACGAGCTCGTGTGCTTCGCGACGAAAGTCGCATGTGCAGGATGGCGAAAGGGCTGCGCTGTTGGGGCCCCGGAAGAAGAAGCCGGTTAAGCGGCCCAGTTGGGCAGAGGTGTTCTCGCCACAGTCGCGCCGGGTTTTGTTGGCGTATGCGCTCATGTCGATGCATACGATGGCGTTTGACTCGTTGCTGCCGGTATTTCTGCATAATCCGGTGCAGGAGTTTGAGGGGAACCCGGACGTGCGATTGCCGTTCAAGTTTGTGGGCGGGTTTGGCGTGGGTAGGTAACTGCTTCTGATGATGGAGATGTCCACTGACGAGAGTAGATTCCCAAACCATCGGCATCTTTTACACCCTTATTGGCATCATCGGCATGGTCGTCCAGTTTCTGGTATTCCCGTGGGCTGCGAAACGCTACGGGGTGCTCAATTGCGTCAAGGTCGTGGCAACGGTCTTCCCAATCCTGTACCTGCTGACCCCATTCACGGCACTCGTGCCTGAGCCACTGCGCAACATAACAGTATTCTTCCTCATGCTGGGGAAACTGTCGGCGTCGATCTTCGGGTTCCCGTGTACAACGATCCTGTTGACCAACTCGGCCACGAGTCTGAGTGTGCTGGGCACATTGAACGGCGTGGGCACGAGTGTGAGTGCCATTGGACGGGCCGTGGGGCCGGCAGTGACGGGGCAGGCGTTCACGTATGGAGTCAAGCAGGGATATATTCTGATTCCGTGGTGGATGCTAGCGGTGTTTGGGGCGTTGAGTGCGATTCCAGTGTTTTATACGGAAGAGTCGGATGGGTTTCATGCGGAGGAGGAGGAGGTTGATGCTAATGAGGGGGAGGCAGAGGTAGAAGAAAGAGAAGAAGGACAAGGATATGGAGCAACTGCGGTGAGTGCCCGGTAAGGTGTTGGACAAAAGTTTTGCATGTGTGATGATTCTTATGCCCCCCACCCCATCTTCAGGGTGAACTCTGATGTAAAAACCTAGATTGTGATATTGTGAGCGTGGAGTCTACTTCTATTGAGCTTTTGTCTTTATTCCAAAAACAGCATTATGAAAAAGCAGCCCAAATGAAAGGTATCTACTGTGATTATACTAAAACTAACTCAAGGCTTGATATAACTAGTACTAGTATTAGCACATACCATTTTTATACTATACTTATCTATACACACAAATAAACAACTAGATAGAGAATAATGCAGTAATAACTATACCCTAAAATAACCTCAAAAGTAACCAACGGACACACATAGTACCCATTACCATCCCATATATCCAACAACCTGACCAACCACAATACCAAAGATCTTCCCATCCTCCCATCTGCCCATTGCACTCATACATACTCAAAACAAAATACTAATAAAGAAAACAAAGTATAGAAATGCTACACAATCAAAATACAATATGTTTAATGTAGTACGGAGTACGATGTAGATAATATGGATCCCGCACCTGCATAACCATCCACCAATAAGCGACGAGGGAATGAATCCATTCCACCCGCGCGGATCATGCCATCATTCCATTCGTCCCATCTTCTTTCTACCTATCGTACCTGGACTACCTACCTACCTACCTACTTCTCTCATTATATCTACACTACATCTACATCTACATCTCTACACAATACAACCAAAATGGTACGTCCACAACCACAACCACAACCACAACCCCACATAATCATACTCCTCTCCTCTCCTCTCCTCTTCCCTCCACCCCAGTCCCCAAACACATTCCCAACTCCCAACTCCCAACTAACATACAAACCAAACCAGTCCCTCCAAACCACCACCTCCCTAACTCTCTCCCTTCTCGTCTCCCTAGGCGGTATAATCGGCTACATTCGCACAAAATCCCTCCCGTCAATCATCGCCGGTCTATCCATCGGAACCCTCTACCTGCTGAGCTATCTTCGTCTTCGGGCCGGTCAACCCTACGGAATTGAGATCGCTTTCGTCGCGTCGTTGGTACTAGGTGGGGCGTCGATCCCCAGGGCGATTAAGTCGAGGAAGACGGTGCCGAGTGTGTTGAGTTTGTTGGCTGTTGTTGGGATGGTGGTTTTTGGGAGTCGGGTTGGGAAGTAATTTATTGGGTTTGGGGGGAGGTTGAGGGTGAGGGAGGAGGTATAAGACGGAGTGGGGGGGTATGGATACTGGCTACTGGTAGTGGTGAAGTGCTGCTATGGTGGTGAAATACAACTGTAATAGTGCTGGCATTGCTGGCATGGTATGGTAACAAGTGGTCATTGTGATGCTGCTAAATAGCAGGATAAGTTCTAGGCTACTGGCAGTCGATAAATCATGGCGATATGCCTACCTTGACTTGGACTTACAGTTTTTCTCGTCTCCTTAGTCAAGGTCGTGCCCGACTTCACTTTACAAACCTCACCTCGCATCGGACCCTACATCCAGTCAAGGACAACCCAATCAGCGGAACGACTGAACTTAGCTGCATGTACCGATGTACCTCATGCCGTAGAACCTGTAGGCTGGCATGCTCGATGCTTATGCATCCGCCGGATCCCCCAATGCTTCCACTCGCATCGTCCCAACCACCGTCGACGCCGGAACCTCTTCCACCGCCGTCTCTTCTGCGGGAACATATGCGTACCTTGCCAACCGTGCCATCTTCTCCTCCGGGCTGATCTCGTTGTCCGAATACACCAGGCGCGCCTTCGACTTGTCCTTCTTCGGCTTCTCCTCGCTCTTCTTCTCCTTGTCCGCCGCCGCCTCCGCCTGTTTCGCTGCTCCTGTGATCAGGTCGTCCACTGAGGTAGAAATCGTATTTTCCGCAAGCTTGTCGCCGTTCAGCCCCGCCGCGTGTCCCATGTGCATTTGTTGCATCTGGTACGCATTGACCGGAGGCGCCGCCACCGCTGGCCGTTGCGGCAAGTTCGGCGGTGTTGGTAGACTTCCCGATCGTGGCGGGAAGCCCGTCGTCTGTGGAGGGGTATGTGTCTGGACGGGTGGCTGCGCCGGGAACGCGGATGGTGTCGCATATGCCTGGGGCGTGCCTGTAAATGGCTGCGGCGAGTATCCCGCGGGCGGGAACTGTGTGGGAGGAGGAAATTGTTGTTGTCCCGGAGAAAAGGTCGGATACACGGGGCTGGCGGTTTGGGGATACGGGGAAGCCGTGCCGTAGGGCTGGGGGTATGCAGCAGTTTGACCCTGCGCATGTTAGTGAATATATCAAACCGAGCAAGCGGAGCACTCACAAATCCACCCACATTTGGTGTCTGTCCTCCACCCACTGGCATCTGCCCACCCACTGGCATCTGTCCACCCACCGGCATCTGTCCTGCACCCACCGGCGTCGCCTCACCACTACTCCCCCCCGTCCGGGCCTCCGCCTTCTTGGCCTTGTGCTCCGCCAGTCGCTTCTTCAGGTCCGACACGCTCTCGAGCTTAGGCTTCTTCGCCGGCTGGCCGCCGAGCCCGGTTCCCGCAGGCGGGTTGCCCGTCACGGCCTGCCGCTCGGCCTCTGCCTGCTGGAACTGGGTGGCCACGCGCTGGTGGTGCGCCTGGATGATGTCTTCGGGCACGCCTTCCATGCCGAAGATCTCGACGTCGAGACTAGACCGATTGGGGAGTGCATTGTCGACGGCCGACAGCTGCTCCTTGTGGACCTGGCTCATGTGCACCGACAGACCTGCGCGATTAGTAGAGATCATCAGAACGCGATGGAGCACCCACCTCCGGCGGTGTTCAATCGGCGGCCGCAGCGCTCGCACTTGAAATGCTTGGCCTTCTGATGGGAGATGAGGATCTTGAGGTCGTCAAAGTCGCGCTCACAGTAGTAGCACCACGGCCGAGCCATCAGCTCGTCCAGGGTGGGACCGCGTCTTTTCTTGCCCATGTTGTCAGTCGCGTAAAGGCGGTGTAATCCGTTGATGGGAGTTGATGAAGTCGCCGTCGCCGCCGGAGTTGATGAGGCGCGGATGAGGTCCCCGTCACGTGGAGGTCAGGTGACGGGCGTTTACTCGATGTCATAGGCTCCGCTCCGTCTCTATGCAGCCAGCAGATAGTAGCAAATAGCATCCGTCATATGATACACCTCGTTTTCACTAGCCCTCCAATGTACACCTGCCAATATTCACACCTCCGTCCAATCCACCCAGAAATCACATCCGGCGCCTCGCTAAAACACGCTAACTAAATCAAAGCAATTCTCAACTGATGGTACATATGAACAACCCATTAGATATACACCCTCTATTAGATTCCTCCTCCACCCGCCTTCACGTTGGCCGCGGGTGCGATGGTGGAAGCCCTGGAGCAGGCGCCCCGTAAGGACTGTAGTAATCGGGATACGGAGTGCGGTATGGCTGGAGCGGCGCTTGCTGCAGAAGCCCATGCGGTCCAGGAAACGGTGCCACCGTTCGAGGATCGATCGGGGAGTAAGGCGGGAGCGACGGCCGAGGAGCCGCAATCGGCGCCAGCTGGTGATGCGTAGGACCAGGGGCCAGCAGCGTCGACGCAGGCATGGGCGCCGGGGCGATGCCAGCGTTGGGTCTAGCCGGCTCGCCATACACCCCGCCCTCGGGCTTCTTCTTGAGTTTGCCCGGCTTCGGGGGCTCCGTCGCCTTCCTGGCCGCCTCCGCCGCCCGATCGGCCTCGATCTGCGCCTTGGACCGTTTGGGATTGCGCACTCGACCCTCCCGGTTGAACCGCGCCCAGTGGTTCAGCATTGCCTCCGTTCGCTTCGGGTTCTTCGAGTTGGCGATCTTCTGTCTTCGGGCCTGCTCGGCCGGGTCCATCCCGTCCCCCTGCGCTCCAACCGGAGAGTCGGCAGGAGCCACAGTCACCGCGGGCGCCGGTTCAATCAGGGCCAGATGGGTGGTGGGCGGCCGGGCTTGAAGGCCAGGAGCGTTTTCAACCCGTCCGGATGATGGCCGGGCAACCGAGGTCATAGCTGTCAATTGCTGGGAGGGCTCCGTCGAAATAAAAGCCCCAACGCGAGCAGCGCCTCTCCCACGCCCGCGCCCACTACCACGTCCGCGCAGCGCGCCTCGGGTGGGAATAGACACCAGGCCATCGTCGTCGGTGCCCGGACGACGGCCACGTGTGCGCCGCCGGACCCCATACTCTTCGACATCGGTCTGAGTAGGTGTCTCGACGGCGGCTTCGTCGGACCCCGAGGCTGCCATCTCCCGGTTGGCCGCCTCCAGCTCCGCGGCTTTGCGCTTGCGAGTCGCCTTGCCGACGAACTCTTCGCGCGGCGGGTTCTGGAACTTGGGCACGTGTTCGACCCCGAAACGCATGATCGTCCGCCAGCCATCCGGGTTGGGGTGGTTCGCCCCGATCTTGGCCGTCATCTTTCGAAATTGGGCTGGCGTCGGTTTGAACCCGCCCTGCGTAAACGGGTTCTGGCTGCCTACCTTGTCCTCCTTGGCCTCGTATTTGTAGCCATACAGCATGGCCTCCTTCTTGTCTTCAAAGACCTGAGGTCGGAGCAGCTTCCTGGGGTCACTGATCGGTTTGGCGTTGTGCCGCGTCGCCAGCTTGTGTAGCTTTTCGATGGCTAGGTACTCATCCTGCCAGGCTTTCAGGGCATAAGCAACGTTTTCCGTAATGGCATACAACTCTTCCGTCGAGCGCTGCTCAGGGTCCCGCAGCTGGGCCAGAAAGTCTTCCAAGGCCGTGATTTCGAGAAACTCCCCTTTGGCCGCCTTGGGCTTCCGATACGGTTCGGGGCGTTCCGCAAATTCGACAGTCTCGCGTTTCTTCGTACGCTTCGGGTCCTGGAGGACCGCGGTCCAGGATTGGTCCAGGCTGGTCGCTTTCTCGTCATAGTCGCTGGAGAAGTTGCGGATGTCATGGACGTTCCACAAATTTTGGAGACGTTGATCCAGCGTAATTGGATCCTGGTCGCGCGAGAATTCATGCAGTTGATTCGAAAGCGCGTCGGCTTCAGGGCCGTCGGCCTCCAGATCGTCGCCATCGAGGCTTGGGTCTTTGTCGTGGTAAGTTCCTCCAGTCACGCCATTCTCCGTCACTTCGGCATGGTCTTCACCTTCAACCTCACTCTCAGACACTGCAACACTGTCCTCGGCCTGTTCATCGGCTTCCAGGAGCTGAGAGTCCTCGTCCTCGCCATACAGGGAGATCTTGGCAACGTGCGAGTGCACGGAAGCTATGTGGTTTTTCAGAGCCTCGCTTGGATCGAAGCCATCAGCTGGCTCAAAGTACTTGGTACACCGTGGGCATTCAAATGGGTGAGCCACGGGGGAGGGCGAGGGGGAGGCCTGGGTAGACGTTGAGCGAGCATGTATGGGCTCGGAGAATTGTCGGCGCAGTGGAGAGTCCTGGCTAGCCAAGTCCGAAGTATGGCTGTCCACTTCAGCCTCATTCTGGGGGACCGGGGCCATGGTGAACGCAGGAGAGAAAACAAAGAAAGAATCAAATAATAATAAAAGTACCGGCGAAGGGAGCAAGATCCTCTCCGCGAGGCCCAAGGTGGGATCTGGCTATAGTGTTAGTCGACTAAGTTCCGGCTGAAAAGTTCGCTTGCGGCGCCAAGACGCCAGAAGTAACTGCAGCGCAATCTTCTACTCCAGACGTCCCGAGGCCTAAGGGAGGGCAAAAGAAACAAAGCACAGACAAGAAATCAGACGAGAGAGGGGCATGAGGAATTGGGCCGCGCTCCATGGTGCGATGAACGGCCGTTGACAGAAACGTGGCAGACATGGCTCTGGGCAAGCACCAGTAGACGTAGGTAGTATGGGTCAGGCAGGTGATATGTAACATACCTTTGGGCAAGAGAAATCCGAGCCAGTCTGTGCAAGAAGTAGAGACAAGATGGGCAACGTGCTAGGAGAAACCCTCTCCCAGACACAAAAAGAAAAAAAACAGAGCAGAAGTGGTTTGTTTGATGTGTTCACCGTGAATGCCGCGAACGGTTGGCAGGGATAGTAAGTGCCCAGTGGTAGTTCTGGAACAGGAAAACTAGAAGCCGAGCGGGTAAGCAGAAAAAGTATGCGGCCACCACGCTCGCGACAGGACACCGAATGAAACAGAAAAGATCTAGATGGTAGGAGAAAGTATAAATCCACCGCCGCGGGATTGAGGGCACTGGCAGGCTGGGCGTGCTATGAGGATGCTGGAAGAGTCGGGGGAAGTGTAAAGTGTGAGGGAAGCTCTCTGGTAGTGGAAGTATGAGGTCTTGACGGAATGGGGGAGACGGGCGAAGGCGAAAGAGGGAGTGCAAAGAAGAATGAAAGGGAGACGGCCGGAGGGAAATACCAGGAGGAACACCGCCAGCAGCACAGTACTAACACTAAACCAGGAGTTTGTAGCAACAGTAGAGGTCTGTTGTGGGAGGATTGGAAGCAGTGAATTGCTGGGGGCGGGAAAGAAAAAGACTTGGGTTTGTAGAACCAGCAGGTCGCCTTCACCATGATCTAGTAGTAGTTGGAGCAAAGTAGTAGTAGTCGTCGAGTAGTCAAGTAAAGTAAAGTAAAGTAAAGACCCGTCCGTCTCTCTCCCATTCGGGGCCGCCGTCCCAGCCTGGTACGCGCCATACGCCCATTACCTTATTTTACTGTATGGACCCACCGGCAGAGCCAATCGATGCTCCGATTCTGCCCGGAAAAAGACCATCTCCGGATAGATCCCCGTCACGCAGGCGCCGTAGTCTTGATAAGGCCAATCAGATCGCCCACTGTTGGCTACTCGTCTGTTACCGGACAATACCCCCAGACCAGTTCCAGGTCGTATACCTCGATCGATGCCCGTGAAGGAGTCGAGTCGGTCGGTAGTTGATGCTGGGGATCTTTTTCCCCTGGATGCCCGGGGAGGCACCCTGGTCCGGACCAAGGAGACGTAGTACATAGGATAAACCGGTAACCCCTCGTGGGGACCAGTGGTAGACCAGTCCGCCTGGCGTCAACTTCCTCTCATCGTTCGGGTTGTCAAAACTAAAAAGGAGGATACTACTATTACTAGATGGACACCCACTGTGTCCCTGCTTGAATCATGGGGGCTGTACCGTTACCCAGCATACGTGACATCATCTACTCCTGGTATGGTCTACAGAGTCCCTGGTCGGTCCCGACACCGTACACAATGTCTCCTGAATACACCTTGTGGCGAGGTATCCAGGGTCCCATTCCAGTTGCAAACAAAGAGCATGGGCAATAGGAGAAATGGGCTGATGGTAGTCGGGAGCGACCAGTTAAATTGCAGTGGTTAAGCAACCCTCACGGAATGTCTCGGTAACAAACCATGCTGAAAGCATGTTATGGAGTAAGACGAGCGGGGGAGAAGAACGAGGCCCGGCAGGTTCTGACATGGGAACTAGGTAGCTGGTACTAGGGTGGACCCAGTCTTTTGCACTGCATCATTGTGCCATTAGTCTTCTATCAGTCAGTATACTCCGTATCTTCTCAATGTCCACCTAATCCTGGTGTTATCTGTTATCATCGCGGCTCTATCGATACTGTCTTACACAATCCAACCTCGGGTGGAATCTGATACTGCATGCATGCTAATCCTGGAGTAATCCACTTTGCTTCATAAACAACTCAATTGTTCTTCTCGCCCACATCCAACGCAACCAAAAACCGACTCACACAGTTGTACGCAGCGGCCGTAGTCGTAATCTCCACTACTTCCCGATCATCAAAGTGTGTCTTGACCTCCTGGAAGATTTCCTCCGGTACCGTCACCGTTTTGGTCATGGCGTCCGTATACTTCAACACTGCACCCTCCTCCCGACTCAACACTTTGTACTGTACAAGCCGAGGAATATCCAGGTTCACGTCGCGGATGGCCTGCATTGCTTCCTCGGGAAACCCGCCTTCTTTCAGCAGCGGCGCATGCTGTTCCCATTCAAACTCCGCCCCATTGAGAACTGCCACGCGACAGATAATCAATTCACGGATAACGGGCGAGAGGCTGGTCCGGGACCGGATGGCGCCCAGAAACGTGTTCCATCCCTCAGCAATGGGAAATGAGTGCAGGAGAGCCAGGTCCAGTGGTAGGAGTTCCCCGGGGGCTCGTCGCGCCTGCATACGAGCGAGGATGTCGGCTTCCTCAGGGGTGCTTGTAGGCGGGGGGTTGGAAACATATGGGAGACGCATGATGTTTCTCTTGGTGTGTACAGTAGATATTCCTATGCAAGCATTAACGGGAGCACTGGGTTAACAAGCAGGGGGCTGTGTGTAACAAGTAAAGGGAGCAGCAGTACCTGTGTTCCAGTAATATACGATTAGACAGGGGGTGGCACACTGAAATCTGTAACGGTAGTCTGCCGGATGCTTAAGACTGGACCTCGACTCTATTTATGCAGGACGAGCTGGGTGGGGAGGCCATTGCTTCTTCCTTCCTAGTTGACACGATTGGTGTGCTTATCTGTTTCTCCCCTCGTTGGGTAGCAGATCGTGCATACTGTTACTAAAAATCTGATTCACATTTTTAATCGATTTCCTGGTTGCCAGACTTGGCCTAGGAAGTTGAGATATGTATATTTTGACTCATGCAAAGCACCGACCCGTAGATTATCTATTTATAGTGTTCTGTCTCGACACCACACACCTGCATTCCCTAAACGTCGTGCATCAAGCTGCACCAATCAATGAGAATTGACTCCTGTATCTATCTCTGAATAATCACCCAGCTGCTATCTATAATCTCCCTAACTGGCGTTGATGGCGTGGACGAGAGATATGTACATCAGCCACGCGCTAAGGCCTCTTGGCGCAGGTCATCCGCGCTCCACCGCCCAACATCGTTTCCCCAGAGCTCCAGCTGCCTTGGATCTCTCCTCCCATCCTCCCTCCATCGCACCACATCATCGGACCCCATAGTCTGCGGAAGTTCTCACGATGCGCCCCAAGGCTTCAAAACCCACCAGCGATGAGCTCCTCGCTCAATTTGATGACCTGGGGGTCGACTCCGCCTCCGAGCAGGAGTCCTCCAAAACAACCCCCAAGCCCACCACGGCTCAGTCCGAGCAAGACATTCTCGCCGAACTGGACAACCTTGCCTCCCAACGCCCCGGCAGTGGTCCAGGCACCCCGCGCGTGTCGACCAACGAACCTAGACCAATCATCAAGTCCCCTAAACCGGCCGCCACAACTGTGACCCCATCCACCGGCCGTTCTAGTGAAGAGAAACAGGCACCTCGTAAGTCGGGGGAAAGCGCCCGGGTGTCTTTTACGGAGAAGAGAGCTGCCGATATACAAAAGCCCGAGCCCGAGCCCGAGAAGCCGGCAGTTCAGGAGAAAGCTACCTCGGGCGGTGGCGGCGGAGGATGGTGGGGTGGTATCTTTGCAACGGCCACCGCAACAGCCAGCGCTGCCATGAAGCAGGCTGAGGCGGCTGTCAAGGAGATTCAGCAGAACGAGGAGGCTCAGAAATGGGCTCAACAGCTTCAAGGGAATGTTGGAGCTTTGAAAGACCTAGGTGATTATCTACGTGTAACCGCCTTGTACATGGTTGCTAACAAGGCCTCCAGGTGGGGAGCTGCGCAACATGGCTCTTCCTACATTTACCTCTCTCATCCACACACTCGCTCCTCCGATCTCGTCTCACGAACGTCTCCAAATCCATGTTACACACGATCTTTCTGGGTATCCCAGCATCGACCCTCTGGTATACGCGGTCTTCTCGCGTGTGATGGCCCAGGTAGAAGGCGGGGACCTCCTCGTCATCCAGCGGGGTCAGGAGTCAGCCCCGAAGCGCGGACTGGACATCGGTGGCATCCAGTTCTCTGGCCCTGGCTGGCATGACGGTCCGTGGTGGCGCACCGTGACACCCGGCAACCCTCGCACTCTGGCGGCCATCCGCGGCACCGTCGAGGCCACCAAGCTGGCACGGGCCAGCGCCGAAGCGTATGCTACCGAGTATTTCTCTGCCAAGGGCGGCGTAGAGGCGGCTGCAAAGCAAGCCACACAGGATCTCAGCGAAACCAACCCGGTCCGCAGCAGCGACATCTTCCTGGCGATCCAGGCCATCAGCCAGACCACCTCGACCGAACTCTTCCAGGCAGGTCCCACGACGGACCAGGCCACCCCGGGAGTGGTCGATGTTCCTGAAGCCGCCGAGGAAGAGGTGGTGTTCGCTCTGTATCTTCACGATCCCATTCACGGGATTGCCTTCCACACGCTCTCACAAGCCATCCCTCAGAAATGGATCGACTGGCTCGAGACCCCGGCCATCCCAGTCGAGGACCCGGAGGGCGAGGACGCCAGCGTCCCTCGTACCACGATCCCGGATGAAATCGCGGACATCATCGATAATGGCGGCGTCGACCCTCGGGAGTGGGCATCCGAGTGGATCGAAGAATGCCTGTCGCTGGCGGCCGGGGTGGTTGCACAGCGCTACGTGGCGCGGAGAATGGGGGTGGGCGAGGGCGGACCGGCCAAGGGCAAGATGCGTGCTGAGCAGGCATCCGTGGTGGACAGTGGCGCGGGCGAGGCTGCGCGGGCGCTTTAGAGTTGCGGTATCGATCAATTGTCTATCGTATTTGCGTCTTTCTTTTTTTTAATGACCACATGATATGACGCCCCCACACATTTCATATTCTCACCTTATTTTTATTCTGTTGTATTGACTATCGAGTCATGGCAGCTAATCCATTCCCATTCCAACCTTCCCAACTCGGCGTCTACAATACAATCAATTAGTTAGTTAGTTACCCAAACAACCCAGTATCACTGTACATACGAACCATCCATACATCCTTACCATCTACAACATTCCTCTCCCCACTCATACATCTTCCACAATGCCGAAGAAAATAAAAATAAAAATAAAAGCATACCCCCACTTCCACCGAGAATAATAGAAAGATAAAACTCAGTCATAGATTTCAAGAAACCTAAGAGGTAGCAAAACATGAACCTTTGCGGGTATCTAGGTAGTAGTAGTAGTAATAGTAGTAGTAGTAGTAGTAGTAGGAGTAGGACAGATCCTGATCACATATACGATTTCATCCAACCATCAAGCCGAACGTTCCATTCCATCAGTCAGTCAGTCAGTCATCATGCATCATCCAAATGCAATAGGCCTTCTAGGCCAGGTACGTGCCAGAAGTTGGCGCGTAGGGCGGTGACACTATAAGAATTAGCATCGCTATCATCATAGAAGGGAAGGGAAAAGGGAATAGAAGAGAGCATGAGTGAACTGACCTGGTATTCCCACTCAACACGGTGTGCGCATCCGTTCCTTCGGCACTCTCCTGCAACGCCTTCTTCATATCGGATAACTCGGCGGCCCAGGCGAAATCACGCTGTTTGAGACCGGAGCGTTTGGGTGTCGGTGTCTTTGAAGGGGTGGTGGTGGTGGTGCCATTGACGTCTCCGTTGGTTTCTTCACTAGTAGAGGTGGTGGTGGTGGTGGTGTGACCGTTCGTCAAAACAGGAGCCTTATCACTCGACACCTCCGAGTACAAGTATCCTCGAGCCCAGTAATACGGATAAGTGCGGGTCCAGACAACAGGTCTGGATTCGACGTCAGCGCGCATGGGCACGTTCACATTGTAGAGTTCGACCTGGTCATCCCAGTTGCGGATCAGATGGTTGACGACACGGACGGCGAGACGGGCCGCGGCATGGATGATGTCGAGGGGCTGTTCGTCTTTGCTGCCGAAGGAGATGGCAATTCCGCGCTTGCCGCACGTGGCAGCCTCTAGGGCGCCGCCGACGGTGCCGGACGAGAGGTTGTAGATGGTGGAGGCGTTGCGGCCGTGGTTGGGGCCGGAGATCACCAGATCGATGGGGCCGCGGTCGGCGAAGAGGTTGTGTAGGCCGAGCTGGACGCAGCTGGCGGGAGTGCCGTTGGTGATCACGACCCAGTCGCGGGAGTCAGAGGGGGAGTCGGAGGCTTCATCGTCGGCTGGGTAGGAGTCGTCCCAGGTGCCGTCGCCGCGGAAGGCGGCCAAGGGCACGTAGGTGGCTTTCAGAGAGGCTTCGATCAAATGGGCCTTGCCGATCCAGGAGCGGGAGGCGGCGGGAATGGCCACGGAGATGCGGTGGCCGGCGGACTCGAGCGCCGTCACTAGTGGCTCGATGTATGGCGACAGCCGGCGGGACGGCGGTCCATCGTCGTTGACCACCTGATGGGTTGGGGGCCCTCTGGTTAGTTGGGTTTATCCTTCGGAAGGTGGGAATAATTGGCGGTGGAATTGAATTTTTTTTTAATGGTGCATGACAGTGATGAAGGATGAGGGAAGAAGAAAAAAGCAAAACATACCAATATATGCATGTTGAATGGGAGTCTATAGGTTGGATTCGCTTGGCGAAGAAGAAGAAGAGAATAAGGAAGAATTGGATTGATTGACTGATTGATTGATCTCGGACTTGGAACCGGATTTTGCCCAGCAGCGACTATTATTCCCACACACTCGCTCTACTCGATGGGTCCGCCCTTAGTGTTCTGGAGAGAAGAATTGCTTCTGCTCTCAGGGCATTTGAAAGTCCCCCCCAGACATACGGTATTTATAGGGACGATCTGGCTGGGTAATCGTTGAGCCCGGCAGCCATTTTCGATCACCGTTTACCCCGACCTCGAAGAGAAACCGGGGAGAAACTGGCCTCCATCTCCAAATCGGTCACGGTGAAGCTGTTGTGCTGCGGGGGGCGTTGCACTTCCAGACGTCAACGCTGGTCGCGAGCCTCCGTCATGACCCTGACCGGACCTGTATGGTACGGACAAGGTCCGCCCATTCGGTGTAATGACGGAGAAAGATTACCGTATGAGACGAAACGGGACGGAGAGTCACCGAGGCCCGCCGAAAAGAGGCTGCGGTGAAGAAGCCCTGAAGACGAAGAGTTGCACTCGTGGGGAAGAATCGGACCATCCACGAATGGACCATTTCCAAGGGGAAAAATCTCCGGCCCAGAGACTCGGCAGAGACGGTCAGCTGGGTCAGCTGAGAGGGTTGAGGCTGGCCGGGTATTTGTTTAGATAATAGATTGGAATCCGTCCGAAGATCTGAAAAATCATCGTGTGCAGAAGAAGTGAGGTCCTCCTCACTAGTAATATGGAACCTCCATAGTCCATGGTAGGTAGATGGCCAGTAGTCGGAGATATGGAGGAGTCTGGAGTCTGAAGACTAAGAGGGATGAAAAGTACCCCGTAGCATCAGGAACCCGCCAGGGCCCGCACAAAAGGAACAACAACAATCAGGCGGCATGTTCACTACTACTGCAGTTCGGTGCAACGATCTCCTCAGATTTCCCAGATTAGGTACATTAAGGTCCAGGCAAATCCGATAGGGAGAATGCGGTCGCCAATCATTGGCATCCCAAGGGATACTCCTACACACCTCTGCATGGCTGAAGCGCTGAAGACCCCTAGTGTCTGCATACTTCCCAGGTAGGGGACTTTAAGACACCTTAGTCCGAGCAGGCTTATCTAGGAGTGAGGATAGTATCATCTATTCGGGCCAAACGGTCCTGGGCGTGCGCGTCCTCGACTCCTCCTAGGCTCCCTACACAATATGGAGTAAGCCAACAACAAGACCACACGCCGGTGTGTGCGGTGTTTGTAGGCTCACGAGTCACGATGGCCCCGTGCCCTATTATTGTCAATCTGAATTTTTCTTTTTTCAGACCCTGATGGGGCCACACTATGAATTTTATATGCGAGGCCTCGACCACCCACGATGGGCTTCTAGAATAAGAATCCAGACTACGAGTGCTTGGCCGCCCACCGCACACGCTGATTGCCCAGCAGCGCCTTGTTCTAAACAGAAAAGCAACCACGGTCCAATCCCACCGGCGCCAAGTTGCCAATCATTCCTCACGGCGGGTCTGCGACATCCACGCTGCGCGATGGCGTTGTGGTTAGATACTCCGTGGGAGCCGCGACCACCGGCACACTGATCCAGCGCGGAGGACAGCCCCCCGTAGTCGCTCTCAATGGGATGATTTTCTCGCGTAATCCGGGACTGTCATGTTGGCAGACAACGCTATCGCTTGCAAATCCGGCTTGGTCGCCCTCAACTCCTCCTCCCAGACCAGCCGGGCTCCTTGTCGGCGTAGGTGCAGTAGTTTCAGACGCGATGGACGATCCACGGGTGACCCCTCCTTGGACCGCAGCTGGTGAAAGGGGACCCCTGAGGATCAACCAGGATTGATGGCACAGATAGAGCGAGACAGTGGTGGATGCTGCATGTTCCCCTCACCTGTGACCAAGCCAGCTGCACGATAGATTAAGAGTAATGAGCGGCGAGCGAGTTATCTGGGTTGTTGCTATCTATTAGGGAAGTCAGATGGACGGGATGCCAGCTCGTGGAGCTGGTCTGTGCAGAGGCATCAGGGTTAATAATAAGAATAAAAATAAAAATAAAATAATCATAGTCATAAAATGTAAATGCAAGAATGCAAGCAGCACCTCGGAGGCCGATCGTCGCCAAATGGGAGGTGGGGAACCCAAACAGAACCAACCCAGTCGGTCCAAGTCAGTCAGCCACGGCCGCCGATTTTCTGCTCGCTTCACCATCTCCGATCAGCCTTCTTCTCTCCTCTTCTCTCTGATCTCCTTCGATCGCTCGCCCATCACCTTGTCATCACCATCATCATCATCACACCTACCACCACCACACCACCACTTCCACCCGACCTGCCCTATATCTAGCGACCTTCCTCCCCCCCCGCGAGTTGTCCCCCCCCCACTCCGTGTCTCCACGAAACCAACCAACCCACCGCTCCTCCGGTTCCCAACAGAATCAGGAACGCGCTAAAGACCTTGCCAGCTTCTTGAGGTCTTCTTACATCACCATCCCCTCTCTCGCCCCCTGTATGGACTGCGGGAGTACTGGAACGGCTGCGGGCATTGACCCCAAAATTCTCGATAACTGGCAATCGGATCCATTCTCTATATCTTCTTGGGAACATCATACGGATTACGACCAATCTCTGGAGTGGGACGCGAGCCCGGACTCGAGCCAGGGCGATGCGGATATCGTGGATCTGAATAGTCTCAACGGCCCCCTGTCGCGGGACCCCTCCGCAGTCCCCGTGGTAGGACAGCCGGGGGACTATCGAGGTAGTGAAAGCAGGTGCGGACTTTTCACCTTCCCCTAATCCTGGAGCTTCCGGCTGACGGCTGCCCCTCCGTGTAGCAAACATGCCGCCACCTCGCCCGGAAAGTTCAGCATCAACGATGGCCCCATCGAAGGCACCGTGAGTGGCACCATCAGCCCGAGGACCTTGCCTTCTTCCGCCGACGATAACTTCCACCTGGATGAGTCATGGCCGCCTTTCCAATTGTTCAACGCCATGACGGCGGGCCTCCCCATGGAGGCCCCCCTCCTTTACCCCTACGCCAAGGAGCCGACCTCCACCAATACGGTTATCGTTGAGGATGCTGGAGACCTGTCGCAGGGCCAAGGCCTGTCCGATGTTCCCTCGGACCAGTTCCTCTCCTTCCAGAATCTCCCCCAGGCCTTCCCGTTCTCGCCCGCGGAGCCCTGGACAGCACCGGCTGCCAGCGCGACCGCCGAGCACATGTCTAACTCCACCCCCGTATCGCTTTCCATGGGCCCACAGTCGACGGGCAAGCGTATCAGCCACATCCGAGACTACCAGGGGTCGATTCGGTCCCTGGATTCTCGCTGGCTCGATGGCCTCGAGTCCCAACTGCCCTCCAACATGACGTCCCCTGGATCCTTGTCTCTCCCCCCGGATGCGGCTTTCTTCAAGGAGGAGAGACACAACCAAGAGGGCTCGCAGTACAAATCCGAGAGCTCATCCGTCTCTGGGGACTTCCCCAGTGTCTACGACCCGTATTCCACGACCAACGACGAGATTCCCGCATTCGCTGAACGCCAATTGGAAGACGATGGACTATGGAAGAGTGCTCAGAAAGACAGCTCACCCCCCGAAACATCGCAGCCCCTTCAAAATGCCACTGCTTTCATGGTCAGCGAAGATCCGTCGGAGTCTTACTTCGTTCCAGTCTCTTCGCGGCCTAGAGCCTCGTCATCCGCGCAGAGGGCACCGGCCCGTCCACAAGCTCTCGCATTGCAATCGGTGGCTACGGTTAGGAAGCGCAAACAGCGCAATTCCAGCGTTCACCTGGATCAGAACCTGCCCAAGCCTCTGCAGATTGTGCAGGAGGACGGCCAAGGAGGATCCATTGCCTCCGCGGATTTCATCTCTCCTCCCCGTGGCGCACGCCGCAAGGGGCCCTTGTCTATGGTCGGTAGGGCGAACGCCGGATTGCGGAGGAAGAACAAGGATACGTGTGTTCAGTGTCGACTGAACAAGCGAAAGGTTTGTACCCGGTTGGCTAGAATGATGTATTCTGGGGCTAACAGGTACGCAAGTGCGATGGCAACGCCCCGTGTGATGCTTGCCGCCCTACGCTCCATGAACAGCCTTGCGCGCGCGCCTGCTTTGCGAACATTGTCGAGTACGGGACGTGCAATTATGTTTGTATGTTTGTCTTTGCTACTGTTGCTGGTTATCGTTGCTAACTTGCCCAGCTCAACGAGCCATCAACCATCCCACCGTGGATGGAACTCGACGTGTCCGGATGGACATTCCTTTCGAGTTCGACCTCAATGATCTGATCTCGTTCCTCGGCGAGCGGCAAGGTCGATTCAACATCCGTGCCAAGCAGTCCTGGGGATCGCTCTATGTCCTGGACCTTGGGGAAACCTACAAGTTCCTGCGGGGCCTGAGCGAGTACAATGGCAACTCAAAGTCCAACTTCCTCGAGTTCATTGATCGGCGCATCGTCGAGTCGAAGGACAAATCCAAGAACTGGCTCACCTGTGTGAAAGACTGCGATCCGATGAACAATGCCTATGTAAGTTGACTGTAGCTTGCGCTTACAGTGTAACCAACCACTGACTACATCCAGTCTCTGCTTTCGCGATGGAACAACATGCCCAGCCGTGCTAGCTACAGCTTTGTACCTCTGCAGTCCGGAGGCCAGGAAAAACCCATGGACATCAACAACCCGGAAGACCGACGCGAGATTCTTCTCGCAGCACAGCTATCCCGCATTATCTGCCGTATGCTCGAGGTAGAAGGATTCCGCAAGCTGGAGCGAGACTTCTACAACATCAAGTGGAAGCAGATCTCTCAGGATACTCACATGCGCTTCCTGAGCGAGCTGGGCCATATTCTGTTGACCCTCCGCTGGCGGGTTTCCTGGTGGCGGCGTCTTGGTGACGGCGGTCGCGAACCCGACCCCAGCAAGCAGCACTACGTTGATCGAGTCGACCTCCTCTGCCGGATCCTTTACGTCTATTACACCTGCGTCCTGGCGAAACTGCCTTCGTGGTGCGCGGCCGATGTCCCGAAAGGCATCTGGTCCACCTATGCCGATGCAGAGAATCCGGTGTGGGACGACTTCCCTGTTGACCCAACCGACGATGGATTCCGGCAATGGATCGATCGCGGCCAGGAGCTGGTCGAGCAGTCCGGTGCGCCGACGTGTGTGGCGAAGATCTAGGCGCGACCTGGACGAACGAAAAGCGAAAACACCAAAAAGACGGCGGATTGAATGATACTGAATTTGAGATACCCTTTGAAGCGACTTTCATCTCCTATCTTGCGTTTTATGAGTGATGATCCGTGTTCCTTTCCTGGATATATTTAACCTGTGTATATGCTTTTCTCGTACATAGTGATTTCGGTTTTAGTTCAGCATCCCTACTTAGGTATCAACCTAGAAGGGTATCGTATGTTCATTAATCATATCACCTGTATATACCTGAAGCGAATGAGCCATTGAATAACAAAAGAACCCCAAAACCCCAGAAATATCAACCACCCAAAATTCTCCCCTATTTCTATTTCCCTCCCTTCTCCTTATTCCCGGCCTTCTTATCCTTCTTTCCACCCGCCAACAATTCCAAATGTCCCGCCTTCTCCGCAAGATTCTTCTCCGTCCTGGCCACCAAACCCGCCGTGAGTTTCTGCATGACAGATATTAGCCCCTGCATACAACAACACATTACCTAGCCATATCACAACCCCTCCCCTCCCACACACACCATACATAAGAAACAGGAAAGATGAGAATGAAGTAAATACCTTAGTCAACTTCTGCTGCTTAATCAACTTGGCCTTCTTCGGGGCAATTTGTCTAGGTCCGGGCTTGGGGCCGAGCGCCGTGGGTCTGTTTTTCAAGTAGTAAATGAATTAGCTTTTGTTCGGTTCTTGATCGTTTGCCTCGTCCTCATCCTCATCCTCATCCTCTCTCTTTTCTCCGAAGATGAAATATGTAAGTAGGTAGGTACGTACCGCTTCGGACCCGCACTCCCAGACTTCTTCTTAAGGGATCCCTGAACCATGATTCCAATTATCTGTTCTTGTTTCTTTTTGCGTAGGTTGAGTAGATTAACGTGCTGCCTGCAGCGATGCGAAATCAGTAGCGTAGTTGGGTTTGCGGTCGGTCGGTCGGAGAAAAGAAAATTGCTTATCGCGTTGCTGGGGTGCAGGGTTGGCTTATCGGTCACGTGATGGTTTCTTACGTAGTACAGGGACAAGGCTTGATTTGAGTAAGAATATTCTCGGTAGGTTAGGGATGTATGAATGTATGTACTCTGTAGTAAGGAGGGTTTGTGAGGTGGGTTCATCCAGGGTTTAGATGGTCATTTGGTCCTTTGCTTTCGTAGTGGGAGAAGGAAGGGGCGGAGTACGTACGTACTACGGCCTACTACGGCTGCGATGTGGTGTGGTGTGGGATGTGTTGGGGGTCGGTGGTGCCCTTGGTGCTGGCTGCGGTGTACGGAGTACGGAGCACGGAGCACTCCGTTGGTAACCATCGATTTTAGTTGTGTTGTACAAATATGAAGGGTGGTGGGGGAAAGAAGGTGACTCCGTAGGAATGTTGGACGTTGGGGAATCTCCGGTTATCATTGACTGATAGGATCGGCCCCATTTAGGTGAAACGTTAGTGGAGGATCGGCGCAAGGCTGTTAGGTTGGAATTTCAATCTCAGCAGAATTCCTTTAGTGCTTCTACGGAGTACAACACGGGTAGATACTTGGTTCAATGTTATCCCTTGATCATTAACTATTGGGTATACTGATACTATCATGAGTCAAATCGCTGCAAACATCCGCATTCTTGTACATACAACAGTCTCAGCTAGATACAACTTCCTTCACCAATGCGCCGGTTGGCTGCTCACTTAGAAAGCAAGGACGGCAACGACACCAGCGGCGACGGCACCGAAGCTGATGGCGTTGCGGTCGGCAGCGCCGGTGTAGAGGGGGGTGACGGAGGAGCTGCTGGCAGCAGGAGTGCCAGAAGCAGCAGCGGAGCTGGCGACGAGGCTGGAAGAGAGGCCAGAGGGAGCAGCAACCAAGCTGGTAGGCTTGGTGCCACCGATCACAGGGACGGAGGTGACGGTAGGCTTAACATCGGCGGTAACAGTCTCGGCGGAGACGGTGGTGGCCTGGGTGACGACAACCTGGGTGGCAGAGGAAACGGTGCTCACGGCGGCGGCAGTGGTGGTAGTAGCAGCGGCAACAGAGGAAGAAGAGGAGTAGTAAGCGTTCGAGATGCCGAACTGGGTGGAGTACTGGTACTGGCCAGTGCCCTCAACAACGAGAAGGATACCGTAGCGGGAGGTGTCAGGCTCAAGGGTGGTGCTGGGGGTCCAGGAGTATTTGCCAGTGTTGTCAATGTCTTCAACAATGGTCTGGATGGGCACGCAGTCGGTGCTGGGACCGCGCAGAAGGACCAGAGACACGGTACCGGTGGTGGTGGGGTCCCAGGTGATCTCAAAAGGCGAGCCAGCAGCAACGATCTCGTTCAAGCTGGGAGTGTAGATGGCATTGCCGGAGGGGTCCTCCGAGTAGTTGGGGGTGGTGTAGGCAGAGGCCAGGGCCGCAAGGGCGGAGACGAGGGCAGTAGTGAAGAAACGCATTTTTTTCGATTTATCTTCGTATTTTGTGGAGAATAAAGAGTGACAGTAAGGTCTTGGGGAGTTGGAGGGTTTGAATCAAGGAGTGACTATGTAGTGCAAAGGAGTGACTACCGTGGGAAAGGAACGACAACGATGGCGAAAACGTCAGATCGTGAGAAGGAAGGGAAGAAGAGAAGGAGGAGGAGGAGGAGGAGGAGGGGGAGAGACATTCAAGTATAAGATGAACGCGACAGGCGTGGGACAAGGCCATTCACAGCCCCCAATTTCCCCCTATGGAGGGGATGGCTGTCAGCCAGTATCGCCGAATCTGCGGCTCATTTCCGGTGGGTCAAAGGAAATTATTCCTTTAAATTGCTGATTGCAAATTGACTAAGAAACAGCGTTCAGGACTCTTGCTAGCGACCTACTATTGCATGGTTAGCCCAAGGGTGCCTGGTAAACTTTGCGAACGGTGGAATGTATGGGGCCTGCCTTGCCACGACCTGCCTTGAAAGAGGAATTGGCGATGTTACCTTAAGCCAGCATTAGCCAGCTGACTGGCTTGCCCGGGCATTTAGTCCGTTGCTAGTCCGCTTGGATCGCTCCTCCATCGCGGATATGTTCGAGAGGCACTCGGGGCGTGGGCCACTCAGAGATGGAGACCGCAGATACGAAGGATGAGGGGGGGTCGCCTGCCAGGGCGCTAACAGCCTAGTAGTAATTTTAGGAGAGACATCAGGCTCTGGCCTCTCGGGCGTGGGAGCCTGGAGGGGCGTGGGACGCTGGGTGCCTGAGAGGATGGCTATATTGAGTATATCCAGCCACTGGATACGGTGTAGGCCCATCAGCACTCAGCAGATCGAACTAAACCCAACGGTACCAAAAGCAACTAGCCACGAATTCGGGGAAATGGTACCTGAGTCAGAAGGGGGTCGCAGCTCTAGTCCGGCAGAGCCGTGGGACATGTGAAACAATCATAACCTTATGTCAGACAGGGCCAGAAAACGGAATAAAGCCGAGTGAAGAATAATAATGAATGAACATGATGGGATGAGTTGAAGCCGGTGTGGTCACTTGCCTGTTTGGAGTTGCCGCAAGGGAGTCGCAAAACAAACAAACAAATACTATACACCAAACGTCCTCTTCTCGTTTTCTTCCCCCTCAATTTTTCTCTCTCCAGGCAGCCGTTTGCACTTGAAGTGAGGTGCCTTCGCGTCCAGATTACGTCTCCGGCGAATAATATCCGACTCAACATCACAAGCGCAGGCCTAATTACCTGGGAAATTAGCTCATGTAAAATTTCCAACGGATGGATCATTGCCCCTCCAGTCGGGGCTTGATTGGCCTGGCCTTCCGGGCCTTTGCCAGCGCTCCCGGTGAGTCCAGGTCCGACACCAATGAGACATACGTTCGCCATGAGGCCGAAGCGTTAATGACCGGAGTGGCTAGACGCAGAGTTTAATTACCACTCCGAATTTCCAATATTGAGACTTGGGGTCGGGAGCCCAAGTCCATCTCGTGTCCTCCAAGCCCGAGGTACCTGTTCGGTGTCCCCACCCCCGTGCAATCGCTATATACCCACGTACTCCTTTTCCGCTCGCAAGGGGTTGGAACTTAAAAGGTTGGAAGGTTGGAAGGTTGGAACTTTGGAACAACACGGAGAACTCCCGCAAGACGAAGATCACGTCCTGGATGAAGTCATCCATGGCTATCCTTGGTGAAGATTCTCCGGTTCCTGTCGCTCATTCCTCGTTCCTGACTGGGCTAGTGGATCCCTTTCCGACTGCCAATGCCACTAACAAGGCATGATAACATGCTTTCGTCTCGTACTCCGTACCAGGGAAAGTGATCCGTCATAATGCAGCCTCCAAGGAACAGGTACAACGGAGTATGTAGCCTTTCCAAACACAGACAACGGGAGGGTTGGTGTATCTACTCCTGCCAATGACCTTCCTACCAGCCAGGGGTATCCAAAAGGCTGTGTTTTGCTGTCATTTTCGCCTCTACTTCTCTCGCTTACCACGTGTGGGCGAATGCTGGACCTTTTTTCAGTGGCGTCGGAGACTAGTTCAAATGTCTCGGACTTCGATCCCTGGCCTGCATCCTGTGTGGATATTGCTCGCGATTAAAGCCTATTATACACGATTGTCAAAGACTGTCGGTGAAATTGTGGCCCATTGTGACCAGTTATGATCCTGATTGGACTTATCCAATGCTGTGCAGGTCTCCATCTTACTTTCGCCGGCGCTGGATAAACTTCCCCGGAGACGCGCATCTATTTACGGTAACAGTTGGATGGTGCACCAGCAGAGGACCGATGGTTGTCCAGACTCCAGAGTTCCAAGAACTTTTTTGACTGGTTCAGGTCGCGTCAAAGACTTGAGGCGATTCTACTCTTCGACGTTGACTGAATCGGGAAAAGCAATAAAATTAATGCGCTCGTATTTTCTGGGCCTTGTTAATCCCTGCAGCGAGTGGGTATTCCGATCAAGGGTCCAGTCCCTTCGCAGTTCGCCGTATTCACTAATCCAGCCATGGCCCCCAACCTCGAACAGTCGAACTACTGACATCCATCTACTTTAAGTAACCTCATTCGTCTCCATGGCGGACAGCTCCGTCCCGAGGCTCTGAGAATATATCACCGACCATGGGTCGTTGCGCACTGATCATATAGCGCAAGCTGGCCTCTCATTCAACCCAAGTAATTGCCTTGGTTTGCAGCCACTCGTCGTAACCGGAGGTTCCTCCGAAGCGACCGTGTCCGCTATTCTTCCAACCACCATGGGGGAGAACCGGCTCGTCGTGCACGGTCTTGGAATTAATATGTACAGCCCTAGTCATAGTCACAAAGGGGTCAGCAGACGACACTAACGGGGGGGGTACCTAGGAGGCAAACAGCAACTCACCCTGCCTCGATCTGTTTGGCCACCCTGAGCCCACGGAAGAGATTGCCCGTAAAGACCGTTGAAGTAAGGCCGTACTCCGTATCATTGGCCAGCGCCACGGCGTCTTCGTCACTGTCGACGACAATGAGGGACACGGTAGGGCCAAATGACTCCATGGAGTACATATCCATGTTCTTGGCAACATCGCCAACAACCAAAGGCCGCATGCTACTGTTGTCGAGCTCGACCGCCGCGAGGTCGCCATAGACAAGGTTGGCGCCTTTGGCCAGCGCATCCTCTACCAGCTCTTTGTTCTTCTTAACTGCAGCTGGAGCCACGAGGCCGAACGCCGGCCCTTGTTTGCCATACAATTTCTCCACCGCGTCCGCCAACAGCGGCTTGAACCTGTCTGCAATAGATCGTTGTACTACAATCCGCTCCGTTGACATGCAAATTTGACCAGACTAAATTCAAATTAGCTGGCAGCACTCATCAAACAGACTGCCAAGACAAGGGTTCTCTCACATGCATAAAGGCACCTTGTGCACAAGCCAATGCGGCCTTTTCCAGGTTTGCATCGTCCAGGACAATGGCCGACGCTTTACCTCCCAGTTCGAGGAGCACTGGCTTCACATATTTACCGGCAGTAGAAGCGATGATAGAGCCCACGGTGGTACTACCGGTGAAGTTGATCTTGCGCACGGCCGGATGAGCGATGAGAGCGTTGGTGACCGCCGCAGCGTCGGATGTTCGGTGGTAGAGGACATTCAGACACCCCGCAGGAAGGCCGGCTTCGCGATAGATGTCTCCAATTGCCCAAAAACACTTCGGGGCCAGTTCAGAGCCCTTTAAGATCGTCGTATTGCCCGCGGCGAGGGGTAGAGCGACTGCGCGCGTTCCGAGGATGTAAGGAGCGTTCCTAACCAGGTAAGAGGGTTAGCGAGACCATGAGACTGATGCTGCTAGGATAGGCTATAGATACCAAGGAGCGATTCCCAACACTACACCATAAGGCTGTTTAATGACCATCGCGCATTCTCCATCCTCGGAAACTGATGGCACTGCCCCCTCGATAGATGGGATTCTGGCTGCGAAATCTTTCAAGAAAGTTACTCCCATCTTGAATGTTTTCTCCACGAACGAACGTCCCGCATTCGTTTCCTCCATCTGATAACGGATCAACTCTTCTTTTCGCGAAAGCATGACGTCCGCGGCCTTCATCAGGATATCTCTGCGGTCGTAAGGCTTCATGCTACTCCACCCGGGGAAAGCCGCCTTCGCGGCTGCGACAGCACGATTGGCATCGTCGACTGTCGCCCCCGCGCAACGGTCAATCACCTCCCCCGTCGCGGGGCTCGTGATGTCGAATATGGTATCTGCCACGACCGACTCATTGTTAATAATTAGCGGGATGATCGCGTAGTTAGCATTGGGATTTTTGGCAATCATGGTTTCTTATGAAGTATCTAGAGCATCCGAGAAGAAGAAAGGAGAAAGACTAGACGGGATGGAGTGAGAAGGATAGGCGAGAGGGGCGACGTTTAGCCACCTGTTCAGAGAGTGAAGGGAAAGGGTGAAATTGAGGGGGGCAAGAGGGGGGGATTGGCCACCATAATGAGAAGCGCGAGGGCCCCAATCTTCGTGCATCTAGCAATCTGCAGCCACCGAAGTGAGGGGACACCTTCGGGAACTTCCCCGGCATGATGGAGCCGACGATTGTCAGTGATATTGCCGTCCCGCCGCATGCTGTGACGGGACTCATCATAACTACGGAAGCTTCTGTGGTGCGCCATTCCAAAAATGTCATCATGACTCGGTTGTTAGGTGGGGGACACATCCCGATGGTACACCACCAGCGGGAATTTCCTCTTGGGATGGAAACTCTCCCACGGGTTGGGGCCATTGTCTTCAAACTTCAGCGCAAGATGCCAAGAATGACGGGTGGTCGACCCATGACATGCGGTACGGATTTCTCTCTCCTGCAGCCCCCCCACCGGGAGATAAGGTTGACAGTTGGAACGGTCAGGCCCCCTTTCCCTCCTCCTCTTCCTCCCCCTCCTCTTCGCAGCCTCAGCTCTATCGTTGCATCTTGCATCTAGTCAAGACCAGCTCAATGAAACCAAGCTCGAGTGATTATCGTCAGGTTCCCGAGGATCGCGATGGGATGTCGCCGGGGAGTGTACATCACTTCCCTTGCCGCAAACATTGGAGACACCAATTTGTTTGTCCCAAAGAAGTTGGTGGGTCCTACTCTGACTGGGTCCAATGATCGTCAGTTTTTGGCCCCCTAGCGTGGGTGCTGCAACGGCTATCCCACCAGTCATTGGAGGATGGGACTCGTGGCGTCCCCACTCGGCAGATGCCTCAACTCGGGGTTGGCTGGGAGGTGATGCATTGGATTACTGATGCTGACAAAAGGCGGCGACAGTGCGCATGCATACGCTCGCTATATCTACATTCTACCTACATGCGCAGCAGGAGACCCCTGATTGACATACGGTAGTTCCCAAGTGCCGAGAGGTCAGCATCCACTTGATAGATTGATAGATTGATTCGAGGACTGCAGGAGAAGTGATATCACAATATCTGAATCTGGATATCTTAATTATCGCCTATGTGAAACCCCAACACCATCCATGCATGCTCCGAGACGAACGACTTCTTTGAAACGACAAACCCAGCACAGAAAAAAAAAAGAAGATACCCCGGAACGTATATCCCTGACGCCCGCTATGCCCTTATACCTGTATGACCATTCGTGACGTTTTATTCCCATCTAACAAAATGGGTTAGTTGGACCCGGCCCAAATCTTGGTCTCTGACGCGGGCTTTGCCATATCTGCAAATGGACATGCCGAGGCTGTACTAGGGATCGTGCCACTATGGACACTAGAGCGGTCATCCTCACTCGAGCTTGCAGAGGCACTGCTGTCACCTAGGATCTTCTTTTCGCCCAGGTAGCCTTCTTTTTCATCCACGAGGATCTCCGACATCTCATCAGCGTACTCCTCACCGTCTCTGATCCTCCACTTTGCGAACAGGTCGTTCTGGATCCAGATGATCTTGCTGATGGCTCGGACGAGGGCCGTCTTGCGAGGGAGAGACAGATGGGGGTGTGACATGAGGGCTTCGGTGAAGATATCTTGGATGAAGCCGAGGCAAGCGCCGATGTGGATGTATTCGATGTTGAGCGAGTACAGACGTTCCTGTGCAGTGTGCATCATTCTGCTACTGTCAGCATCACTTCATGTCTTGCAGAGAAAGAGCCGAGGGCGGAGGGAGACCTACCCAACTTTGTTCAAGTACCGCCAGAATTCCATCTGGGAAGGATCGGAACACAGCTTGATCAAGTACCACCGCAGAAACATCTTCCGACGTTGAATCTGGGGGCTATCTTCTGTGAAGAACTCCTCAACCGGGGTATTATCAGCCGTGTCTCGGGTGTGGAAGGCACGAGCGGTGATGTCGGATTCAAGAAGCTTTTTATAGACGATGTTGACGACGGCAGGGATTAGGGCCTTGATGTACTTGGAGCCTGCCACCAAAGCTTCAACGTCACCTGCACCCAACCGGATAGTCAGTAATGGAGGCCAAGAGGGATGCAGCACATGGACGTACCGGAATTGAAGTCTAGGAAGTCTCGCAGGTAAGTGATGCGCGCCTCTAGGCGGGTGTACAAGGCTTTCCGATCGACATGCTTCATCGGTCGATTGGGCTCGAGGGTATATTCCATGTTGGGGGATGGGCGTGTGGGTGGGTACTCGACGAAGATATGAGATAGAAGTGGCTTAATTAGGGTCGAGAGGGTAGATGGCTGTTCACGAACGCCTGGGGTTGAATCGCAAGGTGGAAGGTCGAGAAGAAGGATCGATGAGAAACTGGGAACTGGGAAGACTGGGGGCTTTAGGGAGGGATGGAGACATCATGCGATTATATAGGGTTGGCCGAGATGCACGACACTGGGACGAATATCAGATCCGGCGCCCAACGCATGGATGCTAGTCGAGAAAGCCCGACTTCCGACCCTCCTCCACGCGGGAAGGGAAGCGGATCCATCATGACGGTGGGCAAAAGGAAAAGGAAAGGAAAGGATGAGTGACGACGGGGTTTCAGGCTAAGAAAGGCAAGACCTTCAACAACATCAGCCCAGACAGTGCAACGGCCACGGAGGATCCCCATCCTTGGCAAGATTATTCGCTGCCGTCGGTATCAATGGATGTGGTCTGATGCGCCCTCTAACCCGACTTGGGCCGTCGTCATATTATTCTTCCAACTTCCTAGGCAAACTTCCCTACTCTTACACCTACTGACTACTAGGTAGCCATCCTCCCTACTCCTATCCCTTCAATCTTCAGGAGAGAACTGATCAGAAGGCGTCGGGCCAGACTCTTTCATGAAACATCTGGTGCCGTGGGGCGATTTGCCCTGACCGGTCGACAGCCTAGCGACTGCTTCACCAAACGCCAAAAGAAAATTATGATGGGATGGTCGTCTAATTCAACGCTCCAGAATATTAACTTTCAAGGGGAGATGCTAGTGCAAGGGAGCTGCCGAATGACACGCCCGGCGAAAAGTTGATGGCACAACTCAAGAGAGGGTCCGCTAGTTGACGAACGACTAATCGGAAGGGCTGCAAATAATCTCGAGATCCCCCTGTAAGAAATCTTCTGCGCGAGAAGAAAAAAAAAAAAAAAAAAAAGACCTCAGAAGTCAGACTCAGGACTCCATCAGTCGTCATACGGAGTGAGTCCAGAGTCTCCGCCGGGCTCTAACGAGTCGGAGCCGATGCGCGACCGAGCCTAGCAACGACGGTCGATCCCACTCGCGGGTGCTTCGTATTGTCTCGCATTGCCCTATTCTCTTTCGTGGTCGGCCGATGCGTCAGGTTGATTGACCACTCCGACACGTCTCCTTGCGGCCGAAGGTTTATATTGTCGTATATTGGGGCTTCTCCAATAATAATAATAATACGAAGGACGGAGTAGATGTGAGGTATCGGCAATGCGCACCTGATGCCGATGTGATCTATCACGGTGGATGACTAAGCTCATCGCCGATTGGCCGCGCCACAGAAAGCTCTTGAACCGGTTTCTCCCTAACCTCAGGACATCAGGCCATAGGGGCAGATCGCGAAGAGCCAGCCTCAAATGATTTCATTTGTGGTTCCATGGATCACGCGACTCTCGGGCTGTCCGGCCGTGACTCTGACTACCATTCAACGACTGCTTCATTGCCGCACTTTAGATGGAGACTCTCGCTTACAGGTCATCTGGAAAGATCGTACGGGGTAGAAGTCCACCCCCCTGTCTTACCTTGGCCATGAATCGCTCCACTATTAGCCATGATTCCAACCTGACCAATCACCAGGACGGAGTGCGTATGATCCCCAATTCTGCTCACTAACAACCATAGTGCCTGCCAATACTCCGTACAGGCAGTAACGTTTCTCCTTGCTAATAGACTAGTGACAACCGTCCGCTTTGGAAAACAACTTAGTCCTATTATTATTAGCTCGGCAGGATTTGAGCTCCTGTGTGGTCTTTTTTTTTCCAGAGTCCGTGGGTAGGTAATAATATCCACCATTAAGTTTACATTAATATTGCTACGACGGAGGGTTTCGTGTTTACTCCCGGTCCGCTGCGGTACAGTGCCGTTGATATGGATGGATACCTGTTTTGATGGCTGCCCCCGACAAACGATTGTCATTGACGGGTGTAATTCACCCTGGGGGGTTGGAGAGCAGGCAAAGTCACAAACAGATTAGAGTATGCCTATGACCGACTCGGCCGGAAACATGGAGATTAAAGCTGCACCTGCGGACAGTGCGGAGGGCGTGATGTCCGGATATGGTTATCTGACCACTAACTCCATTGGAACCTGATATCTTCCGAGATGCACGTCAACAACAGGTCCAACAATGGGGTCCATACTCCATGGACCACCTGTCCAAGTGGCAGTCCCTACCTTTAATTGCCCATCTTAAGTAAGATCCTTGAATGCTATTTGCTGACCAGCAACAATCTGGTTCGCTAGATCTCATCTGGAGCGCCAGGTTCTTTAGGGCCCTTCCAATAAGTCCCGCCTAGGTAGAATACCTGAGGCATCACGGATCCGATCTACGTGTGGGCGTATATTGCAGGAGCATTGGTCTCGAAGAGAAATAATATTGTCTCGCATGTGCACTGGCCACTCACAACTACGGTGACCGCTCTTTCATTATTGATACCCAGAACAATGGATGGAAGCGCCGCTGTCGTACAGGATCTGCACGTCTGAAACAGTCGCCAGGCAATAATATCTTGTTGCTGGATTGGTCCTTCTATTTCACACCGCATGGCAGCAGAGGCGGAGCAGTACGAAGGCGAATTGGTGCTCTGGGCCTCGATCGCGAGTTTCCGAGTTCCGAGATGCTTAGGCTGTAGATCTTAATAATGACGCCTGCCATACTCCGTCGTGAAGCAACAGATACGAGGCAGCTAAAGGGAGAGCGGAAGAGATGATGAAACGGGAAATAGGCCCTGCACCCACAAGGCCATGGGCTAATAAAGTAGACGAAGCGGCCTGGTAAGCCACATGGTCTTTGTGCTTGAACTGAGAGCTCAGCTTGTGCAAGCGGAACTCCAGCCGGTTGCGGACTAGATGTGCATATCGGGATATGGACAACAGCATCCGGCGACGAGATTTCCTAAAGAAGGTTACTAGACGCGATAGCGGCGATGTCGTACATCGGATCTTTGAACTGATCTAGCGTCGGCATTTGGTTGCTCATCGCGACCAAAACGCCTCAGGGGCAGGGCGTTTTAGTGTTGATATTAGTACTCCGTTCTCTCCCGTATAGCAGGACTTTTCTCCATAGTGGTTCGACCTGGCCCCAGCCGCATACGTCAACCGGGCAATTCTCCGCAATAGGATCTGCGTCCTAGCCTCGAGAGTCGAGAACGCTTTTAGTTCCTTCTCCGAACAAGTGAAATTGGCTCAAGGCTGTGATTTGTCCTGGGAGTGTGTCGGCCCAGCTTCTAGATGTATTCTGGACTCGCTAGTCGGTACTGGGTCGTGGAGACTTATTCCCCTGAAATCAAGGACACATTCCAGATTGATTCGATTGGCCGTAGAGGAATTACCCCTGATCATTCAGGTGTTCGTCCACTTGGTGACCCTATCGGCCGTTGGAATCCACTGCGGCTGAACAGGAGGAGGAAAAGGAGGAGGAATCAGGGAAGAGAAGCTGTTAGTCATTATTTGCGGTTGCCTGACGCGAACTCCTGGGGCGTGCCGTGCCTGGGACCTGGGCAGAAGGAGGTAAGTTTCTTGGCGGGCCTGAGTGACCATCAACTACGTACCTATCAAGAATTTCTGCTGCGTACCGTGGACCATTGAGGAAATCGCACTTCTTGACAAGGGGTCATGATGCACGCCCTCGGCCAGTCAGCCAAGATGGAGTTCGTCGGGGGCGCCTCCACGTGACGCGGTCACCGGATCCGTCTTGGTCTTGGTCTTGGTCTCTTAAACTATTATTCCCTCATTCCTCACTCCTCATCCCCGCTCGGTTCTCGTCCCTGCCAGCACCATCCCGTCATGTATCTGCTTTTCTCAGGTACTCGCCGGATTCAGGATTGAACAATGATCCCCGCATTGTTCTGGCTGCGATGCTACCCCCCCAGAAAGTCCCGATCATTGACGTCCAACCCCAGTGCGGGGAGGATGATAATGACGGATGTGAATGACAATGATACCTCAGGTCATGCGCCCTGCATGGGGAGTTGCATGGATCCCTGGCTGGATGTAAGGCTGCTTCAGCTATGGCGGGTTATTGGTGAACAGACTCCTCCACCGCAGAGTCTACCTGGCTGTCCTACAAGGCCCTCAACCAATGCAGCGATGCAAAGGCCGCAATTGTGCCTGGAGGACTGACCTCGGCTAGAACGCTCTTTCCCCAGATGGACGGCCGATCCTTCCTGGCAAACCATAGTTGAGCGAGGATCTAGCGAATCTTGACGGCGAGGGTCCGCCTCAGTCTTGAATCATCTTGTCCCAGTGTTATATCCCGCAATTTATCCCCGTCAGAGTGACTTCACATCTCCTAAGTCCACGTATCCTGTATTCTCATGCGGCCGGCCTGAATCGATATTCAGCTTCAGGTCCTGGTCTAGACTTATCCTGTCACTGCGGCGCTGTTACATTCTCGACAACACAGGAACCGACAAAGACATCTGTCTTCCACATTCTCTATAGTGGATCATTCCCTTTAACCTTAACTCATATCCTTATTAGCACACTTTGTCTTCCTTCTGCTTTCGGTGGGTCTCAGCTCGCCATCACAGGCAGAGGCCGTAGCTGAAGTTTGAGGTCCGCATCTGAAAACAGACCAGTCCGTATTGCGATATCTGCAGATCATTTTGGTATCCAGATCTGGCTACAGCTTCTCGTTTGCTTGCGGTTGTTTGACATCCAGTGTTCTCGGCGATCGTTTACTTAAACCAGGCGACTTCCATCCCATCCAGTGCAAATTTTCCCCAGACGGCTTCCTTCTATCCCCGTTTTCTCATAATTTTTGAGTCATCTACGAAACCGTGCTGTCAGAATGTTTGTGAAACCTACAAAGAAAGCGCTCCTGGCGCTGTCTCTGTTGGCCGCTAGTGCACAAGCTGCACGAGTGTAAGTTGTGTCTGATACCTAGCCTCCCCCTATCGCTCAGAATCATTGGCTCACTGTCGGGATAGTCGCCTGGCAAACCGTGCACCCTCCTTCGACTATAAGAACGAGATAGTTCGCGGTGTCAACCTGGGTGGCTGGCTTGTGACCGAGCCCTGGATTACACCTTCGATTTATGACAATGCAGGGGGCGGTGTTGTGGACGAGTGGACGCTGACTCAAACACTGGGCAAAGATGAAGCCAAGTCCCGGTTGTCTTCTCACTGGAGCTCGTTCATCTCACAAAGTGACTTCGATCGCATAGCTCAGGCAGGTTTGAATCATGTCCGGATTCCCATTGGATATTGGGCTGCTGCTCCCATTGAGGGCGAGCCGTACGTCGACGGTCAGCTGGAGTATCTCGACAAGGCGATCACCTGGGCTCGGGGCGCTAACCTCAAGGTTATCATTGATCTCCATGGTGGTAGGTGATATAATCTATCGTACAAGTCATTATAGTGTAGCTGACAAATATAGCACCTGGCTCCCAGAATGGGTTTGACAACAGTGGGCACCGCGGCCCCATTCAGTGGCAACAAGGGAGCACGGTCAATCAGACCATAACTGCATTTGACGCCCTTGCTCGGCGGTACATCCAGTCTGATGTCGTGGCGGCGATTGAGGCTCTCAACGAGCCCAGTGTCCCTGGTGGAGTCAACGAGGGTGGCCTGAAGGATTACTATTACAGTGTCTTGGCCGATGTCCAGCGCATCAACCCATCCACTTACCTTTTCTTGTCGGACGGCTTTGAGCCTGTGGAGTCCTGGAACGGTTTCATGCTAGGCAGCAATGTTGTCATGGACACTCACCACTATCAAGTTTTTGATAACGGCTTGCTTGCTATGGGTATTGATGATCATGTCAAGACCGCATGCTCTCTCGCCACGCAGCATCTGATCCCATCAGACAAGCCCGTTGTCGTGGGCGAATGGACCGGTGCTTTGACTGACTGTGCTAAATATCTCAACGGAGTTGGGAATGCGGCTCGCTACGATGGCACTTACCAATCCACCACCAAGCTTGGGGATTGTACAGGCAAAGCTACCGGTTCTGCCGCCGATCTAACGGCAGCTGAGAAGGCGAATACTCGTCGCTTCATTGAAGCTCAGTTGGAGGCATACGAGATGAAGAGTGGTTGGGTTTTCTGGACCTGGAAGACCGAAGGAGCCCCTGGATGGGACTTGCAGGATCTTCTTGCCCAGCAGCTCTTCCCTACCTCGCCCACGGATAGACAATACCCTCATCAGTGTTCTTGATTGGTCGATTTAGCGATTGGATGTCTGGACTTCTTCTTGGATGACGTCTTTAATGCTTTACATTCCTTCGTTGTTGCTGTGATTTCCAGCCGGGGCTTATCCCCTCTTATCTGCTGTTTTCGGGCCTTAAGGTCCTTACTTCCTATTATCCTTTATTGGGCGGTACTTAGAACATGTCGCTTCAATTGATCGAGTTATATTTTCATTGCTTAGCTCTGCGACCAGAGCTACTATCTATGCATGGGGTATTCAACTATGTAGTGTGTATACTACTCCGCAGAGCCGAAGAAGGTAGGCGTCGGGTGAAAATAGGGTGCATACATGCGTAAATAAGATGCATGGAAGCACTTATATCGGTCGGCATTAACGCGAACGAACAGCATAAGAGAGCCGGATGATCAGCCCAGTATTGCTCCTAAAACAGCCCCAATGCCCCAAACGTAGTAACAACCTCCCGATCCACATTGAGCAGCCATTCCTCCTGGAAGCGCTGCTCCCCTCCACATCCGACAATCAACGAGTGCAGTCGCTCCCGAATGAAATCCCTGATGTTGACCTTATGCAGCACATCTGAGTTATCCCAGTCACGTCGACGCTTATTCTCCGGCGGCTCATGCTCTTCGTAAGAGCCGGTTTGCGCGTTGTTCCAATAGATCAGGTAATCTCCGCCCCGCGGATCGTCGGGGTTATCCTCTGCACCATCGGCAAGCTCGGTGACGATGTCGGTCCACATGGTGAGGTAGGATTGGAGGTTACTGAGCAGGTAAGCTGGGGGTTGAGAGTCCGGGCCGTTGAGGGTCAGAAGCTGGGTGAGGGCCAGAGCGTGGAGTTTCTTCTGGGTTGTGCTGCCGATGTTGTCGTAGTGGAGGAACCATTCTGTCAGGAGCCAGGATAGCACCTGCTCTTCTGGGGTGTTGGTTGCGGCGGAGACGGCGGAGGTGAAGATCTTGGGGTGTGCGAGTGCCAGACGGGCCAGGACGGAGAAGTAGTCGGTTTCGACGACGCCGTAGACAGAGGTTTGCTTGCGGTTCGGGCCGGTGGTTTGGCTCGCTTCGTGGGCGGAGTGGAGGCCTTCCAGGAGGGCGGAGAGGAATGAACTGTCGAGGAGGGAGCGGGTGATGACGTTGTAGGTATTTTCGCTGCCGCCGTCGACGAATTCGGCGCCACGGAGCATGAGCTCGACGAGACGGGGGACGACGCCGAGGCGTTGCTTGGTGGTGATTTTGAGGAGGGTTTCGAAGGAGACGAGGAGTTGGAAGCGGATGCGGTCGCTGAGGACTTCCTGGGGGGCGAGCAAGATGTAGGACTCTGCGATTTGAAGGGCCTGCGGGACACTGTCGGTTGCGGCTTCGAAGATGGGGAAGAGGGCGGGCATAAGGGAGATGATTTCAGGAGAGGCTGGCACAGGCGTCTGCATGAGAATTGCGGACCAGAGGTCGAGGGCCTCTTCGAGGAGGTAGATGAGGGTTTCCTGCTGACGTATTAGGATGGATAGTGGGAATAGAAAGGGGAATGGATGCGTACAGAGCCTGGCTCGACAGAATTCTGGATCAGAGGCAGAATCAAGGAGTGGTATCTGGTGGATTCCTGCTTGAGGGAATGGATCAGGGATGAAAGCAGTGTGAGGATGGCTTGTTTCATCAGATGCTCCTCGCCAGAACTCTCCCATAGTGGTGGCAGTAATGATAGGATTTGGTCCGAGAAGGGTGCAATCTAATGCGCTATTAGAGGCACGCAGCTGAAGCGGTAGGATAGGGCACTTACGTGGTCTTCCATCTTCACCACTGCCATACGAACCGTGTCAAGGAGTCCCATCTTGGTCTCTGAAAGCTCGACCTCCTGGACAAGGGCCATCAGGTCTTGGAGGATGGCCGGGGCGTACGGCAGGAACTCAGTTGGGGAGAACTCGAAGGGGTCAAGCACGTTCTTCAGCTGTCTTCCGGCAGTGATGCGAACCACGAGATCGTTTAAAGGATCTTGCTTGCTAAGGAGATGTTGGAAGATCTGGTAGATGGCGTTCTTGTTGAGCTCGCTAGATTTGACCGGGACCCATTGGCCCAGAACCATGGCTATTCTTCTCCTGAGGAGATTATATCCCTGTTCCTGGATCTGGACTTCAGGCACGAGGGTTGACTCGAGGAACTTGTTGAAATCCAAATGCTGCTCCAAGCTTGCTGCAGACAGCCCGATGGCCGAGTACAACGAATCCTTCAACAGGACATCGTGATTATCAGGCGCTATTAATGACGTTAGTGGAACGTTTCCAAGAGATCTCAAGGTCGAATGCTTACTTGCAAAGTTGTAGAACACGGCCAAAAGACGCGGAATGAGCAATTCTTTGAAATGAATAACGAGGTCAAGGAAGAGCTTCTCGGAGCACGACCGGATGGAGAACTCCCAAGCCTCAGCAATATCTTCCTCCTTCCTTTCCCACTCCTCAGGATCCTCTTCCCATTCCTGGAAATCGTTTTTCCTAAATCGGAAGAACTGGGTGACGAGCAACTCCATCACATTGACAACAAAGTCGTGGGTGAACAGCTGGGACTTGATAAGTTCGACCGATTGCTTCTTCTCCTCCTTGTCCTGCGGGGTCTGGTATTTGAAGGTCTGTGCTGGGTTAAAGGCCATCTTCGAGCAGGCCCTGATCAGCAGAAGAGCTCTGAGACCAGTTTTCTCCATCAAGGACTTCCCCTCTGGTTCACCGTCAGTACCCAACTGACTGTAGTTCTCTCCCAATTTGACTACTAGACTCCAGTAGGATTGGACCAAAGGAATACTGTCCGGCAATAACGCAAAAGAGGCCGGGCGATCCTTGGCCATTTCGACGTGGAGCTTGGAAAGTTGCAACAAGTGTTTCTCGACTGCCCTATGGATCTGCTCCGACATTGAGACGGAGCCATGGATCAACCCCAGGAATCTACTGAAGTGGGAATGGGTCAAGACCCAAAATTCACAGACATCCTTATCGCGGTTGGGATGTTCAAAACCGGCAATAACGAGACGCCGGATGACTTTGAGAGAGACTAAACTTTGCTCGATCACCTCCAGCAATGTTGCCTCGTCGGCACCCCCTTGCTCCAGGAAAGACGCCCATTTGTTCACCTTGTCCACGTATATGCTCCCCAACAGATGAAATATTTCTGGCGAGACGGATTGTAGATTCGCACGGGTTCTCTGTAGGCGAGCTGTCGACAATTCTTTGATAATTTGTAGGAGGATGACGAGGGCCCGAGGCAATTGCAGCGGGTTCGCACCAGATTGGGTAGAAGAGCGAAGGAGGGCAATAAGCGAAGAGATACCATCCGGCCTAGACATTGTCAGAACGTACGGGGCGAGCTGCGTTTGTGTATTCACCTACCATTCTTGGGGAAATTCATAGCGCATGATCTTGGCAATCATCAACGCATTGTGAAGAGCGAGAAGAGGGGCAGGCTCAACGACACCCGCTTGCAAAGCCCTAGTCTTTATCTGTTCCTTCTCCTCCTTCTTGATAGCGCTTCAAAGAGTTAGTCCAAGATCGCACATTCAGTTGACTGGGAGTGGTAAGGCGCACATACTTTGTCGCAGTCTTCCGCCAATACTTGTCGATGCCGTTCTTCAGCTGGATGATCGCGAGGTATCGAACTTCAGGCGGAACGGAGTGATCTAGGAATACATCCTGCAAGATATAAGTATGAGAAAGCAAAAGACATAGGCGCGAGTGAAGAGTCGAGAGGGAAGTACCTGAAGAAAGGTATAGTAATTCGCCTGCTTCTCCCAGTTCTGGAGTTGCTGGGTGCCCGATTGCACCTGTTGCTGTGTTGAGCTAGCTGCGAGCACCAGAGCATTGAGAACGTTCGGCGGGGACAACGGGTTGGCCTCCCCGGCCAACTCGACGATCGAGGCCATAGTATGGGAAGGATGGTGGTCGGCAGCTAGAAGCCGTGAAGGGGTACCTAGTACTACTACTACCAAGTAGTAGTTCGACAGGTGATTGTATCCAAATCGAATAGCAACCAAGACAGAACGTTTAACCACTCAATGAGCCCAGGGGCAGATCTAAGAGATTCAGCCCTCAAATCCTGCCTCGTCGGGGTGGAAACGGATTCTTTGATGTGGAAAGGGGCAGGCCAACAATGAAGGCGAGGCAAGGCAAGCAAGCTTCGCCGCCAGTCATCGGGCTTCACGGATTCAATCTTTCGGGTCTCCCCGCCGAGGCGGGACACTCCGGACTAGAGTTGTTCCCCTCCGGAAAAACCCTAGGGCCGGACCCTGACCGCTAGTCCCAATCAGAGGGGCTGCTTAGGGCTTCGATCGGACTCCTTGATGTAACGGGGGTGGTGATATCATACCCAGCCTGGCCACCCCTTCCATGCTTCCAGATTCTATAGAAGATGATGGAGTGGACTCGACACATGCTACACTGCTGGTTACATACCTATGATGTATCATGATGCAATGCTTCCAATGTCCCTGATGGGGGACTCATTACCAGGGACACATATATAGTAGACTGGATCGTTCTGCTGCCAGTATTCTTCATCAAGGAAATCATCTCAAATTCTACTATTAAACCCGACCAGAGAAAAAAGCTCCAACTTCCCACCAACATCATGAACGACTACGACAAGGTTCGCTTGGCTTACGATGCCGAAAAGGACCTCAACTCCTACCAGGCCAAGCAAGGCCTTGGTCCTAAGAGCGATTCCAGTACGTCCCATGCATCCCTCACACCATCTCTCGACCAAGTACTAAACAGCGGACAGCGCTCGAGTCTGGTGTGAACGAGATGGTCGACAGAAAGTTCGAAACAGGCGTTCGTACCGGCAGAGAAGCAGGTGCTTCGGGCAGCAACCGCAAGCCCATCCCTGAAGATGAGGGAGGCAGTCGTGACGATCGCGGCAGGTGAGATCAACTCCCAATTAGCTATACAAATGTTTCAAGAGTATTAATTTGATTTTCTCTCACAGACTGGCTCCAGCCGGAGAATATGAGGGCCCTGGAGGCCCTGAGGACAAGGTGAAGATTGAGTCCGAGCGTCGTCCTGGTGACCAAGACACTCTGAACCTTCAAGATATGAAGCGTGAGGGAATTGCGCAATAAGCATTTTTCTGTATTATATAATGAAGATTTGACGAATAATAAAAGCAACTAGATTGCCTTGATTGATCTTGCTTTCTGCACCTCTCAACTAGTGATTGTAGGTACCTAGGTCGTACCCGAGCAAGCGACCATGGCATAGGGTTCCAAGAGCCAGAAAAACTATCCAGGAAATGTGTATGCCAGTACCTGTAGGCTCAGGTGGTTTCCTTCAAGGCCGAGTGTGAATATAACCATGTTTTGGAATCCACCTATCCAGGTAATTAACTGAGCTAACCTAAATTTCCGTATTGAAAGAGGCATTTCCAAGGCCAGAAGGCCTTTGATATATATATATTAATCAGTTCGTCGGGAGGGCATTGAAATTCCTATGAGCATTCCTGCATTGATGCAAGTGTCCTTTCCAATACAGCAAGATGATCGATAATTCTCAGGGTCCAATCGAGTCTCGGCTCTTCATCGATGGCAAGGTATTCTGGTTGACTGTCATGATATGTTAGCATACTGATTGTAATGACAAATAATAGTTTCAACCATCCTCAGATGGCAAGACATTCAGCCTGGTCAACCCTTTTACTGGTGAACCAGCTGCAGATGGTATGTGAGCAGATCTAGTATTTGTGTTTACAGCCAACGGCGTATAATTCCCCGATACTCATATATCGCTAGTATACGAGGCCAGTGAAACAGACGTAAACAAAGCCGTCGCAGCAGCCAAAACCGCGTTTCCAGCATGGAGGGATCTCTCACCCGCTGACAGGGGCAAATACCTTCATAAGATAGCTTCCCTCATCCGCGAGCATGAGCAAGAGTTTGCCCGTTTGGAGGCATTGTCTTCCGGAAAACCTGTCTCCAGATACATCGATGCGAGCGTGGCAATCGACACCTTCTCCTATTTCGCTGAAGCTGGCTGGACGGTTCAGGGAACGTCCAGCTGGAATACACCGGGACAGCTCAATATAACATCCAGAGAACCGTATGGTGTGGTAGCTGCCATCGTGCCTTGGAATGTCCCCCTTGCCTACTTCGCCATCAAGATGGCTCCTGCTCTGGCAGCCGGGAACACCATAGTCTTGAAGAGCAGCGAGAAAGCACCTCTCACGGTAAGCCTCTCATTAAACATCCAAGTCTTCTCCATCCTGAGAGCTAATTCCAAACAGTGTGTCTTGGGAGCAAAACTAATCGCTGAAGCCGGCTTCCCACCGGGCGTGGTAAACGTGCTTTCAGGTCATGGGCCAACCACCGGTGCTGCACTGGCCTCTCACATGAACGTGCGCTGTCTCAGCTTCACAGGCTCTCTGCTCACTGGTCGGAAAATCCAGACACTAGCTGCCATGTCAAACATGAAGACAGTCCTAATGGAGCTAGGTGGCAATACTCCCGCCATTATCTTCCCTGATGCAGACATAGAAGCTGCTGCTGCGCAGACCCAGTTCAGCGTCCAGGTTTTTAGTGGACAGACTTGCATCGCGAACTCGCGTATCTACGTGCATGAGTCCGTGGCAGAGAAGTTTTTGCCGTTGTTCAAGAGCATGTTCGGAGCTGCTGTGCTTGGGGATCCGTTGGATAAGGAGACGACCCACGGTCCACAGGTCGATAAGATCCAGTATGAGCGGGTCAAGTCGTATATTGCTGCTGGCGAGAAAGAAGGCGCGCTGACACTAGGGGGTGATGCAGAGAGAGGGTACTTTATTAAGCCGACTGTTATTGAAAACGCGCCCGAGGATGCGCAGATTGTGAGAGAGGAGGTCTATGGACCTGTAGTGGTAATTAACACTTTCAAGACGGAGGAAGAGGTCCTCAGAAAAGCCAATGACAGTGAACTTGGCTTGTATGCAGCTGTCTTTACAAAGGACATTGACCGGGCTGTGCGAGTGTCGAAGTTGCTTGAGGCTGGAACTGTCGGCGTCAATTGTACGAGTCCGTGTATGCCGAAAGACATGCCATTCGGTGGCTTTAAGGCGAGTGGAATTGGTCGAGAGAGCTACTTGCATAGCATGGAGAGCTACCTCGAGACCAAGGCTATCTTGATCCAGGCGGGCTCTTGATGGCTCACTTTAGCCTCCTAGTGCTATCCAATAGTGGACATGTTTGTATTGGTTGCACCAAATCTACTCAAACTAAAATAGGTTGGCTACCTGAATGTATTGAAGACAGATATCGTCTCTTGTAAATTATATTCTGCGATTAGTTGCTTTTAATGTAAACAGACAAGCCAAAAGAATTGTCGTTCAGCATCAAGAGACGCATACAATCTCATCTCTCGATTGTCATTACCATTCATAAAATACATCAGAGTCACACCCCCCGAATCTGCTCCAGTTCATACCATCCATAATCCGTACCCTCATTTGCGGTGCAACTCGACGCTTGTGAGATGTGCTGTCAAGTTACGATAGCAGGTCAACTTCACAGCAAGCTGAGAGCCAGTCCAATGACGAGGCCGGAAATCCCAGTGCTGGGCGACACGAGAGAGATACCAGCATTAGCGCTAGCACTCGCTGATGAGTAAGAGGAGGTGGTGTTGGAGCCAGTAGACTTTCTAGTCGCAGTGACATTGACATTGTAGTTGGCCTTCGTGTCGTAGGGGAAAGGACTCGTGTAGTTGTATGTGGGCTCGGTGTTGGCATAGGTCTTCTTGACAATGTCCAGGATACCATGACCGGCCGAGCAGGTGGCATTGGCCAAGGGGATGGGCCACACGGGAGAGTACTTCGAGTATTCGCTGTCGGACAACGGGCCAGGGTAGGTCTCGTTGAGACGCAGCTTCGTGGTGTCAACATCGTAGTTGACATAGCCAGTCTTGTTTGCAACAATCTCCAAGAGATTGGCACCACAATCCCAGCGTCCAAGAGACGGCAAGCCCCAGTTAGCGGAGACAGAGGCGATGACGGAGTAGTGGGTGTAGAAGGTGTTGTCATTGGTGCCCTTCAAGTTGTCAGGGATAGCACCACCCAAGAGGATGCTGAAGATCTTGTTGCCCTTAGCATAGGTACTGTCCTCGTCAAAGGTGAGAAGTAGCAGGGTGTCGTTCATGAAGTAGGAGTTGTTGAGCAGGGGCGTGACCCAGCTGCGCTCCCACTTGGCACCAAAAGTGATGTTGGTGTCGTGAGCATCATTGGTCATGTTGGGGGTAATGAACGCCCACTGAGGGAGCTTGTGGTTGGCCAGGTCATCCTCAAAACTGGTGAAGTTCTTGATCTGGCGTAGACGAGTGCTGTTCTCGGTGACCGAGTTGAACAGGATCAGAGGGTTGTGCTTACGCACGTAGTCGTTGTCGTAAGTCACCTGGTTGGAGTAGTTGTATCCCTGGAATCCGGGGTACGGAATATGCTCCTGGTACTCAGCCCAGGCAATGTTCTTGGTGTCCAGAAGATCAGCAACGGTCGACACATTGGCGGGGATCTGGTGGAAGTCATCATTATCCATGCCAAAGTTGTCACCTGCGGCCGCAGCGCAATAGTTCGGCTCGGAAGGATGGGTGGTCGCGTAGAAGTTGGTCCTATTGAACACTCAGCAATGGATTCCGGCTTGACCTGTTTCTTATGGCGTGGGTACTCACAGTGTAATTCCCTGGGAGGCGAGCCACTCCACATTCGCATCGGCAGCTGCATCATCATAATCCTAGTTAAAAGGGCAAGTTAGGAAAGAACACACACGATAGACGTCCAAGGACTGGTACATACAATATTCTCAAGCCAGATCTGGTAGAAGCGGTTGAAGGCCAGGCCCTGGACGTTCGAAACGGGAGAGTAAGGCTCAATTGTGGCTGCATTCTTCTTGATCGTGGCGAGGGAGGGCTCCGACACATTGGCAACCTGAGCATATGCCACAGAGGCAGCCGCCAGCAGAGATGCGACAGTAGACTTCATCATGAACTGGCTTCTTCCTATGGAGGTATATTGGTTATCACCAGCGGAGGAGAGTTGGATGGTGAATGATCAGCGTTCGACTAGAAGAACTCAGAGTACGACGTGAGCGGGCCGCGTCTTTATAGACCACCAGAGAGGTGAGAATCCATGCCGAGTGCTTAGGCAGGTAGACAGTGACACACGAGACCATGTGCCCTTGCCACGGGTTGCCGGCACAAACGACCTGGTACGCTGGTAGGCTTGGACGAGTCCGTCCAAGCTGTATCCACCAGGAACGAGATAACGCCTTTCTTGGCGAATACACAGTGACGGACGAGAGAACCACGCGGCCAAAACGGTTGATCCTATTCGATGAAAGTCCGGTTTTCTTGGCTCCGGCTACCAACAACACTAAGTGACTGTTGACAGTAGGATTGTTCCTAGACCAAGGTGCCATTATCCGATATTGTTGGAGTGGCACGCCGAACCTTGCCAAGTGGGGTAGTGGAGATGGATTCGAGTCCCGCCTCGACGCCGGAACTGCACACCACATTCATCATGCGTATATATGTGAAGTCCGTAAGTAGGCGATGTATCTAGGTTCAGTAAGGGACTGCTGACTAGGTTCCTTGTACTAGTGATAGTTTGTGGTGTCCCTGGTCAGGGATCTCCGCAACTCGCAAGATCCATGTGGGGCGGGGTGGCAGATAGTACGCTAGTATTGAGTATTGACAGTTCTCTGCCGCACGTGCGCCCGTGGCTGGCTCTGTTTAGTCCGGGGCGCGGATTCCACTGTAGCATGAAAGGGACTGGCCACTGGCCAGGAATTCCCCCGGCCCCTGGATCCTGTGGCAGCCAACCAGCTTGGGTGGAATACCAGTATGCTCAACCCTCGTGCAGTCGATGGCACCTTTTTACATCGGAGGATTTTACTAGTAGGTAGCACAGGTGGGCATGGTCGTCCATGTCGGATAACGCCGACAGACCTCAGATCGGATCGCTCGGGTGTGTGGTCGCATGCCACATTTGCTCAGTCTGGGCAGGTATTACATTGCATGACTGAGCAGCGAATGTCTTCTTGTAGTCACAGAATAATTCCTTGCTGACAATGTCAACCGTGTTGTATTTCAGTGATTCATGCGCATCATGTGCCCTTCTAACAGTACTGCGTAATCGTGGATGAGTCTGTATATCATGTTTTTCAATGGTGATTTATATCTAGTCAGACGAAACGTACCCTCAGGCTTTGGAAAGGTGGGGGACAGAGCTACTTATTTGAGGTAGCCAACTCGACAAGCTGATAGCACCATCTCAATCTCACGCTCACGGACGAGATACCACTGTAGGAACAATTGCCATGTGACCACTGCGACCTTATGCGAAGCCTTGATAGGATTAGAAGAATATGCATATCTAGACATCCCAAAATACATGGGCAAGGTATTGGAGATCGTATCAAATGCCAATGAGCAAGTTTCCCTAACTTTCGGCTGTACTCTGCATTGTTGGTCACTATCTGGAATCATCCTTGTTTTTTTGCTATTTTATCTCAGTTTAGGTTATCGAATGCTTATCAGCGTCGGGTCACGTGTTGGTTCTTCAACCTCGGCAGTATCCATTCCGAACGGGGAACCGAGCTGGTACGATCAACGTTACTATGATTGTCGACAGTGCGACCTTGGGCTGTCGCCTTCACTTCCAACAACTTACCCACCCTTCCGCTCCGCTATTCCAACGATGATTCAACGATGAGTTCGACAAACTTTGCCGCTGCTCAGGAGAGGGTTCTGGAACGTCGCCGTCTCCGCGAAGCCGAAGCTCGCGCCAGGCTTGCGGAGCAGCAACGGGCCTCGCCGCTCAATCATCCCACCCTCCAAAGACTTCCTTACCCCCTGAACAAACTGCCCCAATCTGCCTTCTCGTTATGGAATACTATAAGAGGGCGCGAAGGCATCAGGCCTGCTTATCGTGTGGGTCAGGTTGATGCCGAACTGCTGGATGAAGAATTACTGGGGCTGCTCAAAGGCCAGGTCGGAGACGCATTAAAATATTTTGGGGTTAGTCTTGTTGATATCTTGGATGTCTTGTTGCACACGAAGCTAATTTGTGATTCTGATAGCCTCAAATGCGCGAGGACTGGTCTCATGAGATCCAGTTTACTCTCCGTGCGATTCTATTCAAGCTCTCAATATGGGACCACAATTCCTCTTATGGTGCGGCATTACAGAACCTGAAATATATTGATAGTCGCAGCAAAGGGCCTGTTTACTCGGCTCCAACGAAGTGGCAGAAATCTTTGTATGGGTTGCTTACTGTCGGTGGCCGCTACGCTTGGGGTAAGTGGGAAAGCTGGCTGATCAACCAAGAGAGTGGCTACGAAGAAGTAAGTGTATGCGCTTACCGGATTTTTTTTTCACGTACTCATATCAGTAGCCATCCCAAGAAGTGCGGATGTTAGCACGTCTGACAGATCTTGTCTCCGCAACCCATTCGATCGCTGCCTTCGTCTCTTTCCTTGTGTTCTTGGTGAATGGCCGATACCGAACCTTGGCCGACCGAATACTTCGCATGCGCCTTCTTCCACCATCTGCACAAGCGAGTCGTGAAGTGTCATTTGAATATCTTAATCGTCAGCTGGTATGGCACGCCATTACGGAATTCCTCCTCTTCCTGCTGCCGCTTGTTGGAATTAGCCGGTGGCGTCGATGGCTCTCCAGGCTGTGGCGGAAGACATTATCCACTCTTAAAGCCGGCAGCGAGGATGACGAGCAGACTGGAAAGCAGGGGGAATTGGCATTCCTTCCAGAGAGGACCTGCGCTATTTGTTATAAAGACAACAACCCCACTTCCACGACAGAGGGCGAAGCAATAGCCGCGTCAGCTTCATCTGGCGGCATCATCGGATCAGCCCAGACCGATATAACGAACCCCTACGAAACGATACCTTGCGGCTGTATGTACTGCTTTGTCTGTATCGTGCAGAAGTTAGAAGGGGAAGAGGGGGAGGGCTGGGTCTGTCTACGCTGCGGCGAGATTGTGAAGAAATGCAAACCCTGGAATGGCGATGTGCTTGAAGAGACACGCCCGCAGTCAAGCTCGGGGAAGATGGTGGGGTTTGCTGTAGATGGAAGCGCCGGTCCCGATGATAGCACCGTGGATGAACAGGAAGCTGAAGGCCACACTGGGAAGAAAAGCCCATTACAGGAGTTAGCGTCGGACGAGGCGCTGCACCACTCGAGTCAATGGTCCACCATTGAGAAGGACTCAGTTGAAGAGGTGTATGATGGAGAAGTAGAGGCGGCTGGGTCAGCACAGTAGAGATCTGACGCCTTACCTGGGTGCTGCCAAGGTAAATTGCATTGGCGGACGGCCAGATTATACCTGTTGCAGTTCCTTTGTATTATGCTTCCCCTTGATATGTGATGACGACATGTGTTGTTTAAAGTCAGCTCCCACTGGAAGATACCCAGCATGTCATGTTCCTCTTGCCTGGGGCTCATGAATCAACGCAATAATATATTCAGTCTACTGCCTACTGCTACTGTGTAGTGTGTACATAATCAAAATATCCAATCGATAATCTGGGTGATGGATGGCCCACTACTAGGTAGTCCCAGCCGGGACCCCACTCAAGCTGCCCGGACTGCTCGAATCACAGCCGTCGGTTCCTCGTCAGAGGGTCGAATGCAACTAATCAGATTGATTCTGATTATACCGCGGATCTCATCTTCCCCGCAGCGGACTTCTGGCCGACTGACCGGGACATACGCACGCCGTACCTCCGAAGTTCCAGGCGAACGAGGGGCTTTTGGGGTACCGACCGCACACATACAGCACGGAGCTCGGTATAGTCTCCCATCCTCCCCTCATCTCCACATTCTCTTATATTGGCCTCTGGGCAGTGCAAGCTTAGAGGATCTTCTCGACTTCTTCTGCTGACTCCATTGTTCTTACCTTCCCTCCTGTCGTCCGAGAATTCACCCAATGGACCCCTCCAAACCCGCAGTGTCATCCACCTTGGGGGAAGCCAAGTACATCGAGTTCCCCTGCGTGCCAGAGGGTACGAAGCATGAAGATGGTACCCCAGTTCTGAATCGATACTCGGCCACCATCACCAGAGGCCATGATTTCCCTGGTGCGAAGGTTGGTCAATCCCGTTTTTGCACAATGGCTTTCCCCGCAACTTAGGACCAGTTCTGACCTCGAGGTGATCGGAAAGGCAATGCTCTACGCAGCGGGCATCCCCGACCATAATGCCATGACGAAAAGTCCCCAGGTTGGTGTTGCATCCGTGTGGTGGGAAGGCAACCCATGCAATATGCACTTGTTAGACCTGGCCAAGACTGTGAAGAAGGCGATCACGGATCAAGGCATGATTGGATGGCAGTACAACACCATTGGAGTATCGGATGCGATTGGCATGGGTAGTGAAGGTTGGTGCTTAATAAAACTCACTACCGGAATCCTCTCTGACGAAATCTCAGGCATGCGTTTCTCCCTCCAGACTCGTGAAATCATCGCAGATAGTGTTGAATCTGTGACGTGCGCTCAATATCACGATGCCTGCATCGCGATCCCTGGATGCGACAAAAATATGCCTGGTGTGGTGATGGGTATGGCGAGACACAACCGGCCCTCGATCATGATCTACGGCGGTACCATTCAGGTCGGATATTCCAATCTTCTACGAAAGCGTGTCAGCGTCTCAACGTGCTTTGAAGCTGCGGGTGCTTATACCTATGATACCCTTCGTCAACCTAATGACGGAGGTGATACCAGCAAGAACAAGGATGAAATTATGGATGATCTGGAGAGACATGCCTGTCCCAGCGCGGGTGCTTGTGGTGGCATGTTCACTGCCAACACCATGGCGACGGCAATTGAATCCATGGGACTTTCTCTGCCCGGATCGTCTTCTACTCCCGCGTCTTCCCCAACAAAGATGCGTGAGTGCGTCAAAGCAGCCGAAGCAATCAAGATCTGCATGGAGAAGAATATCCGCCCTCGAGACTTGTTGACCAAGCGGTCTTTCGAAAATGCCCTTGTCATTACTATGGCCCTGGGCGGAAGCACCAATGGCGTGCTTCACTTCCTCGCCATGGCCCGAACTGCCGGCGTGGATCTTACTTTGGACGATGTCCAGCGGGTCAGCAACAAGATTCCTTTCATTGCTGACCTGTCGCCCAGCGGAAAGTACTACATGGCCGACCTCTACGAGATTGGAGGCATCCCGTCTGTGCAGAAACTTTTGATCGCAGCTGGCCTGATGGATGGTGATATCCTGACAGTGACTGGCAAAACTCTGGCTGAGAACGTAGCGTCGCACCCATCGCTGCCTGCCGACCAGGTCATCATCCGCCCCCTGAACAACCCCATCAAGGCGAGTGGTCACCTTCAGATCCTCCGAGGTAACCTTGCCCCCGGTGGTGCGGTTGCCAAGATTACAGGTAAGGAAGGGCTTCGGTTCACAGGCAAGGCGCGCGTGTTTGACAAGGAGCATCGACTCAACGAGGCATTGAACCAGGGTAAGATTCCTCACGGCGAGAACCTGGTCATCATTGTTCGTTACGAGGGTCCTAAGGGTGGGCCGGGAATGCCGGAACAGCTGAAAGCCAGTGCTGCGCTCATGGGAGCCAAGCTCACCAATGTAGCGCTGATCACAGACGGGCGATACTCAGGCGCTAGCCACGGATTCATTGTGGGTCATATTGTCCCTGAAGCTGCTGCAGGAGGCCCGATTGCTGTTGTCCGTGACGGGGATGTGATCACGATTGATGCCGAAACGAACACGATCGCCATGGACGTTTCGGATGACGAGATCCAGCAACGTCTGAGAGAGTGGAAGCCCCCGGCACCCCATGTCACACGGGGTGTGTTGGCCAAGTATGCCCGATTGGTAGGAGATGCCTCGAACGGGGCCATGACGGATCTATTTTAGGCCTGGGTAAGAGGGCGATAACATAAATTGGTGAAAAAAACCGAATGTATATAAACTAAGCTACGTAGTAATGTCCAATGACGCATCTGCCTTGTCATACTACTACGGAAGCTGGATCAATGAGGGGTCCGAACAAGTTTAACAGGTGTTAATGGGTGCCCGTTCATCTATCTTCCTTGTAATGCACATGGAGAATAGGATCAGGCGACACCTACTCATCTCTCACTCCATCAATAGTGCGTACTGAATAGTTTCAATACATTCAATACAATTACTATGTAAGAGTTCCGGACCAGGCCTGGCTGCGTTGGGTCTAGCGCGGGCTGAGTCAGCGAGCCCGGGCTGCGGCGTGACGCCATGAGTGGATGTGAATCATCGCCGGCAAATTTGCGACGAAAGAAAGAAACCATCGCAGATCCTCCACGGTCTTGCCCCCGAGCCTCTGACAGGCCTGTTGTTATCCGCCACGGACTTCCTGACCACTCTTGTGCCTACCAACTTCCAACTTCCGCCCCGCGATCCAGCCCGCCTGCAGTTACTCCGATTAAAGTTTGGGTTCCTCAGTCGCATTTGTTGCAGCACAAACCATGTATGTGCCCATATCGCCTGCACTCTGTACTCTCACGACTTCGGTGTGCGACAGGCCTCTAGGTATCCTCGGGGTCATTGCTGACCATCTTCACAGCTCTTGCGACATCAACCGCATCACCATCCCGCCCTCTGGAACCGCGCAAAGCTCCATGTGACCCGGAGATTTTCTCGGGTCAACCAAGAATTGGGATATCGTCACCATTGGAACAATCCTGAAAACAAATTAGGTCGCCCTCCTTGCCGAGTTCGATTCGAGACTGGTGGATCTGTCAGATTCTCCGGAACCCTTAAGTCCAGCCAGGAGACCAACGTGTCGCATTCTCAGCACTCATTGGTCCACGCGAGTCCGGGGCGCACTTAGAGTAGTGCCCAAAAACAGCTCTCCTTACCTCAGATAGCCTACTCCAGAATCCGGCTGCTGGTGGTTTCGATCGACCCGCTTCATTGCCTCACTATCGATCCGGAGGCACTCCTTACCCGCCAAAGAGGTGCCGTCTTCTCGGCTCGTGTAAAGTTCGGCTCGCATTCCAGAACGGATCCTCCTTGCCCCCGATCGTTGGTTCCAGGCTAAGGGATCCCTGACACTGGGCGTTAAGGCTTGGGCGATCGGTGAGCGGATGAAGGAGCCCTTTTAGGGGTGACGAAGCTTCGCGCCTGGACCCTATCGGTAATCTTATAAATATCAGAACCTCACCTTTGCGCCGGGTATGGGGTCTACAAATGTTCCTCTGACCTCTCCTACCACATCCCGGTCTGGTCCTGTGGATATTAGTGCTTATTTGCGCCTCTGGGATTCGGTATACGCTGCCTTCACCAACTCCGGTGCCTTTGTCTCCCTCACTCGTCTTTTTCAAGCATATAGCTACGATGGAACTGTGAATTGGGGCAAAATAGTGTTCCTGGCCACTTGCTTCGTTACCATGGTGGGTTGCGGAGTCGTCTCTTCGATCCTGCGGCGCAAGAGCTGGGGACAGGCTTCTGGCAAAGCGCGTCTCCGCCGTGCTGCGCGCAAAGGCTACTCCAAGCGCTCTGCAGGGACAGTCACCTCATCAGACGAGGACGACTATGACAGCACTGGGTCACTGCGGCATGGCACCGAAGGCTCTGTCTCACTCTCTGAGAAGAAGGAAGTGCCTCAGCATGGGCAGACTGAAAATGGTTGGTGCACTCACGGCGTCTTGATATGGGATACTGACTTGTAAAAGCCCATGATACAGACCCGGGTCTCTTGAAGAAACATTCATCATACCTTTCATACACAACATCCATTGCGACGTACCCTTCTGTCAGAACGTTCTTCCGCCCGCATCCGCAAAAGGACAAGTTACCCACCAAGCCCTCTGCGATTCCGTTGCTGGTTTTCGTACATGGCTTGGGTGGGTCTCTTGCACAGTTCAACCACTTGCTGACGAGTTTGTCCAATGTGGGACCTTGCTTTGGAATCGATCTTCCGGGATGCGGTTTGTCGTCTTTTGCGCCGACATCCTGGGATGCTTACACTGTTGATGCGCTCGCGGAGTTGCTTGCCACAGCCATTGAGCAGCACCGTGACAAGGAGACGGGCCAAGGCGTGGTTCTGATTTCCCATAGCCTGGGCTGTTCACTATCCGCGTTGTTGACATCTTCCACCTCCACATTGGGCGCCAATTTGAAAGAGCATATTCTTGGTCTCATTGCCGTCTGCCCTCGTGCGGCGCCCCCGTCTCCCCACGAAGTCACCAAATTCCGCCGGCTTCTGCATATCCCCAGCCCTATATTTGACCTCTGGCGCTGTTGGGATCGGCGTGGCGGCCTACATAGCACCAGCGTCAACAGACTTGTCGGTGCAGCAGCCGATTCCGATACCAGAGGACTTCAAGTCCGCTACAACAAGCAGAGCAAGACGGATGTATGGAGGCGGATGGCGTGGGGAACGCTGCCTTCATACGACCGCAATGGCAGGGCCACCGGAGGTATTCCTGGCGAGGAAGTCTGGGCGGGAGTCCACACACCCGTCCTGCTGGTAGCCGGTGAAGCTGACGCGGTGGCAAAGCCTGCGGAACTGAAGAAGATCCTGGAGTTCTTTGGCCGCGCTGGACGTAGCGTGGATGATGGCGCAGATAGAGTATCTTCCATCCCTGATGCGCCCCAGGTCCATGACAAAGCACCAGCATCCTATAACGGTCGGGCACATGAAGAAGAATTCGGAGTTGAGCCACAGGTCGAAGAAGAGGAAATGGCGGATGAGTCTGATATGTCAGGCACTCGGCGATCTGTCAAGACCGTTATCCTGCCCGCTCCAGCCTCCCATGCGCTCATCTACGATCGTGCGACGTATCGCACTCTGGCCGGGATTATCCAAGATTTCCTCCGCCAACATGTTGATAACCGCTTGAGTATGGGCTGGCAGCTACAGTATTTGAATACCTCAGGAAAGTGGGACGTCAAAAACCTGGCGAAGTGGAAGAAGGTGGCACCTGTGTCGGAAAGAATCGCCGACACCTTTGCGGCACTCAAGATGCTCCGGGAGGTGGACGAAGAACACAATCCCGTTCTGTTTTCACAGAAGTACCACGACCAGATCTACGCCGTGATCGATATCAGCTACGAGAATCCGGTGTATAACCCCGCGTCGATGGAAAAGGGAGGTATTCATTACCACAAACATCCGACGGTGTCGAAGATCCCACCTACGCCGGATGAGGTTCGCGACTTCATTGCGCTCGTGGACCGACTACAGAATGAGATTACGGAGAAGATGGAGAAGTCGGGCAAGCCGGAGGGCCCGCGCCCGGTGGTTGGGGTCCACTGCCATTACGGGTTCAACCGCACCGGATTTTTGATCGTCTCGTACTTGATCGAGCGGCGCGGGTTTACGGTCTCGGAAGCGATTGAAGAGTTTGAGCGGCGGCGTCCTCCAGGAATACGCCACGAACACTTCATTGATACCCTATTTGTGCGATACTGCGTGGGGCTGAAGAGGGCACCTACACTGTAGTTGAACTGGATTGGCGTTGTCATTTTCGGGATGGTTTCTTTGTGAGGGGTGTAATGGGGAGTGCTTGATGAATCATGATAATTATACCATAGACTGTACATTAAGAATAGAGAGAGAGATCTCTGAACGAGGAGTATTATGTAGTGGTGGTAGTAGTGTAGTGGTGGTAGTAGTGTAGTGGTGGTAGTAGTGTAGTGGTGGTAGTAGTGTAGTGGTGGTAGTAGTGTAGTGGTGGTAGTAGTGTAGTAAAGGTGTAGAGGTGTAGTGGAGTAGATCAGGCACCATGTCTGCCTGAACCCCAGGGAAGCAAATCATGTGACTGTGCACCCGCCAGCGCCGCCTCAGGCATTGACCGGCTTAGGGTACGGCTAGACCGGAACAGGCTAAGCGAAGCGCCCACAGCCAACCGAGAAGCACTACGAGCGCAAATGTGTGCGAATCCGAAATTTCGAGGCTTGACCTGACCGACTCCTTCAACGACGACAACGACGACCCATCCTCTCACCTCGTCCCCCTCTTCAGCTCCCTACCCCTTCGATTCCCGTTCGAGGTCCACAAGTCGCAAAAATGGGTGGTGTCACCGTTCGCGATGTCGACGTAAGTCGCCTCTTTTGAAGATTGGCTGGTCGGTGCGGTTTGGCTGGCATGGCATGGCACGGTACGGCAATACGGCGGAGGATTCTATCGCAGAATGGAAAAGACAATATCAGTCAAGGAACAGATGCATACGACAGACGAGCGATCTCTATCTGGGCCGGGATCAGATCACGAGCAGCGCAGGGATATATCAAATTCAGGAGATCGGTTTAGAGGGAATGGGGGGAAGTTTACGCGACCAACTGGGATCTTCTCCAGGATTTACGGACATTATGTTTTGAATGGAAAACTTGGATTGGAACCGACTGCCGCGAAATAATATCATCCAGGATTTCTTTCTTTGCTGTGTCGATCTTGCCATGCCGTGTTATGTCATGCCAGAACGCGCCTGCACCGACAGGCCATATATCATACAATGATTTATGTGATTTGATGGGATCGGCTGACCAAGTTTTGATGGTATAGGCGCAGAAGTTCATCGCTGCTTACTCTGCGTTCCTGAAGCGTCAGGGAAAGCTCCCCATTCCTGGTTCGTGCCACCAGATTCGATGAAGAATACAAACGACAGGAAATCAGGACTAATATCTGTTGATTAGGATGGGTTGACACTGTCAAGACCTCCGCCTCCAACGAGCTCCCTCCCCAGGACGCCGACTGGTACGACCATGAATCTCGCCATTTGTGATTGATGCAAAGATTTCGAGAAGCCCAGTTATCTGACGAATGGATGCATATTACAGGTACTACGTCCGCGCCGCCGCCGTCGCTCGCCACATCTACATGCGCAAGACCGTCGGTGTTGGCCGTCTCCGCAAGGTCCACGGATCCGTCAAGAACCGTGGCTCCCGCCCCAACCACCACGTCGATGCCTCCGGCTCCGTTGACCGTAAGGTCATCCAGTCCCTCGAGAAGATCGGTGTCCTTGAGCACGATGAGGACAAGGGTGGCCGCCGCATCACCCAGAGCGGCCAGCGTGATCTTGACCGTATCGCCAAGACCACCGTTGACGAGGAGGAGGAGGACGACGAGTAAATTAGTCCTTGGATCTCGATCTAAAATAATGAAAAAGTCCTGATGTTACTTTTTTCCTCCTGACCTCCTATGAAGCTTCGCCTCTTTGTCTGATACCTACCGCGGTGTGCGCGGCTTGCTGCTTGCTGCTTTGCTGGGGAATGGGGTTAGAATTGGGGCCGGGGTGCGTTGGCGGATGGAATGGATGAGTGGCTATGACAGGGAGAGGATGAACTTTTATGTTTCAAGTTATTGTTCATGCCGGGCATAAATGGACAATCAATTCTGTGGACTTTTTTTTTCTACGTAGCTGCCTTGATTCATAGACTTGGGCCAATTGTACAGGATATTTTCTTTATATTCAGTCTACCGTAGATAAGATAGCAGCAGCATCATACGACAGTCCTGTCAGGTACAGAACCTCTTCAGAGAATATACCCAACACGACATAGAACTCGTCCTATCTTACAGCTCCAACATAAGTATACCCAGCAATACATGGGAAACCTACCCCACGTTCAGCCTAAACCCATATATAAACCAAGCTCTCCCAACCCAACCTATATACAATCCCCATCCATCCTACCATATCATATCACATCCCACCCCCAAACCCTAAGTCCCTAGTACTCCCCATTTACCCATTCACTTCCAGCAACCCCAACCCCAACCCCAATCTCGAAAATGATGAACAATGAAACAAACCATCTATTTCTTCCCCGACTGCGCGGACGGATCCTAAACCCCCCAAAAGTCAGTCCATCCATCATCCAGCAATAACCACCAATCCAATAACAAAAGGGGGAAGGAGAAAGATACCAAATAAACCTGATAAAACCTCATCTTCTCCACCTTCTCATCAAACACCACCCTCCCAGCCCAGGGTACTTCAATTTCATTCTCCAAATCCGACCTCAACACATACTTGACTGTCCCGTACAGCATGAGTTCTCTTTCCCCGCCGAAGTAGATTCTCTCGGGGGTGTGTTTTCGGCTGTGTACGTGCGTCCAGAGGGAGTGGCGGAGAGGGAGGATTTCTGTTTTTAATTTTATTTAGTTTTCTTTGGCTTTGTTGGTGTTGGGTTGGGTTGGGGTGGGGTATGTAGTATGTATGTATGTATGTATGTATGTATGTATGTATGTATGTATGTATGTATAGAAAGGTATAGGGATGGGAATAGGTAGTGGGAAGAAGTAGTCGGGGAAAAACGCACCATCAACGCCCCTCGCAACCTTCGACCCCATAATCAATGTGGCATCGTCCGTGAAGTTACTCACGTACTGATCATGCTGGGATTCGGCATCGCTAATGCGGTAGAAGTTTTCCATGAAGGAGATCATGGCGGCGCTGGTGGGTGGGGAGAGAGTGGGGGAGGAGGTGATTTGGTAGGTCATTTTCTCTCTGTGTATCTTTCTTTCTTTCTTTCTATGTTATTTTTCTAGAATTGGGTGAATGTTGGTTGGTTGGTTGTATTGAGTTGATTATGGTGGAATGGGTGAATGGATGAAAGATGGGGTGAAGTGAGGTGAGGGGTATAGTGTACTTCAAAAGAATTGGAGATGTGATGTAAGTGAGGAGAGAAAAGTGTCGGGCCGATGGGGGACTGACTATCCGATAGCCTCCACTGGAACTGCATCCGATCGGTGTGGATGAGCCCATCCGGCTTGGCTTTACGTGGGTTTTTGTTTTCGTAAGTGGAATTGAATTGCCTCTGGCTTTATCGGATGTGCTGCTTGCTGCTGTATTGATGGTTTGTATTAGTGGTGTTTTAGGATTGGGGATAGGGTAAGGTAACTTGACTGCTAACGGGTATGAATTGGAATAAGCTATACATGTGTACGGGTAGTATCTATCAACTCAGATATTCTGATTCAATCATCCTCCTCGAACTCCCAGCTCGCCCGGTCAGTTCCATTCGGTCGACTGGCCCGCACAAACTTGTTCTCCACGCCGTCAATCTCCGCAATAGGTCGAACAACCTCGATCTCCGCATTGTATGCCTTGGAAAACCACTTCTCCGTCAGTGCCTCCGCTCCCGCTTCCTCGGGAGACTGATAAAGGTGAGGGAACCGCTTCTGCATGATCTTCAACACAGTGGATGAGATACGATCCACGCTGTCGCAATGACGCAGCTGGAAGAATTCCGGAGGCTGCGCAGCGCGCATCTTCTCCTGCACGGCCTCCGAGTACTGTCCGACGGCGAAGAGGAGCAGATCGTAGTGCATCAAGGACGCCTTGCCGTGGTATGAGCCACCGTGTTTGGCGCGGTGATAGAGTCCCGTCAGTGCGGCGATGGCTCCCATGCACCCCGTACCGTAGTCAGAGATGGGGAATGGGGGAACCATGGGCGTCGAGAAACCCATAAACTTTCCCTGGGCCCAAGCAATTCCGGTCACCTATATACCAAGTTAGCGACTACTTGATGTTAATATCGCATGTACTTACGCAGTCTGCAATCTGCTGCCAGCCCGGACGGCCGGCCCACTCGCCCTCGTATCCAAAGCAGTTCTCGTTCACGTACACGATACCCTTTCCACGCTTCTCGGCCAGGGAAGCAAGGGCATTGGCGCCATAACCCAGCTTCTCAAGAGCACCAGGGCGGTAACCGTCCACGAGCACATCTGCGTCGGCCAGGAGCTCTTCGAACTGACGCCGACTCTCCTCAGTCTTGAGGTCCAAGTCTGCCGCGTGCTTGCCCATGTTACCGTCCACTTGGAAAAAGGGGACGTCAGACAGATTCGGGCTGGTGATCTTCAAAACATCCGCGCCATACTCGGACAAGATGCGCGCAACAGTAGGACCAGCAATGATACGGCAGAGCTCGAGGACCTTGACCCCTTCAAGGATTCTCTTGCTTCCGCTGCGACTGGCAGGGAAGGGTGTCGGAGGTAGGTCACCGTTCAAACGCGTAACCTTCCATGGGGGTTCCTCAACGTTAAGTTTGCCCTGGTGCATGTCAGCATTGCTCGCATGCATCGTGTAACGGGAAGTCATACATGTGGAGTGTTCTTGAAATCTTCGTACTTGAATGCCGTCACACCTGCCTGTCTCCTTTCCTTGTTCATTTCCTCCAATTCCGCAGCGCTATACTTCTGGACATGGCTCTCAATGACCTTGATGATGTCTTCGTAATCCGTCAGATCCGGACGCTGTCCTTCCAAGCCAATCATGTTCAGCGTCGTCGTCGCCTCCAGGGAGCCGTGGATGTGAAAGAACTCGTCCTTGTTCTTGGTCTTGTAAAGATTGGCGGACATCCGGCGGTAGCCATTAGATTGAGCCGCAAGTAAATCCGTATCTATATTGAATTAGCTTATGGCCATAATTTGAACAAAGTCTTACCTTTCAACTTCTTCTTGACCTCGGGGTCCAATTTGGACAGCCCGTCCACCTTGGCCATGTATGCCTGGGAACCAAACGCAGTAGCCCGTTCAAGACTAACCTTGACATTGCGCTTCTGAGATGGGCCGTACCGCAAATCCGCAATTGCGCCTGCCACGGATCCCTCAACACCCTTCAAAGCAGCCAAAGTCTCCGTCTCCTTGAAGGGGATCGGGTAATAAATCTCGTCGTGTGTGGAAGAGAACGACACCGCATCTTGTCTCTCAACTACCTCTGTAGGCAAGCTGAGGCGCTCCGCTTGGTCGCACAGGAAGGAGAAAATGCGACGTGTCTCGCGAACAGGCGAATAGTCGTTCCCCGCAGCCGAAGTAGCCGCCATGATGTCAGTCGATGGTGGGAGACGTTCCGTGGGTATGTACAGACACACTTCAGTTCCAAGATGCAAGATTAAGAAGAGTCCGCGAAGAAAGTGCCCACTCCGCGGTATGGGCAATCCGAATAATATATGCAATGCAACCTTTATCGGGCGAAGGTCGGCAACGTTTGGACCTCCTTAAGGTGGATATTGCGCCGGGACAATTCCGAGAATTTGTCCGTCGGGTGGATGCACATGTGTCGACCGATCGGCAGATGAAAATGAGTAGGAAGACATTGCGCCGCTTAGGAGGCGAATGATGGTCCAGGATAAGGCGCAAAAGGCGAACCCCGCAGAGAGTTGATTCCGAAAGGTGGACCGGGTTGGGGAAGCGCTTTTCGGATGCGACCCCGATAAGATCGGATGCGGATCCGGCGGCTGTGACGTCGGCTGCGATAAGCGCCTGTTTCGCTTTCGATGATGCTTTCATGGTCATCGTCTGTGATGACCCGACGACATGTTGGTGCAACTGAATACAATATGTCTTCCAGGCTGCAGTTTTATTAAGCCAGATACCATCGTAGCTCCTATGCTATTTGAAGAGACTACTGCACTTCATGATGGCTTATAAGCATATAAGTTCTCCGGTGATGCATGTCCTCCCAGCCAGCTAGAGCTCATCCACACATTATATGTCAGTAGGGACACTCTCGACACGTTCATTGAGCTGGAATATTCCACGTGGACTCTTGTGCGTATTGGTGAGATATGCTCTGACCTTGAGGCTGAGTTACTCAACTGTCGTACGAAAAGGAGGTGCAGGTGACCGGGGCACGGACATATCAATCTGCAGAAGGGGGCTTGGTAGTCCTTTGCATGTTGGGTGGCTGTCTTGTTGGATACTCATGAGTGCATACCATTGGATAAAAACTTGGTTTGTTCTTTTCCAAGGGGCATTGATAAGGCACGAGGTGACACTAGGCCCTTCAAACTATATATGCATATAATCGATTTGCCTGCTCGGTTCATATGTATAAGTATCTAGGGTGTGGGTTCGGGCGGCAGTTGCACATGAGAATCTCATGGATTGCGTTGGCTGACAGTTGTAAGCATGATTGTAATGGGACTAGGCTTTCTCTAACCTTTCTTCCTCTCGCAGCATCAACGGGCCACATCAGTTCCTTCCGTGGGCCTATCTGTGCTACCCAGTAGCCTTGCGGTACTATATCCCAGAAGCAGCCCTTCGGCTGCGCCTCTCCATCACACAGCATCCAGTCTTACCTTCCAGCCTATTGGAGTATCTCAGTCCCACAACAACAAGTATAGAACCAAGCTAGGACACCGGTTATCAGGTCTCCAGTCTGAACGAGCATGGTGCAAAAGACGATGGTTCCGGTGGGTCACTCTCAGTTTTCATCATATAGTTTGCAGACACTGATCATAGCTCGGATAATTTACCGTCTAGGTATAAAGTGGCAACCGCACAATGATTGGGTACCTGATCTTCCAGGCAGCTTGACCCTCTGTGGAAGGAAGGAAGCCATACGCCATAGTCAAGAAGGCTTGAGAAGGATATTGATCGATTATAAAGCTCTCTGATATGACGATAACGCATGACTCAACAACTCACGAGTGGTCTGGTAGCAGGTACTGAATTGTGATGTTGACAGACAGACTTTATCCTTTGGCATGTCTGTTCTTTTCGGAGTGATCGATCTAGTCAAGATTTTTGGTTTGCTCTGGCGTCTAGCAGTCCATAAGTTTCTTATATTCTTGAACATCTTCAAATGCCAGTCAAAGCCAATAACGATAGGCTTTCACCCACAACGTAGACCCTCTTTTTCCCAGGATTGCACAACAGGGCATCTGTGCGAGCAAATTTGGAATGCAAGCAATAGATAGATCCACTTGGACAGTGTTCAAGACGGTGATCGTCAGTCATGATGGTACGGTCGATCTTCTAAAGTGGATGTTATTCGGAGCAAAATATATCCGACTGCATCGTATGGCAACAAGTGGTACTAGGAAATCATGACTGCACAATAGGTGCAGACGGATGTGAAGCCAAAGGCTGACCCGAATCAGAGGGACCTAGTTTGGTATGTTGGTGTCGTTTGCAGCCTCATCAAACATGGATGGCACAGTGGGATGTCATGTTCGAGAAATTCCGCCAATGGTCCGTGATGTCCGCCAATGGTCCCTGATGTCGCTACTAAGGCTATGCAGTATCACCTTGGAAACCCTGAACTAAGCATAAACCAGACATGGTTGTTCGGCGTATTGAAAATATGCATTGTGAGATGTTTGAGAAATAGAGAAGACAATGCGAATATCGGTTGGCTGACTACACAGACATATCAAAAGTAAAGTAACCACCTAGTAGTTGATGAACTATTTTTGTGGTCTGTGCCTGCTGCATAAACAGCAATCGAGCGAAGTATACTGCCTTTCACAGGATTGAAGGATCAAGACAAACGCTAGAGTGGTTTTTCCTATTACTATATACTCCATATGATTTGATGCAATCCAATCTGAGTGGGTGTGACAAGTCAGATCGATTTGCGTTGATCGGTGCTAAGAATAACAATCGAAGCCACCACCGTTTACTCCGTACAGCACTACTTTATCTAGTTCCGTCGTCAATAGAAATAGTCTACCATTAGCCCTCAATTTATTGAACCCACTTCAAAATAGTAGATATTATTAACAACAACCTGGTGACTTACTCTAATTTAATCGATCGGTATCTAGATGCGCTATTTAATATCATTATCATGTCAACCATCCCAATAATACGTCAATGCGTAGACTTCCATTACCCACTGTCTCTAGTCAGTCTCCAAGCGGAGGGGCAATGTTGATCGCATGCGGTATGAGGAAAGTCAAAAAGAAAGAGAAAAAGAAAACTAAAAGGCCCGTGTACAAACTAGATACAGACATCACGAGCAAACCATAGCCACTTAGCGACTGAGGCAACCCCAACCGACATCCCAACCAGCCTGACGGTCTGTATTATTCTTCTACGTAACTACTCACATTCTGCAGGACAAAAGCAGACTCCATCGATAGGTCAAGCACAGTACATGATGCAATAAACACCGGGACGCTGGGAAGCAAGTCGTTGACCCAATAGGTGAGGGTCCAGTACTCCGTAATGGATCCCACAATTGATATTCGCTAGTCAATAAAATGCCCCTCTAGCATCACGTTGCTCTGGCATCCCGCTGAACCGAAAATTGGGAGGAGACCCGGTTTAACCTAAACGGCCAACCCACCCATGAATCCCACACACAAGGAACATTCCACATTACGCTTCTGCAAAACTCTCCATGGGGTGGGATGTGCAGCCAGTCACCACGCCGACCACCTGCGCATGTGCAGTGCCCGACACCCACGTGCCGTCATCAAAGGGTGGCTATCGCGTACCACGAATCCAAGAGGACGTAGTAGGGCTCTTACCCTGGCCCAGCCTGCAACCAACCCCTCCTTGACGCGGGGGCGCACGGGCACGAGGCACCGGACTTGATATGCTCGATTGCTCGTCGATCGATGGAAACGGGTGGAAACTGGAAAGGTTTGCTCTTCCTACCAAGGAGGTGGATAGCTGGTGCTGTATAGGTCCCATCCAAATTACCTCATTGGGGGGGGGGGGGGTTTGGGATTCAACGGTGGTCTGTTGGGTTTGGACGGGTATCACAGGCTCCGTCATAGGCTCCCCGATGGAGTTTTGTCGGCGTGAGGATGGGATGGTGACGAAAGCATCCAGGATGTGGGGGTAATTGAAATCGTATTGATTCATGATAGGTATCTAGTAGTGGCTTCTATCTACCTAGGTAAGTAAGTAGTAGGTAGTTGGACGCCATTTATCACCGGACAACGACCAGTGTTACGGAGTACAGCTACCGGGGCGATAAGCCGGTGTGGAAAACCGCGAACCGACAACAACAATACGACGGGCCAGGCCAGACGGTAAGATAACCAACGATTGTAACCAGGGCCGATTTGGCCCGGAACCTCCCGGCGCTGTCTACAGCGGGTCCGAGGAGTAACAACCAATCAGGGGAGCCACGGGTCGGATTGAGACTGGTTGCGTTCGTAAGAGGGCGGTATGGGGCGGTAAGAGTGTCTGACAGGACCTGGACTCGGGATTGAGTTGGATAAGGGGCAGCGGCGACTTGGAGAGATAAGAGGGTCACACTGGAGAAGATGTACTCCGTACTTTCCCTCTTGCCTAGGCTTAGACGGCTTAAAGGAGGTCGTCATCCCACATCTGAATCTCACCGGGGAAAATCAAACCAATACATACCGTATTTCAATCAATAATACCTCAGGCTCCTTCTGGCTCACACCGTCCATCTGGCACCGACCGACGGCGGCGCCGGCTGACAGACATTCCATTATTGCTATTCTTACTACTATTGACGGCCTGCAACTCCCACTCCTTGCTTTCCCCCCTCCTTCTCCTCTCCTCTCCGTCTCATTTCCTCCTTCTACTTACCGACTCCTCTCTTCTCTTGACCTGCTACTTGTCCAGAACTTCAAACGCTCCTGCCCGGTCCTTGTGGTTCGATCAGCTCGTCTACATTGTCGCGTCCCCTTATCAATCCTCCTGCTAGTACGCCTGAGTTAGCGCGTCGCATCGCATCTACCCTGCATACTACGCTTCAGCGTTGCGTCTGCACAGCTGTTCCGTCTGCGATCTGCCTCTGACAGTGCGCCGTGAGTACAATCTAAAATCCTTGGCTCATTTTTTTTGGTTTTGTTCTTTTGGATTATCCTTTCGCCTCCGAAGAGTGAATCTTATACTTCCAAGTCGTCCCTTTATTGTGGGACTTAGTCATCTTTCCCATTGTTCGGATGCCGGCAGTGATTGGTGGATTGCCCTCTGACTCATGTGACAACAGATTAGCCACCCAAGTCGAAAGAACAATCAGAAGCCTCTCGCTGCTCTCTATCGCTCAAGATGGCTTTCATGAATACTACCTCCAGCATTGCCATGGCCCTTGCTGGCAAGACTGCCTCCGTTGATATCCCCAAGCCTCGTCCCGGTTTCCCCATGGGGGGCCGCGACTCCGCTCGCCCTGGACATCCTGCGATGCTGCCTACTCCGCCCAACTCCATATCCCCCACTTTGCCTCCGCAGGGCTTCAGACGACAGGACGCTAATCCGGGATACTCCCCGCTTGCCTCGTCGCATGTGGAGTCTGATGTCGACCTCGAAGATCCCGCCGATCATGCAAACAGTTCTAACGGCGCCCGCACCGCCGCTCATGACCTGGATAGCACCGGGGCCATCACACCAGGAATGTTGGCCAAGTGCCACCTTCCTGAGATTATGCTTCAGCATGGCCCCTTGGCGATTCGCCATCTTATGGGCTATCTGACGACTTGCGTCCCTGGGTTCTCAAGGATTCCCCCTGCCAAAGCACGCAGGCTGGTGGTGGCTGCGCTGGAAGGCCGAGGCAGCGATGATAAGACTGGAGGTCGTGAAAGCGATGTTGTCTTCGAAAAGGTTGGATGGGGTCGCTGGGACGCTCGCCGCCGCGGTGAGCAGTCTCGGGATGCGCAACACCTCAACGTGTCGCCACCCTCCAGCGTCTCCAACTCTTTCCCTCAGCGGGGCATGCAGATCCCTACAAAGCGGGAGAGTGTACAGCCGTATGGCAGTAGCGTTACGGGCGACTCAGCTGTCTTCTCATATACCGAAATGGATTATGGTGGGCATGATATCAGCATGTTGGAACATGAGGCAGATAAGATGTCTCTCGATGGGGACGAGCGCGAGTACTGCTCGTCTTCTGAAGCTCCTGATGATGAGATGCATGATGATGACTGGGGCGAAGAGGATGTCACAGATGAGGAAGATTGGGCACAGATAGGTGCTGCGGCGCTTCGCGCACGATCTTTGAATGCCACGGGTGGCTTTGTGCACGGGGCACTTCCATCGCCGCAACTCCGCGGCGGAGGTCCCGCTGCGTCATCGCTGGCGAAGTCCGCACCGCTCAGAATCCCTGTTCAACAGCTTGGCTTTACTCTTCCGGAGGGCGTCATGGGCGACCGGGAAGAGCGTGCGGCAGTCGAGGCGCTCTTACGACTTGGATCAATGTAATATATGTCACGGACAGGCGTTTGCGACGTTCATATACCCTGCAACGCCTGCGTTCCTCGATGGTTTTGAGGCTGGCCCTGCTTTACACTCCTTACGTTCTACGATTTGATTCTTTGAAAGAATTTCCAGCAAGCTGGACGACATTACGATTCGACTGGTTCGATCAAGACGATGCATTGGGTTTGGGTCTGGCCCCGGCGTTCTATTTTTACAACCATCATTTTGATAATGACATCGACCTGGGGGTCGATGGGTTCTGCTGATATGGCGTTATGGGGCGTTTCAACACATACTCCTCCCCACCACTCTCCATTCTTGCACTTATTGGGCATTTGTTGCATGACGACCGACAATGGACTACTTTATCCATGGTTATATGGTTCTTGGCTGAGATACGTCTAGACCCGGCCTGCAGATATGCGAGGCTTGTGAATATCATACATAGATAATAATTCATACTATGCTATGGCACGGTCATAGTTATAGTTATACATACGCACCTTGAATTCAGTTGTACCTTGACACATCATAGGGAACGGTATATTATAAGTAGGCTCAGATCTATACCTACTGTACCCATGGTATAGTTTCATCCGTAATTACCGTCAACCCTACCAAGTATTGATTCAGTCATTCATTACTTTCATAGTTCAATTAGTCAAATACGCCCATACCCTTTTCCGCCACCTTCCAAACCCAAATGAATACAAAACAAACAACTCCATCCCACCAACCCAAACAATAGTATAATTTACAAAACCCAAGACACACCTACCCAAACCACAACAAACTCAATATACACCCACATCCCGTCCCATCACCACCACCACCCAACCCAAGAAGCAAGATACAATCAACGATCATGAACCTCATTAATCCTTCTCCAAACCTCCGCCTCCACCTCCCCCAACTTCCTCCCCGCAGTCCTCAACCACCCCCTCGCCCCAGCCAAAAACCCCTCCCCGAATCCATCCTCCTCATCCAGCGCCACCTGGCCCGACGGTCCAGGTTCATAGTATGGTAACTGACCCTGACCCTGTCCTGGACTACCGGAGGTGGTGGTATGGCGCTGGTAAAGGGTTGTATAGGGGGTTGTTGTGGAGTTTGGGACCGGGATTGGAGCTGGGTTGGTGGTATACCCGCCGTAGGTACCGTAGCTGGGATTGGAATTGGTGGAGAGTCCTGGGAATGGGTTTGGTGGGGAGGTGGGTTCGGGGACAGGGGGTTGGGTTATTGCGGGTGTAGGTGCTTCGCCTGCTTTGGGGGGTGGAGGGATGGAGGTTTTGGATGTTGGAGCTGGAGCTGGGAGTGTAATGGTAGAGGTAGGGGGAGGGACGGGGTGGGCGCCGGGTTGGGGTGGTGGTGGGGAGGTTGTGGATGGGGGTTGGTGATGGTGGTGGTTGTGGGAGCGGGGAGGGTGGTTGTGGTGGATGTTGTTAATGGTGAGGATGGTGAATGATTGTCGAGAGAGCCTGTTTGTGGTGGGAGGTCGCTGGGTTGAGCTGTGGCGTAGATGGGGGAGTATGCTGGGGCGGTTGCGGTTGCTGAGGTGGTTGCGGGTTCGGATGGGAAGGAGGTGTCGGTGTCGTTGTCTAAGGCTGGGCTCGAGGTGCGGGGAGGAACCCTGTCTGGGGATGAGGTGGTTGTCATTTTGGAGTTGGGTGATGGATTTCGTGGTTGAGCTGTAGCAGATGGAGCTGAGCTGTTAGACGTCATGGACCATGTGGCACGTGACATCGGACCAAGTCAGGTGACAAGAACCCGGTGAAATTTTCAGAGCTTACGGACCAGTGGCAGACGACTAGGCCAAGATATACATACTGGATTTTGATACCAAGGTGGAAGTACAGTTGGAGAAAAAAAAAGAAATAAGCTTGCAGGCAGTAAAATACAACTGGTACAAGAGGAAATATCACGCCATTCTATGGTCAAGATTATCGATACCACTCTTGACACATATTTCTATCCTCCTCCGCACCGCCCAGTACCTGGTAGTTACACCAGATACCGGCACCCCCTTCCCCGGAATCATATCGTCTGAAACGGCTTGAACTGAATCAAGCGTTTAGCCGGAACCACCCTTGTACTTCTTGCCGAAGAGGATGAGCTGGACCTGGTCGTAGATAGACAGGACACCAGCACCGGCAACACCACGGAGGATGTTAGCACCGGCACCCTTGAAGAGAGACTTGACACCCTCCTTGGCGACGATCTGGCGGCAGGCATCCATGGAGGAGCTGTACTTGACGGCCTCACCGGAGGTCATCATCATACGACGACGGATGGTGTCCAGAGGGTAAGAAGCGATACCAGCACCAGTGGTGACAGTCCAGCCGAGAAGGAATGAAGCAAGGAAGTTACCCTCGAGAGAGCCAACCAGAACAACGGGCTTGATGGAGTCGTACATGCCGAAGTACAGACCACGGTAGACAACAATACCAGCAACAGAGGGACCGAAACCACGGTAGAGACCGGCAATACCGTCGGAGGCGAGAGTCTTCTTGTAAACGTCAACGAGACCGTTGAACTGACGGTCACCACCGCCCTTGGCGGACTTGGCGTCGTTGGCAAGACGGGTACGGGCGTAGTCGAGGGAGTAGACGAAGAGGAGGGAAGTGGCACCCGCAGCCTGAACCATTGTTAGCTATCGTGCGCCAATGTCTAGGGTTGGAGCTAGGGGTACATACACCACCGGAGGCAAGGTTACCCATCATCCACTTGGTGTATCCATCACGCTCCTTCTTGTAGGAGAACATGGACTTGTAGGTGTCACGGAAAGCGAAGTTGAGAGCCTGGGTGGGGAAGTAACGGATGACGTTGGCAGTGTTACCTCTCCACAGGGAGACGACACCCTCGGAGGCGGCGGTACGACGGAAGCAGTCAACGATACCGTTGTACTTCTTGTCGAGACGGCCAGCGCGAAGCATCTCATCCTGAAGGGGTGTATTAGCAAGTGTCTTGGTCAATCCTATGTCCGGACTGTCCGGCCCGAAAAAATTTTGCCATCAGTCGACTTGGCGATCTTCAACCCGCATAGAAGCCTTGTCGAAGACGCAATCGCTGACCATGCAAATATTTCGGTCCTCCAGCATAGATATTGGTGTTGATGAGGTTTAACCAACCTGGTTCTGGATGAGGAGCTTGATACGCTCGATGGGGGCAGCAGCAGTCTTGGAGACGGCAGCGGAGACACCACCCACTGTATGATCAGTTAGTATGAGTTTCCAACCAATATATGTCGTGCTCGTTGATGGTGATTGATCGATAGTGATGAAGAGCGATCAATCGGGGCGAGCCGGGATGTACATACTCAGGAAGTCGACGACGAATCCCTGTGAAAATTTTTATTAGCCAGCTATTCCAGGGACAATGGCCATAAACCGGCTCAAACCATCAACCTGCCGTGTCTCCAAGGAACCTAAAGCTCGATCTCGAACATTCAAGACCATTTTGAGCTCATTCCATCGAGAGCGCGACATTCGATGACTTGACGACAGCTGGCAAGGGAGAGTAGCAACTTACGGGCATGCCGAAGACGGTCTTGTCGGCCTGGTTAACGTCACCTCCAGCCATTTTGACGGTGATGAACGGAAACTAAAGGAAGGAAAGAGAGGAGATGATAGTGCCAAACAAACAGACACTTCAAGGGGGATGGGAGAAGAAAGGAAGAGGAAGCGAAGGGGAGGAAGAAAAAATAGCGAGCGAAGGGCTCTTGTAAGCGGGAAGAAGCGAGCGGAGACGCTAGGACTCTCTTGGGTTTTTCGCTGGCCTGAATTCGCAGTGGCAGCGGCGGCGATGGGCGGCCGGCCTCGTTTGGGTTGGCCGGATTGGTTGGCCCGGTCCGGAGTAGGGAGGTCCTCCCATTGTAGGGGGCAGAAACAAAAAAAAAAAATAAAAAGGACAAAAAAAAAAAAAAAACTGGACCCGGCGCTAATGCTGGCCCAGGCAACGAGCGCCGATATCTCCCGATCGCGCCAGTAACCATCCCGACCGCTGGCATTATTGGGAAATACCCTCGATACTATGAGTGATTTCTGGATGAACAACAACATCTCCTTCAATTCTTCATTGTAGGTAGCCATCATCATGTGTAAATACTTGGACCTGCTTAAGGTTATCCTGCCATACTTATTTATCACCAGCTCAACATCACCCAGTTCTTATCCCTTCGGTAGAATCGCAATCACCGCTCGGTCCTTTGATGTACCTCCAGCATTAATACATGTTTGGACCTCCTCCGTAATTCGGCCTCGTAAGATATCCATTCTTCCCATTTCCCCGTCCTGACCGAACCAAGCGTTGGAGTCCACTCGCGCTCCATTATTCATGGGGAACCGCCCTTTCTTTCATCTGGTCCCGGATATCCGATGGCAAATGCCTTCCTCTGGTTCTCTGCAAAATCGAATTTGCCTTCCAAAGACAGTGCAATCGCAAGGGCAAAAATGAAAAAAATTTTGCTCCTGCAGACAGGTTCGGAACACTTCCTTACAGTACTCTTCGGCCTACAGCATCGATACGGCGGCTACAGTAGCTGGGCCTTTTTCCGCGCCACCGGGACTGATCATGTGCGTGCGCCGTCCTTCGGCTGACATGCCGCGATTTCCCCGTTTTCTGCTCCGGGCGGAAGTCTAAGGACGGATAGAAGGGGGGAAAGGGACGGAATTGAGAGACCAGAAAGTCGGTAATACCCAGTATCCCATAGGTTATTTGGTTCAACGGCCCAATGTCAGTATCTATACTTATCGTCCAAGCTTGGATATGTATTGTGGATTGATAGACAACGGGGAGTTGTGCTGAAGATTATATATCTCATACTGCACTCCTTTCTCTGACCTAGTGATTGAATACTTGATCAGAAAGTACCCTGAAATGAATTTGTCACCACCGCAGAGAAAGCTTGATGAGCTATCAATTGTATTCTTCAGTTTATCGGACCAGTATCTCGCTCTCTTCACTATGTGCGCCATTCTCTGCGTCCCAAGAAGACACGAGACCAGTTCGACATTACCCAAACTGGCAATGTTCCAGCCGGCCCCACTTGTTGTTGGATAGTGACTAGTCTCATTTCCGGTTGGTCCTTTCTTGCCTCTCGCGCCTCCTTTTGTCGACGGGGCAGGCAAAACTGACAAACTGTTCTTTCCTCGGGACCCACCCACTAAAAACATGGGGATGCCTCCTGTCGCCCATGGGATTGTTGTTATTTTTACGTGTTGCTGCCAAAGCTTCATTGGTTGTCCAGGTACGGAGTACAGGGTTCGAAGCAGGTTGGCTAGGTTGAGATGGGACTGAAACTGTCTCACTTCTGATAATTAGATGTTTCGCCATAGGTATGCAGAGTCTCGAGACTAGTTCTTCGATCTGGTTCATGGGGAAAATATAGATGAGGCTTGTTGGACCCGAACAAAACCAACAAGAATTGAAGAATATAATACGTGCCTTGAGATAATCTCCATATTCATTGCAACAGACTGATATTTCATTTCCCATATAGAAACATATGAAGAGACAGGTCTATACTAGTATGCAAGTCAAGGCTAGGGGAATATATTTTCAAACTTTTGAACCACTTATTAACAAAGCCAGCAGCATTGACATTGATACGCCGTTATATAGACAATAGACCCATCTGCTGTAAGCCATTTATACTAGAAAAAGCGCCCTCACTGCTTCTTAGACCTCTTTCTCCTCTTCTTCTTGGGTTCACCATCGCGGATATCAACATTGTCTGCATCCTCCTTCGGCGTAGGCGCACTTGGGCCTTGCTCAGGAATCTTAGGGCCTTCTTCGTCACCAAACGTATCCTTGCGCCATTGCCTTAGTCTCGCCTTCTTGCCCAGCCTCTTCTGATCCCGGTTCTTCTTTTCAGGGTCACGGAATGAAGCAAGCTTTTTCAGGCCCGCAAATTGATTGAGGTGGGTGTCATCGGCCATGAGGATATCTCGTGCAGTCAGCCCGAAACTCTGGGGCGAGGTTTCGCGGTATCGGAATCCAGTGGCATTCTTTCTGGTCGCACCCGGGAGAAGGCTAATGTCGAGATCCAAGTTGCGGTCCAAGGCCTCCTCGATACGAAGTCGGTCTTTGCGGGCTTCACGCTTCTGGTCTCGCCTCTCCTGCGCCTTACTCTTCTTGTTGCTTCCAGAGGCCTCCTCATCGCCATCCTCCATCTCGACATCAGAGCCACCCAAGACAGGCTTCTCCTCGTCATCGAAGTCCGGAACGAGATCCTTGATATCAATGTCGTCGTCCCACGTGGGCTTCTTCGGGCGCTTCTTCTTATGCCCTGACTCATCTCCACTTCCTGCCTTGTCGTCCTCCGCATAGTAGTCTTCACCGAAACGCCTCTGCATTTCCTTCTCCCAATCCTTGTCATCCCAGGCGGCATCCAAGAAGCCAGCCCAATCTTCGTCGGTCATCTCAGATGCACGAATACCCGCAACCTCCTTGATCTGGCTGACCCTCTCCTGAAGCTCTTCCATCTTGAGCTTCCGAAGGCGGTTCTTCTCGGTATCACGCTGCTTCTTCTCCTCGTCCTTCTGCTGCTGCTCAGCATCTCTGCGCTTCTTCCGGCTACTCTTGTCTTCTCTGCGGACCGATTGTTTGTTGGTCGTGTCACGGGAATGAGTGATCAACGTGGCATTGATTTTGCTGGGATCTTCAAAGCGGAAGTTGTATGCCTCCTCGAAAGCGTCTGCCCGTTGATCCTCCTCTTCATCGTCAGACTCGAAAGGTTGGAGTTCGGATCTTCCAGCAGGTATCCATGCTCTCGCCGACAAGAAGTTCGAAAGGAAAGTCTCCGGATCCTTGTCCGCATTCTCGACATCAACATTGACATCTGTCTTGGGCGCTGGGATAGGCTCGGGCTTTGATTTGGCAACAAGGAAGTCGTCGTCGTCGTCATCCTCATCATCCGATGCGTCTTTACCAGCAGTGGCAGCGTTCATTTCCCTGACAACTGCGTTTTTCAATTCCTCCTGCTCCTGGGCGTAGGTCCTGGGCGCTTCCGTTGTCTCTTCATCTGCCAGGTTGGCGCCACTCAATAGGTTCTCACGATGGTAATCACGAAGGGTCATGGGCTTTTCTTTCTTTCCAGAGCTTTCGGCGGTCGCCTCCTCATCGAGCGGGGTATAGAAGGTGGTGTTGGTATCATACACCCGAGGGTCTTTCGATCTGATCGCTTTCAAGGTGGCCATGATCTCGGCATCCAGAGCGGTGGTGGCCAGTTCTCCGTCCTCATCTTCCTCCTCATCAGAAGAATCATCTTCCGAGTTGCCGGACTCATCTTCACCATCGCGGTCACGACGTTTTCCGAGCACAGAGGATTTGCCGAATTTCGACTCCACTGCAGTGAACCCAGCCAGTTAGTTTTTTCTGAGATGTAGAGCAGAAACCGGGCAAACTTACGTTGCTGCTTCTCTTCTCTCTTCTTGTTGTATTCAAAGCGACGCGCATAGTCTTCGTTGATCTTGAACGTAATGTCCTCGTTGGTGATGGGAACTCCGCCAGACTCATCTCCTGAGTCGCTGGAGCTATCGTCGTCGAGCAACTTGCGCGAGCGCTTGGATGGGGGTTCCATTTTCAAAGAAAGGGACACAGTCCAAGTCAATGCCACTGAAGGTGAAGTACCGCCGACCAATGCGCCTCCAAAAAGAAAAATGGCCGTTGCCGGCAGAAAAAAAATGTCGCCGGGGCTCACCGCCCTGCCAGGCGCTTGTTGCCTGGGAGCCCAGGCAGGAAAGCGAACCACTGACGTAGCCAATTAGATCATGCGCGGGCCTGTATCCGCCGATGGCTCGAGCAAGAGGCCTCTGTCTCCTAAGCTTCCTCCACTGAACCATGCTATTTTCTCACCCTCCCCTGTATCCCTGAGCCCTTCGGATACTCGGTTTTTATTGTTAGTCTTTGAGTTGTCTAGGGGCTTTCTTGTCGCTTTTGCTCGCTGCTACTCTCGCTCGCATCAAGTGTATGGCTGGAGACATACACTAGATGTCGACCCAGCCGCAGATCCCATTACCCCAGGTCGGGAAGCTCGTCAGCGTGGTGTAAGTCCCCTGAACCAGTCCAGCTCCTCCGAGTAACAGAATGAGCCTATTCTGACTGTTCCGAATTAGTCCAGTTGGTCTCAAGGAGGCTGCTCTCGACTCGCCCACATTCCGCGCTACCACCCTCCACTTCTCCGACCAGATCGAATTCCTGGAAAGATGGCTCGACGGCTATGCGAGGGCCGCTTCAAAGCTCTCTACAGAGCTTGCGGCAATGGAGAGCGCGGTGAACATCTTTCTGTCGTATTCCACGAACCCCCTTCTCGTCTCGGAAGCTGTTCTTGATCATGATTACACCCTGCAATCGATGAAGAGGAGTGGGGACAGCTCCAGAGATATGTGGAATGGTCTGATAACTACGGTCAAAAAGATGGAATCCCTCATTTCTGAGCCCATCCGGACTTTCATACAGGACGATTTGCGGAATTTCAAGGTACCACCCGGTTGCCCCTTAATAGTCATGCGGATCTGTCTCTTACCCCGCTATAGGAGTCCCGCCGCACCCTCGACCAGACCCAGAAACAGTACGACTATCTACTGGCCAGATACTCATCGCAATCGAAGTCGAAAGAGCCCTCATCCCTAAGAGAGGATGCGTTCCAACTCCATGAAGCTCGCAAAGCTTACCTCAAAGCGTCGATGGACTACTCCATACAGGCCCCCCAATTACGAAATGCGCTCGACAGACTATTGGTTCGAGTCTCTTACGATCAGTGGCGGGAGCTCAAAATTTTCCACAACAGCAATGGCACGGCGTTCACGAAATGGGGTCAAGAGATGGATCGCATCAAAGGCTGGGTTCACGAAATGGAAGGGAGTGAAAGGTCTTCCAAGCGAGAGCTCCTGTCTTCCAGGAAACAGATCGAGGAAGCAGCAGAGACTGCCGCTAGACCATCCCGTGAACTTGAAGACTATTCTGTGTCCACTGTCCCCTACCTCGGCTCTCGTCCTCTGTCGACGGCCAGCATGACCAAAGAGACTAGACCGGAGAAGCAAGGATGGGTGTTTCTCCGTACTCTTTCAGGAAAGCCCACCCGGACTATCTGGGTTAGACGGTGGGCTTTCCTGAAGCATGGCATCTTTGGCTGCCTCGTCCAGGGATCTCGAACTGGTGGTGTCGAGGAGAGCGAGAGAATCGGAGTTCTACTCTGTAGCGTTCGAGCTGCCTTCCAAGAAGAGCGAAGGTTTTGCTTTGAGGTCAAGACGAAAAGCAACACTATAATGCTTCAGGCTGAGACGCAGAAAGAACTCATGGATTGGATTGCTGCTTTCGAAGCTGCTAAGCGAAAGGCGCTGGAGAATCCGGCAAGCACCGATCTTTCAGTGTCGGGCAAAGTCACTGTTCAGGATCCTGCTTTCGCAATCTCTCAGCCACCAGCCCCCGAATTCGCTGCTGACCCTTCTGATTCGCTTACACCACGTGCGAGCGACGACCAAGGCTCTTCAGACCGCAGCGGAATGCTCGCTCTCCCAGAAAGAGACCCTTCTGCACTCAGGAACAGCAGCGATCTCAGCAGTTATAGAAGGCTGACTACAGTGGATTCCGACAGCCCTGCGCGCGAACACGCGTCCCGTATCATGCAGAAGCTGGATCTTCATCGCAAATCAAACAACGCAGTGGCCCCGTCTACTTCGTTACCGGGTATCGGGGGTGGCATAGCGAGCCTAATCTCTGCCAGTCACAGTGCTCTTGGACCGGGGAGCCCTCCTCTGACCTTCGACGCTGATGGCAACAGGACTCGTAGCTCGACTTTGATGACTTTGAGCAATGACCCTCCTTCTTCTCTTGCCCCAGTGACTTTGGCAAACCCTCCTGCTCCTACGAGTATGAGCAAGGCAGCGGTGGTCGTGAGCAATGAACGGGGTATCGGGTTGGGTCAAGCCGACAAGACAGGCGGAATGCCGAGTGGTATGATGGCAAACCTATGGGGTAGCTCGAACTGGGGTTTTATGAATCGGATCGAACGTGAACGCATGGGGATGCCGGGTGATCAGGGCTCAGGCCCCTCAGACAAGCTGTCCTCGGCAGCAAATGATCCATCCAAACAATTTTTGACAGCCGAAGCTGATACGTCTAGTGGATCTCCAGCGACTCGACCAAAGTCTGGGTCACGTCACAGGCAGACGGTGAGCCTGGACGACCCGTCTAAAGTGCAGCGGGCATTGCAGGGCGATACACACGATTATCCCAGTTTCTACCCGCCGCAGCTTAAGATTCAAGATGCGCAGTTTCGGCTGCTATTTCCTGATATCAAGAGGGAAGAGCCTTTGGTCATGGTGTTCCGAGCTACATGGAACCCCAACGATCAGCAAGACTTCCCTGGAAGGGCATATGTCACAACTCAGAATATATACTTCTACAGCCACCATTTTGGGCTGGTTCTCACGACAAGCATCTCACTGGAGAGTATTAAAGAAGTCACTGCTGCCCCGGGACGGGACTGCGACTTCCTGTTTCTTCATATGATCCCGCCTCCCGGCGATGATACCCCTGGCCGCGGAACTGTCAAGACGTTCCTTGAGCCACTGAGGCTTCTCCAGCGGCGACTCAACTTCTTGATCCATAATTGTACTGCTGCCGAGCCATTGGGTTTGGAATCAACCTTCAAGACCTTGAACCGGATGGAGACTGAAGCACTAACGCGCACTCCTAGCTTGGATAGCTGGGAAGATGTGGCCGCTGGGGATGACAAGTTTGATGGTGGGGAAAGTGTCGCAGAAGCCCCGAAGAAAGACATTGGAGTCTATATTGATAATGACTTGGACATGCATAAGAAGAACGGCAATGGCAAGGATACTCCCAAATTCAGACTGCCAACACAGCCCGTGCAGTATGTTCCTCAAGGCGATCTTCATCTGGCAGCAGAGAAGGTTCTTGACATAAGTGCGAAAGCGGTCTTCCATATTCTCTTTGGCGACAAGAGTGCAGTCTGGCAGCTCCTCCTACACCAACGAAGAGCAAAGGGTAAGTCGCCCTAAACTAGATAGCTGGGCTTGGCTAATGAGTACAAGGGATCAAACAAGGGCCCTGGGTCAGACAGGAGTCCAACCATTTAAGACGGGATTTGTATTATCAGATTGAGACGGCTGACATGCTTGGTATGTGCTATATCCCACGCTCTGCTGCTATCATTGGTCTCATTAACTCGTTTTAGGACGTACTCATAACAAAGAAATCTCGGATTATCAGATGATCGACGTCTTGAATGATCATCTGTGCTATGTTATCACGGACAAGCGGACGCCCTGGCACCTTCCTTTCAAGCGGTCATTTAGGCTGGTTAGTAAGGTTGTGATTACCTTTGTCGCTAAGGGAAAGAGCAAGCTCTCAATATATACTAAGGTTGAGTGGTTATGGTCCCCTTATGGCCTTCAACGTGAGTTTTCCATCTCCAAGAAAGCATGTCGGTGATTACTAAGAGATCTCAGACATCATCGATAAAAGCGCAAGCCATGATCTGGAACAAGACGCGTTGGACCTGGTCGATCTAGTTGGCGACCAGGTTCGTCGACTAGGCGCGCATAGTCGAACCAAGAAGGCCATCACGATATTCGGACACATCGGACGCCAGGGTTTCGCATCGCAATTCTCGCCCCAAGGAGATCTACAGCTGGAGCCGCGTAACCCACGAGTCCAGAGGACTCTGGTCCAGCTCCTGTTTGAGACACTTGTCTCCGTCCTTGAGACCATTGTTTCAGACTTGATGATGTGGACGTTCGCTTTTCTACGTTGGGTGTGGAAGACCACCAATGCCAATAAGGTCATCCTCATCTTGTTATTATCGAGTATGTTGATTAACGGCTTCTATTCATCCCGCGATGCCTATGAATGGTGGCATGACAGGACTGTCGGGAACTTCATGGCCCGCATCGGGGTCAGCCCAGACAATGTGATGACTAAAGCTATCTACATGAGAGATATTGACGACGCCATCGCAAATACGACAGTCGGACACGGGAGTGAGAATGTGAGCGACTGCTTTGCAACTTTCCACCAGCAGACAGTGCGCAACCCTGGAAACACAATATCCCTGGGAACGTCCGGGTTCAGGGATTCGATGACGAGGAGCGCGGCCCGAAGGATTCAACAGACGCGCGAACGGCTGGCTTCGTACCGACACGATCTCCTGGTCGCACTGCGAGTGGTGAACAGCATCGAAAGGGAAGTCGTTCAGAGTGAATGGGAGCGCTGGTTGCGACAGGAGTTGCGACGATGCCGCCAAGTCCAAGTTCTTCTCGGCAAGCGCGAAGGCGATGAAGAGGTGGACCTTGAGGTGGACCGCACGGGTCAGAGTGTCTTTGCTGAGCTCACCGACGATGTACAGCAATGGTATGAAACATACTGCACCAGTTGTCAGGCGGAGCACGCGCAGATTGAAGACGAGAGTTCTTTTGGTGTTCCATAGACATTTTCACATATGGCGGAGGATGTATGGCTGTTTTGTCTGTCCGTTACTTGCTTGTTCACACGATACCCGGCTGCAGTTGATCACTGTCCATTCGTCGATGCGTCTGAAATTGGCCCGGCCAATCTTGTTGCTGTCTCCGTGTATATATTCGATTTGACTGAGAAATTGGAGGACTTGTTGTAAGCTGCTCCCACTGGCCCAGTGTAGCCACCTTAATTCTGCCTCGGCTTGACCGCACCATCATGCACGACATAGTACACGACCGTGCCATCGCCTCCCATCTGCCTATCCACCATAGCCAACAACAACCTCTTCCCACCCCACTCCCTTGTCGCCCTTTCCTTCTCCCGATACTCATAATACTCCCTCAACTTATCCGCCTTCTCTCCCTCCACCTCCACCTCCCTATTCGCCTCATCCGCACCCCCCTCGGGCAACGAATCAAACACGCCCGCCATCTTGCGCAAACTCCACGACTGGCCCTCCACGGTGGGCAACACGAACATGCGCTCTAGCTCGACGTCCTCATCGCGCAGACCGCGCTCGAGCATGAATAGCTGCTCATCTGGATGAGTGTAGACGTGGTGTGGGGGGATGCCGGAAATGAGGTAGAGGGGTTCGCTGGGTGTATTTGTGTCGGGGCTGGGGAGGTGGAGGTCGTGTACGCGGAGGGAGGTCCAGAGGTGTTGGTGTTGGAGGTTGTGGAGGATTTGGATTGTGCTTGCGGAGAGAGGTGTTGAGGGGGGGGTCGAGGAGAGGAGGGTTGTTAGGGCGGAGGGTTCGAGGGTGTTGGATTGCGTTGGTGGTATTGTGGTGGCCATGGCTGCGATTTTTGTGGTTCGTGTGATGGGGATAGATGGGATTGGAGAGGATAGTTTCTGTTTTGATTTTAGAGTACTCCGTAGATGGCGTGAAATTAGAGGATCTAATTGGGGTTAGTCTGTGACTGCGCCAATGGTTCAAGCTCGATCAGGCTGGCCTGGACTCCAGTGAAACACAGGAAATGAATAGTGAATACTGAAGAATTGGAAGAATGAATGGGGCGGGGCGGAAAAAAAGGGCGATCGCGCCGAGATTCCGCGCAGGTTTGAGACGCCGCAGAAGAACACATGGCATCATCCTCCCTGTCAATATAAAGCGCCGGTTTCCTCGAGCTTCCGGTTCGGAGTTTTCTGTCCTTTCCTACTTTGATCTGCGCGCCAGTGTTTGGCTTTCGAGACCTCATCGGTTTTGTCTTTGTCCCCCTTTCCTTTTGCACCTACCTGGACGGAGTATAAGCGCCCATTCCAAGAATCATGGCGCGCCAGAAACAAACAGCGCCTTTGCAACGGGCCACGTCCTCGGAATTGATGCATGTGCCGCCGGCTGAATCGCCGTCTGATAAAAAGATGAACGGAAGTAGTGGGAAGTCTTCTGTCGCGAATGGAAGCGCGTCCGGAAAGGGTGCGGATGAGGCCGCGCAGGAGACTCCGGGCTTGATGCAGCTTGCCATCTGTGTCTTTGGCATTTATGCCGCGTTGTATGTCTCCTCTTGATTTGCGGGTATTCATGGTTACAGAGACACTGACTGACATCCTCAAGCCTTTCCTGGGGCGTTCTCCAAGAAGCCATCACCACGGTGTCGTATCCTGTCCACCCCCCGACTGCAGAAGTCCCCGAACCACCAACGGAGCGCTTCACCTACTCGATCGTCCTGAACACCATCCAGTCGACGTTCGCTGCCATCACCGGCTTCTTGTACCTTTTCTTCTCGACTCCGTCCGGCCAGAAGATCCCCTCGATCTTCCCTACAAGACGCATCCTCTTCCCTCTGCTCCTTGTCAGCATCTCCTCGTCTCTCGCGTCGCCTTTCGGATATGCCAGTCTGGCGCACATCGATTACCTCACTTTCATCCTTGCCAAGTCGTGCAAGCTGCTGCCGGTCATGTTCCTGCACCTGACTATCTTCCGGAAGAGATACCCCTTGTATAAGTACGGAGTGGTCCTCCTGGTCACCCTGGGAGTTGCCACCTTCACCCTGCACCACCCCGGAACAAGCAAGAAAGTCGCCGCATCAGCTGCAAAGGGTCAGTCAGGCTCGAGCACGTGGGGAATCTTCCTCCTTTCTATCAACCTGCTCCTGGACGGCCTCACGAACACCACCCAGGACCACGTCTTCAGCTCTCCGCAGTTGTACACGCGCTTCACCGGGCCGCAAATGATGGTGGCCCAGAATGTCCTTTCGACGTTCCTGACGAGCAGCTATCTGTTGATCATGCCCCATCTGTCCTCGACCGGCATCCTGCACAATATTCTCCCCTTCCCCATTCCCCCATCCACCGAGACTGAGCTGAACTCCGCCATCAGCTTCCTGTCCCGCCACCCGGAGGCCCTGAAGAACGTGCTCGGGTTCGCCGCGTGCGGTGCCATCGGACAGCTCTTCATCTTCTACACGCTGTCTCGCTTCTCGTCCTTGCTCCTGGTGACCGTGACCGTCACGCGCAAGATGCTGACCATGCTCCTGAGTGTTTTCTGGTTCGGCCACTCGCTCTCGGCCGGACAATGGCTAGGCGTGGGTCTCGTCTTCGGGGGAATTGGTGCCGAGGCCATCGTTCAACGGCAAGAGAAGAAGGCCAAGGAGCGCGCGAAGGCGTCCAAAAAGCAGGAGTAGGGACAATCCTCCACCTGATCTGTATTACTTCTGGATATGTACATAGCTTTATTAGACTTGATCATAGATTTCTCATGCATTGATTTAATCATCATCTGATCCACAGCAAACCCAACCAACCCTAACTCTCAAACCACGAGGCAATTACTTCCTCCCCTCAACCATAATTATATGATACCCAAACCCAGTCTTAATATCCACATACTTAGGACTCCCCGTCGTACTAGGCTCCAACTCATACGCCGCCTTTTCAAACGCCGCATCCAGACTTCCGCGAGTCTTCCATCCAAGAGATCCACCTACGCAATTAGCAACTCCCAACTAGAACCTCCAAAAACAACACAAACACCAAGCAGAAAAAACCAAGTGATAATAAACATACCCTGTCTAGCCTTATCCTCTGAAAACTCCCTCGCCACTTCATCAAACTTGGCTCCGTTGCGCAACTTCTCCAGCGCTTCTTCCTTTTTGGAGTGTTTTTCGCACTGGTGAGGTTAGTTTTCTTGATTTCTTTTCTTTTATTTTCTTTGTTTGAATGTGTGTATTGTGTGTGTGTGTGTGTTTGTTTTGTAGGTAGCGTAGGGTATATCATCATCATATCTTTTACCCAGTCTTATAGGTCGATCCTTCCTTTCCATTTGACATGGAAAAGGATAGTGGTGACGATACACACCCCAAACCCAGTACATGTTATACTTAATATAAGAAAGAAGGGAAGAAAGATGGTATACATACAAGAATATGTCTCACATTAATAGCATTTGCAGGCTTGAGACCCTTTGCGGCTTTGTCTCCGCCCTCCTTGCCTTTGCCTTTATTGTTCTTGGGGGCCATGGTGGTGTAGTTGGATGAATCAATAGGGCTATTAAGAAGGTGGTAGTAAGGTTTAGCTATGTGCCTAGTGGAACTGGGATAGTAAATAGGAGATGTGGGATCGAGTGGTGGATGGACCAGATGATGTTTGCATTTGAAGCAAAAGAGGAATGCGGGTGGTGGGGTTGAGGCCTGAGGCAGATGCGTTGTTGCCTGGGTCATCTGTTTTCATACTACGGACCAAAGGTAACCCATAGTTTCAGCACCACAACATCTGACCAATATTGATTCCTCTCTCTGAGAAAATCCTCTCTGAGAAACCGCTCTTGTGAGAAAGATACCCCAGAGCTAATCTCCCAGCTGGGTTATTCGAGGCGGTCAGGGGGATGTTTTGTTCAGATGTAACCATCCCTGCGATTTAAAGCCACCATTATTGTATTCATTTTCAGGTGGTTCTTCGATCTGTCCAACAAGGTGCACGTACAAGCAGCTCAGTCTTCAGTGACAGAATATCAATAAGGGTCGTATAGGAAAGGTACTTTGACAACTTGGACGATATCTACCATCAACTCGTGCACCAGATGGGTCAATTCTCGAAACCGTTTATCCGAGCCTACAAGGCCTGCAAGAGAACAGGAGGCAATATGAGCTCTTGGAGTAACAGTCGCGATTTGTTCGAGTACACCTCCGGGCGATTCTTGTCAGTCGCAGTTGTATCCCGTTAGGTTGCCGCTGATCAGTTACTCACGTTTCCTGAGGACCCAGATTCAATGAGGAGCTTCGACTTGCCGAGCGCCGTATTCAATTCGATGTTGACGCGCTTCTGCATGCGGTATGTCGGTCAACAAACCGACCTGTCAGTGACCTTTGTTCAGTCTCCAAACTTGCAGAAGGAGGCCTCAATCGTGTCCTCCAGACCACATACAAGGACGGATATACCGTGATTGCCAGAATTCCATATAGGATTACTGTTCTGAAACGACTGGCGGTTGCCAGCGAGGTGGCCACCCTCGATGTACTCCGTCGTAATGGGGTTCCAGTCCCTAGGGTTCTCGGCTACTCCGTTGACCATGCAAATCCTGTCGGCGCTGAGTACATTCTGCTGGAGAAACTGGAAGGACAGCCCTTGGGCCAGGTCTGGTTTTCTATGGATAATAAAGCGCGTGTAAAAATCATGAAGCAGATCGTGGCGGCAGAAAACAAGTTCATGCACATCGCCATTCCCGCAAGTGGAAGTCTATACTATCGCAGAGATCTGGAGCAGACGCAACTCTGTATCTCACTTCCGGATCAAGCGGATGTATCTGCAGCAGACCAAATCGTTGTTGGACCAACTGCGCAACACGCATGGTGGTACCAAGAACGGGATTCACTGGAGGTTGACCGTGGCCCATGTATTGGTCCCTTCTCCACTCCTAATCGGATCCAAATGCTAAGAACAAGATAGGGGACAGTTACCTGGCGTGTTTTGAAGCTCCTGCTAAACGGGAGATGGAATACTGCAAGCGTTTTGGCAGGCCCCGTCTTCACGTTGAAAGATATCTCCGAGAGCTATATCATTTTCAAGAGGTGTCGCCCACTCTTCATGCCGAACTTCTCTCTGACTATCTGAAATTGGCGCCCTACCTCGAAATCCCATCAGATCATCCCTTTGCCCGTCCCACCCTTCGCCATCCTGACTTTTCGCCAAACAATGTATTGGTTGATTCGTCAAACAATATCACGGGGATTATCGACTGGCAACATGCCGTCGTGCTACCTCTTTGTCTCTGCGCTGGAATACCCGACTACTTTCAGAACTGGGGTGACCCCGTGTCAGAAGTTTTGGCAAAGCCAGATACTAAACTACCGGAAATTTTTCACGGGCTTGGTCAAGATGAACAAGCAACAATTCAAGAGACAATGAGAAAACGTCTGGTTCATTTTTATTATGCAGCATTGACAATGAATCAGATACCACACCACTTCGACGCTCTGAGAGACGAAAGTTCGATGCTCCGAGCCAAGCTGTTTAACCGTGCTGGAGCACCTTGGGAGGGTGACTCTCAGTCTCTTAGGTATGTGATGATGCAGGTTTGCAGTAAATGGCCTATGCCCATTGACAATGGGAAATCTCTGGGACCAATTAAATGCCCAGTGGAGTATTCTGAGCAAGCGGTTCTGCAGTGCACGAAAAGCCATGATCAAGAGCAAGAAAAGCTCCAGGAGCTTACGGAAATGAGAGAAGTCATCGGTATAGATTCCCTAGGCTGGGTGCCTGATGACGAGCATTTGGAGCAATCAAGATCCATGGCACAGAACATCAAAGCGGGCTTGCTGGAGCAATCGGAGAGTGACACCGAGCGGACTGCGCTTCTGGAGCACTTTCCTTTTGATGATCATGATGAAGGCTTGTCAACTATTGACAAAATGTCGACTCGGTCGAGGTTCTAGTCGAGTCACCTTACAATCTGGCTAGACAATGAGTGGGACCAATCTGGGAGCTTATTGATGAGATCTTCTATGGGCTGTTTGAGTCGATGGAGAAGCAGATGGGGTTGTTGAGTGAGGAAGAACGAGCGGGGTTTGAGATGTTTTGTGCCAAAGATGGAGCAGATGAGGGAGGAAGTATTGGATGTGCATTATAGTGTTGATGAGTTGGTTGAGATGTAGTTCGTCTTTCGCATATCTTCTTGCCATATCAAGGGTGATTGATATAGATGATTCAGTAATGTCTCCATCCAGTTGCTCGAGATCCAGGTATCCAATAACCCGAATGAATATACCCCGAATAACCAGACACCCACCAGCATCAACAACCCTTATCCTTAATATAAACTCAGTCCAAGCGACGGACTTGTCTTCCTCCTCCACCTAGACACAAATTCTTCCATCCTCCCAATCTAACCCTCCCCACCCCCAAGCTGAGCTTCCACTTTCATAACCACCTCCCGATTCCAAAATACCAAAACAGCCTCCCCCCCCGCAATCAACAATCCCATCAAGATACCCTCCTCATCAACCCCTTCTCCCATCCTCTCCCCTCTCCCCTCTTCTTTCTCCACCTAAACATCCCCACCAATACCAAACCCCCCACCACCCACCCCAACAAGTACAAGTACAAATACAAGTCCAAACACAAACCCAAGTACCAAACCCCCAAACAACCATCTCCCCTGCACCCGATCCCATTCCCAATACCATCCCACCTCAAACCTATACTCCACATCTATCTCTCTCTGACAAATGTGAAGTCGTCACTAAAACAACCCACTCTTTGATGAAAAAGTATCAAATTGCATTATCAACTTTCACGGATTCGGATCTTGGGTGGGAGAAGGAAGAGGAGAGATTTGTCAGGGGATGGAATTCCGTTCGAGTGGGTGGGAGGTTATATCCAGGGTACTTATGAGTAGTAGTAGGGTTGGATATGGGTAGATAAGATGGCTCTGATCCATGGCTGGGGGATGGGATTTGTCGTTGTGGGAGAAGCTGGGTTGATAGGTATTTGGGTCTCTGTTTTCTGGTGTTGTCTGTATTCCACACTAAAGAGGCTCGGGAGTTGAGAGTTGGGAGAAGAGAAGGAGTAAATGGGTGAGGGGGATGTATAAATATAGATTGAAGTTCCTACATTGGGTTGGTTGGTGGTGGTGTTGTTGGACTTGACTTGGATTGTCGAGGATGTTGGGACCGGACCGGATAGGATAGGATAGACCTGGAAGTCTGGATGGGATGTTGTGAGAGGATCAGGACTGGGAGTGGGATTGAGGTCTCTTTATATAGGCGAAGATGTGGCTAGAACGGCCTGGTTTTGGTAGGATGGCTCCTGGATACAAGGGGTAGGATCCTACGAGATCATCGGGTTCTTTCGCATGTTCTTCGGATTTGCACGATCTAGGAGGTATTGATTGTGGAAGGTTCCTGGATATTCCTACAGGCGTACTCAGTAAGTGGTCTAGTAAGTAGTTATGGGACTATTGTCTAGTAGCTGGTTAGGTTCAGTTTTCTTGGGCCGTCGGAGGGTATGAAATATATAGATAGAGCTTAGTGCTGCCTCTAGATCTACTAGTCATTGATTATTTATTTCTAGCCATCCTGTTTCTAGCCATACTGTAAATGAATGTCAAGTTCCTGGTCCCTGACACCGTATCCGTTTTCATTAAAGATTGGACCGGTTCATAATCTGTGTCTATAGCTGCATCACCCTAATAATTGTATAGCACCCATCCATTTGGCTTGGTATGTTCTCCCTAGCCAGGAGCCAAAGATCGGATGTCCTTCCCAACGAATTGAAGTGATTTTCAAGTGACACCGACCAGACTTTAATCGAGACCGGTCTTGAGGGTTGGTTGAGCATATCCTGGCTGTGTTGCCATACCCAGTGCAAAGGTGCACCGCGTTCGGAGAGTTCACAGGGACGGCTCCAATCGAGCTTAGCGTATAGCTTGTCAAGGGGAGGCATTTCCCAACTCCAATCATGGTGGCAGTCATGGCTTGATATTCCAGAACCTTGTGCTACCATGTACATCCTGGTTGAGTGAGAAGAGCATACCAGGGGTGGTCTTGGCTGGCGGCCGAGGTAACAACAGGAAAGCGGGGAAAGAAAGGGAAGAATTATCTATCTCCCCCCTTCACAACTCTTCTCCTTGCATTGTCATGATGCTCGTTGACTGGTGTGCCATCCCGCTGAATTACGTACCACTGCCCCGATGATCTCGCGGCTCATTGTGACGACATGACTTGCATCATCACCTCTCATTCTGCCCGATCAGATCGGCCATTCACCCGGTCCGATCCCCTTGGGTTTCACTACCGTGTAACCTGCTCACTGGTGGACTCCCTTCTGATAGATCAACCGCTGGATATCGCCGACTCGTACTAGTACCTCGGACCCCTCTCATGCATCCATAGGGTCGTCCATTGGCCATCTACCAGGGGTAATTGCTCCGTGTGCTCCCCACTCCCCCCATTCAACTCGACAAATGATAGCGGATCTCGAGGCCGCCCGCATCAAGCCATTGCCGGCAGATGGTTTCTACATTGCGGATTTCATCTCGGAGGACGAAGAGGAGTTCCTGCTCCAGAAGGTGAGATTCGGCCGCTTGGTGCCACACCATGGCTGGCACTCCTGGATTGGGCACTGATGAAATACAATGGTAGATAACGACGGCGCCTGTACCCCGCTGGACTCACCTGGCTCACCGTCGGCTTCAAACCTGGCCCTCCGCCCTGACCAACTCCAACGCCCTCATTGCCTCCCCGCTCCCCTCCTGGCTCGTTTCACCCGTCATAACCCCTCGCTTCGACTCCCTGGGCATCTTTGCGGATGCCCCGCACGGCGCCCCAAACCATGTCCTGGTCAACGAATACCGTCCGGGGCAGGGCATCATGCCCCACGAAGACGGTGCCGCCTATTACCCTCTTGTAGCTACGGTGAGCCTGGGAGCTCCTATCGTTCTGGATCTGTACCAGAAAAGCGACGACGGCGATGGAAACGGACTCGGTCGACAACCGACATATAGGATCTTGCAGGAGAGACGCAGTTTGCTCGTTACCACCAAGTCTATCTATACCGATTTCCTGCATGGCATTGCAGACACCGCCAAGGATGACGGGCTTGGCGCGGAATCGATCTGCAACTGGGATTTGCTGAGGGAGCAAGACAGATATGAGTGCGGTTGGCTGGAGAGGGAGACTAGGATAAGCCTGACTTATCGCGATGTGCTCAAAGTCGCGAAACTGGGGAATACGACGAGATTCCTGGGCGGCCGGTGAACCCAAGTCATGCCGGGAACAATTCACGCTGGCCTCACGCTACATGATCAGTAAACCCAAGGGATCATGTTCCATCTCTCCCGCACAGACTCCTCGCCGAATTTGCGCAAATACCATTGCCTGGTGTTGGCAGCAGTGGCGCCCAAGTTGATCACGACAAATGCGAGAGCGGACAACAGTGTCTTGTTTACGATCTCACCCTTGCGAGCGGCCAGCAGGGCAAGTGAGAGATATACGACACACTCTGCCGTGTAATGCGGGCACACGATCCTGCGAAACACTGGGTGAGTGGGAAGAGTATATTTCTTCAAGGAGAAGAGATAATGGTGGCAATCATGCTGGATGCCTGATGCAAGTAAGAAGATAGGCATGCAGACAAATGTGCGGAGTGAGGGAGCTATGGTAACCTTGAGATCGTCGAGGTCCAGCTTATGAGACAGCAGCGCTCCTAGGATGCAATCAGTGAGGTTCGCTATCTTAACCTGTCAGTCAGAGTGGTACCTGCTCCTTCGATCCACACAGCAACGGACACTGCTAGGTAAAATGCAAGGCCTACGAGCCAGTGGACGAACCACATCTTGGACGATGAAGGCTTGGAGAAGCTGTTGCACTCATATAACCGCCGTGCACCCTGAATGAGCATAAGCACCCAGCACAAAAACACCTGTTGTATCGACATGGACTTCTGAAAATGCTCCGGACTTATCCTCGTTGAAAAGACCTGGAACACCGCTCCCTGACAGAGGAGCTGCACAGCCCAGAAGATGGATGCGAACACGGAGGTCACGTAAAATTGCGTAAAGTAGCTGTGAGGGACTGTCAAGGAGGCAACATAATCGAGAGCGCATGCTGCCGGGGAGTTGATCGAGGACGCCGGGGGTGAGGACGCCGAGTCGGCCGTCGAGGTTGCACGAGCGCCATAAGGAACGAAGCGTGAGTGAAGGGAGTCTGGTAGGATACTGACGGACAGGATCTAAGATATTTTGGATTTAGTTATTTCCAGGAGTATCATTTTGAAAGTCGCCTGACTCAGTTTTGGAATCTCAACTGTCTGTTCATACCGTACAGGATGCCAAAAGGAAAAAGGCTCGAAGGACGTCAATGGCGTCCATGTGCGTGGAGGAAAGCACCGTATCCACCAGCCTGGGGAGGAGCTCCATTGCGACCAGAGCCCGCCACCGATGCGGAGTAGGGGTCTGCAGCGGAGGGAGAGAACAGCGACTAGAATTCGTGTCCGGAATCTAGCCAGTATCTAGCCACGGGAGGCAGGCAGATGCGCCAGCCAAATGCCCAGAATCCAGATAAACCCCCGGGCCGGGGGACGCACCTTCCGGCTGTGGGAGATGGCGATGGACTCAGATGGAGGCTCTGGTAATATTACGGTTACGCGGGTTCCTGTCATGATGATGCGACACGTTCAAAATGCTCGGGTGTGGAGAACAAAACCACCGGCCACTCCACACCCAAGGGGATGAGCGAGATGAGCAGTCATAAATCATAAACAAGGCGCCCCCGTCCGAGTAGGAATCGGTGTTTGTTTGATCCACCAGGGTCTCGTGAGAAGAGGCCAAGAAGGAGCAGCTAGACCTGAGACTAGAGCAGCATCCCACCTCATGCAATAAACCACCCAAATATTCGGAGGACTGGGAGTGTACGTACACACTACACAGTACACAGTAGTGTGCTACCCCAGCATACTCGGTATCTAAAATAGGGATGTTTTGGATCGGTTCCCATACCGACTCCTCCAACCAGACGTCAATCCAACATTCCGGAACACCGGGCTTTCCACTCTCAATGATGCTTCTTTCTTCTCGTTCTCCCCTTTCTCCAAAGTACACCTAGTCGATCCATGGACGGGGACTCCGGTAGTAACCCATGCAACGCCAACCAGAACCACTCACCACTCACCACCACCGCCGCATCAGCAGCAGCAGCAGCAGCAGCGACCAGCAACCAGCAACCAGCAAAGAGGAAGGGGGGCAAAAAGCGGGGCGATAAGCTGGAAGCATCCTTCGCGATGACTGGTCTCAGCCGAGGAGGAGATCGCTGCTTCCCGGTGGGTCGCGCAGTTTTGCAGAAACCATCTAGGCCGGAAACGGCAACGGGCGGGTTGCTCGGCTGTCAATAATTGGCCAACCCAAGGGACGAGCTGATGCCTAGCCTGATAGCCTACGCAGCTTCCAAGGGAATGCCCAATTGCGTCGAGGGAGGGGACTGGCATCGTCAGTCACTCTCCCACTCTCCGTTCCAGAGCCCGAGTTTCAGACCGCAGCAAGCCAGCACCAGCGAAAAGTAAAAAAATGAGACGGCAAAAAAGAGGGAAATTCAGGGAGGGTTTAGCCGCCACCTCTGGCGGACGTCGCTGTTCTTGACCGCCCCCGCCCGCTTTTGGGCCTTCGCGCAGGATCGTTTGGGTCTGGGTCGCGAGTCGACGGATTCGACCCTCAGGCAAGTTGCTGCCTTGCCCCAGTCGGTCGCTTCGTCGCGGCTGCAGCTGGACTTGTCCGTCGGCCCTGTCGGTCTTGTCTTGTCGTGGTTGGATTGGATGGATGATGGCCGGAGGATGAATCGAAGGCAATGGATGGCGTACTACTGGGACACCCTCCGCTGTACGTAAGGATAAGGAAGGTACGTACTGTCTGTCAGTCAGACCGTCAGGTAAGCAGCCGGTATCCATCCATCTCCAGCCCCAGTCCCTTTCCAAGGTGTCATAGTCGCAACTAGTACCTGGTTATAGGGTAGATACATCCCGTCCGCGACCGTATCGAGCAGGCAGGCAGTGCCGTAATCACCCTGCTTCGGACGTTCGGACGGGCGTACTACGGGTCGCCGATTGTCACCTTCCCAGCTATTTATCGATTATTCCACACCCACAGTAGCAGCAGCAGGCCACCCACCCATTCATCATTAGTACCTTGATTTTCTGTACCGTACTTGGCCTTACTGGGGACGACTATCCATGACTAACCAACTAGCGAAAGGCATTGCTCCGCCGGTGGCCAAATGGCAAAGCCGGTGGTGGTAAGTTTCCCGGGGCGATACTATGACCACGACGACTCACGATCGTTGCTGCTCTAGCAATCATCAACTTGCGTGATTAGATCAGGATTATTGTTGTTGTGATTACCCTTATTTATATTTTTTTTTTATTATTATGTTTTTATATTTTCTTATTATTATTTGATGATTATTATTTCTCCCCCTTCTGCTACTACCACTACCTACTAGTTTACCCTCCGGATCCTCCCAGCAAATGGTCACTAACCACCCACTAAGAACCAACTAACTTCACGGACGGCGAACTACTCCTACCGCCCTGGGCCTGCGACCAACTTCCACTACGGGACCCCCATTACTTGGTAATTTCGCCCATCCCAGTGACCGTCACCGTTTCAACCTTCTCCCATCTTTCATCTTTTCTTTCTTCCATCACTTCTGCTTCTGCTCCCACCCCTTCATCCCCCCATCCAAACCCTCGGCTTGTTCTCTCGACCCTTCACTCTTCCCCCCTTACACCTTTCTCGCTCCCGAATCCGATTAATTACTCCTGCTACTCGTCCCCCGAGTCCCGACCGAGTCAATACCTGCCGTCGTTTCGCCCTCTCTGAATCCAACCACCTCGTCGTCTACCTCTCCTTCCCTTTTTCCGCTCTCTCCAGTCCGGCTCTCCACCACTCTTGCTCTCGCTCCCCTGCTCCCCGTCGTCCTGGAGCCATCCTTTGTCCGGTAAAAAGCAAACAAGGAGTCTTTTCTCTACGTCCAGCGTGGTCGAGCACCAGCTTCCGCGCGCAACTGCTGGTGTATCTGACCACGGGTCCTCTTGTCCGCCACGGCCCCCGAAAATGACGAGCAGAAACCCCAGAAATCGAGTGCTACCGCTATGAGTGATGTCGAGGCTGTCTCCTCCCTGCCAGCTTCCCTGGATCCCAGACAAAGCGCTTTTGCTGTCAAGGTGAATCACCAGTCTACCTTGGGTCACCCACCTTCCAAGAGAGCCACGCCCCCGGTTGCTCAGGAAGAGGATGCTCCCGCCAAAGAGGTAGATCCTGCTGTCGGGGACGGCGATGGGCCACCGAGCCCCAAGGCTGACTCGGAGGCAGAAACCATAATCCAATCGGGCCGTGAATCTTTGTCGCCTGAGAAGAGACGGAAGTTCATTAAGCATGAGCCGAAACGACGTGATGATGCAAATGACCATGTTGATGCTGCAGAGAGCGACCTTCCTCCTAATGATTTGCATGTGAGAAAGAGAAAGTCGGTGGATGGTGATGTGCCCAGCGACCGCGACCGTCCTGTGCGCCCGGCAAGCCCTCTGCGGAGGGTGGGGTCGCCCGCCATAGTCAAGATTGAGAAGACCGAGGAACCGCAGTCGGTCCCGAGTAAAGTCGAACCAACGCATCCGATAACATCCGCACCCAGAACGTCAAGAAAGCGGAGCTTCAGCGAGAGTGTCGACGGGGAGGCGGATGCTCGTCGGAATGCCCGTCAGCATCATTCGGCAGCCCCCCGCGACCGCGAGCGACGAGATTTGAACGGCATCTCCTTACCTCGCCCGACCCCCAATGATCGATCCCTATCACCGGTTCGTGCCCACAAGCGGACAGCATCTGGCCCTCAACTCGGCAGCGATCTGCAAAGGAAGAGGAAGGCCCCTACCCCGCTCATCTCAGGGGTGCAGCGGCAGAGCTCTGAAGACAGACAGTCCGTGTCATCTTCGACGAGTGGATCTCCATTGCCCAGTGCCTATGTACGGAAAGTTGCATCTGTCGATGGTGCTTCGGCGTCTCCTGCGAGGCCAACCGGCCACAAGAAGCAGCGGGATCAAAATGGTCGAACTCGTCTTGCACGTGCCTGTGCTGCCCAGGAGTTGGACGTTGCAATTGCACGGCATGCCGAACGCCCGGAGGATCTCAATGTTGCCGACAATGCAGGCAATACGCCACTACAAATTGCCTCCCTTGAAGGTTGTGCATCTATTGTCAAGTTTCTGCTAGAGGCTGGGTGTGAGGTGGAAACCAGGAACATTGACCGGGACACTCCGTTGATTGATGCTGTTGAAAACGGGCACCTTGATGTTGTCAAGCTCTTACTCCAGGCCGGTGCAAATCCTCGCGCAGTCAATGCCGAAGGCGACGAGCCAAGTGATTTGATACCTTCAGATTCAGAGGACTTTGACGAGATCCGACGAGTCATCGAGGAAGCAAAGGCTAACCCACGCCCAAGTCGTCGCTCCGAGGAACAAACTAGTTCTGGGAATAGGGAGCTACCCTCACGCCGGGTTGCAATTAACAGCCCACGTGAATCACCACCAGTCAGTGGGCAACGGAGTCCACCCTTTCCCGGTATCGCTAGTAAACGGAAGAGTGTCAGGAGTGAGGCTACTCGGAATGATCTCTTGTGGACAAAGGCTACCCCTGAAAATCTACAAGCATTCGCCGCAAAGGGTGATATGGCTGGAGTTGCTAACATTCTCAATGTCGGCCAAAGAGCTGATGCTGAATCTATGATCGCTGCTGCCAAGGGTGGTCACGATGAAGTGTTGTCTATCCTACTCGGCATGGGCGATGCGGATCCTGATCCCGATCCTGTGCAGAGCGGTTCCCAGAAGCCAGGATACAACACGCCCATGTTGGCTGCGATTGGCCGAGGCAACCTTCCAGTCATCAAACTTCTACTGGCTCAACCTAGTTTTGACCCGACCCGTCGTCTTTACAAGGACCGTACTTACTTCGAGCTGTCCCGGGATCGCAGGGCCGACAATTGGGAAGAGGAATACGACTGTTTGCGCGAGGCGTACGATGAATACCGAAGCAAGAAGCAGCGAAAAGCCGATTTTTCATCCCCCCGACGAGTCCGTGAGAAGGAGAAGGAGCGCAAACGAGTCGGACGCCGAGAATCACCGTCTCCCGGAGGCCGGCCTAGGAAAGCAGTTGGGAGCCCCGGCCGGCGGGATTCTTCCAAAGACGCACTGTCCAAGGAGCGTAGGAGGGAAGTCATGGCTCACGCCAAAGAAAAACCTAGTATGGCTCGGCCAAAGGTGGTTCATGTTGCTCCGGATCATGACACGCCCCGGTTTGACCCGGCCCGGTTAAAGGTGGCTTCCACAAGGGACGGGGAATCTACTCGTGCAGATGATGCCCCTAAGAGGAGGCGATTAATTGCTGGACGCCCGCCGGATCGTGATAGGAGAGTGCCTAGTGTACCTCCGTCTGACTCGATGCCGGGGAGAGACGACAATGCCAAAGCGCGCACCGATCATCCCGAACCCGCCACCTCCAAGCCCGGGCCACCGCCCCTGAAACGCGGACGCAGCAGTGTGAGTCCCGACCGGCCTCGGTCTCGAGATACCGAGGTCGAGCGGCATTCGCGCGACGTTCAGAAGAAGAAGCGGCGTGTATTGTCGGAGGACGGCACGCCAAACATTACCAACGGCGGGGTGAAGAAGAACCAGACACCCTCGGAGGATATCAAGGCTACATCCCGCCACAAGGATGACAATCATGTTGTAGAAGCCAAGCCAGAATATTCTCGGGAACCAGATGCTCCATCAAAGGTGACCGAGCGGAACCCTGTCAAAGAGGAACAGGAGAAGCACGAGGCTCATGATCTGGAGGATATTCCTATGGAGGATTCGACAAGCGCCGCAGAGGCCGAAGCTGAAGCGCGTCGGCAGAAAGAAGCCCAGAAAGCTGCAGAAGAGCGACAGGCCGAGGAAGAACGCCTCGCTGCAGAGGCGGAGAAAGCCCGCGTGGAGGAGGAGGAACGGATTGCGCGAGAAGCTCGGCTTGCCCAGGAGAAGGCTGCAGAAGAGGAGCGTAAGCGGCAGGAGGCGGAGCAACGGCGGCTCAAGCAAGTCGAGGACGAGCGCCAGCGGCGCCTCGAACAGGAAAGGCAGCGTCTCGCGAAACTGCGCAGGGAGCAGGAAGAGCAGGAACAACGCCGACGCGATGCTCTCCCCAGCCGACTCAGAGCTGCAGCAAATCTAGTGGGCTCAAATGATCCCCAGGCGAAGAGCCATGTATGGCTCAAGAAGTTCATGCCCGTGGTCACAGCTGAAACTCAGCAACTTGACCCGTCCTGTGGAGCGGCTGTGGCTGACGACAAATGGATTCCGAACTACCTAGTCGCACCATTGCTGGCGACGAATGATCTACAGCTGTCGCAGTATGCCACCTGGGAGAAGCGCCAGGCGACGCCCACACAGCGAATGAACCTATGGCGTGTCACGCGAAGGATGTTGGTTCAAGCCGAGGAGACGGAGTTTCTCAGCTCCTCCTTCGAACAGATCATGCAGAAGGATAGTGAAGCACGGCCCAGATACTTCGAGATGGAGCATGTATTCTGGGTTAAGGTACGTGGTGTCTGGCCCTGCTCTTCTGATCAAAAGTCTGACGGTTCTTCTAGCTGTCCGATTTCATGGATCTCGTTCCCCACATACCACACCTTCATGGGTTGGACATACAGTTGCTGAAGATGCACATTGACCAGGAACCCAAGCCGCAGCCGGTGCTTGAGTTGCCGCAGGCAAATGGGCATATCTCTGGCCCGCATATCGAGGAGGCGCCAGGGCTTTTGGGAGGAAACGGGTTGACTAACGGCTATGGACACAGCCGGCCTAGTACATACGTCTAATTTCTGCTCAGCGGTTGTTTAGCTTGACGCTAGCCTGTACAGGTGAATTCTTGATGTATGACTATGATACCTGATGTGTGATGCTTGGATAAGTTTCACTTGATGTGCACACTGTATCCGTATTCTGTAACCACAAAACCGTCACGTGACAGTTATCTATCATATCTTTATCAACATGACGAACCGTCACGTGAAAGATTAGTAAGATCCGTAGGGCACACATTTAGGCGAGCGGAGCAAAAAATTGGCCGCACCACCACACCACCACTAGTCTATACAAGTACACCACCTCGACTCTTTGAGGATAATCCGACATCTCGTCATATCAAACAACCAACAAAATGGTGGGCACACCCTGCTCCTTGCGCTGCATATAAACTCAATACTCCATGTGAATGATCACTAACGACAAGGAATGAAATAGTCGGACGGAGAAGAGACCCAATCCAACCCCCCCGTTGCCGCCGATGAGGTCGAGGTTTCGGCCGACGCTGGCGCCGGTGGCCAGATGTCCGTCCTCGATGCCCTGAAGGGTGTTCTCCGCATCTCCCTCATCCACGACGGTCTTGCCCGTGGTCTTCGTGAGGCCGCCAAGGCCCTCGACCGTCGTCAGGCTCATATGTGTGTCCTGAACGAGGGCTGCGAGGAGGAGGCTTACAAGAAGCTCGTTGTTGCTCTCTGCTCCGAGCACAAGATCCCTCTCATCAAGGTTCCCGATGGAAAGATGCTCGGCGAGTGGGTCGGTCTTTGTATGTCACCCCTAAATACCTTATTCTGGTTGAACCTTTTGAGGGTTTGTCTGTGGAGAGAGAGAGAGAGAGAATATATGCTAATAGGATTTTGTGTGTCAACAGGCCAGCTCGACCGTGAGGGTAACGCCCGCAAGGTCGTCAACTGCTCTTGCGTCGTTGTCAAGGACTGGGGTGAGGAGTCCCAGGAGCGCTCCGTCCTCCTCAACTACTTCCAGACTGAGCAGTAAATTGCTCGTTTGGTAGCTGATCTCGCCTCCGGTGGGCTGTGACTTTTGTTTTCGATGGGAATCTACGTGAGGGTGTTATGTACGGGGACGGGAATTCATGGGATGATATTGTGAGAATTGCTGTGAATTTGGTTTTACGGCACTCGGATTTTGTTTCGCACCTTTCTTACTCTGGATCTATATTTATTTGGGGTGAGGGGGTGGTTGTCGTCTCGGTGCAAGGATGCCCACCCTTTGCTTATTGTCGTGGGGGGTTGCTTGCTTGCTGGCTGGCTGGTTAGATAGTCGCTGGTGGGTTTGATAGCGTGGATTCAATCGATCGGGTCATGGGGCTCTGGAAATATTTTTCTTTTTTCCCTTCTGTAGTAAGTATTCTTGATATGTTTGCGTTGTAGAGCGTGTAGGTATGATGGTTAAGATGTTTATTGGCTGTGCCTTGGATATAGCGCAATCTGATATCACTGGTATGAGAACACCGGCTATGCAAACATGTAACGTACGCCAATAAACCAGCCAAATAAAGGTTACAGGCCGCTGCCACTAGCGGAATCCATACGACGGACACACCATTTTCCTTGTCTCCGGCTTCAATGACAGCTGTTGGTATGGCGAACTCCCGGGGTCGTAGTATAACCCCTCGATCTGCCCACTTTGCCGGTTTAACGATATATAGTAGAACCCCGAGATCGTCAGTCCTTGTCGAGAATCAGTGGGTGTGATGAAACAGCGTTCTAGATACTATTAGCACCACAATAGTCGGTCCCGATCGGATAGCTCGCTCACCCTTCCATCGCATCAATATCCACCGCCGGGATAACTGCTCCGTTACCCATTTCCGACTGACGAGATTTCGCGTCATTTCCTCGTCCGTCAAGTCCTTGAACGGCTGCAACTCCCGCCAATATGTACTGTCGATCTCGGCATCCGCCTTAAAGTTCTTCGTCTCCAGCGTGTGTGTGTTGAAATCAATGATCTCCCCCTCGAGATACGTGACAATATGTGCATCATGAGCCGGCGTTGTTTTGTCCGGAATGTTGTATGCCTCCATGGTCCCTGACAACGTCATGTCGTCTGGGTTTATGCTGTGTATCGTGACCTTCACGGGCCAGTTCTCATCCTTCCCACTTCCCAGGTTGTATATATTGTTAGCAAGATATCGTCGCCCGGTCGTGGTATAAACACTTATGCGATTATTATTATCGCTCCCATTGACGATCACTGGGTCCTGGGACGTCGATGGACTGGGTATCCGTGCGAAGATCGAGTTCGCGCTGCTGGCAGCCCGTTGCGAGCCTGAAAAGACCACGCCGGGTCGGAGCCATGAACACTCAGGGGGCGGCGCTATCGAGGTGGTGTCCAGTATGAAATCATCTTCGTTGCCGCCCAGAAAATCGGTATTGACAAACCCCCCTGCGGCTGCTGAAGTGAGACTTTCCTCAAACGACGTCGAAAATCGCAGGCGATCGAGGTACCGGATAGTCTCTTTCAACCGGGGGTTTGGCGGGTTCTCCATATGCAGCTGTCGATGGGCGCTGATCCGCGCCCGTAGGTCATTGTGAGTAAGGAATCGATGCGATTCGCCGCGGGTGCCGGGCATGAACCGATACGCTCGCGAGGCCGATGTGGGACCTGGTCGTTCTCGACTCTCATCGGAATCCTGGAGAGTCCGTTCCCTGTCTAATAGATAGTCGTGAAGCGTGCGCGTCCGTGAACTCCGCGGTTGGCGTCGTGCTGACCATAGAAAAGCCTCTGTTGTCGATCCTGGCGATTCGTTCTGGCGATGGGAACTACTATCGGATGGTTCATCCGGTAATGTCGGGCTTCGGCCGGCGGCATCCCGGCGCGCATGGCGGCGAGCGGTCGCATAGCGATCGGAAAATCGGCCGAACCAGGAGACGGTGTTGCTGTCGTGCAGAGGCTCAAAGCCCACATCATAATCGTCATCATCGGAGGCAGGCGCCCAGCCATAAACCGAGCGTGGGTTCGACATCTGGCCCTCGTAGTTGGGAAGGTTATTGGGGTTGGGGTTGCCGGAGCCGTCGCGCTGACGGCGCACGATGGGAATGCGACGGTTGATTTCGATGCGCAAATTGGAAGGGTCCTCTAGATCCATAGGCTCAAGATCGAGATCGGAAAGATTCGGTCGTCGACGACGGCGCTGGCGACTGAGCGAAGTAGACGAGTCGGGTGGGGAGCGCACACGAGAGCGTAGAAAGCTCACGTTATCATCATGGGTGTCATCGGACACCGCCGCGGGGAGAGAGGGAACGGGGATGGAGAGCGCGGTCAAAGGTCGCAGGGAAGAGGCAGAGGACGACGACTGAGCGGGGGGGTCCTGCGATCAAAAGAAAAGATTAGCGGAAACTTATTTGTTGTCATCAGATGATGACATTGAGCAGCGTCGGCAAATATGCTTAGGATCATCCGACGGACTCGGCATAAATACTCGGTCTCGTCAGCGTGCCACGCGTTCCGAGGCACCGGAGACGATCATAATTGACAGAGTAGCAGGGACATACAGAAGGCGAGTTGACCGGGGGCATGATCTGGTGGAGCGCAGTGGTGGTAGGTTGGGTGGCGGAGAGGCAGTCCGCCAGGAGGAGGAGGAGGAGGAGGGAGCGTGATGGTGGACGAGGGCGAGGGTATGCACCGGGCGATGACCCAGAAAAAAGCCCACGTCAAAGAGATCGTAGTGGGATCAGCGTACTGTGTAGACACTCGAGGAGGGGAGAAGGCGACGGGGAGGTGAGGGGCGATGCCGAAGAAGAGAAGAAGAAGAAGACGAGGTTGAAGAGGAGCACAAGTCGGAGAGCGAATGGAAAGCCGCATGTCACTGGGTTGCCTCATCGGGCGCCCGTCATCCACTCCTTCTCCCCGGTCACTTTTCCCCTTCTTCTCTTCTCTTTCATCTGCTTCATCTTATTCCTCTTCTTCATCCTTCCTCTCTGCCGGGTTTCTTCGGCCTCCTTCTCCTTCTTCTTCTCCTCCTGATCGGGATCTGGTCCCTGACATCATCCGATCAGCCGATCCCTTCTTCATCCCCGAGCTAGATCCAATGTTGCTGCTGGATACAACTAACTTCAGTCCATCCAGGGGCTTATATCATCTGGGCTAATGCACGATATGGCCTTAACAAACCTTTCTAAGCTGGAGCCAAGCCCTTTTTATCCTTGAGGACCCTGCAACTACTGCAGAGCCGCCAAGATGCCCCATCTGAGGCCCCTCTCCATCCTCTGCGATGCTCCAACTCGTCGGTAATTCGGCCTGGCTGACGGAGCAACTCCGACTCTCCTCACAATTGGACTATTATGTATTCTACCGCTCCCCTACCACTGGGCTAATCCAGTCATTGACCTCTGGATACACTCGCCCACCATGGTCAAGATCAAGTCTATTGAGTACTTCCGCGTCCCTCCCCGATGGCTCTTCGTCAAGATCGTCGATGAGGAAGGCCAATGCGGTTGGGGAGAGAGTACTCTCGAAGGTCATACCGAGGCTGTTGAAGGCACCTTGAATGCCCTCTGCAAGCGCTTCCAAGGCTACGAAGCCGAGTACGCATCCACCATTTCCTTTTGCTAGCCAGGTAACTGACATCAAGTCATAAGTGACATTGAGCACGTATGGCAAATGGCCTGGCGCCTTGGTTTCTACCGCGGGGGGCCGGTGTTTATGTCAGCCATATCAGGCATTGACATCGCTCTCTGGGACCTGAAGGGTCGTCGACTCGGTGTTCCCATCCACCAGCTCCTCGGAGGCAAGGTCCGGAACAAACTCTCCGTCTATGCTTGGATCGGTGGAGATAGACCCTCAGATGTTGAAGCAGCCGGCAAAGCGCGCCTCGCGCAGGGCTTCAAAGCCATTAAAATGAACGCCACCGAGGACGTGAACTGGCTTGATTCTCCTCGTGCGCTGGACTCCTCTGTCGAACGTCTCAAGGCCGTCAAAGCCCTTGGCCTAGATGCTGCTCTCGACTTCCACGGCCGTCTGCACAAACCAATGGCCAAACAGCTTGCTAAAGCCCTCGAACCGCACCGCCCTCTATTCCTCGAAGAGCCCCTCCTCTCTGAGCATCCGGAAGCCATCAAACAACTCTCTGATCAGGTCTCCTGCCCCATCGCCCTAGGTGAGCGTCTCTATAGTCGCTGGGATGTGAAACGTTTTCTGGAAGATGCGAGCGTGGATATTCTCCAGCCTGATATTGCTCACTGCGGAGGGATCTCAGAGCTACGGCGGATAGCCTCCATGGCCGAAACTTACGATGTTGCTATTGCCCCACACTGTCCCCTGGGATCCATCGCCTTGGCTGCGTGTATGCAGGTGGACCTGGCGACGCCGAACTTTGTCATTCAGGAAATGAGTCTGGGAATGCACTACAACACCGAAGCTGGCGAGTATGATATCACCAGTTACGTGAAGGATGCAAATGTATTTGCAGTCAAAGATGGATACGTAGATGCTCTGACGGCTCCTGGATTGGGAATTGAAGTGAACGAGGAGCTGGTCAGACAGCTAGCAGCGAATTCAGAGCCCTGGCCGCCGAAGGAGTTCTATGGACCCGACGGGGGGATCCGGGAGTGGTAATATCATCTAGGGGGCATGTTCTTGTATTATCTAGCATAGCGTGGATGCTTGATGTCGCCATGTTAATCTATGCAACAGTTTGCAATTGTATGTTGACTCCTCTATTTACCGCTTCTATATACTCTTGAACAAATTAATCTCAAAGTCTATTTCAATTATGTCATCTATTTGGAAGAATATGGCCAAACGGTTCAGGTATCAAAACTAACTCACGCCTTGCGCGCGGCATTGCACTCATCTGCACGTCTGATGCAGTCGTTGATCATGTTCCAGAAGGCATCCAGATCCACCCCGCGAGGAATACAGACCGCATTCGGAGTATCCTTGACGACGGTGCGACCCAGGGAGCCCACCAGCGCAACGTCCGTTCCATGGAGACCATCTGTGATGACATCGACAGCGAAGCGCTCCCCGTCCCGTTCATCGAACTTCAGGACCTGATCGGGATGATTCTTCGCGTACAGCGGGTTCAGGGTCGACAAGATTACAGCCACGGCAAGAGGGTCGTGGAGTGGGGGGCCGGTGGCGAGACCGAAGACCTCTTCGTAAGTGGATGCAAAGAAGATAAGGAGCTCATAAAGCATCTGACGAAGAGTAGTTGGCTCAATAGAGGCATCATCCACGCCGTGCCGGACAAGGTTACGCACGCTCTTCGTGGCAAGCACTTGGTGGGTGAGGTCGAGGGCGATCAGGGTCGTCTTGGATGAGACAACAGGGTCACTGAAGATGGCTTGGGAGGCCTCGGGGTCACACTGCATCAGACGCCGTCAGGATCGACACAGGAACTGAGATGGTGATGGGTGACAAGAAAGTAAAAGGATGATTACATACGTAGATGTTGAACTCAGCCAGAGGGGTCACATTACCGATCCGGTTCTCTTGGCCCACAAGTCGGCTCATAGGAGCAGTGGTGAACCCATTACCAACACCGCCACCCATGATTGTCAGACCCTGGATGTGCTCTCCGACCTCGGGGAAAGTCGCAAAGAGCAGGGCAACGTTGGTCAGGGTTCCGGTTGCGACAACCCAGGCGGTACCCTTGGGCTGCGCCATGAGGGCATCCCGCATGGCCAGGATGGGGTTCTGGTCCGTAATCGGGGCTCTCGAGGCCTTGGGCAGGAGCTCAGTGCCATCGAGACCAGAGTCACCTGCAATCCGCACGGGGGTTACTCAGAGGGCCCCGCTGTGGGTGGAGAGCGAGGCTTACCGTGAATATTGGGCGCATGGAGCGCGGGTCTGCAGAAAGGCTTCTTGCTTCCTGGATAGACGGGGATCTCTGGCCGGCCAATCGCCTCTAGAACGCGAGTGGCATTGATGGTGGTGTTTTCCAAAGAGGCATTGCCGTGGATGGTGGTAATGCCGAGAAGTTTCAACGAGGGGTGGTGGGCTGCAAGAAGAATGGCAAAGGCGTCCTAGAGCATGTGCCGAAGATCTCGAGCGGTTAATCTTCTACACCAATTGCGTACGAGTCATCGGTTACACTCACATCGTGGCCTGGGGACCTGTCAGCAAAGCCACGCTTGACTCAAAAGGGACACCCGGGGGGAGATGGGGGATTGGGGACGGGGGACAAAACCTACCAGGATCGCAGTCCAGCCACAAGGGGATTGGCGTGTCTACTGTAGAAGCCATTGTCTTGAGTGTCCGGGGGATGGCGGGGAGAGGGGAAAAGACGGTGATGACTCGAAAAAGGCGATGCGGGGAGTTCTTCCAGATAAGAAAACGGCGTGCCGATAAGGCTTATCGGCGGACACGGGCCCCGCGCAGCCCTAAGCCCTACCTTCCGGATGCGGTAGGGGCAGGAGCGTCATGCGCGGCAGTCCGTCGCAGTTGCCGCAGCTGGAACTTGCTTCCCAGCTCGCTCGATGCCCTCTGCCTGATGGGAATCTCGTCCTGAGATTCTTTCTCCCCATCTGTTCTTTTCCTTTTGGTCTCTTCTGTACATAGCTCGTATAACTCTCTACTCTATTTGTCCCGTCCTGTTTGCTTTCCTGCGATGAGATGACCAGCGACCCTCTCCGCCCGGGCCTCCATCCGCTTTCGCATCTCAAAGCTGGCCCAACGACCTCCAGCTCCAAATCGACGGCTGTGCCCTCGTCCCCGACCTCGCAGTCTTTTGCTCAAGTCTCGACGCGCCCGCAACCACTTCGAAATGCCAGCCGAGAGGATCCGGTCAATGCGACGAGCGACAAGGCAACTATCGCTCTGATTCGACGCGTCCTCTGTCCCCAGACAGGTAATCATGGAGGTGCCTTGACTCCTCAGCCTCCGAAAGATCTGCTGCCTCCCCTAACGAGCTCGAACGAGGTGGATCGCCAGCTCTATGCACTTATCGCTATTGTTGTCAAGGAGTTTGTATTCACCTGGTATTCAAAGATCACATCGGACCAGATGCTTGTCAGCGAGGTCCTTCAGGTCATTGCGCATTGTACCCGTGCCCTTGAGCAGAGGTTGCGCGAGGTCGATATTGCACAGCTGTTTCTCGACGAGATTCCTGCTTTAATTGAGACACATATAACGTGTAAGCATTTGCATTTGTTTATTTGACCCGTTTCTTTTTCCGATCATCGGGAGGCATGAGCTGACTGGATTCTTGGTCGTGCATAGCATATAGACTAGCGAAGCAGCAGTCTGAGTCGTCCCAGATCTCTCCCTCACTCCGCGAGCTTTATCATGCTCTGAACCCGCACCCAGGCCTTTCGCCGGTTCCTGACCAATCTGATGGTCAAGCTATCGCACAGCAACAAGAAATCGAATCGATATATCGACAGCTATTGGTGCACGGAGCACTGTCAGTTCTACTCCCGACAGAGGACTTGGAAAATGCCTGCTTACGGACCCTGCTGGGCGATATCCTGGCAGATCTCGTTCTTGGTAATGCAGTGTCCGGGAAAGTCAGTGAAGGGTGGTTCTTGTGGGAAAGTATCACGAAGGTGGTCGAGATGGCAGGGCGCAAGGATAAAGAGGACAGTGTAGCAACAGCAACAGCAACAGCAACATCAACGGCAACGGCAACGGCAACGCTGCGTCAGCGATCGCGACTTCACAAGTACGGTCTCCTTTCTAAAGAAGAACTTTCGAAGGGCCATTCGTCTCAGGCCCAAGTGCGAGTCCCCGACTGGATCTGGCAAGTGCTACAATATGTTTACATGATCTACGTGACCTTACGTTTCATCGTGACCGGCGTGTTTCGCGTTGCATCCGCCCCTCCGGTCACCTCGTCCCTGACATCTTGTGCTCCAACCAGCGACGCAGACGACACCCCCTCCTTGTGCACCACCTCTGGGAAGCGCCCTGTGCTGAACTACCGATTATATGGCATGGTCTCGCAACTGATGGATGTACCTCGGCGAATGCCCTGGTTGGGGGGCATGCTCGCACTGATCCAGTATCTGATCCTGGCCGGTCCAGGTAGATTGGGAGATACCGATAGCGTTCTTGATAGGTGAGTCGCACCTCTCCTTTTGAGTTCCCGAAACCCTCCCCCCCTCCATCATCAGTCACAACCGCAGGCCATGGATGGCCGTTGGATTCGGATCGCTGTTTCGAAGAGCGAGACGGCGCGATCCTAAAGGGCGTGTGGCCTTCCAACCTGTGGAGAAGCGGTACGGTTGGATCTCCGAACCATGATCTACGCTGGCGCAGGCCAGTGTGTGTCGTTACTCGTTTGGTGCTATGGCCGGGAGCAAGCCATTGGCGATGGGGAAGGCTGGCGGCCTGGCGGGCAGCAGGAGCAGGAACATGCAGGTGGGATGCGCATTGCGCGCATGCTGCAACGATCACTTGATCTGGTGGAGGAGGGTAGCCCCGCCTCTGCTGGGGACCGAGTGCCAGCCCGCTCCCCGCCCCTGATTCGCCCAGCCCCTGGCCGTCTGGTCATTACGAAGCGTGACGGGCGCGTACGGTTATCTTACGGGGCGCGTACCGGTCGTTACAGGGCGCCATTTGGCTTGCTGTTCTGGCTTCTGCAGGACGGCCTCGCACGGCCAGTGCGGCCTCTCGATCAATTTCCGTTGATTAACTGATTAACCTCCTCCCCCCGGCCCCCGTGGCGGCGCGGGTGCTTGGTGGGCTGGCTGTGCCGGAGCTTTGACATGGGCTGGTCATGCCATCCTTCGACCGTGGTGGTATCGGACATACCGTTGATCTTGCCTGGGCGACTGACTCCTGGCAATGGGTCAGTCAGTCAGTCACATTGGGCCGTGGGCTGGCCCGGCCCTTCCGTCCCGTCCAACTCCAGCTTTGCCGTGCACAATCTGGCCCGATGGGCAGTCAAAGTCAAACAATGCTCGAGGCATCGATCGAACAAAGAATCAGAGAAAAAGCAACCATCGCACTACCACCTGGTCGACACCCCCCCCTCGAAGTTAAATGGAGGGGCGATGGCCTATCCCTGCCCCTGGCAATGGGCGTAATCGAGGTCCTGGCCCACAGACCAACGCTAATGGGCTTCCCAAAATGAATCGTGACGATCACGCACCTATTGGCCGAGCGAGCGTTTTTACGACTTGGGGGATTTGCATGGATAGGGCGAATGCTCCTTCTGCTCGCCATTTTTGGCCCAATCAGGGACCGGGGTCGCCCCGAATTTTCCAGAGTTTGGATCCCGGCCATGGCTCGCCGGGGGCCCTATGGTGCGTTCAGACACGCTACCGGAGTAGCCCAGGATGTGTCTCCCCCGAACAACGCCTGAGTCGTCATCTTTCTCTTGGTCCTGCGCAAGATAGATGAACGAATTCTGGGCTTTCATGCCCCCTGTCGTCGACCTTGTCGTCATCTTCACGACTGGCAATGGCTGGCCCAAGCTCCTGGACTGCCCCTAGCCAAGCAGATCCCTCTTCTAGTGCGCCTTCACTTGCTCACTTTATCTGACGGCGACTGTCATGATTCTTTTGACGGGACAAACCGCTTCTCCACAGTCTGGAATGCTGTCATCTGTTACCTCGGAGCTATCGCGGACCTCGCCCGTGTGATTTGACTCCCGACTCCTTCTGTTTCCGCTTCGAGTTGACTGCCTTACCTCGAACCTAATAATCGTTATTATTTATTTATTTTTTCTTACATTTTCTCCACTAGGTTCCTTCACGAGACCATTCGGGATTATGTTCTTACCCCCGCTCTTTTGCCAAACCTGCTTCTTGCGACCCGGGCGGCGCTTTTCCCTTTGAACGCCCGTCCAGCGTCCACGGCGGCAGATGGTCGCACCGCGGCTTCGGCGCCGCATCTGTCCGTGCAACCTCCAACGCCGCCTATAACGAAAGGCCCTGTTAGCGACACCGCTGGCGCAAGTGACGCTTGCAGTAGCGTCTCCTCGCCTGGTCTCTCGGCCACAGCGCCCTTATCGCCGGACCCGCGGCCTTCCACACCCGACGTCGCTTCTATCAAGCGACGCTGTGCGGCCAGCATTCTGTCCCGGGTTCCTCGCCCAATCGCACGTCGTTTCTTCGGTGTCCCGACTGCTCCTATCGAACATCGCCCAGAGCGATTGGACGGCTCCAGCGAACCTGAATCGCCATGGCTGGACTCTCCCCGAGCGCCATCCACTGTCTCACCCGCAGATTGCGGCCTAGAAGAGTCGCTCCTACTCGCTGCCATCGAGGAGGTTCTCGACCTCTTTGCGGACGATTACTGCAACAAGCATTTAATATATTCCATCATAGAAGTCATCCTCGTGAAGCTCCTTCCCGAGTTATCTGAGCGCAGTCTCACTGAGCTAATGGAGGACAGGGGGGTACCCCTGGCCGCGAAGTGACTCCACCACCATGCGGGATCATAGACGGTGTACGGTGTACGGTGTACGGAGCAGTGTGCGCTACATCGAGATATTCCCACCTAGGATAGTAATGTTAATGATACCAATATCGCATAGATTCTTCCATCCTGTTTCCATGAGCCCCGTACGTACGGAGGTCGAATTTAAGCCACCCACTTGGTCGAGCACTAGCAGTTGTCCCGGACTACCATCCAGTGGCATCTGATAATTAAGCGTGGCGACAGAAAAAAAGTCAGACCAAAAGTCGAAGTAAGCATTTCCAGTAGTCGGACGCTCCTGCATTCCCCAGAGTACGGGAGTTGCGAAGGTCCTTTCGTCCCCACCAATAGAAAAAGCAAGGCATCAGATAATACACCAAGGAGCCAATAGGCATCAAGCCGAAGTAGGAGCCGGAAGATGAGGACTTCACAAAGAGACAGGTACTAGGCAGCATGATACGTAATGGTTACAAGCACATTGGGCCCAGGTAGGCAGGCTGGTGAAGTACCTAGGCGGTACCAGCCGGGAGCACCTGCCAGCCTAGCTGGTCCGACGTCAAAAAGAAACGAGGCAAACCTGCAGAAGGGTCAACGAATGGCAATGGCTTCCGATCCAGACGTGCCCAGCGGGGATCCCGGTTATGGACGACAGGCCGAAGAGGGCCTGGCAGGGTCCATGGGCACCTTATCTGTCGAATCAGGCCAGCCCACCTCCCCAGAGCCAGCGCACAAAGGACCGGGGGAGATCAAACAAGGTATTAAATGGTGGGAAACGGCGCAGAATGCGGTGTGGAAGGATAAACTAAAGCAAGGGCATGAGCAGGGAAACGGAAAAAAAATGAAAAACGCAACAGCCGAAACCGTATGATCACGGATCCCCCATATTGTTTGCCAGACCCCGGCTCAAAGCCCTAACAATGAACATGGGGTCAATGCACAAGGACACTCCAATGATCGCAAGGAACAGTGGGGGGGAACATGGCAGAAGAAAGAAAATGCTGAAAAGTCCGCGCGAGCGGGTAAATTCTGGATATGCTCGTTCAAGAGAACAATTTATGAGAACGAAAAATATAGATGAAACATCCCGGTAACCTAGTCATATTCCAAGGAGACACTCCAATCAACACCACACGTTCCTGCTGATGGGACCAAGCACCTGAGTTCATTTCCCTGTAAGACCGGGTATTTGAGGTTGCCCTCGCGCGGTGTATCGTCAATGAAATTTTTTCCAGACCCTCGACAGTAGCTGCAATGCCACATATAGATAGAAAATTGCTAGATTTGGCATGAAAGATGCAATATTAGAACAGAAGGCCACCCCATCAAAAGACATATAGAACCATGTGTGGTATAATAGAAAGGAACAGCAAGAGAACACCCTTAAAGAGAAAAATTAGGACAAGACACTATGTATTTTGTGATGCCAAGCTCATGTACGGCTGCCAGCAACTCCCACAAGACTGATCATAGACGGTCGCTCTATGTGTGTCGATGTAGGAGTTTGGCAGCCAGGCAAGGCCGTTTAACCCAGACTGTGAATACTCCTCTTCTGGTTCAGATGTGGTGAATCATCATGTTCGTCGATTCGAGTGAGGCCCCCCGGAAGTGTGGCCTGCTGCGCTTTAGCGAGCTCAAGCTTTTCCATCAGCTTCCCGATTGTCATATAGTCATCTGCACCAAGTCCAGAGGGCTGCTGTTTGAAGTAGCTCATCACGAGTTCTAGCGCTTTTCTGGCTTCATCCTGAGTTGGCGATCCCGGGGAGCTAACAGGAGACACGGTGCTGGATTTTGAGAACAACGGGGGATATATAGACTTGGCTTTGAAGTCAGGATTACTACGGTTGCGTTTGATTGTACCCGCAGAAGTATCGAGTGCCGGAAGGATCTTCTGATCGCGTTGGTTCTCACAAGAGTCAGGTGCCGTACCTGACAATGATTGTCGTAGTGCAGCTTTTGTCAAATGCTCAGATTCATCAGCGGCCATCAAACTTGGATCAGATGAACTGAGTGGAAACGTCTGGCTGCGAGGCCTGGTGGAATTGCCGTCTGTAGCCGAATTAAGTGACTGGCTAGTGGGAGTGAATGGACTTTCCGTCAACAAAGGAGATGTCGGACTGGTGAGACCGGCAGAGAAAGAGCAGGTTGTGTCAAGCGAAATTGTACTCTTGGTATGCATATGTTGATAGTCACTTGCAATTTCAGCTAGACTCTGAGCAAACTCGCCCCTCATGTTCTCGTTGCTCTGGACGGGTGATAACGGCAATGGTGACATGAAGCCAGTCGGGGATGTAGGCGAGAGTAGAGTGGGAGACTGGACGGCGGATGCCAATGCTGAATCGATGCTCAAGCAAGTTGGGCTCGCGGATTCACTCTTGATACTAAAGGAGCCCTTCCGGTTCCTCGCACCCATCAGGTTATACTTGCGTTTGAATTTTTCCAACCAGCTGGTGCTTAGGACCTTCTCCTTGCCGTCCGAACTGCCACAGGTGCTGGCAAAAAACAGGGCCTTCTCCCTTATCATCTCGTCATTCAACGGGTAGCCCTGTTTTTGATAATTCCTTGCCCAGTTCGACAAAGCCTTCTCGATATCCGGGACTCGTCCTTTGGCCCGCTTAATAGGAGACCGACTCCCATCGTCCGGATTTAGATACTTATCCTTCTGCCGCAGGACTTTTGATACCGTACTTCAACCAGCAAGTCACGCAAGTTAGATGAAAGTCTTCCGGGAAGGTGTATTGGAGGTCGAATGACTTTACCTTCTTTCAACTCCAAACAATGCTATGAAGGTCATTCGTTAGTGTGATGATTCTTTCTCTGGTAGGATCTGGGGAAGACTTACCTCCAATGTCTGTCTGCTTGGCTGTTTTATTCTCCTCGTGGTAGAGACACATTTGTCGACGGTCTTCGTCGGTAAGGGTCCTCCGTGGCGTTGAGTTGCCATTCGACTTGCCGGTGGACGACTTGCCTGAGGATGACTTGCCGGTGGACGACTTGTTCATGGGTTGCTTGCTAGTAGATGACTTGCGAGGTGGAGCTGGAATGATCGGGGCCGGCGCAATTACAGGTGGTGCCTGCAATATGGGCATAGCTGGCACACCTGGATCTGGGAAAGGCCCATGATGTGAAAGCATACTAGGCCAGGAACTTGGGGGTGGAGCCATGGCTATTGGCAGTGTCGCATAAGGCGGAGGTAAATCAACGCCATAGGAAGGGTCTAGCGGTACGACATTGTATCCGAAGGCCGGATAATCCATTGTTGGAGACTGCTCCGAGGGACTGAACCCATCTATATCCAGCCAGGAGGTCGGGGCAAACTCATGGTCTTGCGCATGATTGCTCTCTGTATCCATGTTTGAAAGAGCAGGAGGAGGCGTGGAGGGAGTATGCAAAGAAGGTGAGGCTAGGAGGGGCAGTGATATCACGATGGCAGCGGTTGTCGTGGTTGCACCGACGCCAGTGCCGGACAAGAGCCGTCAATCGGAGCACTATAGCGATTATAAAGACCAAAAGTGTGTCAAAGGGAAATCGATAGGCAAGCGAGAAAAGCAAAGAAGAAGGACGTCCAGTAGCGACGGACAGCTTAAGGCCAAGACGAGGGAGGCAGATGCATGTTCGAGCTTGAATGATAGGCGATTACAGAAGCTGATGTGCACTCATGCATCAACACCAGCGGATCAAAGTTATTCACACCTGGACTTTGTGGCGGGATTCCCAGCACGACGCATACCAGACACCGGCAGCAGGCCTGGGTTCTTTTGTACAAGAACAAGAGAAAGGACGGAGGAGCGGGTCGTCCGTCCTAAGGGGAAGGGGGGGGGGGGGGGGGTTGCAGCGTGTGGGTAAAAGCTGGAGTTTTAAAAAGGGACAGGCCTGGGCGCAGGCACAGGGACGATCAGGGAAATGAAAACGAGGAAGAAATCCCGATCAATTGGAGGAGGAGAAGACGACGACGACGACGAGTAAGAGTCAGGTACGCAGGAAGGCACGACGGTCCACGGGTACTTGTAGGTACCTACCCAAGTTGGTAGGTGAGCAGGCAGGCCAGCCGGGAGGGCGAGATATAGTCCTGACCCAGGCGGTGCATGGAAGGTGTGTCAATGTACCTATAGGTATCCAGTGTATAGATCGGCCGGTCGGTCGGTCGGTACGTCAGTTAGGACATGGGTCAGCGCCATCCCTGGTTGGCAGGATTCCTTCTGCACCGGCCGATGCTGATTCTGATTGATACCTACCTACCTACCTGCTTACTTACTTCAATACAGAGAGAGAGATAGTACTTACGGATGCTCGCCCCGTGACAAGGGCTGGATCCGACCGACCTGATGGGGCTACGTTAATATCTGGTCTACCTAGGATAATTACGGCCAGCCAAACACGAGGCCGGCAGCGTCGATGCGATACATCCAGATAATTTAAAAATAAAAAATAAAATAGAATAAGATAAAATCAAAAAATGCAGGTCTTGCACGACGATTGGGCCGCGACGTCGAAAGTAATTGAGAAGAAAGGCAGGCACGCTAACCTCAAGTTGATGATGGGTGGGGGAGCTGCTGCTGATTGGCAGGGATCTAGATTGTCGAACAGGGATCTGCCTCGGGTCCAAATACCACTAAGGTACACGGTAAGGCCTCGTACCACATCGTGTCAGCATCGCGTATCGTCCATGACGGACGGTATCCTCGCACTTCTCCAGATGCCTAACGCGCTTGGGAATGGTAGCAACCAGGTTCCCTGAGCTTGACAGGATGACATGATGGATGTCTTTCCCACCGCAGAGCTTGCCATCCATCCTGGTGTTACACTGGCGGCGACCTACACCAATGGCCGCTGGTCTACCATGGTATATACCTGGCTAGTCGAGAACCGGACAAGGGATTGGGTAGAGACCTACTCCGTACCCGATTCCGAGTGGAGCAGAACGCCAGAAACTGGCATAATGTCGTTGATAGTAGTAATCCAAGTAATCCCAGGCGGGCATTGGACCTGGGGATGAAAGGCATAGGTCAAATTTTTGAAGAATTTCTTTTTACCCATTTAATTTTTCCTTTCTTTTTCCTTTACCCCATTGTGGCTTGTCCTGCTTCTAGGTGGTCCCTGCGATTTGCTTCTCTAGCTTCTTTCGCTCTGTCGGACAGACATCCATGATTCTCGAAGCATTATCCCGCATCTTGATAGTAGAAGATGTGAGTGGACGCCGGGCAATCAATAAATGAGGGGATCGACCTCGGACAAAAGTTATGGACGGCTGAGAGTTCCTCAAGGGTAAACCAAGGTTCAATTGACGGAACGGGGAACGGATCGATAAACTGCTGAACCTAAAAGCCCGCATGACATACTTGCGGACAAAGAGACAGTTTGGAACTATACTGGATGTTGCCAATGACCAGGCGACAGAATCCCAACGGTTTTCCTTCCCCGAACCCGCACTACTCCAGGGACGATAAGTGGGATTTCCAATCTCCAGGACGGACCAGTCCTGGTCGCCTTTGTGGCGCTGACAGAATGTCAGATCTGACTGAAGAAGGCGGACCAGGGGGGGTGAGTCGCATGGGAGATGAGGGGAAGGTCACTAGGCGGTAGAAGTATAGGTCACCAGGAGATAGCCGTGAGACGACTGCGAATTAAGACCTGCAAAGTGCAAAGAGCGGTCGGTCGATCTTTCAGAGAGGCTAAGACGATGAGGCCTCAGTGGTGGTTTGGCTGAACTGCTCCAAAAGGAAGTAGCCAGTCTTAGGGGCTGTCAGAATCTGCATCCGACGCCGGGCTTCCGTCCATGGCGCTATGCCCATCCTGTTTGGTTTTTCCTTTTTTTTCTTTTTCTTTTTCTCTCTTTTTTTTTTCCCTCGCGCGCTCTCGTTCTCGCTCCTCTAGTCCGTAGTATTGCTTAGCGTAAAGTGGGTGAATAATAATGGCAAGCCCACCTATCGCTATCGATCATACTATGTTCTAATGTGTAGATAGACTCGGGCCTGCCTACCAGTAATAGTCGCCCGTGCCTCTAGCCAGTCATCGGCCAAAAGCGCGATCTGCACCGTACTTTGTCACGAGAAAAAAAACCGTCAGGAGACACCTCGGTCGAATGAGAAGGCATAGATGGATTCCAATTTATTTTCTTCCATGGTTGCATGGGGGGGGGGGGGGGGGTAAAGACCAGGGATGAAAAGCAGGTTCACCCTATCAGAAAGTGCACAGACGGGATTCATGATTCTGGTCAGGGAGTTACTAGCATGAGGCCCAGGAGCTAGGACCCCACGGTCCACTGGACCCGCTGCGGTCCACTCCGGGCCGGCACCCTAAGTAAGCAATGCAAATCGTCGAACAGATTGTAAACATTCTGGAGAACGAAGGAGGAGTAGATGGGTCGGAGGGATGGCGGAAGGATTTGGTGAGTACAAAGAACAAAATAGAAAATAGCTGAGACAAGAAATGGGCGTTCCATAGTGCATGTGTGAGGAACAAAGGGGTTGGATTGGCCGGATGTGAATTTCGACGCATTGGGCCATGCTTACCTACCCGCTTGGAACGTGAAGATAATGATCGGCCATTGATCATTCGAGGGTAAAAGTTTTCCTAGGCCCGGTGTAAGTTTTTGCCCACTGCGAATCATGGCAATCCTTTAGCCTTACCTCACTCCCATGGGGCTGAGGTCGGCTTGGAACTTACTTCCTGTCTTCGTCGACTGCACCGCCTCTCCAGGTACATTAGTAGAAAGAAAGGTGTACTCCGTAATGCATCGTACTTCGATGCTCTGGCCGTGCGACTTCGGAACGCGACAGGTCTGAATGCAAGTGCAGCCTTACTGGGGCTTCAATAGTGCCTGAATAGTACTAGGGGCTAAGCGGCCGCCGTATTCCGTCTTGGGTACCTACCGTTATGTAAGTATAAGGGCGTATGCCGTACCACTGGTCGGCGCGGACGGGATGGATCTTGAATCATTCTTCCAGCTTGCATTCGTCCGTCTGCCATCCGCCCCGCTTGTTCGGATGACCACGAGGCAGTAGTCGCGAGTCAGGCACTACCTATATACCAAGTATGCTAAGTTCTTGTATGTATCTAATACATCTCATGCCAGTTGAGCCCTACCGAGGTATGCCATGGGGTCAAGAATGGGCGATATCTCCAGATCTATATCAATCCCATTGAGGCACTAGCAGAAAAGAAGACAATGAGACAATGGATGTGAAAGATGAAGAAAGCTAGTGGGTTAGCAACGCGCGTTCCCTGCGTAAACTTCATTGTTACCTTGAAACTACCTCCTCCATACAGCGGAAGCCGTTGCCACTCTTTTCCGTGCGCAGCAGCACCGCGCAATATCTAACAGAAGGCCCTGCTGTACATAGGTATCTACAAAGAAGATGGGTCGGATATTTGGAATTTCGGGGCTGAGACCGCCTGACACTTCATTCTAGAAACCCAGCGGTATGTAGACAGAGAAGGTCACACATGAGTTCATTTGCCCCAGTTTCCCTGGTGGCGATTTTGCTCTGCCTGGTCGGCCCGGTTCCCAACGGGTTGCGTTTCGCCTCAGGAACGCGCGCAGTAATGGGATGGAACGGTAGGAGAAAAACATCGCAGCGAATACATGGAGGTCATATGTATGTAGAGGCAAGAAGCTGCTGGGGACGGCGCTTAGAGGCAGCGCCTTACTGGCTGATGCAGAAGATCCGCCGAGAGCCAGGGCCTCGCATGGACCAGGGTATGTGAATGGCCGGGGACGGGCCGGGGTACGACGACCGACACCGAATGAGATGGTAGGAGCCTTACCGGTTGACCAGGCCAATAATAGATATCTGTCAGGTACACAAGCCATTGCAGCAGGCAAGAGATATTCCACTGTGGCATGTACCGGTTACATACATGCAGTGTGCACCTTGGGGTGCCACCGTTCTACCTGGCCTATTACCACCGTAGCCGCCCATGGTGGGATCTGGGGGAGATGGTTCGTCACGGGGGAGAGAGGGGGCCCTTGAACGGAACAATTCCGAGTCCGATGAATGCCCAAGACCACCAGAGAGAATGACATCACAGAGAGGATAGGTTGAACAATAGGTAGCCACTAGGTAGGTATCTAGTGGACTGTGTAGCGGTGGGATAATGGCCGAGGGGGAAGATCTGAGGCCTCCATACACCGTGGTCCATACTTGCATCGGAGTGGAGATTGGTGGATTCACTTGCCTGTCTGACCAGATCCCACCGACCGAAACCGGTAAATTACCAGGTCCAGGTCCCAGATTAAGGGTTCCTTGGCCTTTGCATTGATTCTTTTACCAGGCACTGCTCCGCTTCAAGCGCCATTTCCACAGTCATCAATCAAACAATTTTTAACATCACCGCGGGGCGGTCTTTCTATGGGGGTTGACCAGCGTAAGCCACCCCCGGCCGCCGAGGTAATGATATCCCAGGAACCGCGTTATCCAGGGCAAAATCCCTCCCTGAGAGAAAGAGGAGACCTAGACTGGATAGTCGACAAGAGAAATGGCGTAACAAGGAATCTCATTTGTGCGAGGACGTTTCGCATAGTACGGTCATCGGCAAATAAGGTGAGACGGGCGGAAAGGGAAAAGCCCTCAGATGCAATGCAGCCTCCACTCTCCAGTGGGAATCAACGTCCGTCGGTGCATCTTCAGTCATCTGATGAGCAGAAATCCATTTCCATCCTGGAGCACGACGACTTGGATATCACGGGGCCCAGGGGAAGATCAGCCATCATGCTTGGCGAGGCCTTCTTCAGACATCTATTTGACACGACCATCGAGGCTGTGCCGCCGTCGAGCAGATCGCAGCCTCCAGAGGCGATGTATCCAAGACAGAGTCCATCAGTTCAACTCCCCTATCAGATCCTGGATTTACCATCTGTCTGGGGAGATGCTCGGCGCTGGGAAGGACTCTCGCTCCATTGCGGGAGGATATCTCTTGAGACTTGGAGATGATGATATGATCACCAGCAGCCATGCTGGTGTCTCCACTTTTGGCCCATGGCTGACATTCATTCTTCCCTGTCAGCTTGGTTCTCTGGCTGGTATTCCTTTACGCCTTTTTCTTTTTCTTTTCTTTTTCTGTTCTTTACATTTCCGGGTTGCCCCTCCTTCCCAGTTCCCACAGGTTCCTACTGGGGCTCTCCATTGGGGCCAACTTCTGGGTAGATAGTATGTAGTATCTAGTCCCCCGCAGTAGATAGAGGCAGTCGTGCATCCATCGCACTAACCAGGAGTTAAATGCAGCTGCATCTGGTCAGCAACGGTGAGTCGCCCATCATATGCAGATGAACGTAAGTGCTGATGGATGCCCCTGGGATGATTAGTAAGTCCATGACAGCTGCTTCGATCCCGCTCACCCGCGCAGACCGCTTCTTATGAGACTGTCAATGGCATGCACAGGGTACTCTATACTCCGAGGAAACCCTCCAACCTGCATTATCACGGATGCATTCAGTTATCAATATCTACGACCGGGAGTCGGTCATTGGTCCCAGGGGGGAATGGTTTGATCAGGCCACTGATCCGTAGGATGAGGGAAGAGAGGACGGACGGCAATCAAAAGTAGTAGATAAGTGAGGTAGGTGATTGATAAATTGAAGAGAATGATAAATTGAGGGGGGGGGATGCTTATCATCCGGGATGAATGAAGAACCCCATCTGCCATGCCCATTCGAACACGAACAATTCCCCTGTATAGAATTAATATAGAATTAATCGATGATAGATAGTAGTAGTAGTAGTAGTAGTAGTAGTAGTAGTAGTAGTAGTAGTAGTAGTAGTAGTAGTAGTAGTACTGTACTTGGTTAGTACTACTCCGTAGGAACTGCCGAAATCAACCCAGGGTCGGTTTAGAATTACGCGGGAGGCCGTCCGAGGGGAAGAGGAAGTAGGTTCCCCCCCTTGGGATGTTCCAATGATACCTGGCCATCTGCCCGAGAAACCTCCTTAAAAATCCGGCATGGAAGGTTTGGTGCGACGCCATGGCCTTGCAGGGGTTAGTCCAGGAAACGATTACGCCGCCATGCCTGACGAGGTCCGAATAACCCCCCCCCCCCCCCGGGCGGTCTTACCGTAATTACCCGTCACCACCCTCCTTAGCAGGATCAAATAGGAGGGGGGAAAAAGACCACCAGACCGCAAATTGCCAGACGGTGCCTTGATGAATCCCTTGACCGGCCTGCTGCCAACCACTCTTCTAGGTTGTCCTCAAAGTACCCCGGACCCTGTCCGCACCTGCAGGCGCAGAACTAGCTGCAGAAGGTCAGGTACTACTTACTTCCTTTCCTGACTGTCCTTGGGACATGGCTGTCATAATGATTAGTATTCACTATTACCAACGGAGGCAAGCCAGAGAGGGCCCGGACATGCCGCGGACAGCCAGTAGGACGGCCGCATCGATCTATTTATTAACCGGAGGCGTTGATGGGTCGGCTCCTTCGTTCGTATAGTATGGAGCATAGGATCAAAAAACACCCTCCCCATCCTTGATTGGGCCTGGCCCACCTTGGTTGCGAACGGTAGGTCCGATGGATTGCCCATGCCTCAATTCTGGGTAGACCGCGTGCGCCATTTGAGCTAAGGTAACTACTAAGGCACCCAACTTAGCTCTGGATGTGCGCATGGCCTTTTGCCTCGCATAAAATCGAGTCCGATCTCAGCAGGACGATGCTTAAATGTGTGTTCAGCCCCCAACAGAGCGGCGGCAGCCACCGTCCACCGGAATGGTTCGAGCACCGGTTCGGGTCCAGTGCGTATAGCACATAGATACGTAACTGGGCGCATCGATCGATGTACTGATCCGGGAATAGCATCCTGAGCTGCTCCCATAGCGCCTTCGCTTTCCCCACAGATGACACCATTGAACAGGAGGAAAAATGGACGTGCGCCTGGTTGCTTGCTAGCTCTGTCTCGGTCCGGCTGGCCCAAGCGATGGCCGACGCGACGTCGAACCTAATGTAAAACACCCCCAGGGCCAGAAGCGGTCAATCATCTAAGAAAAGAAAGTAAGCGAATCCTCCGCACTATCTATGGATGTGTGCATGTATGTATGTCTACTGACTTGGATAGCCTGGGCCTCGATCTAGAACATCGATTTCCTCGGATCGGGACCCCCGGAATCGACCACCATGGTCGAATGAACGCTCCAAAAGATGAAACCAAAACAAAAGAAATATCAAAACGGCAGGACTAAGTACTGCTGATCCAAGAAACCCTATTCCAGCCTTCCTGCCTCGAACTCCTGCCTCCAATCGCTTTTTTCTCGCCTTCCTAAAAGAGGATTGCGCATCACAGATCGAGTAGTAGAGAAGCAATCCCTACTGACTCATGGTCCAGGCTTCTCCCAGACGAGTGGTCGTGCTAATCCAGGGCGGCGTTTGCCAGCTTGCTGCCCGTGCGCACATCGTCTCCCCCAATCACAATCCTTATGGCATCTCACGGAAATCTGTCACAAGGGCCGGGCCTCTTGGACTCGATACTTGGCGGAGCAGCCCCTAACACTACCGATTTATCCTCTCGAGTACGATTCGCCATAGCTCGTCCCGGTCGTAAGCGGATCCTTCAAGGATTGCGCTCCAGTAGACTCATTTACCGCTTCACAATCGACACTGCAGTCCCACCGTTAGCCCTGGAGATCCTAATCATTGCTGCGGAGATAGAGGGGAGGACAAACCGATATCTTCGTCTGCCAGCTCGTGTGACAGACCGACACGCTGAGGCTGGTGCTTCACGGAGCGACCGTAGACAATAGCGTGCTTGAACTGGTCCTTGATCGTCCGGTGGATAGCATTACACTGATTGCGCGTCAGCAGATTCGATCTAACATGGGTGGTCGGCAGTGCCGAGGTAGGGGAGTCTTACGAAATCCTCGACCGTGCAAGAATGAGATCTCAACACAACGGGGGCCGTGTAATCGGGGGCCTTTCCTTTAGGCTTGGTGTAGATGCGACGAAGGTTAAGCTTATCCCACATCATTTCCAAAAGTTCGTCAATGTTCCAACCGTGCTCCGAACTGATGGGGCAGGCGTTGGGGATCCGGTACAGCAAGTCCAATTCCTCGATCGTGATGGCATCGATCTTGTTGAGGGCATAGATGACGGGGATATAAGCTCGGCTCTTGGCTTCGAGGACGTCGATAAGATCATCAATGGTCGCGTCGCATCGGATAGCGATATCTGCCGAAGAGATCTTGTACTCGCTCATTACAGCTTTGATTTCCTAACGATACAAGTCAGCTTAATTTGCACACTAACGTACCCGAAGCTCATAGACTCACGTCGTGATCAATATGCGTCAAGGGAACGGTGCTTGTGATGGCAAGACCACCCTTGTCCTTCTTCTTGAAGGTGATGTTGGGAGGCTGCTTGTTGATTCTGATACCGAAGCCCTCCAATTCGTTCTCAATGACCTTCTTGTCGACTAGCGGCTTGTTGACATCGAGCACGATGAAGATGAGATGGCAGGTTTTGGCCACAGCAATGACCTGTCGACCACGACCTTTACCATCTTTGGCACCCTGAATGATACCGGGAAGATCGAGAATCTGAATCTTAGCACCATTGTACATGACCTGGCCAGGGACCGTCGTCAAGGTTGTGAACTCGTAAGCAGCAGCTGCGTAGAGCACCATTAGCACCACCCATGTCGACTGCGATTGTTCCGTGACGAACCTTCTGAATGCTGGCCTGTCAATTTGCTCATCAAGGTACTCTTTCCGACGGAGGGAAATCCAATGAAACCACTGCCCAGGTTAGTTCAAATTCCATGTTTCTTCCAAGGCGTTTCCGACATACACACTAGCAACACCGGTACGGGCGACATCGAAACCAGCTGGAGATCCAGAAGTCAATGACTGACACGACCATTTAGACACGTCCAGTATTCACTTACCACCGCCGCCACCGCCGCCGCCGCCAGACGGAGTCAAAAGCTCTCGCTTTAGCTTAGCAAGCTTAGCCTTCAACTGTCCTGCACCATTCCGTCAGCCTTGCTCTCGAACCGACCCAACAATATCTTTATCCCATACCCAAATGATAGGCCGTCGCCTTGTTCTTCTGAGTCCGAGCCATCTGGGTAACCGATCAGTATACGAATTCTGGCGCATGAAATTTAACGGGCAGTCCGCGCGAACCTCGTCCTCGACTTGCTTGATCTACATTTGTACACAAAATCTGTCAGCATATCTGGTCTGCTATTGTGTCTTTCAATATGAACAAAAACCGAAAAACAGTGGCGGGCCATCCAACCTTCTCCACGGTTGTCGACATTTTGGCGGTTTATATGGAGGTTCACCCCTCGCACAAGGTACAAAATCTATAAAAACAGAAAGAAATAACTGGGAGAAGCAATTCTGCAGGATTTCCGCCCCTAGCGATCGAAACCCTTTCCAGCAGTGTTGTGGTGAAAACCAGAACGAACAATCGGTACGTCAGTCGCAATGGTGGAGATACAATCTTTGAAATTGTGGCCGCCACTTCATTTGTCCGTTTGGTTCGTCACATGGCGGGGAGGCGGCCTCAGGCATCATAAGGCACCCACGCTTATCGCCGGCGGTGGCGAGTTCTTTCCATCCAGAAGTTGTTCCATCGGTTTCAGTCTAACTCAATAGCTTGGAGGATCTTATTCTTACCAGTTAACTCTTAAGTATCATCTAAATTTAATATCACAGACTATATTACTATACCGCGTTTTGACTGTTCGAAAGGCCCTGTGCGCGCCTTCAATCCCTCAGCCACCTCATACTTCTTGCCGGACCCCCGATAGCCGACACCATCTACTACTAGTATTAATACACTCCGAAAAGGAAACAAGAACAGTCTCCCTTGAGCAAGACATAGGCAAAAAACAGCATGCCATACATCAAAGCAGACTCACCTCCTCTCTCGCGTGAACCTGAATCCGAAACGTCTCCCGAGAATGGATTCGAGAACCTCGTCCAAGCTCTAAGCGACGCTCTGGGTCCGAGCTCGGGTCTTGATTCCGACGATATCGATCCTATGGATATCCTTCGTCTGATGGAACGATACGAATCAAATCCAGACGAATGGCTTTCCTTCGCCTTGGGAGACCCCAAAAGGAACTATACGAGAAACCTCATTGACGAGGGCAATGGCAAGAGCAACTTGGTGAGTTCATAATCTTTTACTAATCACTCATACTACAATTTTCCACTATAAACATTCCCATCATGGACACAAACTAAGAACAACATACACTAACACCCTCAACCCCAGCTCATCCTAGTCTGGAGTCCTGGGAAAGGAAGCGCAATTCACGACCACGCCAACGCACACTGCGTCATGAAGGTACCCACCCCTTCACCACATTTCCCTCCTCCATAGATAAGGAACTAGACACCAAATCTAACCCAGTCCCAGATTCTTAAAGGCTCTCTCAAAGAAACCCTCTACGCATGGCCGGACCAAGACAAACTCCAACACGGAGAATCCTCTCCACTGCAAATCAAAAAGGAGACCATATACAATGAGAACCAGGTTACTTATATGTCCGACAAGGTTCGTTCGCTATCGTTTTCTTTAAACAAACGCACGTCTGGTCAAAACTAATGACCTTGTTTGTTTAGCTGGGCCTTCACCGGATATCGAACCCCGATCCGAATGACGTCGCCGTGTCGTTGCATCGTGGGTCCCCCTTTCTATTTTCTATCTTCTACATTGGTAATAATATAGACGTACCGATATTTAAACTAACCTCGATCTTTTTGCAATAGTATATACACCCCCCAACGCCGCAACACGCGGCTTCTCTATCTTCGATGACAAGACCGGCAAGGCGAGCCATATCAAGGGGTCACACCTTTATTCGGTGAGGGGGCAGCGGTGTTGAGTTCTTTTCTTTCGTCTGGTTAGTAGTGTGGTGATGGATTCTGTAGAATGGCGTTTCTTTCTTCCTGTTGTTTCTTCTCGTTGTCATCATTATTCCTCGTTGATATACCACTTTCCTTATTCTTAGACTGCAGGCTTGGATGTTTCGCCATTGGGCTGGCTAGATTGTTTCTTTCTGCGCGATACCTTCCTAGTGCTTTCTACATTAGATGAGACATGTTTTATTCTTAAAGGCAGGAATAATTCTATATCAAATTCATCGCTCTTCATTGCTCAAACATCAAACCACATTATTGATAAACATAACGACAACATTTTGTCAACACAGTCTTGAACAAATATGTCAACATAACAGTGACGCGCTCCTAATGTATGGCATAGTAACAGTTTGTATCCACAAACGAAACAACATTGCAAATGGATGCATATGCATATGGTCAATAAGAAGATACTGTACAATGCCAGACAGAGATGGAAGGAAAGAATATGAGACAAAAGCAATAAGAGAGTTTAGGAAAAGAGAAAAGGATAGCAGAAAGAAATGCCCAGCAAGAATAAAACATGAACATTGCTTGAAAGTAAAATAACAAGATGGCTCAATTAGAACAAGTCACACATATCGTTAGTTTATGAATCCCTGCGCAGACGAATCGTGAGGATCCGCTCATGAAGCAAATCTGGATTTTCCAACACTTCGGACTGATATCGACGAAGCTCTTCGAGACCGACTGTAGGGTTCTGTAAATTTCCAATATAAGTACGTCGCTCGAAGGAGGTTTAAAAATATATCAACCGTGATACCCACCCAGTCCTCCTGGTTTGGCACACCGTGTGCAGGGGGAAGTAGGTCTAGGTCGGAATTTTCTTCACCTGGGCCAGGTGGTTGTCTGCGAATGGGGGCTGGGGTTACAGGGAGGCTGGGGCGCTCTTCTTCGCTAGGGAAGTCTGTCACCCGCACGTTGGTCCAACTGTAGTTGAACCTTTCTTGGCCTGGTAGGCTCTGTCCTGCGCTGGACGGGCCGCCAGTGAGCACTTGGACTCTGCCTTTGCGGGCTTGCTGCAGGGACTGAATGTATCGTTGGATCTCTGGGACCTCATCCCATGCATTAGACCGCGAGTAAGTATCCCAGGATTCGGTCGGCTCTTCGGAGGTCCAGGATTTCATCCGAGACTCCGGTGACGGGCTTGCCTCGTCTTCTGTAGATTCAATGAAGGATCTTGGGAGAGTAAATGTGGCTGAGCTTTGATCGTCTTCTGGGAACACGCGAGTTGGTGTGGGCGCATGAGTCTCCCAGGGAAACAACTGTGTAAGCTTTTCTGGCTCCGGCTTCGTGCTAGGCACTTCATAATACATGTTTTTAGGTGCTTCCGGATAGGATTCTGGAGGCTGGAAGAGCTGCTCATCCTGCGACATGGTGTAGGTTTTCTTTGCCAGTGCAATACCTTCAGGTTTCGTATTCAATGGCGGGGGTTCCCTAGAAGCGTAAGCAATAAGTTCAGTGGGACAGATTCTTTGGTAACTCACTTGGACGCATCCCATTCTGCCTTGGGTGGCTCAAACGAAGTCCGAACTTCAGGTTTTGGTGATGGCGGTGCAGGTGGCTGCTCAGTCGAATGAATGGACTCTGCAGGATGTTGAGGATAGTGGGGCTGGGGATATGAGGACTCTGAGGAAATTGTTGATACAGTTGATGGTACACTTGCTTCATGCGCGTGCAATGGCGGCTCAATATGAGCTACAAATGATGTCTCGCCCGAGTGAGGGTGTATGTACGCGGTGACATGCTCCTCTCCACGAACATATCGTGGAACGGCACTTATAATCGGTGCTTGTACACTTTCACTCGCATGCTGTTCCTGCCGTTGCACGTCCTCGGTGGGCTGTGGTAGGCCTGTCAATGTCGTGTGCTGTTGATCCGGAATCGGTACACTTTGCTGAGGGAGCTCCTGATGGAACACTTGTATTTGATGTACTTGAGGGAGCTCCTGGTAGAATTCTTGGATCTGATGCACTTGAGGGGCCTCTTGCGCACCGTGACCATGATAACTTGGCGTTGGTGCCCCCAGCTGAGGTTCCTGTGGTGGTTGTGGTTGCCAATGCGGTTGCGAGGGTGGCTCAAAGCGCGTTTCAGTAGCTTGGTCATGGAACGCATGCTCCTGATAGTCCCTATGTGGCTGCGCTTGCTTATCTTCCTGTGAATCCCAAGGCACTTCCTGTGGCGTGGGCGTCTCCACCTGAATTGTAGGTACAATATTCGATGGCTGAGTTGGCTGGATTGGCAACTGCAGACACCATTAGCTTAACGGTCCCATATAACGCAGTTTTAATATCCATGAATGGGCGAGTGCTGCTACTCACAGTCACGGTAGGACGATAATGTCTATCATAGACAGCCCACCATCTTCCCAGCAACTGATTGTACGGCGAATGAACTGGATCCACCTGCCTTGCCATGTTCCATGGCTTTTGTGCTCCAATAAAGTGGATCATGCTGATTGTGCTTTGAAAGTGCTTGTAGGCGGGGATGTACTGGTAATTGGCGCTGGGTGTGCAATTGTACGCAAAACTCAGCCTGTGCCAGTCGCGGAAGTGCATGTTCAGTAGGCCCTGATCGGCACCATCGAAACTGATACCTCGCTCTGCCAATGCTCTCAGAGCATGATAATCTTGCAAGTTGGGACGAAGCACCATCACGCCACTGTTGAAGCAATCCGGCCAGCCCACGTCCGGAGCCGCGGCGAAATCTACCTCCAACTCCAAGAGCTCATCGGGAGCTCTGAGAGCCACGACATCGCAATCGATGTAGACAATGCGCTTGTATTGTGTTTGGCGCCAGAGCTCGATCTTTGTGAAGGTTGCGATCAAGTCCGGCCGATCCATGAGCCAGAGATTCGCTGGGGTAACGTTTGTCAGCGGGTGCACAGGTATTAGTTCATCATAAACAGCCTAAGGAGCGCTTATCAGTGATTGCACTGTGAAGTTGAATTAGTTTGGCGTGAATTGAGCATGCGCATACCTGAAGCTCCTGAATGGTCGCTGGCTGTAGACTGCCTGGGGTGAAGAGAGCCACCAGCTTCGCTTTGGTGCCATTGTCACGCAGGGAATGGGCCAGAACTGTGGCACCTATAGAGCAGACAGATGAATGATCAGGGGGGCGAATCTCTCAGAGTTGATCAGAAGTCAGGGGAAATATACCTGGGAGATAATGATCGCTCAAGAGAAGCTGCGGACCAATTAGTAGCTGGCAACGTGACCTCGGGCTGAGGGGACGGAACATACAGTGCAATAGACTGCACCCTCTTGGAGAACCATTGCGGCGGTTGTCACGCCGCACGAACCGCGAGACCACCAGTTAACCGAAGAGAAATGGGGAGAGGGAACAAAAACGAATGTGGAGTGCACGAGAATTGGAAGAAAGGCAGGAGGAGAACGAAGGCCGAGAACGAGGTACTGAGCTAGTACCTCCGACAAACTACGATCCCCCTCACTCGCAGGTGACGTTTGGAGCCAACCCCGCCCGCCAGCATAATAAGCAGCCGCGCCAGCTGCAGTCAGTCCCTGGGAAGCTGGACCTCGAGAGTGTGGACGGAACCAGACTTGATTCCTCGCTGGATTTACAGACACTCTATGGGCACTGGATGGCGCTGGCTGGCCGATGGGCAAATGGGATCGGGGACGACGGGCTATTTGGTGGCTGGAAGCTTTGGGGAAGTGAATGGGGCCCAGCTGGGGATGGCCTGAGGGGAAAAAGGAGGGAAGGCCCCGGATTGGTGAGAAGCGGCAGAGCTCAACTGCATGAGGCCGCGTCCCCGTGCCACCAACGCTTGGATCGCTTGGATCGCTTGGATCGCTCCGCTCGTTATTCAACGGATGTCGGAGAAGCTGCGCGCTGGATTGTATGACCGCCATCTATCCAAGGAGGTGAAAGGATCTGAAATTCTGATTGCAGACCAGCCTAGAAGCCGGGCGCAACCTCAACCACCAACTGCCCCTTGCATGCCCACCCTTTTTATACCCCTGCTTAAGTCCACCGATAGCGGACACGACGCAGGGACAGGAAAAAAAAAATGTGCACAACGCTGTGTGTACCCTGCTCTGGTGGAACGGATCGCAGGAAATTCGCGACAACTATGCTAGGGGATACGAAAATAGCAATTGGAGCAAACACTGGCAGAATCACGAATCACGAACGCTGAAGACCAAGTTCCACGCCATACATCATCTTGGTCAGATTCGCTTAAGATCAGCTTACTTCCGCAGAGTCACCACAGCCTTCGGGTAGCAGGCCTTGACAACAGCCCCAATGTCTTCCTTCTCGCCCTTAACAGACCACTCAACCGCCTTTTCCAGAGCAACTTGGCTCTCGCGCTCCAGCGGAGTGAAGTGGCCCGACAGAGGAAGCTCGACAAGCTGACTGTCCGCGACGAGATAATCCGAGATACCATCCAAGCAAATCTGCGGCTCCAAGGCAATGTCGGCCTTGCCCCAAAGGATGGTTGCACTGGCTTTCAAGGCGCCCTTGGGTCCGTCGTCAAACAGTCCAGCCCCGTTGCCGCCACTGATGCTGTGCAGGTCGGTAATCGTCTCAACAGACTTGTTCCAGCGCGCGATAGAAGTCCCATCCCTGTAGTAGCAGGCCATGTGCTGAAAGCTCGACGGTGCGCGCTCATTCTTCAGTGAAGCCGGATATTCCTCACCATCGGCGGTTTGAGTGCTGGATTCGGTAGTTGACGGGCCCATAGTGCTTGCCAGACACTCGGCAGCATCCTGAGAAGTAAACTCCCGCCTTCCGTAAGAAGACCTGTGGATGATTTTCAAGAAGGAATAATAACCCCCTCTACCCAAATACCGAACGAGAAACATAGGGAGCTGGAAAGCGAAGATGTACTTAGACCTCCACACTTGCCGAAACACGGGGCCCAGAGTCGAAAACGCCTTGGAGAACATTGAGCGTGAACGGATCGGATCGCGCGAAGCAGTTTTAACCATCTTGACCGACGTGGAGATGAGACGACGAACATTGGAGGCAGAGTGTCGAGGCTAGCTTCATTAGCACAAGAAGAACACAAACGAGAGCTTTGAGATAGCATACCAAAGGCCCGTTAGTCAAGATAAACCGGTCCGCCAACTGAGGAGCCTCAGCAGCAAGTCGCATCGAAACAACACAACCCCAGTCATGCGCGACAATAGTCAGTTTCTTCTGGCGGGGACCAGCCTCAGTATCCACGCCATATTTAGCTCTGATCGCGATGACGAATTCCGTCAAACTCTCGAGCACATTCGTGGCAGAGTATTCCTCGAAGCTGTCACTGCCTCCATAACCGGGCATGTCGACCGCAACCAAAGTCGCGGACTCCTGGAGAGACGACGAGCTTAGGACATGGCGCCAGATGGCCCAGCTATCCGGGAAGCCGTGGATGAAGACGACCACCGGTTTCGCCTGGTCCGCGGGCCCCGGTTCCCAGAATCATTGCAAACATAATGGAATTTGAACCCGCTTCGCAGAGTAAGTATGTGATGGGCAAACCCCGACCAATCCTTCGACAGATTCCAAAACTTATCGCGAGCTGAATCCGTCAGATGCAATCAGCTCAAGCCCATACTTCAGGTGAGAAAAAAGAAAGCCACCACTCAACCAAACCCATACCAGCACAATTACTCACCAATCTGCAATTCCAAGTTCTCCTTCTCAGTGGGTTCCTTGAAGAGATATCCCAACCGCACAGCTACGAGTCCATAGTAAAGAAGACCGGTAAACCCATATGCCAGCACCATGAAGGATTTCAGCTTGTTAAGCAGCCAGGCTGCCATGATGCGAATCTCGAGCAACTATACCAGCGCTCGTTTCTAAAAGGTGCGCTGGAGAGACGAGACAAGATGGGAAGAACAAAAGGAGCATTGGCGGATCCTGCGAATTATATGTAGTCAGAGCAATGTCAATGCACCGGCCAGACTAAGCCGGATATGATGTTAAAGGGGGCGGAATCGCGTTCTTGGCTTGGGCATGGTGGTAGTGTGGGCAAGCACTGAAACTAGTACAATGTCGTCGGCGGTCCCGGAGTGGACTGGAACTGGAAGAGGTCTCCGCCACCAGCGCGGAGGGCAGCGCCGGTGACCTAATTCCCGCTCTGCTGGACCGCAGCATGTGATGGGACCACAATGATTAGGCGTCGTCTCAGAAACCACCTACTTTGGTGTCGGGATTTTCTTCACAAGTCGTCACCCATCCGAGGGCATATGCTTGCATAAAACTAGGTACATATCCGCCATTTCGCCACCATATACACACAAAACTAAAAATACAACTTCGAGCCCAAGATAATTCGTGTCGTCATAGCAAAGGCACCCGGACTCCATAGATATCATTCGATCGTCAAAACATCAAGGGATATAAGAACAGATATGAGAAAAAGTTGGCAGCTGTCATACATGCTAAGGCGAAAACCCCAGGTTTTGCCTGTTGTCGTCTACTAGGCGCCCGTACCTGTAAAGCTCAATGTCAGAAAGTGCAGTCAAGTGCTTGAAGAGTTTACTTACTCGAGTAGTAGCCTGAAGAACCAAACCTCCATATCTTCATTGCGAAGAGCTTTTTGTGCCCATTCCCGGCCTTGTCGGGCGAGTTTGGGTGCAATCACCTTGCCCTCATCTTCTAACTCGAAGTACCGCACGGCCTCGAGATAATCATCTCCGGTCAAACTCAGAGGTACGTAATGGGCCCAGGGTTTGAGCCACTCATCGTGCCACTCGCGGAAGATCGACATTTTATAGACCAGGCTTTTGCTGTGCAAGAAAGCATAAAAACGACCACTGAAGGCATTTCCATCCATGTCTAGCAGATGCTTGTACGCCCAAGCGTCTTGCTGAACAACCGGCTCCGCAACGTCAAAGTACTCCCTTTGGGCAGCACAATCCTCTTCGTCACATTGGCCAATATACGTAAACCGAATGTCGAAAAGATCGGCAAAAGAGTTCCGGCCAACACCCCTGGCCTTCCATTGGCCATTTTCGGCCTCACCAAGTACCTTGGCTGTATTTAGAGCATTAACGTTGCCGACAAATAATTGTCGATGCTGCCGTCGCCAGCCTCCGGCTCTTGAGTATCCTCCAGTCGTTGAGCCCCTCCAGTACATCTTGCTAATCTTCTCTTCCCACTCGAAATCCTTGTCTTCTTCATAAGGTACCTGATCAGCCCAATACCAGGGGCTAGGGTAGAGAATGTCCTGGTAGCTAGATATTTTGCTTTGCGAGAAGACTGGAAACAGGTCATGTACAGCCTCAAACATGTTCGGTCGGTCGAAGAATCCATATTTGTAACGGAAGGAAGGCGAATTGCAAATATCGGAGAAGGCAGTCGCGTTGTAG